GCAATTGTGGCAACGGGAAGACGCCACGATTGCATCCACCGCACATCTTGTACGATAGAGAAGCAAGGATGTCGATGTATCCAGGGGGCGCTACGGAGGGAGCGGTAGATCCTTCAGGATTGACCCTCCAAGTGGAGCAGAATAAAGACGGAGCGCCGGCGGATGTTCGCGTCGCGACAGTAGTTACGGCCTCGTTATGTGCACTTACTTTGTACTTGTAGTACCCCTCCTTCAGCTTTATTTTTCAAAAATAACTGAAAGACCTCACTTCTCATTCTCTTTCTCATAAAACTTCCGATCCCACTCCCCTTCCAATTCCTACTCTAACCATAGAGGACAAGATGTGCCGCTCATCTTATCTGGCCCCTCCGTGCACGATCTCGTAGTCGGTTTGTCATGGGATTTTGAGGACGGTCAGGAACCAGTCGACCTAGACTGCAGCGTCTTATGCTGCAACAGCGGCGGCGCAGTGCTCGATGTGTGCTTCTACAACCAACCGATTTGTATGGCGGGGGCAATCACGCACAGTGGGGACAACAAAACAGGTGAAGGAGCAGGCTTTGACGAGGCGATCGCGTTGGACATAGAAGCACTTCCACCAGGTGTTTCGCTGCTGGTTTTTGTCCTGAACGCCTACCAAGGAGGAACGCTGAGCACAGTGAAGAATGCAAAAGTTACCGTCATGGAAACGGGAAAGCCAGAGCCACTTGCAATGAGTTATGAAGAACGTATAACAATGTAGTTGTGAGACTTGTAAGTCAGCGTTGTTGTTGTAGTTCTTGTCCTTCTACCCAAAGAAATACAAGCTGAAGCTTCTATTCTCAGCTTTCTAAGATTCTAATCAAACCCGGCCAGTATTCGCAAGGCCGACTTGACAGGGATGGTCCTCGGTTTCCTCTACATTTTGCCGCATATGGGAGAAAACACGTGGAAATTTCGAAACGTTTCTAGAGCGTGCCAAGGTAGAAACTTTGAGGAGTCTTTACCAGATGTTCAACGAGCTCTAGGGATATCAGGGCTCCTCAACGCAGCTTGCGCTAACATGGTCATGAGTATGGACAAGAAATTCGACATGCAGAAGGGAGATTTTTTGGAGATACCACCTCATTTATTCAAGGATGGAAGTGATTTGTTCGTAGGACTGGGATGGGAAACGCGAGGTCCTGGCGTAGATTTAGACGCGAGCGTGCTTTTGGTAGATGGACAGGCGAATCTGGTACTTTTCTAGTAACAACTTGAACTTGAGAGAGCTCGTAGTTCGTAGTTGTAGAGATCGGCGCTCGACATTGGATCATCTCGTCTTCAATTTCGTGACTACAAAAGTACCCCATGCGCCCTCTTCCACTATCACCAGATTGATGTCGCCAGTTGGAGCAAATCAAAATAGCGTATTATAACAAGTACATACTATGTATCTTTTTGCTTAATTTCATTGATGTTTCTGGTCGTTCAAAGCGGTGATTTCGAAAAGGTGAACAAAATTCGTAATCGAAGTCTCAACAAAGACACCGAGCATATTGATATTCATTCTGCCACTTCTTCATCACCAGATTGATGTCGTCAACTGGAGCAATCTTTCCTTTATGCAAGGCGCAATAAAGCATGGTGGAGATAACTTAACCGGACATGGCAAAGGCGACGACGAGCGGATAGACATAGACCTCGATCGCCTACCTCCAGTTGTGCAACAACTGTTTGTGGTGGTATTTTTTTGAGTGAGTGCTTGTTGAAGATTGTAATCAATCTATCAAATTCTGTAGGTGAAACATAAACATTGTAATCAATCTATCAAATTCTGTAGGCGTGAAACAACATAAACAGCATCTACATCTATGATCTCGTTCTATCTTCAGATACTATTACTACCTCAGTCGACGGACCGTATCCACGCATCACCCTGCTCTACTAATTCTTGACATCAGGTAAACGTCTACAATTCCGCGAACAGTTTTCAGGATGTCACGGATGCCTACGTCCGTCTATGCGCAGCTAAGAATCAGCACGAATTCTGTCGTTTCTGTCTGGTAAAACAGACACTGCAGGCCAGTTGCCTGATTTTCGCAAGGATTTTTCGAGGACCGATTTCTGGGCAGTGGTTTTTTAATACCATTGGATTGGGATGTCAAGGCAACATGGCCACACAAGCCTCTGTCATAGGTGGATGCATAGCCTCTGTGAACGGCTTCGGACATTCGAAATTGGAGAGGCCACAGGGTCGCGAACTCCTGGTTCAGCCTCAGCCAGTTCAGATAGTAGCGCAGCCAGTGGTTGCGCAGCAAGTTGGTGGCGGGGCTCGACCGCCACCTCAAAATTCCAAAGGGGAATGCTGCACTGTGCTTTGAGGCGATTACGAGTTGAAGAAAAAGCTGGGACTTTCATTCTTTTCTTAGGATTCGCTTCAATCTGTATCTGACACGACCGCCATTTGAGATGGCTCATCAACGCTGTATGAACAACAACAAAATGAAAATTTTTGTTGTTGTGGTGGACTACTTCTTTCTCTCAACATCAAAGCCCCCTGATTACAACATTCAAATATCACCCGCCGACCCGAGGGCGCCATCTCGGAGAGCGACACTCGTGAACATTGTTCACTATCCGGAGGCGTTCAGTTCCAAGCGAGTGAGTATATTTTTTCAAAATGGTACTGATGCTGAACAAACCGAAAAAAAACACGAGTTCGAAAATGAAGGTTTCTTTCACAGAAATGTTGCTACTTTCCTGACGCCGTGTCGTTGTAAGGAGCATGAGTTTATTTTACAGGATTTAGTTGACCTAAAACGACAACGAGTAAATTATCTACGAGGCCACGCTCTACGTCAACGTCCTTATCTTTATCTGTACTACGACCTTGTCACTATTTCAAGACCAAAAACAGAACAAGAGGTGTTAATGTGTACCAAAACCAACAAGGCCATGCCCGCCGTCATCACCAGAACAAGTAGATATCCTAGTCTATAATTTGCAACCACACTCCCACTTACCGCCCCTCCCAAGTGGTTTTGCATTGATCCTACAAAGAGCAGCAGAACTCCTTGAAAAAAGTCAACACTTGATGGAGGTCATCTGTACCTGATCCGTAATGGTAAGGAGTTTCACATTTGTCTCCGAGATCCCTATCTTTTTTCTAGAAGATGCTCTAGATGCTCGTTGCTTGTCTGCGGCGAGGGGTTCGCGACCATGCGTACGTCCCAATACGGCGCAATCTGTATCCCGTTCTGGGACGATGTATTCGTCGTCAGCAATATTCAGACGTGACTGGTGATCTCGGCAAACCTGGCGTGCTCAAGTCTTGTCCTACCTTCACAAATGAAAGACATAATGTCCTTCTACGAAGATGGATTTCTACAGGCTGGAAAACCGGGTCCCGATTCTTGCCATTTGAAGAAGCTCGTGAGTACATGCATAAAATCGGACTTCGCTCGACTAGCGAGTGGGAAATCTGGTGCATGGCTGGAGCAAGGCCGTCCTTCATACCTGCCGCGCCATTCATGGTATACGGCAAAAAAGGGTGGATATCGTTCGCAGACTGGCTGGGTTACGGTTTGTCGCGTAGCAGCGGAGATGTAGGTTCTAGAATGGATGCAAGAACAGCGAAGAGGGAAAATTGCTCGTGGGCGCGGCGCCGTCGTCTCTTGCGGCTTAGGCTTCCGGAACAAGTAGAAGGGTGTAACGACCGTGCGGAATCGCTTGTAACTCTGCACGAACGGGGAGACTTCTTAGAACAATACGGCTCATCGAAGCGAGACTCCGCTCATAATATCCGTGGTCAGGCGCATGAGATATTCGTATCATGGATACAGAAATCAGAGGACGCATCAGCAGCTGGCCTTGAAATTGTTCTTGAACCGCAGGTCCCAACGAACCTGTAAGGTACAATTCTTCTATGCTGCTAAGGTATCCGATGGATCGTCACTGTTTGGTTCCTGCTCCTCTGCACCCGCAGTCCAGTCAAAACCTTTTTCGCGAGTATCAACTTCGACGTCTCACTTGACAGGTAGAAGAAGCATCGATGCAACAAGCAGAGAACCAACTGCCCCCACCGCCTGCGCCATCAACACGCGATCAACAAGTGTAAAAGTAGAAGGCACGACAACGCCCACAAGGGCTGGCGCTCCTGCCATGGTACCTTGGGACAACTTTAATGTACCTCTCTTTCCCTCCTCAAGACAGTTCGAATGGGCTCCACTTGTTCTGCGGAGTATGTCTGAGTTGAAACGTAGTGCCAACGGTGATGCGTATCTCGTATTCGAAAACGTGAAGTATACGTTGCCAACAGGACTTTCCCCGAGTGTTGTTGTCGTTGTGAGGAGTTCTGGTCGGTTCTTTCTCTTCCCGCCAGGATTCTTCATGCAGACGGACGCCGCTGCGCCGTCGGAAGCTGTAGCTGCTGCACCTCGCAATGACTCGCAAAGTAAAGGAGACCCAGCAGCAATCGAAAAAGAAACGAAAAAAACAAGTAACATGAAAAAGATTCGATTGAAAGATGCACAAGAGTACGAAGTGAAAACAGGAGGTGATGTGGTTCGGCGCTTGTTGAATCACGCTGTAGCGACGTCGCCATCGCGCCAATCAATGCAGGATCTCTTTGCTGAGCTGCATTCCGTGCGTGATATCGCAGGACGGCAGTTGATAATGCTTCAGCTGATACTTCTTTGCCGTAACCTATGCGGCCTTCGTGTTGCTCGCTGTGACCCGGCATATATCCGTCAGGCTGCCATGCTTAACATAAATGGCCATAAGGTCGGTTGCAGTGCCTCAACCCAGCGAGAAGCCATTCGCAGCCATCACGGCAGGACTGTAAATTTACGTAACGCGGAGTCTATTGAAGATGAGTGGACTGAAGAAACTGCTCCTGACTTTTTTGTTGTTCTTGTGCGCGAAGACCACGTGCTAAGCGACGAGGAGGGAACAGAGGCCTGCGATCCAACAGTTTTGCAGTACGAGTTGCAGAAAAATGTAGCACCTCTGCCGGACGACATCAATATTTTACGACGCAGTCGCGAAGTTTCGCGTGCACTAAAACCCCTCTATGGCCTGTTTATCTTTCCGAAAACATACGTCATTCGACAACGGGAGCGACTCGGCTGGGCACCATCGCAGACCTGGAGTATGTACATATTTCCACCGTGGGCGGAATCAGGACGCCGTCCATGTCAGGAAAAGAAATCTGAGCAGCTACAACAATACTTCGTGAGAATACCAGAGGTGACCACCGATGGACTTGTTAGTTGGACAGATTTGCTTCAAGTAAGGGCCCGAATACGTGAGCTTTTTAACGTCCAAGACGATGCAAAGAACTATGATATCTCTTTTGATGTTGAAGAAGGACTGCATCTAGTACAGGTACAGCAAGAGCAAGTTACAATTTCATAGCAGTTCCTGTTGTAAGTTGCAACTGGCACCACGAGAGGGTAATATTAAAGCATTGGTTCTTCTATCAGAAGGAGGAGTGTTGCTTATCTGCAAAAACGTAAATAACCAAGTCTCCGCTTGTTCAGAGGAAGACCACGGTTGCTGGACTGTACAGATTGCGATCGTCTGGAGTCATATTAGACAGGATTGACAATGGGCCTCGTAACCAGATAGCAACTCAGTCTGGAGGACCATAGACAGCGCTGCCATTGGCGACATTCGTTCTCTCTCGTCAATTGTACAGCTTGTGCAGTGTTCCTACGTTAGCAATGAACGACTATACGAACAAACGCGACGAAAAGAGAAACAAATCTGGCACATCTTTTGCCTTGCAGCACCAGCTGCGGTTCATTTTGTTTGCGTGTTACTAATTTTTTGCGTGTTATTGATACGTTATTTGGTTTGCGTGTTGCACGATGTAAGTTGTATGTATCAATATGATTAAGAGTTCGAAAAAGCATTTGCATACCGCATGAGCATAAGCAGTCCCTCAACATGTACAAGTACATGTAGCTTGTTTAGAAAGATTCATCCACAACAACATACAACTCACTGTGACATCAAGATCCTGCAGCTCCGTACGACCTATCGTCCAGTAAGAGATGTTCTTCAAGTTTATGTTGTTACTATGTATTAACTATCTTTCTCTTTGATGCTATTGACCTTATTAAGTAAGCGAAGTTGTTAACCACTTAGTCTTAGACTTACAACTACCTGTCTCATCTACAAAGTTCTAGAAGCTCGAGAAGAAGATCAACACAATGCCCCCTCCATCGCGCCATCGCAGTCGTCAGCGAAGTCGAAGCAGAGGACGTGGACGTGGAGGGCATGGAGGAGGAGCCTCCAGTGGCAAGCGTCGCACTCGTGGTGGGAGACGTGAAAGAGAAGTATGACAGTGAAGAGAGTACTAGAGTAGAAATATTGCTTGAAGAGAGTACTAGTATCAATAGAGTCAGAAGAGAGTACTAGTATCAATATTAGAGTCAGAATAGAGTTGTACTAGTATCAATAGAGTCAGAATAGTACATCATAGAAATTATAGTATGTGTCGGCAAAGAATACGAATATTAGAACATTGATTTACTACATGCAGCTGAAAAGTGGAATTATTAATATTATTTTCCCTGGCAGAGTGATCTATTCTTGTGGAAAACGTGGCAGAGTGATCCATCTATTGTGGAATGAAACGCATCTGCTTCTAAGAAAAAAGCGGGAAAAAGCGGAAAGAAATAGACGTGACCGTGAGCGCAGTCCACAGGGTCCCCCGAGGAGAAATGGACCGTTACGCATCAAGCCTAGGACTGGCCAAACTCAGTCGGGCGGAACAGGAACAGCAGAAGCTAAAAATGGGAAGACGGACATTATGAAGCTAAAAATGGGAACAAGAGTTCTTTATTTCAATTTGAATTTCATCTTTCTGCATGATCATGATCTAGTACGTGTGTGCATCTTCGAGAGAATGCGCACCAGATCAACCACCTCGAAGGAATGATATATACCTCTAAGAAAACCAAGACCTCCAAGTCCGACGATGCAGCAGCAGAGCCAGAAGATCTTAGAAAAAAAGGAAAGGCGGAGGCAAATGGTGTTTCGGGAGACACTGGCGGGGTCTCGTCTTCGTCGTCGAAACATTAAGGCCTTGAAGATGTCGTTGTCGTTTGTCGTGATTGAGATGTTAATGTTCGCCTTTGCACTAGATGATTGTAGTCCTCTTTATTTCTAATGCAAGCACTAGAACTAGATGTAGTCCTCTTTTCTAAGGCAAAGCAGCAGAGCTTCAGCCCGAAGGCCCACAGCCGTCCTCAGGCAGGAAAAAACGTTGTGGGGAGGGAGGCTTTCAAGACGAGGATGACGACGTCATCTTCTCAGAGTTGTCGGAGTCGGCGTCTCACTCACAAGATGAGCGGGATCATGATGACCATGACAGGTCCCCTTCCTCAGGAGAACAAGGTGGACCTTGTTCACATGAGAAAGATGAAAAGTTGGAGAGGAAGAACAAGAAGAGCTTTATCGTGGAAGAAAATCAATTATATCAAGAACAACGACCCCTAGAACTGCATGGGGACGATATTAACAAGATACAAGTACTAGAACCTCGACCTCCTTCGCCCAAGAATGGCGTCACCGGGACGAGTGGTGGGATCGAGAAGCAGAAGGGAGACGAGAAGATACCAGCAACAAAAGAGCAAGCATCTACTACTTCAAACGAATCTAAGAAGAAGCCAGTAGAGCAAGACCTCCACATGGAGGATAGAGACGATGTCGTTTCCAATGGCTCATCATCGTCCATGTCAATACCATTGAGAAATGCTGTGGGGCCTAGAAATTACAAGAACAAAAAGGACCACGAGGACACCAGTACTACCAAAGCAGCGGGGGCCACGGGGGCATCTTCTACTTCAACTACATCAAAACGTCCAGTTGTGAAGATGAATGGGAATACAGATGATCATCAAAAAGCGGACGAGAAGGAAGAGGACAGTAAAACTAAAAAGAATGCAACAAAAGACAAAGAATCTGCGTCTGCTTCACCTGCGTCTCCGCTTGTCAAAGTAAGACGAACTGTTACACTGAGGTCGCGGAAAGAGATTGAGGTTGAACAAAATAAACAACAACAGGAGCTGGAGCAACAGGAGCAGAAGTCGAAGCGCAACAAGAAGAAAGATTTAAATTATATGGCCTCGTCTAAGAACGGGAAAAACAAGGCCTCTGAGAACGGGAAAGACAGCCCTGCGCGACCTGACAAGAAGCTATCCTTGGTAACAAGGGCCGCTGCGCAGCTACAACTAGCAGAGTCACCTGCTGCTCGAGCGTCGCTTACGCTTGATTCCTCTCACCAGAACAAGGGGAAACTAGATTCAGGCAAAAAGGAAAAGACGTTGATCATCCTGAAAAGTAAGAGTAGAAGTCCTGACCGAGGAGAGGATAAAGTGGCTCTTACAGGAGCCGCGGACGCTCGACCTACTGGACCAACTGGACCAGAGAACAATGCTGTTGCTGCATCTTCATCTTCTGGTGGAAATAAGAATCACAAACAGGAGAGGACCTTTGTTAGTAAGGAGAAGCACAAGTTTGAAGATGCAGCTGCGGACAAGCGTGACGTCGCACTTGAGAAAGACAGCAAGAAAGATCATGAGCAAGACGGTAAAAAAGACGCACCACATCAAGCGGAGACAAACAGCAAGGTGACGACGACTACATCTGTTGGAGAGAATCCTTTTGATGCTCGAGATCCTGATGACGAACAATGCTTAGCTGCTAAGGGTAAGAAGATGAGTAAAGCTGAAAGGAAGCTGAAAACGAAAGAAAAGAAGAGAAAAGCTTCCTCTAAAAACAAGAAGGACCACGTGAACCTTCGAGCTAACGCCAGGGCTAAAACGAGGAAGAGAAGAAGACGTCGATCTCCATCAACTTCCCTCAGTAGTGATCGTAGCTCTTCTGGTGCATCTTCTTAAGGCTTCGGGTAATCCATCTCCAGAAGCATCTTGGGACCATCCTGTAAGGGAAAAGCAAACCCAGGATGCCACTCAAGATGGATTCCAGGAAGCTCTAATCTTCAGTCAGTTCACGTCAGTCTTCAAGAAACGGGAGTCTGCGATCCGCGTCCTCTTCCATGGAAGATCGGGATGTTGAACAAGATACTGACTCTTCTGGCGATCGTAGCTCGTCCGAGAGGTCACGGGGGCGTCGTGAGCGACTACGTCAGCGTAAGAGGCAGGACAAGAAAGCCACTAGTACTGTGACTACCACTAATAGTTGTAATACTGCCAAAATGGGCATCAAAAAGCTGCATGACCAGGTCGTAGATCAGAATAGGAAGAAAAAGACTGGTGCACCTGAGATCCACGTGAGTTCCGAGAGTCCTTCTGATATTTCTCCACCGAACAAGAAGAAGGGCAGGACCAACAACGGGAAAGACGTCGAGAAGAAGGGAAGAAAGCACCCGAAGGGCCTCTCGTCGAGCGATGACTCCGATTCTTCCTCACGACCTCTTGTGATTCCATCGAAGAGGAAAAGGGAGGCTGGCGCAACTGCAACTACCAAAAATGCTACTAGTTGTAAGGGTAAAGAGAAAGTCGTGGACGTCGTGGCAGCTGCTAGAAGTAGTACAAGAACTACAAACGCAAAAATAGGCAAACTGAATTTGGATAAGAAGAAGAAGCGGCCTGCAGATCGCGACGATGACGATCATTCATCTTCGTCCTCTCGCTCTTCCTCTCCTCTCCGCATCCCTCCATCACGATACGGCGAAGCTCCTAAGGTAGCGGACTACAAGAAAATGAACCAAGAAGGAGATAAGCCTGCAGACAAGAACAAGGGTGTCAATCAACCTGCAGGAGCTCTTCCTGCTAGCACTGCAAGTGCAACTAGCAGTAACATCGCGACATCAAACGGCGTCATCCAAAAACCACAAGGGAGCGAAAGTGACCTACCCGCTCCTGAAGACAACAGCAAGGACAAAGAAGTACGTCATTTTGAAGTGGAAGAACCAGAAAAAGTACGTCTCTTTGAACTTGAAGAAGTTGACAAGCACAAGAAAGACAACAAGGACTCTAGCTCTACTGAATCTAGATGTAAAAAACCACAAGTTGAAGTTCCTCCTCAAGGTCAAGGGCAACAAGGTCAACCGCCGCAAGTAGCCACACTCTCAGGAGTTTCATCAGTCGCTATAGACCCGGACCTTCCCGACCTGAAAGATGACCCTAGGCCGGAACATCGCAGACAAAATAACATGTTCAAGAAAGGCCGAAATACGGAATCTTTTGACCCGAAAAGCACCATCGTTAGGCCAGATCTGCGAGTTCTCATCGGCAATCGTGGAGACCAGTTGAAAAAGACGCTGAAGCATGACGATGTCGTGATTGTCCCAGAGTTCTTCTGTGAAGAGGATGACTGGTCCCTTTACTACAAACTGGTAGAGGAAATGAGGGAGATCCAGGCGAAAGGGACTATCAGAGACGCTGTTAAGGCCAGCTTTTAGACAACATTTAGTGTCCATCTTTCTCGGCATCTTCTTGCTTGGTACCCTTTTCCCTTGTATTGTTGTCATGAAATACAAGGTACAAGGGGTCAAGATGAGGGGGCCGAGATGCAATCGAGCAGACTCTAACGCTGAGTGGATCTCTTGGCATGAGGGGACGCATTTGATCTCGAAAAACCCTGAATTGAGTCCAACCTATCAAAAAGTGGTGGAGAAGATTTGCACCTACTTCGGGATCAAGAACAAAGCTAAAATTGGGACGAGATTTAATTGGTACTAGACTGTTGGTTGTTCATAGGTTTTCATTTTGTGACTAGAAGCTAGGGACCACAAGCGTTCTTTCACCTTCACGTTGCTACTAAGTAGAACTGCTTCGTCAACAACTCATCATGAAGTACAACGTGATCACACGGTTCTACTCGAACCCACTTCGTCCTAGCAGGTGCGGCTTAGCCGCGAAGCAGTGGACCCTCAACCTTATAGCGACTGTTGTACGTGATCACGACTTGCTTTTCAGGTACAAAGACTCGCGTGACTGGAAGCCCTTCCACCATGACAGTGCAGCGTTCAATCCACATCGAGCCCAAAATCAGAACATCACCGTCGGCGCCAGCTTCGGGAGAGAAAGGGAATTGAGTCTTTTGCGAGCAGTTAATCATACAGCTTCCACTGCTCCCTCGACTGGTGGAGGAGGCCAAGAACTACCTGTAAAAGCCTACTTCCCCCAATCGAACGGCATGATGTTTTCGTTCGGGCGTGACGCCAACATCAACTGGAAACACGGAATCAACGCACTCCCGGATGAGGAACAAGACGGGAAGGGGAGGATATCGATTATCGTGTGGGGAAACTCCCAGCTGCCAAGGGAGGAGGCGGACTCACCGGAATTGTTGATTATGGTTCCGTCTCCGTGATAAGTACTTATCATGTGTGTTGTGCCGCATGTTGTACTTCCTTGTAGTCCTGCTGCTGCCTCTGATTTTTTCAGGTTTGATCATAGTAGTCACTCACACCAAAGGGAACACCAAGGCGGGCAAAGCAATCGAACACAGCAGAGGGGTCTGGGGGGAATGTATCCTATCACTACTTCTCATGTGTGTTTCCTATCACTACTGCGCAAATCGAAGACCACTGTGTGCATTTTTCTCTAACGGACCCAACGACGCCAGACACGGATTCGATAACTCGCGAAACAACCAAAAAGGCGGCTCATCATCCACTCACAACCATAACTTGCGGAACAACCCTAATCGAAGTGGTGGGCTTCTACGTGGTTTCAACAGAAATGATCGCGATGACAGTCGACAACGAGGAGACGGACGGTTTAGGGAACAGGCCTCTTCTTACGTGTGCAGAGACTGGAAGCGTGGCCGCTGTACGCGGGACAAGGACTGTAAGTTTAAACATGCTCATGATTGAGGATCACATCACTTCGAACAAACAAAAGGCAAGAATATTACGACGATCTCCCGAACGTCAACGCATATTACCATCATCAAAACAGTTCATCTCGTAGTCATAGTCATACTGGTTTGAAATAAGTGTTTTTTAGTCGAAGTTTCTCAAGTACTGCTTTACTCTGTCGATTCCAAGATAAGAAATCAGTGTAAATAAAGCCTTACCATGAAGAATACCTCTACATCTACTCTAGTTCGCAGTTTCAGGCACGATCCATATTACGCCCCTTTATCCCCCGATATTCATGTTTCTACAAAAAGAAAAAAGCTTCCTCCGTGTTCATCATCTCCCTGTTCATCATCAGAGATTCTAGATTGTTTTCTCCGTGTTCATCATGAGAGATGGCTTAGTGTATTACGCGGTACCTAGTACGAGAACAGAAGAGGAAGCTCAACGACTGACTTGTTTGATTTATCGAGTGTAAGAACCATGATATTATTGTCATTCCTTCAGGAACTACTGCTGCACGAAATGATTTCAGTCTTTCATCATTGTAAGCTTGTTTAATTTATTTCCCACCCCCTTTTCCTGTGCCCCTTGTTTTTGTGCCCCAGTTTTCTCACTTTTCAAAAGTTGAATTCTTTCAAGTTGTTAGGGTTATCATTATACAACTAGAGCGTTTTTTGTTTTTTCTACATCTGGGTCACAACCTAAAACTTTATATTCTACTTAGGTCTGCTCCACCAACATTATACTAGAGCGTTTCGTGATCATACTGATAGATATACCTGTATCGCTCATCCTGACATTATCCTTCGACTTTCTCCCTCGCCACGGCAACCTCTATGCGTTGGTTCGCCGTGGACTAAAAAGAACAATGTGCCTTGCTGAAGCAGCTTCATCTCGCCTCAACAACATAAACATATCGACCTCTATATCATGAGCATATCACTTCGAAAACATAAACAAGAGCAACAAGAATACTGAGTTTATTTGGATAGAACATGATCAAATAACTCAAAGGGAAAAGGATGCATCGACTTTTGCGCATATCACCAACCTCAAGAACCACCACAGCCAGAAGCTTCAACATCATGTGCATGTCTTCTGGGACGTCATCCTCGAGGATACTACTTCGTCAAGGAGGAGATTCATCCAGCTCCAGCAGCTCTAGGAGGTCATTCGCGTCAATTCCTAAACCAGCAGGAGACACATCAGCACCAGTCAGCACAAGCGGTTCATCATGCGACGATTGCACAGGGTGCGACACTGATACGACTTCCTCATCGCTTCTGTCAGACTCGGAGAAGGGCATCATACGGCATGAGCATAGAGGAGCGAAGGTGGAGAACCTGATAATTCAAAGTCTGATGGACGGTGGGACACCCTTTTTCTCCATGTTCGGTCCTTTGAAACCAGCGCAGAAGAAGAGGCTGTGTCATCTGAGCACAGTGGACATGACGCAGAGTGCGAGTGGGACGAAGAGTTTATGTTGGGAAGTCTAACGAGGATAACATCGAAATCGATTACAGTAGAGTATTAATTTTCTTGCGAAGGTAAACGACAACATCGATTACAGTTGCGAAGTTAAACGACAACATTGAATGGCTCCGGTATTTGGTAGACTGAATTTGATCACAAGGATTCTCCTCCTGTTTTCCCTTATGATCAAAATGAGGCTACCAAATACCAGAACAATACAAACGTCGACTAATACAGTAGGGCTAGAGGATTTTCCTAGCTCCGAGGACGCAACACCAGAATCGTGTAGAGAGAATGAAGTTCTATATAAATAGGCTAAAAAAAAAGCCAAACAGACACCACCTCTAGATTAGGTACAATCATCAATCATCAATCATCATCATCATCATCATCATCATCATCATCATCGTCATCATTCTCAACATTGTTTCCACCAATCTCATGAAGAGGATCAATCTTTTCCCTTTGTCATTCAAAACGGTTTCCCGAAGCTCTTGCAGAGTCGCAGAGATGATCGTCACGTGCGCCGATTGTGGGTTGAGCAAACGCGTGGAAACGCCCAAGGACTTCCTAGACCCAGAGAGGAATAGTTCGGGGCAAGCACTCCTGGCAGTATGTCCTAGCTGTTGTATTTTGGTGAAGTAAGGTAGAGCTGGAGGGCTCCTAGGTGGGACATGCACTGGACATCGTAGAAACAGAAGTTACAAAACCCAAGGTCCTTCCTTGAAGATGTTCCAAAGATATTTTTTTGGTACAAAACATAGAAAACGGTCAAATAATTTTGGTCATGATGATGTTTCTCTCCGCCTGGCGAGAGCATGGTCGAAGAGCCTGTAAGTGATAGTGAACGACGACAAGAGTTGTTCGGAATGTCCTGATAGATTCGGTTATCGGCGCGAAGGATGATTGGGGAAGGTGTCGGTTTCGGTGCAAGAAAATGACGAAAGACGTGTTACTAGTGGACGGATTTCCGCTTCATCTGTTTTTTTTGAATGAATCAGAATCAGTCAGTGTTCTCCTCAAGACCGTGAACGTTTTGCAGGACTAGTCGCGTTCTCCTTGCTTTCGCCTCCACAACGGAAACAAAAAGACAAAAACGGGTTCAGCAAGTTCTACGATTTGAAAAAACGATCTTGTTCATCTTCAAGTGAAACGATTTAAAATGATCATTCGCTCGACGACCCATTCTTAAAAAACAACAGAAAATTCGTCCACTGCAGAGCTGCTGCGCAGGACCAGCATCGAAGAAGATGCCATTGCCAGCATCAAACGTCATATGAAGGAGGAAGACAAACACAGGTGAAGATAATGATAGTCGATGATCCAACAGCTGCAATTTCGTTTTTTACCCACTAGAAAAATCTGCGCCAAAACACATATTAATTATAACTACAGGGCGAAATTATAACCACTTTCGAAAGTATTCAGTCAGACTGAAAATTTACGTCCCTCTTGCTTCTTTGGAATCTTGGACACGGTTCAACATTTCATCAAGGTTTGAGTAAGATTAAGAGAAAGTTGTAATTTTATCGAGATCTACATCTAGATCATTGAATTTGGTTTCTATTCCTCGAAAAAAAACATTGTTTTCCTACTTCTACGACTTGTTGTAGTTGTAAGTCGACTTGTTTTCTTCCGTTGAGTAAGAGGACCGAAGATGGCGACTAACACGGAGAAGATAGGATCTTCAACGGCTGCAGGCGAGAAGCCTGGGAGCTCTAGCGACGTTTCGACCACAACCTCCCCTACCTCGACTACATCTACTACCTCTTCCACCACCATGCTCCAAGTGCAACCGATCCTCGCCAAAGGACTCGGCGTGAAAGCTCGAAAGAAAATCGAACGACACACTGTGATTCACCGCGAGCGCCCTGTCTTGGCTATGCCGGGAAGTCTGGTGGCATCGATTCAAGAGTCGGCGAACCTGGTCATGCGTGACCAAGTGACTCACACTCTTTCAACTCGTTTCCTCGAGACAAGCCTGAAGGAGATCAGCGAAAAAAACGGAGAGAACGAACGTTACAAGACGATGGAGTTGCTTTATGGCTTCTTGAGTTTGAAAAAGATACATAGCAACGACGGATTTGCATAGTTGTTCTCAACATGAACAGTCGCACCTACCTTAATGCTATCACACGTACGCGTAGCTCACGACGTCGACACTTCTCTATCTCTATTTCTATTACCATGAGTATGAGTAACATTTAACTTTTAAGTGTACTAGTAAGTCCCTACTACAACTATCTTGTGCGCTTTTCCTTTTCTTCTAACTTGCACGCTCCATTCTACGATTAGACGACTCCGCGGATCACTTAGGCCTTCACGACAATGAGGAGTTGAAGAAGCAACGAGCATATGCCGAGAAGGTGTTGGCTGATCACGCAGAGGACAGGGACTTCTCGGGCATCACAGCGGACAAGGATTTCCCTATCATCTCCGAAATAATCATCAATCTCAGTCTTCTCCTGTCCGCTAAATTTTGGTCAAACGCTGTCCCGGGCGCAGTCGATGTTGAAACCGACGACGACGACGAGTATTTGGTTTTGTGCACTAAGATTGTGCCTCGTTTCAATCATGCGTGTCGGCCTAACGCGATTTACACCTGGAGACGGGATAAAGATGACGATGGAGATGTGGAAGAGGAGTTTGATTTTGTGCAAGCTGGCCACAATCAGGAGGGGGACAAGAAGCAAGAAAATGGAAGGATATGCATCGTTATGTTGACACATGAAGTTCTCCACTAACCTATCATGATACCGTAATCGGAGTCGGAGGTCGAGATGAATCAGAAGTAGAAGAATGATTCCTTCTTGTTCTTCTACTAGCCATGATCTTTTCGTAAATTACGATTTTTTGATCCCTTGTTTCATATTACCACAAAGGGAAGACGAGGAGAAGGAGATCTGCATCTGCTATCTCAGAAGTTCTTGTTCTACTACAGGCATGATGATCATCTTTCAGAAGTTTTACGATTTTTGAGTGCAGCAAGTAGAAGTACAAGAACTTCTAATATGTTGTTGGGTAAGTATAAGTAGAACTTTTCCACGAGGACATGATCTTCCCTTTCATACCACTCGCTGTGCGCGACATCGCAGAAGACGAGGAGATCTGCATCTGCTATCTCACTGCCGAAGACTGTGAGTCCGAACAGAAGGTGCGTGAAGAATGGTGCCAAGAAACTCTGGGGTTTTCTTGTCAATGCGATGTATGCTCTGCTGCGAAAGCAAGAATTGTAAGAACTACAACTGTCAATGTGCCGGAAGATAGCGGTGGTTCTGGAGGCTCTGGTGCTGGTACTTGTGCTGTTGCAACTCATGGTTTTGGCGCTGATGGCAGTCTGAGTATCACTAGCTCTGATGGTACTGCTATGAAGGCTGGCAACAAAGACTTCCACAAAGCCATGCTGAATGGGTACGAGGAGTTCTTCATCCCGCATACGCGGATGCTTCGAGAGGCAATCAGCTCATACAACAAAATGGATGATAGGGAGATAGATGGAATGTTGAGGAGCACAAAACAAAAGAGGAAGGATTTTCACAAAATGCTTCAATCGAAGATGCGAATGCTTCTTCAAGCTTACAAAGGATACGGCTTTTTGCTTCCCTGTCACTTGGGGCTGTTGGGATTCGAAGCGTATTCATTTTATGGCATATAATATATGTAATTTATTTTTTTTGGAATTTATGTAGTACCACCTACTTCTACGATCCTACTTAGTATCATGAGCCTTGCGGAAAGAACAAAAAATATCTTCAGGCGTCATTTATCTGCAGCTATTCCTCTAAGCCACATCAATCCGTTTCAATCTTGGCACCGAAGAAGCGAAGTTTTGGGCACAGATACGGCATCAAGCTGCTGTCGATGACAAGGGCCCGAATCATCCGATGTGCAAACTCCTGAGTCTCTGTGTGCGACAACCGGCTGCTAATGTCGAGTCCCTAGCCAAGTTCCAGTTTGTGTTAAAAAAGTGTAATATGGAGAATAGATGAGAGGACTACTTGAATCGATGCCTAGAGGCTCTTGACAGAGCTTCTATGTAATAGAAATGGCTTTTTAATATGCGTGATCTGGTGAAACAGGAACAATTGACATTGTGATACCAGGACCGACGCAGTTTCAAAAACCTCGTCAAAGTTTTCATGTTTCCCCTTTTATCAACGACAACGCAGTATCCTAATATTCGCCACAACCTGAGGTTGCGCAAATACGCACGGCGAGAACAAAAGGAAAATCCATCCTCCTAAGCATCTTGTTCCCATCGGAAACGTCGATGCTGGAAGCGAGACAGCAAACGAACATGAAAAACGTCGCCCATCGAGCATCATACTACAGCTGTGGTAGTAATTCCTTCCCTCCTGAAGAATGTGTTCTGGGTATTGCAATCTTTTCAACTCTCTCAATCACTTTCGTAGATGTGGGCAAATCGACGCAGCAAATGAAAACCAAGGAAGAAGTACTGAATAGAGGCACACAGAACCAGAAGACGAAAAATGTTGTACTTACGAGTTTTTGAGACGTTATGTAGTCCCGCTTCAATATTTCATCTTCATGAGACATGCATATGCTGCAGGAAGAAGAAAGACAACAAGTCTACCCCGATCGCATTTCATCTTCATGAGACAAGAAGAAGAAAGACAACAAGTCTACCCCGATCGCTAGTCAGCTCGAGCTCATGCGTAAAATAGCTTTTTGATGACGTTTTCGTTTTCCATTTCCTTTCAAATTCAATGTCTTCGACCTCCATTACGATTTCTTACCGTGTTGTACATGACGCCCTCCAGGTTCAGCAGCACAAAGTTGTTTTTCATTCAAAATCTAAAAAAGTCTTCTGAGCGGGTGTATGGGGCTTGGCATGTGGAAATTATCGGTAGTAAGAGCCATGTAATTTGCGGCTTTTATTCGTTTTCGCGCATCTTTGTCCCACAAAGAAAAATCCTAATACAATTAGATGGTTGTCTTATTTGTGGTCTCTCTCGTTCCTTGGTAGACTAGAGCATACAACACGTTGTCACTGTCGTGTAAGTAGTTGTCAATGTCATTGTAGTCCTTTCGTCATCTTTCATTCATCGATTTCATCTTTCATTCTATGCCGGACCGGCGCATCGTCCGGCAAATGTAAGACTTCTCTGCGCCCACCCCAGCTGGTGCGCTGGCCCTTTAGCCGAAGACTTTGAAATTGAAATTGAAAACATGCTGTGAATAGCAACATTCAGCACTTCTTTTGTACAACATGTATGTACGTATTTTACAACAAGAAAATATTCTACTGTATCAACAACGAGTTGTACTTGTACAACAAACGAAAATCAAAAAAAGATGAAGCAGTTCATCTTGCGATGTGGCTTGAGCTCATCGAACTCGCCTTAGATTCTGAAAAGAGCACGAGAGTGAGCGGGATAGAAAAGTGTCTTTTCGGGTTGCTTTGACTTTCTTTATCTTTCTTGTGCAGGAAAGGAATAGGAAGGGTCCTAAGAATACTAAAAGTACTAGTAGTACTGTACTTGTACTACAGCAGGAGCATTCTTATGTTGGAATGGTGTGATTGATCAGAACGGCACCAAATTCAAAAAAAAATATGCAGCCGGATCGCAACAACTTTGAATGTCCGGCTCCTGTTTATTTTCAAGAACCAAGTCCAAAAGAATCTCAAGCTTCCACCTGAATCTTCGCTGCATGAATACATTACCTTTTATTTGTTTTTCATGAATCGGTTTAAACACTTTTATTGTACTGATCTCACCTCTACTGCCTCCCCTGCCCCTCGTATAATAACTACAATCAAAACTTTAGGTAGAAGATAGCATTATAATTACTGTGCAACGTCTCATTTCTTCCTCAAAAAAATGGACGTCTCTCGCATGCATCGTGCGATGCATTTCCCTACCTCAATTGGTTCGAGTCCAAGCAGTGCTTGGACTACTTTTACAACTTTTTAAAGAACCCAGACATTATTAACGAGCTCTATAGACCCGTATAGTATACATTATAGGTTTTTCGTCTGTTTGTGTAAAAAAGATCTGATGTCTCCTCTCATCATTTCACTCTCCTTTTTATGTATCTAATATTATCCTAGTTAGGTTGGCTCCACCACAAAAAATATATATTATCCCATCCGACTTCCATTTCGTCGATCTCGTCTCTCTACAGTGTCTTTGTTGTGGTCTTAAATTTTTCAAGCCTTCCAAACTGGAATGTATCTTGTCATTATCCATCTCAATCCATAGGAAAAAGTTGTCCTACTTTCAGGTTGTAGAACGACTCTTCTTCTATCATTTTAGAACCTGAACTTGTTGTACTTCAATTGAGAAGCCTTATTCTCAAATAAACAAAGTACAACTCATTATTTCCTTTGAATGAATGAATGTCTGCTCGTCGACACTGTACTCAAATCAATATCAAAGCAAAAGTCGAAGTAGCGGTACTATGATCTTCATTTGTTGAACTAGAAGTTCACGCTGCACCTGCAGTGTACTACTAGAACTTCTTACACTAGAAAGCCAAAGCACTTTTTCACCTTGTTCATCGATCAACCAGTGCTTCTTGTACTTCTTCTTCTATGTATAAATATCTTCGACATATAATCTGTATCACATCAAGTCAACAAGAGAACACAAACTACAATAACAAGAGGTGGTCGTGGACACGACAAACCTCCGAAGATGAGTGTCTCGCCACGCCCCTTGGCAGCTCATGCTTCTGACCCGAATCCATTGGCAAGCAGGTACAGTCACGGTCTCAGAGATCCCCACGATGAGGATCACATCGGCTACACGAAATCGTTCAGTCCACCGCCTGCTGCTATGTTGAGATTATAGTGCTGTAGAAGTAGTAGTAATTTTATTGACTTATTTTTGAAGTAGTTGTGTAGTTTTTACCGCTATGCCCGATCATGAGAAGTTAGTAGTGTTAGTTTTTAGACTTTTTTTGAACTTCCCATTCATTCTACTGTCCTTCTCGTCTAACCTTCCTCTACGTCCTGGCAGTGTCCCATGGGAGCAATGGAAGCCTGGAACGAGGTTGCCAACAGAAAAGTTCGAGTTCCCCAGTGAACAGCCTGTGAGGGTATTTTTTTTTTAAACTCATGTCTGCCACTCATGTCTGCCAGTTTTCCCGGTAGGCCCACAACCTAACCTAAAACTGGCTTCCTCGTCGTCCTGACATTGACATGATTGGCAACGTGTCCGATACACCCAGTTCGTCGAGTATGCGAGAAGGGTGTCATTTCGATGAGCCTGAGCATACGGTTTCATCTCTGTAAATTTAAATCACAAACTACACAGGATAAGGTAGTTTCATCTCTGTAAATAAATCACAAACTAGTAGTACACTACAACAATCAACTACATTCATCTTCATCAAATTCAATCGCAAGAATTGCTGTCGCTCACTCTCCTCCCACCAACAAACCAATCAGAGTGAAAGTGCTATTGCAGGACTATCGATGTGGGGCCAATCGGATAGGACGACCTCTGAAGACCACGCTAACGCCGATGTTGACCAGCACCAGGCATACTATAATGATTTAATCTATCATGGTGGGCGCGGATCAGAAGGTTAAGGTGCTGGTTACCTCTAGTTCTATTGATTTCAATCCATCTCTGTAAGAAGGAAGATTCTGAATGAACCGAGAGTGAAGTAGATCAGGATCTACGAGTACTAGCTAGTAAAGCTCCTGCTCGATCTCTAGGCTTTTCACTTCCGCGGCCGTTTTCATTCTAGGGAACACACTGCCGGAATTGATTTGTCCCCTCATTAGGCTAGGAGGACTAAATGGGACACCATCATGATGATCGATCTCTAAGCTAGCGGCTTCGAGGAAGACGAGGGAGGAGGTGGTCCGGTTTTTCATGCTGGGCACGTCGAACAACTCCTCCAAAATGCAAGTGACGACGATGAGGCACCTTTACACAAGCCCCAACCTATTCGAGGAGGTGGACTGCATCCCCTAGGCTCAGCAACTAAGGGGTATACTATTAAGGTTCGAGATAATTCATTTCCAAAGCAAGAGGATCGTCGAAGGAGTATACTATAGGATACTCTTGAGGTTCGAGATAATTCATTTCCAAGGCGAATGTTATAAAAAGAAATATGATAGAGATGAAAGCCCTATTGCATGTAAATTGTTCTGGTATTTGGTAACCTGATTTTGATCATGAGGACTTTCAACTTGTCCTCCTACTCTAAGCACAGGGTTAGGAATGCTGTCCACCTTTAATTTGATCATGAGGAAAACAAGAAGAGAACCCTTGTGATCAAATTCGTCTAATACTAGAGCCCTTGAGGCATCGATGGCTGGTGGAGCTCGTAGTGCGAGCCCGCCTGGACTGGAGGACGGCTACGACGCTGTTAGAGGCTACGGAGGGATCTACTCTGCGCAACATAGAGATATGGTGATGAGATTGAGATAAAGTCAGCTTTTACTACTCGAAAACAGGAAATATGCGAGTTACTGAGTAAAATTATATGGGACGTAGCTTGTAGTAAAGGCTAGTACCCTTCGTCCTTCACTCTCTCGGTTATTCTTATCAGTTACTTGCTTATTTCAGTTTTTCGAGTACGATCATGTACTTACTTCGAGAACAATAATTCTGAGCTTCTCCTTACTTACAACTTGAGAATAAACACGATCGAATTTTTTGAACAAGATCAAAATGTTGATTAGAAGTGAGTCCTCACCGCACCACCCGATCCCCATTCCCAATTCATCCTGAACCAAAGCGCAGTAGAGGACGACCAAATAGTGGAACATTTGAGTCATGAATTGCGGAGACAGTTGGCTTTGAGAGCTTCTAGTGCGGCTCCAGAATTGTGGAATTCGAAGGACGAAGCGAGCAGACGAGAGAGACACGTCGTAGAAAGGCGAGCAGCAACAGCACTAGCTGGTGCACCAGGCGCAGGATTTTCACCGGAAAGATCGACCCCGCAGCCGAAGCAATTTATGATGTCCGTTTTTGTGACTTGTCGTAGTTGTAGATGTCCATGGCGTGAAATTGATAGAAATTAATCCGTGACGAAACACTATAACTCCCTGAGGCAGTCTGCACTGAACCTAGTGCGACATGATTAATAAATTGTAATACTTCTATATTTTGTAGTAAGTACTTCTAGGAAATTTTATATTTATATATTGTAGTACTTCTAGTTGTTCTGTTCATCAATCACAGCATCAAGGTGCAGTAGCAGTACGAGACGATCGGGAGCAAGAACTACAGCAGCTGCACCAGCATCTTCAAGTGAAATATTTCATCGATTTTCTGTAGGATACATGCAACCAATAGTTGCTCTAATCCTTCCGGAGGTGGTGGTGGCTCCTCTTCGAGTACTGGTTCTGCTGGGCGTGAGCGTCTTTCCTCCTCCAAAACGCATGGTCCTGGTTCCACTTCCAAGAAGCATACATCCAACACCTATGACATGCCAGCCGCTGAACCAGCTGTGCGTCAAGATTCTAGGAGTGCGCCACAAAGTCTGGGCCAACTGCTAGCTGAAATGGAAGCGCAAAAAGGGGCGAATGGAGGAAAGGTAAACTAACTGCAAATGCAAGTAATAGGAACAAGCTTCTAGTAGTACCAGGATATTTTTATTTTTCTGAGTTGGAAAGTGAATCATAGAAGACATGATGATGATGATGATGAGATGAAAATCCACCTTATCGTATTTTTCTCAATCTAAATAGAATACACTGACTCGTCGTCGTCCAACCTGTCTCTATCAGGGCCATCACTCAGGATATAAGAATATGAGCAATTATGCTGCAAGTTGGGGATACGGATCTGGAGGCTATGATCATGATGGTACAAATTATTCTTTAATGAAATAGCAAGTCTTTGGTCTTCCTAGGTATGTCAACGTTATTGGTTGTAGAAGATGAAATTGGAGAGAATACGATCGTTAATCTTGATGTATACTCCTGAGCGTATTCTCCTGAGCCTGAACTTGAAACAAACTCTTTTGGAGTGAAGATCTTCATCTTGAACATAATTTATTGCGGCAAATTATTGAATTTGTCGCATTTGAAGATTGCCTAGGCTCTTCTTCAAGATCTCCTCTATGATGCCTCACTCTTCAGGTGGTCATCAGCAGAAATATTTGCCACCCACTTTGCCTGGTTATTTCCAGAGTGAAAGTCCTGGCTCTGCTAATCTTGGGCCAGCAGCCCCACCAGAGAAAGTACCTCCGCTACCGGATAGAAGCTACATAAGTTAAGTCCTTTGAGGTTGATTCAGTAAACTGGAATTGCTCACGATCTATCTCTATCTCTATCACGTTTGATGTTCGAAGGAGGTGTGCCTTAAGGTTAAGGAGGTGTCCTTAAGAATATGGACGAAAATGCTTAAGCTTATAAGTACTTATTAATATTAGTTTTTAAATCACGTTTGATGCTCATCAAGAAGAACATCGAGGCTCATATTAATTCATATTCTTAACTCTTCGAAATAAGCGAAATCACTCACACTCAGTACAACGAACCTATTTTTACAGCAAGCCTAGTTCAAGAAGTTCTTCAACAAGGTTATAGCTATTTCATCTTGGCGATGGTTAGTGACGACCATTTGAGACGCAATAATGATGATGACCAACCTCCAGTCCAATCCCTTCCCGTTTCGCACGCTGTCCACAAGCCTACCTCGCCGCCACCTAGTTTTCCGGCGACGTAGGCTTGTGGACAGCGTGCGAGCATCATTTGGTCGCGGTTTCCAATCAGACAGAGATGACAGTGATGTGCCACCTTTCTAGTAGTTCTAATCCCCTCCGGCTTCGCTTGCTGTCCACAAGCCTACGTCGCCGCCACCTAGTTTTCCGCCACCACCACAGCACCAAGCCGCCACGGAAACCCTCGCGCCACCACCTCTATGAAGAATCTTCAACGGCGCTACAAGTCCTTCATTGAAGCTACCAAGATTATCTTTTATCATTTTCATTATCTTGACTTCAAGAACTAGAGGCTCAGTAGTATCACCTCAATCTATCTTCACAAGTTCTCTCTTTTTCTCAAGTACTAGAAGAGGTTAAGTAATTTCTTCTGAATTGCTTCTTTCGCTTGTTTTTTTTTCTAGTTAGGTCTCACCTACTGGATGAATTATCAAGTTCTGACTGTCTTAAGTAGAAAAGTATGATATTGATAATCGGTTTTGGCTTCATATTAGCCTTATCTTCGCTCCGGAGCTCCACCTTACCAACCTGACCAAGATCCGCGACTTTTGGCAGCTTCTGACGCTGCTGCGACACACGCTCTATACGGAGCAGGTGGAGCCGCGCAACATCTTGTAGCTGCAGGTCATCCCGCATACGCAGCTACCGGTACTATTGCCCACAGTTCAGGTAGCGTCGCATCTGCTTACGCAGAGAGTCAAGCGTCATCTGTGCAGCACCCTTTGCAGCGTTTATATTCGCACTCGGCTGCCGTGGATCATGGTATGGCAGTTCCTGGTAGTAGTCACCTTTACCCGACGCAGGATGTGCCACAGCGACCATCAGGAAAGGGAGGCCATAGCCACCTAGGAGCACATGCAGGGGCAGCAGGATATCAGCACGTTTACTTTAAGGCTTGAGAAAATCCATCTTGTTTCCCAAGACGTTGGCACTGCCGTTCTGAATGCATGGGACCACAGCTGCGCCAAGATGTTGAGCCTGATGGATTTAGTCACAAGGTCTAACTACTTGTCAGACCACCTACAACATCAAGGAGTCGATCAAGATACGACCACTACCGCTACTAGTCAACTGCAGCAGCTCAACAATGCGAATAACAGTCGTCTGCCGATGATAAAAGGTCCAATGGGACCGGGAAAAATGCCTCCTAAAGTTAAGCACTTCCAAGAAAAAAATTACAACAATCGTTATCTTCATCAGACGAATAGCTACCCTTCTGCTGGCCGTTACCACGCGATCCAGTCCTACAGTGCTGCTGCTGCTGCTGCTGCTGCTGCATCACTTCCGACGCCTTCGGGTTGCGGTCGCAGGCCTGGCAATACGCAGTTCCCACAAGCTAGAATCAGAGTCCCCACTATGGAAGACTCCATGACCGAAGTAGAGCTGAGGCAAGCGGAACAACACCTCGACATTTTTCGTGGACATGTCATGGCACATATTGTTTTATGAAGAGAGAGACAATAAGAACAATAACCGGTTGTAGTACGCCGTAACCGGTTGTAGTACCTCCTAAGTAGGAGAGCCGTAAGCGTAACGGCTCTCCTACTTAGGAGGTACTGTATTACTGGGTCGGGGTGGCCTCACAAGTAGACACTTATAGCTACGCAAGACGTACCATGACATGACATTTGTCAAGCAACTAATCAAATTCACAACCGTCTCATCGCGCATTGTAGTTCTTGAGAAAAACTTCTAGTACAGACAGAGTAGGTTTATGATTGTCACACCAGGCGAGATTGATTACAAGCATGACCTACTTACAAATCTATAAATTTTAATGCTAAAAATGCAAATACAGTTTATATTAAAAACGCAGCGACAACTTCACCAATCTCTAATCCGGACACAACACGGCTCCAAGATGGTTCAGCGCGCTCTTCAGAATGGTGATCATATACCTAGTATGCGCCTTATTTTGTACGAGGTGGAGGACCATTTACTGCACTTGATGTCCGATAGATACGGAAACTATGCCTGTTCGGTCATATTTTCGGCGTTGCCACATGCGAATAGGAAGAGGTAATCATGCGGTGTTTGCTACTGGTGTCCTGTGGTCTAGAAGAGGTTGCTTTTCCATTTCGTCGGCAACATCTTGCATAACGAGTAAGTCACAACATCTTCCGAAGTTGCAATAATCAGGAGGTTGCCACCTCCAGTGGCCACCTGGAAGTTCGCTGATGTCGGTCTCAGCCCTTGAGCTGTGTACATCCTCCGTTCTACTCACTCGTCTCACTGTCCCTCGCATCCACCTACTCCATTCGCCTCGTCCTTCCTACTCGATTACATCAGCATGCACCTACTTCTTTACATTCACTCCTCTTTTTCCTACGTTACTTCCTCAGATTCCTCGTCTGCCTGACCGCGAGAGACATCGAGATGACAGCTCTGGACAAGCGTGGGACCCATAGTATGCAGGCTCTCCTAGACTGCTGTGGCGATGATCATGCAGAGGGGGAATCTTTTCTATACTTAATGCCTCACTTTATAATCGATCCGTCTCTTACTTAGCCCATCTGTGATTGAGCTGTGTTCAAGTTCAACATAGAAGAAATAAATGGAAAGAGAAGAGGTGGATTGTAGTGAGTAGCTCTAATAAACCAGATGGACCAAGTGTTTCTCAATGTGGCTTTGGACGTCAATGGAACGCATGTGATACAGAAAGCGCTGCAAACGTAGGATCTATATTAATTATTATAATTACATTTTGTTATTGATATTGTTTGGCATTCATTGCTTATTCCTCCGGTTCTACTTGTAGTTGTTGTCAACGAGTATGAATTTGAAGTGCCGGCTGATGTTGACTTCTTTTTATTGATGATGTGCAGCTACGAGTGCGACTTCTAGTTGAAGAACAGCTTCTCGACGCGATAAAGTTTCTCTCGCCTCAATAGCACACTGTTGCGGAGTTTTTTCGACATCTCCTTGACCAATCAAATCTATCAGGTGGCCGGAAACCGTGTTGCGTGTTACTTACTCTGCTTGTGTCGAGTATTTCCAAGAATTAATGAGCGATGCTCAGGGAATTTGCGTCCTCAAAGTGGCCATGACGAACGCGGATGCGTCAACTGCATGCGAAGGATTAAAACAAAGGATAGAGGAGAATGCTTTGGTGCTCTTGTTTGTCTTCTTGTTGTTGTTGTAAGTACTTGTTTGATGATGTCTATTTTGATTTAGTTGGAGTGGTCTCGACGTATTCGCTTGATAGAACAGCCGCCCGCGTGCGACAGATACCTCCTCGCTGAAAAAAGCCGTAGCCGTTGGTAAATAAATTCCCCCGCGGCTCGTGAAATCGGTGGCCGCCCGCGGGCGCTTGTGTAAAGAAAATGGCGCGGGCGGAATATCTTGCGAGCGCCCGCGCGCGCGGCAGCTGATCGGTGCCCCGTGGCGCCTGGGCTGCCCCATACATCCAGAAACCCCACGGGCGTGAAGGCTGCTGCGCTGGTTCAGAAAGTGCGCAGGCAGGGCAGAGAAGCGCTTGGGCCTGCGGGCTTCAAAAGTTTCCGCGGCGGGCCAGCGTATGGACATACTCCGAGCATGCGGGCTCCAAAAGTATGCGCGGCGGTCGGTGTGTGCCTTGGGTGTGTGCCTTGTGTGTCTGTGGTAGCTAGGCAGAGCGGGGGCTGTGCCCTCTTAATGCCGGCTTTGTTGTCCTCGTCGCAAGCACTGGACTGGGACAAAGCAGGCATCCCCCTTGGGGGGCTCCCTGGTGCAGGCGTCGCCGCTGATCTGCTGCGTATGGTTTGCCAAGTGGAGGCATTGACCAGGGAAAGAACCAGGAACGACGGCGGGGCCGCTCATGAGAGTGCGGGCGCCCAGGCTGTGCGTGCGTGCTGCTCCATTTGCGGCCACAAGGAGGCGAAGGCGCAGCCCATCGGCACAGGCGTCAGGTGAAAACGCCGCAGCAGCTTGGCGGGCTTGGGTGAACTAGTACCCAGCCGAGCCTGGAGGCGCTGCGGCTGTGTGCCCTCGTGGAGTGGGGTGGGCGCAGTTTGATGCTACTCAGTTAAAACCATGAAGCAAGGGGGAAAGAGTGAAAGCCGGGAGGGGGTGCAGTAGGGGTTCTAGAATCTTCCCCAAAAATGTAGTTTCTCACTGTCATACTTTGGCTTAGTCTGATTAGATAGCTTGCCGCCCGGCTTCTCCTTTTTTTTTGAATTTCATTAGAAGCTAGCTATTTTTGCACTCTCTTGATAGTTACGTGGGTACAAATGACTTTGGCTTCGCACTTGCAGGCGTTCGCGCTTTGATGTGCTGACTTCTACAGCGATAATCTTACCAAGTAGAACAAAATAACTACCAACACATCAGGCCCTGGTTGAAAACCCTTTTGGCAACTACTTGGTACAGCATGCTTTGAAAATCTGGGGGTGGGAAGGCGGTCGGTTCGTCACTGCTCTCATCGGGGAGTTCGCCAGACTATCGACGCAGAAATTCTCAAGCAACGTGGTGGAGTGTTATGATGACTGAACGAATGAAGATGTTGAAGATGAGAGACACTGAGCCTCTCGTCGTTGTAATCTGACCTGCCTCCTAACATGAGCAGTATTCGTAACTCGTAGTTCTACTTTCCTTTCCAAACCCGATTACATTCTGTAAGTAACATAAAGATGAGCATAACTAAGGAAACTTTATTAGATCCTTTACCCCGCGAACGCGATAACTACTGGGTCCACCACTAATACGTACTACGTAACGCTAACTTGCACTGCCTACTTCCGTCAACAAAATCTACTCTAATGCCTTGTCCTCACTGTCGCCGACGATGATGAACTTCGCGCCGCTGTTGTACGCGAGATCTTCGATGTGAATACCTTTGCGGATCTCCTACAAAGCAATTTTGCGCAGTTTGTGGTTCGGCGTGCGTTATCCCACACCTCAGTCTCCGAATCTGAGAGCATTCGCGCACAGTTCGAGACGTTTCTATCTTAAGGCCACAACTGTATCTGTACAACTATCTCTCATGAAGTAGTACCCATTTCGTGGAAGCCGTTAGCTGTCCTCAAGGAGGAAAAGATCTCAGGAAAAGACTTTACCAAGATTTGTCATTAGGGTGGTCTTTCAAGATCTGAGCCAATGACCCTCAACCAAGGTCGCCGAGATCTTTATGGGTCACTTAGGATCGTGAAGTCTTTGTCTTAGTCTAGGGAGGTGTTGAGCAGCTCTAACTACTAAAGGCTCGCTACCACAAGCTGCGACCGAAATGGGCAAGAATTCTGTTTCGCCATGGCAATGAAGGCAGGATGGGACCTCTCGGAGCGCCTAGTACACCTGGAACTGTGCCTGGTTGTTATGGAGATCATAACTATATCTATGTACATGCCCAGAAAGCGGGCCCATCAAGCAACTAGACAGATAAGAAAAGACAAACGAAGGTAGCCGCTAAGTCACCAAACTAGCGATGCGCGGTTGGCTTAGAATGACCCAGCATGGACGCTGGCCATGGCTAAGCCAGCAGGCTGGCTATAGCTAATCTAGTAAGCTGGAGTGGCTATCGCTAAGCTAGCAGGCTAGCTACGGCAAAGCTGCCAGGTAGCAGGCTGGTCATGACTAGGCTAACAGCCTGGCGATGCCGGGCTAAGCTAGCAGGGTGGCCATGGCTAAGCTAGCTATGGCTAAGCAGCTAGCAAGCTAGCCGTGGCGAAGCTAGCAAGCTAAGGCCCTCAAGAGGTGGCCCTCAAGGAAGGGCCTAATATTAACCCAATTTTATTATTACAAGCGCCCCCTTAAGGAGCTCCCTTATGGGCCATTTCTTGTCCTTAAGGGAGGTCTATAGTAGATTTCTATAATATAGATTGCTTAACTTCTAAGGAATGCCATTTTCTTAAGGAAGCTTCTTGCGGAGGCCTCTTTAAGTAGACATCCTGACCACAAAAATACTGCTTACAAAATCAATACTAATATATATAAGAAGTGGAAGTAAAAAATCTACTATGACACCCACAACAACTTCTGCACTCTATGCGTATCTATAGTGATGACGCTCAGGCAGCAATCAAAAAGGACTGAGTTCTACTGGTGGTCACATGTCGTCAAATGCAAGGGGAAGAATCGCGACGCATAATTAGAGCGACTTCTTTTATACCTCTAGACTGGGCACACTCCTACGACTACTAGTGTCCATCCTGTTCCTGATAAAGATTTCTTCTTCTAACCTTCCACAACCGTGCCAGGCATGGATGCGTATGCCCTGAATTCCAGTGCGGGTGCGGCAGTCCCAGCTCATGGGTCACAGCGTCCTAGTTGTATGTTCACCTCATATGGTGGACAACGCCCTCCGAACAACAGGGGGCCGGTGGCTTATCGCTGAAGATGGAGTGGCAGAGGCATTGGTTGTGACCACACAGTGAGTCAATAGAGAAGATAGAGAAGATAGGGGAGATATCTTATGTCTGTTTTTTATATAAATGTTGTTGCTTCATCTGGTGGAGAAGTTGCAGTTTCGGGTTTGCAAGGCAGAGGGAGAGGGTCGATGATATTCATATTTTTTTCTTTTGCTACTACCACGAGCCGTGCTACTCATATTCATGACAGCATGCAACTCATGGAGCTCTTGATTTTATCGTTATCCTTGGCAACATTATCATTATGGTTGTTGGTTTATCGTAATTTAAATCGTAATTAAAATCTACAGCAGCAAAGGTCGCAGTAGCAGAACATTTTTTTTAAAACAAGCAAGAAAGTGATACAAGGATAAAGCAGACCACGACGAGTTCTTAGAACCTGTATAATATACATCAAAAACATCTCCTTCTCCTCGTCAGGAGAGTCACTCGGGGGCCTACTTCATCTTACTAATCATGATTTCAAATTCTATTCAATTTCAATCACAACAAATCGCTTTTCGAAAATTTTTCGGTCGTCTCATCAATCTGTTCTCAACATCACCTCCGAAATCACAAAATCAATGCTGTTGTCTAAGTATTTTTTGTTAAGAAATCATAATCACTCGCTCATTCTCGTCCAGAAACAGACACTGCTCGTGTCAGACAGTGTAGTTGTTGTAGAAGTTATCATCTTGTACTTGTTAAAATAAGAAGTACTATCTGTTGTGATATAGTCATGATTAAAGTCGTTCTTGTTTGAACAAGTACAAGATAGTCTATGATTATATGAGATGATTAAGTCGAATTTAATGTTGCTTACCTTTTTTATCACGATGAACGAGTTATTGTGGGTCCGGCCAAGCACCAGTGCGGCCCGCTCATCACCGTATACCTTATATCTTGTCTTGTGGTATCCTCTTACTAACATCCTTCGGGAGGTGATGGAAGGGACTGGATGCTTGGGAGGATACTTCTAGAAATTTTCCAGGCTTTTGTTGACCTTTCACTCGCTGCTGCGTAATGCAGCTGGCTCCGATGCTCCTGCTCTTGTACTAGTAGGAAACTATTAGTTTTTTTCTCACAATTACTACACGGAAAAGATAGAAATTAAAGAGAGCAAGTAGTTTTACTTCTCTTTGACTTACTTTCTATTTGTTCTCTTTTTGATGTCATGACTTACCTATTAATGTAGTAGTACCAAGTTCAAGTTCTCGCGAGATTTTTTTAATGTGAAGATTTTCTATTGTCATACTATGTATATTATTCCTCGGCATGTTTTTTATGTTATTCACAAGGCCGTCTACCTAGTCCACTTCTACACGTACACAGACACAAGAACGAATATGATGAAGATCGCCCGGAACACCTTACCTCATGCGTAGAAAGGGAGCATAAGCTCAAAAAACATATGCGCGAACGTATAAGTTCTATCGGCCTTGAGCGCTAGCCTAAACCTGCGAAATGAAAAATTGTGGTCATACTACTTCTATGAAGTAATCTTCTACGGCGTTAGCCCCATAGAGGGTAGCTGCAAAGACTTCGGAGCATGACCATTGACGACGCACTGCAGCCTACCTCGCCGTAGGCGAGCTCACTCGTGGTGTCCCATCTGCAGTATGAAATCTACTTGAACTTGACAAATATGCTTAATACATTGCCACAGGTGAGCCAACTCCTATCCTATCCTATCCTATCCGTGCGAAGTTTGGGCTGGAGAAGAAAGCGGCGAAGAAGGTGCTGGGCTGTTCCTCAAAGCTTCTTCAGGGCGTCTGCAGTTCTACTTGTACCTAAGCATTTTCCGTTAACGCCATCATGATTGCCAGAAACCTGAATAGATGAACTCTATGTAAGTAGTTGTGCGCGGCATACAGAGGACACTCTTTTTCCCTCGAATGATTCTGAATCTTCTTCCTTATTGACCCACGACCTATACTAGGTAGTTCCTTATTGACCCTTGGACAATCATAATTTTGATATTGTTGACCCTATTGAAGATGTGGACGAGAGGAGCTGCACTTGTCCTCGTACTGGTCGTAGTACTAGTTCTAGGTGTTCAACAACACGATGGACAAGATGAAGTACGAGCATTGACTTCAGATAAATCGAAATTATCGGAGAACCGACTATAAATCGATTACCACGGATACATAGATACCTGAGGATGCTGATTGGTCGATGTGTTGCAGGGTTCGTCTAGTGGTCTTATGATTAGTGACCGTCTAGTCCACACACATTATAGTCCTTCAACATAAAAGTTCTCCTCCTCGTGTCTGTAAAATAGCTATTTGGAGTTGTTCAATTTCAACCGATGGATCAAGGGGAGTCGATTCCCTTCGTCCTAAGTTCTACTGCTAGTTAGAAGAAATAGATATTCATGATTATTTGAATGCAAACTGAAAAACTCAAGCTCTTTCGTCCACCTACTGCAGAGACGAAGTAGCACTCCCACTCCTGGAAGAAGAGCGCAATCTTTTTAGGTACACGAATTTTTTAAATAATGCGTTGCTCATTCTATGCAGCTGGAGACCATTGATTTTAATAGCTTTACAACAACTACAACTAGATCGTAGAAATCCTATCTATCTTCAGATGAGAACATCATGTCGCGTCTATTTATTTTTATGTACTTTCTTTTTTTTTGTGTCTATTGTCATAACTACCTTAAGTACAACATAAATTAATGTCAGAAGATAACAACTCTCGAAATTGAAATTGATATTCCAGGATAATTGATATTTGCGGTTCTTGAGTTAGTGTTAGAAAAGAGTGTGGTTCGTCGAGCTTGCGAAACTACATACTTTTCTGTTTGTATCTGACGACGAGAAACCATTGATTTATTGATTTTGAACATGCTCCTACGCGTAATAAACCTCGGCACAGATGAAGGTGAAGGCGAAGCAAGCTAAGGCAGAACTCCCACCACTTTCAACGGCTGCGCAAGTAGTCCCTGGGAGGAAGTGTGAGTTCTGTTCCTTCTAGGTCAAAGATGAAACCAACTATAGCAGCGGCAGATTACAAAAAAACGATGAGGCTTGAGCGCATCTGAGTCTGAATCTGCAAAATGAGTTGTTATACATGTATCAATGATAACCGTACTCCAGCTAAATGGTTCGTAGAGTATCTGCATAACCATAATTTATTATTTCATGAAAAAACTGTCGAATCTACTTTTGGCACCCTGTCCTTGTAAAAGATTGTACGTATAATCATTTATTTCAAAGAAACTGTAACTGATACACAGTCCAAGACTTTCACTTCGGCTCCTTCGCCATATTAAGTAGAGGATCTCCAACTCTACGACGCCCCAGCGAGCGAGTCAGCTGCTCCTGCACCTATAGACTGTTCAGAACAACAGTCTATGAGTATAGAACAGACTTGTCTAGAACAGTTCTAGACAAGATGAACAGGCTGTTGACGTTGGAGGGAACGAGATGTTGCTTCTTCCTTCGTGTGCAGACAGTATGTTGAATGTCGGAGAGGGGACTTTTCACTCCTAGAAGGCCTGCTGCAGCTATCTAATTCTTCGAAATCTTGAGATTGAGATAAGCGAGTAGCTAAAAGAAGTAACAACAAGCAATGATGATGTGGATGGGCATATTAAGGCCACGGATGTCATACATAAAAAAAGATGTAGAGGCGAATATGTCGTGTCAATAACGTTTAACCCCTAAAGTGGGTACATTCATTCACTCATTCATTCATAGTGCTCATTCTCATCCGACCATTATTTGAGCACGATTTTATAGCGCACGAGCGTCATCTTGTAGAGCAACGTCATCTTCTACATCATCTAGATCTAGCAGCTACAATAAAAAGTATTACGTGTATGACTCATCATCAGCTTTGTTGAAAGAGAAAGAAGACCAATCCAAAAAATACGAGTACAACAACCACTTCTTGTCAGTGCCTCTACTAGATCAGAAGTCAGAGCACGCTGCAAGTACAGTACAACTCAGTACAACTACTTCTAGCTCGACTAAACAAGAAGGTATTAACATTACTAAAGTACATCTAGACTAAGGAGACGTGATCCAGACAACTAAAGGGGTCCTGAGGGTGCGACTAAGCACTAGGATCATGGAAAAATATCTCCTTTGACCTCTAGAAGATGAGATCGTCTTCAGTTATTGGATAATCCTTCACAGATAGATGACACAGATAGATGAGACGTACATTCATTAACAAGATTGCAAGGTTGATGGGCCGTGGATGTGTTTTCTATTTCTTAGTCAGGTCCCACTCCCACATCATTAGATTATCTTAGCTAGACGCTTGTGTGTGTTGTTGTCGGTACTTGTTGTGTGCGGTTGTAGTTTACTTGTTGTAGGTACTAGACACTCCTTATCCTTTTTCTCAAGAAATAGAAATTGATGAGGTACATCATTTTTTATAATCAAGTGATGAAACGTTGTCCTCGTTGTTGACGTTTATTTCATTCCACTCTCTGTATCATGTATATGTTGTTATCTGATAAAAACAGTTAAATCATCTGATTAATCATCTTTGAGATTACACTGAGTTTCTTGATATTCTAAGGTCTACATGCTTAACTGTAATTCAATATATGCCATGCGCATGCTGCACGGACAATATTCTTATTCACAATGATTATGTATGATATTAAAAAAAGAACCATCTACATCTTCACGAGCACGACGAGCAATAAAAATCTTCTTGTTCGATGTTCATAACATTTTTGACAACTTCATAGTGTCCATACACGGACTGACGGCGGGAGCACTTTCAACTGGTTTTGCAGACAAAGAATCAATCTTTTTGATGATTTTATTTCTACAATTTTTTCAACGAACAACAAGAAAAGCACTTCCGAGAAGCAGGAGAAGGACCAAGGAGTGGAAACCGAGACCCGGGTGATGTAGTACGTTCTTGTAACTGGTCGTGTTCTTGTTCATTGCGGTGTCTTTGTCGTTATCTGTCAAAGTCAGAGAGAATTGTACACAAGAATCACAACTTGCTCTTTCTCTACATTCGAATCCACATGGATAACTATGGTCAAGTGGTGCAGTAGAGTCATGAGTCAATAGTAGTCTATCTCTTCATCTCGTTATTTTGTTGAATGTTGAGTATCTAATTTGAATTTGTACACAGCTACTCCTCGTCTTAATACAGTTGAAGCCAAAACAATGACGTCACAAAAGATGAGGGATATGCTCTCTTTGTTCGACCCCTTCTATTTTCGGGTCGGTCCGTCGTTGGGTAAGGGCGAAATCACGAGCATCAGCGATTTACCTGAGCTTGCAGATGCTGATAGGAGTACGAGTAGTGAAGAGCAGGTATCTGGTGCTACTGCTACCCCTGACGCCGGTAACCATCATGCCAGCTCTTCTTCAGCCAGCGCAACTGTTCCATCCTGCTCTTTCGCCAAATCTCTGTGGCGTAGAGAGAGACGGTTGTTTCTGTTCTCAGGCCTTTGTCAACTGATCGTAGTCTTTTCTCAACTCAGCATCCCATTATTGATCAACTCGTTGCTGAGGAGTATGGAGGCTCCCACTTCGACTGAAGGGGAGAATAATGATGGAGAAGTTGTTCAGCTGTTTTTTCCGATTGTGTCCACGAGATCTTCATCTAGCAATGCTGCTGGCTCAGACCAACTACTAGCACCAGCAGCAGAAGCACCTCCTACTACTTCCACGACTAGTGAGATTTCGTCTCCTGGTGCTTCTTCATCTTCGTCCACACCTGCTGTTGCTGCTGCATTTTATTCCTCATCTTCTTCAACGCCCTCCAATTTCTCTCTCCTTTACCCATTTGCCATTGGGTTGTTTCTTGTGATCGCAATGAGTGGGATTGCGCAGAATTTGGCCTTGTCGACTAGCATGCACATGGCTATTCGAATTCGAGCTTACATGATCCATCGCTGTTTCCAGCAAATATTGTTTCGAGGCACCTCCAAAGAGAAGAAGACATCCTCTACTTCTTCTACCACCGCATCAGCAGAACCAACGGATTCAGTCGGCGCCGCACTCGCTTTGATTTGTAACGACAGTCAACGATGGGTCGACGCCGCGCCTTCTCTTCATCAAGTCTGGGCAGCTCCACTCCTGATCGGCTTGAGCGCAAACTTCCTCATCCGACTACTGTCACCTTTGCCTGCCTTATCTCTTATGAATGGAAAAACAAGTGCACTAGTCACACTCAAGAGGAAATTGCCTCGAAGCATAAAATTCATGACGTAGGAAAGTACTTGGCTACTTTCAAGAAATTGCCTAGAAGGAGCATAATTCAAGAAGTAGGAAAGTACTTCTTGGCTACTTCTTTCTTGAGTGATGTGAAGAGTGCCCTTCTTCCTTTCATATCTCTCCTCTGTGTCTTAGGAGCTTCTGCCCCTTGTGGTTTTCTTTGGTCCAGCTGTTTGGTAAGGATCCGTACCAGACGGACCGCGATTACGGAGAAACGACTTCGCTTGTGCGATGAAGTGCTAAACGGGATCCGAATCGTAAAATACTTCTGCTGGGAGAGGCCCTACTTCGACAAAATCAAGGCACTGCGCGAGAAAGAAGTCAAAGAAGCTCTATACCAAAACTCGATCTTTGCATCGACGGCCACGCAGATCGTGTGTATGCCGTTTTTGGCGCAAGCGATTTGCTTGCTGTTGTATTTATGCTTTGCGAAGAAAGAAATTTATTGATTTATGCTTCTGCTTAATAGAAGTGCTGATATGTCAGCTGCACGATTATGGTATAATAGTACTTGTGCCCTAATATGTTTTCAACAAAGCGTCATCTCTACCCCTCCTCTAAGCGGCGTCTACGTCACTGGTGGGAAGCAAATGGTCGCAAGCACGGTTTTTACGTTGGCTGGATTCACGATGATCCTTAGGTTTCCACTGCAGCAGATGGGGTTCTTCGCCAGCAACGTGTCTCAATGTTATCTCGTATTGTGTAGGGTTGAGGAGTTTTTGCGTGGAGGTAGTGGCGCGTTGAGCTACGACAGCGACGCTGAGATGCACAAAGGTACTAACGACAAGGATAAAGCAGAACCTGGAATCGATGATACAACTGACAAAAACAAGCAGGAGGACAAACTTCTTCTATCTAGTCGTGCTGTTCTCGTTGAAAGTGAAGATCCGACTCCTAGCCGTCGAACCCTCGTAGCCGAAATCAGTGACGCCAGTATCAGTTGGGTCCCACCGGCACCAAAAAGGAAAAGTTTACTGGCTTCAACGCTAGAGTCCTCCGCACCTGTGGTGGAAACAGCTTCCAGGCTTAGCGCCAGTTTCACAAATAACGCGCCACTTATAGATGAAGCAGTTTCATCTGTTTGTAGAAGTAGTACAGGAGATGGAGCAGGAGCAGCCGCTTCTCAGGAGGTCGTTCTGCAATCTGTCTCACTGAAAATTTTCACAGGAGACGTTCTCCACCTAAAAGGCAGAACCGGATCAGGAAAATCCACACTCCTCCAAACTTTACTCGGCGAGACGTACCCCACTAGGAAGATCTACACAAAAGGCAACCTAGATGTTGCTTACGTTTCGCAGACAGCTTGGATTCGGAATGCCACCCTCAAGGAGAACATTCTTTTTTTTCGTCCCTTTGATAAAGACGCCTATCAAATGGCGCTGCATGTGGCTGATTTGACCAAGGATTTGGAGCAACTAGAGGATGGTGACCAAACTGAGATCGGGGAGAAGGGTTTGACGCTGTCCGGTGGGCAGAAGATGCGGGTTGCTGTTGCCAGAGCAGTGTATGGATCGACGACACTGTCTGCGACTCATCGTCGAGAAACATCAGCTACAACAAGGCTAGTCAAGCTCTACCTCTTCGATGACATCTTTGCTGCCTTAGACGGAGGAACGGCGTTGAGAGTAGCACGGCGTCTTCTCCGTTTTGTTGCTAACAGTGATAGCGTTCTTTTTTTCGCTGGAAACCTGTGCGGAAGCGTCTTGAAGAGGGCGAGAGCGACCACTAGCAGCACAGACGAGCTCTTCAAGAGTCGTTCCGGTAGTCCATCTGGAACTACGAAGACGAGCTATTCTTGGTTTCGTACCTTGAAAATTGATCGTCGTACCATAGTGGAAATTCCTGATGCGACGACTGCAGATCCTAGTACATCAGTGATGGTAGAAGATGTAGAAGCAGGATGCTCTGGTGCCAACGCAATTTCGGGAAGAGCGCACCTTCAAGACGATGAGGACGCCGACGACGATTTTGCTTCAACCGAGAAGAGTTTTGAAGACGCATTTGGCGGTGACGGTCTACCACGAAGATCACCCTCTTCTTCAAGTCTTAGATCGTCTGGTAGTAGGAAACTCAGCAGAAAACCATCCGCATCTAAAATCAAAGCAAGGAAAGCTACATCTTCGTCGTCCACCACTCACAAGTCTACCAAAGAGGGACTGATGAAGAAGGAAACAATTGCCACAGAGACTACCTTATCTCTTTCCACCTTGCGAGTGTGGTTTGCGGCACTAGGGTGTTTGTTTATCCCTTTGGGAATCGCGTCAGTGATGTCGATGTACGTGGAACGCTTTGTCTTGATCCATGTGGACCAATCGTTGAGGGATTGGTGTACGGCTCTCACTACGATACACGCTGAAAAGCAGGCAGTAGGGATGCTTCCGGGGACGACTGCTGGTGCAACTAGTCCACACGCGCCACCTGAGCAACCGGAAGATGTGCAGTCGCTTCTCCTCCCACCTCCGTCACAGCAAGAACAAGCTGTGTTAGATGAAACAGATGGTGGAGGACCCGGACGAAAAATTGATGACGTAAAAACTGCGGTCGTGAGTCTTATGGACGACAGTGCCAATCCCACTAGTGACGTGACAACAAGAACAGGATCGAGCACAGCAGTTGTTCCCTCGTCAAGTACTACTCTTCCTGCGCGGCCTTTATCTTTCGACGAACGCATCGCTTCTATGAACGCCATCTGGCTGAGACAGTACTTGCTCCTCACTATCCTCGCTTTTGCCCTCATCGCTTTCACCAGGTTTTCCTTCGCTTTTGTCTGCACCAGAGCTGGCAAAGCGCTGTTTAACGACATGCTCCACAGCGTACTACGGGCTCCGACCCACTGGTTTGACCAGACTCCCTTGGGTAGGATAACCAGTCGGTTCTCTTTCGACACGGAAAATTTGGACATTGTCCTCTTGTCGAAGGTGTATCCAGCAACGGTTTGCGTTTCTTGGGTGCTCGGCGCGCTGTTCGTGATCATGAAAGTGCTGTTTCCCTGGAACCTCCTTCTATTATGACTCAACTTTCATTGCTCATCGGGGTTCCTCACTGAGATCGAAGAGGCGACCTCGCCTTGAGAGTAGCACAGCGGAGATAAATGAAGGGAAAGTAGGGGACAGCTTTGAAGGGGGTCGCTAACGCTATCTCTTCCGTTCAGAGAGAGTCATGATGACCAATGAATGCTGCGCTTTTGCTTTAATTCTGCTTCCGATGTTCGTCGGCGGCAGCCTCTTCCTACTGAGAACGGCCAGAGTCGGCATTCTTCAGATGCAACGACTCGACAACAATTCTCGCAGTCCGATTGCCTCTTTGACGGCAGAGACACTGCAAGGACGACTCGTCATCCAGGTCTTCAAGCGGCAGGGAGACTACATGCGACGGTTGTCGTCTCTACTAGACGACAACACCAGGGCTATGTGCGCATTCAACCTCGCCTCTCGCTGGCTAGGTGTGCGGATCGAAATCACGGTGGCAAGCAATACTTTCCTGGTCATTTGCGGTTGTCTCTGGCTAGACCTACCACCCGAAGCCTTTGGCTATGCCCTGGTCTGGTGCAACTGTCTTGCGATAGCCATGGCGTTTTTGAGTATCAACATTTCTGCGGCTGAGGCTGCGTTTACAAGTGTAGAACGGGTCGCAGAGTACAGCAAATTGGAGAAAGACGGACTGCACATGGAAATGGACAGAGGCGAGGGAGGAGGATCAGCCTTGGCGTTGTATCGAACTGGATCTTCGCAAGTTAATGTTAAGAGGTTGATGATGTGTAGTAAGTACAAGTAGCATGTTCTTCCTTTTTGTTGTTAGCTTCACCACGTTAAGTCAACGTCAGAGCTCTTATGCTAAGCATGATTTATTCCCCCCCTTATGCTTATGGAAGCATGATTCATCACACTTTTCCACCCCTAATCTGAACGACTACCCAGCCCCTCCGCGTTCTAGCATCTCCGTCTCCTCCATTTCGTCTAGACGTAGACGTCTCGCTTCTGCGACTATCAGGGAAGAGACGAACTCCTTGATGAACGCAGGTGAGCGCTTCCTCATGCGAGCACGTGAATTCGCTGAGATGGTTCAAAAACGGAGAAGGGCTCGCCAGTTGCTGAGAAGCAGTGGTGGTGGGCGTGGGAATGACTTGATAGTCGCGAGTAAGATTATGGCAGCGATGATGATTATAGAACATGTTGAAACTTCTATCTACTTTTTACCTCGTAGTTCTTCTCTTTCTACAATCGACCTTTACCGAGTTTAAGCTCTTCAACGGTGCAATCTCTAACCCCAGCAACGACAACCTTCCACCCGCTGTCCCGGTCCTTGCGAAAGACGATACGTCGCCTTTACGGCGTGAAAGTAGTTGCGTTACTAACGGTGCGAGCGACGACTCAGTGGCATTGGAGATGGAGGACCACGCGATCATGCCCCCGCAGTTTAGGGACAACATGAATATGAATGAGGACTGTGTAGTAGCTGCCTCTTCCACAAAGGATGATGACCGAGGTGACGATAGAAGCGACTGTGCAGGACTGCAGATAATCGGCATGTACCTGCGGTATCGGAAAGAACTTCCGTTAACTCTGAAAAACGTCACATTGTCGCTAAGACCACGAGAAAGGTGTGCTGTTGTTGGGAGGACTGGAGCAGGTACTTCCATGTAAATGATTCTCACTACTGCTTGGTGCTTCCACCTCTACCTAATGCAAACACACAATGTTGGTTTGCAGAACCTTTGTACAACCATACACTCAACATACGTTAGTATCCTTTGCACAACAATACTACACTCATACGTGGTCACAAACCCAACAGGAAAATCTTCTCTCGCTGTTGCTCTTTTCCGTCTAGCAGAAGACGTAGGCGCAAAAAAACTCCGTCTCAACGGCTCTGACCTCCTAAATTTGCCAGTCGATGTCGCTCGTCGCAAGATCGGCATCATCACGCAAGACGCGTATGTCTTCTCAGACACGATTCGCTACAACTTAGACCCGTTCGGCGAATTCACGGATTTGCAGTGTCTGGAAGCACTGAGAGCAGCTCAGTTGATCGACTCTTACCATGTGCATTTGAGCACTCCTGAGGAAACGGAGATGGGTGTCGCCTGTAAACGCGTTTCTTCTCAACAGGGACCTCAGCAAATGGTGGAACTGGAACTGGTTGTACCAACCAAACCAGGGTCTGCACCGGCTCGTGCTGGCCATATGAAGTCAACTTTTTCAAGTCGGAGTACTGCAGTGCCATCAGTGATGTCTTCTTCAGCGTGTGACGATGGTAGGCTGTCTGCGGTTTCGTCTGCTTCTTCGAGTGTGTCTCCTGTCGATCATCAGCAGCTGAACGCTGACCTCCCACAGAACAATCTTCTTCTCGATGGCATTGACGAAAATCGACCTCGATTCACAGCATTCCTTGAGGGAACAGGTCGTAGGGATCAAGATGCTCCTGGAGCCCCGCTGCCTCCACTAGGAGAGCACCGTGAACCTGGAGTTGATCAACTTCTGATCAATCATGATGACCCACTACTCCTTCAGCAGCAACAAAATCTTCCCGCTGCTGCCAGAGCCTCAATCGATTCGACTTCAACCAGCACTGGGTCTCTAGCCTTGCGCTGTTCTACAGCTGCGCGTTGGTCCCCAGTGAGCGCCCTGACATCGCCTACCTGGTTAGGGAATCGGGAATCTATGGCTTCCGGCTTGGGGACAGGTCTGTCAAGTGGAGGAGAATTAGCACTCGTTCCACACCCGGACAGTGCAGTGTCTACATCTACTCTACATCCACTTTCATCTCAAACTCAACAGAGAGCGCAACATCCAGCGCAACATCCTCTTCAACAAACACAACATTCTCAACACTTACAACTGCTCGCCCCGCCACCTGGTTCCTATGGTGGCCCGGCTCGAGGTAGGGAAACGACCCTCAAAAGTCCTACGGAGTTTATGCGAATGCCCTTGTTGGAAGAGCATCCCTCAGAAGCATTGACAGCGTCCGGCACAGCCGAGGAACGCTCGTCATCGTCGTCTTCTCCCACTAAAGAAAATCAGGACGCTTTGATGTCTACGATATTGAACGTAGGGGACGATGCTGCTGCAGGAGAAACAGGAACAGTAAACGGTAGTGCCACGACTAGCAGCAGTACTATTAAGGCTAGAAGAAATCCATCCTCACAGGCATCTTGGTCCCGTTTCTCAAGGGAAAAAAGACGGAAGATGCCGCTCAAAATGGGAGACTTCTTCTAGCTCTAATACTAGTCTTTCCTCCACAGGCCGCACAAGCTCCGCAGTCGTAGCCGATACAACCAGCATACTCCCTTCACCAGTGAATCCTACGACTCGATTTACGACAGTCACTGGCCCAGGAGAACTTTCCGCCTCCCTCTCTTCAACTGCTTCTTCACATCAATCTTCATGCGTAGTAGATGACGGAAGAGATCAGAGTTTCCCCTCATGCGTGCAGAGAATCCTACGTCTGAAGCACGATGTGGATTTGCCAGCCGCTGTAGGGAGTTTATCAGGTGAAGAACATGAAGGTAATAGTTCTCCAATGGATGATGAAGATGTAGGCGTACAACTACGTCAAATGTCCCCTGTGCTTGAACAGGATGAAGCTGAAGAACAACACAACCTGAATGGTAGGTCATCTTCAAAGACTTCTAGTATACGAACAGCATCGCCTCCGGGACTTAGTCCTCTGGGAAGTGGGGCAAACGACCAAGAACTGTCTGCTTCTCAAAAAACCATGAGATCCTCTGCCGGTCGTTCACCATCACCACCATCCAGTTCTGGCAAATCCAGTGTGACAACATTGCCGCCGCGACCTCAAAGGGCTGCTGGTTCTTCAAACCATTCTAGTACACACGCAGGCGCATCATCTGCTAGCACAGTGATGAACAGGCGTCGTTCCTCCTCTACAATGAAGAAGATACCTGCGCAAGGTGTTTTGGACAGGAAACTACTACCGGAAGGTGCGAATTTGTCAGTTGGGGAAAGGCAGTTGCTGTGTTTAGCGAGAGTTTTGTTGCGGAATCCAGAGTTGTTGATTTGCGATGAAGCGACAGCGTCAGTTGACTTGGAGACGGATAAAAAAGTCCAAGCAGCTTTGAAAACATGGTTGAGGACAAGGCAGGTACGAAGTGCCTTGGGATTTTGAATTTTTGCAATTGATAACTTTGTCTTCCTGCATATTAACCATCATCATCAAATAAAAATATTCCTATCGTGATCAAAATCATCATCATCATCATCATCATCATCTTCAAGCTCCTCATCATCTTCATCATCATCTTCAAACTCCATTGTCAACATCTCAACATCATCTCAATCATCTCAAACATCTCAAATACCTCAAAATCATCTGAAACATCTCAAAATCATCTCAAAGAACTCTTCAAAAATCGGAACAGAATTGCTGCGTCTTAACCATCGCCCATCGGTTGGACACAATTGCGGACTATGAGAAAGTGATGGTCTTAGATAAGGGCAACGTCGTGGAATTCGGCACTATACCCGAATTGATGCGCAAGGAAGTGGGTCATTTCCGCGCAATGACACAAGCGGCGCCCGAGCCTGCTACGCGCATGCTGTTTCAGCAGAGAGCTGGGGAACACGAATGGTGAAGACAAGTTGAATGGTGAAGAGCGGAGTCGGGGTGAAGAGCGGGGTCTGAAGACATGAATGGTCATGAGCAGAGTCGGGGTCTGAAGACATGAATGGTCATGAGCAGAGTCGGCGTCTGAAGACAGGAATGGTCATGAGCAGAGTCGGGGTCTCAGACTCACGACTCATGTTGTGGCACTGAAGTAAGAGTAGGAACTGTTTCTAAGATACGATTTGTTGAGGGGTTCTGAACACGGTACTACCTCATTCCAGTTGTACCAGATGTTGGGCTGTTCGAGATGCTAGAGAAGGTCCTCACTGTATGGGTATGCAGTGTCTGAAGATTTTTGACTTTTTGATTGAGGAGCTGCAGTGTAAAAATATCGACAACTTACTACTCCAATATGATCATGAAGTAGGAGGTATTGAACATTGAACAACATTTCAATTTCACCGTCTGTCGTTGTAAATTACTATACCTGCAAGAAGGGTCCAACAAAAAGAAAAACGCAATGTAGTCGCCAGAAATTATCTCTATTCACGCTGGCACCATCCATGACATGAGTCGAAAACTTTTATGATCTTTGTGTCTCTGATTTTGACGTGGTCTCCCATTGAAACACGCTGTCCTTGCTTCTCCGCACACGCCTAATCTTTGTGGTCTACCGTCGCCTGCCGAAGATTGATCATACTTTCTTGAAAAAAATTCAAATGCTGTTGGACAACCACAAGCATGAGAAAGCACGCCTTTGATACTCTTGTTATATGTGAATCAACAGGAGTCAATAGCAAGGGTAGGAATCGTCTTCGCCTTTCTAGAACGTATAATCAATCCGATTTTCCTGCTCCCCTACAATTACCCTTACCTACTCCCTATATCAACATTATGTTCCACCTTCTTTTCACAGCATTATCAAAAATGGCGGAAAAAATCCTCACTACTCTGTGTCGTCCGGACCAACTTCAGGATGCTGCGTCGTTCTTGTCAAAGGCAAGTGAGGAATCCGCTGCTAAGCGTCGCAAAATGGATAATGATAAACGTGGTGGAGCAGCTATATTTATTAAGGGTAGGTTAAAGGTGCTTTTCTTACCGCTTTTTATGCCTCTCTCCCTTAGGAGGGGAAAGGCATAAAAAGCGGGGTAAGCGAGCACCAACAACCTACCTCTAATTTTAGTAAAGGAAACAACAAGAACACAAACACCACCAGCACGCTGGAAATCTTGAAAAAGCTTGAAGGTTTTTATCTGAAAGAAGTGTTGGGGAGTTCTACACTGTTGCTCAAGCACGACAAGCAGAACGTAGAAGCTTTGTTGTCGTTTGATAAGATCCACTCTGAGGACATCGCTGCAATCTTTCAGAAGAGCAGCACCCCTGATGAAGAAGACGAAAATACTGGTACTTCATCTTCAACTACAACTACATCTGCTTCTTCGTGGCAACAAGTTCTTACTTCTTTGTTGAATCGAGTGAACAATGGTATTGGAGATGAACTCCAAGAAGAAGATGAAATAAATTCGAAAAAAAGCACTGAGGAAGAAAAAGCTCCTGTCCTCCAAAATGACCGCTACACTTCTGGAGTCCGCATCCGGAACGCTGCTGATCTGCAGTTGTCTCTCGTGCTGCCTGCTGACCGCAGAGACGTCTACAAGGCCACACCGGAAAAGATCGTGCGTTTGCTCGAGACACCAGAGTTGTACACCAATGTGACGAAGAAGAAATTCGTGGAGAACCCGAAAACTGTGACGCGTGATGCGTGGGTCCGCAATATCCTGCGGAAGGAGGCTGAGCAAGATCGTGTACTCTTTGAAACGGAGAAGTACTTGGTAGTGAAGGACAGCAAATGGGTGGATGAGGCTGACGAAAAAGTGGGCGAAGAGGACACCACGTGCACTACTTCTAGTACGTCTAAAACTACCGCGAAAGAGGCACAAAACCTTCATTGTCTTCTTCTCCTCAAGGATGAAACTATTCGCAGCTTACGCGACCTCAAAGGCGAAAAGCACTTGCCGGTTTTGACCAAGGTTTTTGAGGAAATCATCCCTAGTCTCTCCAAAACCTACAGCATCCCGGAAACGAACTTTCTCTCTTTTGTGCATTATCATCCAACTTTCTGGTACTTCCATGTCCACATCATGACAGCAGAGAACCCAATGTTTGCCTCGAACAAAGACCACACGAATCTAGTTTTGAGCATCTTCGACCGCTTTCACAAGTTGGAAATCATCACCGCACTACTCGAAGCAGACTCAGAGCACTACGCGAAATGCAATTTACCCCTGGTGCTCAAGCCGGAGATCGCGGCTTGGTACTCGAACAAGGAAAAGGATGCAGGCAGGAACAACAAGGACACAGAAGATCAAGGAGGAAAGCGAGATGGTGAGAAGAAACGAAGGAAGAAGGAATAAGTAATTGCAGTTAACAAGGCGAAGATGACCTCCAGATATATGACGAAGCAGACACAAAAACAATCCGAATGAAACCAAATAGACAACATTTGAAATTGCGATGTACTACAGAAGTTGTCAACATGCATTTCTTCTACTTATTTGAGTTCGATGAAGGCTTACAAAGTGAACGTCCCTTTTTCCTCATTCCATTTTACCCCTTCCATTTTGATTTAATCGGATGGAATCGATGTCCATCCTCATGTCTGTCCATGGGGACATCAGTGATTGGACCATCCTTCCAATGGATGGCTTCGAAGGTGGTAGCACCTCAGGGAAACGCATTCGCTGGTAGTTTGAAACTGGCAGCACTGAAATGGGGCGTTGTGAGGATGCTGGGAGTTTGAAACTGGCAGCACTCAAATGCAATGAGGATCATAATCAACATGTACCTAGCAAGATCTTATCTTCTTGTAGCTAGTAATATGAAGTTGTACTTGTGTTCATCGCGCGGTGCAGGATCCACGTACGAAGAGGCCCGAGATGTGCGGAGAGAATAGTCTGTTTCTGTTGTATTTTATTGATGAGCGGCCTAAGCATCTACGACTGCGTTCATCCTTCCATTGACATTGAAGACTCCAGATCAGATTAGTATCGGAGATCCTGATTATCACCATCCGATTTCGCTCTCGCTAATAGCATTGCAAACAAATAGTCGATCATCTTACTTCATCTTCAAACCGTCACCTACACCTACTTGAAGCATTTTTACAGCAATTCCAATTTTGATAACAACTGTAGCAACTCCAATTGATAACAGAAACAGTATCTTCACCACCAGCACCATCATGACCATCACCATGGCGGACTCCGGCAAAGCTCCTTCTCCCCTTGAATTCGTCAAGTTTTGCGCAGATCAGGACGTCCTCAAATTCGGGGAATTTAGGCTAAAGAGTGGTCGCAAGTCGCCCTACTTTTTCAATGCAGGACTCTTCACGAGCGGCACCGCAGTCAAGAAGCTAGGCGAGTTCTATGCAGGCGCTTTGGTGGAGAGCGGCATTGAATTCGATCACTTGTTTGGACCGGCGTACAAGGGAATACCGCTTGCGACGGCGACGAGTACTTCGTCCACTTTTCTGCTTTGGTAGTTGGCGCGTAATTGAACTTTCGTTCAAGAAGGGTCCGTTCAAGAAGGGTTCGTTTAAAAAGGGTCTAGGAACTACAGAAACAAATCAAAGGCCTCAACAAATTGGTACATCACGGTCTAAACTTCTTCTTTTCGCCTTCACAAAAAACCGCACTTCATTAAACCTCTCTAGTAGGTATCGGCCTTTCGTCCCTCTTCAACCGCGATGTCGAGTACACCTTCAACCGCAAAGTAGCCAAGGATCATGGAGAAGGCGGCAACCTGGTAGGGGCCAGTATGAAGGGCAAAAAAGTCGTCATAGTGGATGACGTCATCACTGCGGGAACCGCAATACGAGAGTCTTTAGAGATACTCTCTAAAGAAGGGTGCACGGTAGCGGGTGTCCTAGTAGCGATGGACCGACAAGAGAAAGCACCGGATTCAGAATTGAGCGCGATACAAGGGGTATAATTGCTATTGATTTTTTCTTCGTATCGTCCTTCTACCTCTTCATTCTGATCACGTTTAGTTGCGCAATGGTGATTCAATATTTTTTCTGACATTTTGAATTCTGCTTGAATATCGGAATTGAAGACTGCCCACTCACCAGGTCGAAAAGGAATACGGTTTTCCCGTTGCAAGTATCATCAAGCTAGCAGACATTGTTAAGCATCTGGAGGCCAGCGGTGACGCATACACTGGTCCATTGGAAGCACTACGAAAATATCGTGACGAATATGGAGTTATTGGAAACTAGAGGTAAAACGGGATAGGGATGGGAGAGTGGAAATGATTTGACAATGTCACTTTTTAAGACGATTATGTATCCATTTTCAATTTTTAAACGCTCACTCCGATTCTAGTAGTTCTTGTTGTATGCCTATACGTATAAACTATAATGTGTTGCACAGTCAAGCATCAAGTTGTGGACCCCTTCCAATGATGAAAATCTCCATCCAAGATATCCCAAGAAACGCTCCTGTTTTATTCGTGTAACATGAATGTCAACAATATTTGAACAGAAGAAGAAACAGTGAAGTTGTTGTGCCAGCTATCAAAACGTAGTTGCTGCAGAAGACGCCCACGAAGGCTGTCTGTTCTCATAGGAACAATTTTCTCCTCTTTGCAATTTAGATTTTGTGCATCTTCTTGTTTAGAAGTCAGACTCAGTGACTCGTTGCCATTTCAGAATGTCCAACTCCAAGTCAGGCGTAATGTCAAGAAGGACGTACATGTGGATGTTTACAAGAAGAAACATGAGATCACTCGATTATTTTGAACATGCCCTCTCGTCCAAAGAAACGGAACAAACGGATGCGTGACGTTTATTGCCTTGTAATTAGACGTTGCATATGCATTAATTCTTTTCGAGCAAATCCTCGTCTATGCTCGATATGATTACGCTCCTGAACAACTACGCCTATTGCAACAACGACAACAACAATTTACTTTCATCAACATTGTCAAAGTACAACAAGATGAACAAAATGGAAACTTGTTCAACATCGTCATCGTCTTGGTCGTCATCTTCACGTATCGTTGCGATGCGACGAACGCGAGAACGTCAAGGATCTTTCACCGCGACCTCAACATGCATACTATTGTTATCAGTTGTTGTACCATTAACATTTGGACTCGCTGCTCAACAACAAGCCGTAGATCATATGCACGTGGCAGCTGCAGATCCAGATGCAGACCTGGCCCAATGGAATCACGAACGAGGCATGCAAATCCATTCACCATTGGAGGTCCTGGCTCAGCTTGCTCAACGTAGTGGACAATTGACACAGAAGCAGAATGAAATAGATGTGCTGAAACAGCAGTTGCAAGACAAGCAGATTACGCAAGCGGACTACGAACAGAAGCTGAAGACGGTGACAAGTTATGTCCGAATGGAAATCGACGCAGCAACGCCTGTTGATAGTAGAGCACGTCACTAAATAAACCAACTAAAATTTTTATGTGGATTAAGTAGACTAATTGAAAGGCAATCGATGTGCAAAGCTCGTATTTGCAGCTGCTTGCAGAAATGGACCTTTAAGCACTGTGCCGTAGTTATCTTCCTCTGCTTCTCTCATTCTCCCGAACGCGCCAACCTACAGACGGAAGTGACGCATCTACGCCGAGCCGTGACGCGTCTCGAATCACAGCAGGCTCAGCATAAGGCTGCTCAGGATGCTCGTCGGCTTGCAGCCAAAGAGAGGCATCAAACAAGGGAGCAAGCCTTTCTTGCTCAACTGCGACGAGTCGAAGAGGAGTCGGCACAGACAAGCAAGAGGGAAAGAGAAAAGTTACGTGCGCGTCCTCGTCCTAAACGTTGTAGCATATTTCACTGTTTCGCAGGTGTTTGGGCCCATTAATCCTTTTCCTACATATCAACGTCTCTTCTAACCCAAGCACTCCTGCAAATGACCAGGGCCCGGACAGAACAACGAGAAAAAGCTGAGCGCGCCCAAGAAAGCTTGCGCCACTTGAGGACACAAGTCGCTGGTCTCTCTAGGAAAAATACCGCCTTAGAAAAGAGCTTGGCAAGTTCGGAGAAACTTAGACGCATCACGGGAGAAGCTCGCGAGAACTGGGCTAGCGGATTGTTGAAAGTGATAAACACAGAAAAGGAAAGGCTAGCGGACAAAGCTAGTACATCTTCAAGAAGTAGTATTTCTCGTTCTCGAACTAGATCAGTAAGGTTTATTCAAAGTGGAGATCATTTTCCCGGCGAAGATGAAGCAGATAACGATAATGTGTCTACAGACGCCGTCTTGCCAGAGGCAAGTGCTTGCCTGTCGGGAGAGCGGATGGTGCCTTTGGTACAATTGTATTTTGTGGTAGCTTATACTTAATATTTTCTCAAATTTTACGCTATCTAAAGATGATCGGGGTAAGTACTCTTTTCCTTGTAACTAATTTCACAATAGTCTTCTTCAACGGCGTCCTTCCTGTCTGTCTCGCCTCATAGTTTCGCGATAGTCTTCTTCAACCCTATGGAAAAAGAAGAATACCTTCCTCCATCTTATCAGGCCGACTGTCTCGCCACTCTTGACCGCATCGCTTCCATTCTCAATTCGTCAGCTTCTACAGCGACGCCCAGCACTTCGTCGACTACGGGTAGGAGTCGTATATCATCTTTAGATGAGTCGTGTAGTCGCGATGATGAAGTGTTTGGAACGGGAGGTTCCGATGCAGATGGAGGAGACTCCTCCGAAGCAGATCATGTTGGTCAAAAGAATACCAAACTAGAGAAAGAACGACAAGAAAGCTTCTTGTGCCTGCAAATAGAGGCTTTGACAGAATCTCTTCGCAGTTTGTCAACATCTAGCAATACGTCGGAGACAGAAGAACTACACGCTTATCAGGCACAGAGTGAACGATCTTCAACCTCAAAATCTTCTTCTTCGAACTATTGCAGAAGTGAAGAAGAGCTGGAGGCTGAAGAAGCGGCTTTGAAACAAGCAATGAGCGATATCATCAGAGCTACGCAAGCGCGCGAGGCGCGTAGCAGGAGAAAAAAATCTGCTCTACTCTCTTCTGGTGCTAGGTCTTCTTCGACTTCTGGAAGCTCATCTTCACTAGGCGCAGGAAGGGAGAGAAGAGCAAGAGCCGGGAAAACCCCTTCCTGTACTCGTGTTAAGGCTAGAAGAAATCCATCTTCACAGGCATCCTGAGACCGTTTTCAAGGGGAAAAAGGTCCTCGGATGCGTCTCAAGATGGACGTCTCGTAGTTCTAATCGTGCGATGCCAATTTTAGGCAGCAGGAATAGTGCTAGTGCTTTTGCAAAGCCAAATAACAAGCCGCTGGTGCTGTCGCCAAGTAGAAGACCAAGGAAAGCGGGACTACAAGTGCAAGAAGATAGTGATGAAAGCGATGATTTCGTAGTCTCGGATGACGAAGTGCCAGCTAGAAGTACCTCCTTATCCGGGTGTACCTCCACGATGATCAAATCTGCTTGCGATGCCAGCGACAGGTGCCTTGATAGGATAGCAATAACCGCAAAAACTGCAGTCAGAGATCTCCGAAGCATCCTTTCCGAATTAGCTGTAGATATCCCGAAAGAGCTGCCCTCTTACGTCCTGAAACGCCTGAAAGTTTTCTCGGAAATACTGAAACTCTACGTCACGCAATCGGCACTATATTACGCAGTTGCGTTTTACACCGTCTTTTTAGAGTGGTGCGCGCAGCTGAAGCAAGAATGCATCAGCCTACCTGCGGATCTGTTGGAGTGGTTTGGGACTCAGAGAAGTTGTTTTCCATGTCTCAACAGCAAGAAAACCGGAGGAGGAGTAGAGACGAGTACAACTAAAAAAGATGAATCTAGTGCGTCTTTAAAATCATCCACGACTGGGAGTTCTTCTACGAGTAGTAATCCATCCGGGCAAGTAGACGCTACACACGAACCAGCACGCTCCGAAGCAGAAGTACAAGGACTTTTACATCAAGCAGGAGCTGTTGTAGCACTACTAGCAGAGCCTCCAGAAGATAAAGACGCAATGGCGACACATGAAGGAGATGAAGAAACGTCCAGACACGAACGTATCATGCAGTGTGTCAATGAACAGAGTTGGCATGCGTTTAACAAGATAAACAGACTGTCGTTTTTCTGCGCCATCGTCTCCCTTGCAGCGACGACAGGAAGTGGCGCGAAACCGGCCATGGGGTTCCTGTCGACGCTGCAGCTGTTTTTAAGGCTCAACTTTTAATGGTCATTGGGGTTGGTCACTGGGATCGCAGCAAGGCTCTCCTTGGAAAACAGGGGAAAACACAGGGAGAACAAGTAGAGGGGTAAAGGGCCCTTTTCTTTCAGCATCAGTGACCAATGAATGCTGAGCTTTAATGTTTGTTGCTTTGCAGTGGACCACCGTGTCAGAGTGGCGCAGACTGGGCGGCTACCTCTGTTTTCGATCCCTCCTGGCATGGGGCTTAGGTAGCAGTACCTTATACTTCATTTACGTCGAACGCAATTTACCGCAGTTAGCGGCGGCTTATCCAGAGATATTTCATGTAGGTGGTGGAGCAGATACTAGCGGTGTCACATGGACAATGGCCGCACAGCTGTGGCTTGGTGGAGACGAGGATGGATTTGACAAAGCTTTGAAAGGGAACACGATGAGCATGAGTGGAGAATCTTCAATAGAAGATGATCTTTATGGTCGTGTTGACGACTTAAACTTTGACGGTTTAGACTTCGCTGCTAGACACAACCTTGTTGAGGACGTTCAGACATCTTTGAGAAACGCGATTGCAGAAGTGGAAAGTTTTAGAGTTCGTGGAGACGATGCGTATTTGAGCTTTGTAGAGTGGTTGGAGTGGACGACGAAAGCGTTCGGGGAAGAATCCACCTCCACCTCATCAGTGGACACAACAGTCGAACATGATGATCTTGACAACGCAGGAGAAGATGAAGCTTCAGAAGATGATGGTGATGCACTCGTCTTTGACTCAGATTCGCGAGCTCCAGAAGATGATGGTGATACCTGTACTCTTTTTAAGGGTAGGTTAAAGGTGCTTTTCTTACCGCTTTTTATGCCTCTCGTAAGGGAGAAAGGCATAACAAGCGGGGAAAGCGAGCACCAAAAGCCTACCTCTAATCTTTGTAGTACCCTCGCATCTCCTGCAGCATACAAAAGCTATCTGCATCATATGCTTGTCGACGTCGCTTCCAAAAGCGCCTGTTCGGGAGAGCCGCACTATTTTGCGGAGGTAAAGCGCCTGTGCGGAGCATGTCAGAAGGAACGTCAGAAAGAAGCAGACGAGCATCGTTTGGAACAAGAACAGCATCACCATAATAGGAGACTAGCACAGGCACAGCAGCTTCCACCTGGCGCTGGAGGACACTGTGATCAAGGCATCATATGTCTATTCGACGCGAATGAAGCGCCACCGATGAGCACGTTTTCTTTGGGAGTGCATCTCTTCGTTGTCATTCTTGGTCGGCTTCTCTGTAGCACTGGCATCGACACTATGCTGGAGTCGGACACGAAGAAGATACTGAATGGCGATCGGCGTGATGGATCTTCCTCTGGTAGTGGAGGAGGTGGTAGTTCATCTAGTACTGGTGGTGCCGGACGAGATGGTGACGGACGCAGTCGGCGAAGTAGATACAAGCAATCGCGAAAACAGAAGTTGGCGAATAACAATAACAAGTGGAAGTGATGGTCATAGTCTTCGAAGTCCTGGGCATCTTCAGGACATCATCGAGAAATATTATCATCACCGTGGTTGTGCGTGCACGACTCGGTGGAATCTTCCTGGTAGAACTGAGACGTCTTCATCTACGTGTACCACGTGTAACAAAGGCAAGCTGCAATTTTTTGACTTAGGCACAACGCAGCAAGAAGTAGTGCATCTTCATCCTTTATCTTGCTCCACATGCAGAATTTTTCAAATAACTGACACTGAGTTCCTTTTCAAATAAATGGGGTCCACCTAGTACTAGTTGTAGACGTCTTCATCTACTTACGTGTACCACGTGTACCAAAGGCAAGCTTTACTTTTTGTAGTACCCCTCGCAGGAGTTCCGCGAAACGCGATCAATGGAGATTGAGGATCTGCGAACAAGCGCTGACATGAGCACTGTACTAACATCAAACGAGTTGTATCAAAATACGATTACGGACAAGTCTATCGTTTCTTTTTTAGAGTATGTAGACATTAACGAGACCAAATTTCACGAAGACACCCAACATCACTGCAAAATTTGTGATGTCGTTCCTCTATCAGCGCACGTGGTAGCCTCATTATGAATGCAAAAATGACGATACTGATTGGACCGAGTAGAGCTTGGATAGATTTTTCCTCTGTTTTGCAAAAAGGTGGGGCAGATGAAAATTTCGTTTGTGTTCCTCAGTGTCGTTTGTCTACATCCCAGCATTCATTTCTGTTATGCGCGTCTACCGCTATGTCTTTGTGAGGACTAGTGAGCCACATGAAAGAATTTCCCAGGGTCACGAACTTCAAAGGTGCTTTCATGTGATCTGATCTGTTCTCTACAACGGCATTCGAGCTGTTCGCTCGTATTTACCGATGGTGGGATCTGACTCAAGAACCATTCAAAAATGAAGGCTGATGAAAAAGTAAGACAGCTCAAACTCAAATCTTCACGCCTCAAAGATGCTGAATGGAGATGGTGCTTTTTGGAGTTCAATAGTACAGATACAAATACATGTCTTTACAGCTTCTCCATGAAAACAAGAGCAACTCGATATAATGTATGAACAATTACTGTCGTAGCCGACAACATCTTGTATGATCTAAAATTACGGCTTCCCCTAGTCCATTTTCCGAAGCATCTTAGAGACGTTTTCAAGGGGGAAGCAGGCTCAGGATGGACTCGGAGATGGACGATTAGGGTGAGCTCTAATAAAGAAACACTCACACGATTCTTCAGATGTCTGAGCAGGTTGAGGTAAAGCGTTCTAGATTGAAGACCCATTCCATTTCCGAAATTTTGTAGCAACTTCGACATAAGTATAATGTAGCACTAGGAGCCTCATGACAGAGTAATATAATGGTTGTAAAAGAGGAGCTGTAATGAGTTAGACCCCGTTAAGTAATATGTAATACACCTTCATCGTGTAAGCCATCGTAATATGTAATCTAATATGTAAGCGATCGTTTTTTATAGACGGAACAACACTAGTAACACACTCTCAATTATAATATTAAAGTTCGATTTCGAATTCGACTACAACCAAAAAGATGACGAATGCTTCACAAAAAGGTGGACCCGTGCGAGGCCGTTCGGAATGGCAGAACAGGGATGGCGGTAAGTGACTGAGGGTCACACATTTTTTCTTCGCAAAACCGTTTTTGTTTCCGCGTTACTCCTTTGTTACTCCTTTTCTATAATTAGACTAGTCAACATTCTCAAACCATACATATTTGCGTACAATGAAGTCGGCGTTCGTAGTTCTAACAGTTCTAACTATGTATAGTCTATAGTATGAACTCTTTTTTGTGTTGGACAGGTACTCGTTACAACTCAGCCAGAGACGGGGATCGTGGAAGAAAGGTGGAACTCAAGAGAGGCCCTGACCGTTGCGTCCTTAGACCAAATGCTCAGGTATATTTGACGTCTGCTGTTAGGATATGTTGGATTTGCTTAATAGCTTTTCGTTTTCCATATTAATGAGTCTTCTCCTCTCCGTCACTCTCCTTCATGGCTGATGATCCCTCGACTTCAACATCAAATCCGATTTTACTCAACACTACAGCGATCCACAACCGCGACAAGCAATGGACCTCAAAAAGTGATTTTAGCAGAAGCAACGCCAGCTGCAGGGACTGGACGTACACTAGTTACATGTTGCTTTTTGATCATTTTTTTTTTCGGGATATTGATTGTTCGTTAGCTTTAGTCCTGTGAAATTTGATTTACCTCCTCCACCCAGGTATGAATGGTTCAAAAGTCACTCTTGAAGGTTCAAAAGTCAACGCAAGTTCAGCTTCCGGGACAGGATGCACAACGACCACTGGTGGGTCCTCTGCAACTGTAGAAGCGAAGAACAATCCTGGAAGCAGCACTAAATCCGCCAGTTTAGGACCCAATGGCAACAAGGTTCAATTGGTTTCTCGAAGAGATCGCGAGGAAAAAAACGCAATGGCTTACGAAAAAATAGTGGATTTGGATACCATTAGTAAAAAGAATACTATGAGCAACAAGGCAACTTCTCTGCCCGCTAGTTTGAACGGTAACGGAGTTGGCACAAAGGGGGCTGGACAAGGACAAGGAGGCTCCTCTGGCACCTCAAACAAAGTTAATCTTCAAACAAATAGTACAACTTCTGCCGTCGCAGAGGGTACTAAGAGAAGAGGCGGCGCGGATAAAGAAGACCCAGCGTCAGTGAGAGGATGGGAAGATGGCCCACCACCAGCTCGCTTTGCTGGAGGAGGTGACAACAAGGCTACTGCGGCGACAGGACGTGCTGCAGAATCGAAAACCGCTGCTGCGTCTGGGGGAACTAATTCTAATGCACTAGATCATGCTCAGGAACAAATAAAAGGCTCTAGTACTACAACAACAGTTCTTAAAGAGGATGCTGACATCAGGAGTTCTTCCACAAATGGTGCTGACAAAGTCGTGAAGCAAGCAGCTCCTATGGCAAAACTCCAGCATGTACCGAAAAGCTCTGCGATTTCCAAGAAAGAAACAGTGGCTAAGAATGCTAGTGGTACAGCTAATCGAGGTGCTGGTCCTGGAAGTGCAGCTATCACCCTTACTGAAGCGACTATTAAGGGTTTCCGAAGCGCATTCCTCACTAGCATCTTCCCTGGCTCTAGAAGAGAATGAGAAGGGAGCCAAGGAAGATGTTTTGAGGAATGTAAAAATTCCGTAACCTCTAAGACTAGAAAGAACCCACCTCGTGGAGAACGAGAACGAACAGAAAAAGACATCACAGATACTCTTCATGCTGGAGAGGAAGCTCCTAGCTCTTCTTACGTCTACTACGATTCTACTCGAGATGGTCCGCCACCTCCGCTGGTCGCGCAGCTTGCTAATGTGGTGAAGAAGGACGGAAAGCAAGGAACAACTCTTCATCCTGTAGTAAAGAAAGATGGAAAGCAAGCAACAGGAAGAACTGGAACTCATGGAACTCATGGCCATGGTGACGATAAACCCCAACTACAGCTGCACGAGCAACGGCGTCGGCGGCGTCGGGCCACAACATCGACGTCATCTGATGGCGAAAATGAAAACGTCGCAGATGTTGAAAAGATGAAAAACAACGCATCTACTTCTGCTGTTAAGGAGGTGGAAGATCAACAGGAGGTCGATAAGGTACAAGAGGAGACCTTCGAGGAGCAGGAGGACTTGAACACAACTCGTAACGGAGGTGGTCATCAACAACATCGAGATCGAAGTAGGACTGGCAATCAGGCGCAGCCTCGCTATGAGGCGGAAGATGATGAGGACCCTGCTGAAGATGCCGAAGCTCCACAAGATGACGAAACTCCAACCAAGAAGGCTGCAGATGATCGTGCTAGAGGTGGAGAAAATAGAAGGGCACGAGGACCCAAGTCGAACAACACTGCTGCCACCTCTAAGAGTCTTCTAAAGAACTACAGAGGACAGGAAGATACAGGTAAAGCAAAGGCGTTTGTTCGTGCGCCCGTTTCATCTCGTGTTCAAGAAAACCAACAACAACAGCATACTACTGCTAGTACCTCTAAAGCGAATCGTCTTCACGGTCAACAAGCACAGCGAGGACCACGAAGGAGGGCAAGAGATGAGGAGGAAAATCAATCGTCTGATGATTCATCTGGGGCAGAGGCAGAGGCTGAGGAAGACGTTCTTGCCAAAAAAGCTGATGAAAGTGACGTTGATGAGGACCAACAAGACGCAGAAGACGACACAGGAAGACGAGCTCACAACAAGCGCAAGCGTGGCGCAGCTAAGGCGACAGAAGAAGTGGAACAAAGACAGCGCAAAACGCTAAAAGCGAATGCTAGTGCTATCACAAAAACGTCCAATCCCAATGTCGCACTGAATCAGAACAAGACGTCCAGCAAAGCTGAGCAGAAGCAGGCAGAATTAGCGCGTAAGGAGCATAAACGACGCCGACGCCGTGATTATGAGGAGGAGGACGAAGAGGAAGATGATGAGAGCAGTTCAGGTGGTAGCTATACCTCGTCTACCAGCTCTGAGGAGGAGCGCAGACAGCGCCGAAAGCGTAGACAGAAACGCAGACGCGAGAGGGCAGCAAGGAAGGCTGCTGAAGAGGCAGCTCAGGCAGGTGGAGACACCGCTGCATCGCAATCTGGTGCAGGCGAGGATGCTCACCTACCTGCAACTAGGGGTGGAGGTGGTACTAAGGCTTCTTCCAACAAGATGGGTACTAGTGCTTTTGGTAACCATAGTATGAAAGTTATGGGTGTAGGGAATTCATCTCCAGAGTCATCTGGAAGAGAAAGACAAGAGGAGAAAGGGACCCAGATGATCCCTGAGATGAATTCCCGATACCTCTAATAAAGGGTCTAGTAGTACAAAAATTAGCGGTGGAGCTAAGAACACTACAACTAGCAAACAACAAATGCGTGAACAAGCAGCATCACGACGCCCTCAGCGTAAGCGCAAGGATTCTTCCGACGAAGAGGATGCACAGCAGAATCTAGAGGCGATCGAGGAAGAAGAGGAAGAAGAAGATGAGCAGGAAGAAGAGAAGAGAAGACCTACTCGTGTGGAGAAAAAAGCTGCGACACGAGGAGCACCCCCTGCTAAGGTGGTTAAGCGAGTTTTCAACAACAAACGAGCTCTACCCGGAGCTACTGGATCAGGTGGCACTTCACATAAAACCAAGCAAGCCGTTGACGACGAAGACGCCGAGGACTCGGAAGATGATGAGGCTGAGCAACAGCAGGTAGCCCGACCTGCGAAGCTGCAGAAAACGAACCGAAGTCAACCTTCAGCTAAGCTGCAGAAGCAAGCGCAACAAGCAGCGAAAAAGCTTCAACAACACACTTCGAAACAAGCCCAGTCTGCTGCTACTTCTGCAAGGGAAAAGCACAATACTTCGAAGCATGCGCCAGAAGTAGCAGAAGTAGATGCTGAAGAAGAAGAGGACTCGTCGTCATCCGAGCAGGAAGGGAGCTCATCGTCTTCTTCCGGCGACGAGAAGCAACGAGCACGCACTAAGAACAACAAGGTTGCTGGTAGTAAGCAGAGTATCGCCACCACTTCTAGTAAAGGACCACAGGGAGCTTTATCTAAGGACCAAGCTGGAGGTGGAGCAGCGACGACAACTTCATCATCTAGTCATCAGCATCAGGGAGAAATGGGTAAGCAGGCGAAGAACAATGGACGGACACGAGGAGGTGCTGGAGGTGGTGAGGAAGGAAACGACCGGCAGCAACAGCATGGCACAACTGCTGCTGACGACCACCACCAGCAGAGGGACAACAAGACTACTTCTACCCACCACCAGCCCAACCAGATCGCCTTACAGCCTGGTGAAGCTTACAACCTACAAGGGACGAAATTGTACTTGAACATCAAGGACTTCTTTCTCTACAATCAGGAGAAACTATTGGAGATCCCCCTGGACAAGATCAATCAACCTGGTGTTGTTTTTACGATATTTGAGACTGCGGCTTCGGCAGCTGGAGGTGGTGGTGTAGCACATGGAGGAGGTGGGAATCAGGCTGCTCAAGATCATCCAAATTCTGGTGATCCAAATTCTGGTGCTGCACCAGGAGCTCACGCTGGTTCTTCCGGTGGAGGAGGAAGTACAAACACTACAACCACATCCTCGAGTACAGCACAACAGCATCAGCAAGCACAACAGCAAGCGCAAAATCAGCTTAAAAATGGACATCAGCAACAGCAGGGACAAAAACAACAGACGACAAGCAACGCTGGAGCAGTTGGTAAGAAAGCGGAGAACAGTTCCAGGACTGCCAACACAGCATCTGCTCATGGCAGTGCGAAGGACGGACGTCTCCCTGCTGGTACCACTCCCAGACACGCGAATAAACAAGCAGCGTCGTCTGGTACTGCCAAGGGGGCGGATAGCAGTACTACAAATGCGACGAGAACTACTGCGGGTTCTAACAAGCAGGATAGTGCCACGACTAGAAATTCAAATTTGACTAGGAAAGATCAAGAACAGGAGAAGAACGCCAGCAGTACTAACGTCAATTATACTACTTCTACGCGGACAAGTAACAGAGGAGCCACTGCCGGTCCGACGAAGCAGCAAAGCAGCACTGCTGAAGCAAACAGGCACAGGGGTTCAGCTTCGAATGATAACAAAGGTGAACAACCAGCTAGGGGAAAAGCAAATGCAAATGACACCACCACAAGAGCTGAGACCACTAGAGACCGTCCTCGCATACTGCCTAGAATAACAAGGGTGCACAACACTACCACAGCTCCTGCTAGCTATACAGCACCTCCGTCAACTAGGAATACCACTGCAACTACTCCGAGAAGCCCACCTGTGAAAGAGAAGGAGCAACCTACTGAGTGGCGAGGCAGCAAGCCAATGCCCCAGCAAAGGGATGAAGACGATAGCGAAGAAGATGGGGGCGAAGAGGACGAAGACGAGAGTCACCAAGAAGATAACGAAGATGGAGAAGAAGATCCGGCAGATGAACAAGGTGATCGTGAGCGCAGAGGAAAAGGCCGGGAAGATGCCGACGAGAAGCACGACCGCGATGAAGCAGAGGGAGAAGAAAGCGAAGAGGAGCAACAATAAGGCTACAAGAAATCATCTCCCATTTTCAAAAGCATCTTGGTCCCGCTTTTCAAGGGAAAAGGAGGACCAGGATGCTTCTGCGGATGGATTTCCCTTACTTCTAACAGCAACAGCCATCCTCGAAGCGTCGTCGCACAGCGGCAGACACTCCCGTAGACTCTGAGCTGTCAGAAAGCGAATCTCTCAGACAAGAGCATGCAGCCGAAGAAGATCTTCGTGCTGGCGACCGTATTGCGAGTGATCGAGAAAAAGCTGGTGCTGAGCGGAGAACTGGAGGTCAAGCAGGTCAAGAACAAGCTTCGGATAATAAGATTAGTCGAACTAGAGAACAAGAAGCGAACACTTCTTCTAGAAACAATACGACTACTAAGGAGCAGACGGAACGGGAACCGAAGGACAACAATAATAAACCAAGTACAACAATTTCCACTTACAAATACAATACCAATGCCTTCAGTGGTAAAATAGCATCAACAGCTGCGATTACGAAAAATCATAGTACTCTGCAGAAAGAACTGCGTGAGCGTGATAATGACAGAGCTAAAATCTCCGGTCAAGCAAGTGGAAATGGAATATTACCAGGCCGTTTAGTAGAAAAGAAGCCAGAGCTTACTCGCCGTCGTAGCAATTCCAGATCTAAGTCACGCGTTGGCGTAGTCCTGAAAAGAGGCCAACAAAGTACACGCTACAGTCCACCTCGACGTGGAGGAGGTGGGAATATCAATTCTGGCCGTGGCGGCGGCGGTTATCATAGGAAAGACGACTATCGTGGAGGTGGTCGTGATCATGGTGGAGGTGGATACAACCGTGGACGAAATAATTATTAAGGGTAGGGTAAAGGTGCTTTTCTCACCGCTTTTTATGCCTCTCCTAAGGGAGAAAGGCATAAAAAGCGGGGTAAGCAAGCACCAAAAACCTACCTCTAAAATTATCGGCGGTGAAGAAGGAAAATCTACATACATGATCTGAGCTGTCGTTGTACGATAGTAAAAGAAAAATTTAATGACTACCTCGCTACCCCTATCACTTGTGTTGAGTTTGAAAACATGGCATCTTCTAAAAATCCAATCCATAAATATTAGAGACCCAAACTTCTTCAGATCTTTGATTGTCATCGTCATGCTCATAGTATTCTAAAAAAAGCTTCTTGCGATACCGATCAAGATTATATATAGTCGTGTAGATGCTTGTCATTATAACATTAAGTAGCAGTTGTCCCTCTCCTTGTAGTCGTCATCTACCTAGAAGAACTACAATGACAAAGACAATTTCTACTCCCTCACGACAGAGCGACCCCTTCCACCGCAACGAATTTGTAAGACGAGGACCTCGATACTGAAAGTGAAACGCTCCTCACGCAGGCCTCAACATAGAATTTCGTGGATTGTTGTCTCCTCTGCCCAAGAGGCCCTTTCCCTGACAGCACTTTTCAAATCTCAGAGAATGTCGATGTCCCCTTGAATATCATGACGGACCTTACAGAACCTAAGAAAAGGTCCACTCCTGCTTGCAGTATCTGAGGAACACTAGAGATGATCATGAACATAAAGCAAGAAGCTCAGTGTATAGTCCGTCCCTTAATTAAGTAGTTTATGAACAACAAGAGAATCTTCTAGTATGAAAATGAGCTGTAATATGTTGAGGTACGTAGTCGAAGATCCATCTACTCATAAAAACGCATTTTTCAGTTTCTTCTGTCTTGAGGCAAATCAGTCTGTCCTTAATGAGAGTCATCAAAAATCTTGTGGGAGTGCAACCGAGATCTTCCTAAATCTTAAATGCCACTGACCTGCTTCTTCTGTGAGGGCTCGTGTGAAAATCCAAGAGATCCGAGATCATCCTAAAATCTCCAACTTCTCCAACTTCCATCCATCGAAGCCAATGCTCCTCAACGACAGTCTTCCTTGCAGCTTTTGGCCCGTTTAGATAGAAAGTGTGCGTCAGTAAAGATGTGTCTTATTGAAGATCGTCTTCTTATTTGAACTTGAAACACGACTTGAAATCAAAAGATCAGAAGGAACAATGAACTGAATGAACTGTGATCTAGATCCGACTACTTGTTTGATGTAAGTCTAACTAGGCTGTTGTAGCACCTCCATTATCTTCTTTGCGTCATTTATTCGACTTCCACAGTGCAAGTGCATGTATGAATTTGTCCGTCGCGAACAACCACTTAGTTTGTTGACCTTGACTGGACTTCTTTCATTTTAGCATGCAGTATAACAGTTCCAGTAACATCGTGGTTTCAATTTCAAGACTGTTGTAATGTTTTTGAGCAGCAAACAGAGAGAACAAAACGACCATTGTCATTAATGCGAAATCAAAATGCGTGAAACTCGTCTCTCCAGCACTTGCCTGCAATATTGCAACACGGATACCGACAATTATCAGCGCGAAAATCTAACGATAATTAACGACGTCAATTTTTTTGGCGAAAATACGACGACCACGACATCTTCAAGCGATTATACAAGCGATTATACAACGTCTTCAAAAGCGACGAGTTCTAGTTATATTTCCAAGAGTACAGCCTCCGACGCCGAGCAGAACTTCCACCTCCTCGACTCCTCAGACGCCCTCCTCAAGTAGTCGTGAACCTGCTTCTAGTCCTCGTGTGCAACGAGAATGGCCTCTGGACCTATCGACGACATCGAGGATGTCGTCGTGCACAACGGAGGCCCCTTCAGCGCTACCAATTTTGCGAGTTCAGCTCCTGTAAATAATGGAGGTACTGGTGGGATAGCTAACGGGTCCAGGATGCCTTCGCCCTCGTCGTCTTCAGCTAGTTTAGCCAACAATGCAGGGAGCTTATCCCCCATTAATAGCAGAGCTCCAGGTGGGATGCTAGCTGCTGCTGCTGGAGGAAATGATGGAGGCTTTTTTGGTGGTGGTGGTCATGTTGGACATCAACATACTCTCGCTGGAGGAGGAGGTGGACACGCTTTGCAAGCCTTGGGTCCAGGTGGAATAAGTAGTCCGATAATTGAGCCTCCCCTTCCCGCTAGCTACCACGTTTTCATTTGGGTCACTTTGGCAATTTTCATCGTCTTCTTCTCCGGCGTCACCCTACTCTGCGTTTTGGTGACAAAAAGAGCAAAAAGCTATGACGACGAAGAGTTGGAAAAGCTACCCTGCTACCGCTTTTGGGCCAACTTGAATTGGGACTTGTGGGCAGCTGCAGGATTCTCACTAGGAGAAGTCCTCATATTCGCATTAGAATGCGTACATATGGCAGAATGTCTATTCGTAGACCCAAAAACGAAGGGGCTGGTAGGAGCCTGCGTGGCGAAAAAGGGGTTGCCAATGCTTGGGACGGCGATCGTCACATTTGGCGTTATATTGTACTTTTTTTTTAATTCTTGCGCTTTTTGTTTTACTTGTTACACCTTTATTGCATCAAGTTTATTATCCGTTTAAGTACATCATTCTAGCTTTTCTGTACCTCTACCTGTACAACTACTAGTAGCGGAATTCTACTAATTAAACCTTCTTTACATATGCATACCGTTTTGCTTTCCCAAAATCCCAAAAACTCAACAATACAGCTGGTTCATCGGTATTCTCACATCCGACGAGCTAACCGTTGATGTCGTGGATGATGGGGATTCCATCTCCAACGTAGAAATGGCCGAACAGCGTATGAGCTCGCACATGTCCCGCGGTCGAGAATCACACATTCTCTCTAGAGAGCAAAGCCTGCTCCCCGCTCAAGCGCCCAAGCGCATGAAGTTTCCGCCAATCATCAACAAAATGCTGCAAATGGGCGAATTGCAACAGCCAGACCATGCTCTAGACCCTCACGGTGGGGATCAGGACGCTGAATTAAGGCTGTACCTAATACATCTTTGGACGTATCCTTGGACCTACGTATGGAGGAGTATCCTAAGCGAATACTCCCCCATACTTTTCAAGGATGCACTTGAAAGATGAATTACGGACAGCTCTAACTGAAAGTAGGGATATAGCCGGTGAGATGGATGCTCTGAACTCGTCTGCGAACGGAGAGATGCACCACGAAGAAGACGACATGCAGAACCCAGTTGACGGTGCTGATGAAGAAACTGCTCTTTTACTCCAACTCCCTGGAGAAGAAGGCACGACGAGCAGGGGTCGTGCAGCTAGGAGAGGCAGTACTAATTATACAGGTGCTGCTGCTGGTGCTGGAAAAGATCAAGAAGGAGGCGGGGTGAATGCTGGCGCAACGGGCGGCCGGGATCAGCTACAAAGAAGTAATAGTATTAAGCAAGGTCGACAGCAGTTGCAAATAACAGACTACAGTAGGAGAGCGCCTGCTAGCTCTCTAGATGATGTTCCAAGACCCATGAACAACGCAGGAAACGCAAGAAATCCACCAAATACTGGCACAAGTCGCACTCTCCAATTGCCGCCTGTCAATGGCAGGTCGACGCCTCTCATGCTCCCTCCCCCTGGTAGACCTTACTACAACTCTACTGGCGGGTACTATGGTCAAGGTACTGGAGGTCAGATGGCTTCACCAGGACACCATCCAGGTCCTCGGTCAGGAATCATTGGTGGTCCTTCGAACAGTGGACCTTCAGCAGGAAGTGGCGCCCCAAGACCTTATGGCGCAACTTCGTCTAGTACGGGCGGTTATTACCAGGGCAACAAAAATATCGGAACAGGGAATGCTGGTGGCACAGGAGGTAGTAGAGCCGGTGGCGGAGGAGCTTCTAGTACTGGCATGCATGCCGGAGCCCAAAGTTTTTACCCTGGTGCTAGCCAGCATGGTGCTGGCAGTTATTATGCTTCCGGTCACCATCCTGGAACTGGTGCTCATTATCACGGAGGTGGGCCACATTATCACGTGCATCACGGTGGAGCAGCGGCATCTAATGCCCAAACGATGCATCATAATCCGCATCCTGGCGCTGTCGCGCATCCACAGCCTGGTGGTGCACCCGGAGACAACACGTGGACCAGGAGGCATCTGCTTATGCGTCTGAACATCTTCGCAGGTGATAGGACGAAGAGAATAGCAGCTGCACAGGGCGTGAAAGTGCAGAACAAGAAGGCGATCACAGCTGGAGGGCAAGGAATGTTTGTGAACGCGAGTAGAAATCCCATCCCATTACCGCCTCCACCCCCTCAGCCCTCAGGTGGACAGGGTAAGCACACACCAGGAACGCTAGGAATGCGACAGCGAGGAATACCCACGGATTCGTTAGGTGTTGGAGTTTTGCCGAGTCTGCCGAGAAGTACTTATACTGTTGATTGTTTGTTGATGCTTGACACTTCTAGTAGGGGGTTTCAAAGAAATACGTAACGGTCGCTTTTCATCAACATGTTGTGCATGTCTAATTAAAATCGTAAGTTGTCATGAGATCAATGAATTCTTCATCGCAAGAGCCATCGTTTTTATTTGAACTCCACCTCAGCTTCCGTGATCGCTTCCGAGCCAGCATTCACCACAAGGATCTCTGTCGCGGATACGGTGTCTTCAGGAGCTGCCGGTAGCCAGCATGGAAAGGAGACAAATTACGACGACGCCCACCCAGACGCAGCAAGCCAGAGGGATCACAAACTTGATGAACACAGTAGAAGCTGGTGCGTCGCTGATGTCTCACAAGCACTAGAGGACGCGCAAAAGATGACTAGACAAAGTATAGATGAATTCGACGTTCTTGGAGGTGGTGGTGGCCAAGAAGGTCGTGGGGAACCTGATGCAAGCACCGCTTCTGGGCAACCGGCAGAAGAACTACAACTAGGAACCGTGCAAGAAGGCGATGATCACCACACCAGTCCAGGAGGCGACCACCAATCGTCCGTAATACTTGTGCAAGCAGGAGCAGGCGGGGGAATGGAAGCAGCTGCGTCCAGTGCAGGTAGTCTTGTCGTCCAACATGTTGATCAGCATAGTTGTGATCCAGAAGTAGCCGAAGTAGAGCGACAACAGATGATCGAAATAGAGCAGCAGCAATACCAGCAAATTGCGGAAGAAGCGGGTATCGTTGTGGAGGAGAGGGACTTGATAGCCATTGCGGATTCTCACGAACTAGTGGTAGAACCCAGCAACGCACTCGGCATAGGCATAGGAAGTGCGCCCAACACTGCTGGTCTAGACCTCGGACCACCAGGAGCTTCGGGTTTTGGAGACGCCGACTTGGGCGATTTTGAACCGCAGTTCATAGACTTGGACCAACTGCAGCAGCATGAACAAGAACGCACCTCAGGCGTAGTAGAATCTTCAACTGGGGGCGGCGCGTCAAGGTCGTTAGGGACGAGTACAGGAGCGCAAGAGCAGGAGAGGCTAGTCCATCAACAGTTCGCGGCAGCGGCTCAACAGTATGACCACTCTTACGACCACTATGAGGTTGTTCCTGCTCCCGCAGGCGCTGGGGTCTCTGGAGGTGCTGGTTACAGCAACATAGTGGAGCAACATGTCTCACCTGGAGCATATGCGGATCATCACGGCGGACCTGCTGGGCAACATGCGACGCCACCTGCTGTGACCTACGTTGCGGCGGAGCATGTCGGAGGAGCTCCGGGCTCAATGCCAGTGGGAGTTGTCACGATAGATGGCTACCCACCTTCTGAGCATGCCTATGCAGCTGAACACGGAGTAGCAGCTTATGCGACTGAGCATCATGTCGTACCTGGTGGAGGTGCTGGCGGTTATGCCGCAGGGGAGGGATCCTCCCATCAATCGGGGGGCTATGCACTCGAGCATGCAACGTCCTACGTGGCCGAACATCACGTAGCCGCAGGTGGAGTCGTGTCCTATCATCCTGGTACAGCAGATCACGTCGTTGGAGGTCCCCTTGTTGCACAAGGAGCATCTGCAGGAGGGAACGTAGTTGAGTTCCAAGTTCATGACGTCAATGTCTTGCTTGGAACCCCAGAAGCAGAACAAGTCGTTCAACTCCTACAAGCAAAGGAGAACATCATTATGCCTGCACTCAACACAACTGACGCTGCAAACACCTCGCCAGGTGCGCAGGCAGGAGGTTCATCTTCGACCGGAGGCGGTAATGCCGGTTCTCCTGGCACATTAGGTGGTGCTGGGGGATTCATAGTTGATCAGTCAACAGGCGGGATCATAACAGGTGAATCTGGAATGATAGGTGATTATGGGATTACTGCGACGACAACAGCACTTGGCGGAGAAAGTAGTAGCACAATGCCGAGGCCTGGCAGTGGGCAACAACTGCTTGGTTTAGGAGAGCATGACGTCAGTCAGGGTGGCGTCATTACCCCGCTGCATCCGACGCAGCCACTACACCCTATCACGAATACTTCCTCTACCAATGCTGCTGTATCTCAGAATATTCACACTCACCAACAACATCAAATGCGAGCAGCAGCAGGACACGTCGTAGATCAGTCTGTAGAAGCCAGCGGGCCCTTCGGACTTTTCACACGCGATGACACAGAAGCAGCGCAGGACCACGTTGTAGAGCAGCTGCAAGAATACCTTGTTGCTGGAGGTGCAGCAAATCTAGCATCGACAACGTCTGCTGCTGTAGCTGATCATCAGGCTACCTCACCTGGAACAACTAGTGGAACTCCTGTGACATCAGCCGCAGGTGTCTTCACATCCTCTCCAGCAGCGCAACAACTCGTCCTCCAACTACCTCCCCATCACCTGCAAGAGCAGCATTCAGGGACGCAAAATCATGGTGTTGGCAGCAACAACACAGGCAGTCACAGACATGCGGAACCTGAACAGCAGCAAGTTGATAGGCATTTGCGAGGTCGGGAGCGGGCGCAGCATGCGAGACGGGGAAGGAGAAGACATCAAAATCAGGAACACCTGCAGTTGAATCTACAACACATCCGAGGAGAAGATCACGATGACCATGATGGTACCGAAGATGAAGATGAGGATGACCATCACAATGACGAGAACGAGTAGGTGAATTTGATTTAAGAGTTTTCGGTACTGGTAGGCGTGGTACAAACTGAAGCACAAAGATGAAAGACAACATAATTCTAGAGATTGACATAGTCAACTTAAACATGTGGCCTAGAAGTAGAGCATGGGCATTGAAGTTTTGAATTTGATTCCCGTAGATTTGCGTAAGCATATCACGGGTACGCGGATAAGGCCAGATCGGCGTCGATGATGTGTGCAGTAGATTAGGACGCTTTTTTGGTCAACCTCGCCTCATTCCAGCTAGTGATGGACCAGCCTCGACGTCTCTGTAAGCCACGACAGCATACATGATTAGGATTCAACATGATTTGATTCGTAAAGCTGGATGAAGAAGAACATAGATGTGCTGTAAGGTGGTCTGCAAGGGCTCTTGGTCCGTCCTTTAGTTTTGATGTTTTTGTATCATGTTGTCGTTGTTGTACTTGTCTGTTGGTAGTTATACACTACTGATTTCTACTTTGTCATGATTGATTTCAAACTTTTAACCTCATTTTAAGTACTATAATTTCATTTCAAAAAATCCGTGATGAAATAGAAATTGAAATACTATGAATATGATATAATTGAAATAGAAATTGAAATACATAAATGAAAATGACGAATCTTCATCTTCTACGCTATTCTCCCTTGAGATCCTCATCCTTCCATCCTTCACCTTCGAACTAAACCATCACTAAGGGCGCTCGCGAGCGCGACACGTGCGAGGCGGTAGGGTCGGGCTCGGGCGCGAACATAATGATAATAATTGATAACGTAATATGTTCTTGGTTGACGCACTAACATCTTGCTCAGTGGCAATTTTATTGGCCGTTCTTGGTTTATGTTTATCGTTTATGACACCGACACGAAGATCTTCATTCAAAAAATTGAATCACAAACACGATGACAATGTCAGCACGGAGGATGTTGACGTAAGCAGGACCACTTCTGGTTTATAATGATTTTCAATGTACTTCTACTAGATTGCTTTAATTCAATTGGTATGATTCAGAAGGTCGTTGTCCTGAATCGAAAATTGTAGCTACTACGTCACTCATCGTAATTAAGCGCAGGATTAGATGTACATGAACTAGGCGGGGACGCCCTGGAGTCGGTAGACACAAATCGGGGCGACATGGATATGTCGCTCATCCAATCTAAAGGGCAGAAGCCACCAAGAGATTGTACATGTTACAGAAGCATGAGAATCAATGGTTTCCTCGTCCTCCAATCAACTAAAATATAGGTTACTTAGGAGATTGTTGCAGGATGTGCTGACAATGTGATGGCCGTATTATTATTCGTGAGCAGGGGTTTCTTTATATCGAAAGAATTTCGATCAGATCTCGATAACTCAAGTGTGACCGCGGGAAAAGTCGACTATCTACTTCCGGACCATCAAGTTGTCTGAGTAGACAGATTGTTCTTGTTATATATAATAAAATTGAAATGGCACCAACGTGAGAGACGGTGAAATAAAGTAAGCAGAGCGTGATGGAGCTCCACCGAGAGAGAAGAGGTTATGAGGGTACACTAAGCAGAGCGTGATGGAGCTCCACCGAGAGAGAAGAGGTTATGAGGGTACACTAAAATGATCTTGATGCTGCTTTAGATTGAGTAGTTATAGTAAGGCAAAAGAAAGTAGAAACCACAAAAAATGGAAATGCCTTCATCCATGTCCTAAACCGGAGACAACTTCGAGGAGATGTCGTTTCTCAACATCTCCTCGATATTTAGGTCGTTGCGTCGATTCTCGCTGCTCATCTTCCTCCTCCTAGACTTAAGGATAGGCTAAAGGTGCTTTCGTTACCGTTTGTTATGGGTCTCCTAAGGGGGACAGCCATAACAAGCGGGATAAACGAACACGACCAAAAACTTCCAATAGACTTGAACTCCCTGACAGCGGACGCGGTCCGGACCATCGTCTTCTCCTACGATCGTCGGGATGCTGATGAAGTGCCTTGGCTGTCCGGTTTTCGAGAGGTCAACGGCCTCTACGCCTATCGATGGGACTACGAGTACAGGTTCTACGACAAAAGCCGCTTCGCAGAAGCAATGACCCAAACTTGGATCAAGGTTTTCCAAGGGTACCAGATCTTGGTGGATGAATTCGGATCGTGCGGGAGCGATCCTCTGGAGGAATTGCGGGATATATTGGGGGAGAAGTACTTTGAGGAAATCCATAGAGGAGGTAGTGCTGGTGATGTTGATCATTACTTTGCTGATGCGAGAGATGATAAGGCGCGGCTTAGACTTGGTGATGACGAACACTCAGAGTCGGACACGACGGCGACGACATCAACTTCAGAGACTTCTACATCTTCATCTCTAGTACAACAAGAACTTCAATACTTGAAAGATCAAGGTAGTGCCACACTGGGCTTTGGAGACTTTCGGAAACCTCAAGACTTGGACAAATGTGAAAACGACTTCCAGATCATGTTTCTAGACAGCGACGCAGTTTGGCATGCGCATGAAGTGAGTGTCGAAAGCCTCTTTCCAGAAAGATTGCAAGAAAAAGGTGGCTTCATTGCTACAGCAGCAGATGTTCATGGCATCGCGGTGCCTGTGCCGCATACGAATGCCTGGGTTGCAAGAGGCGCTAAAGGTAGGGAGCTGTTGAGAAAATGGCGGTATCAGTACAAGTATGTGCGGCATATGTGGCGCGTCGCGAGTAAGGAGGAGGATGGTGAGGAATTTTTCAAAACTTGTAGTGGCGAAAAGAAGTGGATATGCACGAACTATGTTCTGAGGTATCAACCTGAGAAGGACACCAGCACGTCGCCTGGAACGAGAATAACTTCAGACTACAGCACCAAAGCCGCTACAACTACAAGCACTGACTCTAGTACCACATCAACCCGCGCAGTCTACGCTGGTTATCTACCACCTGTCGAGGCCTACGCGCCGATAGAAAACGGACGAAATGGACGTCCGCATAAGCCAGGCGAGAGCGACTGCATTTACCCCTATCACGGGTGGGATCCGCTTTCTCTGATGTCCTTGATCGCAGAGTCAGCCTATTGGGATTCCACCACAAGTCAAGTCATGTTTGACGGCTTCGAAATTCCACCATGGTCACGGATGAACCTGCCGTCACCCTGGAGCTTGGCGGTGAGAGCGATACCTCCTGAAGAAGAGGTTGCTTCTGGCGCTGTAAAAGCAGTCGATGCTTCATCTTCAGACTCTGACTCATCTTCAAGCACGACAACAACTAACTCAAACTCATCAACATCATCAAGTCCGGGTCATCATTACTTGACAGTTGAGAACGACGACACTGAAATGATCGCAAGGAACAACAGGTTCTACAGATGGTGGTCGAAGCGGAGGAGTGGGATTGAGGCTGCAAAATTTTGGACTTCTGCTCCTGGAGAGGAACCTTTGAGACCAGGAGGAAGTAGAAAAGGAGAAGTGGAAGTCCACATATCGGAATTATTGTTAAGGCTCAGCTTTCTGCTTTCATTGGTCATTGAGGTTAGTCACTGAAAGAGGGACCCCTTGAGAGAACAGGGGAAAACGAAGGGAAAACAAAGGGAGAGACGTGGTCGTGGAGCCCTTTTCACTCAGTATCAGCGACCACGGATTGCTGACCTTTAATATTAGGCAAGAATGACCAGAGTGACAGTGCAGCGAATGCGGCGGCGGCGACTAAGATAGGGGTTCGGACGAGGTCAACATCTAGTCGTGAAGATGAGACCACCACGAACGACACAGTTGTAGCGGCCTCTCTTTCACGGGCACCTTCTTTGCGCGCAACGTTCAGCATGCGCCGACCGCTGCTCCAACATGCGGGTGACGACGACTCAAACAAGAAGATGCTGCAAGCTTACAATCAGAGGGGAGTGAAAACAAAGCAGACACTATCGGCGGATACGGTAGTCACCGGGTTAGCGATAAGGGAAGTGAAGATTATGGTGAAAGTGAATGACGCCTACCAATCACAGACTAGGTTAACTCTTTATGAGATTCGAGAATTACAAAGAAGTACTGACTTTATGCACCGAAACCCCTTTCATGACACAGAACGCAGGCGGCGCAACACAAGTATCGAGCACAGGAGAAGCGCTGTATCCTGTCCGGTGGGTCCTCTGTACACATTTTCACTGGAAGAATCGAGCAAACTACACCGGACATGACTGTTATGTTCCACGAGGATGATTCAATTTCAAGTGTGGAGGAGGAGCGTATCTTTGCCAACGAGAGACAGTGTCTCCTCAAATAACTACTGTTATTTTGTTGGACGAAGATGATTCAATTTCAAGTGTTAATGATGAGATAGAAGAGCAAGAGGCCAGATATTCAGCATTTTCAAAGTCACTCAAATCTTCAGCTTTTATAACACGTCTTCACTCTAACTTGGCAATAGAGAACGCTACACGCCACTGACGTTCCTGTTTTTCACTTCCGAATACATGGCGCGACATTGGCCTCAAGTGAAAGGTTTCCGTAGCAGACCAGGTTGGCTAAACCGGATAGAGGAGTTGTTATGGGAGGAAAGATGTTCTATTTCCTTACAGGGCTTTCAATGCTAATCTACGTTCTTTTCCCCTCTAATTCCCCCAGTGCGTAGTTTTCCCCTAGTACTATGTAGTTTACTTGTGATCTAAGTACTTCGTTATCAAGTTCAACATGATGTTGTAAGTAAGTCTTACGTGGTGTTTCACTTTCTTTTAGGCCCTCTAATCCCCAAATCACGGAAAGAACAGATGGAAACCTTAAAGGCAGCAAACCGCACTCTCCTGGAGAAGCACTACATAGAGCCGGAGGCTGCGCAGCGAGGGAGCAAAGTCACGCTATTCGAGCGATGGGGTTACGCGGGTCTCTTGAAGTACCTGCATCAAGCGCCAGTCGAACAAAGCCAATATCCAACTTCTGATTTGGAATTGTTCAAGATCATAAGGGAGGTTTATCCGAGTAGCGGAATCTTGTTTGGAGCCAGCGAAGGGGAGACAGATGAGGTGGGTAGTCCTGGAGCTGAGGGAACAAAAGACGAAGCACCATGGATGCTGGCATCGGAAGACTATCGGCCGAGGCTGGAGAACGCACAGGTGGATTTGGTTCGGTACTTGCAAGAGAGACTGGAGAACAGAATACCGCCACCGGTGGCTTCCACGACTACTATTTCTGCTACATCATCAGCAACAGGAGTAGGTGATGGGTGGAAGAACGATACGGAGAAACTGGTAGAGTATCTTTCAGCGAATCAAGCGGAAGGTGCGCTTGTTTTTGACGTTGCTATGGGGTAGTTTGTCCCGGCGATGAACGCGGATTGTGCAATGGGAAATATCTTCACAGAGTCATGCAGTCCTCATGCTTCTAGAACTTAGAAATTTGATTTTCGTAAGTTTATCGTATTTTATCACATCGTCTATCTATCAGTGTCACTTTTGTCACAGTTTCCAATTGTTTGTGTTACCGAGGACCACTTAGTAGATCAAAATCTAGTACTTTCCAATTACAACGATATTCTCCACTTTTATTTTACCTCTCGAAACTGTAATTTGTTTGTCTCACGGCGTGACCATGCCTTTCGACGATTCCAAAGTGGATTTTTTCGTGAACTTCTACATGACCACGTCGCTGATTCTTGCTCCGCATAAAAGCTGCTTTTAAAAAGCAGGCTTAGAGTTAGAAGTGACAGTGACATCAAAAAACCATTCGAAAAATTCTTCGAACTGTGCTTGTCCACCTGAAAGAAGATTGTGGGAAGTGAACGCCAATTCGTCGCGTAGGCATTGGCATCAGTAGATAGACAATAAAATGCACGACACCCCTGCTTCCTCGTCAACATCATGCTACAAGCCCGGCCCTTTCTGCTTTTTCTAGTGACGATAGTTGCAGCAGCGGGAGCCTCTAGCGCTAGTACTAGACCTCGGACGATCATCTTTTGCTATGACCGCCGTTCAGAGGAGGAGATACCTTTTTCTAGAGGGTTTCGGACCGTAAACAAGCTATACGCTCATCGACACGGATATGAGTATTATGAAGACCAGGAAGAACTGTAATCAGTTCATCTTTACCTTTAACAAGTGGCAAGCCGCCTCTCTGTCCTGTGATCAGGATTTTTTTTATCTCAAGTGGAATCAATACGTTTTTTGACTATCTAAGGTTCACAAGCTTGTCTTTAACAACGGACTCAACAAATGCAATCATTTTAGCGCGTCTAGTTGCTCCCCCCGGCATTAATCTTCTAACCCTTCCGCTTCTACACACACTCCGCCTTTGATGACCAAGTCACACCGACTTGGGTCAAAGTTTTTCTGGGCTATGAAATCTTAGAGAAGGAATTTGGCGGAGCTGACGGTAAATATGACGACAATTTCCAACTTCTTTTTCTTGACACAGATGCTGTCTGGCATGCTCACGACGTAAAGCTTGAGACCCTTTTCCCCAAGAGCATGGCACCCGACTACGGCTTCGTCGTCGGACCCAGTGACCTCCAGGGACAAAGTCTACTACTTCCTCATACGAATGCGTGGCTTGCACGGGGTAAGAGAGGCAGAGAAATCCTCAAGCAGTGGCGAGATAGCTATTGGACTCATGGAGTGGTAGCAATGTGGCAGAATGAATTTCTAGGAACGGAGACCAAGACGTCAGAAACCGGTGCTGAACACGCGTGGGAATGCACTCTAAAGCGCGATCGCGAACAACAAGACAGAAGGAAGACATGTGTCTATCCCTACTACGGGTACGATCCTTTCTCACTGTTGGTATTGATTGGGAAAGCAGCAGTGTATAGCAAGCAAGATTTGGAGGAACAAGTGAGGTTTGACGGCTTCCACATTCTCCCGTGGAGCAGACTCAACAACTACTTTCCATGGAATGTGGGTGTGAGGGAGATGTCAACGTCTGCTGGTTCTGGGACAGGGAATGAGGAGAATGCAAGGGAACAAGATGAAGGAGAAGAAGCAACTGCAGCAAAGGACTTTTTCCTCACTCTAGAACATGATGACAGCACTGAAGTTGAGATGAGACGTGCCGCGTATTCCGCCTTCAAGCAGGCAACGGACGTACCGGGTCGTGATGTTGTATCAAGAATATCAATATCCTCTTTTGTGAACAAGCAAACTACTTCATCAAGTTCAACTTCAACCACAAAAGCAGTGGCAGGTGCAACTTCTTACGATCGTCCAATCATCGACGGTCCTCAGAAACTCAGCTACTTCTCCCTTCCCAGGACAGAGCGAGAACGACGGCAAGAACTTCTGCAACAGAAAGACCTTACACGGGAGTACAATGCCAGAAAGACTATTCGGAAACTCTCCTCTAGAGCAAATTCCTGGGTTTTATGTTCTCATTTTCACTGGAAAGACAGAGCCTGGTCTAAGGGAATCAATCGGATGGGTTTCCCATCCTTCGTCTACCTCTCTTTCGCAGAGGAGTACATGGGAAGATTTTGGAAGGATGTCCCGTTCTCCACGTTACCTTTCTGGTTGCGTCGTGGGCTTTCGCAGATAGAGGAAAGAGAAACAGAATCAGGACGTCAACAATGGAGAAAGAAGAATGTGACAAGAACAAGCACGACTGGTGCGGATGCGATCACTGAAGAGAGGACCACACAGGAGGAGCCTGTGATCACTGAAGAGAGGACCACACAGGAGGAGGAGGAGCCTAGGACCACAACACGAACACAGGAGCCTCCTCTCAGACTGAGTGAAGAATTAGAGCATTTCTATCGAACTCTGCGGGATCGGGTGAGGAAATTTGAGGGCTGGGCAACAGTTCGCAGCTTGGATACTCTTCAGCGTCGTTCTCTAGCTGATCACATCTATCCCACTTGGGGCGCAAGCGTGAAGGAGCTGTTTGCAAGTTTGGCTGCTTTTCATGATCAGAATATATTAAGTATGAGTAAGAGTAAGGACCTTGCTCTTGTTCACTTAGACGAGGAAAGGAGTACTAGAGCGAATGCAATTTATTTGCAGCTACAGTTGTTGACTAGGGACTTTGATCAGCATGACACACCTAGCAATCTTGCGCAAGAACAATATCTAACTGAGCAGCTTGGCCAGGAGGCACGTTATTCCTGGCTTGAAAAACTGATAGGTAATTTTGCGAACAAGACCATCATCAACGTATTTTCACAGCAGGCTGCGGCGTCAGAAAGAGCAACACCACGGCGTGTTCAGTCCACATTCATTCTTCATGCGGTTGTTCTGTTCGGGTTGCATGCAAGTGGTTGTAGGTAGAAGATCCAGGAGGTGTGGAATACTCAGTCTTGTTTTCTTAGGGTCGTCAAAGCCTTCTGTGCTGCGATCTGGATGAGGTCTGCAGTGAAAGCACCTTCTCAACCACTTTTCCTCAACGCTGCGAACAAAAAGAATCAATCGAGGGCTAAGTTGCAACTAATTTTCTTGTGAAGCAGGCATAGGCATAGGCTCGAATATTAAAACGCCAAATTATCTATATTGTCAACTACTCTACTCTTCCGGTTCGGGTTCTTCCACCGACCTCAACCAAGAATAAGAAACACTAAACAAAACCAAAAAGAAGATGCCATCCCCCCAGCAGTTAGTCTCCTCAACAGGCACAGATGCCTTAACAGGTGATTTGGAGAAAATTCAAGCCTGGTTCGCCAAACTCGATGACGAAGAGAGAGAGCTTTATCAGGCCAATCCGCTGCTTTACAGAAGTAGAGGTGTGTGGTCCCCAGCATCCCTCGAAAAAAGAAGGTGGAGAGCTTGGAAGGAGCAAATTTGTCCAAATTAAGGCTGGCTTACCACGACCTGTAATGAAAATTATCTATTCGAAAACTCAAAATAACCGAGTTACTGACTGAAATAAGGGAGGTAGCTTAACGTCAAGGCTACTCTTCCTTCTTATCAGTATCTCGGTTATTCTGGTCAGTAACTCGCTCATTTCAGTTTTTCGAGTATATAAATACATCTTAAGTAGAGGCCGCATCTTCGGGGAGGGCCCTAATCCAAAGCGAGAAATATTGCTAGTACCACGGTTGATTCGAAGATGAATTTTCATAAAAGTAAAAATGTCTAACCGAAACTAGCTCACAAATGCCAATGTCCTTTTGGTCAGGTCATGCCATGCGACGTATCGCTGACGAATTACGCCACCACAGCAGTCGGTCCCTGCTCTAGATATGCCGATGAGTCGAGCTGCAGCGGAGGGGATATGTCATTATGCAAAAGCATGCTTTCATTCATCCATTGGGTTGTAAGTAGTAGTTCTATCTAGTACACCAGTAGATTCAGATAGTAGTTGGAGCTCTTGACTCTTCTGAGTCCAGGCTGTTCTTCTTGTGATTACCCAAGACTGATTTTGTAGTTCTGGCAAGAGCATGTTGATGAACTTCGAAGATTCTCAGTCAACTTTGGCACTCGACTGGTACGTACTACAACTACTGCTTCAGTAGTTCATCTTCTAGATCTAACTCTTCTCGGCGACCAAGGTGGTCGTTGTCGGTGGGGTCAATTTTTCAATCGAGAGGCTATCGAGGCTAAAGTCAGAGCTTGTGGCGGCGACCTCAATGACGCAGATACGCGAAGCAAAAGGGATCAGCTGCTCTCGTATGGAACGTGCGTGAATGTGATTAAGGATGAGAAGATGGATCACACACAACCATAGAGCGTGGACGACGTGAATTTCCGTAAATACACATCTCCAACTGAATCGCTAGAGCCAATGCACCTTGATGAGCTACTACTTCTCAATATTTATTCGCATAGACAAGAAAGAAGAGATTCATTCAACTACATTGTTATTGATCCTGTACAAATTTTAAGAGCAACGTCTCAAGATTGATTTGGCAGGTAGTGAAATCGGAGACAAATGACATGACATGAATCTTCTTCGCTAATATCCATTCCCCATATGTCGCCATCGAGCCTCCTTCGATCCTGCTGCAAGGATTTTGCACCGTCTCCGCTTACGTCCCGATTCTGCTTGTTGCGGTGATGTTTCTCAAACTCCTCTTTCGTCGCGGAACAAGTCAACTCGTGAATATCTCGTTCCTTGGCGTCTTGGTGTTCGTGAACGAGATCGTCATCAAGAAGTTGATGCGGCAGTCACGACCCGCCGAATCTTGTGCTGGCAATTTCGGCATGCCCAGTGGTCATTCGACGGTGTCTGCAGGACTCTTCACGTTGAAGATCTTACAGTTGATCTACAAGACTGACCTGCACATGCAATTGAGGAAGAACGCGATTCGAGTTTGGAAGGGGTATCATGATGAATATGAGGTCGTTCAGAATGAGAATGAGCAGAATGCAGACAACAAGATCAACAAGAATATAGTTGCACAACTTGAACTTGAAGGTGGCAAAGAACTCGACCACGTGGCCAACACATCCTCCACGACGCCAGCAACGGACAAAGCGCGAGCTGGAACAGGTGGCTGTGCTGCATCTGGTCGTAGGAGAGCACAGATGATGCCACAAGCGCACCAGGAGGCACCAGAGGATGAAGTACAACTGGACGTTGCGATTGTTCCAGCGTCTTCAGATCAAAGTACAACTGACGAGAACTACGATACTTCTGAAGAAGGCCGCATGCAGAACCGTCTATCAGCTATCGAGGAAGAAATCATGGATGACGAGGCAGAGCGCTTGTTGTCTTTTTCTTCGAACTTCAAGGGAGGTGCGCAAGCAGCAGATGCTGCGACAATACAAGAGATGGCTGTTGGTATCTATGGTCCCGAGGATGCTGCCATTGCCAGAGCCAGTGTTCATTATCCACGGATCCTGGAAAATGAATCGGAGAACACCGGACGACGGGAAGGGCTCAAATTGGTCGGAAGGAACGATCGGAACAAGAATAACAGGAGTAAATCCTCGGGAAATACAAATAATGCAAAAAGTAACATGATCAAGGTGAAGATGACTAAAGCAGAAGATGATGTGGTAGTAGGTGACGAAGGAGCAGCCACTGAGAATGAGGATTTTTGCAGTGTCGCTCCACCACCGCTCAACACAGGAACTCGGAGGAGCAAACGTCCCGCATCGCTGTCCACAACAACTAAGAGAGCACCACAACGAAGTGACGATTTGTACTTCCTCTACTCACGGCTACTCCGACGCCCTTTTTCTCGACTGTTCGGTTGCTGCGAGGCAGAGAAATACGACTACAACGGTAATTTCTGTGACGCTGGAGAGGATGAGGTTGTTTCGCATGCTGAAGCTGCGCTGTGGGCCTTCGTTTGGGTGGGGTTATTGTTACGGCGGACTGAGTAAAGACTAATAATAGTTGTGAGTTGTTTGTTCCAATTGATTACTAGAATTGCATTCTAGTAATCGACTCGGAATCTGAATCAACAAATATCAACAACGTGTACTACTATTACTAGGTCTCTGATCCTACTTGATGTACTGGCTCTAACCATTGGCCCCGTCGGTCCTTGTCGTGCTGTTCTCAGGGACCACACTCCGAGTCAGATCATGACAGGTCTTATCAGCGGTTTCTGTGTCGGAGCTCTATGCTTCTTGGCCACTCGTGCTCTAGCCAGACGTTGCTCCCATCATCTTGGGCGTCACATCTGCTGTTTTCTCAAGCACGATTTCGCAGTGCCGTTTCATCAATTCCGTATTCAAATCTTGGAAGATACTTTGCCGAGACTCAAGGTGAAAATATCTGCGCGATCCCAGACTAAACAGCTTCAAAATCCACGACATGCAGCCCATCAACAAGACGACGACTACACCACAACAACGTCTTCTTCAGGAGCATCCTCAGCACGACCCTCTGCACAAGGACAAGCTATGAGAACATCATCTCGTGTCTTCCAGAAAATCACCGACCAAGAGGAATACGAAACGATTCGCCACTTCCGCAGTATCCTATTGCAGGTGCAATGGTATTACCGACAGCGAAAAGCCGCTTTGTCTAGAGCAGAGAAGGAGGGGTTGGATCAGGACATTTCAGCCTGTACTCACAAAGTTTCTGAGGTGATGGAACTAAGACGCTGTGTAAGGCAAGCGATGAAGGAATGTTTCTTTTTTAGTCCTGCTGAAGATGATCTTCTGAAGCGGAACAACAATAACAGAAATCCTCGTTATAAAGTTGGAGAAAACTTTGCTGCGCCTGGAGACTTGATTCAACTTGTAGGAGAGCAAGAATACGACGACCAAATAACGGAAAACAACGCTACAACAATGTTGAACAATCTCGAACCTCAAGTACCACTCCTAAATGGTAATGGACAACATATCATAATGCCTGCACTAGAAGAAAACGTGGTTGACCACGATACAACTTCGAGGCAGGAGGAAGAACCTTGTACAAGTAATGCAGAAGCGGCTTTGACAGAACCACTGCTAGGCTCCGCGAAATAAGGAACTCACGCCCTAGGATAAGAATGATACGATGTAACTCCAACTGGTAAGTAGTTTATTTTTGTTATTTTGGTGTTGTGGAAGATCCGCATGCTGGTGCTGAAGGTGGAATATGATGTTGTGTGTTTCTACTGCATCTTCAACTAGTGTCGCTTGATACATAGTTTCTTTAACGAAGTTTCCTTTTTCATAGTGTGTTAAAAATCCGTAATTTCCGAACTCGAATCATCATGTTCATGAGTTTCTTTTGTCCATCGAACGCTCTACACGAACAAGCCAGAAAACATCATAAAGCCAAAGCTGCACATAAAAATCTACTACACCATAATCTGCTTTTGATGAGGCACACGACATGGCTACACAGGAACATAGGCGATCCAAAGCAGATTTGAATGATTTTTTCTGAGAATATTTTTTAGTCCAAGTTCTTTTCATCGACAATCTAAAGAACTTCTTGGACATCAAAATGGAGTGCTTCTAGTTCCACTGATGTAGATCTGCAATTTTAGCTGGACGATTCGAAGCTGCAAACGAAAATGCCTTCGGGTTCCTTCTACGATCTCGTGTTGAGGAAAATTCGGATCTCCATATCCATTAAATAGAAGAAATAGAAGAATGCCGAACGGAGGTAGAAGAGCCAGAGGTAGAGGAAAAATATGAAGTAGGTATCAACTATGACGCCCCTATGGCAGTCTGCACTGAACTTTGTGACAACAAAAAACTGTCAAGCGGGTGTCAAGGTGTTTTCTGATACCCTACATCAGAGGAACGAATGACTCCATTCTTCTAGTAGCATTCTTTTCACTAGCGCAGCTGCCACGGCTGTGCTGCGGTCGCGGTGTTTTGGTTTCATTTCCTAGAACCTTTGCGTTCTTGCATCTTTAGAAAATGGCTTCCATCACGACGCACCAGAGCAAACGGCGCTGTCTCCTTCTCGGCGCGGGTTGTCGTTTCAACGGCCTCGATCCTGTGTCGCTGAATGGGCGGGTCTTCATCAGCAAGCGACTTGGGAAGAGGATCTCGACAGAGTCATCCGACGATGAAGATGAAGATGAGCGACGCTCTGATGGAGGTGAAGGACATATTATCGACGAGATCCCCTATGTGACCTACGATAGCCGCACAACGAGTAATGCTTGTTCCAGGTCCACCGCTCCCACTTCTCGTAAAATCGACGTGAATGGGCATTCACCTGGTTGTCGGATGTACGACACGCTGTGGGCGTCAGGTCAGTTTTCCGCTATTGACATCGTCCATACTTTACAGCGAGGCGAGCCTGACGTCATAGAGGCAGTTTTGAGGGAGGACCTAAAAGCTGACTCTGTCGTGTCTCCCTATGCGGTGATCTTTGCGTCTTGTAAAGGAGTGCCACATATCTTGGATGGATTGGACATGCTAGCCTCAGACCCGCAGCAACAGATTCACGTCCATCGCTACTCCCTCTTCCTCGGTCGCAACCCGTGGGTCGGCGATCTTGACTGCTCTCGTGTTAGCGAATTATGCTCACGGATAACGCAATTGAAGTCCTTGATTTCGCGTGTCTGCATGGTCAGCTGCTTTGAAGAAGACCCCAGTGCAGGGGCCAGTCAGCATCAGTTAACATGGCAAGAGCGGTTTGTTGAGAAACTCAATAGTGCGGTAGAATTTTCGGATGAAGGACCACAAGGACTGAGCACTCGTCAGGAGGCTCAAGAACAAGAAGCCCAACAGCTGCACCAGCCTCTTCTTCAGAAAAACATACAACAACAACTAGATCAGGAGTTTCTTTTTTACATCGCTTCCCATCTGCCACCAGCAATAGACACGTCATTTCAGACGTTCCTACAGCCCGACTCCCGCTACTCCCTCTTTGTAGCAGAACCTCCCTTATTCTGGAAGCCAGCAGACCTGCATCGCGGCAAGGCGCTTACGGATTGCTACGCTGTAGCGCAGTACGATCTTCTCGGAAACCAGGAAAGCAGATTAAATGTCGAAGATGATCTCACCCTCAAGCTCAAGATCCCCGTCCCGACCAGTCGATGTTCGACAGCAGCCAAAAGGCCCTACATAAACCTGTTATTACCCTGGCTTCTAAAGGAATCCAACGAACATCTGATAGGCGACATTGATTAAGGCGTACCCTTATCCATCTTCTGAGGCATCCTGAAGAGGCTGTTCCAAGGAAAAAAGCTCCCAGGATGCGTCTCAAGATGGATAAGGGTGAGGTCTAAATTGATCAGGGAGAACTCGACCATCTGCATCAGATCCGCTTGGACGCAAGGAATGTTTTTCTGCATAAAGCTGTTTTGAAGAGCAGGACGACGAATCATAGTACTAGTACGACACGACAACTAAGAGCCTGGAAATGGTATCCAGGCTGGGAAACTAGTCCGGATAGGATTCTATCCCTAGCAATGGAACGTGAAATCGAGCGGTTTGCCGATCTACGCGCAGATCCCAAGAACCCTCTTCGCCTGCAACCATTAGCGTGTGAATGGAAGAGCAAACTACTACTTGATCACTTTTCTGATCAAGATCATGATGACCTTTGCCTTTCTACGATGCATGATCCCGAGCAGTCGTCTTCATTATCGCGATTGCGAACGGCTTTGTCAGAAACATTCGGGCCAGATTTTATCTACGATCCGTGGGCGACAAGAACGGTGCCAGGAGAGACAACAACCTCATCTGACAACAACAAGAACTCTAGGTCTAGACCTTTCCTTCTTTTCCACGGCACGTCAACCGTCTGCGCCAAAAGCATCCTAAGAGAAGGTCGCTTTCGAGCACGAATATCGACTGACAAACTGAAAGCAGTGGCAGTGCAAAGCGGACGACCGGAATTGTCAGCGCATACCACAAAGGCTTACGGTGACGGGATATATGCTGCTTTTCATCCAGACACTGCTTTACTCTATGCCACAGGAAGAGCCTGTCTCGAGGATGACTGTGGAGCGCTGGTTGTGGCTGTTTTGGAAGAGTCGGGAGTCGTGTCCTCTGTGTCAGGGCAGGAAGAGTCGAGAGTGTCTGTGTCAGGGCAAGTTCTAGACAGTTGTTTGGAGAAGAGGATATCAACGTCGGATTTGCTGACCATCACCAGCGACCCGCGTGACGCGAGACCTGCCTTGGAGGAAGGCAAGTGTGTCGTGGTTACCCCTCCGCCACCTTTGAGTCAAAGTGTAGGGACATTTGTCGTGTTGCCAGAATCTACTTGTACTTCCGGTCAAGGACAAGGATCCTCTTCTTCATCCGGTCAAGGATCCTCATCTACTTGTCCGTTTACTCTACGACCAATCTGCGTTTTTAGCTTAGGCAAAGCAGACTCAAATACGACGCGCAGAGGGCTTGTTAGGCGATATAGAGCATTGGTTCTGGAGAAATTTTCGAAAGACATGGGACTTCCGCTTTGTTCGCCAGAGGAGGGTGACTCGTCATGTGCTGTGAGTCTGTCGCCGACGGCTGCAACGAGAAATCTTTCTGCAAATGAAAACGAAAAGCCTAGTACAACCACGTCGTCCTCAGTCCATACTACTTCTCCATTATCCAGCACAACATGCAGTCGCACAACTTCAGCTAGCGACAGGGACAGCCCAAGTGCTCCATCGAGGTCTACCCTAGTAGAAAAGACCAAAGCGTCGTCCGACAACAACATTCTCAACCTCTTCACTACTCTCGCTGATGCACAAGCACATGTTTTGAACATGTTACCAGCAGTTCTTGACTTCCTTGAGGCATGCTATACGCATTTTGATGGAACAACAGATTCGCGTTTGACAGGTAAAGAATTCGTCAAAAAGCTAACAGACGAAGATTTAGAGGAAATCCTCAGATTTGCGTTGGAGGATTGCGATAGCAGTGATGATATCGATCGGATTACGAGGAGAATTACGAAGATGAACTCGTCCAATGTGTCCTTGCCCTTGGCTAGTTGTAGCGGAATGTCCTGTATCAAGCAAGATGAAGGTGAAGAACTTGAAGTCGGCTGCCATAACAACACTGTCTCTACGCTGAAGATCAGGAACGGACCACACATCACGAGCACAGTACAGATGGACGAGTCAACGTGTTCGTTATCCGCCATATTGCGAGTTGTGAAGAGAAAGTTACTGGACGCCGATCCATCTGGCATTCTTGAGCCTCCCCCAATGCTAGGGCTACCTGATGATGACGATCTAAAAGCCGCCTATGGATTCGTCCGTGCGATGCCGATATCCGACCGGCGGATGTTCTACACTGCGTGCGAAGCGCTGACTCCGTTGTACAATAGGCTAGTAAGAGAAGGCCACTTGTTGGAGAACGAGCAGGAACAACAACTACCGGATGGGGAGCACGAGAAGGAACAACAACTACCGGATGGGGAGCACGAGAAGGAACAACAACCGGATGGGGAGAACGTCGACAAGGAACACCTGGAAGGGGAGAACGTCGACAAGGAACACCTGGAAGGGGAGAACGTCGACAAGGAACACCTGGAAGGGGAGAACGTCGACAAGGAACGACAAAATCATCCCCGTCTCCTGGTCGAAAGTATCCTGGACCTCCAAGCCCAATGGGATTGCGAGTATCTTGTTCGTTTCAAAATCGACTATGTGGGTTTCATCGACAACCTAAGGACGACAAACACAAGTGGCGACGCGGAGTATCCATACGGGTTTGGATATTTCGTGAAGGCAGTGACAAGATACGTTAATGAGCTTTCAGGAGGAAAGGCAACGGAGGTCGCTCGCATTGAAGGTGACTTTCAGCCTCAGTCTTAGAAGTACTACATGCAAAGAACAAAATGCACATCTCATTTCTAGTTCTTCCCCCTCTGCTCGTCCCCTCCATATGAAACACATCTAAAGATTTTCATCAGGCATCGGAAAACATCATGCAAAGAAGATACATTTCCCTGACAAGATGCTCTGTGTATAGAGCAGATTTGTGTGAAAGAACTTCTTTTATTCTATTCCGCTCACTGTTGCGAGCCAACAACAGCTCCAGCATATCATCAGAGTCGGCTGTGCTGGCCTACAAGAGGCGGCAGCGGCAGGCGGGCGTCCGTTTTGTGCTCGGTGGATGTCGACGTGTTCCACCTCTCCGTTACACATCACTAGTCGCAGACAATAATCGAGCGATGATCTCTGTATCTTCTGATTATGCATGTAAAAAGGAAAAAAAGTCAGTATAATAATGTAGGACGCATGCAAAGCGGAGACGAGAAAGCAACAAGTTCAGCTGTGAGTTGGCAGTCATTCGAGAATTCAAAAAAAAATGCCGCAAGAACTATCTGCCAGGCAACGAAGCCTCGTGCATAACGAGAGCTCTATCTTCAGTGCCGATGGTCCGCATACAGGCTCGATATACAATGCGAACAGGCAACGGGTAATTTGTATTTTTTTAGATTGTCCTCTTAGTAGCACTAGAAGCTCCTTTCTCTCATCCCCGCGGGACCAACTACCTGTGCCTCATGGATTCAATCAGTTGTTAAACAATCTCCATTCTCCTTCAGGAAATCCTCAGCGCAGTGGACGAGAAGAAAAGGGTGACTCAGACGCACAAGCCGAGTATCGACGTCCCTACTGCTAGAGAAATCAAAGTTGCGCATTCAAGTGGACACAATCTCGTTTGCGGTGACGGCCTAGATGAAAGACATAGCAGAGCCGAACAACTGGACGTACCTCCGCATGAAAGATGTGGAAGGGTACCTAATCACACTAGCTACTATTTTTACATGAGTTCTTGTTCGATCATGATTAAGTTAGTAGCGCTTTTATGAGATTGTGAATGATTTTGATCTGTTCGCCATGTTGGATTCAGTAGATGAAATTAATTTGTCATCCGTAGAGAAGTGCCCAACGATCTTATGTGTCATGTTCTGTATGTTGATTATCATCAAGGACTTCTTTGAGAAGATGAGAACGCATTTAGTAATATCACAGGACAAAAGTGTGACCCTTCCTTTCAATTCCCCCTCAAAACAGTGGGAAAATTCCAGTTTTTGGGAAGGGAGTGAAGCTTTTCGCGGCAAAACCAGACTAACCTGGACAGGCAAAGTGGGCCCTCCTAAGTCTGGCCCCGAAATCAGCGCGGCCGAACGCAAGCAGAGATCCGGCAACTCTGTCGTTTTCGGAGGGCAAGGACAACAAATCTTAAGGCTCCTCCTTGCTATTGTTTATTGCTATCCGATTTAATCTTGATGTTGATGTGGCCTATTGTTCTGAGTGGGTTGCTCCCCTTTGAAGTCAAGAAGAGGCAGAAGAGGTAAGGAAAGGGAGCCTCCCACTTAACCACGGATAGTCAAAAACTACGTCTAAAAATGGCAGGAGGCAGTTCGCCCAGTGGTCAGAGACGAACACCTCACGACGAAGGTCTGCACGCTGCAGATGCCTACTTCTTGACACATCAGACGTTAGGACGATGAAAATGGCGATGACATAGTTGTAGCAGAGATTTGAATTTGATAGAATACCACGACGATCAAAGTCAAAATTCAACATTCACAATCGCTAGGCGCAGCACTGTACTACCGCAGTAGAGAAGAACAACTGAAAAAGCTTGAGGTAGTAGTTCTTGTTGTCGTAAACGTAATCCTCACATTCTCAATTTTCGGGTGACAGCACAGTTCGACTCTTTTTCTAAAACCAGTACGAATCTTGCCCAACGTCTACCTCTAACAAGAAAAGTCTCCCAAGAAGGCAATGCGGCCAGTGCGAGTGATCGCTTTCAGAAAGAGTTGCATCGTGAGCACGAACTCAGGTCGCAGGATGTCCTACAACAAGCGAAGCGACTCGAGCCCGCGGAGAGCGAGAGGAGAAAAGTGGAGAAGAATTATTCGGATATATTTGGTATAGTTCTTGTCTTGGCTTCATATCTTTCTACTCAATATAGAGCGAGGCACCTCGCTACAACACACTGACCTATTCATTCGTCGGGTGTCTCATCATTAGCGAGCGAAGCCAGGGCAGGGGTGACGAAATGCATGAACCAACGTCGAAAATGCATGAACTGCCGCCGACGTTGCTGGGGTCAATAAGAAAACACACCAGCCGCGAATTGCGGAAAGGAGTGAATTCGTCTCGGGGAGGAGCTTACCACTCTACTTATCTTGCTACCATCATCACCATCTTGCTAAGTACCTACTAAACCCAAGGACGCATATCTTTCATCAGGTGCCGCTCCTCCTGCTCCTGCGAAAGTCGGTCGAAGGGAAGAAACCACGTTAGGAATGGGGAGCTGGTTGGACCCGAAGCACGAGCTGGCGTATAGGAATGTGGTGTTAAGACGAGTCAACAAGTGAAATTTGAGCAACTTGAACTTAGAACCCCAACAGACGCTTTATCTTCAACTTTCGCATAGTTCGAATCGTAGATGCCTGTAACTACGGTTTTTTCGAAATCAAAAATTGAAATTCACCTTCAACTTGCTTCTTCATCTTCAACCCGTCCCCTTCTTGATTTCGAAAAACCCTTCTTCTAACCATAGGACACACAACCGATGCTGCAATGAATATATCTGCTCGTGAGCGGAAAAACAGGAATATCTTCCATTCCGATTCGGCAATAACCGGTAGCGCGAAAAGCCGTGAGCTTGTAGAACAAAGACGGAGCGAAGGGAACTACACGTCGTACTTACCCCTTGATGTTCAATCTTTTTCTTTTTCCTACTTCGAGTTCGAGTACAACATCAACCAGTATATTTTCAACATACATGCGCTTTAACAGTGCCATACACGAGCATTGTCCTGACGGTGGTATGAGCCAACAAGCTGTTTTGGCAAGAGAAAAGGCACTGCGAATCGCAAGGCAGCAGGGCGGAGCAGGTTTGAAGGAACCTTTGACGCATCACGGTCGGAATATCGCGGAGCTTTCAGGGCACGGCTACGCGTCCCAACTCACGGAAAAGGACTATATTGGGACGCTTACGGAGAGACACAACAACGTGCAGCAAGACCAAGACCACCCAGGATGGACAACTCATGGAGCTCAGAAGGCGTACTATCCTTAAAACGCCAAACTAGCTCTTCGCATCTATTTAGAGCTAGAAGAAATCCATCTTGTAGAGCATCTTTTTGACCGTTTCCCCTTAAAAAGCGGACCGAAGATGCTGGCTAAGATGGATTTCTTCTAGCCCTAATCTATACAACTGATTCGTACTTCTAGCATGTATTGTTCTCCTTTATCTGAATGGTTCCGGTATTTGGTAGCCTGAATTTGATCACAAGGGTTCTCTTCTTGTTTTCCCTTATGATCCAATTCAGGTTACCAAATAGCGGAAGCCTACATCATCATCGACTTCATTATTCGTAAGTATTGTTCAACACGGTCCTCTTGCTCTTCTACCCATCTCAAGAACATCAGGTATTTCGGTGCTAAAGGCGAAATGTATGTGACTCCCGATTACGACAGAGAAGTCCACTCCGGTGGTCGAACTAGCAGTCCTGGGATGGAGGCCCATGCAATTCCTGATGGCAAAAAACACCACGCCACACGAAAAGAAGCGGAGCTGAGGGGAAGCAATATTGTGTTGCAATGAATATTAAGGTGGAAGCGTATACAACAGCGCTAGGCTAGAAGAAGTCCTGTGTGAAACAGCAAGAACGGTGATTGAATGCAAAATCGATTATCTTCGCTCACTTGAATGAAGTTCGAGAAACTACTGCATGTGCAAGATGCAGCTGATGTACAGTACTATTTCAACGCAGATTTGAGCAGAAGCAGAACTCTTTTTCCAATGATGAATTCGTAGTCGTGCACCGAGTGAAGATGCTGGCCTTCGCCTTTCTAGTAAATTATCAGAAAGATCATACTCATTCCAAGGAAAAAACAAGGACCAAGGAACTGCTCAATGAATGCGAAGGCAAAGACACTTCACCGAATATCATATCATATCGTCTCTTCCTACAACGACCAAAATCAATGCTCGGCAAAAGATCACAGATCATGACGTGGAAGTATTGTTGCAGCTGTATTGCTTTTGCAGCGGTGGTACTAGTAAAAGGACAATTGCACCCTCTTCTTACTTCTACTCCCGTTCCCTCAGATTTGTATATCTATCTACTGCCGTGAAAATCGGTCCACTCAGTGATGACGATGAACGTTCCTCGCTCCTATCATTAAATGCTCTCGTTCACAATCCCATCCACAACCTCTGCAGTTTTGAGGATCAGCAAAGGGACGAAAGAGGTATCTTTTTCATTCTCTCCATAAATATTGTTGTTTTCTTTCGTTTCTACCGAACAAGTTCGATGTTGTCATTCAATGTTGAGTCGTTAATAGTCACAACGAGAACGAACTTCATGTTCACTCGTTATAATTGATTCATGTCGAGCATTGGGTATCCATGCGTTTTTCTATTCACATTTGTGATCTGAATTTGTGATCTGAAGTTCTCATACCCCCTCTCGCTTTCCACCCTGTCCTCTTTGTTTTTGTGTACTTAGAAGTAACTATACCTTGTTTCGTAGAAAAATATAACAAGTGCAAAACTATATCGTAAATCTACTCTACGAATACTTACAATTCATTACATGTACAACTAGTACTATAAAATCTTCATCAAGATGAAAAATATGTTATCTCGGCCTCGAAGGAGATTCACTCGCGTTGTTTGGGTCGTTGGAGCAGGGCTCCTCTCGACAAGCTTGTGCTGTGAAGCGGCATCTGTTGTGGATCCTGGGGGTCAGCGATTCACATCAAACCATGTCGTTGTAGGCCCTCCTCCTGGACTAGAGCGGCCAGAAGATCAAGATGTTGCCCTAGAACTGCTAAATGAAGAACTAGGCTTTTCGGACATTGGATTTGGGTGTCCAGGTATTGTGGCAGGAGCAATACTGCAAGACGATACTAGCGTTAACGTCAGAGTAAAGACGGGAAGTAAAGCAAACGAGAATGTCGCTGTTGGAGATGTTGGGGGAGGTGCAGGTCGTCCTTCCATTAAGAAAATTGTCATCCTTCGTTTCGACAGAGGGTAACGTTAAGGTTCTTCATGTCAGAAGTTGGTGTATGCTCTCCCACAATTCCAGCACTGAGTAGTCATTTAGTATATTTAATTTACTTATACAAAGGTAGGAAATCGAAATTCTTAGCTTGCCAAACCACAAACATGAGCTGATGACCTTCTGTTCTTTTCTAATTCTAGTGCAGGCAGCAACACTATGGTAGACCGCAAGGGAAGCAAAGGAAGCTCTGGCGGTAGCAGCACTGGTGGGCAATCGAAAATTTCGGTGAAGACCACAGCTGAGGACATTCAAACTTCTCGCGGCCCACAGCTGAGGACATTCAAGCCTCCAGCAGCAGTTGTAGCATCTGCAGGAGCACAGGAACAATACGGCAGTAATGGCAACAGTAATGGCAACGTCGTGGCAAGGGGGAAACATCATCCAGGAACGAATAGAAAAACTTCTGGAGCAGGTCAACTACATCATCAAGAACAATCTGGATGTGGTGCGACTTCAGCTTCTCGTATGCACGCCAGAAGCAAGACTTATCATGTAAATCACTACAATTCCAACCCACTGCCCTTGTCCAGCAGTCCCGGATTCGTACCTGACTTCAACGCACAATACTATGCATCGTCAGGGTACCCAGCTCCGGGATACGACGCTAGCACGTCAGGCTCCTACGGATCAGCTTATCCATATTATCCGCCGCATCATCATGGTGCACCACCAGCGCCGTATGCTGGTCCAGGGACTATGCACATGCAACAATATGCAGACCCTAGTGCAGGAGCATACGCTGTTCAACATGATGTGCACACTTATGGAGGAGCTACAACTGGCTACCAGCACCAGTACCAGTATCAGTCGCCTGTCCATCCGCAACATCAACAGCAGATGTACGAAGTGAACGCGGCAACTACTGCTCCTGGACCATATGTTGATCCCGGGCAGCAGCAAGGATATCATCCACTACCCGGAACCGGGGGCTCAGATTATCTTATGGCTTCGAATTCGATAAAGAACAATTTATTTGATCTTGAGAAAACGAAAAATTGACTTTTTTTCTTGGCAATTTCTGACATCCTAGTACTAGTACAACTTGTACCACTGCTAATGCTTACTCGATGATACAATCGACGGCGAACGCGTGGCACCAGGCTGCCACTGGAGAGCACCAGCATCAATTCTTGCCTAAACATCATCATCAAGAACATCAAGTACCACATCAACCACGACAAAGCTATATCCAGAACGATCCTATCAATAATTATCACGGGTATGTGGGCGCACTGGCGGGTACAGATGCTAAATCGGTTTTCGATCAGAGACGGAGCAGTCCTCCTGCTCAAGCTCAGATTTCTTCTCCACCTAAAACTCTCCCCTTCGATCCTACTGCAATTGTGGTCGAGAGAGCGGAAAGCAGGAAGCATGGGCATCGGCATCCTCTGTTATCATATGCGGAACAAGTTGCACCAGTAGAGCAAGAGTACTCAAACAAATATGAAGAATATGCACCAGAACATGAAGCAGAACAAGCTGCATACAAGAACTTCTTCTATGCATCATCTTCTTTGCAGATGAAACAGCAACAATTACAACAACTACAACACGACCAACATCCAAATCGCCCTTCTGCTCCTCAACTTTTCGTTTTTAATCCCATCACTGGGAAACCAGAAGCGCTTGCTGCGTCCTCAACTACTAGGACAACCGAAGAGGAACAAGGACAAGCAACTAGAGACAGGAGCCCAAAAGATTTCGAAAAAATCGTCAGTGACATACAAAGGAAACTCTCTTACTCTTTCGATCACTCAACAGAGCACGAGCAGCAGGACGCTTCATCAAAGACTCTTTGGCCAGGACAAGCGACTACCGTAGAATTTTTAGGTCTAAACACGCCTCCTCTTGTAGCAGCTCCGGGAACAGCAAGTCCTCCTCCCCACGCAGCAAGTCCTCCTCCAACTCAAGAGCAGGGAACAGCAAGTCCTCCTCCCCACGCAGCAAGTCCTCCTCCAACTCAAGCGCATCCGGTAGTTTTCGCATCCGGACACGAAAAGATGAACCAGTTTTCGCATCCGTACAAAGGCAACAACGAGCAGCTCGTGCAGCACGCCGCGCAACCCGGCGCTGGCTTCGCACTTTCCAAGGAGCAATCCTCGCAAGATTTTCTTGCGGCAAACGCGTTCAAGAATGTGCTGGGTCATACTGCGTCCGCGACGACTACGGTGCCAAATACTACGGTGTTGAATACTGCCGTCCCCAATTGGGATAACTATACCGATGAAGACCTCAAGGTGGTACCTGAGTCGGTTGTTCACGCTATAGCTCCTGTTGAAGTTGATGCAGGATACAAGCAAGGTACTAAAGTTAAGTAAATTTATAGTCTGATGTTGAAAGGCTGATGAAAAGTAGAACATTAAAACCGACGGCGCAGGTACTAAAGTCATAGTCAAAAGTCAAATAAAAATGCTAGAGTCTAACCTTCTTCTAATCTTCTACCTTCTAACCTTCTACTTTAGGTCCTCCAGCAACGTTGGAGGACGAGGAGCTCATGATACAGCAGGGATGGGATAATGCTGGTAATATTTTCGAAGACGAAAAGTAGAAGAATGCTAGCGGTTCGTTTCTATTTCGAAACTACAGTTTCTATTTACATATGGAGCTGCTAGCGTTTCGTAGTACTATTTGCAAAAGGGCGAGGAGCGTCAACGAGGAAGAGCACGCATGATTTTTTTTTCAGTTCATCTCTCTCAGAACGATTTTTATGTGGGTGAGAAAACAATGAGGACTATCTTTGGCCTCGTCTTGACGGCTAGACGCAAACTAGAGTCAGGACTTGTCAGGTTGTGTACCTCAACAGCTTCTAGACATCGATGTATTGGTCTAGGTTTTTTCATGGTATCGGCTGCGAGTGGTTCCTCCGATTTTAAGGTTGATCTTGTTTAGGCGTTCTTGGCTTAGATGTACGTCGCCACTTGTGGTAGGTTCATCAATCTTTAGATCTCCAGCAACATGATCATGATAGATCAAGACTACGCGAAAGTGAAACTTCTTCAACGTGAACAAGGGTGTTATGTTATCTTCGTCATGTAAATATCTAAATATGCCGAGCTCGAGACAGAACTTTGCCTATGACTATGATGTGCAATCAAATCGTTATTCATCGCATAAGACAGACGCTTTCTTCACTATCTTGTTTCTCTGTGATTCTATCTAATTTTCACGGTTTCGCTTTCTTCATAAATGATTTTCTTTTTCTGACATGCCTAGACCTAGAGCTAGACAATGACAACAAACTACAAATGATAGTGCAACTTTCATCTTACGACCTACTCTTGGTCTCTTCTTCGTTCATCTATTTTTACTGGTTTGACTTTCGAACGATTGAAGACGGGCCAACAGCAAAACGCGGCATTGGTAGATACGGAAAATGTTGAAGTCCGTCGTGCTTTGTTTCGGCTTTCTTGATGACCCTGTGACTTAGACTTGTCACCTTTCGCTTTCGAAAAACGAGACTCTCTTGATGTTGATAATTGTTGCCGAAATTGTGGAACCAGCAAATTATATATTCGAGCCTGGAATCCTTGAGCAAGCAGGACGAAGCGCCGAAGTGTCATCGCTCTACTGGTACAACGGTTGCGGCTTTGATATTGCGTTCGCTATTCTCATGAGTTGTCTGTGAAGACACCACAGCACCCAAAGAGCCCCAAGAAGGTCCTTACACCTTCAAGAGACATAGAGGCAGAGAGGAACGGAGAGAAAGAGAGAGGGAAAAAAGTTTTGAATCAATTATAACCGCCTTCAGTGTATCTATTATATATATGGGGTTGAAGTCGATTTTCCAAATCCAAAGAAATAGGAATGAATAAATGAATTCTTCCTGGACGAATCCTTCTATATTTTCCTAGAAAAACGAAAAGCACATGGTGCAAAGACGCCGTTCGTTGAGAAACACAAGGCCGCACGAAGAGGGTACGGAGCGGATCATGTGCTGCCGTATCTTCTATGAGAGCGAGTAGGAGGCGGTCTACGTCTACTGCGTTGTAACCATCATGATTCACTTCAAAGTTGCGCTACAAAAGGTTGAAGTGGATCTTGATTTTCCAAGTTAATAGTAGGTAGAGGCCGGCACGGCAAGAACAAGAAAAGCACGGAACAAAACGAAAAAGAACGAAAGGCGTAGGAATCGACGAAGATATCCCCTTCTTCGTACTATGCGTCCAGAGACATCCTTCTAGCACTAGCACAACATTGAAGATGACTTCGAAGGCTGAAGTTGTCGTGATCGTCGACCCTTACTCATCAAGTGGAAAGTATTATTTAAGGCTACAACAAGAATAATAATCATTATCATGCTCGTTGAGAGAAAACAGCGTCCATTTTGTAAGGAATGGAAATGAGGCGGGTCGTGGCTTTATCATGCAAGTAATTTACTTGAGCCAAAATGGCTACGGAAGTGAAAAAGTTGTTGACCTCTTGCCATTGTCGTGCGTAGGAAAGTAGCGTGCCCTTTCCTACGTAGTCGTAATTTTCAACAGCCGGCTCCACTCATTCATCTACTTACTTTTTAGCAAAGTTGTTCAAGCTGCTGTTTTTGGGGTACCCCAATGAATGACTGCGACATTGGCTGACACGCCTCTGACACACCATCCTCCAAGAGCTGCTGCGTGGTGAGAATGTGAAATTGGTGGCCGCGAGGTCATCGTGCATGAAGGCCTCGAGGTCACAAAGAGGAACAAACTGAAACTGTGTGGGGTGTGGTCAGTGGACGGGTAGTTGTAGGTGAGCACGTAGTTGTAGATGAAGTAAATTTCCTTCTAATTACATGCTTTTGCTTTCATTCTCTTTCTCCCAGTATTACAGTGAGACAAATAAGAGCAATACTACCTACTAGCTCTGTCTCATCGTGATAGAATACGTATGTAGGAAAGTGCTTGCATGCGTGCTACAGGCCTCTGCATCTTTTTTTTGCTTCCTGACCTACGTCAGAAGTTGAAGTTAGAATTACCGATTCACTCACACTCCCTCTGCTCCCTCCACGCAACTCCTTGTGATGCTCTTGTCGCACTCGCAATTGTTCTCTTCACCACACTTTAGGGTCCTATTTCATGCTCCTGCACACGACCGTTCCTCCCAGGACCGAACAGAATTTGCTAGAACAGAGTGCTTTTTCACTTCAGACACAAGGAGGTTGTTTAAGTACTCACCTGTTTGCCGCAGGCAGCAGCTTCAGATGCAGATTAAGCGCCATCTTCTACTGCTGCTGGGTAGCCAAGAGACCCTCGCAAAGAAGATAATGATCATGATGACTGACGATCTTGACCAAATCCATACACAGAGAGGAGTAATCAGCAAGATCTTTGTTTGTGCCGCGTGTATGTACTAGCATAGGGACCTGTTGAAGTTGTCGAAAATGCAGCTGACTCTTGTTCGTCTTCCAGAACTACAACGTTGGTAGAATATAGTCGGATATCTATGTGTCAGCCGTCCCAGGTCACCAAAATTTAAATTCTTTGAATTAGAGAAACAAGGGAGTTGTTCGCATCGTGTACGTGTACGACCTCGTCCAGGAGAAATAATTAGAAGTGTGGTAGTCCTTTTGTGTTTCGCTTTCCTGATGAAGGAGCAGAATTCTCCATTTTGACAATCAAAATTCTTTCGAGGTCTTAAATAAATGGACGACTGATCATTTCAGGACGTCGATACTAGGTCAATCCTATTAAAAATTTACTCATCCAACTACATTAAACTTTATATAATCAATTTTTGTTTTTCCTGCTCTCTACTCGAACTGCTTTGCTAAACAGTAATCCACTGCCTCCTGCAAGCCTTTGTTATGGCGCGCCGCTTCCTGTGCCAACGCATTGCTGAACCCCATCGCGACCAAAGACGAAACAAGGCCACCCCCCGCTTCTGCGTTCTGATGATGGTGCTGCGCCTGGAGGTTTTTTCGGTCGCTCGTCCCTGGTCCGCATTCATTAGCGATAGCTATGTGAATTAAAAGACAGTCGAGAACAACTAGGACAACAGATCCAGTAAGTATCCCCTCGAAAAACATGACCCAGGAGCTGTTTTCTCGAGAAATAAGGATCCACCAAGAACGAGATCATGAATGTTAATGTTTACAGAAGATACAGATTGATAGGTCGTTACCATTATAGCCTTAACAACGCAGCCGCCCCTTCCGTTGGCTAGATCATGATCCTCTTGCCGCTGGTGTTCGCGCGCTAATTTCTCAACTGGATCCTCTGCCTCTACGAGGACGCCAGTACCTTGATGTCGATGTTGTAGCTTATCAACATTGTCAGCAGCACTGTCGTCGCTAGGACTAGGACTCGAGAGCTCGATCACCTCATCGACGTCCATACCCCTCGCCCTATCTTTAGCATTGCTGTCTGCGTCGGATGTCTTTCGCTCTAGCAGTGCATCAGCATCCCGTCGCAACCAGTCTTGTAATATCGAGCCGAGCTCGTGGGCAGTAAATAAGGGCTTGGAGCCGTCCTCACCCTCCTGATGATCGACTTCCATCCTATCACTGACGTCGTCCTCGTCATGGATGACATGCAATGTCCTACTATTTCCATTGCCGTTGAGACTCCTCGCGTGGAGGTCCTTTCCGTATCCGTTTGTTCCGCAGCCAAAGAAGGACGAAAAAGAGCTATCTTGTGCAGCAGGTGCAATTCCTATTCCGCTGCTGGAAGACGAGGATGAAGATCCACCACCAAAAAAAGCGCCACCCCCTCCGCCTAGACCTAGTCCTGAAGAAGTAGATTTACTACCTGAAGACGTTGACGAAGTTCCAGCGCCCCATCCTGGTAAGAACTGTCCCTGGGCGTTTCTTCCGTGTCCGTCGGAACTAGAGGAAGATGCGCCAGGGGGTCCTGCGCTGCTTGAGGACGATGAGGAAGCGCCTCCTCCTAGTGCTCCACTCGTGCTACCGCTATTGAATGGATTTGAAAAATCGCGACGATCTCCATTTGCGTTCCACGTAGAAGATGATAAATTGACGCTGCTGCTCTCTTCAGCGCGACCTCCTCCCAAAAAAAACAAGCTATTGTAATTCTGGTTTCTCACGACCGCCGCTGCGCCCACCTTTGCTTGCAGCGCCTTATCTTTCTGCTTACTTGCCAGCTCCCGCGCAGCCACTTTTTTCGCGTGCTCCTCCTTGTGCTTTTTTCTTGCGTCGATTTGCTGTCTGTGTTCAAGCACGAGGTCTTGTTCCACAGTGTCGGCAGTGACTAAGCGCCACATGGTCACCTCTTTACGCGTTTGGCCCAACCGTCGAACACGCGCTATCGCTTGCAACTCGAACGCGCAGGCTTTGTCCACCGTCTCCGTGCACATGGGGTGGAGCAAAAAAACATGGTTCGCGCTGGTCAAATTCAATCCGGATGCTTCTTACTTAGAACCAACTAGGAGAGCGAGAGATCCGTCTTCACTAGATATTAGTATTACATTCATAGCATCTTCTCTCGGCCTCGTCCCCTTTTCCCTTGAAAAGCAGGCCGCCTAGAGACGATGCCGCAAGCGAAGATGGATCATTTGGGCAGCCTCTACTTCTTGCTGTAGCCCCTTAACTTTCTCCAGCGAGAGCAACAGGACACGCTTCTCCAGCTGCAGCGCATCCGGGTCCGCGGCTTCCAACTGGGCGACCGAATCCGCGCTCAGCTTCTTCTGAAAATCCTGCAGCCCAGAGCGGTCGCGGACGGTAGTGTATTTCACCGCCTTGTAGTCGTCGAGTGCCTCCATCACCTGCCACTGCAAGTCAGAAAACTGCGTAAAGATGATCACTTTGGCCGTCTTATCTTCGGTGAGGATCTTCTCCAGCAGTGCTGCCACATAGTGCAGCTTTGAGCCATGCTTGTCCTTGCGCTTGATCTTCTTCATCCACACGGACTCTATTTGAGTGGCCTCGTTGGCGCTCTCGGCTTCCAGCCAGTTCTGCTTCTTTTTCGGCAAAGGGTAGTGAGGATTCGTTGGTGTTGCATTAGCGGTAGTTGTAGTAAGTTGGCCTATGTACTATAATCTAACTCGCATATCTAGCCCTTTGCTCCCCCTTAAAAAGATCGTCGATATGCTCCTAGAAAGGTCAACTTCCATCAGCCCTTAACTTTGCCTTCGCAAGCACCTCCCAGCATGCCGCCCAGTGAAGATGACGAGGCCCCACTTTGCAACACCTGCTTGCTGCTCGTCGCAAACGACGAGGATGCGCCTGCCTTCGTTGCCGATGAGTCCTCCATCATCTCTTGTGGCTGCTTCTGCTCGTCCTGCTCAGCATGATGTTGTTCGAATTTTTTCCCGAATTTCTGTTCGTAACCACGATACGACTGCAGCACCTCTTCGAAGTTTTGCGTTTTCTCCAGAGAGCAAGGGCCTCGGCACGTCGGGCAAATCTGCGCGGTGCCACTATTTTTAGAAGAGGTAGTCGTAGTCTTGCACTATGTATGATCCCGAGGCGAGTATGTACTTAGGTTCCCACCTTTTTTATCCCTTCTTAATTTTAGAATCCCCTCATAAAAGTAAATAAAGCAAGAAGGACTCCACTCATCATATAAGGTGATACGTCCTCGCGTTGGGTAGATAATGATAGCGATAGCCTAGTGATAGTCTATGAACCATAATTTTCAGCAGGTCACTCAAGCAGCCTTTGCAGAAGACGTGACAGCAGCGCTCGATCACGAGCATCCCATTGGGCTCAAACTCATCCAAGCAGATCGGGCATTCGATTTCCTGGCTGTCACCGTCTGTAATTGCGAGTTGGTCAGAACTCATCACACTTTTGAAATATTAGAACTTGCAGAAGAACTCCATCTTGATCAGGATGATCTTGGAGGTGCTCATAATTGCCCTTCACAAGAGTGGGATCTTCAAGATAGATGCTGGGGAAGACAAGATGGATAAAAGTTCCGACTTCGTCAACAAGAAGCCTTAAAAATAGTTTAAGTTGCCCTCAGACACCGAACAGAGCCGCTGAAAGGCAAACTCCGCGTCCATAGTCTCTTTGATCTCGATCCCCGTTTTCGATAGCTCCTCCTTCAATTTAGCGCCCAGCCTCATGAGGTCGGTGATGCCTTTCGCGTAGTTTTTGGCGTGCTTGTATTAGAGGCCACTTATGCGTCTACTCACCTAGAAGAGCAGCGTCTTTGATGTCGTTTTTTCCTCTTAAAAAAGGGGCCCAGCCCCAAGATGCTTCTTAGGATGCATTATTGCCAGCACTGGGCTGCTCTCTCCGCTTCAACGCTTACTGTAAGCCATAACTGTAATGCAGGTTTTCGTCGAGCAGTGGCTTTACTAGCCTTTGCCAGTTTTCGGCCGCTCGATCGCTTTTCGAGTCCTCCTCGTCCTCAGCCTTGCTACCCTTCTTCTGAGTCACACTGACGTGCACCACGGACAAATCTGTCGGATCCAGCAGCCGCTTGCTCGCGTCGCGAATATTTGCCTCGCAGGCACGAGCAACTCGCGCACGATTCACATCTTTCGCTTTAATGATTTCGTCCTCGTTGAAGGGGTCCACCAAGTTTCCCTCGTCATCCATCTCGCTGCGTTTGATCTGCTCTTGCAGTTCTTCGTTTTCTCGTCGCGCCTTCACAAGTCGACTCTTCTTTTTCACCTCCTCGTCTAGCCAGAAACCTGCGACAAACTCATCAAAGTCGTCGAAAATCACTCCCAAGCCAGCATCCACCTCGGCACGAAATTGCTTTTCTGTTTTCCTTAGAGCAGGCCATGCTTATTCTTATACGAGGCATACTTTACTAGTTGTAGTTTGATAGCCTATTTCTATTTCTAGCAAGTTATACATAGTAGCGCTCGAGGTTAAGATAAGTCCATCTCTTCGGATTTCCTGTGTGAGGAATGTGTGCCAAGTAGCGAAAGATAGTCTAGTATTCCGCTTAAAGTGAGTGGCCACTGCGTCGAGCTTAGCTTTTTGGTAGATTCTACTTGCGCCGCAGCATCACGCTCGTCTTCTGCCGCCATGCCTGTTCGTTCGAAGATGTGCCGCTCCATGAGATCTCGTCGCAACACCTTCTGCAGAAGATGTTTGGCCGGCGGCCAGCTATTCTTACCGAAAGCAGCAGCAATCAGCTCGTGGCTGTCGAGCGCGTCGTTCGTAGCCCAGAAATCTTTGGCACTCTGGACCAGTGTTTCGAACGCTGTCCTCTCCACAGACTTGGAATTAGATTTAGAACCCAAACAAGCAACCCATGTCGTCCACAGTTCACTTTTTGCAGACATCCAAGACGAAGGAGACAGAAGAAATACACTTTTTAAACTAAAACTATATCCTTGAAAATGAATCACAAAAAAAAGTAAAAGAATTTGAATTACTTTAGCGAGCCTTAATAGTTGAAGTTTGGTTGCTTTTCTTCATGTTTGCCGCACGAGGAGCTGCAGGAGGTGGAGGAGCAGGAGCAGCAGCACTACTAGATGATGATACAGCGTGTTTATTTGCTTTTGTGTCGCTGTCAAAGTCATCTGGAGCCTGCTCTTGCTTGTCTAACTGCAGCACCGTGCTCAAGATGCCGGTCACATCGTCGAGGGTAATGGTCTCCAGATTTTTTGTAACCCGGGGCATGTTTTTTGTGTGGAAGAAGGCAGCTGCGCGCTCGTAACACAGCATCTTGAGAATGATCTTGTGGATTTCCTTTTTCCGCTGCTCCGTTTCCTTCCGCTTCTTCTCCGCGACTGCGGCAACCTGGTTTAAGTTGCTGTAAGTCTCCTATCTCTTCTGTTTCATCTCCAAGAAGAAGAATTGAAAAGCTATGAATATGACCTTTCTAATTCTAATATCAAGATCTCCACCTCGAGGCCCAGGCACGACCGGCACGTCTTCACAAGCATGAGTAGCTAAGTAGAAACCATCTCACAGCGATTAGCTTTGAAAAATGAAAAAGGAAAACTAAATGCGAATAAGTAAGTACTTGCTCCTTGGCCGAGCCCGCTGAGTCGTCTTTGTTCTGGAAGTGGCAGCATAGTTTGAGTAGCGCAGTCCGCTTCTTGAGATCTTCTGCACTCAGGTAACCTTTGCGAACCGCGAGTTTTTCATGGTTGTTGTGCTGAATCACCTTGACACTTTTTCGACAAGAAGCGGAGGCTGTAGTTCCATCCTCCTGGTGCACCTCCTCGTCTTCAAGGTGGTCATCGAGCAGCCCAAAACTCTCCACTTCAAGTACGGACACGGAATTCTCCTCCGACGACGACGCCAGTGCATATTGCAGGCTCTGCTCCTCATTTTTGTACAGCACTCGCTCTTCCGGCTGTAACACCACACGGATGAGCTTTTCGACGACCTCGATCTCGTCCTCCACGCCCTTGATGTTAGAGCTTTCCGTGTTCATCCATCTTTCTACTGTATCCTTGAATCAATAGTATAGCACGAGACTACCCAAGCACACCTTTCAAGGACACACACACTAAAAGATGAATTGAGTAGCTACAGCCTTACTGATGCTGTTCTGCCGCATGAAGTGCTCTACAAAATCCTGCGCGTATTTCCGAAAGTAAGCAGATCTGTCCCACGCGTGCTTCGAGAGGAATGCCGCGCGCTGGAGCAAGAACTCGCGCTCAAATACTTTGTACTGGGCAGGAGGATGAGCATCTTCATTGCGGAGTCGCTTGCTCGACGTCTTGGCCTTGTTATTTGCCGCCGCGGCCGCACCACGAGAACCTTGCACCTGCAGCATGCGCGGCGCGACGTGGTTCTTCTCCCCACAATAAGCGCATATGAATTCTGGATCATATAAGCTCCCATGTATATGCACTAGTTCGTCGTCAAAGGTCATCAAGTTGCCACTTCCTCTTCGTTCACCTTTATAATTATTCGGCGACCCTTCCTGTTCCTCGTGGGGTTCCCCGCAGCAATTGCAAAACCGGCGGACCGTTGTCGCGTCAACGACTTTCGAGCCGAAGTGCCGATCCTCCCTAACATTAGATGATCCCACGACTCTGATCACTGATAAACTAAAACAAAAAGATGGAATGCGAATGGATTTTTAATTGTAAGAGTGAGTGAGGCCATAACAAAAGAAAACTCGTCCAATTTCTCTGCGTGAATGTTTCGCCAGTCGACGTTCAATTTTTCAGCCCAGACCCTTGACAGGTCCTTCTCTCCACAGCTGCGAAGAAGATCAAGATACTTGCTAGACGTGTACTCTATTTCTTAGAAGAAAGAGCTTGACACATGCAACCAGTGCTGCTCTTGCGTCGAGACTCAGTAGTTAGTATTTTTGATAGACCTTCCGTGATTCTACTGATGCCCCTGGCCATAATTTATTTAATTGTAGTCCCCTTCTTGATATAAATGACATGCTCGCTAAGATGGATTTCGATTTTACTCTATCTTGAAGGAGCCACCTTACACCTTGTTTAGCATGACCGCGTCCGCGGCGTCCTGTCCAACGAAATCCACCTGGAATAAGCTGGCGGCAGCCACGATGCTGCGCGTGTCTTCCTGCTTCGGGGTGCCGGTCAACCCGAATCGTGCGTGCGCCTGCAAATTACACAGAGTATGGACTTCTTAGAAGACCTTGCCTAGAGCTATACTCGTCATTCTTGATGAAAAGCATTCGTTTCATTCTGACGCCTGTCCCTGTGCCGCTTACTTACATACAAAACAAGAGGCCAGAGAGCGAGATGCTTCTTTCTTACGATGAGTCAAGTTAAAAAGCCTTAAACTTCCTGGCTCTTGAAAGACTCGGACTCGTGAAACTCGTCATACACAATGCGTCCAAATTTGATCTGTTCTAACACCGGAAAGACGAGGTTCGCCGCGTCGCATCGCAAATTTTCCGGAACGCAGCAACCTGTGCTCTGCCTCTCTCTGACTTCGCGCGTAGTGAATTCTGGCTGCAGAGGTCGTCTTCTCCCGGCTTGTTGCTGCTGCTTATTACCGCGACCACATCGTTAGAGAGTGAGAGTGAGAGTGAGAGAATATTTACTAACAACTACACAGTGATGTCAGTGAGTGAGAGTTTCAAACAAAAGAACAACAAAAAACGCAAAACATCAAGAAAAACGTGCGCGAGTGAGTCGTGAGTGAATACATCATTTACAACCCACTCCAGGGGTATAGAGGACGACTACTCACTACTTCCTACCTCTACAGCGTACATATATAAGTAGGAGAATGATTACCGTTTTGCAAAAACGGGAATAAATCATTCTCCTGCGTACTTATTTGCTGTCCTCTGTATAATTGTCATCTAGTTGCAGTAAGAGAAAGTAGAGTTGTCTAACTAGAAGTTCAAGCTGTTGCTGTACCAGAACAAGTGGCGCCGTAATTATTGTTCTGGAGGTGCTTGAGGTTGTAGTTGTTCTGGTTATTCTGGCCACAAGCATTACGGAAGTTCATGCGTTGGGTGTGCCAGCAATTGGGTCCGCTGGGGTCGTGCAAGGCGCCACCTGGCTCGAAATTTCTTCTGTAGTGCGGATTCATTGTTAGAGCTGTTCGTAATTCATCTTTCAAGTGCATCCTTGAACAATATGGGAGAGCATTTTCGTCCTGCCATTCTCGCCCATATTTTTCAAGGATGCACTTGACAGATGGATTAGCTACAGCCTTAACAGCATCTGCCTTTCTTTCCAAACGTACTCGTAACCGCCATCGTAAAATTCCCAAAAATCGTAAGCTTAGACCTCCTAACATAAATCCATCTTGTTCTCCTTCAAAAACTACGAGACCACGATCGGATGCGTGTGAAGATTATTCATTCGCATCCCTAATACCACTACTAGTGTGAAGATGGATTTCTTATACAACTATAATTCGAAAAGGAAAACAGTTTTCGAATTATAGTATCAACTCAAATAAAGTAGCCTCAATTATAGTTTGATTTGAACTCAAGAAGAGTAGCCTTAAGCGTAGCCCTTCTTTTTATCCTCTACTTTGTGTCGCTCGTCCTGCCATTCGCGGGCTTTTCTGTAGGACCGGAGGCGAGCACGCAACTCGGCGTCCTCCTGCTCAAATCGCTTCTCCGCTTCGGTTTTACTTTTAGCTTTACTACTAGATTAGAGGTACCGCAGGCCCATCTCTTAGAACATCTTTCAGTCTAGTCCAAAAAGGAACTGACTAAAAGATGGTGTAAAAGATGGGTTGACGGTAGCCATAAGTAGAGGCATTAGTAGAGGTATAGTTAAACCTTGCAGAAGTGAGAAGTCCATCTTGATGAGCATCTTCCTGCCTGCTCTTTTGTTTGTTTCACAAACAGGAAGGCCAAGAAGATGCTGCAGAAGATGGATGGACGTCTTCAAGCCTTAGATGTTGTAATATTGTTTTTTTTGTTCTTCTTGGCAACAACTTGTTTCTTGTTCTTCTTCGCATCTTGTACTTCTTGATCTTCTAAAACATGCTGTTTGAACAAGTAGGTTGCGTGTCTCAGGAGGCGCATACAGCAGCTTGCCGGTGTGAATGGCACATCGCGCGCGTACCCGCTATACCCCCCTCACAATTTAGCGCTAGTTTTTCACGACTTTGCCCAGTGATGCAGCTCGAGGGAGTTCCCCTTTTATTTCTACCTTAAACATATAAAGCTACTTGCATACTTATATATAAACGAAGAAAAGGAACCCCACTCAGCATCATCATACATAGTCGCAGTCCACGATATTCATGGCGCAGAGACAAACTGTGACCCCATCCTTAACCAAAGTGAGACCCCTGGCCCGCACCTTAAGCTTGCTGTGGAAGGGTACGTCGAAGGGCATCAGCAAAACCCAAGTATTCTGGATGTCTTGGATTAGAAGAAAAGAAAAAGTCATCAGCGCAATTAACAATAACAACGAGCGATAACAAATATTTTCAGTCGATACCATAACCATTCATAGATTGTTAAAGTTAATAACTTATCGCTCGTCCGATAACAAGAGGGAGCATGGTCGAGCGATAACAATCCATGTGCAATCAAGCAATGAGAATGATGGCGAGACAATCCATGCGCAATTATCTTTCTTGAGACAATGTTGCTCAGGCGTTTAAGATTAAGAACGCCTTCAGACATAAACCAATACGATTTTGTCGAAGCCAAAAGTAGAACTAGAAGATCACATTATATATATAATTATATGAGAGATTGTGACTGCGATTATATAAATATAGAAGAAGCGCAGTAACGGATTAAGGCTGAGATAAATGCCAGAAGGTTTAATGGATGAAGCAGAGTGAGAGAGGAGAGAACGTTACTTAGGCTATGCATAGGTTATGGATCCTGCACAGCCGTCTCCACCATGACATGTAGAAGGAGAGATATTGACAGCACATAGTTAGAACGAAGTAAAATGAATTTGGCGGACAAAACGCCTTAATTTGACGGACAGCTTTTGATACTGCTCAACCGTCTCCACCACGCGGATCCTTTTCTTTAGCTGGTCTCTGTAGAAGTTCTTCTCGCAAAATTTTTCAAACTCCTCCTCCCATTGGCGCACTAGCTTTCTTTAGAGCTCACCCTCGACCCTAATCGCGGGCTTCATCTTAGGCCTATTTTCCCCGTAAGGGACAAGTCTGAGATGCTTCAACTACGACTCAGGGCCCTGAGTTTAACTTACCAGGCAGAGGACACAAGCGAAGCGCGCCCCTTTAAACCCCCTAGAAACTAGGGGACTCTATGGGGATCGCGAGGGGTTTTGGAAGTATTAGAGTAGGCCTTAACTTTTCGGCACCAAAATCAGAGTGGTCTCCGGCGCACTGAAACAACCTGGATCGGGCTCGAACGCCTCGCCGTAGGGATGAGCGACGCCATACAGTACTACGCCGATCATCGTCGCCGTTTTTCCGTGGCCGGGCTTATCACAGAGGAGGCCGCCGCGGACCAGGTACTCGGCTTCCAGTTCAGAGTACGCGCACCACGATTGCTTGCCACCTTCAGCTTCATCCTTCTTGATTATGATGCTGCGCTCCTCCGCTTCCTCGGTGCTGCTGGACTTACTCGGTGGCGCCGGCCCGGCTTCAGCATTGTTCTTACTGTCGTCGTCGCCGCGGTCGTTGGTTCCATTGGTCTCGACGTTGTCCACGACCTCTAGGTTGCCGCTAGGCAAGTCTTTCTTAGTACTGTTGCCTTCCTCAGCTTTCGCTCTTTTCTTCATTGGCTGCTTCTTCGCGTTCTTTTTTCCATCGCTGCTGTTCGAGGACGTAAGCGCGTCCGCGTCTAGGAGATCCGCTCTACCATTGAAGATCGGGATAACGCACTTGAAGTGGTCCACGGCGCGCTCTTTCTTCGTTAACCAGCCAAGCGCACGGAGTTGCTCGGGCCGCAGCGGATGTTAGATATTCCAAATATTCCTCCTGAAGTGCATCTTTGACCTTCTTCCCCCAAGAATCAATGTGCTCACGATGCCCTTCAAGATGAATTTGCGCTGAAAGCCTTAAGGATGCTCAGGGCTCCAGTGTGGTGGCTGGTGCATCGTCTCGTCCGCGTCATTGCTCGGAATCCAGTACGCACTGCTGTTGTTGTAGCTGCTTGCTTCATCTTGTTCCTCTCCGCCTGTGTGGTTCGTCTTACAACTCTTATCCTGAAGGGCCGCGGCGTCCTTCATGATCGCCTTCGACGGGTACTGCGTGTCCATCTGCATCTGAACCGAGACGCTGGCCTTGAGGCTCCTGCAAGGAAACCTCATTTTTGCTTGCAAATCGTACACCAGCTGCCCCCCTACGTTGATCAGCTCCACTTGGAAAGACACCTTGGCCCCAGCGGACGGACTTGGTTTCTCTCCGATTTGGTTCCCTGGAACAGGGCAAACGAAAACACGCACATTAGAGCTTAGTGCCTTAATTCATGATCCTGAACAAGTAGTGCCTTAATTGTTCATGATCCTGAACAAGTGCTAGAGCATCTTTAAAAACTTGCTTTGAGTCTACTAGAGCATCTTTATCTTGTTAACTTTTGACCTTGAAAAGGTGTCAGAGATGCTTCTCCAAATGAATTACGGAAGGTAGCCTTAAGTACAATAGGAAGGATGCAGCAATGCACACCGAAACCAGTCGCGCTTGCCAGCGTCTCGCCACCTCGATCCCATTGGCGGCCTAACACTTGTTAGAGCAGCTCAAAGGAATTCTTCACTTCTTGCGCTTGCCTACATGATTTCCAATTCTTCTGAGAAGCAAACTAACAAGGAGAACAAATTATTAATTGCTCAATAAAGAAGGAACTTCTGAATCATTGCATTTTTCAGCCTTAAACTCGTAGAGGTCGCTTGTGTAAGTTGTTGTAAAGTCGTCCGTTTTCGTCCGCAGACTTAACGAGGGTGCTGTTGCACCTGAAGTAAGAGTTTCCGCGTGATCCACCAAGGGCCAAGTACGACAGCAGGTCGCGGCTCAAGGTGTGAATGTTTCCACTCATTGAGAATGTCGAACGATAGGGGAGTCTTCAATGTCGCGCCGCCCCTCATAATTTATTTACGCTCTTCTTATTTAGGTGGACGAGCGACATTCTCCTATCTTCGTTCTCAAAAATGTGTGGCATCAATCATACAAAGTGAAGCATCGGTGTTGTTTGTTATCATCTGACGAAAAATAGGCTCCGACGGCGCCTAGCATAGAGGGATCACGAAAACTTCCTGCACGGTTTTCTACAGAGAAGTTTGGATCCGACAATAACATCTGCGGGGATCCCATCTCTGCGTGCCGCTGCCGTCCCATCTCTGCACCTGCAACATTCTTCGAAGATGAAGAGGAAGATGCACTACACTGCTCACCTCCTCGTGGTCCTACAGCACGATAAACATGATGATCAACATCTTGGTACCGTTCCGGATGTCGCTGTGCTTGCGCTGCATCGTTAAAAATGCTTTGGGCGTTCTTCGGCAGATGCGCGAACCAATCAGCAAAATCCGCTTGCGAGAAAACAAGCTGCAAGGTCTTCATGCTTTTGTCAACTACACTACTGCTACTACTCTTCCCGCATTTCGAGTTCGACGATATATTTCCTTAGCGATTGAGAGATGGCGTCTCTGGCTCGTATATCTATGGCTTCCCTACTTGAAGAAGCCATAGCAATGCTCGTAGATGATACGCCAACTTCCACCCCTTAATTTTCAGTAGTACAACTAGAAGAAGTAGTAGTTGTGCTAGTGGTATAATATTTTTGGTGCAAGGCCTTGTACACATCGGCAAAAATTTTATCTCCTTCTTGACGGTTCTGCCTCTCACGGTCTGGGCCTCTTCTTGCTGGTGGTTTTCTTAGGGCCAGCAGCGCACGAGGACCCTAATCCGACATCTTTTTGGAGCGACTCATGATCTCGCATCCTCGGTTTCTCTCCCCTGAGTGATGCTTATGGGACAGAGGATTCCGAGGATGAGACTCGAGACGAAATAACCGACTAAGACCGACATTTGATGAAAACTGAAATAACCGACTACCTACTTGGAATAATGGAGAAGATACCGAAGGAAGAGAAGTGTAGTCAAGACTTTCTTATATTTCAGTCAGCAAATCGGTTATTTCTGGACGCGACGGATTAGGGCTTTAGGGGTGCAGAAGTGAAGCATTCTTAACTTGTGCGTCTTTGGATCCACCTTCTTCTTGCACTTCTTCTGCCATTTGGGAGAGCCGTCATTCCAGATAAACTCTTCCTCCTCCTGCGCAACTTTCGTCCACCGATGAGCCTCTTCTTCGTCCTTTCGAGCAGCAAAACCAGCCGCAGCCTCTAGCTTTTTGCGCTCCTAGAGGTGAAGATAGAAGATGTAGATGAAGCGAAAGATGTCATCTGATGAGGCTTTCCTCAGAAGCGCTATCAAAAGTATCTCGCCAGTATGAACAATTATTAGTTAGAAACTGTAGGCAGCCGTAGTTTGGATTGGAAGAGGAAGTGTATGCCTTAACATGATTAACTTGTACTTCTAGTTAATTCTAATCGAATCCTAAATTTCCTCTTCTTGTTCATCAAGGTCTCAACATTTATTCAAGTAGTACCGCCATTGTAAACTTGAAGTGATATGGCGCCCCTTTGGTTTCCAGCATCGTTTTCACCAGGGTTTCCGGTTTGATGTCGTCTACCACCTTCACCCCCTTCGCGAACACAAGGGTCTTACCTGTGGCCGAGACTGTGCCGTGTTTGACCATCGTCCCGGTCCTTGTTAGACGAAGACCTCTCGCACGCGCGCGTCGGAATGGAAATGGATTACTATGCTGGAAACAATAAATCCCTCAAGTGTAGTATGCCTCTCAATGCAGTTGCTCCCCTTGTAAGTATTTGGGCGCATTGTACTGAATGGCTCCGGTATTTGGTAACCTGAATTCGATCACAAAGATTCTCTTCTGGTTTTCGCTTATGATATCGGTGGAACACACCTAACTAGGAAACAAAAATACAAAAGAATCAAGTAATCTGATTATTTAAATTCTACGTGCGCTACGAGGCAGCTAGGCGAGGCGCCTGCGGCGGCGGGCAAGCAAGACTCAGGTAGGGACAAATCGAACGCTTAGCTGATTCATGTGTGCACTTAGTTGCATGGCGTGTTCTACGCAAATACTCTAGTATTTTCCTGCCGTTTTTTGGCAACGCGTGCTTTGACGCTTAGAGGCTTGGTCTCTTCATTGTCCGCCCGTTTTGGGTGGACTCAGAATGTTTCTTCCCGAGTGCCTCGCCATCGCTGGCAGGCGCTCAGCTAAACGCACTAAGCAGGTGGAACCTTTTTTACCCGGCGTTGCCCCCCGGGGAGCGCGCACTGCGCGCACTCGTATTTAAATCTCAATAAAGCAAGCTTTAAATTTCACATAAAAAATTTTTCCCTTATGATCAAAATCAGGTTACCAGCAATAGCAAAAACCGGAACCGGAACCATTGATATACTGATGTTCTTGAGGGATCATCTTCCTCAAATACATTGAAATAGAGTTCTTAGAGTTAGAAGAAGAAATGGACTCAAGAGCAAGCCTTAACCTTGTGGCCCAATCAAACCGTTCTCCTGACTCCAACGTAATGGAACAAACGCGCCGGTTCGAAATAGCCACGCGATACTCTGAGACTGGGGTTGCCATTTCAGGGTACGGTTGCAAAAATGCCCGCGCCGTGCGTGATTCTTCATCCTGTGGTCATGATTAGCGGTGGTTTTATTAGACTATCCCGAGTCGAGTGCGAGAATATTGGAAGTGCCCTCTTTTCCCCTTCGTATCGTTCCCCCTTCGTATCGAGTCCACGAGGACTCGTCCACTCGTCAGAATAGCCCACACACGGGATAGTACTTAATAGTCTACCCTTAAAAGTGGAAAGCTGCAGTCGTTTGCAGCTCTTCGTGTCCTTGTTCCTCCTGGTCAACTATACGGCCCTGGCCACGAGGATTCAACCTCTCAAGAAGGCTCCCTCCATTCATCTTTGACGCTGTATCAGAGACAGAGTTTGAACAAGACAGAGTTTGAACAGGTAATGATGATCCATCCTCGACAACATTTTTTATGTTCTTCTTGTTGTTCTTGTACTTCTTCATCATCTCCTGTTGAGCTTCTTGATCGTCCTCACCTTGCTCAAATGCGGAACAAAAGGGGCCACCACGATGCTGTTGATGAAGTTGATCTTCATCCTCTGCATGGTCCACTTCAGGACTGAGCAACCTTCGCTTCTTGAAAGCGCGTGGTGGAGTGCTACCCAGCAAGCGCTCGTTCTTGTCGCCTGATTCCTTCTCGTCCTGAAGCTGCAGGTCAACAGCACCTCGCCGCGAAGAACCACCGGGAGTCAAAGGATGAAGACCCGCCCGCGCCGCATTGATGTTACTACTGTTTTCCTGCAGCTGCATGTTGTTAAGATCATGTGCCGCATTGATGTTACTACTATTTTCCTGCAGCTGGTGCATGTTGTTAAGATCATGTGCCGCATTGATGTTACTACTATTTTCCTCCAGCTGCATGTTGTTAAGATCCTGTTCCTCTGGGGATGGGAGGCCCAGCCCTTCTCCCCTAGAGTTTTCGACGTCCTCGGGCATGATTCTTACTTTTTGAACATGATGAACATTTAGTTAGATTTAGATTTAGTAGAATACGGAAGGAAACACATCAATCGGGTATTAGTATTTGTAATTGTCATAAAAAACGTTCAGTCCGAAAGCAATACATAAAACAAATCCACGTTGCAAATCGAAAATTATAGCAAGTTAAACTTCCACTTAGTTAAAGATCAACAAGCAATTATCATAAAATCAGCACCAGGAGACGTAATTCTACATAATTATGCTTATGAGTTTTTTTTAGCTTGTTGTTCAACTGAGAAGGAGCTCGAATTTCATATAATGTGAAAAACTCACACGGGGTCGTCATCTTGTAGAGAGGAGTTTAAATCAGCCTTTTCACCTTCAGCCTGAGTCGTGGGATGAGCAGAAGAGTCGTGGGATGAACAGATACCCAGAAGAAGAAGAAGAAGAAGAAGAAGAAGTAGTAGATATGAGAGGGCAACATCTCTTCCTCATGTCCGTCGAGCAAATATTTCTTTGTCTTTTCTGTTCCTCAAGTACAATCGAATAAACCTTGTTCAACTACATCTTTTCTTGACATGATTTTATGTCGGTGTGAAAAGAGCATGCGTGATCGAAGATGCAAAGCAAGTTTCGAACGTGACGAGGTCGTGTGAGTATACTAGAAGCCTCGTCAACAAACGTAGAGGTAGATGACATCTTCAGCTGTAGAAATTATTCTTCAGAGTTGTTCACATCATGCTGCTCTACCTCAATCAGGAGCGCGATCATCTGCCACTACTGCGAAAGTTTAGTAGCATGAGGACCAACGCAAAGGGGACGACCATCATCATCCTAAATTTTTTTTCCATCTTGCATGTATCCTACATACACTTTCTGAATTTTTTTTATTGCTTCCAACTCGTCTCACCCACATCTCCGGTTGTATTCATTTTCAACACCTCCTTCTCACCGTTTCATCTACCCCAGAAGATGAGTATACATGTGCCTAGTCATGATCAGTATGCTTGTTGTGACCTCTACTCTTCACTACGTTGTTCGCTGGAACTTCTCTTTGAACACGAATTCGCAATCTTGCTTTCCAGCAGCAAGATGTTCATTAGTATGTAGATCAATCGTCACTGCTAGTAATGTGTGATATGGAGAGTTCTGTTGTCAATTTAAAGCAAGGCCTTCGAACAATACATCGCGTTCGAGTTCTTCTGGTGACGTTGTAGTTCTTGCAGCGAGAATATCAGTTGTCTTCAGATTCATTTTCGTTTATACTAGGATTTTTAGGATCATAGGGATAGCAGTCGCAGTACAACTAGCACCATATTTGCATTTTGACGACTTTGATCTAGATCAATATCGGATCTCTTTATCGAAGCTAGTGCTGATGTTTCATCTTGTGATGCTATAATTCTTGATATAGCTAACATCAAGAAAAATCGGGTAGTAGGGTAACGTTGACTGATGTCCACGACTTCTACGTACCTACACTTTTTTCTTAATATTTCAACGTCTTGAATGATCATCATGCTGACATGAAGTTGTTTCTTTACATAACTTAAGACTAAGAAGGGCTTCTTCTCGTGATGTCGACAGTCGTGTAGTTAGTACACCACGAGCAGTTGTGCATGGGTTACTCCCGCCACGATCTCGATCATCTCCTGTTGCTAGTACTAATGCAGCTTTTCTAGACGATAGTGGAAGGATACTAAGTGAATATTAGAAAATTCTACAGTCTAGAAGTGTTAGACTTTAGAATTTGATAGACAAAGAAAGCCTTCTTGTCAGTCTAAGATCTTCCCAGTCCTATATTACGACGAACAACTGTGGCTGTTGGTGTACTGCAAAAACGTAGCTGGTCCTTTAATCGCTTTTAATGTTCCTGTCCCATGAGCGAACGTTTCCAGAAGGAGCAGATGAAGCAAATAAATGGTATTATAATAGTTAGTGCTGATCCTGTCAGCTTTTGCGTTCTCCCAGCATAATTAGTAAAGTCGTGCTGCTGCAGTTTCTAGCGGCAACAAGCATTACCATTGTAGTAGAAGTCGGGGCAGCAGGCCGCGTGTACAACCTCATTATTGCGGGATTTTTTGTATTTCAAATCTTTTTTCAAGTGTACCACCAGCTTTTTGACGTCGCCGCTGGCATTGGCTTCATCAAACTCGTTCTCCAATTTGGCCTGTCCTCCTGCGCGGGAAGTGACTACATTATTTACAATTTCACGTGTAATCGTGTCATCCGTCGGCTTCGTATCTCCACAAGCGGCTGAAAACAGTGCCCTGTCGACTTGGCTGCATTTTGTTTCTTGAATCTTGACCAAATTATCATTCACTTCTTGGATCTTTTCGTTGAGGCGCTCGACGGTCTTGCCCGCCTCCGCTGCCGTGGTCGCGATTTTCACACCTCCCGCAGAGACGGCGAGCATTGCGCACGACTTCAAAAAGCGATTCATGATCTTTCTGGAGGTGTACTACGAGTACGAAGTCAAATCTGAATTAACTTAAGCAGTACAAGATGAAGTCTAGATGAAGATGCTGGATACAGGAGCTGTATGAAATCTACTCTAGAAAGCTGAAAGCTAGAAAGTCTGATGTTCAAAAGTCTGATCCTGATGTACTACTAGAAGTTCCCTAACAACAACTACGGGTCGTGGGTTCAATCTTGCGATCTATGATCACTTGCTTTGTTTTCCTTCCTGTTTCTGTTAAGGCAAAATTATGACTATCTATGAGAAACTAAGGTTAAGCGGCGGTCAGTCGGGAGGTTATTGTCTCCGCTGCTCATCAGAAAGTAGTCATCTCTTTCTCTTATCTCTTCAGAAACTTTTCGTCTTCTCTATCAGACAGATTTCGATATGCGACCTCAGAAAGATGGACAGATGAATAGCAAAAGTAGAAGCATCCGAAACGCTATGTATCGCCGGGAGTATGATCTTTGCAAAGCACGGCTAGATCTACGCAACTCGACCATCCCCATGTGAAAAAAGTTCGGCGCTTCTATGTGCAAACGCTCTAATTCATTTAGAGGAAGAGAAGGCGTAGACCGACAGGGGAGGGCTCGGCTGTCAACCCGAGCACTCCAGGTCCACCATCTAAGCACTTAGATAAGGAGCTCCTTGCCCGAATGTCAGCTTTTCTTAGTCAGATCTTTCTCTTTGTAGTCTTTCCTATGAGGGCTCGAATGATCATAAGCAAGTCAATTTTTTACCAGTATGTATAGCACAACTACAAGGACGGTTACGGTCGTTGTGGAATGGAACGTTGCCCAGATCAGGTATTCTATGTATTTTAGATTAATATTATGCAATCTGCTTGATTATCATTAATTATAAATACAATGCTGGCTGTTCATACCACCACCGTCATGTTGTCTGTAGTTATGAGGAAATGTGAAACATTGATGCCCAAGAACCCTTCCTGTGATCCAAGATACGCACGATTGAGCTTCGACCTAATATCTAGAAGAGGATGCTCTAGTGCTCGGCTAGCTTTCAACATCAACTACTTCTAGTTGGCTGACCATAATAAAAATCAGGGCACGACAACTTCGACTTACAACATCATGAAACTGCAAGAACTTCTAGGACGAGCGGAAGGTTCTCGATATCTGTTCCATGATCGGCGGATTTTGAGATGAGATTGCATTGTCAATCTCCAGCAATCTTCTGTCCAGTTCTGCTTTGTGGCGCCTCTCTTTAATAAATGTCGAGGACACTCAACATCGGTCGTTCTCCCATTGACATTGAGTGCTGTTGCAGTTTCTAGCAGCAAGTGTTACTTTTATAGTTTGCCGGGCAGCAGGCCGCGCGTAGGATCCGATTAGTCACCGTTTGCATGTGTTTCAACGCCTTCTCCTCCCATTCCTTCAGCTTTTTGACGTCGTTACTGGCAATACCTTCGTCAAACATTCGTTTCAATTCGTCCGTCTCTGCTAGAAACAAGTGGGGTATCACGGCTTTACTCGAAATTTCCAGTGTAATCGTGGCATCTGTCGGCTCTTGCCTACCTCCACAAGCGGCTTTAAACACCTTCGGGTCGACTTGACTGCACTTTGTTTGACCACGACCTTTAATATCACGTATCTTTGCAAACTCCCGACTCGCTTCATGTATTTTCTCCGTGAGTTCCGTGATGCCCGCTGCCGTGGTCGCAATCTTCACACCCTCCGCAGAGACGGCGAGCATTGCGCACGATTTCAAAAACAGGCGAGACATCTTCTTTCTGGTGTCTGTTGTACGAAGTGAAATGAAGATCCGACGATGCAAAAGTATGAAATAAACTTACTTAGTTAAACTGCTCTTCTAGATGAATACTGCTGAAAGCTAGAAAGTCTCCTGATTTTCGAAAGTAGTCTGATGTCATGTAGTTCCCTAGCAATAACTTCTACGGGTCGTGGGTTCAATCTTGCGATCTATGATCACGACTTGCTTTGTTTTCCTTCCTGTTTCTGTTAAGGAAAAATTAAGTATGAGAAACTAGGCAGGGGTCAATCGTGCTGCTATAATTGTCTCTGCTCCTGCTGCTCACCAGAAAATGATAATCTCCTATATCTCTTCAGAAACTTTTCGTCTCCTCTTTAAACAGACATTTTAGGTCCATCTAAGAAAGAGCGACAGATGAATAGCAAAAATAGAAGCATCACTCTCACGCACGAAAGCAATAAGATAATACAAAACTCTCAGTCACTTCTCAGGATACACAGATGTTGTTGTTGACACGTTGTCTCGTGCTCAGGATACACAGATGTTGACACGTTGTCTCACACAAGAACAGACAGGCCACACAAGAGACAGGCTCCATCAGGCACATTAGAATTAAGGCTCACTTTTTACCACACTATAAACCTCGACCCAGCTCGTAAGATCACTTCCCATGACATCTTCTAAGTCTTCATCTTTTATGTCTATCTATTTTACGATAGGCATTGGCGCTCCCGTTGATTACTAGTACCATGTATGATCTTGCAATCATAATCATTGTCCACCGAAACGCTATCGCCGGGAGTGTGATCTTCGCAAAGCAAGGCTAGATCTACGCAACTCGACCATCCCCATGTTAAAAAGTTCATCACTTTTAATGATTCGATAAGTAAACTGAAATAGCCGAGTAAAGTGATCGAAGAGAGCTCCTAACTTAGAGCACTATGCTTGAACTTACTTGCATATTTTTAGTTTTCGAATATGTGAAAAGCTCATTCTAGCTTATTTAGAGGAACGAAGAGAAGGCGTAGACCGACAGGGGAGGGCTCGGCTGTCAACCCGATCACTCCATCTAAGCATTAATTTAGATAAGGAGCTCCTTGCCCGAGTGAACGACTTCTATATCTCAGTTCTTTGTCTTTCCTATATTTAACAAGTGCCGCGAAATGTGTTTAGCAGGTTCACCAGTTGTATAATTACATTACATAGCACGGACTCATATCCATATGACATCGTCAACATCACTTAAGTTGTATACGGCTTCTGCTAATGGTAGATACTTAAACGTAAATCTCTATTCTTTCATCAACATCATCGACCCTGATTGCTGAAGTAGATATCTTCATAGCTGACCGTGACTTTTGACCCAGATCGATGTCTGTAGTTAAGGAAGTATGAAACGCTTCCCCAGACGAGTCCCTGTGACTCAAAGGAAAGCTTGAGCTTCGATACATCTCCCGGAGGATGGGGATGCTCTATTCTGGACACATCATCCAGAGCATGCTCTACTCATGATTTGTTTACTTCAACTTCTTGTTCCTGGCTGAGCATGATAAAAATTATGGCACCACCAGACACATTATCAAACTGCAAGAACTTCTACGAGCACGTTGCTCGTTGTACTGCCCAAGAATGAACGTTTCCACCATAAGTAGCAAACTGTTTTAATAGTACGTATTGCTGGTATCCGTATCAGCTTTTCCGTTCTCCTGTCCCAGACGTGATTCACATGAATGCGCTTTGTTGTTCTCCCATACTTGTTCCACGTGGTCACTTTTGTGCTCCTGCTACTGCTGCATCTGCAGTAATTCTTTCTAACAACTACAACAAGTACCTTTATAATCTGGGCAGCAGGCCGCTTGCACAATCTCCGTATTCATGTCTTCGAAGATTTTCGTCATTTGCTCGGTGTCCTTCGGGTCTCCCGGACGTTGATTGTCAGAGAATTTCGCGAGTGCTGCTCGGTGGCGATTGCGTGCTTTCTCCGAGTCTTTCTCTGTGATCGTGACATCCGTCGGGTGCTTGCAACTTCCACAAGCCAAGTTGAACACCTTCGTGTCGACTTGATTACACTTTTGATGACCATGAACAAGCTTGGTAAAAACATCACTAGCCGCCGCCATGTTGTTCGTGCTGGCCGTAGAGGGATTCTGCATTGCAATCGTCACACCCTCCGCAGAGACGGCGAGCATTGCGCACGACTTCAAAAACAGGCGAGACATCTTCTTTCTGTTGTACAACGATGAAGTCAAATCCGTATCCGACGATGCAGAAGTATGAACTAAACGTAATAAACTCTAGATGAATATAGCTACAAGCTAGAAAGTCTGATGTTCTACTAGAAGTTCCCAACTAGTACCAATAACTACGGGTCGTGGGTTCTTGTGATCTATGATCACTTGCTTTGTTTTCCTTCCTGTTTCTGTTAATAAGGCAAAATTAAGTTTAAGTATAATGAGAAACTAAGCAGGGATCAATCGTGATGTTGTTGTCCTCTCTGGTGCTGCTCATCAGAAAATAATCTCTCCTATATCTCTACTTCAGAAACTTTTGTTCGCCTTCTCTATCACACAGATTTGGATATGCGACCTCAGAAAGATGGACAGATGAATACTAGCAATAGAAGCAAGCATCACACACACACTCAACACCAAAGCAATAAGATAATAAACTCTCAGTCACTTCTCAGGATACACAGATGTTGTTGTTGACACGTTGTCTCACTCTCAGGATACACAGATGTTGACACGTTGTCTCACACAAGAACAGACAGGCTCCACAACAGACAAGCTCCAGGCATATTATAGATGCGGAAGCGGAGAATCTTCACGCGATTCTTCATCAAGGTCTCTGTGGTCCTTGTGGATTCTTCTAGATTGGAAGGTGCCGATCCAGATTGGAAGAACTTCTTACGGTGAACCCAAGTAGAGGAAAGTAGGGGTCGTGCTGCTAATGTTCTTGGTTGTACATTTCTATCAACGGCAGCACATTAGCACGAAAGCTAGGGCGTGCGCGAGTGCTGTGGTCGTTTCGTACTATTCGTTCTTTGTTTGTACAACTATCCGTATGATCCCACAAATCTTGTGCTGACCTCAAAAAAACAGCAGCGATCATTGGTGGGACGACAGCATTCCCTATCTGCTGATAGAAACGACCTTCTTCACTTTCTGTCGTTCTTGATGTGTCTGGTACACGTACACCAGATAAAATACTAGTACTAGAAGAAGTGCTAGAGGTACAACTTGTACAAATACTCGGTAACGGTATCCGAAATTTCTCCGGAAATCCTTGTAGGCGACAGCATTCTCGCGGAGTGAGGAACCGAGGAGGCGTATTAGTAGAGCTAGAAGTAGAAGAAGTACTTGTTGTTGTACTATCTGCTTCTGCAGCTGCAGATGAACATGAAGCTGTCTTAGAAGTAGAACTAGAGCAGGAAGATGAAGTGTTGTAAGCTGGTGTCCTAGAACAAGGTGAAGTTGAAATGCCATCTACAAACTGAGAAAACAAATAAAATCTCCGACGATAACTGGAACACAAGGTCTGTGCGTGTGTATCGTTAGCCTTTAAGAGTCTTCCGCTGGTACCATCTGCATGCTCTTGCTGATATTTCTGTCGCTGCACCTTAGCCCACTGAGAATCGGATAGATGGAAACGGGAAAGATCAACAGGAGGAAGATGCTGCTGGTGGTCTTCATTTTCAGTTGTGCTTGTACTTGAGTTCATGCTCCTTACGCTCTTCTGCTCTAAAACGCAAGTTCCCAGGTTCAGCGTTCTTCTTTTGCGAAAAAGGTCCCGCAGCTGGTCTAAACAAGGTGCAAGCCTTTCTTTGTTTTTGTGTTCAAGAGGTCCTCCAGACTCAAGATCCTCAAGACCTTGCTCTTGCTCTACTTCCAGTTCCTCTTCTCCTTCAACATCATCTTCAAGAATTCGTTTCCCCACAATGTACACCCTTGGTCGCCTCTGCAATACTACAGGGTAATCGCCACAATCGAGAAGCTCCCAGGTCACTTTGTACCCTGAATTTCTCAGCAATTCTAGCATGTCTTGAAACGTTTTGCCATTTTCAGTCAGCAGTAAGCCCTTCACATTCTCGAACAAGAAGTATCGTGGCTTCGACTCCCTCAAAACGCGCACTAAGTGGAGGAAGAGGCCTCCTTTTTCGGGATGAGCTAGGCCTTCTTGGGCGCCTAAAGTGGAGAAGCTCTGACAGGGGAAGCCAGCGGTTAAAACATCGATCTTTGACGTGGGAGGGACCACGACTAGGGAACAACGTGGTCGACCACCCAGAAATTCTTGATGATCAGAAGATGACGGCTGTAGTTCATCATCTTCAGGCTCAAGAGTGGTTGACCTTGTTTGATGGCTTCGTTCACGCTCCTGAGAATCACGAAGTGTCAATCGCGTGATATCTTTCACGAAGAATTCTCCATTTTTTAGGCGTATAGGTGCTCCAACAGGGTGGCCATGGTTCCATCCTGCAGAAGGAGGCCCAGGGCTGTCCTCGCGGCTAGAATCATGATCCGAACCTCCCGAAGAGGACGACAAAAAGTTCCATTCATACGTTTGTCTGGCGAATTTATCGACTTCACACGATCCGATACATAAACCACCCAAAGCTTCAAGTCCCAATCTGAATCCACCTATCCCAGCAAATAGGTCTACGAAGGTGAAATGACGTCCTCTTCGGTGCAGTTCCTCAGCGATCCATTGCGAGGGTGGCAGGACATCGTGTTCGGGAAGAAGTTCTCCCGATCTTACAGATACGGAAATTGATTCTCGTTCTCCTGTTGTTCGGCGTTTTTTACTTTCTTTCTCTTCTTGATCATGGACCTCCTGGTGATGTGCTGGTGCTGGAGAATTTTCTTCTTCTTCAACCTGTTGATCTTCTTGACTTGTTCTGTCTCTACACGACCTCCTAGTCGTGGTCATCTGTATTCTACTTTCTATCTTCGTCCGAGGTTCAAGAAAATAGATCTCATCTTCCAAATCAGGACAACCCTTTGTCGAGCACAGCCATTCTCCTACACCAGATGAGACAGCTCCTACAACTTCTTCTACAGATGAGACATCTTCTTCACAGGTCGTGGCTGCAAAAATCTCAGCTGTCGCTTCACTCGTTAACGGGACTAGCAGAACAGGCTGGGAACCTGAACGTAAACTACGATGTGAACCACTTCTAACTTCCAAGTCATCTTCCATACCTCCTCCCGTACTACTAGTAAACAAGGCATCATACTTAAACCCTCCAAAGGCCCTTGGCTCTCCATCGATGTCTGGAACCCAAGTTCGAGTCTGCGTTGTCCCTGATTGCCAGTCGCGGGATTGTAGCCATTTTTGCACCTTCTGTGCGTCTCGTGGCACGCACAAGAGACTGCCTGCTGCAACGATCGAGGTGCGTAGAAGATGTTCTAGGTGCTTTACGCCTGAGCAGCCGGATGCTGTTGGAGTTGGAGAGCCTCTCGTGCTCGAAGATGAAGAAGGAGTCGCATTGGTGGAGGGAATTGCATGGGTGGAGGCAATTGCACCAGGCGAAGAAAATCTTCTATCGACCTGATCCCCACGATCGTTCTCTTCTCCGGGTTCGTCATGCATTTTCGAATTTTTTTGTTCAAGCTATACAGAGTGATGCATGTTGTTCTTGTAGGACGAGCTGCTCAAGGAGAAGGATAGCTATAATATTGATACAAGAATGGAAATTGTGCAAACAGGTCTCTCATAAAAATCAAATGACTCGGTCGCTGGTGGTATCGCTACTTTTCTCAGTAGTTTCAGTCTACTTGTCGCGCTTCATCTTCTTAAAACCACTTTCCAATTTCTTCAATTTATTTCTTAGAACCATCTTTTCTTCAATTTCATGATCCTCTCGAGGACAGGAAGATCTTCTTTATTCATATGCGCACCGGGAACTACCATGGTGTTGAATTGTGATAGACCAGAACTACTCGATCATCTTCTGGTTTTACGTTGTCTCGCACTCGTGCTAAGTCTCATGAAGAACTGGAACGGTAGATCTCTGTTCTTCAACGCCATGCTTTAAAAAATAACCCCTCCAAGTTATGGCCTTGCTTCATCCTCTCCACCTTGGTCTTCTGGTTCTGAACAGCAAAAATTACTAGAAATGTTGTCGTCCATGATCCATGTTTTATTTTAGCACGAAAAAATAATGACCAAAGTCAACAAGTACTTCTCATCTAGTGCAACAAGGGAGAAAGCTTAAACGCTGTGCAGCCTCATCTTTTCTTGCTCTTTTCATCTTTTGCCTGTCTGTCCGTGAAGTTCGACCCGTATTTCAATCATCTTCTTCATTATATTGTGAGTCTGTACAAATACATGATGTTTCACTGTCATAAACCACTAGTCCTTCCTTTCTTACACTCCCACAAAGGGCGAGGTTGGAAAAAATGCTAGACCCACAAGGCTGCCGATTCCCATTCCCGAAAGCCTGGAAGTTGTAGTTGATGTCACAATTTTTCATATTTGATCGAAGTTTGTACTACTTCTAGTACAACTTGATGATGATGTTATTCGCAGATAATACAGGATTTTCAATAGACAAGAACTTGACGAAGATGGTGTTGTTGTTGTCTAATTTTTCTATTACCAGAACCATCCGCTTCCCCATCCCCAAGGCAATTTGGCATCAGCATCTTCTCCATTCATCATCGGGTGGTGATCTTTGTTCGCTGCTGACGAAGGATACGCCTCATCTCTAAACTCCTTATGTTAACGCTAGACATTCACTACCTGTTCTATGGCTGGGTGTTCAGTTGTTCTGTTTCCCCGTCACTTTCAGCGAAGTAAGTAGCAGGGGAACGTGTCATGTCATGGAACCTCGTTTGTAGTTGCACGTGACTACCGATGAGGTCAGCCAGCAAAAGAGTACCTCATAGAGGAGCGCTAATTTACCGGGTATATCTCTATTTGTTTTTGACAACCACAGTTCTTGTCTGCTGTCGTCAGAATACGCTATATTTACCAGATAGTGAGTGCCGATGCCATCTACTAGCCTTAATTGTGCCACTCCTTGTTATACTCCTCTGCGTCTACTTCGTGGTTCACTGGTGGGGTCTCTGGAACAGCAGCACCAGCTCCTGCCGCGGGATCTTGCTGCAGGAAAACCGTTCTCATGTTGTCGAAAAGTCGTTGCGAAGAGATGCTTTCCACAGGTGTAATGTTCAACTGCATCAGAAAGGCAGCTGCTGCAAGCGGCAGCAAGCATCGAGGTAGAGACGACATCATCTTTGTTCCACTTCCACGACTTAGCCTTTAGGCTTTCAAACAGATCGACTAACTTGTTGCTTCGTCGTTTGAACAAAGGCAAAGCCTTCTAGTTGAAGATAAATGACCGATAATTCGAAAGGAAGAATCTCTTCCTTCGTTCCCCCACCAGCTGCAGCTGGATTGTGATCATTACTTTCCTACAGGTCAGAAGTCACATCAATGTTGACGAACACAACAATCAGGAGGCTCTTCTCGCAGCAGGACCTTTTACCAAGCAGCATTTGCATTGATGATGTCTTCTTTTTCTTGCTGATCTTTCTCTAGTAGTTGTCAATCTAGCTCCGCTTCTGTACATTCTGCATCCATGCTCAATTATAGGATCTGCAGCTCCGACTACTACTGGTTCGCTGTGTGAAGACGACGGCGTACTACTAGTACTCATTGCACTTCTTTCCTCTCCACCAAGATCTTCATGCAGCACATCATCATGTTCATTGTTGTCTACACCAGCTTCATCAAAGCAGTCCACCTCCCGCCCTTCAACGACCCCCTCCAGTATCCGCACTTGCGCCAATATCCGCTGTCTCATCAATTTTCTAACTCTAATACTGTCCGAAGCAAATACTGCTCTCAAACCCACACCAGCATCGTCCACCACAGTCATACTACAATTCGAATTTTTACGTAGCATCTCCACCAGACAATGTTTGCAGACTGCAAAATGGCAACAGGGCAGAAGAGAGAACTCGCGTTCGGCCGCACAGCAAATGACGCAATTTAGCTTCTGGAGGAGAGAGTCGACACCAGTACTAGATATAGATGTGGACTTCGCAATAACTTGTGTACAACAACTTGTTCTGGTGTCACTGGAGGTAGAACCACTACCACTCGCGCACGACGTAATATCAACATCTCTAGTATCATCAGCAAACACTGAGGAAATTTCATCATTACCAGATGAAGGTTCTCGCCTAGTATCTTCAGACTCGATTACACGTGCTGCGTCGAACAAAATCTGGCCAAGGACACAACCAACAAGCGCACTCTCACTGGACCACAGACTAGTATCTTGGATGATGTCGTGGTGGTCATCTTCTTGCACTGTACGAGTTGGAGACGCGGAGAGAGCCATTTCGTTGAGATTTTTAATCAACTTCCTGGACGTAATATTTTTGGAGTCTCTCCTTACAGTCAGACCACGACCACCTCGTCTACTGGTACTAGTACAGGCTGTCTTTACCTTCTTCTAGTTGATCTGGATCTGGTCATTGCCTCATCATGAAGATCATCCCGCCGAATACGAGGACAGCATGATTGCTCACCATCTACTGTCTTGTTCACTCTCTTTTGCTACCCTACGACGAGGCGGAGGACCGAGAACGTACTTACAAATTCCCTGTCGACGATAGGATCGGCAAGTGCGAGAAATGGCTCACTTCCACTTTTCTCAATAATGTTGAGGTCTGATAAACTCTGTTTTTCTCAATCATGTTGAGGTTCATCGAGGACCGACTTCGACCTGTATTTATCATACAAAGCAACGGCCTTTCAGAAAATCATACTGCAGTGCATGACGTCGTCGATATCGATAAGATCTCGAAATGTGGAAGATATTTCCTTTCTTATATATAATCGATATCGTCCTCCTGGCTGGAGGCTCTCTTGGGGTCCCATGCGCGAACGGATCTATATCGCACCTAAGCAGCCATGCGGCTCCTCATTTACAGAAAGAAACAGCGCAGCAAAGTAAGAAAATGAAGACTAGCCCAATGTTCACCAAGATCTTGCTGTTTTCGAAGCATTGAAACCGAGTAATTATGGCGTTTCTTACTTTTCTTAATCGATATCGTCCTCCTGGCTGGAGGACAAGTAGGACCCCGACACGGACTTGTCATCGTAAGGCTCCAATTCCTCGCAGACACCTGGTATCGCTTCAAAAATTAGAGGTGGCCAGGTCAGACTCGGAAATTTGTTGACGAAAGTGGTTTAATACTACGTAGTACAAGAAAACTGAAAGTAACCGAGTTACTGACTGAAATAAGGGAGGTAGCTTAACATCAAGGCTACTCTTCCTTCTACTCGTCAGTATCTCGCTTATTTTCAGTAGTTATACTTGCTTATTTCAGTTTTTCGAATACAAGAAAACTCGAAAAAGAGAACAACTGCTATCGACTTTTAGTGTTGAGCATAATATCACGTCCTCCGCCAACATCGCGCGTTTCTTGCGTTGCTCTGCTTGATATGCGGCTTCGCGAGCTATGAAACAGGCGAGCCGCAGAGTGCGCTCGGTGCTCAACGTCCCGCTGATTCTTTGCCAGGCCATTAAGCCACCGACGATGCCTGCTAGAACATCGCCGATGCCTCCACAGCGCTTCACTGAGCCCCGGCTTGTCACACGACTAACCCAGGTCTTCCAGCTGTATTGGTATTCCCATTCCGGCGTCCCCCACCCTCGGATTTCTTGTTTAATCTTAGAAAACGCCAGACGAGGGGATATTGATCCACTCAGGCAAAGAAGTCTCAGACAAGAGAAATAGAGATAGACGCGACACCGCCTTCAAATATGACGTGAGCTTTCTTCCTCCACGAGGACTACGACTAGCAGGGCACAGAGTATGTCGCGTAGGTCATATTATAATCAACCTACGCACTTAGTCATTGTGAAGATTGTTTTCGCATTAATGTCGAATCATAATAACTCGTGTAGTAGTAATGCAATCCTTCCTGCCTTTTTCAATAACGGCGAAGCCGGGAGCTTTCCACCATTCTTTTGGTAAGTGTGGCGCCTCGACACTGTTTGGTGTCAATATGACCTGGCTCGACCGATAAATTGTACTTAGATGAAGAAGGGTAATTGTAAGTCGTATAATAAGTGCTACAACCAAAAAACTTTAAATCTAGATGGATCTACTTCAATAATTTCATGGCGCCTCTACCCTGTTTGGTGTCCACCTTATTTTTTACCTCGCCGGCGGCTGACGCTAGTACCAAAGTCCTCGCCTTTCTACAGCTGACACAATTTCAAAAGGAAAATCTAGCAGATGTACTTCGACTTCATCAACTTCTACTACAATCTCGTAACTCTAAGGCATCGCTTTGATCTTGAGGTGGAGGCACTTCCGTGGACTTGATCCGATTCTCCAGGCACGTCGGGTCTTTTGAAGCGGCGAAGAGCGCATCAGCGTCTAAAATGAGTGGCATTCCAGGTAGTAAGGTTAGGCTTTCTCGTAAAAAATCCTGCACTATTTTGACTGTCTTATCGTCTCGCCCTAAGCCCGGTCCGATCACCAAAGTGTGACACTTCCGGATTACTTCTAGGTCAGCAGCATCAAGTTTTTGATACGATGGTGTACTGCTAACAATAGATGCAAAAGATTTGTCGCCGTCCTGATCATCTCGTCTAGCTCGTTTTCTCGTAGTGCTGCTTGTCGAACTCGAAGTTGAAGCAAAAGGGTCATGACTCGCAGAAGATGAGCCGGCAGTTCCATGTTGTGGCTGTTCGAGTTCGTCCCCTTGTAGTTGCTCTGGTCCAAGACCTACATCCTTTTCCGCCACCATGATGTTCAGACTTCTAGATTTCACAGCCCTTGCCACACTAGAATGCCCCGCTTTGAGAAAAACCAAGTCTACTCCGAGTTTTAACGCCGCCAAAGCTGCGAAACACGGCGCTCCGCAGTAGAGCTGAGACCCACCCCACACCGCCACTCTTCCCGCCGACCCTTTCCGCTCTCGCCTCGGCTCAAGATGACTGAAAGTTTCCCTCCACTTTTCATGCAGCTCTTCGGCGGTTAGAGTTACGCGGCGGCGTTTCTGTCCTGCTTCTGAGTCTTGTTCCCTTTCGGAGTCAACGTCCATCTTGATGATCGGAAAGCGACAGTTGTGTCGTGGTGCAACGAGTTGTAGTGCTGAAGTGTCTTTCGCGATGACGCGACTTCCCTTTCTCTGAATGATAACTCTTTAGTTATAATGATTATGAGGGAGAGATCTTCAGGCTCAGACTCAGTATAAGTACTTGTTTCACCCAGGAGATCTTCAGTTTCAGTTGTACTGCAACATTATCACAACGAACCGAATCTGAATCGACTGAGTAAAGTAACGGGTCGTCCTATTAGATTACGATTAAGTACTTACACTGACACGGTCAAGATGATTTAAATCGCTTTTATTCAAGTAGTACTGGATCAAATTAAAGTCATGCTCATGCAGTTGAATAGACTTCTGAGTATAAACTTGAACGTCATCATCATGGTAGAACCCGACAAAAAGACGTTTGCGTCCTCCACTGCGGCTTATTTCAAATCATATTTATTCCTGCTTGTTCTTGCTTCAAGTTCGAAGCACGTAAAAAAACATTCATGTACATGTTTTTTCATTCCGTGCCAATGTCAGTCTTGTCCATCGAATATTTTTGATTCAAACGAGTCACCACACAGAGGTAGTACCAAAGTCTTATTCACTAGAGTTGCACACCCCCTACCGGGAGACTAGAATGCAACCAATGCAGGAACTGTGCTGCGAGATCCGCGGGTAACAAATTTTGCAACAATTCTGCGTTTGCCAATGGTTTCAGGGAAGGATTAGAGCACACTGACATGTCGACTATGCTTAAGATTGAATGATCATCCAGACCATCTTCCACATGCGTGGTGGACAATAGTTATCTTTACACTAGTACAAGTTGTAAAAAGCTCAGGAGCCTTGATCTTCATCACAAGAACATGAACAGTAAATCTTAACTTTTTCCTGCAGCAAGTTGCTCAACAGCGTCTCCAGCTTCTCTTTCATCATCGGACCCTGCAAAGCCCGCTGCAACACCCGGCGTAATGTGCCAAAAAGCAAGGAAGTCCATGCTCGCTGAAGCGTTCCAACACTCTGGGCCTCGTCATGGTTGGCAATGGCCAATTCCAACTCTCCCAGCTCAACCTTAGCTGAAACAATGCGGACTTCTAGAGTGTTGTTCTTTATTGTTCTTGATGGAGGTGTTGTTGGAGGATCAGGTGCTGGAGGGAGTGGCGGATCCTGTTTGCACTTGCAGCTGCCATCTTCTCGAACAGTTACCGCAAACACGAACTCCGCTCGACTATCTTTGACATCCACGATGTTCTCCCCCTCGAGCCGTATCATCGTGCCACTGCATTTCCACTTGTGGTGCAGGACGAGGCCCAAATTCTTAACTGTAATCGAGAAATACTCGACATGCTCCTCTGCAGGAGAGGAGAGACCACTGGCATTCATCTTGGGTTGTACTCCGTCTCCGTCTGCTGCAATTATTTTCAAGGGTACTAGTGAAGAACCTCCTGAAGCAACTCCAGCAGATCCCTCGTTAGCAGAAGACGAAGAAGAAGAAGATGCTGTTCCACCTGTTGTAGTGGAAGAGGTACTAGATGAAGTGGTAGTCCGGTAGAAATTCCTGTTGTTGTCTGCCTGTTGATTCGCTCCGACAGACGACGATGCGCTCCCACCTGAAGACATGTTGTTACTTCTCGTTCTTCTCACCAGTGCCTCATCTTCATTTGTACTAACAGCTTGTCCTTGCCCACTGCCCAGCACTACTGATCCATCAGCCGCACGAGCAGCTTTCTTTAAATGACAAAAACATCGCGTGGTGTTCAAGGATGGAAACGTGAGCTCCGACAGCTCGTAGGATATGCCCTCCGCTTCGCCCTTGATATCGTCCAAGACGATGTCTTCCAGAAAGGTTCGGACTATGCGTAGAAGCGTAGACTCCTCCATGAAGATCTTAGCTCTACGTAAAGGGGCTGAAAGGCCTCCGATATGCCCTCCAGTGGAAGAAGTGGTGGAGGAACCTGTGCTTCTGAAGGAACAAAGACCCCCGCGAGTGGTTCGGGGCGTTGATTTCTGATAGATGTACTCATTAAGCTTTAGTTTACAAAAGTGGGGTTTTTGGGGAAAGAATTGAAAGGTTTTAGTTTAAGAGATGACCGATTTTAGTTTTGTAGATCTAGGCCTTTAGTTTTAGAACTGGAAACTAGATCTATAGATTTGGACCCGATGGATTTCCATTCTGGCTGATCATGAAGGATTTCAATTCTGCACGAACGATGGATTTCAATTCTGCATGAACGATGGATTTCCATTCTGCATGAGCGATTTGATCAGGTTCGAGAGCAACGCCATCGCCAAGTACTAAGACACGCATGGTCATGAAACTGCTCGCAGACCTCGAGGCGTCGACTATGGTTGTTTGAGTTCTTATTTACACAAATTGTCGACGCCATGAAGCAGTTCGTTGGGCTCATCAAATTTTCGATCAGTGTTGTTTCTCATGTAGGAGAGAGTGCAGCACCACCCTCGGCGCGATTGTGGTGTGAGAGTGAGTGTGAGTGCTAGTGCGAGACAAGAATTAGCAGCATTGGAAATACAAGCGAAAACTCTATCTCGTTTCTATTGCTGAGAGTTAGACAAGGAGGCGGCACCTCGGTCAGTCTGAAGATATCACGCTCTATTTTTCTTTGTCACGGCTGCGGATCGCCTTAACCTTGAGGGTGTAGCTCTTGCTCTTCTTCATCTTCTTGTTATTGTTGCCAGCATTAGACTTGCATAGTGCTTAAGAATAAGATGATGGCGCTTCTAATGCCTATCACGTCGACGAGCAAACTACTTTGCTGTTGCGTATAGCTAATCATAGTGTAAGTTCTGCATGGTCCTACAGGGAAGGCTGTCTTGTTGACTGTTATGCTTCCATCGCTGAGTGTCAGTCTCTGTGGTAGGAGTAGCACTGGTAGGAGTGGAGTGCGGCAAGAGCGAGACTCGTCAGGAGCTTGTTGGCCTTCATAGTGCAATAACAGTTACAAGATCAAGAACGAGGCGAAGATTTCTTTACTAGACTAAGAGACAGCTTGTGCCTTTAGTCGTACTGCAACTCTAAAACTCAAACGATAGCTCTTCTTCACAGAGAGCCCTGCAGCGTCCATCCAAAGGCAAAGGCGAGCCTCTGCTTTGAACGAGACCAGAGCAAAAACAGAATGAGTATAATATTTCTACTTTCCTAGTCTTTAAATCTAGAATTAGAAACTCCATGGAAGTGCTTTCTTATTGTGTTTGTGAATCTATATGATTGACAACACGTGATCGCGATGTGGTTGCGGAGGAAAATTACCTAGAAACGCTGTGAAAATGTTTCTGGTTCTCCTTCTATTTCTATAATAATAGTTGTAGTAACGTGCTCCACCATCGAGTTTGTTTTGGTTCTTTGATATCGTGCCACTGGTCTCTTGCTACATCGAGAGAATCAGAAGCATCAGCATACTACTTTATTTCTATTAGTAGAAACGCCTCTAAGTAGTTGTAGATAACTTAAAATATTAGTTCTAAATCTCTATCCTTGTGCTTGTTTTTCAACTTCCTTCTGTTTAATTAACAACACTCATTATGCGTTACCCATCATGTCCGTGTACTTCTTTTATTCAAAAATCTTACTCATAATTACTCAAAATATAACTTTCAATTCAAAATTTAACTTTACTATTACTTTCTTACTTCAATTCTTCTTAGTTAGGTAGTGTGTTGGTCTTTCCTTTTTCCCAAACAACAGGTGTCCATGCTTCCGGTTCCGAAGTACAAGTACTTCGCCAGAGGCTGGAGATATACAATATCAAGACTGATAATCAAAACTATTAGATGAGAAACAAATAGCCATCAAATTCAAAAATTCTATCCTCACTGGTAGTGGTACTAGCGACCAAGTAACTTATTCGTTTCGTATGATATATTTGAATCCCAAATAGACGGGCACATCATGACTATGAGCTTGAACATCATGACCATGATCACCAATAGAAATCCTGAATTTCAATTCTCTAGAATACTTTCTATCTTTTCGACAAAAATCAGATACCCCCATAGAGTCGACTCGCTCCCAATGAAGGTGAAACATTTAATACTTAATTCCCTAGCAAAGAAAACAACTGTACAATTAGATCTATATCTATTAGGTGTAGCTCGGATCCAAAAATGTCTTGATTAGGTAGCTGCAGAGGCAGCAGTGCAAAACTATTTTCTTGATGGAAACTCACGACTTTCATAGATTATAGAACTCGCTCCCTGTGTGTGGTGCTCCTTACAACTTCAAAGTCGTGCTGTGCATCATTCTGTACACTGAAGTATCGCGAGACGAAGACTGTTATACCAAGATCTCTCAACTTCAAAATCAAACTCAAATAGTGTTCTCATATTAATCCCATAAGCATGAACATCTCCCCGACGATTAGTTATGGCACTGCGCAGTATGCCCCCTCCAACTTGTCTGGTATTCATTCATATTCCCTATTTCCAACTATATATAAATAGATATAGTTATAGATGAATATCTAAAACTCTTCAACATTTTCCCGCTAATAAACATGAAAACAAAGAGCCAGCCCCTTGCTTTTCTCTTCCTTTAAAGGCCACCCTTCACCTTTCTCTGGACCGGCGCCTCCTCTTCCTCTTCCTCTTCTTTCACTTCCAGCGGCGACTTCTTCTTGCGCATCGGGATCGCGATGGAAAGGCCGGACTCGCTCTAATGATTAGAAGATGAGACGACTAATGGGAACAAGATGAGAGAACGAGAAGATACACGCACAAACAATAGTTGTAAACGACCTCTATTACTATTCCTATTAGATTCCATAATTTCCTCGTCGGGAACGCTGAAGCTCCACTCCACGCACATGATCTTCCACGGCTCCTCGTACACCTCAAACAAACGCTTTGCCGCTTCCTGTAGTTGCAGGCGTGAGTCATGGTTTTCGTTCTCAGTCTCTAATAGAGGAGATCAAGTTATCAATATTAGCTCAGGAGGAGGAGTAGACTCACCAACTATTAGTTGAGGATAAGATATAGGACCGATATCAAATAGAAGTAAGCACCTCGCTGCCATCCAAACCGGGCATCTCAGCGTCCGCCAGGCCTTTCGCTTTGTTCTTTCCACCTTTCGTCTTCAGTCCCATAATAGACGCCATGGTGCTGGGCTTCAGCTGCGCACGGAAACGCAGCTGGATGCTCTCAGTGATGCCGTTGCGCATCTATTAGAGCCAACTTAAAACCAAAATCACCATCACCAAAGAGCAACTCCCACTGTGTGAAGTGATAGATATTACATGCGTTTTAATTTCGAAGACAAATAAAAACACGATCGAAAGAACTAGAACTAGCTAGCTGCTAGCACTACTAAAAGACGAAGTTTCCATAAATGGCGCGGCCACTCAGGAGAACACCATTCGCCATGTCCCCATATTTGATCTCGGTGCAGTCCTTGACAGTGCGGAACAAACCGGCAGGGCTGATCAACTTGGTTGGCAGAGACGCTTCGTTCACCGCCAGGGTGTCCGTGGCAAACTGATTTGTGGCTTTGACATTGATAGAGAATGAATAAGATTATATACCATGACCGACAGACAAAGAAACTATTAGTATTAGATGATAAAGATAATCTATAATAAATTTTGTTCATAGAAATAGACGCTATTACATTAGTGCTACTGCTCGAATTCAAATGGCGACTGCTATAGCAACAAAATAAATTTTAATTTTAGTACCTTGAAAACTGCTTCCTCCTGGATACTGTACACCTCTTTAAAAAGGGGCGCCCAATTGGCTGCCACACCCGAAAACGTTTGGTTCATGATCGTCGCCATAGTGGTCTTGCTACTATCCTCCTCCAGCATCCACTTCATGTTGGCCTTGACCTCTGCCTTGAAGTCGTTAGCCTGCTGATTGAGCAGCTGCAACGTCGAGACGGTTTCGTCGTTCATGACGTCGGTCTGAGCCGCAGCGTTGGTGCTTGCCCCAGTAATGGAGGACTTCTTGTTCATCATCTTTTTTCCTTTTCCATCAGACATTTTTTCTCCTTCCTGTTCCTCCGGCTGCGCATCGGCATCCACCTTCATGGATTGCTCTTCCGCAGACGTGGTTCCCAGAGGAGCATCGGGCATCGGGTGGTCCTTGCTGCTGGCCGCAGAGGTAGACGAGTTTCCAGCACCAGATCCAGCCGCGCTAGCAGTAGAGGCCTTCTTCATCCCGCGCCCACCCTTGGCAGTAGTCTTCGGCCCCGCAGCGACAGGCTCCTCAACGACAGACTCGACCACGGTCGACTTAGATGCCTTCTTGATCTTGTCGCTTGCTTTGATCACGGTCTTGTTGATCTCCGTGTCCTTCTTGTTGTTCTTTTTGCCCTTTCCTCCTTTTTTGCAACCAGTAGATGTTGTAGTAGTAGTAGTAGTAGTAGTAGTGGACTTCTCATCATCCTTATTCTTGTTTCCCGCTTTGATCGCCAAGAGGGTCTCCTTGTTGAGCTTGTGCACCAAGCGTCGGCGAAGGGTCTTTTCGCACAGAACCTTGATGGTGGCCTTGTCGAGGACCCTCTGCAGCCCCGTGTGCCACCCCTTCGGCGCCTCACAAGCCTGCAGCACACGGCCAACCGACTTGCTCAGAGGAGTATGCTTGCTCTGGGTGACAAGGCGGACCATAGCACCAGCTGGGATCTCCTCTGTGAACTCGAACGTTTCTCCCTCCTTCATAAACTGAATGTGAGAGAAGTTGAAAGAGTATATTAAAACTAATAGTTAGCAGAAATTCAAAATCGTGCACATGTAGGATGATGAGTCGCATGTTATAAAAAAAGGCTGTCTCGAAAATGAAACGAAGCTCGAGGCCGAGACGGTAGGGGAAGTTGAGTCAGAAGTCAGAGAGTCGAAATCTATTAGATAAAAAAAGAACGATCTCTATATCTATATAGAAATACGTGGTAGATTCCTTCAGCGATCTCGTAGTTTGCATCTGCAGCAAAATCCTCAACCCTGCGCCAAAGCATGAGATACTTGTCGTCGGATTGTGCGTTCTCTTTCACCTTCGACACCACAAGTCCGGGCGTAAAAACCGGAACACCCTCTGGCAACACCAGACCATAATCCTTCGGCTCCGTCTGGAGTGGTTGGGGGATAGAGGATAGATAGAATTAGAAAAGCAAGTCGAAGTCCTTTGTAATTGTAAATAGCCGAGCTATTACTATTAGATGGCACAGAAGACACATATCTAGCAGGTGATGCGGAACTCTCTACTAGTATGTTTGTAGATGGAGACCCTTGAAAATACAATAAATACCTTTAGACCCTCGGTCGATTCTCCGGTTTTCAGTGAGGTCTTCTTTTCACTGAGACGCTTCTTCTCGCGTTCTTGCAACACGGTCACGATCTTGTCCATCACCTTGTCGAACTCTGGCAGCACAATGGTCGCGACGGATTCTCCCGGTTTGATATGCGTTGCGTTGGCGAAGTAGAGCTCCATGCACTTGACCCCGTCGCCTCTCGAACCATTGATAGAAATCCCCTTTGTGCCTTTGAGCGTCAAGATGACAGCAAGCGCTTCGTCTGTGCGTCCATCCGGTGCACATTTAAAAGAATCGCACTGCTGCCTCATGACGGAGCTCACCTCGCTTCTATTAGACACAAAAATGATGGAAGTCGAACTTGAAAAGTGTTTCCTCTTGTTCAGAAAATGTTCTTTTTTCAGTTTCTCGCTTTAATTTCTAATCCTATTAGGCAAAAGTAGTACTCCAGTGCACATCTATAAATCTAAGTGTATAAGTCTCGAACCAGATCCATAACTCCCGATCCAAAACGGCGCGCCTTGACTCTGGACAGGGATCCTTTCGCAAACCAACCCTTCGTCATAGCCGTTTCTTTTAGCCAAACATATCGCGACTTACCCAATCCAGGGTACTTATTCTGAAAGAGATTGACACTGAGAATGAGATGCGCAGTTTTCGTTTTACTTTTAGTTTTATTTTTTTGGTTTTGGACTAATAGTAGAAACGAGTAGAGCAAACAGTGTAAATAATAGTTTTTAATTTCAAGAACTTTGGCCGTGCATTAACACCAGCAACTACCACAACTTTCCAAAGAAAAAATACTTTGACGACGTAGTCGTAATCGTTTCCACAACCATCCGGGTTTTGAAGATAGTTCTGCATAAGACCAGGGAGCGCGTCCAAGATGTCAGGAATCTGCGGCGCCAAGCCGTCCACGGAATCGTTATCGCAATCAAAGAATTAGAAGTAGAACAGGGAAGGGGAAGGCTTCAGATAAGATTCATTCTATGGGGCATGTCCATGCCTATTTCTATCTCAGCTTCTACTTCCATCATCTCCTATCCTGATACATAAAGTAGTTCGGAAAATGGAGCACAAGCATTGCCATCGGCATCACCTCGACTTCTAATAATGCTAGCACTAGGACTAGGCCTTAGCCTAATAGTTATAAGCCTTAACGGTAGTGGACAAGGGCTTCCCGATTTTCGTCCTCCATGACGCGCTGGCTTAAAATCAGGATCTGTGTGTAGAAAATGAAAAGCAAGTAGATTCTTTACGAGTTTTGAGGTTGGTCGAGACTTGAGTAAGTTGGTCGATGAGGAGGATCTATAGCAAAGACCAGAAACAATCACAACTATTAGTTTTACTTAGCTGTAAAAAAGTATATATAAGTAGTCTTCATCTTCAATAGAAGCTCCCCAACCCACTCAGCGCCCTTTTCGTGGTACTTGAAAGCGAGAGCCATCCCACGATGTCCCCCATTTATTAGAGATAGAGATAGTGATAGAGTTGATGACTCTACGAGTAGCTCTCCAAGTCCAACTGCAACTTAAGAGTCTACTTTTAATATTAATCGAGTTCACAGTCAGAGAATCAGACAAGGACAACGATACAGACGCTACTCTATTTCCTTAACGCGACGAGCTCCAGTTCCTCCCCGTCCTCCGCGGCAACAAAAACTGAGTGTGTAGTTGATTACGTTTATGGGAATGGCAGTGTGATTCGTTCTAGTTGCGGGATAGGAGCAAGGCTCTACGCGAAATAGAAGCTATGGAAGTAGATGTAGATGTAGCTGTAAATGGAAGAAGAACACACCAGAAAATTCACAATAGTTTAGTACCTTTGGCTGTTCGGACGTAGTGCGTACGGTCTTCCTTCTTGAAAGTCCCATCTTGAATATATTGCTTGGCCAAATCCGGACTCATCGTGTTAGGTTAGAAGAAAAGGAAAACCGTCACTGATTTGGATATGGACGATAAGGCTGCTCATAAGACTACGACTGTGAGCATTGCCAGTATGCCTGGTTCTACTCCTACTTCTAGATCTAGCCGTAGTACCCAAATCCAAATAAATATAAAGCATCTACATTCGAAAGCCATAACATTCGCACACAGGGATGAAATGCTCAATATGAGACTCGTCGCGGGGTTCATTCACCTTCCAGTTCTGGGTCTTGAAACGGGCAACGTCATCGGGCGTCATGAAGCGAACAGATCCCTTCGCGTATCAAGATTAGAAAAAAATAGGAATAAGAGCCCAGGCACAGCTGGCCCCTCATCTTTAACCAAGCCCCTCCTACTTCCGTATAAGTTGCGCTTATGCCTACGCCTCGACCTACAGCCCCTACTTCTACTTCTACTCCAATCTCTGCAGCAAGTGAGTGTGAATGTGAATGCGATTGCGAGACAGCGACAAGTGAAATAAGTGGCGCATAGAACTAGCCACAAGCGGTGTTATAGTTATATGTCTACGTCTAGAACAAGAACTAGATCTAGTCGAAGTGTGGGCCATAATCTCCTTCAAATTCGTTGATGAACTGGCTGTCATTCGTGACACGTTCGCGGCGACGACGCCACACTTCCGCCCCAGAATGAACAACATTGCTGGTCCTGTTCGCGGCTGCGCGCAGAAAGCTGGACGCGCCTTGTCCTCCAAAAGGCATCATCTTGATGATCGTGATAGAAGTAGGACTAGGTCTAGATCTATTTAGTTTGCTTGTGGTCGTTGATCAATTCAAGTGACGGAGAAGAACTACAAGTATTAAGTACACTCTAAAAAGTAGTACTAGTAGCGAATAGCTTGAGTCTGAATACGATACCAATTCGATTTTGATTTCAGAAATTGAGATACAAGTAGAAGTAGAAGTAAGTCAGAGACTTTCGAGGTTTAGGTTTGTTGAAGTTGATGCTGATCTCTCACAATGTGGGAGATAACGCTCTCTCTTTTTCGCTAAGATTTGTTGGAAGTGGGAGAGAAGTAGGAAATGAGAATCAGCTTGACAATTCGCTGTAGTTGATGGATGGGGGGTGGAAGTTGAGCTTGAAACAGAAACTCAAAGGAATGCTTGTAGCATGTAGCTGTAACTGAAAGTGAAACAGAGAGAGAGTAACTGATAAATGAGGAGAGTGAAAGTAGAGACTATCGATTCATAAGGTGACTCGAGCGCAGTCGCAAACTAATAGTTCGAAAAAAAGCGAAAGAGTCGAGACATGACACGATCGCGATCATCTGAATTCTCGGTGGACAAAAAAAAACGAAGCTGAAGTAGATCGTGATCACACCTGCTACAAGCAACTGCAATACCAAAAAAACAAGCTTTCAACATCTCAGCAACTTTGTGACTGTGTGCACTTCCTCATTCTCATTCAGGTTCAGGCATCGATGGTGCTGTCACGATTATTTCTCGAGGACCAGATCCAGAAAAAGCACACTCGTCGTCTTTCATTGATTTTGAAGCTGAAGCTTTGACTCTTCTCTTTCACTTCCTCAGCCCGAAAAAAAACCTTGCTGAAGCAGACGCATTCATGATGCAGAATCTTGCGCACGCGTACTCATCCTGGGCTTCGTTCTCATTCTCAATCTCATAGTAGAAGTAGATGGAGCAGTAGGACTTCGACTGGGTGACCATTACACAACGAGCGATCAGACACATGCATCGAATACGAATTCGAAATCAGTCGAGCAGTCAGCACCTCATCCTCATCCGAGAAAATGCGACGACAACATCGGTTTCGGCGCCGTCAAGTCTCCATCATCAGGATCAGAATCAGAACAAAACCCACCAGCACACGAGGACGGGCGAGCACTCAGTTCCAGATGACCAATGGCATAAAATAGAGCAAACTGATACCGACCGAAGCTTTCGCGAACACCTTGGCCACTCTCTCGCTCTGAATCACTGACAGGAAACAAATACAAACACAAAGGACCAACAACTTGCGCAAAATCAAAAAACAAACGACGTTCCACCCGGGAACGATCAGCACTACCCAAATCAACCTCCCTACAACCGACACTAGAACACCCCCGCCCCGTTGGGAACACACTCAAAGCCCAACACTCACCCCCGTAAGACTTTCACCCCCATGCACCAGAGATCAGAACTCCTTCCAGCTCCCTCCTAGGGCTGAGCCTAGGCACCACGATAAAGAAAACACCACAAAGAGGCCCAAAAGAACAAGCAGGAAAACACAACAACAACAGCCAAACACATGAAAAAAGGAAGCACAACCCTGACCAGATTCCCGAGCCCTCCGCGGCCGTCCCCCACCTATTAGCTGCGCTGAATGCTTCCGGAACGGCCGTGACGCCTCCGGAAGCGCCGTCGCCTAATAGTTCGAAACTATTAGACGCCGACGGCGCTTCCGGAAGCGTCACCGCCGTTCCGGAAGCGTTCCCCGCATCTAATAGATGCGGGGAGTCACTTCCGGAGGTCCGTGAGGCTGTGGGCGTGTGTGTGTCGGCGCGTGTCGCCTCGTCTCTCTTTTTACTCTCTAAACTCGCAGCGCGCTGGGCTGCATCACTCAAACCAACCGACTCGCAAGAGGGCAACGCGGTAGCAGTTTGGGCAAGTAACACCACCCACCCACCCGACTTGCCCAAACTGCTGCCAGTGGGGGAATCTGATCACAGAAGCACCAAAAAACAACAAGAGAAAAAAAAACGATGTGGGACAAAGGTCCCTGCCAATAGAACACAACCGAACAAAGCAAAAAAACTAGACCGATTCGTCCTCTCATCTCTCTCGAGCTTCGGTCGGTATGGCTCTAAAACTGAGTGAAGCAACAAGAGATCCGACGTGCTGGTGAGAATTCATAACTGAATCGGCCCTACAGGATTCTTGTGGCCACATTGCTTCCCATCTACAACTACGTCCAAGAATTGAAGAAATGCACTCACGCTAACGTTCTAGCTCTACAGCTTCAAACTCAAGGTCCCACCCCATTCCCAAAGCTGTGTAGCTTCTATGATTAAACTGCACTCGCATGGTGTGGAATGCCTTGTAGCTCTTTTTTTAGCTTCTACTTACACTTACTGAAGCAGTGGCAGATGTAGAAGTAGGCACAACTAGAGCAGAAGCCAGCTGTGATTGTCGTTGTGTATTTGTTGATCGCAATCAAAATGATAATGAATTTACTCAACTCCAAGTTTAGCACTACGCTTGATTCAGTGCATCTCATTCTTATTTTGAAGAAGGGGATCTGGGTCTGCAGCTGCACCAGCAGCAAGATCTTCACAAGTTTATTCATATGCATCTCAGTCAGATTCAGCTCAACAAGGGAAAGGGAATCGCTTCAAGATATTGATACTCTTGGATCGATACAAGTTCAGCAATTCAAATTTTGAGTAGAGTTCGTGGTCGTTGATCTTCAGCCTCATAGTGGGACCCACAGCCACATGCAAGCACATTCTCATTCGCAAACACTTAACTTGATCAGATACCTTTATAGACTCAGACAACACAAACAAAATTACTCGCGCCTTTTGCTTTTCACCAGGAGGACGCGATAAGTTCAAGCTTGACTTTAGTTGCTACAGGCGCCTCGCCTTCTCTCTACTTCCAGCAGAGAGCTAACAGAAAGGGAAACAAACAGGGGAAGTAGTTCTTCTTATACTTATAGTTTGAATTACTTTTATAGACTACTAATAGTAGTAGCACCACTTGCGCACGTGCTTCATTCTTTTCGAATATGCATGCACTTATACTTTCTTGGAAGTACGTAAATCATGACACGGACGTCTACATCTACGAGTACAAACACAAGTGCAAGATGAGTCTCAAGGTCAAGGGGGTACCACAGAAAATAAAAACTAGCTCTAGAGGCGTCACATGTGAAAGATACGACTACAATTACGCTTACGATTACGAAATACAAACAGAGATAGACAGAATCAGCAGAAAGGGTAGGAAGCGTTAGCATATGCATAGGGATGCTTTTACATTTACTACTAGCTCTGCTCAAGCACTTAGAGGCCGGGCGGGCTCGTTGTTTGATCATACGGCGATGTCGATTCTGGTATAGCAGCTCTTGGCTATGGTACTAGGAATTGGAATAACAATACTTATACTGATAATCTCACAAGCGGTCGCGATATTAGAAATAGAAACAGTTGTGACTATCTAAGTCTATAGATACGAGAGGGTAATGATTAGGCGTAGGAGGCAAAGAGAAACCACGTCCATGGTCAAGCTCGAGGCTGCTATGCAGCAAAACGTTTCTAGCTCAAGAACAAACTATATGTGTGCGATCGAATTCGAAATAGAAAGTGCAAACCGTCTACTTGCTTCTACTATTCACATTAAGACTGAGAAAAGTTCAACACCACTATAACTATTAGTGTTACGACTGCGACATGTTCAAGGACAATCTCCAAGGCAATAGCAATATGCAAACTCCACGGAAAGGGAAATGACAATTACTAACTTTTCTTTCACTACAAGCACAACCATAGTAATCAACGTCATCGATCTGAATGCGATGCCAAAGTCAAAAACTACCAACAACGCTATCGCTAACACAACCACAAGGAAGCAACTGCATCTAGATCTACAAGTGCAACTATTAGAATTAGAATTAGCTTCAGTCCATTAAGTTTCCATATCCACATGTATAAGTAAGTACGCCCATAATTGCAATAAGAGGTCGCTGCCCCACTTTGCTCTGATAAAGATAAAGCTGTAGGCCCAGATCTAATAGTAGCTGTAGTCCCTAGTCCTATTCCTATGTATTATTAGTGATGGATCGTGTAAGGTTCAAAATCAAAGTAGGTATTCGTGTATGATTCTCGATGGAAGGGGGAGACTAACTGTTAGTGTTAGAGGAGAGTTAGAAAACGCACCTGCATAGTATTTCCATGAAAAAGACAGTCGCTCTATAGACTATTAGCTCTACGTGCAAATCGAAAGGCGAAACACAGCTACTAGTTCTATCTCTGTATCTTCTATCCTTAATCGTCAGCCAGGAGATCATCCTCCTGGTCAGAGAAAAATAAATCATCCACATCCCCCACCTCATCTGGATCTAGCCCTTGATCTGATTCGAATCCTGAGTCCGCCACTACCGACACCCCATCTTGGTCATCAGTCCACTCGCTTTCTGTGTCGCCGTCGAATAGTGGCCCATCCTCTGGGACGCGCATGCTAACTTGGTCTGTTTGTCCATCAGTGTCATCTTTGATACCCTGCTCCCGCCTCCACATTTTGACAAGATCAGAACACAGCTGCATAGCCTTGATTTTCTCCGATGCGTCCGCCTCGACAAATGGAGCTCCGAGTTCGAAGCAGGCCTCTTGTATCACCCCGATCCGCGCTCTTTCGATATCGCACGCCCTCGTCGACGCGCAAACTTTGCTGTAGCTGTTGAAGACTTTCGGAGCCTTCCTCGCTGCTTTGGCCTTCGCCTGAGGAGGATGAGGACCTTGTCCTTGTTGATCGATTCCTATTAGCGGAACCCTGAGCTGCCACTGCAAGTTCTTCTTCTTACTAGACGGACGGACCAGCACAATATAGACGTCCGGCCTCATAGGAAGCGAGTTAGGCAGTTCCGGCGTTGCGCCAAGGTTTTCGTTTATCGCAGACCACTTCGTCTCCCAAACTGCGCGCTTCTGCTTTTCGGTTGCAGCAGCGCGCTTGGATGCCAGAAGCCTCTCTGCTGCTGTCCGCTTCCGTTTATTAGATTTCGCTATGGGTGGCAGCAAGTCCGCCATCAGCACCTTTTTCCGAATAATGTCGGGAGCCTGTGCAAAGACATCGCCACTGCAAATGCATCGCGCGTCCGTTGGTCTGGCAACTTCAAGCTCTACATACCAATCGGACATATCAGGCTCAGAATCAGGAGCAGAGGCTGCGCCTCCCTGGTCCTGGAGCCCACTGCCTGTGCCTCCAGCTCCAACATCTGCCTCTGCATCCGCGTGAGCAAGTGGAGGTCCAAGCGCATCTAGATCAAAGGGATCCACGTCCATGGCGTCTTGATTGGCGGCCGCACTGGATGATTGATTTTGGCGTGCGCGAGCTGCTTGTGCTTCTGCGGCGCTCTGCAAACGCTTCTGTCGCTCCTCCAGCAATTTTTTCCGACGTTTTTCTTGCTCAGCTTTGTACGCACTGCGAAACTCCTGAAACATTAATAGCTCCGACAACCAAACATGGTCCTGCCCGGAGCCGGGGTCCTCGCCAAAAGTCTGAAACTCGAAGGCGTCTAGGTTCGGGGTTGTGCCCGACTGGTTAGCACGACAGAGAACCGCATTAGTTTTTCGGATGTCAAAAACAAACCACCAATGCTCATCCCACTCGACGCTGCTCCTCGCATCGAATCGGAGCTCCTTTTTCTCTTTCTCCTTTGCTGATGCTGGCGCAGGCCGAGAATGAAAGATAAGAAAGGGTAGGGGAGTGCAACTACTTCCAAACCCAAAATGAAAATCTGAGGTAGTTCTACAGATAGTAGCTTTGATTTTCTACTTGTAGATGTAGTAGTAGAACTAATAGCTTCAGATGCAATATGATAACTATACGAGGAAGAACGACGGAGATGGAGGTAGCTTACAACAATCTAATAGCTGTGATTACCAGCGCCGGGAGGTCCTACTCCTACTAGTACTATCAGTACCCCAATCACATGAACACGTTACCAACAGATGACCAGAATCAAACACGATCTCAGACACAAGATCGCAATGCAAAGAAACAGATAAACTAATATTAGTAGCGATAAATAAGTGTATATATCTATATAATCAAAACTCCGAGATACAAAAGCACTTTCATACAAAAAAAGCAAACAGATCTTAGATAACGAATGAGATAAAATAAATGATTTTCATTTTACTGAAGTCGAAAAATGTACACAGTACGGCACAGCCAGTAGGTAGTGGCGGTTCAATATCTATGATATTTGCATGTTTACCCTTCGATATCATCATCAACGGAACTCACGCCCATAACGTTTTTTTTGCAAATCCTCCTGCGTCTGCTCCTCGTCCTCCACCTCTTGTTCCTGTGCCAATCCCAGTGCTTCCTCTGATTCATCTTCCACCGGCAGCAGACGCTCCTTCGCCTTAGCCTTGGCAGTTGACTTTGCCGCCCGCTTCATTGCTTTCTTTGGCATGGCTTTTGATTTCGCTTGGCCCTTGCCCTTGCTTTTCGTGGTACTAGTAGTAGTCGCTGGCCCTCCAGCAGAATCGACGCCAAGCTTTTTGCCATGTTCGTAACCACAACCATATCGAAGTCTTATCAGGTCTGCATGCTTGAGAGAAAACGCTCCCAACCTACTAATAGCTCCACTCGCAGGCTGCTTATCAAGTCCACGCAGAGCATCCTGCCCGATCCTCTCAACACCTTTCAGCCGACGAAGATGCTCAAGGTCTGCTAGTGCTGCAACCATGTACAAGCAAGCGCGGCGCGGGACGGCTCCTTCCCCAAGAGAAGCAGGAAGACGATGCTTGAAGCGCTTATCCTTGATCTGGTACAGCAGTCCGAACTCTCTAGGGCGCAGCGATCGGTTCCTCCTAATAATCATCCGATCGAACAACAACGGCAAGGCGATGGCAGGAGCTTCTTTCCTAATAGCTTTGAAGGTTGAGTGCAAACTCTCAACCCTCTGCGCTGAAGGACCGAGCGAAAACACGAAAGGCCCCACTTCGGCGAAGAGCCTCGGAGAGATGCGGTGCTCAGGATTTTCAGCGCGACACAGTCCTGCCAACTCTCGAGGGAAGTCCCGCTTTATCATCTTGATGAATCTGGATGGACCGCTGTAGCTCAAAATGAAGCGGGCTGCTGCTGCTCGCGCCTTGTCGTCCTTTGCGAACAGATCTATTAGTTTCCAAGCGTCACGACGTTGCTGCGACTCCCGTATATACATTTTCCAAGAAACGCCAACAGCTGCACAGAGCATAGCCACCCTAGCACCTGGCGTGCCTAATAGTCTGAGGAAGCGGGCCAAGTCATAGAACAGGTTCGCCATGCGTAGTCGTGTGCACATCGCAAGCCCAAAGTTTGTCCGGAGTCGCAGCATAAACGACTGTAGAGAAAGCACGTGGTGCTGTAGCGGTCGCACGACTAGAACTGCAACCTCAAGAACTTCCCAAAAGTTCGACCCAAGCTCTGGCAGAGATGCTGCTGCCTTCTTGAAATAGGCCCTGCCTCGTTTTGCTGGCGAACGTTAGAAATCTCGTAGACTTCCTTGAAAATAATAGGGCCTGAGGAGTGAGAGAGATATAAAAAAATTCTATAGGGAGCGCGTCAAAGTGCAAATCTAATAGATTGTGTCAAGATGTGGATACAGATATAAATCAGGGCCCTACCGATACTAGATTCTTACTCTTAACTAATAGATGACGACACTGCAAGTATATGGCAACTCTTAACTACGAGTTACGACCCAGAAGTAAAAGTTTTATAAAACATCACAACTATATAATAATAGAGAAAAGATGGCGACGCCGATGGAGGAACCTAAAACTATTAGCTAAAGCAAATAAAAAAGTAAAAGTAAAGACTCTCGATAAGGTCATAAGTTATCCTTATTCGGAAAGACTCTCTATCTCTAATATAAATATATTAGTATAAGCGTCTTGTATATTCGTATACAACGAACCAGCACTAAAAGTTCATGCTCAAATACAAACTCATGCTCAAGTATAAATTAAAATTAGAATTAGAAATAAAATTACGCCAACCATAATTAAAAGTGGCGTCGCTTTGAAGGGCTTCGAACTTCTCGAGAAGTTTCTGCTTCTGTAGCCACAGCTTCTCCAGGGATTTCCCTGCTGATCCCCAGCGCGTTTTGACCCACTTCTCCAGCGCCTTTACAGCTCCCGCGGAAAGAAGTTCCTTCATGTAGAAGTCGATCGTCATTCTCCACGCGACGATTGTGGACATGAAAGACAGGTCGCAAAAACGTCCTAAAAGCTGAAGCGAGAAGAGGATGACCAAATGCAAAAAATGCATTTTGCAGGCGACCCACTCGGTGTAGAACTCGGTCTCGTAGATGTGGCCATCGTCTTCGCCGTCTTGTCTCGCGAGGTGCACTGCTGTCTCGTACGCCTCTAACATCGAGGCTGCGGCAGTGGCATCAGAACCAGAATCAGATCCCCAAACGTGCAGCAGCTTAAACGGCTGCGCGCCAATTTCTGATGCTCCAACTCCGGGTAAAGGTACGGAGCAGTCCTCTGCCTGCTTGTACACATGCTGCAGCATATTCATGTGCCCACCGGAGCACTCGCATGGTGTTGCCACTGTGTAGTTATAGCAGAGACGATTTCGAAGGCCTCGGCACCCTTTGACTTCATGAGTTCGCTTCTCCTCGCGTAAAAGCTCATAATCGTCGTCGTCTGGTTCAGCAAGTAAATCCTTCACTTCCATCTCCTTCTCCTGCGCTTTTAGTTTTCTTCTGGCCAAAGGATCAAGTGCCCGACACTGTAAAAATTCAGTGTTCAAGATCTTTCGCGCTTCGTCGGAAGTAGCATCAGACGTCGTCCTTGTGGCTAGAGTTGGAAGTCTGTTGAATGCTTGCCCAGGGTCCTTCCGGATGCCCACCGGTAACAACTGTAGATACTCTTGGTGCGCCTGTGCATGCTCATCTAGATTTCCACGCTCGCGAAGCTGAGGAAGTCCGCCCAGTCCTAAACTATTAGTTGTTGCTCCAGCTACGGGCGTAGAAGTCGATGTGGATGTTGCAGGAGGAAGAGCAGCTTCTTTATTTTTGCGTTTATCATCTGCGCCTCGGTCTAGTTCTTTACCTTCCATCTGTTCGCCGGATCCCACTCCCGCCATAACGTCATCGATGAAGCTGCCCCAAGCTTCGGCCTCGTCTGCATTTTGTGCTACCTCATCCGCATGTTGCCTGTAAGACCGGCGGTCCGCCCACAACCTATTACCAACATGTCTGCACAGCCGCACGATGCGGGCGTAGGTCCTCTCTGCTCTCGTTACCCAAACCCGACGAGCTGCCTTGTGGTTGTACGCGGACTTGACCCGCATGGCGTAATCTTCTTCTTCATTCTCGTCAGAATCATCGCCCTGGCATCCGCCAACAAGACACGCCGTATTAAAGGCCTCCGCTATTAGTGCCTCCTTTTCGTCATCTTCATTGAGTAAAGCGCCAGCAACGTTCGGACTCAAGTACTTCCTTCCATCAACCTCTTCAATCTTGACACGCTTCTCCCCTGCATTCCCCAAGTCTTCAACAACATCCCCTGCCGCACGTGAAAGTAGCATCCCTTTAGCGGTAGCAGTTCCACTTTTCGCACCACCCGCAACCCACAAAGCGTACTCCCCAGCAGACATCTTATTCTGCTTAGCCGCTTCAGGAATGGAAACAGTGGACAACTTCGTCAAACGTTTTCGCTTTCCGCAAGTACGTCGTGACTGCGGGATTCTCGCGTCTCCATCTCCGTCAAGATGTTCGTCGTTTACTACATCCAGAGATTGCTGATGCTGCTCCTCTTCTTCCTGCGTTGCAGTTATCGCCTGCGCAACACGCGAATCAAACCCATCTACATCACCCTCGTCCAGCATCTCGTATCGTAGTCGAAGTTCTCGGACACAGAACTTTGCCAACAGAGTATAACGATTATTCTGGGCAAGCTTCGTTTTAAAAACCCGAAAACGCGCACGCATATTCGCCTCGTGTGGAACGATCTGAAAAATTTTTATAGAAGTTAATTATTAATAGAGGATGAAAAACTAAAATAATCAATAATCTAAAAGGCCCAGGAGAATAGATGTAAAGAACACAGCATCAAGCGATGGAAGAAGAAGCAAATTGCTTGGAAATCTTTTAGAACGAAATCCGAACTCTAATAGTTATGCTGAAATTTATTGTAGATGTAGTATGAATCCAAAAAACAGTAAGAATTGAAATTGATTGTACTTCCATGAGTCCATTGCGGGTGCCGCGCTTAAGATCATCGCCAGAACGTTGACAGGAAGAAAACTCGAAAGTCGCCCTTTCCAGAATTGTGTGAACCTGCTTGACAGAGACCACGCCTCCTGGTCCAACTAATAGTTCGATATCTTCGGCGTTCATCCTTGAAAATGCGGACGATCGGCCTCAGTCTCGAAATCAAAATCGCGCTCGTAGATCAAAATCGCCGGGGCCGGAGCCGGTAGTATATGATTACGCTGTTGAGGAGAAGATTTTGATTCTCATGGTGTAAACGTAGTAATTATCATTCCTCACATAGGTTTCTTCGTAGAGATCTACCATGCAGGTACAATAAAAAAAACTATTAGTATTAGAAATAGAAAAAACGAAGATGAGGCTGACCTTGAAACATCCGACGAGACATCCCATCAGTGCAAAAAAGTGATATCAACCTTTCATCTCTAATAGATTGTAACAAACTGTACTACAACCGACTCGATAATGTTACAGCATGTTTCTGCGATCGCGATTGCTTACGTTGTACGACTACGATTTTCGAGCGAAGAAAAAAACCATAACGGTCCTCAAACATCACTCCAGGAATAGAATCGATTAGACTTCGAGTCGATACCTCCCGACTTATTCAGCAGTCTCATCACAGTTCTGCGACTTATTCGAAAATCTAATAGTTGTATGTAGTACGTGTGGATTTTCGCGTTCTTGATTTTCCTCGAATCTCGAGGCGTACCTTTCGATATCAATCTTCATCAGATGCTTTACCGCATAAACTCCCATAATCCGCATTCGCAATAATCGATCCGAATTCCGTATGATGTGAGAGGGGGTAGTAGATATCGGGATGGGGGTAAGTAAAACTATAAAATCAAAAACTACAAACTTTAGAATCAGAATTGGAAATTATAGGAATCAATATAGAAGAATTTAGGATGCTGTATATGGTATTCTAGTTTTAATTATTCATTCTAAATTTGCTTGAAATTACTTCTAAATCAAGAAAGTCACATACTATCTAGCAAACGCCTGAACCACTCGCGGGTTTACTCTGTTCGTTCATACCTGTGCTGGTGCTGCTGGGTAGCTTCTTGTTACCACTGCTTGATGATGTCACAGGAGTGCCTGTTGTGGAACAATTCGAATCGTCCCTAGTACTGCTTCCAATCCCACTACTTTGTTGAAGATCTGACGCTCCTGCGGTAGAGCTAGAAGTTCCCTGCTCAGCTGAACCACCTCCAACAAAATTGCTGTTGTTGCTGAGCAATCCAGGATTATGGTGTTCGAACAAGTGCTCGTCCCTAACCTGCAACTGCAAACGGATCTTGTCAGTGTTTCTCTGGAAAGCGCTGGCTCCATCTATCGAGGACACGAATTCTGCAACTCGTATCCAACCAACCACACCTTGGTCGACCGAAACGATCCTGGCAAAAGGCAAGCACTGGAGCATTCCCAGCAGCTGTTCTCTCCTCTGTTCTAGCACTGCTAGTTGTGCGGGTGCGGACGATAACGAAGATGACGATGCTATAAACGGTGATCCACCAGGTGGAGGCAGTGGAGGCGGTGGTGGTGGAGGAAAAGCGTCACTTTTTCCGGCAACATCTTCAGGAACGACCGATGGCGATGGACAGGTTGCCGCAGGAGAAGAAAAGAGACTAGGATCATTAGTCGCTCCGGTCGGAATTTTCGTGCTAGTAGCTGGTCGTATGGAGGAGCCTGCTCCTGTGTATGAGGATAGCTGTACGTCAGAAGGCGTCGAAGAAGCGGATACAAGGCCTATACTGCCGTTGCCGGATACTTCTGTAGTCCCTGTCCTTGTTGAACTAGTACTGGCCACACTCATCCGGTCAACATCACGATCATCCTCACCTCCAACACGACTACTCCCAGAAGTCTTCTTCATCCTACTCCTGACTGGCGAAAAACCGCTTGTACTAGTATTTCCCCACTTGGGATTCGTTCTCAAGTGTCTGATTAAATCGACATCGTTCATGAACCCTTCGACGTTGGAGGACCATTTCAAGAAGCGTAAACGATCTCCTGCTTTCAATTCTGTGATTGGCTTTTTGTTTTTTGTCATGTCATCCGTTTTGTATACATTGACGTTCCACCCAGCTACTGTCCACAGGCCGCTTGAGTTAGAGAAAATATAAGCCAACCAACAATCATCTTCGTAGTTCTTGAAGGTTTTTTACGGAGGACGACACAGAAGTACTCGTTCTCGTACAACTTCAACTACTTAGGTTCACACATCATAACAGAAGTAAGATTCGCATCGACCAACGCCGCGATCTCCTCGTACAACGGGAACAAAGCTTGGGAGAATCGAGCATTCCGGACTAGTGCACTTGAAGAAGATTCAAGCGAGGATGCTGAAGAAGCTCCAAGAAGTAGAAGTCCACCTCTAGCATCCGTTGGTGATTGCATCCTACTTTTCCGGAGATGGAAGGAAGCGCTTCTTCTACTTGCAGGCTTCATCGGCTCGTCAACTACAGCATTTGCAACGTTGTTTTTTGGTAGATGAAGATGAAGATGTTGATCCCGCAATTTGGGGAGTTCGAAGAACAAAGCCTCTAAAAACCTCCGAACAATGCGAATGAAGTCCTGAAGCCGCTGCTGCTGGACCGAAGGCGGCAGGTCTTTGGAGGAGGCGACGGCGGGGGCGAAGACGTAGCGGTCTCGAGACCTGCTTCGGGATGGTGGTACCACTGTTAGGGACATTAGAAAAAAAGGTGGGAATACCATTTCGTAAATGAGATTGTGAGGACACTAACAATCCTAGTTCTTGTTGTAGTCCTCAGCCCACAAGAAGTTGTAGAAGTATTCTATCGACAGTCACGTGATGCATTTTTCCATCACCAATCCCATAACGACCCACTCCTCGTCCCAACAGCATTTTTCTGTGGTGAAAGGTCAAAATCGATCTCACCATCCTGGTGCAAGGCCTCAGGGGGTGGAAAATTCCCTGTCGGAAACGTGTCTCGAACTGCCTTCAAGACTTGGTCAATTGCAGTGTCGTTTTGCAGGTAACATCGGAACCGGGGTAGGATGGTGCTTAGGTAGAAGGTGGAGGCTGTTGTTGGGAGGGACGATGAAGGGGTAGGCGATGATATTGAGGGATTAGAAGCAGTCGATGCGATGTTCTGTTCTTTGCATTTGTGCATCTCCGCTGCAAGTGCGAGCATATCATCAAAGGCTTGGGCGCGAAGCTGTTCCGTTTTCACTGTCTCCTCGTCGCTCGATGCGCCGCTGCTGGTGCTCCTGACGGCTGCTCCTTGATTCTGTGGCTGTGTGCCGACCTCGTGTAGTTTGGTGGGAGAGGGTATTGAAAGCCTATCATGGAAAGCACAACAATGCACGACATTCTTTTTTCAAAAAAAACAAAAAGATGATTCATGACCAGACCATTTCACCTCTCATCGAAATGGTAAAAAAGTACCTGCAAATCCATTCTCCGCATCAAGGATAGTCGCGTAAGGAAGTGAAACACTGCTTCCATAATGAGGAAAAAAATTCCTTGTGCTGTCCATTCTTTGCTAGCCGAGCTCGTTGTGTTGCAGGAACCATTAAAGCCCATAAAAAACGAAGATGAAGATCGAGATCTTTATTGACATCAAGTGAGACCTACAACTTCTCATCATCATCATCAGCATCATCATCATCATCATCATGTCTCAAAAGGTCACTCTCTACCTTCAGCAAGACAAAACAGTTGCTGAAGTGACCATTAAAATGAGTGGTACACTCAAAACAAGTTACTTCGATTGATCGATCTACAACAGGACTGAATAGAAATATAGCCATATCTCCGGAGCCCAGGTTGGTCGTAGAGAAGTGTTCCTCCGGTTCTTTCCCACGATAAACGTCCGCTATGATCTGTTGAGCCCCACGCAATAACCCATCAGCATGGTCTAGGAACCTCGTTTTCTTGGCAATCACGCAATGCAACAAGTAGTGGGCGAAAGCAGGGAAAACGGCAAAGGAAAGCAGGACGTTTACCAAGGGGTCGAGGGAAAAAGAGGTCGTTGTAGAGGAGGATGACGGAGGAGCGGCCACAAGAACTGGCGTAAAAATCGATCGCAAGTAGACTAGGAGTTCGGAACAGAACGCTTGTGTTACGCCTTCTTCCGACGAGCCAAGCGTTCTAGAAGATGAAGCAGCAGTTGATCCTCTCGAAGTTGAACTTGACACTGGAGGATCTCCTCCGCTCTCTTTAGTTGAAGTTGTACCGGAGGTTACTCTATAATTATTTGCCTGATTCACGACGGCACGAACATCAACACCCGCATCTGCCTCCACACTTGCAGGTACGAGGCGCTGAAAATGCGCCCATGGTATCTCTGGCGGTGTCGGAGCAAGAAACGAGGCTGCTTTCTGGCGAGGAGAACCTTCTTGTTGCGTGGAATTATCGGTACTGCCTGGTGTAGTCGAAAGGGGCTTCCGTATTGTTCCATTGCGGCCCTGCGATTGCTGTAGGTCGTGAGACGAACCAGAACCACGCTCCTGATGTCGATCATCTAGCACAACGTCCACCACATCCTCATCGAGCACGTCGGCCTCCTCCTCTTCTGGTAAAATCCTCTTCGGAGGATAGTCGTCGCGTCCATAAATGTAGGACAAAAGAGTCCTCACAAAGTGTATCCACACTCCGAAAAACGCCGCGTCTTGCTTTGCGAGACTGCGGAGACCATGGAAGGCGTCGTCAAGCAAAAAAGTGTCTAGAAAAGACAGCCAGAAGCGTCGCAGTAGCAGCTGCCAGCATGCACTGGAACTCGATACATCTAATGCTAGCGAGAGGGGTTCTTGGGACGAATGGGAAGTAGTTGTAGTGGATGAAGGGCGTTGTTGAAGATGTTCTTGATGTTGATGTGTCCCAGAGACTCCTGGGAAGCGAGGTGGGGTGCTGGTCGCTGATGTCATGTTCACTGAAAATCGGTACTTTGAAGGGATATGCTGCTCGTGAAGATGGTGGATATAATCATGTTGGTCAGGAGAGGGCGCGGTCGGGGGTATGCATGCAATTGCGTCAGCGTGCGTCTGGTTTTGCTTGTTTGTGCTACTAGCAGTATGTGCGGCTTTGTCCGACGGCATATCAGCGGCTGCGCAATCGCCAATCCGTGCAAGTCATCACTATTTTCAAGGAAGCGATAGCGTATTCGATGAGCGACAGCGATTTGTTCAAAAAATCAAAAGCAACAACTTACAAAATTTTCTTCTATGCTATTCGTCAAAGAGGTTGTCCTCAAGCAAAACACTTCATCACATCACGGCGAGGGGTTCTAGTCCTCTCGCGTTTCGCTCCTCACTCGGAATCATGTTTGACAAAATGCATCTCGCCTTTCATCCATCGGTGTGCGCGTCCGTGTGTCAATATTGGACGAGACCAAATTGAAATTGTGCAGTTACTTGATTTAATGAGCAGCAGGTGGACGCAAATCCAAACGGAAATATTCATATTTTTAGAGAATCGATGCTCCTGGAGCTCCTGAAGATGCATTTACGTATCTATGGATTCAAGTTCATTGGCACGAAATAGAGATTCGAAGCAAACAAGAACGAAACAAATCTAACTTTCTACAGCAGGTAATAAAACTGCTACAGCAACATCTAGTGACTCTTTACTTAGTCGTCGTTTTCTACTGTGCAGGAGTATAAAGATGGAGTTGTTGTTGATCACGATATTTTCTACTAGTTGTAGTTGTTCATTGATATATTGCAGTTTATGTTCAGATGTACTTATCTGAAACGTTTGAGGGTCACACTTGGTTTTCTTCGTTCGTGCTAAGACTAGGATGTTGTTCTTGAAGAATGGAAAATAGACCCGGCAACAAGCATCTGAACATCAAAAAAGACTATCTCTACTTCTAGGGACTCGCTGCTTGTTCCGTCGCCGTCCCTCCAGGCGACACTGTCTTCCTTGCTGTCGCCGCCACTGCCCTGATCTTCGTAAAGACATCTCTCGGCTTCTGCATCTTGCGAAAATTCTCAGCAAAGTTTTGCAACATCGAGGATTTCCGGTGGACAATGGCACTGTTGGAATTGCCTGTTCCCCCTGACGCTCCATGGTTAGCGCGGTTGTTAGAGAAGCGCCTTTGATTCACGTGCCTCAACAAGAAAAGCAGAAGTTCAAATGTTGAGTTTGAGATAAAGATGTTGTTATATCAAATGAGTTTGTGAGTACAACAACATCAAGAAGATAAGTACAACCACCTTAAGCTTATGCTTATGCCATAACTTTCTTCCCCACGACCACATGATGTTGATCATGATGATCGCTCGCATCACTTGACGCATCGCTGCTTTCCTCCATTTCCATCTCCCTTCGGAAATGATGATCCAATTTAGCGGTCAACTTATCCGTCAAAGAGGTTAATTCTCTCTGTCTTGTGGAGAGAGTCTTCGTTACAGCTCCACCTGTTCCCGCTCCGCCTCCGCCTCCACCACCAGAGGTAGATGAAGAGAATGTCCCTACTTTAAAGGTTGCAGAATTACATTCTTCAGAACATCCCTCACCTCTTTCCTACTGGAAAAAGAGTGGGGAATGGTTGTGGGGGATGTAATTGGTTAACCCTTAACTACTCCAAAGCCAAAAATGTTGTCTGGTTTCCTATCTTGTTGTCGCTCATCAGCTGCTCCCAGCTTCTGAACCAATGACATCCGGACTTTCTTTAAGGACTTACCTGTTGGAGGAGTTGTAGGCGGTGAAGATACAGTTCTTGTGCTGGTGGTATGTAGTTGATAAGTAGATGATACAAGAAATTACAATTTACAACACGTCGGCATTTACCTAAAAACTACAGTATTCAAGCGTTTGAAACCACTTACTTCTGATGTAGCAGGCTTCAGTCTTCCTTGCGTAAACTACCGACTTCATCACGGTCCTCATTATGAGGAGATGGAAACTAAACCAAATGATCCAAAAGAAACCTTGATCAATCATCCCTCCCAGCACACCCAGTGCTCCTTTGAAGCTTTTGTGACTTTGTTTCACTGCCTTCTGGAGAAATCGCAACTCTCCCTGCATTCTCGGGCTCCACCGTTCTGCTAATATCGTACTACCAGCAAGCATGCGTTCGTTTTCTTGCGTGTGTATTTTCGAAAAGGCTCTCCCTAATGCATGATGTTGATGTGCACCTTGTGATGAGGCTGTAGCTTTCTTCTGCTGCTCTTGCTCCAGTTTCCGTTTGTGCAAAAGCTGTGCTGAAGTGAGTGCCCAATTGTAGCTGCTAAAGGAAATGCGATCATGGAAAAGATCGTCGCGACTTCGTTCTCGTACTTTCCTCTTGGTTCGCCCAGCTTCGTGCTTCAATTGCTCTATCCTCGTGTCATGGGAAGCTGGACGACGTGTGCTGTGAGATGTTGAACTTCTCGATGTAGTTGTGTAGTTCAACAGCTGCGGCTGGGGTGCGGGCTCCGCTGCATCTTGCGAAGAAGATGAGTTGTTACAACTAGCTTTCCCTCCACCAGATGTTGTTGTTGAAAGACGATGAGTACTTCTACACCGTCTATCTCGTTCGCGACTGTGCAATAGATCGCGGCGATAAGCCTGGAACTGATTCAATTTGCCGATACCTTCTAAGCGTTTTCGTTCCAGTTTCTGGCGGAGATGCATTCTATGGAGTTCTTCATGTTGCGCTAGTTTTTCTCTACACTCCTGCAAGACAAATCCCATCTGCTCTCTTGCTTCTTTCCGTTGTCGCCTCTTGAGAAGGGTCGCTGGTCGTGATGTGGTTGTGCTTTTGCTTAGTCCAGTTATTTTTGCTGTAGTGATGTCGCCTGCTGTATACAACGCATTTGGTGCAGGAACGAATTCGGCAGGACATGTGCTCGGTCGATTAATACCTCCAGCAACCTGATGATTATGATCTGGGCTAACTTCGTCATGGTCATCAGCACCCGATACTTCAAGAACATCTGCTTTTTCTTTCACACTACTGCTCATTTCGCCGTCCCCATTCCCATTGCTCTTTCTCCTGTCAGAAGCCAACGGCGTTGTTCCGAACAGGAAATTGAGTTTCGACTTTTTCTTAGCTTTACCACTCGAGCCAGATGACCCTCGATTATTTGGTACCGTCGATGGACGCGGTACCAGTGATACAAGACGACGCGAAGAAGACTGTTGGTCATGTTGATCTATTTCATTGTGACCTAGTACTGATGATGCTGAACTGGATGCTGAACCTGCAAAACCACCAAGACCACTTCCAACCCCTCCCCCTCCACATCCCCCCGAAGGACCACGTCGCAGTACTTCATCCGCTTCTTGGAGTAGAGTTGGGAAAAAGCCAGGAGGAATTTTCAAAGGAGGCACTGTTGGAGGAGGTTGGATTGCAGTGGGGTCTCGTACCAACGCATGCAAGCCTGGACGAAGCAAATCTGACATCGGAAAATGTTGTCGTGCATCCGGAGGGGTCCTGGGACGAGCTGCAGGTGGACTACTAGGTGGAGGTGGTGCAACATTTTGAAGACGGTCGTTTGGTGATGATGTTTTCGGATTCGGACGTTCTTGAAGATGAGCACCAGGCTGCTCTACTGCTTGAGACCACAGGAGTGGTGCCCGTTGTTGTGGTAGGTCGACGCTTTTTCTTGCTGACGGCACAGCTGGAAATGTATGCTTTGGCGTGGGCGTTCTTGGGCCAGCTTTATTCATAGAAGTGGTCGTCTTGATTTTACCTAGTCCTTCAGAAGATGAAGCCCTGGATAATCCAGGCCGATCAATAACACTACCTATTTTCCCACTTGCTACGTCATCTTCCCCGATCCTGTCTCCAGGATGTGTCTCTCTGTCGCTAAATCTGACACTCCTCCGTGAACTACAGCGAGTGACCTCGTCACGCGGCGATCGTGGCGGAGAGCGAGGTGGAGAGGTGGAGGAGAGCAACATGTTTTTTCGACTCCGAACTTTCAAGTCCTTCTACTTTTGATTTGAAGCAGATGTTGAGAAGAGCTGAGCCGAAGCGGCCACCAGTAACTATATAGATGTAGATTGATGTCGTGCGCCCCTCCTTATAGGGAAAGGGAATCAACAAGAATCACAATAAATCTATTTTGCAGGAGATATGAAACACAAACACTGTGAAAAACTCAGCTCGTCTGAGTTTTTCTAGTTGTAAAGACTTTTGTTGAGGTGACAAAACGGTGCTGCAATCATGATCGTGACTCACAGTACAACACTGACAAAGTTTTCATCCTTGTTTCATCCGACTCATCTGTAGCTGTTCTCTCGATTCTCTCTTGTTGGTCCGTGCACACTTACAAGCAAGCACCAGCACCAGCTCCAGCAACGTCTTGCTAGCAATACGAGCGTGCCACGTCTTCTTAACGCCTGCTTCACTTGATCAGCCTGGCAGGCTTCATTAAACAAACAACTATTCTTGTCCAGTTTGCTTTCTACGTATAGAAACAAGCCATTGCTTAAATATGTTCATGAGCATCAAAGAAACGTGTACTTTCAATTAAATTAGGTAGTTGCAAGGCGCGCGATTGAGAGGATGTTGACGCACGTGGAAGCCCCCACGGCATCGAGAAGATCAGGCTTCTATCTACATCTAGTACCTCCACCAGTATTAAGCTGCACTTTTTTCAAGAAATCAAAACTACAGACTCCAATTTCCAGAAGTCTGCATATTTCTAAGCAAAGAGAACGGCTCTCATTGATTCAGAGGAGACGATCCTGGCGGGACCTTGTTGCTATTAACTACACAAAGACAAACACTATCTAGTGCAGTATATAGGGGGAAAGACCGTAAGAAAACCATCCGTTATGGTTATCATGAGGGATACCCAGAAGAGAATCGATCCTCATTCTCTACCTTTTTCAACTGTCCTAGTAACAGCGGCTTCAAGAATAAATCATTATTTCTACTGGTTTCATTTCTACTCAATCTTGAGTATATGACGAAAGAAAACGACAACACTTGCTACAACTTCTGTAACTACAACAGAACAAGACTCATCAAAGGCGTCATCTATTATGCCTGAACTAAAAAATCATATAATTCAGTATGGTGCATTTTTTGCACGTTCACGTGTTGTGCAGAAAAAAAGACAAGCGCGACAATTTGTGGCCAACCACAAGAACTTTGAAATTAACTATCTCAAACGAGAAAACAGTGACCTAAATGATCTACTCTGCCTGAAACATGCTAGCAAGCATGTTCAAATGAAAGAAGAGTACTATAAATAAATTTGTATTATTACTCCGAAAACATTTACAGTCTTGTGTTTCATCATCGATCTTCATCCGTTGAATCGATGGGTATCACGAAACTTACTTTCCGATCTAATGCAGGTGGAGAAAGGTGGCTAGAAGTCGTGGCCACTTGTTGTCCCTGCACGTTGTAGTATGCACTTCCGGCGTTTATTCCGGTAGTAGTTTCAGTTGCTGTTCCTCTCTCGGATGAGGATGACTGAGGCGAGCTAACCAAGATGCTACGCGTCTTTGCAACCGGCGTTGGCGGGGCGGCTGTTGGTGCCCCTTTTCTGTATGCTGGAGGCGAAGGCGGTGGTGGTGGGCCTTCACGTTGTTGCTCCTCCAATGCAAGAGCAGGTGTACTGAAGGAGAAAGTTGGCGAAGGGACTGCGACAGCGACTGGGACTGCTGGAGGATGCTGATGAATTATCGCAGCTGACGAGGCGGTAGGTGCGTGCGCAGGAACAGGAACAACATTCGGAGCAGAAACGACGTTTCCAGGTCCAGAAGCAGTACTAGAAGAACTTCTACTTGCTGCAAACATCTCTGAGGAAGCCACTATATTTGGGTGAGTGGCAAGAGGATCACGAAAATGCGCATGTTGACTGCCACGTCTACTAGTTGATAATGTAGTAGGAGGATCATGCACCAGTTCGTCAACAACAACATCAGAAAATGCGTCGTCAACAAGTAAAGAAGTTCTACTTGGCTCGTTCTCTTTACTTGGCTCGTTCTCTTCATCGAAACTTACTACTGCACGTGACAACTGCATCTGTTCTGACAACTGTAATTCTTCCTCTGCTTGGACTAGCTGGAAGAGTGAAGGAGTTGAAGACTGTACGTGTACTAGTGCACCAGTTTGACTAGTAGAAGATTCCGATTGCTGGTTCTGGTGTCTTGCGGCTGTCGTCGACAGCAGTGCACCAGAGGATGTCGAAGATGTCGATGAAGCACGACCTACTTGCCATGCAGCTGGTGCTGCAATGTCATCAAAAATGTCGAGATTGATCCGCTCCACGACTGCTCCTCCTGGAATCCGCTCTCCATCTGCTGGTGGTCGTGATTTCGATTCTACTATCTTTGGCTGCGACAGCGACCGCTTTCTGTTCTGAATCCGGCCCGTTGAAAACTGTAACTGTTGAATTTCTTGATTCTCAGAGTTGACGCGACAAAGAGGCTGTGACACACCTCCGGAGCTAGAAGAGGAGACCTTAGCTCCTGTAGTATTTTGGCCATAGGTCGTGGCACTCAATGTACTAGGTGACGCAAGGACTTGTGGCTGTAGTTGTCCAGTTCGCTGTTGCAGTGGCCCACGTTGCTGCTGCTGTTGCATCATACTTCCACTAGTACTAGTACCATTATTACCCATGCCCATCGGCGCACAAAGCAGCACGTTCCTCTCACAACCGGGAGAAAGAATGGAAGGTGGCACAAAGAACGGCTGCGGAGGACCACGACAAAGGAAATTGGTCGTCGGACTGGGAGAAGTTTTCCTAACACTAGGTTGACTTTGACTCCCACGGTGAGTTGTAGTTGTGCATCTAGATCTACTAGTTGACCGACTACTCTGCAGTTCACCTTGTAGTTGGACGGCTTGGAGATGATGTTCGTCTGCTGCTACATTTATTTCCGCTTGTTGATATTGCTGCTGTGGTGGATGTGGTCGCGGCCCAACTACATCAGCAAGACCCCTGTTGTTTGTATTCCCTGACACAGCAGCTCCAGTTGTTCCAGCCCATGAAGATCCTAGCAAAGGCGGCGGATGTCTCAGTATAGGCGTAGCCAAAGCCATGGCTGCTCTACCCGATCCGCCCAAAAGTGACGAATTCATCATCAGCCCCGTAGACCCCAAGAGAGACGTCGCTGAGGATCCACACAACAGAGACGAAGACGATGCACCCAGGAGAGACGAAGAAGAAGCACTTGGTACAACTATCCCTGTTGGTGGAGGTGTTCTCGTACCTTCTATGTGGTTGAGAGGACGACCCATTGTTTCTGTTCTTTGAGTCGGAGGTGTTGCACAACTAATGTTGAGGTGACCCATTGTTCCTGTTGGACGACCCATTGTTTCTGTTCTTTGGTTATTGACGGTCTGATGTGCTGTAGATGGTGGGTCCACAGTTGCTGTTGGTCCAGATCCAGTAGGAGTGCTTCTTGTAACACCAGCTATGTTACGACCTGGTGGACCTGCTACACACAAAGGAGTAGAGCCCAAATGTTGTTGACCCATCCGAGGAATACTCGTGGTGAACGCTACATTATGTGACACTTGGTTAGCACCTACAGGAGAAACAGGATGACCAACAGGAGCAACAGCACCTCCACGTCCATCTCCTCCTCCATCCCCCATTCCTCCTCTAGGTGTGGACGAGGCAGTCCTTTGTCCTACAAAACCGAAGTTCGGAGTTCCAAAACTCCTCACTGGTGAAACACTCCTAGAGATCCGCAATCTAAGATTTGCATTTGGTCTAGTATTGATGTTCCCTGCTCGTGTTCCAGGACCTAAAGCTGCTGCGGCTGCTGCTGTACCGCCAAACGGGTACGGGACTAAACTAGGAGGTCGACTAAATATGCGTGAATCCAAGGAGCTTCCGCGAGAGGACGGCTGAAACCGTGGTGGCTGAAATCTTGAAGGCGGTGGTGGATCTTGCTGCTTCGCCGCACTAGGAGGAGTTGTGCCAGCTGCGGTTGCGGCACTACCGAGAGATGGTGCTATCGTACTCGTGAGTTGATCTTCAGCAGTAGCTAGTGAAGGAGAAGATGCTAACGCGTTCGTCCGTTGAGGTGGAGGACATGCTGGGACTGTTGAAGCCGACATACCTGAAATCGTGTCCCTGGGTTGAGGTGGAGAACCACGTGGTGCTGCACCTACCAGGTTCATGTCTAACCTCGGAATGTGTGGAGGTGGAGGTCGAGCCGTAGGTGGACTAGAACAACTGCCTCTGCCACGAGGAGGCACCTTGTGGATTTCCTCGTCAGCAAGAAGGGCACTTCTGACATCACTTCTGGCATCTTCGGCATCTCCACCAGCTGTAGCAGCATCTTCTTCCTCCCTACGTTCGGTTACTGGTCTCAAATGATGCGGAGTATACACCAACACGCTTCTGCCACCTCCTCCCTGCTCAGAACCACTACCTCCGCTAGTATCTTCACAACCATAATCAGCAGGCAGATAAGCTCTCTTTCGGTCCTTGCTGTTGGTGTTGTTCTCAGATGAACTAATGATGTAGTTCTTATGTTGTGCGTGAGGCTGTGGCCGCTGATGTTGTACTACAGAAACAGAAGTTTGTTGTTGTTGTGCTTGTGCTGTACTAGATGTATTAGTTGTAGAAGAGCCCCCGCCAAGAAGTGCTCTTTGACTTTGAACAGTGTTCATGCTAACACCGCTTCTGCCTGCAGCTCCGAATGACGGTAAAAAATTGGAAGTAGAAGACGACGAACTACGTACACCTCCATGATGAGACGAGGATGAACTACCCAAATGGAGGTCTATTGGTGAGACACTCCTTGGGGGAACAACGCGCGCCCTTTCGCTATCGTCATTGTAAAAATCACGTTCATGGCCAAAACTATCAAGACGTTCAGGAATCGTTGTTCTATACTGAGGTGCCGCATAAGGACAACCACCACCACCTCCAGCATAGGCATTATAAGGACCACCACTAGTACTAGTAGTGCGCCCATTGGGATTCATCAGATTCACGCAGCTGACATGAGAATCCAGGGACGAATGCTGAGTCCCAGTCATACTACTGCTATTCGTAGTAGTGCTAGCTTGGGCTTGGCCTTCAGCCACGACTTGGTCTTGGAGGTGCCTTTCGTTTAATAATATGCCATCTCGTCTACTCTGGTGTAAATAATCTAAAGTAGATTCGTTGTGAAGATGCTGATCTTGAGCATTGCTTTCGCCTGTTAATAGCTGAATCCTAGACCCTGTCATTGAGTTCGCGTCCTGCGGCTTATACACAGGAGGCTTCTCCAGCTCCACATCTTCGCGATCTGCCATATTTTGAACCATGTTATGACTTGACGTATGATTTGTCGAGGTTGTGCCAAGAAGAACCTCAACATGATCTGCAGAAGGAGGTAATGTTGTTGAAATATCGACGGCCGCAGCTGTAGTTGATGTTGAGTTGTTGTTGTAATTAGAGTCTGCTAGGTTGCATCTCGGCCCCCTCATCTTGACGCCTTGTGCCTTGTATTTCATGAGAATGCAAGGGAAAAGGGTACCAAGATGCCGAGAAAGATGGATAAAAGCTGACCTTAATGTAAGAATTATTCAGAGATAAAAATGATCCACCTTCAGTCTTCAGGCGTATCACATCACGGAGTTTTTCAATCTGAGACAGGGACAGCGAAGAGACAAGCTCATCTAGTTGCCGCGAAATGTTTAGATCCGTTTCATCGGCATCAGGATGGTGCTGCTGAGGAGCTCCACCTGGGACGTTAATACTTGATGCAGCCCTAGCTGCTCCCTGTCCACCACTGCCACTAGTACCACCACAAACCACGTGTTCCCTATCCCTCGCACAACTACTTGTCAACTCATCTCGTATCTTGCAGCTCAATGTTGAATGGTCTCTAGTGTTGCTGGCTTCAGTTTTGCTAGGCAATGATGGGCGTCGCGAAGATCTGTTAGTATGTACTAATTGATGTTGTGGGAGGGACTGAAAACTCCTTTGTTTTTCCATTTTGCGCCTTACCTTATTTATCTCAGCCTGTTGACGCTGTAGATCCTGCTCACTCAAAACATGGGCAAGCCCTGTCATCTTTGTACTCGTTCCCTGTTGTTGTAGTTGTTGGTTCTTATGTTGGAGCTTTCGTGGTCCACCCCCACCAGAGTGTCCTCTACTCTCCTGCCCTCCATGAGCTTGAGCACCTCCATGCGTTCCACTACTTCTAGTTTCGACTCCACTCGTCTTCTTCTGCTTGCTCACAACTACATTGCTACTAACCTTCGACGTCGTATTGACGTTCCCTCCTCCTGCTCCTGCCGCTTTATGACCAATCTCGAAAATATTGAATCCTGGTCCTGCCACGTGTTCTTGATCTTGTTTTTCTTGTGGTGGTGGAGACCGAATCCGAGACCCCACAACATGATCACCCACGACCTGTTCTTCACCAACAGTTTGACGCAGGTCTTCTTGTTGTGCTCCTGGTACTTTCTTCCTGTCGTCATCGTCATGATGTGTACTTCTATCACTTCTTCGTCTACTACAAGTGATGGGTGGAGGAGACGGAGTTCTCCTCGATGTGTTGAGATGACCTCTTTCACTCAAGAGAGAGCGGGCTTCTTCGCTTCTTTGACTCATAGATCGAGCTTCTTCGATAAAAGCCTGTCCCTCCTTAACGCCAGCGATGATTAGATAGAGCTAGACAAGGTACTAGGTCTTTCTCATATTTGCTCGTGTAGAATGTAGATTCTTGTGGTCACGAAATTTTTCCTTTGTTCCTTCATCTCCTTAGTCCCTTAGCCTTCACGAAGGAAAAAATAACGTAATAAACAAAAACAAGAAAAACATGTAAGTAGAAAGACCTGTACAGCGGGGAATTTCTTAACCTGAGCTCCTCTAAGAACCTGTTGAAGTCGGCCCCCTGATCCGCAATCCCTTTAGAAGTAAGAGGTCGGCCGCGTTTCCCTTCAGAAATCTGCTGTTGGTCAGTCCCCTGTCGAAGATCAGTCCCCTGTCGAAGATCAGTCCCCTGTCGAAGACCGGTCCTCTGTCGAGTCTCAGTCCCCTGTCGAGTCTCAGAATTTTGCTCAACATGTGGACGGCCTCTACATCCACCGCCGCCGGGAAGATTAGATGCAGCTGGCTCTTGATGTTGATGTCGACCTTGTTGAACACGTTCATCAGTTGTAGGTGGTTCTTGATGTTGATGTGGAAGATGTGGATGTTGACCTTGTCCTAGTTCTGCAGGCAACAATCCTCCACTATAGTCGTCAATTATCAAACGTCGAGGACCACGACCACGGCCAGTACTGGGACGGGTACGACTAGGAGTACAAGTAGCTGTAGCTCCTCCAACATTCTGGTGAGCCGTAGGAGGACCACCACCTGCACTAGAAGTGCGTCCACATGTATAATTGTCATGATTAGGAGACCGCGGAGGGGGTGCACCTGCATTCTTCGAAAGCATCCTTCTACTTGTTTCCCCAGATATTATTCCTTGTTCTCCGGACATTGCTTCATGATCTCCTGGAGAACACTCATCCCCTTTAGCTCCATTTGGCGACCTCCGCTCGCTCTGCTGAAGATGAAGATGTCTCTTGCTTTTAGAAGCAGGTGGTAGCCTTGTCGTTCCGTCTTTTTCGTCCCTGCGTTCTCGTTCCGCTCTCAGTAATGACGTCTCTCTTTCACGTTCGGCGGAGGAGAGTGTTGAGCGTGCGAAAGAATTTCGCTTCCCTCCACGTCCAACTCCCGCCATAATAGGGATATCTGCGGTGGTCACACCAGCAATATGATCTTTGTCTTGACCAACTATATTGGGTTTAGTAGTGCTAGAAGGAGTAGGTGCTGGATTCTTTTTATTGTCAGGTGGCGGGCACCTCGTTCCCGTTGCAAATCTTCCAGCAGATGCAGCCGCCAATCCTTGGTCTTCCGTCCAGATACGACTCTTGATGTTCACTCCACCGCCTCTGAGTAAAGGCGGCGTCAGTACGCTTTCACTCAGGTTCTTGCAAAACTCCAAGGTTTTCAAATTATCCCTCCTATGCCTGGCCATTGGCGATATTGCGGCAATCACATACCTCTGGGTTTGCTTGTTTCCCAGGGTTTGGCTCAATAACATGGCCAATTTGCTGTCCCTAAAATTGTTGGAGCCTCCATCAGTTCTCCGTGTTCCAGAAGCGAGGTAATGGCCCAAATAAAACAGCGACTGGTTGATATGGGTGCGCTTTTGCTTAGAAGATGAAGAAGGGCTCATCGACTAGTACCATCACAGAGAGGTGGTGCTACCCTTATGATCATTCACATTTTTGAGGTTGAGAAGATCAAGATGTACTTATGCTGAAGATTAGATGCTTGCTGTTGTTTCTTTCCCTAAACTAGGACAAGGTGAAGGACAGTTTCAACAATCGGAATAAAGGTGCAGCTTCTAAACCTAAACCTAAAGAGATGGACATGGATTACGATCAAGTCTAATAGGGGAACCCTTTGCCTTAACGTGATTCAAGTCCTTGCTTTTCGGAAGTTCCTCGTTTAGGTTTTCAGCGCCGGCTAAATCTACAAATTGCAAGACAAAAGAGGGACCGCTCTTCTTAGAGCACAAAACGTTTCATTTCTTGGCTTCATTTCTCAGAATCTCAAGAAGAGAATGGAGTAAAATTATGAGTCGTAGAAATGAAATAAGTACATTGAGCCTTAATCTTCGACTTATTCGAACTACCGTCATGTTCATGTTGCATGATCGCATCCTGATGTTCCGAGCAAGGATTTCTCTCTTCCCCGGGAAAAATCCTTAGGGTGCAGACCAAATGCGACCTGGAGGAGTGCGGATTCAGAGTCGTGGCCGTGTGGATTCGGCGCTCAGTCGCTTCTTTGAGAGTGTGCAGGCAATGCACACCCGATCGGACTTCTTTCGCGGTTAACCCCTCGACAAAAACGCCCTTTTCAGGACTTGTGCGTAGTTTTAGGCCAGTAGAGCTTCCAGAAGTAGTTGTAGTTGAAATTGAAGAGGGGGCTGTTCCGGTAGTCGCTGCAGCGGCCGTCGTCACTGGCGCAAGCAGATCGCGAATCTTGTCATTGTACAGTTCACAGCATCGAAATTAGAAAAGATCAGGTAAATTAAATAGTGGTAGTCGTGTTGCTAGACTTCGTGACCTTGAGTTTGACTTTACACCAGCAAATTTATATATCCTAATACTGTCATCAAACAGAAACACATTCATTCTAGAGTACAACTACAACAGCTGTCCTGATCTGGAGTCAATGTAGAAGTGCGACAATAGCGTTGATAAAATCTAATTTTTTGAGACCTAATCCAACGATGCTTTGAAAACGCTCCGGCTTTCTTCTGAGGAACTCCTCCTGTGTGCTGAGTAGCTCCTATTAGACGTACTAGAAGAGCCTGTTCTTCGCGCTGCGCGAGGAACATCAATAAGTCCTTTCAGCAACTGATAGCAGATGCGAGGGACAACACCTAGCTGCTCCAACAAACCGCTTTCTTCTAGTTTACGACCATGATGATCATCTAGAGCCTCCTCGTCAACAAGCTTCTCCGCATGAAGATGATGATCTCCTGGTGCAAGTTCATTGTCTCCGAAGGCAAAAGCACTAGTTATAGGAGAGTGGGAAGGCTGATGCTGAGGCTGTAGTCCTTGTTGTTGTTCTTCGAGTCTCCCTAAATTTCCGAACATGGAATACGTTTTCCCGGTGCCTGTCGCACCACAAGCGACGATACATGCCGAACAAGCTTCATGAAGATCTCTACAACTTTCATCTTCTCCTTTTTCTCCTTCATCTCGCAATTCTTCTTCTCGTAAACTTGATAATCGCTTCTTTTCACGAAGAAGTCTTCTTTTCTTCCGTTTCAGGTCGTCTTGCGCGTAGATATTCTCTATACATTTGTCCCCCACCGCTTGAAAAAGGTCGCTTTGCTGAGCGAAGTCCCCCAAAACATTATCAATGTGAAAACGCTTACCATGAATCAGCGTCTCTCGTCCTCGTCCCTTATTACTGCAGCTGGGGTCAAAGACTATGTCCTCAATATACTCTCCATTTTCCCTTACGGGAGTAGGGCGGATCCGAACGACTAAATGCGTGTTTTTGGACTTCATACTCGTGGATGTGGTGGCATGCGAACTTTTCTTGGAAGCAGAAGTCGTTGTTGAAGACGTGGCCCTAGCAGCATTCTCATGGAGGACCACAGCTGCTTCAGGACCTCCAAATCTGCTTTTGCTACCTCGTCTGACGAGGAGAGCGGTGCCGCTGGACGAAGCAGGAGTCGTTTGGTGTGCTGTGGGCAGAGGCGGTCGGCGAGACGGCCTTGCTTCTAGTCGAGTTCGAGACTCGTCGTTTATTCTCGCGGTAGTCGGGCACTGCGTCGGTCCCTGCTCTGTTGGCAGCAAGGGGAAGGAGCTAGAAGACATTTTGTTGTGGTCGTGGTCCTCTTATCTTATATACAACATACTAGACATACTTGTTCATGTTCTGCACCAGAGTTACTTCTAGAGGTCTTGCACGAGGACAACAAGCAAATTCACGTACTCTAGCCTTTGATGTTGATGCCTGTAGTCTTTATATAATATCGTTTGTACTAGTCTAGTTCTTGGGAAATCTTTGGTGAATGAAAGTCGTTCTTCAAATACTGTTAGCCGACGCGAAAACCTACGCTTTAGCTTTGGATTCCTAACGTTTTGTTTGGTTGCAGAAGCACGTGGTCTGTTGCAAGTAGAAAAGCTCAGGACGAATGAGAAAAAGGTCGCATCTTTTTACACCGACGCCATTTTTTTCGCCAAGTTTAGTGCCTTCTTACTCCTTAATCTTCTACTTTCACCTTTTCGTTTTAGCTCTTCTACACAAATAAAAAGTCACACACCAAGAACAGAACGAGAACACACACTGTAGAACACACACTCGCACCCGTTCGGTGGACAAGACTAGAAGCGCAGACGATTGCCGTGAAGCCGAAGAGGACTCCTCGTCCCCTCCTACTACAACTTGTTTTCTCGTCTGTTGTCAGCTGGTGAAGTGTTATTCAGAATAATTGGACAGTGATGCTAGTTGTCTGCATGACCTTTTCCTGTGTTCACAACTTCTACAACTACATCTAATGTCAAGCTCTTGCCCTTCTCTAATTATCATGAATATTATTCCGATGTCGGATATCTTTATATATCAAGGGAGTATGAATGTGCAGGTGCTGCGTTACCATCTGCTTTGTCAGCGTAGTTACAAATCTTTTTACAAGAACATGATTATAGCGGTAGCTATATGATGTCGTCTATCTCTATTTTTTTCTTAAAATCATAATATTTCGAACTGTTACGAGAAGTAAGGTCAAGTCACTTGGTTCAATGTTCATTTTAATATATGTAAGGAATCATGATTATTGGAGTATGTGTATCGAGATCTACTTCCATATTCTTTACGATCGTCTAAAAATCCTTAAGCCCCCTCATTCTACTTTCCTGCAGCTTAAGCCTTCGGCTGTACGAACCCTGGCACCTGGTAGCGCGCCTTCATTTCGCTCTCAACCTTTTGAGTCGTGTATTTTGGGGGCATGGCTGCAGCAGATGTCTCTGCAACCTGTCTCGAAGGCGTCATTGCTTGAGTCTGTTTTTTTTTTATTTTTGAACAAAAGCATCATGGATATCGAAACCAAAAAGTGAAAATGCAACATGTTCTATTCACTTTCATCTTTGATTACTTAACCAAAATAGTGTACTTATATCATGCACTGTAAGGAGCTTCTGACAACTTTAACTTATCGTGTTATTTCATTCTAAAGAAGTCTTGACACGACCTGCAACCTATTATGAGAAGAGTGACGAATTGTTTAGATTGTAGGCGCTTTCATTAGTAAGTCATTAATCTACTTCTTGAGTTGAAGCTCAAGTCTTCCTTTCTGTTCTCTCATCCTAAAAAGAGGTTATTTATTTCTCAAGCGTTGTACCCAATTCGTCTTTCGGTTTTCACGAGATTTCAAATCCCACGGCGCTTCGCCAAGCACGATAGACGTCTTCCGCAAAGCGGCCATTTTTTCACCGATGCTCTGTGATTCACCACCCATTTTGTCTAAGGTTGGAAGTCTGTTGATCTAATAGATCAATGTGATCAAGCAATGTCGTGAAGATGATAGATCAAATCTGAGATGGAAGAAACAAGGAGCACTACACTTGAACTTGTTGTTTTTCGAAATATTAAATGGACGTGAATTGTTGATCAGAAGATGTTGCAACACTACCAAGAAAAGAGAAAAGTCAGGGGTCGTCGGAAAACCGCTTGCTTCTTAAATTTCTGTGCTGTGAGTAAGTTCAGCAGAGGTACAACATGAACATATCAACATATCTACCAGCATCGCTCTCGCTAGCTAGTACAGAGATTGGATCACACGGCCTAAAGAGGTCCTCAAACAGTGGGACGACTCTCAACAGGAACAGAACTGCTCTACTCAACAGACTTAGTAATAAACTGCACAGAAGAAGTAGATGAAGAGTAGGAGTACCAGAAGAGATAGAACTCACATCACGTCGCTCTCAATAGAAATAATGTGAAGCACAGCTTCTTCTTCTTGGACCGACTTTTTTTTTAGATCAAATCTACTTTAGATCGACTAGAAAATTCTCCTTCTCAGCCTCATACATCGTGTGGACCATGCTCTCAGAGTGTACAACTACGGAAACGGACGAACACTCAAATATAACACCACCTCGTCCTCACATGGTCATATCCGCTTTCAGAATTATGGAATAAGCCAAATAATATTCGTTGTATTTTCATCATACATAAGTGCTTTTAACCTCATTCCAGCGCCTGTCGTTCAAGTACGCCACCAGAACCCTGCTCTATATCGTTGTATGATGTTGGTAAAGTAGTATCAGACGTTCTTGTCCTCGCTGCATGAAGATGATGTACTACATCATCATGTACAACATGATGATCCCCTACTTGATGATGTTTGTAAAAATTGTAGTTCTTGTCTTTAGATTTCAATTCGTCATGTATTGTTCTCAAGCGCACTCCTTCCAGTGTGTAGCGTTTCCAACAGAGAAACTGAAAACACGCCACGCCACCGAATAAGACCACCAGAGTTCGCGAATTGACATTGCCTTCGAGCCAATTGCTCCCCAATATCGGTCCTAGACTGTTAAACGGCTTCACGAAGCCAGCGAACGCGGAGAAGAAGTACCCCGTTGGTGGCGAGACGTGTAAATCATGGTCATGCTCGTATTCGTCGATCAAGTTGTTCAGCAGTATGTTCGAGTAGCCCATTTCGAGCAGGACACAGGCCTCGTGGAGAACGAGGAGAACGACTAGGGGAAGAATGAGAACGAAGATGATGTGGGGGCTACTTTCTTCCCCTGGTGGGGGGAATGTTGTGTAGTCGGAAGAGGAGGAGGAGGACTGAGTAGAGGCTGTGGAAGAAATGGTCGTGGAAGAGGAAGATGTGCCAGCTGCAAAGAATAGGTTGTAAAAGGCATATCCCAAGAAAATGCAGATCAACTTCAAAGCGAACGTCAAGCTCACTATCCGATACACGCCGACTCGACTGGCCACCCATGTGAAGACAAACCGCAAACCGCCAGCCACGGACCCTATGAAGCCGAAAACAGGCACAGCAAGCCAATTGTATTGTAATTAGATGAAGTAGTGCCGCGTACTGGCATCCCTGAGTCAATCCGTGCACCCCTTTTTGTATTCGTTCCACCTTGATGAAAAGGAGCCCACGAATCAATGGTGCTGAGGATGCTTCAGCGGTAGCCTTAATGTGATGGGAGAAGTCTTCGGAGAGCCAACACCAGAAACTGCCCACTAAAAACCGCTTGCATCTCTACTAGGGCGAAAACAGCTACAAATATCCAGAAATTTCGATTCAGACTTCTCAAAAAGACAGAAGCAGAAGGAAGAAGAAGCTGCTGTTGATGTTGGAATGAACGGCTTGTTGATGAAGAGGGTGATGACATTGGAGATAAAGAAAAGGATGAAGGCTTGGACCTTCGTGTCGGTGATGTCTGTGATGTTATTGACGTAGTGCTAGTGCTGGAAATCATTCCGTGATGACCGTGGTCGTCAAGGCTCCTTATTTCTGAAGATAATCCTACGTTATATTCTGATCCATGATGTCTTGGCTGTCGTGCCATTACTCTTGCGTCTATCTCAATGACAGCGCTTGGTCTACTAGTTGTACTTCTATTCTTGGAGGAAGAAGATAAAGATCCACTATGATGAAGATCCACTAGAAGTATGCCTTTTTCAGACGCTCTTCTAACATCTTCGAGGTTGTCGTCCTCTCCTTCACCTTCTATTGTATTGGAGGACGCCAGAAGGTGTGGATCATCAGCCGAGGTAGATGAGCTTGTGGTAGCACTATTCCCGTAGAGCTGTGGTGCCAGCGGCGGTCCTTCGTGGTCCGAGTACAGAAGATTTCCCCCTTGAAGATGATTCCGACTAGATGTTGATGAACTGTTTCCGCTGCCGTCAAAATTCACGTCCGTCATCTCCATACTGAGTTGATGTTGACTGTCCTCATTTCCATGATCATGCTGCTGGTTCGACTGACCATAATGTTCTACCAGTTGCGCCTTTTCATCGACGTCCCCATCAACGTCTTCTGCACAGTCATCAACATAGGAAGTCGTCCTTTGAAAAATCATGACACTGAAATCCAACCGGTTCGCCAACAGTATCGTAACCCATATGCACAAGGCTATGAGGAGAGCTAGGTATACCTGAAAGCATCCCGCAACAACTTAGAGGGAGGGGGCTTTATGTTGTGTTTCTCATGCCCGTTACTTTCTCTGCTTCATCATCATCATCATCATCTCTCCCTTATACTAAGAGACAGAGAGTCAAAGCAAACGGGTGTTCGTTGTAAGAAGAAGGCCAAAATAAAAAGCCTAGTACCCTTAAACAACTTCTGGCTCCTTGTTCGCACTACTATCCTTGTTCGCACTACTACTAGTTCCTTCCACGACTTCCGAAGATGAAGAATCTCTCGAATCGGAGGTGCTCTCGTACATGTTGTACAGGAACAAGCCTGTCGAAACGAAAACGAACTCCCCAACTCCGAAAATTCCGTTCCATCGTTGTAGACTCAAACGTTCTGGTTCTGACCGGGAAATGTCGTTTGCCACTATATTTCTGGCAATCACCGCAAAGCTCGCACAACCATCGTAGACGAAGAGGGTCAACAGGTACAAGGCCACGGAATGCCAAGGACCAGTAGATGACGATGTTGAATGATCAAGAACAGGTAGATCTTCTGAAGAACCGCGACCACTTCCAGCACCAGCTGTCGTCACCCTCGCTCCTCGCAACAACAAGAGATCCTGATCGCTTGCTGCTGCGTCTACACGGTTGCCACCAGACGCTGATGGCACGAGAAAGGGAACTGCAGAAGCTAGCACCCAAATAATGGAGAGCCACTTCAGGTAACTAATCCGCGTCAGCTTGAAAAAGGCGACAATGTGGTCAGAAAACACGCCAGCAAAGACATCATTGACAGCATTCCATATGGGGAATTAGAGGTGGAGGAAAATTCAAAGAAATGACGGCTCCTTAGTTACTCCATTATTTTTGATCCTTGTCGTGCTTCCAAGAAATACATCCACACTTAGGAGGTGTACTAGTTGTACACCTCCTAAGTACACCAACACCTTTCAAAATATTCTTCATCTAACACGTAGTACAGCATCAGCATGTACTTACTAGCCTTAACTATAAAAAACATGCACTCTCGCTACGTCTCCACTGGTCAGTCCATGCACACGCAAGAACGCATCCATGTGCAGATTCGTAAACAGCAATGTCGGCACCGTTGCTAGCGTAGTCAAGCCCGAGTAATACAAGATGACTGCTGGTGAATCCCCTTTCCCGAACAGGTGAATGCGCACCTGTCGTAAGGCCCAAGACAGCCATGAAGATGGAGTAGTACTAAGGGAGCTTTTGTGGTTGTCGTACTCGTAGAAGTTGCACGACAATGACACATAACCAAGGCACCGGCTGACGCCATTCGAGGCTTTGCGAGCGACGAAGGCGAGAGCGACCCGACAAAATTGAACACTCTTCCCATAATTCTGAAAGACCTGGAACATCTAATGTACACAACTTGATGAGTCTCAAGGTTCAGAATCAGATAGGGGTTGGCTATGTTGTAGAGCTAGGTAATACAACAGAGTAAGGGTGAGGCTCGTGCTCTGCAGCAGCTAGGCAATATTATAAAGTGAAAGTTCCATCACAAAAGAGAACAAAAGATATTGAGAAATTGTGTCGATCATCTTCCGACGCCTTCTCCTTGAAACGGTGGCGCAGCTGAAGAGCAACAGGACAAGCAACTCCGCACTTGCCTCTCCCATGCTTTTAGCAATTTGAATTTTTTTTCTTTTGGTAGAAAAAACATCAGGGGGGACGATAGCAATAGCAAAAACCTATGTCTACTTGTTCAACATGTGTCGTGTCTGTGTTTCAAGTCGTCTACGCGAGCGACGACCTAAGTAGAAGTTGTTCAGATGATACGGCTTCGTTTGGAACCATAGTTGTCGTGATCATAGAAAATATATGGATTTTCTCCGGCTCCTCCGCCATCGAAGTCGCTTCGAGGACGCTGGATGATTAGAAGAGCACCAGGGCGTGTAATATGTAGGGTCGTCTTCGTTTCCGTGGTGAATTCAATGTAGTATCGGTACCACAATAGAGATTTAAGTGGTGAAGATAATGTGTCAAGAGTTAGAGTGTTCTTGATGTCTTTCTCATAATCGTGCTGAGCAATCTTTGTTCATAAAAACAAAGCCCCTCTTTCATCTGCTTCGAGATCATCGCGCAAGCATGACGCGTCGCCTACGTCCTGATCTAGAAACTGTTGCATCAGGATACCTCTGGCATTAGAAGAGCTTCTTGACGAGTAGACTGCATTTCCAGAGGTAGTTCCACCTTGGGCCACCAATAACTGCTGGTGCTGTTGTCCACCCCTTTTCAACGCCAAAACACTGGCACGTCCAAAGACCGACGTATATCGTCCGATTAGGAAGCCGAATAAAGCGGCAACGAAGACAGTGGCTGCTATGGAGAGGTAGAATTGAATGCGTTGTAAAAGTGTCCACCCGGTGAAGAAACCTACCTGCTCTCCAGAAGTGCCAGACTCAGCTGTTCCAGCACTTGTTCCTCTCGTTGTACTAGAACTGCTCGCCGCGCTGATCGTCCCAGGTGGAGTATCACTTCTCCTGTCCCTACTCAACACTGGAAGAACCGATGCTACGTACAGCTGTCCTTGTTGATCAGTTTCATGTTTGTCACCTCCATGTGCTCCTCCGATCGAGTTGTCAACTCCTCGTCCTTCAGTACTAGGAGCGACGTATCCCTTCCCACCATGAAATTCTTCAAAAGCCTGTGCGAGTGTTTTAGTTCGTACAGCCGCTTGCTCCTCTAGTTCTGGCATCTGGAAACAACTGCCTGGCCCAGGTGGCCCAGTACTTCTGCCGCCTAATGCATGCTGACTTACTGCTCCCTCTAGTGGCAAACTGACTAAGCTGGGACCGAGGATTAGACGAGATCAGAATTAAAAAAAAAAAAGCTATCAGGCATCGATCTGCAAGGACAAAGTACAGTACCCCCAATACCTTCCCATAAATCAAAAAAATCCGCTAAAAAGCATCTCAAGAACTGTAATCTTGGTCGTGCTGCACTGTAATCACGCGTTTTTTCCAGTGGGCTCCACAGTCTTTCGGCTACTAAGGCGAGATTAGGAAGCACCTTGACAAAAAGATTCGACCCATCGACCCTTTCAGTCCACATAGGTGCTTCTCCCCCAAGAATTTTGCCGACGCCTTCTCCAGCTTCGTCTTCGGGAAGGATGAATGATGCAGGGGAGCAACATAAAATGTTGATGTTAAAGTTGATGATGTTCCAATTATATCATGAAACTAGCTCTACGTACTAGATCATGAAGATGAACGTCAACATGCTCACTGACGAGATAACAAAAGGGAAGCAAACTTGTCTCTTCAAGTTCAACAAGTCACCAAGTCACCTACACCCGTGCTTAATGTTAATGTTTTCTAATCATCAACGAGTTCATAACACCTGTTAGTACTTATAACGTTTTCTAATCATTTACATCCTCATAACATGCCCTCCAAAAATCTCCTTAGGGCCTCGATAAATGTCCTCAAATCGCGTGTCCAAATGATCAAGGTACCACACATCAGAGCTCGAAAGCACCACATCGAAGCCACGTTCCAGAATGGGTACGGCAGAGCGACCGCCGTTCCAGACTTGGACGACGGGAGCAGATTAGAGTGGTGGACGGGGAGGGAGAGTAGAAGATTTTTTAGTTCGTCCATGTTGATCTTGCTGTGAAGATCATCAACGTCATGATTTACTAGTTTGCTGCTGCTACTGCTTCCCTTTTCGTCGCCATAATTCTGCAAACTAACCTTCGTATTCTGGTGGTTCACCGCTTCATCCCAGTACATTGGTCTTCGGTTTTGCTTTTCTAGGATCGATGCGACTCTTGCTGTAAAGTAGTCGAACATCTCAACTGTAGAGCGCACTTTTCTTGTACTATAGTCTTCGAATTCCGTTTTTGGATATTCTTGGCCGACTAAGCGTTTCCAGCACCCTGTGGGCACTTCATCACTGCCAGTGTGAAATAGGAACTTCGGAGTACTTCTAATACTACTAGAAGCAAGATCATTGTCTTCAATATCTCGCTCAAGAAGACCTCCATCAACGTCAAAAATCTTCGCCACCCTGGCAAACAACACACTCAGAAAGTCGTACACCCGATCGTCCAGGGGATTCAGTGCCAAGTTGCTGAAGGGATACGGCACCAGACTCGCGAAGTCGTCAGTCGGTTCGCAGGCAAAAAGTTCCGGATGCGACTTGTACATTGCTGCTGCGTGACCAGGCACGTCTATTTCCGGGATAATGCTGATTCCAAAGCTATGAGCATAGAGAGCGAGTTCTCGTAGGTCTGTTTCGCTGTAGCGTTCAAGGGAAGAGTACGATCCTTTCAGACCTAAGGATGAGAGGTCGAAGTTGCTTTGTTCACCTGTCCCTGCTGACCCTGATGCTGATGTCCCAGTGGTGGTCCCGCCTCCACTCCCTGTTCGTGTCCTCCTAGTGTTTTGACTAATGAAAGTGGTCGCCGTTGTCGAACTTTTTTGGACCGATGTTGTACCTTCCTCTAACAGTTCAGATGTCAGGGATGGACCAGCACGACCACCTCGTCCAGGAGAATGGCCTCCTTGTCCTTCTCCTTCAACATCGTCTTCATCACTATTAACTATGTCCTCGGGATCGTCCACGTCTTCTTGTTCGTGTTGTATTTCGTCTCCTTCCTTGGGGACTGTGTGGACCTTGTTTTCCTCAATGTCGCCTTCCAATCCCTCTGTTGAATCTGATCCGGTTGCCAAGCTTCTTCTCGATGCTGTAGCACTTGCACTAGCAGAGGGAAAGAAGTCAGTATTCTTGTTGACGCTTATTGTTCCAACAGCTGATGCTAGTGATTTCTTTAATGTCGTTGCTTTGCCTCCAACCTCTCTTTGGTCCTGCTCTCCTATCCCTGCACTGGAAAATACGATCGGAAAGGACGAGTCTTCGCTCAGATGCAGGTGCAGTTTGTTCAATTTTAGCAAAAACATGCTGCGTACGGCTTCCTTTAAAACGCGTTTTGGTACGAAGTGCCTTCCTGTGTCTATCATAAACCCCCTATATTCGAATCGAGGACTGTCCGCTTCAATTTTGCAGTTCTTCGGCAAGTAGTAGTACTCAGCCTTGAAGTCAAAACGGATTAATTGTGCTAGAGTAGCTAAGCCACTTAGAAAACCAAGACGTGAGTGAGCTTGGATTGAAATCTTAGGCTTAGGGTAGTTGTCGTTGTTGACCACAGTGTTGATCTCAAGTGTGTATTCTTCAGATCGCAGTCTCGCACGTTCATCTCCAACAACTTGATCTACTTCTGGCGACACGCTAGAAGACCCTCCATCTCCTGGTGCACCAGTCATCACATCCAAACTCACCACATTAGCGGCTGCAAGGTGACCGATCTTCAAGCTCGCATATCTATCCATTTACCCCCTTGCCCTGGAAAATGAAAAGGTCATAGAATATAAAAGTCGGGTTTCAGTTGTCCTCCTAGTTGTCGTTTGAAGATTGATAATATGCACTTAAATGGTCATATGTCAACCTGATGCAGCCCTTAACTACAGTCGGAATATCCTCTACTTGCTCGCTCTCGCTCGTCGTCTCCACCCTTCTATATCCATTATAATACCGTGAAGCGTGTCTCCGGAAAATCATGGCTGCATACTCGCGCAACATCTGCTCGTCCACACGAAATTTTACGTCTCGAGGTTGCTCAAAATGAAAGGAAAATCCAGGTAGATGGATGTCTTCTGGTCCCTGTTGCCCATCTCCATGTCCTTGTCCTGTATCTGATGTGCTTGTTTGGCATCCTGCCTGACCCGATTTAGGCAGTGGCCAGACGCTGTGCTTTACACTGACCATACTCGGAGTCAGGGAAGGATTGTCCAGTTGGAAGGAACGGGGTAGGCTTTCACGAGCGTGGCAAAAGAGGAGCTGGTCGTGAAGATGCAAGTGCAACAAGCCCAGGAGGTGGACGAGGAGAATGCAAGCCATGTTGTTCTTGAAGCTGAGGCTTTTCTTGGAAAACCCACGGGGCATCGTCATCTTCTCGATGATGCTCAAGTGGTCACTCTAGCTTCTCTCTTCACCTTTCGCCCTCAACTCTCTATGCCTTATTAAATAATCGAAAAAGGAGTTGTGAGGCGCACCTGATGTTTCAACATTTCTACAGATTCGTTTTTCGTAGTTGCTCGTCTGCCTCACTGCTAGAAGATAAGCATAAGTAGGCACGACAAGATCATCAACATTGGCGGAACAAATAGTATGGAACGGCACGTAATTTGTGGCAGCACTGCTGCGGACGAATCATTCATCCATGTCATAATTATCCAGGAGCTAACGCCACAAGTCTTTCTGGTCCGTCATAAGCGCCAAAAGCTACATCGGGAATATGGGGACAAGGGATTCTTTCTGGTATGACTTGTTGGTGTTGGTTTTTGTTAAACAAGTAGCCTCCAACATGATCCCCAAATACATGCGAGGATGAGGAAAAGGAAGAAGTATTGAACTGAAATTGTCTACCAGGAACAGCAGACAAGCTAGCCTGATTAGAGGAAAAGGCAGGTAAAGGAGGCTGTGAAAAACCTGGTGGATTCTGCACGCTCGACGATGACGACTGCCCACCTGAAAAACTTGGTAATGTCGGATCTCGCAATGGTGCTGGTGGTGGCGCGGCCGCTCCACCTGCAGGATGAAATGGTCCTAAACCTGCAGTTGTTGTTCCCAGAGCGAGAGGAGCGGAAGAGAACAACAGTTCCTTTGCCTGTAGTAGCTGTGGTTGCACATCCGTAGACGAGGAGGTTGCTCCACCACCTTGGCCTTTGCTCCAACCGTGAAACGGATCATTCATCCAAACATTTTCTGCGACCTGATTTGTGAGAGGGGAGTTGAAGATCATGGTGGTGTTAATGGATCTGGATGAGAGTAAAACGAACCAGTTGTAGTTGCATCACATGTTGATCGTCATCATGTTGTACGCTATTAACACGTAGCTTACATTCTACTTAAAAAGAAATAGGAAATTATACCACAAGTTCTTGTACCTTTTTCCTCGCTCCCTCAGCACGCGCAAACGAATTCTGAAACAACCTTTCCGCAGCACTCGCTTGATCTGTTCCTTCTGATGCGAAATCTTTAGGAACGCTGCCAGGAAGAGCTCCGTTGCCACCTATTCCACTTTCTCCATCTTCTGATCTTAACGCTTTCATTTCATTACTCTTCAGATAAGCAGCTTGGTTATCTGGCGGCGCTCCGAAGTCAGGGAGATCGCTAGGCCTATTGAGGATCTTCTCCCTCAGCAATTCCTGTCTCCTCTGCTCTATGATCGAAGTGGGGTGTGGGAGTTGCTCCTGGGGTGCAGGACGCTTGGCGGGATTAGCCTGGTTGATGTTATCGTTTTGTGGTGTTTGGAAAGAAGATGAGGTCGAGGATCCTACACAGGATCCTACACCCTGAAGAAGATGTTGATAGCTTTGTGTTTGTCCTCCTGGTTGTACTGCACCTCCTGTTGGCGGAAAGTGGAATGGCGTTGTAGACGCTGAAGCAGGACTAGCTCCAACTGGGACTAAAGACGGGTCAGCACTTCTGACATTATACTGTCGCGAAAAAGCAGCCTGTTGAGATGCCAAATCGGGTCGTGCCGTGTTCAACACACCTGCAGGAAAAGAAGGTAGTTCTTGTAACGACGCGTGTTGTTCTGACGTAGACATCACTGGTGAATAAGTGAAGCGTCCGACTTCTACCTGGGCCCTTTCGTTGGCACTGGTCGCCCCGTCATGTTCTAGAAGCCGTTCTCCACGAACCGAAGAGAATGCTGCAGCGTTTTGCGAAGTAGCACCTCCACCACTCCCAGGCGTACTAACACTTCCTGCTCTACCTTCTTGGCTCATCTCCATGATCGGAACCAGTTGACCACCAGAAGAAGTTGCAGTTGTTGTAGCACGTCCACCAGCTCTTTCACCTGCACCTATGTCACCGAATGAGGTTGCTGCAACTCCTTCTTCTTGAGGCTCAGTGAAGAAATGATGTTCCCACGCTAGGTCTGGTTAGAGCTCTCCGTAGTTCATCGCTCAGCTGCACCCACCTTGAAAAATATGGCAGAGTATTCCCGTAGGATACTCCCCCATACGTTTCAAGGATGCAGGCAAGGATGAATTAGCTTTAACTACAGCCTTAATTTAGAGAAGCAAAACGCACTCCGGAGGTAGTTTCGAGATAGCTGGATTTGCCTGGTGTAGATCGTGATTCTACGACTTCGAAACCAGGAGGTAAAAGACTTGAAATCCGATTTGCAAAAGCATTGAGGGATTCGCTGGAAGACCTGGGTTCTTTGATTAATCAATGTTGGTGGTAGTCAGGGATAAAGCGTTGTAATTTTTCATTTTCTTTTTATACATAGAGAATATGAAAAAGAATATCTTCATTCGGTTTTCAAATCATGACAGTAGGTAGAACTACTAGAAGTACGTAGGGTCAAGTCGAAAATCATGTCGATGTTTCTTCTCGAACGAAGAGCGACACATTAAGGATTTTACCTCGGCTGATCAATGCTTTTTCGAATGCAGCTTGAATTCGGTGACAATTTTTTCTCCTTCATCTCTCCGTTTGCATAAAATCTGATACAAAGGACGTCACGGGTTCTGTCATGGACGTACCCAGGAAACCACGTCTGTTAGACCTGCACTCTGTACTAATTCATCCGCTACTTAGTGATGCATCCTCCTTGAGGAGGGAATAAATACTACCCCATAAATACGTACTTACTTACAATTTTCGTCTAAGGATACAGTCGACGTCATCAAAGATGAATTAGTGAGAGCCTTAAGTCTGCATGGAACTGCTAAAAATTAACAGACTCGTTTGCTTGGCGTATGGGTCTGTAGTAGCAGATTCAGGAAGATCCACACCACTTCCACTGTTGAGGATCAAACCACTATTCCTACCAACCGTAGTTCTCGCACCAAGTTCTTGCCCACTGCCATTATCATACAGAAACGAGCCAACAGCTGACGAGGAAGATGAAAATGCTCTAGTTGTACTAGCATGACTTTTTGACCCAGCTGCACGTCCCGGTCCCGCTTCACCTCGTGGTCCATTTGCTATCCTACTTCCTGGCGTATCTATAGCAGCTTGGTCTCCCCAATCAGTACCAGACCGCACATCGTCCATAGGGCCATCATCTCGCTCGAATGGAAAGGCGGTTGGGGTTTTAGAAGGATGCCAATTTTGTTCATGCTAGTTATAATTCACATGATCGTCGAGTATGAGTAAGGACTATGATTGTGATTCTTGCAACATCAATAAACATGGATGTGTTGCTCAGGTTGATGTTGTTCGTCCATATCAGTAGTTCGTCATCGTCAAGGAGCATGTTGGACAAAACTAGAACCACATGTCAGGATCAGCAATAGGTATTTTCATCATAATACCACCACGTCCCCCACTGCTCCATCTCCCATCTACGCTGGCAACCTGTGGGATTGATGGCGCTGGTGCGGCGTTGCTTCTCGACGGGCGCAAACCCTCAACCAACTCAGAGACACCCTCAGCAATTTTCTTCATGGTTTTATTCTTGTCGGGTGGAGGAGATGAAGACTAGTATTAACCTTGGTAACCTTTTTAACTAAAAAAAACAACAGATGTTGAAGACTACTAAGTTCTATGTGTTGTGCTTGTAGGTAGTGGAAGTGGAGCAAGTCGTAGTACAGTAGGTCTCAACTATATCAATACAGCGAAATAATACTGACTCGGACTCTTTGCTTTGTTAGGTCGTCCTTAGAGAAAAGCACCACCAAAAAGGTGGAAACATAGTAATCCGTTTCTACTACGCTCAGTCATCTTGTTCCTCTTCTACGACAAATTAGATATTACTTTTACGTCGTGTTCCCTTTCGTCCAGCACCTCAAGACGAACTTTTTTCTTTTTGATAGTAGATCCACATCCATGCGATTGCGAACAAATTGTTCTACCCACCTAGAAGTACTAGCAGTAGCAACTCTACTTCTAGCACCTCCATGAGCAGAAGATACAACCACGAATCTTCCTATAGTTTGCGATGAATAATTTCCCAATCGTAAGTAGTTGTTCTATTAAATACTCAGTTGCATGTTACTAGTGTCTGTATCGAAGAACGCAGCTCCTGGCACATGTCAATGTCGTTGTTGAGGTCCTTCCATTACGAGGACGGAAATTGTTTAAATCATACTGGACTACTACTACACGTTCTTCATCTGCCTGAAGCTGTGCAAATAATCTTACTATGTACTACATGGCTCATCTGTGCAGATAACTGAGCAGTAAGAAGATCATCCGTGGTTCAAATCTTCAACGACTTCCGAAGCTCGATCATGTCCTATCAACGATGATGTTGATAGATACTGCTGCTCATTAATGTTAATCAGAACCAATCAAATTAAATCACAGCTGCAGGTACTCCATGCGATAGAAGTTTTGACTGATCTTTATTAAGGACCATTGTTCCAATTTTAGTATTAGTTCTTGTGATAAATAATTCCCATTCTAATTTTAGTTAAAGTTATGTCGTGTCAAGAATATTGCTACGTTGATGAAGATTATGTGATTTTCTTCATTATGGTTGCATATTGATGATCATAGATAATTCTTAATGTGCAAGAACCTGAACAAGTTAAGAGGGTCGATAATTTAATATTAGTATTTAATTTTAATGCTCCTTAAGGAGGCCCCTTCAGGAGCAGCTGTGATAGAGATAGACTTAGGCTGATAATAAGCCCTCCCTTAAGGGCCAGCGCCACCTCTTAGGTGGGCCCTAGCTTGCTGGCTGCTTAGCCCTAGCTAGCCTGTTCGCTGCTTAGCCATAACTAGCCTGCTAGCTGCTTAGCCATAACTAGCCTGCTAGCTGCTTGGCCATAGCTATATAGCTAGCTGCTTAGCCATAGCTAGCTAGCAAGGCACCTGCTTGGCCATAGCTATAGAACTAGCTGCTTTGCATTGCTTAGACATAGCTAGCGCGCTGGCTGCTTAGGCATCGCTAGCTTGCTCGCTGCTGCGCCGTAGCTTGCGAGCTTACTAGGTAGCTGCTCGGCCCTATTTAGCACCAGCTAGCAAGCTAGCTACTTGGCCACGATAGCTAGTTTGCTAGCTGCTTGGCCATAGCTAGCTTGCTACGTACAACTAGGTGTTTAGCCATGGCTAGCTTGGTAGCTCCTTCCTTTGCGAGACCTAGCGCAGCAGCTGCTTTCTTAGCCATACATAGCCAGCTAGCTAGCTAGCTTGGCCCTGGCCACCCTGCTAGCTTAGCCCGGCAGCCAAGGCCAGCCTCTTAGCCTAATCTTGGCCAGCTTGCTAGCTCCACCTTCTCTAGCTCGCTAGCTCTGCCATGGCCACTCCAGCTCGCTAGCTTAGCCATAGCCAGATTGCTACCTTAGCCACAAGACAGCGGCAGCCGCCTGCTTAGCCATGAGGGGCGTCCACGATAGTCCACTCTGAACCGGCCGCGCGTCGCTAGCTTGGTGACTTAGGGGCTAGCGTCGTAGCCTTACCTGTCTAGTTGCTAACCTATGCCTTGCGCAGCGGGCCCTTGGTGGGCTCGCTTTCTGGACATGTAACTATAATCATAATGTTCACTCTTTGACTCGCGAAACAAGCAGAAAATGCTTTACTAGTGAAGATAGATAAATATGTGTAGACAGAGACAGAGACTCTTCTTTATCATTCGAGGAAATATCGGGCGTGGCACTACGACAAGGACAACGTCGAAGAAATATCATACTATGTGACGAAGCCAGTCCTACAGTCGTCGTTAGCACTTCTGAGGTCAGCTTTATCGCTGTCCTCCCACAGGGCTTGTCGCGCCATGCTCCTCCGCGGGAGTCTTCGTCTTTCTTTCCAGTTCCCGCGCCTGCTGGCGAGGTTGTATGAATGTGATGACTTTAACAGAATGTCGGGAACGGAATGTCGGAAAATGAAGTGAGGCACAATACTACTAACCCTGTCGGAAAATCAAGAATCAAGAATCTTGCCTGTTTTCGGCACAAATAAGGCACGCAACAAGACGAAGACCACTAATGCCCGACATTCGGTAAAGCGGCGCCTTAGTGCTGTTTCGTGGCCATTTCTGGCCATTTTCCAAAGCTTTGATTTCCAGTGGAGGTTCCAGAAATGTCGGACAAACGCACAGAGAATGCAGGAGGCTTTCTCCCCTGCCTACTGCTCTAGCGATTTCGGCAAGAAAAGGCAAGGAAGAGCGCTGAAGCAATTTTGCCCGCCTACTGCTCCATCGATTTTTTGGTGCTGGAGATGCGAGGCCGGTTGAAATAAATCTACCAGACTACTAAATATCCATCGATTTCTTTGGTGATGGAAAAGCGAAGGGCCTGGAAAGGGTAAAAATGAACCAATACTAAAATAGTCTAACCAGCCTACTAACCTAGGAACTTCGCCGACATTCGTTTACTTTGTTCCGTTAAAGTGAAGCCATACCTAGCAAGCCCTGTTGAGCCTTTATTTTCCATTTTACTGGATTCGGAGTCAGTTGTTCCTGCTCGTCAGTTCCTGCATGGAAAATAGAGATATTTTTGGAAACGAAGATGCAACATTATAATATACATAGTGATACAGGATAGGAAGCCATCTCGCTTAACACGAGCAGAAAAGTTGCCACAGAACAGGAGTCCAAAATTGACCGCAGTCCCAGTCAGAGAAACCACGACGACGTAGCAAGATGACAGGAAAATAGTGTGTGGTCTGCAAAAATTTCGTTGTTCTTTAAATGAATACGTTCTGATGTCTACAGGTAGTCGTAGTGCAATTAGAATATAAATAACTTTAAACCCAAAGAGTGTAAGGCATCGACTTAGCGATCTTGTTTATGAAGTTGAGAAGCTCTCAGCATTCTGCTTTTCCTACGAGGTGTTTTGGAAGAAGAGAGAACGAACACAGAAGATTGATGGACTACTCTAACTCTACATGATGAAGTCTTTAGGACCTCAATCTAATACATTCACACTTACAAAGTTAAAGATATACCTCCAATTACTGACTTCCTCCCGCGGAGGTGATGAGGATGTCGGGGGGTTTCTTCTCCGGTTCCTTTTGGTGTACTTGCTGCATGACCATTATTCTTGATGTCTTTCAAGAAGGTAACCTTCTTGTTCGCGGAAATCTCCAGGACACTACCACCGGTTGTATACAACGCGCACAAAGCTGCGGTGCGTTTCATCGAAATGAGGGACAACATCTTGCTGGTCTTATTTGTTGTCTCTAAGTAGCTACAGTTCTAGTCGATGATGACGAAGTAGGTCGCGTACTAGATGATATGAACTCTAGGAGTTACACTCTTAGTCTTATGCACCACAACTAGAAGTAGGTCGTGTTAGTGTTATAGCTCTAGGTGGAGTTGTTCTTGTTGTCTTCCTGATGTTGCTGATTTTCCTCTTCGAATAAAATTCTTTCTTTTCGGGTTCTTTTGTTTTTCTTGGAATCTCCTAAATCTTTTCGTCCTAAAAGGGATGGGGTAAGATTTTTCGATGATGGGAGTGTGATGATGTAGGCGTGCGTCGTGCGAGCTGGACTCGTTTACTTACTACAACTTAGTTCTTGCAAGAAAATGAAAAACTACAAGAACGATAATATAAAAATATTGATGTTGCCATCTTCGCTTGAGATTGAGTGATCATATTAAGCATAACTCCGTACGACCACGATGACTCCCATAATCACTTGTCTATGTCCACAACAGACCACGACTATACTCTCCCTCACGACTATACTCTCTGCCACGTGCACTGACGACCGCTCTCGACGCTCCCCAGAAGATTGTTTGTCTCAGACAGAGTCTCATTTGAATTTGCGTCTCACGAAATAAGATCTTATTTCCTAAATTCTTCATCGTTGTCGATAGTACCCTCATCATGCTCTCGTTCTCGTTGTTAAGTGGAGTTTAGCATCAATAATCTCGTTTCTAGTTATGTTGTATACTCTCGTTACATAGTCATGTGACGAACGAAAGCGGAGGAACGACGAAATTGGTTCTACGACTACCACACTTGTTCGTGTTTCCAACTTATCTCAGACAGCTGTTTTGAGATCGTTCTTTTTCTTGACGTTGCTGCATCAAAACTTCTACGTGTATCATGTTGCCGTGTTCGTATCGTCTTTTTTAGACCCGTCTTAGGCATGTAGTAGCACTGGCTGGGAGGCATGTAGCCCCGAGCAGGAAAGTGTTGAACTTCATCATTAGAGTCAGTTCTTGTTCTAACTACTTTATCTTCATGTTTACCTTTACTATTACAACTAGAAGAAGCATGTTCTTCTTCTTGATCGATAAAGCTAAAGGTAGGAAAAACTATATTCATTTAAGCATCATAAAGGTAGGAATGCACGCCCACTTGAACTTGTTTCAAGCTCTGGATCGTCATTCGTACTCCACTTCTCCCACTTCGTATCTGGTTTTGCTGCGTTTTTTGCACACCAACGCCTTCACCAAACTGCCATCTATTAGGAACCGCTTGTAGAAGGGCAGCGTTTCCTTGAAGTAAGGCGGATAGCGTTCCGGCATATCCATCGTCAAAGGACGCTTCAGGACCGCTCGGGAGGTATGAAAGGTGGTAGTGGTGGTGGTGGAGATGGTAAAGGTGGTAGGGGTGGCACTAGTGGTGGCGATGGTGGTGGTGGACGATCGAGAAAAATGGTCAAACTCCTCATGAAATGTGGATCTAGAAGTCGGGGACCATAACAATCAGATAGTACTCGTCAGTTCATGATTTTCATTGAGAAGAACTACCACAAGCAGCATGTATTCTCGTCTTCAAGTAGTTCTCGTAGAGTTGTAGTCAACATATTTCAAACCCCCTTCGTGTCAAATTATGTCAAACTAACCCCCCTCTCACAGTGGTCACAGCACAGCACCTAACATTCCTCATAATAGTGTGACAAGAATTGATTCTTCATAATGATGTGACAACTCTTTGAAACCGTCAAGCCCGTGTAAACGGCCGGTTCCCGAAGCTCCTACGCCACCAAAAGGCAAATCATGCGTGCAGACATGCATTAACAGGTCATTCCCGACGAAGCCGCCAGACGTGCTATTCGCCTTCACTGTCTCGACAAACGTGTCGTCATTCGATAAAGCGGATGTTAGAGGAGGATTATAGTCTATCAGATAGAGGAGGGTTAGTAGCCCGATAGGGCAGGAGCCTGTCATTGAACATGGAGGATTTCTCTTAAGCACTATTTTTCATTTCAAGAAGGATCGATCTTGTTTCCAGCGAAATTCTAGTCGATGAAGTTCCAGAGTTGGGAGGAGGGGCTTTCATTGATCTAGTGATTTTTATGATGTAAAAAATTGATGAAGCCTTAGATACAAAGCCAAAGGGTGCGGACGTGCATTGACGAAGGAGAGCATATTCTGGACAAGTGACGCTCCAGAACTCCCAGATGATGTTGAAGAGATGGTTTTCACCACTAAGATAGGTCCAAAGATCTCCTCCTGCATCACCCGACTGTGTTCCGGCGGATCTATGACGATGTGGAGACCAATGTGTCTGTTTGATCGGTCAATGGTGCCTTTGAGACCCCACCTGGTGGTCTTACTGTTTGCTTCAGCACTTCCACTCTTCATTTTCTCCTCCACGTCCTCTATCATCCCCGTTACCCTATCAAAGTGTCGTTCAGAGATTATTTTCCCACCATAGTCTGCATGGGTTTGAGGAGAGGCTGAAGATGTTGTTGTTGTGCTAGTAGTTACACTATCACGACGGCTAGTTGTCTCCTCTATTGTCGATGTTCGACCTCCTGCTGTCGTTTCTTCCGGAAACCAATCCTTACACCAGATTTCCCTAGCCGCGTCCAAAAACGTCTCCACATCATCCTCTGCAAGTAACACGTAGTCAGCGGCCACACATATTTGTCCTGCATTCACATGCTTCGTCCACAAAATCCGTCGCACAGCCGTTTTCCAAAGACCTAGATCTCTGGAAAAACCAGTGGAAAAACGGTCCAGGAAGACTGGGCTTTTGCCGCCTAGCTCCAGTGTGCAGGGACAAAGATGCTCAGCAGCGGCTTTCTTAGACCTGCTGTCAGTTCTAGTCCATCATGATGTTCGTCCCTGGTAGAAATGTATTAAATAGCAACACTAGAAATATGCATCGCCTTAACTTTCATCACGATCTTCCCCACCGCACCCGACCCGGTGTACACCACATGGTCAAACGGGAACGATAGCAAAGCTTTTGTCTCCCCTGGTCCGCCATCAAATGCGGAAAGGCCCTCAAAGTCTGCAAAAACACGATCACAGAGGACTCGGCAACTCTGTTCCGATATCTCGGAAGGCTTGAGGATCGCGACCTGATGTGTGCGTTGGGACCTTTTTTAACAGCACGAAGAACTATATAGACAAACGAGCTAGTAAGTACGTACTACTAGATGAGGGAGCGAGCAGACGCAATAAAATAGAAATAGAAATACAAAGCTAGAAGAAGAAAATTTTTTACGTTCCCCGTAGCCAAGACCGTTACTGCATTGCTGACCAAAAGTGAGATAGGATAGTTCCACGGCGCGATGCATAGGACCACGCCTTTAGGTTGGTACTGTACTACTGAAGTTGCGGGATAGATATGAATGATATTTTTTCCATCGATCTATGCAAACCGTCGAGGCTCCCCCCCACAGTTTCAAGGGGAAAAGAAGCAACCTCGATGGTCTGCCAGATGGAAAAAGAAAAACATTTACATTATCCATAATAGACCATCATTCCCGTAGGTCGTTTCTCATCCTTCATCCACTTTGGTAGGTTCGAAATCGTCGTTTCTATTTCGCTAACCAAAATAGCAAAGTCTGCCATATAGGCGTCCTGGGTAGGCCGACCCAAGTCGGAACGGATTGCCTGATGAAGTCGTTGTAGATGTGGAGGTTTCTTAGACTTTATCCTGCTGATCTTGATGGTTTTCAGATCTTCATGATCATCACGTTGTTGATCTTAATATCATTCATAACTTTTTTAACTCCTAGCTACCAACATTCACTATACCGCCACAATCTCTTTTTCATTTTCCAATATCCGTTCCTTCAACGCTTTAAGCCTAGCAACACGCCATTCCAGACTCTTAGTTTTTCCGGATGAAAATAAAGTTCTTAGTTCGTTGATCTTAGTTTGAATTGCGCTTTTCAAATCTCGATCTCCTGAGTCGCTAGCTGCAGTAGTTGTAGTGTCATCTACTTGTTCATCTAACGGGCTTCGGCCTTGCAAATCTTCACTAGTACTTGGCGTGCAGGTTGAAGCAGGCGAGACCATAGTAGTACTAGTAACCTCCTTAGAAGTACCGGAGACGACATCAGCACGTGATGGAAGCACAGAAGAAGACGTCATGGCTGGCATGTTGTTTGTCTTTTGTATCTGTTCTTGTGCCTCTTTAAAACGCAAAAGTTGTGCTTGGAAGACGAAGATTACACAGAGGACCACTTTCGGGGAAGGATCTTTGGAATTGGAAATGAACTCGAAATAAGGACGACCGAGATGGTTCTTTGTAGTACTCTTCTCTTTCTGTCGTCCTTGAAAACCTCACGCCACATATTTTCACGCACATGTTGCGTAAAAACCGAACATATATTTTGCGAACAAAACATATACACGAGCTTGAACAACACTCCTGATGAGACCACGTCGTGCATCGTGGTCCTCAGCACGCGGCAGAGGCTTGGGCGGCTTGGCACTATTGTTTTTTCTATCTAGCCGCGTCAATTTTCATCTCGTTGTACTTGTCTCTTCAACGGGAGCACGAATCTCTTTTCCACAACAAGGATACCAAGAATGCCTCCAGGGGAGGCGCGTTAGCCTCAAGATGAGCTCGCACCTACATCATTACTCACTTGCAGTCAGTCAGCCAATCAATCAATCGGGTTGCCTCCGTAGGGCACCGACCTCCCCGCAGCTGCGACTGCCGCACCTCTACTACGCTGGGAAGCGATACGAGCTGTATAATTTATCATACATTGTCTCCTAAAAATAGCAAGCTACTAACTTTCTCCTAATAGTAGTTGCACCTACTACCTCCGAGGAAAAGCTTTCATCTCCTCATAATAATAAATTTTGTCTCCTTCTAGGAACACATAGTACAACACGGTTGCAGCGGGCGATTCTTCGCCTGCTAGCACACAAGAGGTTCTACTTGGGGTAGTCGCAAAGTTCTCCTAGTAGACAAGAGAAAGGGGACTGTGAAGGCTATGTCTCCTCGTCTAGTTCTCGTCCTAGTCGACAAGAGAAAGGAGACTGTGAAGGCATACAAGTCCGCTAAATCAAGCCTACCGAGAAAAGAACTGAGGAACCTCCATGGAAAAACCAAACTGCTAAAGAATCTGTAAATAATTATGGTTCTCACGATAGTTCATGGAGATAAAGGTCATATTGTGCCGCAAGGAACTTGAACATGTCAGTTAGTAACTAACCACCTCAAGCAAAACGCTCTTGATGCCGTTCAGTACGACTATATTTTTCTAGTAACATCTGATCTACATCATCATCATGATTATAATATCTCTAACAGCTTGAGAGTGGTTGGAGAGGAAAATAGTTAACGACCTACTTGCAAACACCAGTTAAACTTCTCCACTGACTAGTTATGGTACTAGTTCTAACTAAGTCAAATCTATTCGAAAAACTGAAATAAGCAAGTAACTGACGAGACGGAAGAGGAGGCTTCTAGAGTGAGCTACGTCCCTTAGAAATACTTCACCAGTCGGTCGCTCGGTTAGTTGTGGTTGAGCAGACCTAAGATCTAGAAAAAAACAAAAACCAAGAAAAGATAGAAAAAGAAAATAAGGCTATCGTTAGTTATGTTTTTCGACTAACATTGACGACCCCGCAGCCGCGGCCCGCGGCTCGAGATAGCCTAAGAAATGCAAGCAGAGGCCGATTTGAACTGCAGCCGCGTCGGTTTCCTGACAAACGAAGATAGGCCCTTGCAATACAGAGCACATATATATGTCCAACCCCGTCCCCACCTCGACGTCTTGACGGCTCGACGAGTCTTTGCTCCTCTCATCGTTAAAGGAGGAGGTCGGAATTCATTCCTCACCGAGTGATTCTAAAGAGAACAAAGGGCTCGTTGTTGGCCCAAAGGCGGCTCTCGCCTTGTTTTCCCCTGTTCTCTCAGAAGATTTTCTCTTTGATGTCTAAGTGAGCCTAATTCTAGGTGAGCCTTAATCTGTGTTTTCCTCTTGGTCCGCGTCGTTCCCTGATCGCTGGTCTTCAACTTAGATAAAACCGGTGGATCACGCCTATGTATCTAGGACACAAAAAAATATAAAAAAAGAAATCCGTCTGATTAAACCTCCGTCCTTAGATAAAGATATTTAAACAAGATCATTCTTCAACTCAAAGTTTTGAGCTTCCTTTTCCCATCCCTGCTCCCTTGTTGTTGTTGTATCCTAAGTATATTTCTATAATATGGACATGCTTAAAAACGGATGATCCACGTGCTCCACCGCTAGATGAATAGTAGAGGGCAACTAGATGGATTAGCTTGGAACGTTGGGCAAGAGAAGTTCACAGTTGTAGCCTTAATGAGTATTTCATCGTCACCCTTTTCATCTGATGGCTTCTTGAAGGGTCCCAATCTTACTTCGAGCCCTTCCTCTTGCTTCCCAGCTTCGGAACACGACTCACTACTTCCTCGAGCTGCTATTATATTAGAGCAGCATCTCGATCCCCGCCACCCCCTTGTATAATTCATCTTTTATAATGGGACGATGAACAAAAAAAGGTCGTTACCAAGATGGTGCTGAGAGCGATAAAGTAGTAGTTGACCATGATAGCTATAATCTCGACGCTGAGAACTACAATTAGAGGTAGGTTTTTGGTGCTCGCTTACCCCGCTTGTTAATATGCCTTTCTCCCTTAGGAGAGGCATAAAAAGCGGTAAGAAAAGCACCTTTAACCTACCCTTAATACAATAGAGAGTTTCTAAATATCTCGCTGAGAACGATAGAGAGCAGCTTCTAAATGCAGTAGTTCTAGTTGACCATAGCTATAATTTCGGTGGGAAAGAGGACCTTCAGAGGTGTGGTCCACTTTCGCCCTCGCCTCAGGAAATGAAGTGCCTCTTGGTACGTAGCGACAAAGTTTTCTATCGGCGCCGTCTGTTGAATTTTTTTTGAATTCGTCGGGAGTATGAAAAAGGAGGCTGTGAAGAGAAAACTTCCCATGTTAACAAGTGATGTAGTCTTAGAGTGACATTAGATGTGAAAATTAGAATTGCTTTTCGTCTTCGTGTTGAACATCAGGCAACAGGAACTTACAACTACTACGGTCTAGTAGGTCGAAGTCACACCTTCCACGACATGCAAATGGAATTTTGATTTTTTTACTTGAGAACGAAGTAGAAAAAAAAAATTCTCCAGTATTATGAGCGGATATTAATCTTAAGTAACGTGTTCTTTATACGACCTCTGTTACGTTTTTCTTATCTCCTCTCTTCTTCCACCATCATCTTCTTCTACGACCTTCTTCCATGTTCTACATACACTTTATAAAAATTTCCCTGTCAACATCTTCTTAATCGTGTTCGGCCGCTTCGGAGAACAAGGTGTTCCATCTGTTAGACTTTCATCTGTAGTTCTGGAGGTATCGTCCGCAGAGAACGCAGAGAACAGCACTAAGCCATGCTCGTCGTCGGAGCACTCTCTTCCTAGCAGACCAGAGGTAGCGAGTTTTAGCGATGAATCCACTTGACTGTTAACGTACTTCTGACACTCCAGATATTCCTCCGCGCTCCTTGCCATTTTCCGGATTAACAATTAGAGCAATAGGATAGAGGTACTAAATATGATGAAACGCAAAAGAAAGAAACTGTTATCATTATCAAGTTTCTTGTTAAGTAGAAAAGCAAAAGTATGATACTGATAATTATAGATTTTGGCTTCATGTATAAGTAATAGTAGTCGTCCTTCACTATCGCTATCCGTGGTTCCTAAATATTTATTTCGAGGGACGAGACTTCACTTCTCAACAGCATAGTTGTTGTCGGTCCACACACATATAAGGGGAAGATGTCATGTTGTCATGGTACATCTATCTTTCAAATCATATTCATAGAAGATAGTTCAACTAGGGTTGAACAAGTTGAATTTGTGATATCAACAAACTTACTAGCGGCCTTAAAACAAACGATTACCGTCTCCGAGTAACAAACCGAGGTGAAGCCCTTGGAATATGATTCGCAAACCTCGTGCCATCGCGATTTCCGACGGTGTCCCACTACGTCCCCGAGGAGGACTGGCGCTAGCATAGGAACTACTGCAGTCTCTTACGGGAAGTAACTGGACAAAGCGCTTCACCTTCGCATTCTTTATGAAAAAAGATGGCGTTTTTTTCTCCATCAATGTTATCTTGTTGCTTATTTGTTGCATATAATCTTTTGGCAATACACTTTCGAGGCTCCCGCCCGCATTCAGCTCTTATTCATTCTTGTTTTTAAGAAAAAACATCAATGATGACAGTCTAGTACTGTTACAGTTGTTTTTACAAGGACTATTTAGTACTACTTCTCAAGGAATTTTCCTTATAGGGTACTACCAGGCTAGATGGTCCTCTGATAAATGAAAATTGGAGAAAATATAACATGATCCATATTTTTTTGCAGATACATATCCAGTTCCACCAATCGCGCGTCCATTTCCCGCAGGAGGAGAGAATCCGAAGTTAGGGGTTGAAAGTTGATCCCCAGCTGCTACTTTAGTTCGCATATCTCCGGCTTTATTGTTCCTACCCTTAAAAACGAAGGTCGTGGCGGATCATAGAGATGCTCTTTTTATCATTATCATTATGTTCGCGCGCGACCCTACCGCCTCACACGTGCCGCGACCCTACCGCCTCTTCATAGAGAAGAGAGGTCAAACCTGCTACCCTTATGAATGAAGGTCGTGGCCGCGGATCATACAGATGCTCTTCAACATAGAGCAGAGGTCATGCTCAGAGAGAAGAGGTTCACAAATTGCAAGAAGCCTTAACGAAGAGTGAAGATGGCGGAACTCCGCCATGCGCTTCTGTGCGAATTCTAGGTTCTCCGCAAGTGCGTTCCTCTCCGTTTTGATCTGCTCCACAAATCCAGGATCTAAAGAATAAGAATCCACTGCTCCAGTTCTAGTGGTAAAAGTAGTTCTTCCTGAGTTCTTCATCTTGTTCTTCAAACAGCCCGACGAGGACGTGAGTGGCTGCTGCAGTCCGACTACGTTCCTCAGAAAATCCGCTAAATGGAGGTGCGCAGAAGTAGTTTTTAGAGGTTAAGGTTAATACGGAATTCCAACATGATTCCTCAGAAGTAGAAGAATATCTTTATTGACGTATAATTTTCTACTGAAAAAAGAGCCAGGGTAGATGCTAGTCGTGAAGGCTGTAAAAATGTAAGAACCTCCCTTAAAGTAGAACAAGTTCTTGCTCCAATTCTACAACCTCCACCACCGCCACCACATTGATTTAGATCTTGCTGATGTTGTGTATCTTCTCCTGCTTGATGTTGAAGATGCTCCTCTACTTCGAGAGCAAGCTGTTGTTCTTCAAGATGAACGGCAAGGGCAACATCTTGCTCATCTTCTACTTGTAGACCCGACTCGTAGCGGATCTGAACTTCAGAGGACTCATTTCGTCGTAGTATCCTACACTTCTTAGAGCTCCTATGCAAAAGTGGGGATCCTGTACTAGTCGTAGTGCAGGTTGGGATCCCCACGGAGAAAGATGATCAGATGGGTACGTATTTTTAAGGTGAAGAAGTAGGTGAAAAGGTAGGTGAAGAAGTAGGTGAAAAGGTAGGTGAAAAGGTAGGTGAAGAGGTACTTAGGTGAAGAGGTACTAGGCCTTAAACTTCGGCTCAACTCCCAAGCACCACATAAGCACTACACCCCAAGGATTTACCGCCATCTCCATGACGATTAGCACAGGAACAACATGATTGTATCTTCCTTACGATTTTTTGCTATGGAAGATCTCCATTTACGATTTTTTGAGTTCTTAGCATGATCATGAGGCTCTATTCTGTGCATCCCAAATAGGCATGTAGCACCTACCGGCAGGATGAATCGATGTGACAGGCTCCACAAAAGAGTACAACCGGTAAACCAACGAGAGCGGAGAAGGATAAAACAATGTGAGGAAAAGAACCCTGAAAGAGAGAACTCGCTCAAAATCAGGAGCAAGTGATACTTATAGTACTAGACTGAACGGTGGATTTACAGTGAGACTACACTTAGAAGAAATCTGAATGAACAATTACTTTCCATCCTGAATCTTCAGTTTAAAAACGTCGAATTTTTTCGAGATGGAACGACCAAAAGCGTCGATTTTTGAGTAGAGTTACAGCTATTAACTACTAGGTAGTAAATGATGATGAATGGACTTATGGCGTTTAACAAACCCCATTTGCATTTATATGTTTAACCACCAGCAACATACTAATTGACGTATCTATTAGTACTATAGCCTCATGTCGCTCAGTCTTAAAAAGAGAAGGGGATTCCGCAAATGCCAAGACGACATGCCTTGCGAGCCAATGTATGCCGCACCACAAGGCCCAGCTCGCAACAAAGAACTGTCCGCGTAAGCATAATGTTAGAAGAGCAGGAGGAGGACCCCGGGTTCCCTACTTGTACTTGTTGTTCTTCTCTCTACTAGAAGAAGTTTAGTTACTACCACAATGCTCTTTCTCAAAGTTACTGGTTTTTCTTAGTTGTAAGCTCTGCTGGTATTTGGTAACCTGATTCATTCACTCATTCATTCATTCATTTACCTAGCATGAGGTAGATCATAGGCAAGAAGAGAACCCTCCAGGAGCGCCGTTCGAAATGATCAGGTTAATATCGATTATTTAAAAATACAAAAACTTCTGGAACAAGAACAATTTATAATATTTTTTATATCAATTCTTTAAAAACAGATACAGAAATAATACCCTGATGTCCCAATACCCTCATCCATGTCCGTTATAAAAATAACCATAGAAGAGACCTAGCCTTAATAACGAGTGGAGAGTCCACCTCCACTGCTACAAGAAGATTGTATAAAATCGCACGAAAGGGAACGCTTCAGGGTCCGTCGTCCACGAGCGCCCACTGCTTCCAATAGCATTTTTTCTGCTAAGTCGAACTTCTTTTCGACGCCATGAGGACTGCCGCCGCTTCTTCTAAAGTGCCGCTGGCGGAGCTCGTCTAGTATTAGCTCTCTCCGTAATTCATATTTCAACTGCTGCATCCTTGAATTTTTGTATGGGGAACTATTTCTTTCACTGTGGAGGTAGATACTCCCCGCCCATACGTTTCAGGGAAGATGCAGATGTTGATGATGAATTATTAATAGTGACTGAAAGCCTTAATTCTATTTCATCTTCTCGTTCTGAACTCGTATCGGACTCTGCGCGAAAACGTCGGCAGGTGCTCATGCTCAAATGCGTCGGCTGCATCCGGAAATAATTATCAGCCAGAACGAATGACCCGATTTTTTTCTGAAGAGCAGTAATTAGCGCTCGACGACGACATGAAAACTCTAGTTCATCTTGAATGTTCATCTTCTACCGACAAACACATAAGTAGTTAGTACTCTCACAATCAACGAAGATGAAGAAAGGTTGAGGAGATGAAATAAGAAATAGCTAGTCCTCTGTGAACAAGAGGAATTCAGAATTCTTAAGATTATAAGTGCTCCTGCACTGGAGGATAAAAATTAGATAATAATTGGCGTTGACCCATAAATTCTTATAGGTGTATTTGTTCTTGTACTTTTTCGACTTGAGCTTCCCCAGGTAGTTGCCGTGGAGGTTGTTCTCGTAAGGAGAAAGACAGCCAAAGACGGACTGCCGCAAAATTCCGTCGCCGCCTGTATACGTGAAGGCTTTTTCGTCATTTTCAAGACTCACATCGTCGACGCCAACTGTTACTGTTCTGACCGTATTCTCTTCTTCGCCTGCCAAAAACATTTCCTGAAGCAATTTTCTTTCCTCGATGTGGTCTCGATGAAAGACTTGGTGGAGTACAGTCCTTACAGATATCTGCCGGTCGCATATTTCGCAAAGATAGTCATTAGATGAGCCTAGGACTTTTCAAGGCCAGTACTTCGAAGGAGTTAGAATGTAGAGAGGACTTCAGTCAAGTCTCTGAGGCAGCAGGCGGCTGGCGTTAGCTTCGTTAGAATCATCATCGCTCTGTATTTTTAGGTACAACCCACTGTCAACATCTGGTGCTGCCAGCCGACTAAGTAGAGTGATTGAAGATTCATTCTTGATACCTACGTCTTACATGAGGAGTAAATTTTTCGGTCAGACTCGAAGACGCTTCCACCCTGATGTAGTTCTTAGACGATAGTGGATATATTAGTCTTCTACCCCTTCTTAACTTAAGTAGAAAACTTCACTCTCGAACTTAACTAGAAGCAGGAGTTCTTAATGTAGCGCTTCTGAAGGAGATGCTCTCCAGGTTCTTCATCTCGTTGTGGTTGAGCACATCTTAGAGGTAGTTTTTCACTATCCCGATTCGAGTGGGTTGCCCTGCGCCCCCCCCTTATTTTCTCTCGAAATCAAGGGGAGCGCCACTCAGCATAGTCCACATTTAGGATAGTGAAAAACTAGCCTTAAATATCCAGATTCCTCTTCATCGTCATCACGCTCCCAGCGACTGTCCCAGCCCATAAAGAAGAGTTGTTCGTCCTGTCTTTCAGAATCCAGCACTTGTAGCAGCTCTTCTTCTTCTTCGTTTCGTCCCTTTGAAGATGTTTCGTCCCTTTGATGATCATGTGCTTGATATTGATCTTGTAGCACTTCTGTTGGCGCTGGAGGTTCATCTAGATCTTCTCCGCCACTTCTCATTTGATCATTATCAAAGAGTTCGTAGTCGAGAACCTGAAAGATTTTTCGTGAACGAAAGCTCGGACCAACTTGTTCTTGCTGTGGTTCTAGAATGTCGCGACTTTCGCTCTTGTTTTTCTTAGAGCAGGAGAACTTTGGGTAAAGTAAAGTAGAGTAGTGCAAACGTTATTAAATCTTCACGAGGGTCGGACCTTCCTCCAGCGTCCAACTACATTATTCATCTCATGATCTGTAGTTGTTCGTTTTCTTTGTGGTTGTCATTTTCTAGAGAAGATCAACATATTCAAAATTTTTAGGGAGTTACTACATAGCATACAACTACAGCGACCCTGCGTAATTTCAAGAGCTGGCGATGTCTTCGAAGTAGATGGGGAAACCAGCACGCGCCCACGCAGCCGCCAGCTCCAGTAATCAGTTTTAGGGGAGTTCTCAGCGTCCTCTTCTTCTTCTTCGTCACTTCTTCTCGGCAGTGTAGTGGTGGTCGTAGTCGTAGAAGTAGGTATCCCATTCCTGGGCCATTTTCTGTCTTCTTCGATGTTCCATCCGCGTCTTTTAAGCCAGTGCTCAAAAAGGGAACAAAAATGCCTCTCAACATTTCTATTAACGAGCAACTTGACACCACAGCGAAAACGAAACGGATTCTTCAATACAGCAAGAGCTTTTCGAAATCGAGACACCCTCCTGTAGTTTATAAAAGCAGATGCTTGATGTCTTTTTACTAGTGTAGTTGGTCCTCCTCCTCGTTCCGAAGATGAATTATAGTTATGCTCTGAGTCTGAGAAAGCTAAAAGCATAGCTTTCCCCGGAGTGAGAAGGAGCAGTACTAAATGACTCGGTCCTACTTCGTCTTCATTTGTGGTCGTTGACACTAAATGACTCGGTCCTACTTCGTCTTCATTTGTGGTCGTTGACACTAAATGACTCGGTCCTACTTCGTCTTCATTTGTGGTCGTTGACACTAAATGACTCGGTCCTACTTCGTCTTCATTTGTGGTCGTTGACTTCATCGATGGCGAGGCTCCTTTTGTGGTCGTTGAACTCATCGATGACGAGGCTCCATTTGTGGTCGTTGACCTCATCGATGGCGAGGCTCCTCTAATCGTCTGGTAATCCCCATCGAACAGTTGTCGTTGTGGTTCGTTATCCGTCCTCAGGTTAGCATCAAGACCACGACAAGCAGATTCCTCGTCCAGCACATTGTTGCAGCGTCGCACAAGAATCGTCTCACCTAATGATATCTTCTGGGACAAACCAGCGGCGCCCTTCTGCCGAGTCATTTGCAGGAGGACAGTGACTCGTAGTGCTCGCGTAAGTTCTTGCAAGTCTCTTCTAGTCATCCTCTTCGGCAGGTTTTCCAAAATCGCGCTCGTGCCTGCGGCGTGTCGAACATGCAGACGCGAAACATTCTCCTTTTCGGGAACCGGCTCCAAGAAGTAGTAGTCTCCACGTCCCTTTGACGACGAAGTTATCTTCGGCTTCATCTTGTTCATGATACTGACACTGAATGCAGGAAAATGTTGCTTTCAAAAACGACATACGTCGTCTAACGACTTTCCTTGAAGAACCAAAATATTACATTGAGGAGCGACCAACAATGATAGACTGATGTAACACAGACGAGTGGACTACTGGCAGAATGCATGACACGCTTCTCAGGTGAACGTGCTCTTTCGGAACCTATCTTCATTTTGAGACTTACCAATCCCATCGGACATAGACATTACAAATAAGTACCTTATCCGTAGGGCTGTGGACTGAGGCTCTTGACACAGAACGGTTCATGGGTCTTATGAATCGACCACAAGGCTCGGCGGGTCGTAGTGAGCACCTGCTGGTGAAAGTCTTTTTGATAACAGATTGGGACTTTTCTACCTGTTCGTTCCACTCAGAGGAGATGATCGCGCTCCTGCCCCTCAACAGATGAAGGATCAAAATCGAAACACCAACTACCTGTTGTTTGACGATTCCATACAACTTGTCCTTGACGGATCTACCATCTTCAAAAATACAACCGTCTGTGATCCCACATCGTCAATGCCACAACATGCTATACCTTTGACCTCCAGTAGCTTTGTAACAAGATGATTTCCACTCTCTTAGCGCTACAAGTGGGCTCTCACTTGGGGCATGGCATGGCACGAGTCTCACATACTCTTACCTGTACTATTCCCGAGACTAAACAATAGCCAGGACGCAGAAGTGCCTAGAAATTGTGGATTCCTCCCTGAGGTGATTTGGTTTTCATCAATTATATTTATAATCGAGACAGACTCATTGCTTCCTGTCTCAACATGTTGTTGCACTTTCTTGAGAACGCTCTTTCTTGAACGGAACACACTAGACGACGTTTCCCCCGTCATGTCTCTGCTCTACTTTCGTGCTTTCAAAAAGTGGTGAATCACCGGAAAGATAAGTGGGAAAAAGAAAATAGGGTCTTCCAGCCCTCCTGCTGGAGGAAAATACTGAAAAAGAATTTCAACCATGATCCGTGGGAATGCAGCATGGACAGAGCTTTGCGCTCTTTCTTGAACGCTCTTTCTTGAACGGAACACATTAGAGGAAGAAACTGAAAATGGATTTCAACATTCGTCATTTCAGACTGCCTCCAGCGACCCGCCATGCGAGTGTGAATGCCCTCCACCATTACGCGAGTGCGAATGTCCATGATCCCCTCCACCAGCGCCATTATGCGAGTGTGAATGCCCTCCACCATTATGCGAGTGTGAATGTCCATGATCTCCTGCTGCCGGAGCAACAGTCGGCGACAACATCGGACTCGCACTGGCTGATTGTCCCGCACTATGCAGACAGCACTCATTCTCCCCATCCATCCCGTGAAGGCCACCATACGTCTCCAGACTATGATCGAATTTGCCTTCCACTTCGATTTGGACGGTGCTGTGTTCGACGCCAAATTTCTCCCTCATAAGCCTGAGTTAGAAAAAAATTTCTCCACTTCACTTCACTTCTTCAGATTCCCAAGAAGAAAGCGGAAAAAACTTTGCGTCTTGGAAATGCTGCAGTTTTTCTAGATGATAGTGGATTAATCTTATCAATTTTAATCTTTATTCGAAAATGAATCATTTTGAGCCTTAACTGAGAATATCCTCCAAAGCACCTGGCTGATGTTCTACGTTGGCCACCATGGCATGGCAGGTGAAAACAGGTACATTATTCACCGACCAAAGATGGACGTCGTGAACGCACATCACGTTGGGTACGTCGGTCTGCAATGCGTGCCGGACGTCTTTCACAGAAAGATCACTGGGCACTTTGAGCATGACACTGTTGAGGCAGCCAACTGCGGTCTCTTTCGTCGTCAGAAGGAAGCGATTAGAGGGCCGTGGGGGACGAGGGACTACTCTATATTCATTTTCTACTGATGAAAGATCTAGGTCACATAAATATTTTTGCTCAGATTCAGATTGGTCACATCATAATATTAATGGGAAGCTTCATCGGGACGATGCTAATGTGTCCATGAAGGAGGTTCTTGGATCTTCCTCCTTGTTGCAAGTGCTCACCAATTCGAGTTAATCTAATTCAAAAAAAATTGATGTTAAAGGTATGCACGCTAGTAAAACTTTTTGCCATAACCAAAACCGCGAACAAGCACGTGCACAGCGGATCCACTAGATACCACCTTGATATTCCGTCATTCGTCAGCCCAATGTCGAAGGGCTGAAACCACATCAATAACGACGCTAACAACACGCCAGCGGATTGGACTAAATCTCCGATCACATGGGCAAATGCCGCATCCATTGCTAGTGACCCGCTACCTGCGCCACTCTTCGCCTCATCCTTGTTGCTAGAACATGCTCCTCCGTGTGAATGGCCGTGTCCGCCATGGCTGTGGCCGTGACCGCCTAGGACCCAGAAGAGGGCTACATTGACAATGAGACCAAGCGTGGCTAAGAACGACATTAGTGGCGCATCCACTTCCTCAGGGTGGAAGAACCTGTTATATTAGTTATTGAAGAATGGTTGTAGTTGTTGTTCACGCAAAAGTCGGAGGTACATCAACAGAAACAAATCTCTGTCAAATCCTGTAACCTTGTACTTTCGATTTGGAACAGGATAATTCAAAATTCGGTCCTCTAGTGTTTGGTTTTAAATCTAATACCTTCCGACCGCTTCTACTAAGAGCCCTCCCGTAAGCATCCACACTAAGGCTATAGAAAGAAATGCGCCGACGATTTCGGCTTGGTGGAAGCCGTAGGTGTAGTCTGTTGAGGCTGGCTGCGATGTGAGCTTGATTGCTAAAACAGAGACCATAAAGCCAGACACATCTGCTAACATGTGTGCCGCGTCCGTCATAATGGAAATTGAATTGGCTACATAACCACCGAGAAGTTCGCAGGCCTGAGATGAAGGTGGGGACGGATATTAAGAGGAAGTTCAAGTTCTAGTTAAACAAAATTATAGGTGAACAGGTGTAAAAATTGATATATAATACAGTAGTTCGTTCTTGGAACCGCAGTATGATCATCTATTATATTTTCGGGTAGTAATCCGAGCCTGAGCGCCAAGAACAGCATTTCTTTTTGGATTTTTAGGAAAATTGGTATCTTAGATAAAAATAGTTAGTAGTTGTACCATGAAAAATCCCGCGAATAATATCGCTTGCTTGAGCTTATTGACGTTTTCTTCTGTCGCTTTTGATTTACTTGTCGTCGAGCCGCCAATCGCATGGCTATGGCCGTGACTAGCTTCATGGCTATGCCCGTGGTCCTCTCCACCGTGACTGTGTCCGTGATCCTCCCCACCATGGCTATGGCCACAGCAACCACCAGCATCGCCGTCATGACTGTGGCCATGCGCATCACCTCCACCACCATGGCTATGTCCATGATCACTTTTGCCACCTCCGTTATGACTATGTCCATGTTTATCATTATCACCTCCTGAGTGACTATGACCCCCGTCGTGTCCATGATCTTCCTCCTTCGCCCCTCCTCCATGTCCGTGGCCGTGATCACAGCAACTATGGTCACCATGATGACCATTATGACTCGTCTTCTTTATTTTGCCATGTTGGTGTCCGTGCCCGTGCTTGTGGTGTTCCTCACCACTGCTAGTAGCAGTCGAGGAAGAAGGCGCTCCGCTCTTTTTCTCCAGTAAAGGAGCAGAGAGCTCGACTCCCTTCAACATATTGCTCGGCATGTATTTTTTGGGGTGTTGTTGAAGTTGAAGTTGTTTGTGGCTGGTGGTATAAAAAAACTCCTGTAGATTTGATGTATTTGTAAGTGCTATATAAAGTAAATGTCTACTAGCTAGGACTAGCTATAGCTTCCTTAATGCTTAGCGTCGATAAGTTGTGCGTGACATGACGAGACCAATTCTTTCGCAGGCTGCAAATCAAACTACTGCAAGGGGTACGTAGGGGAAACATGATCACAAGGGAAGATGTGCTCCGAATGCCTTTTTTTTGTGTCGTGATGCTAGCATTTCTCGACTATACAAAGCGCCCGCTTCGCTCTATCCATCGATGATGCACAGAAACAAATCCAAAATCTTCAAACAATGCAGTTGCAATACTATTTTTACTGTTTTTGTTGACTAATTTTGTCGCTGTCGCTGTAGTTGTACTACTTGTACATCGTTCGCTGTATTTTTGAGCGTGGCTGTTGTAACTTGAGAGTCGCTTGATGTACTAGAAGACATCCCTGTCATCTCTACAACTAAACGCCCTTGCCCTACAACTTCAATCGTCCACCCTCCTGGTATTTGATTGTGTCAGAAGACGAAAAGTTCAGGAAGAGTACTAGTAGAAGTACATCTGCGACCATGCTCAGCATGCGAAAATCTTCACGACCACCTGAGCTTATTTGAGCACGAAGGAACAACCGTCGCTCCTGGGACAAAAGATCTACTCATCTTGCCTTGAGCACATCACTGTGGTCGTTTCATCATGTTAGTAGTACCTAGTACTTTCAGTCTCATGTTGCTCATCTCGCATGGTCATCTACGTAAAATAGTGATGGTCTTCATCTACGTGAAATAGAACTCAAGCCTTGACATGGCCTTCTTCATCTTTGCAGTTGTACCCATCATAGCGAGAACTTCAGAATGTTGAGGATAGTTTCAAAGAAGATGATCTCTTATTCGCTGCAATTGAGATCCTTGACGCTGTTTGTACGTAATCGTAATGCAGAGGCTGATGTCTTTTTTCTCATTTGGCAACAGGTCAAGGTCACATCAAGTATTCAACTAGAAGCAAAATCGATGCGCATGAAGGGTACCAGTTTCTTGCGTGATGCTGATGTCTTCGACAGCAGGTAGTACAGCAAAGCATTGTCCTTTAGGTCAGATTTTGATCAATACGTGCGAAAGGAATCATTTTCAACATGAGTACGAAGGGTACAACTATGGTATTTTTCTTGGCACAACATCACATACTAATATTTCCCACATCAAGCAAAAAACACAACTTTTCATCTGTCGTGTTTATCTTCCCAAGCTACAATGATGCGCAAATTGTAAAGCACACTTCGTCTGCGCTCTATTAACCGCTTCTGGCGCAATGCATAGAATTAGCGAGATGTAACTCTTCTTTCCCGCTTCGCTTGAAAAGCAATCCTGTAAAATCCACGTCAACGTCGAGTCCCGTACTGGAGGCAAAATCGTGTCCCTGGTCACTGAGCGGAAGCATCTTGCTAGAGTGGAGAGAGAGGTGTTGATGCCAATGGTAGCCGAACTTGTGTTAGAGCTGTCCATTTAATTCATGATTTTTCAAGTGCTGCATCCTTGAAAAGTACTTACTATGGGGGAGTACGAGTATTATATGTTCATCCCTTACAACTGGAGGGATACTCCTCGTCCTCCATACTACATTTCATCAAGGATCGATGCAGGAGCGTCCAAAGATGTATTACTTACTAGGTACAGCCTTAATAGCAGAACTTGTGGAACTGTAGTTTGTTCCACCACTTTGGCACGTTCCTGCTCCATCACCTCCTCCACTATAGCGCTCACAGCCTGCCAGATCCACTAAGTTCAACACGCCTTGACTCTTCAAAAATCGAAACTGAATCAGCGCATGAGACCGACTACTGCCATCTGGATTCGTTTTCGTACTGGCGGTGTGTCTTCTAGCAAACGCTTTTCGAATGAAGTCTAGTGCTTCTGTCTCGGTTTCAGGATGAACAACTGGATCTGGAGAGAAGCTTGTTACCGGAATAATTCTAGATGAAGAAGTACTTGAAGATGACGCTGCGGATGCGGAAGTGCTGCCAGATGAACTGTTGTTCATAGACGAGGCAAAGTGCTGTGGCGCCGAACTTGTCGTCTTCACTGGTACTCCCGAAAGCAAGTCGGTTATGTTACTCGACGTTGAAGATACGCTTGATGATGATGGACCCGAAGAAGTTTGATGCTGTTGATCACACCTGACTTCAACACACAACAAAGAGATTTTTTCGCCTCTCAAATCCGGATGCCGGTACAACAATTCGACTGCGCGTGGCGCAATCCCTGGCTCAGCCTGTTTGCTTAAAGGTCAGCAGTCAGTGGCCACTGATACTGAACGGAAGCGACCACCTTCAAAGCTCTCGTCCCCTTTTCCCTTCATTTTCCCCTGGTCGCTCAATGGGTCGCTTCTTCGATCTCAGTGACCCCAATCTAAATGGTGACCAAGGAAAGTTGAGCCTTAATTTGCCACACATAGTGTACGTCTTCCCCGATCCACTAGGCCCATAGCAGAAAATACTGGCTTTCACCCCGTCCAAAGCGACAGCTTCGATTGTAGGCTGCACAGCTGCGAAGACGTCCTCTTGCTGATGAGATTTTGTGCTGTTACCCACATGACTTGCGGATACTCCCGGACGAGACTCCTTTTGAAGATTGTGCTGAATAGGAGAATGAAAAACTTGGTCAAAGTGAAAAGGATGGGGTTTCGGAGCTCCCGCGAGATCGACAGAAGATGGTGTTGTAGAGGGAGGACTCGTGGGACTAGCTGAATCGTAGAAATAAATCGTCGTTGGCACATGATGTTTATTGCCACCTCCTGCTCTTCGAGCATGTGCTTGAAGAACTCTACTAGACCTAGCTCCTGGAGTGTGCTCTTCCTCTGGACCAGGCACAAAGAGAACAGTATCACACTTTCCTCTAGGTTCTGAAGAAGCGGCGCGCGCTGTGCCACCAGAGGCGTTTCTAGTACCCACAAGAGTCGGTGAAGCTTTGTTATAGGACCCTCCTCCTGGCATCGAGCCACTGCTTGCTGTCAGCACATCCACCTGCCTGTCAAACACCATTGCCGGTCTCACCCGACAAAATACTTGCATGCTGCTCTTTGCCGCTAGTATCTGCCTATTCTGTGTTTTCCGTATAGCATGACTTTCGGCCAATTGCCTCTCCATCTCACGAATCATTTTTTGAGCGTTGGCAAGCTCTGTTTCTGCAAAACTACTGTCCTGCAACTTCAAAGCTGAGGCGTTGTTCCGTGACGTTGAAGTGATCTTGGATAGCATGAGGGAGGAGGTAAAAGGCTTGATGAAAGAGTTCTTGTCTTGTTCAGCACTGGCGTTCGGGTCCACAACTCGAGTAGATGCCAGGCTATTTTTTCGTCTCGCGGCAGAACTTTTTTGCTGGTTCTTGCCGTGGGACTGGAGATTGAAGTACTTTTGTGATATTGTTCTCTAGTACTACGGGGTAAAGCACGATACACGACCAAGCTCAATAAATTATCCTTAAAAAAGTTACAATGCTCGATTGAGAAACAAGTTCAATCGGAACAAAAAGCAAGTACCTCCTTCTTTCCCCCCACAAGCTGCTCTCCCTCTCCAATCGCAGCAACTTTTTCGAATTCATCCAATTCCTTCAAAAATTCCGCACGTTCTTCGACCAACAAACTCCGTTCCTCCTTCAAGACCGCAGTTTGCTTCTCCAGATCTTCCATAAAGGACTCCACGTAGCGATCTTTCTCCTTCAACTGCACTTCCAGCTCCTCTTTCTGTCGTTCTATCTCCGCGTGTAATTGCTCGCGTTCACGCTGCCAGGCAAAGCGCTCTTTCTCCAGAATGGAGGAACTCGAACTTGAAGATAAGGGTCCTCGTGCACGCCTCAGATGAACATCGTCAAACGCGAGAGGACCCGTGCTCGAAGGTCCTAAAAATGGCTTTTTCATGCTTGATCCAACGTCAAGAAATTCCTCTCCACGACCTTCCGGCAAGGTCCCAAGCGCATCCATGATTGGTTGTAACTCGAGTTTGCTCTTGTTCAACAGTTCGTCCTTGAGGTGAGTCACTTCGTTTTCCGCCTCCTCCATATCGTCCTCCATCTGCCTTAATTCTGCGTCTTTCCTACTCATGTCAGCTAGGGATGTTTCTTCCGATTAGAACGTTGAACAGAGGACAACGTCGAGGAACTGGGAGAAAAAAGTGAATGAGATGGTGTTGTGGATGTGGTCATAATCAATGATGATTTGTAGATGTAGATCATCTACATCTAAGATGTGGTGATACTCAAGGCTGATGTGGAGGTTAGTACAACTTCGTCTAGGACCACGACAACGACTAGCCGTTCGCTTCGTACATGTATCAATGTTGTCCTAATTGATGATGCCAGATCAGAGTTCTGACGAAGAAAGTCAACAAAGTTCTTGACTCATAAAGTTCACCCTTCAAATTGGCGAGTTCTTGATCCCTCTGCAGCAGTAAATCCTGCAATCGGTTTACTTCCACACCCCTCTCACGCAGTAATGTGTCTTGTCGTGCCAGCTCCTCTTCCTGCTGTTGTTTTTGTGCCTCATCCTGATTTTGTTTTGCCAAAATTTGCTCCTCCAATTCCAAAATTCGTGAGGTCGAATGTTGCTCCACTGCAGTTTCGAAATCCCTTCGCAACCTATTCTCAGCGTCCTTCAGTCTCTTCCCATACTCCTCTCTCGCTGCATCCTGCACTGCAACTCGATCCCGTTCCAACTGCACTCTAAATTCGTGTCTTTGCTGTTCCACCAATTGCGTCGCGTCTTGCAATTGGGCTTCCGATTGGTACAGTTCATCTTCTTTATTGCGCAATACAGCTCTAACATTGCCTTCGCTCCTCTCCAAGGCTTGGCTCTTCTGCTGCAATTCCCTTTGCAGTGAGCGTACTTGTTCAGCGACTAGAGCTTGCTCTTGGCTAACTGAACCAGATCCAGTGGTAGCATTTCTGCCTTGCAACATCCGGCATCGGTGTTGCAAGTCACCGACTTCGCGACGCATGGCTTGTGCATCCCGTTTCGCAGCATCCTCTGAAGTCTGCGCATCCGATAAGTTTTTGCGCAAATCCATGATTTCATTGTGCAGTTTCTTCTTGTCGCAGCGCATCTGGTCTAGCATCTCGTTTTGCTCGGCGATAAGGCTAGTTGTGTTGTTGTTATTGCTGGTGGTCGCTGCTATACGTGATATGGGCCGCCCGTAACCATTTGGTCCTCTACTACTAGTTCTATCTTCTCCTGCCATATCAAAGCTGTGATTCTGTATTAGGTCGTTACTTCTTAGAAACGAAGTATTCCGAAAGCCTCCGCTACTTGTGTTGAGATCATTTCTGTTAAACAACCGGTGTGCTGGTCTCTTCCAAGGTGATCTTCGGGTATCAGTACCGGCTAAAAGCAATCCGCTCACTCGCTTAGACACCGACCGTTCGCGTGAGGCAGCGCGTTCGGCCGAGAGGGCACGTAGCTTCTGTCGGAAACGGTCTGCTCCATCAGACGAGGACGATGAGATCGGACCAGAGAAACTGCGGCCTCTGCAGCTACTGCTTTCAATATTATAGAACGCAGGCAAATTATCACAGGAACGAGTTAGTCGATCTGGAGGGTTGAACATTGATGTCGTAGGAGCTCCTGCTACAACAGGAGCAGTGCTATAGTTCGAGTCCGTATTCTTGTTGTTGTGTTTCCCACTGGTAAAATGTCGTGCACGTTGTGAGACTCCTGCTGCCATCGCTGATAGATAAGAGGAAGCGAGTACTCCTCCAGTGTAAGTTGTGGCTGTAGTCGATGAAGATGCCGGGAATACATTTTCTTTATTGTCCAGCAGTCCACCTCCAACAATTTCTCTCGGTCTTCCACTCAATTTCTCCTCAAGGCGAACCGAAGCTGACATATCTCGAGGTGGGAAGAGCGCTTTGTTCTCAGCATGATCTTCATTTGGCGGCAGCTCTACTGGCGTGCGAAACCCTTCGGGGGAGCATGCGCGCGGCGAAATGGCGGCTCCGGAAGGTGCTGCAGCAGAGGAAGAGGCTGCCGGTTGGTTTACTACGCTTGAAGCTCCTCCTGGACGAGCGACAGCCCCAGCACCACGACCTAGTCCTGTCTTATTATTTGTAGTTGTAGTGCAACTTGTTCCCTGATTCGCATTGGTGTAGGTGTAGTTACTCTTTGTCCCCAGAGGACCTCCAGCACTGCTACGACGATTGCTTTGATCCACCTCCAACGTGGTTTTCATTTCTAACAGACTTCTATTGTCCAAGTCCATAAAGGTTGAGCCGTCGTGCGTCGTCCGATGCGCTATCCTCGACAAGGATTCAGAGGCATTGTGCTGCTGTGTGGAAGTATTGTCGTGATGTCCTTTATTGAGGCGGAGGTTAGAGGTGCTGCTTCTAGCAATGCTACACTGGTGGAAAGCCTCTTCTTTCACTCTTGTACTAGATAGATACGATTATTTACGAAGAAGGAAGGAAAAAATCAATTCGTTACCTCCATCTTCACCAGAACATCATCTCATCTGGCTGATCATTAACTCGTTGATCATTCGAATCATTAACTCGTTAAAAATGTTGAAGTCATAATAAACCCCGGCTGTGGCGCGCGCTCCAACCGCTCGACCTCCGTTGCGCTGAATATGTTCGACTTGTTCAGAAGTTTCGAAGATGATACTCCGCCTAGTTGTCCTCCAGCTGTACGTTCATGTCCTTTCGTTGACAGCAAGGACAAACCTCCACCACCAGAAGCAGAGGTACTGCTCATGAAAGAACTAGATGCAGTTCCAAATCCTCCTCCTCCTTGTCCTTGACTTCCCCCTGGACGAGTGGAGAAGCGGGCTCCTGCAGTGCCTGCATTGTTGTTTTTGGCCGCACCACGATTGGCCTGCCACTCCCGCAACTGCTCAAGCCTTGTTAACGTCATTTTGGATGACTATTCCGGATGAAGATGATATGGATGAGCGAGATTCACTGAAAAATAGACTTCACTTACTTCATATGGATGATGATAGGATCAGCGTCAGCGTCGGCCACCTAAACCTAATAAAAACATGCTGCTCATAGTCATACTACTTTTTCTACTTGCATGTTTCTAATCCTCCCACGTGTAAAGGTACGGTCGGTCAATGGAAAGTGCACTAAATTTAATGCTAGATAGTTACTTCCACGATTGCAATTACATGTGAGAAAATCTTCGTAGATCATGATGAGCCTATCTTCTTCATCCTTGTTCGACCGATGCGAATCACCGAAAGAGGCATCTTCTTCAGTTTTAGTGGTCTTCATTTTTCACGACACACCGATAGAAAAATCTGTTACAAGCGGTAGAACAAGAACCGATGTTTGGAAGATATTGTTTGAGTGACGAGAGGCTATGAACTATGCCTATCTGCCATTTTCTCTAAGAAGAACACCCAGAGAAGCAAGGCTCTGCACCGTCCTCCGACCTCCGCGCCGCACCAAATCTGTAGCTGTACTGGCATGTGAGGGTGTCATTTTTCTGTTGCTCATCCTAAATAATTCGTTGTAAGGACCCCTCCCTACTGCATTTCCTGTGACAGCAAAGAAGGTCTAGACGTCCTTGAGCTTGAGTTCCTATTCAAACCTGAAGCTCGTCTCGAGGATGGGTCCTCGTCGATAGTAGTGGGACCCCCAAAAGTAAATGGAGGACTGTCATCTACTCCATCTTCATCTTCACGGCCTTGTAGTTCCCCAACATATCCATCATCTTGCTCTTCAGCTATGCTAATCATACTTCTGTTGAGCAAACTTGATCTCGATTTCGGAGATGGCAGATTCACAGAGCTAGTGCGCAGGAATTGAGTTGATGCACGAGCTTGCAGTTTGTCCTCCTGCTCCTTTTCCTGTTCGTCTGCATCTGTTTTTAGCCGTAAAATGCGAATGTCGGTGGAGCTGCGTTCTCTAACAGGGGTTGTGTTTCTTCCCAACGTCAATGATCTCATGCTTGAGTTCCTAGTAGTTGCTCTGTTTTGTTCATCACTAGAAGAGGAGTTCGTAGCTGCAAGAGCTTCCTTGTTAGTACTGCTACTATTAGTCTTCCTTTCCACAGTTTTCCGTCTTTGCTCTTGCCGCTGTTGAAGCCTACCTGCTCTAGCCGGTAAAGAAGGCACAGCACCTTCCTCTTCGTCATCAACGAGTTGAATCCGTGTTCGTTTCGCCGCTACAACTGATGTCGTTCTCGGATTGAAGCTGCTACTCAGGCGTTCGTGCTGTTCTTCTTGGTGCTGGGTGCTGTTCTTGAACAGGGCCACTTCAGGAGTGAAAGGAGAAGATACAGATACAGACACTGCTGACAACTTCTTTTGACCAAATAGAATCATCGAGGAATGTCGATTATCTGCCTTCTGCTGTTCAGTTTGTCCAGCCTCACCTCGTGATGCCCCCCCAGCTTGCGTCTGTGTTTTGCTTGTTGACCTGGTACTCTTCCAACCTGGCGCTTTCTTAGTTGTGTCTTTTAGACGAAGAAAATTAACGCGATTCATACTGCTAAATCGGGTACCATCAAACCCTCCAAACGTTTGAAGATCTGGAAGATGTTGCAGCGTCAACGAGTTTCCTCCGTGTATACTATTGAGTTCAACCCCTCTGGTGCCTCCTTGCCTGAGCCACCAATCAGAAAGAGTAGCAGCATGAGATTTACTCGTGACAATTTGACTCTGTGCTTCCCAAGCGCGTGTCGCAACCTGTGCTTCCATCCGCAAGAGTTGTTCAGGTGCAGCGAGATAGGCATTATGTTCTTTGCTCGATCGTTTGATGAGAAAACGTGTATCATAATCGCCCAAGTCATCCGATAATTGATTGACCGCGAGGACTTCTGGCGTGACAGTCGCTGCAGTGGGTATACCGCGACCTGCCCAGAAAGACGGTGAAAAAGCTGCCGGGCCGTTGCCGTTCGTTCCATCTCGATCTGGTTCATTAGCAGCTGCCAAGATACCCTTATCCGCCGACAACAAAGAGCCACTTCCCAGAGGAATCCTATCTCGCATCGCTTCCCGCTCTATATCGCTAGCTGTTTTTTCGTTGATGTACTCGTCCAGGGTTGCGTAGCGAAACTCACCTTCGTGTACCTCTTGTTTGATATCCTTGTTATGATGGATTTTCACTCCTGCTGCTTTTTTGCTATTGCTTTTCCGCTTAGAAGACTTACCTCCATTAGGATCAGAAGTACTCGTCTTAGAACAAGTTGTAAAATCACCAGCGCCACCAGTCAACATCTCAGGTTCATCCTGGATTAAAGAATAGTGCTTCACTCCCACAGGTAGGGCAAAGAGTCCTTCGCCTCCAGTAACGTCTTGAAAAACCGATGCACTTCTCGTGGTGCTAGTAGGTCGCTGTTGTTCTTCTTCATCCTCCAAACCGGAAGCATCTCCTCGCTTGCTGCGTTGCCTTGAAGCAGATATGCGATCATGTTCTAAGAAAGTATGCTCCTGGGCTTGTTCTTGGCTCCCGTCTCCTACGACTTGGTAGGGCGCAAAGCTCATCCTGCGACTTTTTCTTTCCTTCTCCATCAATGAACGATTTTTTTTCGAACTCTGCTGCCGGAAAAAAGACTCCACAGAGGCAGACGTTGCTGCAGAAGATACTCTACTACTTTCTTCACCTACAACGGCGTCTACTGATCGTCCATCTCGTCCACTAGCATCACGCAATAGAGTACTTCTCCTAGTACGACTACCACGCCTGCTTTTCCTGGCAAGAACACTGTTCAAAAGATGGCCAGATCCTGTCGACGTCCGGTTTGACGTCCTATGTACCATCAGCCCTCCGTCATGGTCATGATGTTCATGATGGACAAAAATTTCTCCGTCCTCTCCTGTTTCTCCTGGAGCCAATGTCGCGCTTGTTTGCTCTCCGCTGAATACTGATGATGCCCCTAGGTGGGAGTTATGAAGATGTTCTTGTTGTGACTTCCTTGCTGCAGAAGGAGGAGGAGCATGACCTATGAAACTACTGTCCGTGTCCCCTCTCCCTGGAGTCTCGTCTCCACGAAATGAGGCAGAATCCTCTGCTCCACCAAACAAGTTAGACGAGGACGCAGAAGAAGAAGATATCACAGAAGATTCCACCACACTTCTACTACTCTCCTCCACTTCAGTTTCTGAGCCTCCACCCATCATGATCTGACTCCTATCTCGATCATGTCCTCCGCAGTCGCTTCCCACGAACATGTTGTCTGAACCTGAGGCAAGGTCGAAACCATCTTCCACCTCGTCCTCTTGTCCTTGGTTTTCGCTGGCCTTGTTTAGCATGATGTCCGCTCCAGCTAGATCACCAAGATATATGTTCTTTATCTCACCACCCAGGACGCTCATTTTGTTTCCCTTCAGCTTGTTTGCATTTGCTCCCACGACCTCATCTCCTCCTTGGAAATCAATGTTCAACTCGAAATCTTCGTTAAAAAAACGAGAGCCCTCTGTTTTCAGTGGCATGTGTGCCTTCTTCTTTGAATGATGGTCTGTGATGCCTAGGGCGTTTATGTCCTCGACATTGAGATTGCTATCATCTTCATTGAGACTCTTGCTTTCGTCGTCACCCCTGATGACGTCCTGCTCTTCCTTGTTATCGTCTCCCCCAGAAGTCTTACCGCGTTCCGCTTGTTGCTCTTGTCCGTTTTGGGCATCTTGCTCTTCTTCGTCTTGAGCAAGAGTTGTACTACCCATCAAGCCCTCGTCTGGTGCCGCTTTTCCAGTGGTGATCTCTCGTCCACCTCCAGGGGTAGTATGCATATCTTCGTTTTCACCTACTCTCTCTGCTTTGTCAGCTGTAATAGCTTCAGGGGTAGTACGCATATCTTCGTTTTCACCTACTCTCTCTGCTTTGCCAGCTGCAATAGCTTCAGGGGTAGTACGCATATCTTCGTTTTCACCTACTCTCTCTGCTTTGTCAGCTGTACTAGCGAAGCTTTCCGTTCCTCGTCCAGCCGTTGTTCCTTCGCCTGCTACGTCCGCTGCATCCTTTGGTGGTGCTGCTGTTGCTTCATCGACAACCTTCGGGCGCTTTCCTTCATTTTCTGGGAGTGCCTCGTCTGGAAGTGCTGCAGCCTCACTTTCTGTTGGAGCTTCAGCGTCGCCTGCAACCACAAGTGGGGGGTCTTCTGGTGCTGCTGGCGCATTGACAATGTTTTTAGCTTGTTCGACATCGACTCCACCAGCATGATCTTCTTCCTTCTTTTCACCAAGGGGAACAAGAACCTCTTCCAGGTTAAGGACCGAAGACGCGCGAATCTTCAAAGATGGAACTGCCCTCGCGCTGGTCCTTTTCATCGCTGGAACCACAGCAGCTGGATCATCCTCGATACTAGGAGCAAGAGGTGCAGCCCCTTTGGAATCATCCACGATAGGAGATACCTCCGCTGTGGAATCATCCAGCACGATAGGAGATACCTCCGCTTTGGAATCATCCAGCACGATAGGAGATACCTCCGCTTTGGAATCTTCATCTACGATAGGAGATACCTCCGCTGTGGAATCATCTACGATAGGAGATGCCTCCGCTTTGGAATCATCCACGATAGGAGATACCTCCGCTTTGGAATCATCCAGCCCGATAGGAGATACCTCCGCTTTGGAATCATCTACGATAGGAGATACCTCCGCTTTGGCATCTTCCTCTTCTTCATCGATACCACGGTCACGAGCGTCCGCTTCCACCATTTCCGAGCTAACTATAGCGTCTCCTTCCTCTTCCAGCAATTCCATGACATCTCCTCCATCAATATCACTGTCACTCACTCCTCGCTCGTCCACGTCACTCTTAGAGGTAGGCTTTTGGTGCTCGCTTACCCCGCTTGTTATGCCTTTCTCCCTTAGGAGAGGCATAAAAAGCCGTAAGAAAAGCACCTTTAACCTACTCTTAACATTCGTTCTTGTTACAAACAGAGGACTTCTGGCCGTACCTTTATTCAACTTCTTCTCTTCCAAGATATCCGCTTCTTGAAAACTACCTTCCACGAAGAGAATCTTCGGAACTGCCGCTGGCGGCATCAATACATCCGCGTCCAGCCCAGCTTCTCGACATATGCGTCGAAGCTCTTGTCGACTCGCTCTTGTAGTACTTGTCGTAGAGGCTCTTTGGCGTTCTTGGCCATGACTCAGTGGTTCTGTCGCGACTTTATCTCCACCAGCAGATTGTGGCATATTCACCTTAGCATTTGCAGATGGAGAAGTCGCTGCCGCTCCTGGGACCAAACACGATACATCTCTGACCGAATCTGGTGTTCCTGTGGTACTACGAGGTTCCAAATCCACTTGTAGTTGATGATCTTCGGTAATACTGAATGATCTTCTCATCTTATTCGCTCCGCTTGAGGATGATTCTCCATTGTCCAACAGGTTGATGAGGTCCTCCTCTTCAAACGACGACTCTGACGTTGTAAGCAACGAAAGATGGAGGTCATCTTCTTGGTGACGAGGTGGATGAGCAGAAGGGGCAGACGTCATTTTGCAGATTCTATGTTTAAGTGTATCATCTAGTTCATTAAGTGCAAAGTCTAACTTTCTTATTCAAAGTGGTCTAGATCTCCGAAGTCTCGTCGGAGATAGAAATAGATGTAGATAAGCATGATAAGGAAGTAAGCGCACTGATCAGGTGGGGCAGGGTGCCACTTCCATTCCTCCACGATCTTATGGTTATGCAGCAACAGCAACGCACCATATAAAAATGAATGAATAACAGGTAGGTGGAAGGTGGAGGGGATAAATTGTAATCTAGTGGGGCTTGTGCTACCTAGACCTCAAGCACATGATGTGTTGTACTGCGGTATATGTACTTAATCAGGGAACAACTACGAGAAACACTGTGGTCGTGATCTAAATTTATTGAGTGAAAGGATGAGATGAGAGAAAACAACATACCAAGAATTCACTAAAAACGCATACCTCTACACCAATGGCGCGACTCATCTTGATGACAGAATTTTCACTCTTTCAGACAGAATATCTCATTTACAGATGAATACAGACTGCTGATTGACAGAGTTGACATGTGGATATTGCACCTCGCTCCACAGAATCTGAATCGTTAAGAATCTTAGATCAGAATCAGGAACCAGACAGATGAATGTTTTCGTTTTTTGTCTGGAAACTAAAAATAAAGTCGCAGTCGGTAGAGTCTTTTTCTCTTTTTCAACCGACCACAGGTTTACATTTTCTTTTTCTCGTCGTCGTCATGTTCGTAAGAAGATATTTAAGAATGCGACTACTTGTGGTCTGACATAACGGCTTGATCGCATGCTGAACGTTCTTCAGAACCAAAACTGTTGGACAAATCGTGCTCAAAGTCGTCTTAGCGGTCGTGTTATCATACATTAGTACAGCGGAAAAAATTTAAATCATCTCCACCAACAGCTCCAACACAGTTGTGACCCATTCAAGAAGTACTAGTACCCCCCTTCTTATCCCATTCCTTTTGTGTCATGCAGTTTAAAGTTAGAGCATGCAGACCTTGGACTTTAAACTCGTCATCTAGGAGCTGGTAGACACTCTGCTGTCGTTTCACCCGTGAAGGAAGCTCGGCGAATCGGTCTGACACCAGCACTATCCGCAAATGCGTTTCCGGAGTTGTGGCATCGCGGACGGGAGGTTAGACGAGGCAGAAGAACGAGAGAGAAAAAGGTTATGATACAGATCATAGTGTACTAGTGCTGTTGATTTGTTAGGGCGGTTTGTCATCTGCATCTATTCAGTTTCATCAGGGTCAATATATTATCAATCCTATAATACGACCATAAGAGGATCTCGATGATGATCCACATAGGACACATGCGTAAGTGTAGATACAAATTCAATTATCAAAAATCCATAACCAGCGTGTCCTCTGTGCTGATGCGATTCGTCCTCCATCTCAAGGTAGATGACAGGTCCGAAGCGTTCCAAGATCTTCCTCCTTACACCTCTCGCAAGCGGTCCGTGTATGTCTAGGTCCTCGCTTTGTGGCGGATCTGGCTCTGGTGGTTGTCCTTCTTCGCCTGCAGTAGTAGTCGCATCAGTTGAAAAGGATTGCACCCCCCGTCCTTTCGCTCCTGTGGCAGCGGTCGGAGGCGATGAAACGCCTGTCGAGGATGTGGCTGTGCTGCCACTTGTGAGGTAGTTGCCCATGACTGATGTGCTTCTTGATAGTATCGATGACGAAGTTGGAAAGGCGAAAGAAGGTGATGATGTCGTTCTAGTCGCTTTGATACTCGTGATGGCTGACCCTGCGTTGGTGGACGAAGGTGAGGTACAAGATGAAGAAAAGAAACGCAGAGCAGCACCAGAATGGAGGAGTCGTGTAGGAGTACGGAAGACTGGCGGCACAACAATGCACGTCATAATGAATGTATGAGAGACTCTAAAAACGTCGAGCAAGTAGTAAATGACCTATAAGTATGTGGACGAGTTGTATACTATCAACTTCGATCGAATGGGGACTACACTTGCTTTCTGTTTCACCAACTTTTCATCAACTTTATCTGCTGATCAAGAATGAACTACGGTCTCAGAAAAGTTCTCCACTTTATTTTTTCCTCACGCACCTCGAGCAGCTCTCTGTTGATAATTTGTGAATAAGGAGAAAATATTATTGGAAGGCGGTGGAATGCCCACAACATATTTTCAAAATAATGGGCCTTCCACCCGTAATAAATTCGTTCTTCTCCTAAACATCAAGAACTTCGAAGAGCACAGCAGGTAACCAGAGTGGTCGTAGGTGCCGAACAAGTTTGTAGTTCCCAGAAAAAGGTCAAGATCAGAAAGTTCGACTTCAAGGACAAGCTCTATTAATTCTTCTAGCCTTGATTTTCGGGAAAACTACAACAAGGGCATACAATTTCGAAGCGTAAGTCTACAAGGTAGAGAGTCTGCGTGGCTTTACAGCTCGAGGATCAAGAAGTGGTCAAAAAAAAAGGGATCATGATGATCATCGTGGGCAGCCGTTCGGGGTCTACAACATTATATATAACATGATTACAGAGAACCAGTACAATGTGGAGTTCTTGATGTATTGGAAGATTTCATGATCAGCAATAGAGAGAACCAAAATGCCGTATCATGCATATGACAACGACCACGTCTGTTCTTTTTTCAGAGTTCTCAGACTCAGAAATCAGTAAAATCATCTAAGTAGCCAGATGACATCTTTATTTGCCGCTACTGGTTCTGCGCCTTTTCCACCACTAGCGGCTGCGGATAAAACTTTAGGAGCTGTACTCGAAGATGTAGATCCTCCAACACCAAGATCTAGATCATCTAAATCCAACAAATCTGCTGCCGCCTTTCCACTTTCACTAACAGGTGCAGCCGTAGGTGTGCCAGTATAGGTGAGTGGTGCACCACCTGAAGAATTCATGGATCGAGGTGCTCCCGTTCCTCGCTGCTTAGCTTATCTCCGAGGACGGCACACCGGACAACACTGGGATCACCCTTTCGGCGTTCTCGGACTACAAAAAAAAAAGGACTCCGCTGATGTACCCCCTCAAACATTGAAAATCCCGTTCGCTCTAAGACCAGTTTCTGCAGAGACCGCTGCGGAGGAGACAGAGACCGAGGCGGCGCAAAAGATGCGATAGCAGCCAAAGCGCGACTTGTTGGAGATGTGTTAGTTTCAGTCGCGCTTGCTCCTCCTGCATCCCCCTGCTTGATGTCTTCGGAGCGACTTTTGCTGCTACTTTGCAAATCGCTGCCGCTGTCCGCAATGCCTTGCGCTGAAGATGAAAGGCACTGTGAAGAAAGCCGCGTTCTACACTGCTAGTGGTCGTGGTTGATGAGGATCTCGTCGCACCTTCATCGTCTATGATGCTGCTCGGAATCTCCTGTCTTCTTCTGAATCCAGATCTTCTAGGAAGTGGTGCAGGGGCTGCAATGGTCTTCAGAACTGTAGTTGCTGTTCTGCGCCCCCTCACCGACTACTTCTCTAGTATGGGTCGTGGAATGATGACTTGTAGTTACTCTTACTTAGTCCTCGAATAAAGCATCAAGACAGAGACAGCTGCGGCACCCCGATTCTACTACCATATGCCTGGATGGTGGTTCGTTTTTCCATCTTCATCTGCAACACAGTCGCCAAGGCCAATCACAACGTTACTAGAAGAAACTTAAAAAGTTACAAGAAGGCTCGTCCGGTTTTCATCCCTCCTAGGAAAGGTCGATAATGTGGTTGCTCCATAGGAGCGTCACCGCCAAGGGCATAAGCTGATGTTGAAAACGGAAATCCCATTCCGCCATGGATCCATGAATTGTTACATTCGCTAGCTTCGTCAGACTTCCTGAATCTTCCGCAACGGCCAGCCATGCGGGTTCCTTCGTCCATCAGTCTTCGCTCCACCGATGACATGTCGTGGTCTGATGCCTTCTTGTCCTTGTGCGAAGCCGCTGATGTGATGGCACTGCCGCTAGTCGCGGACCTCGAAGTCGAAGGGCTCGTTGCGTAGCAAACAAACAAAGCAGCGAGCCCACCAACTGATGCTTGTTGAGCGGCCGAAAACGATGCTTCTTCAGTACTACTAGCGGGTCCTGTTTTCTTCACGACATAACACAACATCGGTGCTGTGAACTCCACAGGTGCAAGCTGAGAAAGCTTTTCAGGGTCGATCGAGTCCGCCAAAACCTGGCTCGACATTTCTACAGTCTTGGCACCACAGATGAATAAAAAGGAGAATTAAAGATTTAATTGACTCAAAGTGCTACGAAAGAGGTCATCTCCGTGCGCCAACGCACTTCGCCCGCATAGCTACTGATTGAAGCGAATTCAGACACCGCATTGTGATAACTTTGGTTGATCTGCGGAAAAGAAAGCAGACCGAGTCGATCCACTGCTCAGCCTGGAATCACTTTGCGCGACTTTACGGAGCAGTTCCGAACAATTGTTTCATACAGTACTTACTCTACTTACACCTTGTTTCTTTTACGACATGCGCTGTTCGGTACCGAGAAATACAGAACCGAATCCGATCATGGCCGCAAGCTGCTTGTTCTTTACCGAAGACCATTTCCGATTCACCAGCCGAAAACCGTAAGGAATTTCTAGACACCTTTCATGGAACGCAATCGATGTTCAAGAACTGAACAGACTCTACATGCCACTGACAACGAACGCTCAAGGTTTTTGGAGGATCAGACTCATGTCAATGGGAAGATGACAAGAAAAGCTTGTACAGGCAGAGTCGAAAGAAACTCCAACTGGGGAGGGGGGGCGCGTCGAATTTTCTCCTCCACATGCAACAGATAATAAACACATCATCGCCCAACCCCAAGGGTTATAGATGTGCCAAGATGAAGAGCTATTCAAACTTAATATGTCTTAAATGCAACAGAAACAGATAAACACATCAACAATAAAATTAAGCATTTTTTCGAACGTATTTTTTGGAGTGCGAGAATCAGCACGGAGAGAGGAACCAACTAATTCTTAAGTTCAGATCACGTTGAATAGTCAGAAGGTAGATACAGTATGCAAGCGATTACTTAAGCTATACAGAAGTTGCGATACTGCAGCGCTACCGATCTGTGCACGGACTGTATTAATTTTACTTGGTAAAAAGTCGGACCATGATAACTTCTTGTTCTTTCATTCACTTGATAAGTCGCAATATGGTGTTTATGCAGTAAAGTTCATGTGGTTCATGCTTCACTTCATTTACATTTTTCTGTGCACCATCTCCAATAGCGTGGACGCTAGAGGATACTTTTTCCGTGAAAACTTTCTTATGCACCGCCTGCTAGATTTCAAAGGCCGATGTTCGGTTGACAGGGCCGCTCAGACTGGACCTCCGGGCCATCTGGTCCGTTGCGTTACTCGCTTGCACCATACCGCCGGGAGGAGGGAGAAGGATGGGATTAGGAAGCTCCGCACTTTCTCTGCTGGCGCGCCGGCTCTCTAAATGGCTTTCAATCTCCTTAAAAGTGAGAATCCCGTTGCCGTCGTCATCAGCATTACTAAAGTCCTCTATGCACTGCCTTATGTCAGCAGGAGAGACAAGGCCAGCAATGATCAGGCGGACAACAGTGAAAGAGAAAATGTCGATACCGGATTCGGCATCGGGTTCGTCGCCCGCTTCTGTTAATATTTTTGACGAATAAGAATTAAGAACATCAGGATATTACACATACACTTACGAATGCGCTTTTGTACCATGTTCATAAATAAAAGCACTAAAACATGATTATGAAGAACGATGGGGCCTCCGGATAGATATACTGAGCAAGCACAGACATTCACCTCTCGTTCTAGACTCACACAAGAAAATATCTATACCTGTATTGCCCAGAAGGGCGAGCGCCTCCCGAACGAACTCATCCGACTCACCCTTCGCACGGTCGTAGATCTGCTCAATATCTAAATCGAGGGACATGAGATTTGCAATGCCAATCGAGAATGAGAAGGTCGAAAAAATGCCGAAGATCGCCCACACCCAGTGCACATCGGCGTCCAAGAGCGCTAAATCTCCATACCCCGTTGTTGTGCACATGACCACGCTCCAATACAGACTATCGACCGTGTCAAAATCCTCAAACGCAACGACTAGAATCGCCCCAAGCGCGACTGGAACGCACATGATCAGGAGGGACTGAAAAAACTTCTGGAATTTCAGATACGAAACAGATCGACGCAACGAAGTATCGCCAAGCAGAAAATCGCGCGCCCGCAGGTGCCATGGCTGCTCATGTGGCATAGTGTTAGAGAGGCTCAGCATATTATTCTATTATTCTATTCCATCCACGTTCACCGCCCTAATAATTGGGTATCCTAATTCTTTATTCTTATTTACAAATTATGCTCACGACCCTAGTGCTGCTCTCACTTGGCCACATTCATTTGAGCATTTAAGACACCCTTACTCTTCACAAAATAATAAAGGCTCATGCTAATCGAAATCCATGAATGTAAATCATAAGTACTTAGATTGTCAATACCATCATCATGAAGATGTCTATAAACAAGGTGGAACTATAATGACCCGACAAAGCCATAATGTACGCGTCGTCTGCCGTCGTTCCTAACCAATCGGGTGCGGGAGGGTTTAAACTTTCCATGCCACGCAACATCGTTCCTACACCATGCGCGATAGTAGACACTCGCTCCGCACTTTCTGCTCTGCCCAACTCCGATGATTGTCGTTTGGAGCCGCGTCCTCCGGTCGTTCTTGTTGTGCTGCGCCGCGGAAACAAAATGGGGTTGGTGGTACTTGGCGCCTCTCTTCTTGCCGGAAACTGAAAGAGGAAGTCCCCGGAATCAGTAGAAGATCGTTGTGACGATAAGCTTCGCTTTGATGACCTTCTTCTCGTCGCCTCCGTAGCAGTTGAATTTGGCGCCAGTTTGGGGGCCGTGAACATCGTACCTTGTCCACCTCCCGCGTCTCCTGTGGACGATGGTGCTAAATTATTTTTCTCACCCTGTTGTGCTTGTTCAACATAATTTTCTCTATCTCGTTGGGTTTTATCTTCAGGCTCGACATTGCATGGCCCATTCCTCTGCTCATCTGGTGACTCCTGTGCGTCTTCGTATCGTGACTCTATTTCGAGAGCAGCCTCTTCACCTTCTCTGAGTACCACTTGGTGCGTGTCCCTGCTGAACTTTCCGCCTGAGAGGGCTTCGTCGTCTTCGCCGTCGTTTCTCTGCCCATCTCCTGGCTCAATGGGCAGTGTGTCATCTTCCAATTGTGTCTCACCTCTCTGTTGTTCTTGGTCGATAGTGAGGTCCTCCATATGCATCGTCCTGGTTAGTTTCTTGATGAGCTCTTCTCTTTTCGCTTGTTCTTTCTGCTCCTGCACCGCATCATCTAGGTCGCGGCCCCCAAGCCCACCATCGTTTTCCTTTTCCTCAATGTGCTCTACAGCCCGCATGATGTCTTTCAAGGTTAAAACCAGGACGCCACCGAGCATAGGGATGCCGAAGAGCAGGAGCAAGATCGCAAACAGTTTTCCCGCAGTCGTGCTCGGAGTCACATCGCCAAAGCCCACCGTGGTGATGGAAATGGCGACGAAGTAAAAAGCCCGCCGAACATCCATAACTGTATCTGCCGTTGGATCATCCAGAAGCTCCTCTACTGTGGGCGGTCGATGGCACACAACGTCATCTGGTAGCCCGGCACAGTAGAGTGTAATTTGTGCGGCAAAGAAAGCCACCAGCACCAGCAAACTTGCCAGCACCGGATGCCTCTCGACGAAACTCGGATCCTCGTACGTCCGCAATTCTAGAAAGTGGCTCCAATTCAGGGTGCACTCGCCCGTCGTCGGGTCCAGCGGCAGCCACTGGTCGCCGTCCCGAATGTAGCAAAGCATGTCCTCGAAGATAGCTTTCGCTGTCACCCGTGCTTGCGTCATCTCGCTCTCAGGCAACAGCTTGCCCAAAGTGCCTGGTAACGCTCGCGCCAGTTCGCTCTGCCTCTTATTTTCCATAACCCAATCAAGCTTTTTCTCTAAAATCCAACGAATATCCTGCGCCCCCAGTCTCTCGCGCTCCCCGCACTGATCCTTGATCAGCCGCCGCAGGAAAGCCTTCGCCCGCCTGCTCAGTCTTATGCGTTGCGCTTGCGCGTGCGAGTCCAAGGCGTCCAAGTACCTAACGATGTGCTTTCCGTGTGCCAGGTCCACCCTTTTTTCTTCCGCAATATTCTCCTGCTCGGACAAAAACCCGCGCGGCTCCACCACCATCGAATTGACGCCAAATGCACTGCTGACGCTGACTGTTGCTGACGTGCCCAACGCACGTGTCTCTCTAGCGAAGCAGGTGTTGGGGGTGGCCATACTTCTTTTACTTCCGTTTTGCGACGTGCCGCCACTCGGCGAGGACCGCACAGTGATGGCCCTACCTGTTGATCTCTCACCCGATGAAGTTGTTTCTCTCGCGAAGGCGCTGGGAGTGGCCATGCTCCTTTGACTTCCATCTTGCGATCTGTTGCCCGTCGGCGAGGACGTCGTAGACGTGCCAAAAAACGTGGTACCACGCGGCGACCGACGCCTCATTTTGACTGGCTGCGTTAGATCGGGCCCAAGAACAAGAGCTGTCTAACCAATAGAGCGCCGTCGTGGTACTTAGGCCAGCACCAGCATGCCTGAACAAAAACGATATCGACACTCCTTCGTGGTATAGCTACCCTCCACCAGTAAGTGTCTCGTCGCCAACTACAGCACTTCTAGGTACCAGCTAGATGAAGATTCTCCACTTTTTCATATGCATTGATCAAATTTCTTGCAACCCTCAACAAAGTCCATTGAAGAATCATATGAAGATGAAGTCATAACAATGATGATGTTGATGAAGATGATGAAGAATATGAAATAATAATCGGGACTCCAAGAAGTATGGAGGGATAGACCTAACTTAGAGAAAGAGGAAGAGCGACCCGGTTGTTTGATTTAGTGTTTTAAGCATCGCGGGAAAAAATTATTTTGCGTCCTGTTATGGGAGGTGGTTATCTATCTATCTTTTCAGACGTTTTCGCTTTGAAAAGCACCTAAGTAGTAGTAGAATAGCCAATTCTTTTTACTCACATCATCATGTTTTTTTACTCATATTTTCACGTACTCTCCCAGAGGCAACAATTACAGAGGTTATTTCTTATCCACTCAAACCAGTGCACAAGCCTCAACAAAGCAACGCGCAAGGAAGAAGGTCAACTCAGACGTGGTTCGACTGACACAGACGAAGAGAAGTACTATTTACATGCGATTTGGGAGACTAAAATGATGTGGGACGATTGGTAGTCTAGTGATGATTGGGTTAGATTGTAGGTCGTTCAACTTCACAAACCCCGCAGTAAGATAAGCTAATCATAAACGCACACACTGGAGTGAGGAGGTGGAAGTTATATAATGGTAGTAATTCTTTATGTATTTACATCAGCAGGAAAAGGGTGCCGCCTGCGTGGTCACATTTAAAATTGCAGGACGTGTTTGTACAGAATGAACGTAGCTTCGGGTCTGTGAGCAGACCTTCATGCTAGCTTGAACTCACCTTTCATGATGATGATTCGATTATTTTTCCACTTCTCCACTCATCGTCATCTGACAGAGTTATACTTTCTACCACCACAGAGAGATGATGCACTTGATGTGAAGAGATGTCTCTTCCTCTCTCTCCGACTCGACTTCTCAGTCTTCAGATGGTCGCCCTGCGGCGCTTCAGTGACAGATTTTTTCCATCTGCTCACTTGTTCTGCTCATCCCTCGTCAGAAATCGGAAAAAATACTAGATTTCGTTCAGGATTCGTCGTGTTCGATTCAATGAAGTTAAGAAAAATTGTGGATTTCGCCTTGATGTTCGGGGGAACTACAAACAAGGGCATAGCATTCTTGTCAAGCTACAAGTTGTTAAAAAGATTGGATCTTCGTCCTGAGGGGTCTACAACATTCACATTTTTACGGAAAGCCATTCTCTAATAGCATGTCTGTTCTCTTTTCAGAGTTCTCAAACTCAGAAGTCAGTAAAATCATCTAACCAGTCATCTTTCTTTGCCGCTACTGGTTCTGCTCCCTTTCCCCCACTAGCGGCTGCGGGTAAGACTGTAGGAGCTGTAGATGAAGTACTTGAGCCGACTGCTGAGGTAGGAGCTCCGAGATCTAGATCATCCAAATCGAACAAATCTGCTGCCTTCTTTCCACCTTCACTAACTAGAGGTGGAGCCGTAGAAGTTGTGCCACTATAGGTGAGTGGTGCACCACCTGAAGAATTCATGGATAGAGGTGCTCCCGTAGACGAGGATGGTGCTGGTGGAGCAGGAGGTTGTGATGAGGAGACAGAGGTCGCGGCCGATGAAGCTGGTGTCTGTCCAGCATTCAAAAAGTCCATATCTGCGTCAAATGCACTACCAAAAGCATCACCAGTAGGCGCGGTTCGGGTTGTTGTACTAGCGGAAGATGTGGGATCAGGCAAAGGTTCACTGCTAGGTGGAGGCATTCCACCACTTCCAGAGGGGCCTCCGAAGAGGCTCGTAGCGCCATTTAGGAGATTGGCAGACGATGCAGACGCACCACCTGACGCTTCCGCCCCTGATAGGTTGGCGCCTGGACCGGACACGGACGAAGACCCACCTCTTTCTGTGCCTGCTGGTCCACTAGGAAGAATAAGGCCTTCTCCAAAGCCGCTTTCTCTACTATGAGTTTCGAATTCTTCATATTTCGCTTTGGCTACCTCTTGCGCAAATTCTGCATAGGCTTTGCCCGGGAGATGAAGGTAGGATGAGGTGGGGGAAGACGAAGAGGAAAGTAAAACAAGTTCAGGGAGATGAAACACAAAAGCGAAAGAAGGACAAATTTAGGTTACGGTGTTTTTATGATGCTTCTCCTGTCGGCGGTGAATGTTGCCATCTTCTTGTTCTTGCCTACAAGAACTAGTGCTAAGATCAAGGTCTAAAGCTCCTCATCTCATAATGTTGCACCGCAATTTTCCCGTATTCTTTGCTCTTTTCTAGCCCCTCAGCAGTCCGCTGCTTCACGCTGTCTATGAAATGCTCGTCAGTTACGGTCTCGTAGGCTTTTGCAGATGCCTCTTTTGCTTTTGAGAGACCGGTTTGCATCTGTAGTTTGTTATCAGTTGAAGTTGAACAAGCATTTCCCATCTGAAGAATAATTTCGCATATAAATTCGAAAAAAAAATCTGAAGAATTTCCCCATGTCGCGAAAATGAAACAAGAGAATGAAAGAACAAAAAAATCCATTAATCCTAAACTATGTTGTGAAGGAGTACCGCACTCCACCATCCTCCGCTGTCTTGAGGTATTTCCGCTTGCTCTAGTTTCTGAGAAGCTGTTTCTTTTGCTTTTTGTGCGAAGGATTGTGCTGCGCCAGCAAAAGACCACAAACTAGCTGTCGCGTTGCCGAAAAGATCGTCGGAGTTGGCCGCGGTACCTTCATTCATTCATTCATTCATTTATTACCTGTTCTGGAGGTATCTTTTGACGCTTCTTGAGCGACATATAACTTAATTACAGCTTAGACGCTTCCTTCTTCTTAGCACTTGAAGAGCAAATAATTAAAAAAAAAAATTAAAAGAGATGAGTAGGTGGAGTGTCGACGTAGTGCAATCATCTTCCTTGAGTAGAGGTAGATCCGATCAACGACGCCTTCTTTAGGCCAGGCGAAGACACACCTAAAACTTACGATGTCGAGTCAAGAAGGTACTCAACTAGCGCTATGAGTGGATGAGTGAATGTGCCTAGCGCGAGGTGGTGCAAGTTGTGTTATATGTCGCAGCACGACAAATTGTTTTATATCATTCCTGATAAGTTGGAAGTGCTCTTTCCTTCCTTTTTACCGTCATCCTGCGGCGGAGGCGGCCCCCCACCCGATAGTGACGTCACTACGGGAGCTTCTCTTTTCGGCTCGAATGCAGGTAGGATGCCTTCGCCAGGTGCTAGAGGAGCAGGCGCTGGCTCTCCATGAACTTCCGCGCGCAACGTTTGCCTGTACCATTCAGCTCGGGAATTAGAAGAGGGATGATTGACAACTCTCAGATGAAGCAATGGAAGAATTAGACTGTACTAGCAGAGATTAATCAAGAACCCAGGAGGTTCTTCTAACCCAGTTAGCATGACAGTTGCTCTTGCTACCTCTACTTCCGATTCCAAATTATCATTTTTTCAGCACTGTCCGTGTACACTTTTTAGTACAATTCGCACATCAAAGACAAAGCCAAAAAATAAGTCAATCTGTTTCTTCCTTAGCTTCCTTTGTTCAGTCTTAGCTTTGGTTCCGTATTTTTCACTTATCTTTGACTCCGGATTTACCCCATGCTCCAGCAAAACACGTTTGAGCCTTGCGTTTCCACCGAGTTTCATCGAGGCTGAGAAGGGGTGGAACGAAGGTGTCTTACGTATTTGTGTACTGAGTAGTGTACTGAGTAGAGATGAAGGGGACAAGATCAAATGTAATATGAGCATAAGTAGAATGAAAAACGAAGGATGGATCTGTACTGTAAGGTAAAAATTTTTAGTCTGCTTATTCTTTCAACGTCACGATCATGGAGCGTACAATAGACATCAACCCTGTAGTACTAGAAGTACCTTTCTGTTTGTCGCTCCATGTATCCATTGTAATGCTGCGAACGAAGCTAATGTGCACCCCTAACCCTCTATGCTGGCCTGAAGGTGGATGATGTCAAAGTCGAGGTATAGTGTCTTAGTCTAAGAAGTTGTTCCTGAGCCTTCTAAGTATGTCCAGGCCAGGTTGGCAACACCTCTGTGGAATGGAATCAATTTTACCCAGATCAGTATTCCGAAACTGTCGACGGGACTATTTAATACTGTGCTTCACTTCCGAGGAAGGGCTCAATATAATTAACTTGAAGGAAAACTTTTCTGTAAGAAAGCACAAATAGAAACAAACAAAAATACCAGAGCACAGCAAGCAGAAGTAACATCCCAAATTTACACTGGCCCATTGCGGATGGGCGCAGCCGCAATCGACGCACCTAGTATTTTCCGCATTCTCCTCTTTGCGTTCTTGGAAAAATGCCTTTGTTCCTTGATCCATGATGTTGTCCTCTTGGTCCTGTTACTTTACCAACTTAAGTAAGGCAAGGACTCAAACCAAAGTAGATTCTAGCGCCGCGACATTATTGCAGAAAACGTGGTGAAATATTAATTGCGCGAAATACAAACTACAGTCCCTACTCGGTACAAGTAGAAGGTATCTGTAGGTACAAGATGAAGTACAACTTCTAGTAAACAGAAACAGTGACACTGCAGAATTCATACAACGTAAAGAAGTGGTTTTCACACTCTCAGCATTCATCAGTTTGGAGTTCTTTCATAGTGTATTCTGCTTACAGTAGTTGGCTATCTGCTAGCTTTCACTCTTCATCTGCTAGCCTACCTTGATTCTCGAGTCAGTACAGACACGTTTTCATTGTCGCTTTTACCTATGGCGCATTGGTGGATCGCATGACATGTAGTTGTAGTTGCGCGCTTTCATCGCATGATCAGTGACTTTCCGCTTTGCCAATTTTCCTTCAAAGAAGATCATGGTCACACTTTTTCATCTGCTCGCAGCTGAATGAAAGATACCAAACAAATAGCCTTGCGCAAGCCTACAACTAGTTACATGATACTTCCAAAGACAATATCAGTATCCTCAAACACTTTAACTTTTTCCATCATGCGCGATGGCTCTTTCAGTATCACGCGGGTGATGTTCGTATCGTTTGAAGAAATGAGATCTCTTGAAGATCTTAGACGAGGTTCTTAAGCCCCAAATTATAGGCATTGAAAAGTGCGAGTGGACATGGGTAAAAATGGAGGAAATTGGTAACTAGAAATCGATGACATTCTGTTCAAGCTCCACCATTGGAGGTCACTTTGACTTTCATCATCATGTCGTCGTTAAACGATGTCAGGAAATGTTGCCCTTGACGAGGCGGCGGCATTTTCCTTCCTTTCCGTTGTACCCGATTTTTAGGAGCATCACGACATTCTTCGTGTTCATCGCGCTCCTTTTCATCTAACTCCAACTTGAATGCCCTCTGTTCCTCTTGACTGCATTCGTTTGCTAGGGTGAGACACGTTTGGCCTAGAACCGTTTCTTGCCAATTCCACTGCAATTCGCGTACTGTAAGGCTCACACGCGCACCCTTCCCAAACGTACCTGGTAACACAGCATGCTCCCATTCGTATCTTGATGAACCGCAGAAGACCAACAAAGCTCGTTTAGGAAGAGGGACGTCAAGACGGATTCTAACTTTTTTTGACTCGCTTTCTGCTTCTTGGGGAAGTTGATGTTGTTCTGGTAACACAATCATAGGTGGCGAGAAGAACGTTAAGACGGAATCGGAAATTAGGTTCAAATCATAGATCCTATCTCCCCATATCCAGCCGTGGTCTATGTGAGGGTCAAAGTTGCTCCCCGCATCTGCCTCATAGCCCTGAAAAAACCATCCTGCGGGACGAAAGGGGTAAGGCTCTAGCTCAGAAAAGGTTCCCGTGCGACAGAGACTAGGAAGTAGAGGTGCTTTACTTCTAGTTGTAGAGGTGCTGATTGGAGAAGTGGAAGATGAAGAGGACGAAGCTGCGATGGCATGATCAGGAACATGCTGAGCTCTCTCTTCTCCATCGCTGCATGTTGGCAATGTACTACTAGTCGGAGGTAGATTCCCGGTAAGGCTAGCCATCAGGCAATCCTTCAAATGTTGTTCGCGGGATGTTGTCTTGGAAGCGTAGACCGAAGACGTCGAGAATGAGGAAGTAGAAGTGGACTCATCTTCTCTACTGCTGCGCGATGCACATGATTCGCATTCTTGAAACAACTCCTGCAACTTCTTAAACGCCTTAGTCTCCCTCAACTGCTGTGGCGGACATCCGAAGCTTTTTACTACGATTTTCTCGTACTTGTAATTGATTTTCGGTCCATAGTCAAGCTTCCGCCTTCCACTTTGAGAAGCTGCCCACCCGAATCTATCACTTTCCTCTTGGTGCAGAACCCCGAGCAATTCGTCCTGCTCTTCTTGGCACACAAAGTCGTGCCAGAGACGCAAATTGTCGTCCAAACCTAAATCTTTCAGGGTGTATGAGGTCTCTGCCTCCACCACATCCACACCTTCTCGTATAATGGGCCTAGCAAGTCTCGTGCTCCAGTCTAGCCTTAGCGCGAGGTCTATATTGTCACTCCAGTCCCGTGGCGGATGGAGTCTCCATAGAGCCCTAAGCTTCGGATCTGAGCAGTGTGCACATTGTCTGATACCGGTACAAGCGCATTGCTTTTCTGGTATCCCATCCGAAGGAGAAGATAACTCTTCTCCTGTTTGCCTCATCAACTTCATGTCGGTTTTACTTGTTGTCGTTGTCTCGGAGCGCTCATTTTCATCTTTTTCTAGTCACCGGTGTCCGGCGCACATGAAACTAACAAACTGAAGATGCCATACTAGCAAATTTATGCATGTTGGAAATGTACCTACAACCCAAAATCGTCGCCCACGACCTGTTCGCGAGCACAAAGAATAAGATGAAAAATTACATGTCACAACATTTTTGCAAAGCTTGTAAACTTTCGAAAACGTTGAACACTTTAGATCTTTCAAGTTATCTTATTCCAGATCCTAAGAAGATCCAGTACTCCAAGACATTATCTAGATCTTCAAACTGTAGACGTAGATCTTCGTTAGGATCTCGGTCCCTTGCAATAGCCATTAGGGAAGCTGGACGATGCCGCTACGTCTTACGTCTGCTATGTGTTACATCGAACCACCACCTTATTAGAACCAGCGAGAATGAGTACACAGTCAAATGCTGCGGCACTACAATATTGCTACTCATGCTGCTATCCTGCTCCAAAGAATCTTCTCTCTACTCTTGTTATCATATATTTGCGTATACATCATCCCTGTCAAAACGCAACAAAAAGTTGTTTGCTGGCATCTCATGTACTTCTTTCAACTTATACCCCACTTCCCAAGAGAGCTTTTCCACACTCTCCAAATCTCGCAGACCCCATGATGGATCCCGACTCTTGAGGTTAGTGTCAAAGTCTGCGTTAGATTCGGTCGTGAACTCTCCATACCGTTTAAACGGTCCATAGATGACCACGTTGCGAGGATGGACCCTTTTACCGATCAAATCTCGGAATAGATTCTCCGTAGCAGTCCACTCCGAAATATGAATCACGTTGCAGGCGAAGATCAGGTCGTACAAAGGATGACCTTCACCTTGTGTCGAAGGAGATCCCTCCGTACTAAGAACTTCACTATCGCCTACATTCAGCAAATCGAGAACCAATGGTGGACGGACGACGGAAAAGGAGGACGAAGGCGAGAGGGATGTGCTTGTACTAGGTGTGCCAGCATCTTGCTGTTGATCATTTCGTTCGGCAATCTGCATGGTATCGGTTATTCGTTGTGCCATATCTGAAGTTTTCTCCGTTTGCTGCCAGATCAGCTTCATAAAGGGTTGTATAGTCGCTTCCTCATTAGATGAACCACCACTAGGCGCAGTTTTATTAGTACAACCCACCTCCGACTGCGACTTGAGGATGATCTGCTCATGAAAGAATTCTACATGAGCACCAGTTCCGGAAGCAACTTCCAACACATGCACTTCTCCGATGGAGGTTCCTGCTTTTCTGCAGGTAGAATCAGCAACAATATCCTGCAACACAGGTCCTAGCTTCTCCCAGATTGGTTCCCTGTTGCGGAGAGAAGCTGGGTGATGCTCATGTGGAGCAATTTGGAAAGCTCCAGTCATGTTGATGATGTTTTTGAAGATAGTTCTAGTTGTTGGTGTTTCAAAGAGAGTAGAGAAGCTGGTAGCAATCGAGTTTGTGCTTGTTGCTTCTGACTTATTAGAGAAGAAGCGCCTGCGCTGTGCTGGTGCGAGGTGAAAAATTATACTGATTGACGACGACCAGATTTCTCGCTGAAGTCGCCGGTCGTTCTTCTTACGACTAAAGAGTTTACTCAAGAACATGGCTACTTTTACGGTGAGACTTCATGATTTTCTGCAACACAGGAAACAGACGGAAAGTAACACCGAAAAGATCCTAACCACGAGAGCGAACAAGTCCTAAGAGAGGGTATGTAAGGTATAACGCGAGATGATCTTGTTGTCCCGGTTTTGATGTATGATCCTCATCCTACGAGTCATGGTTAATAACCATAACTTATTGTCGTATTATATATTAATTGATTCTCCAAAACAGAACACGAATCTTTATGATCAATAGAAAGTCGGCCCCACGAATCTGCAGAAACGAGACGCAAAGTTGCAGTCCTGCCAATCAGTGGGGATGCTGATGTCGTTGAATCGTCAGGCTTCATCTTCGATGTCATTATCTTTAGCATTGGTTCACGGAGATTGCTCATGTTCTGCTTCAGTACACGCTCATGAAGTGCTCAGTTCTTACGTCCTTGTCTTCCATAGCAGGCCCAACATGTCATGCCATCGTTTCAACAAACTCTGGGCTGCTCGACCTTTTTTTTGGTGCTGTCCACCAAGTAGTGCTGTCTACACGCCCAAACAAGTTGTCCATTCAAGAACTAATCCCAAAATGGACGATCTGCAACTGGAGGCAAGCCCCTGACAGTAAGCTCGTATTCTTTTTGGGGTAGACTCATCACATACACATACCCATTCATAGTAAAAAGAGCGATCCAGGGCATATGTGCGCACATTAGAGGTGGACGCAGGGTCTGGTGGGTGTTCGGTTAGAAGTATCCCATTAGCATTACAGCTTAGTATCCAGTAGTCCCCCTCATGATGAGAGGCAAAACTATCTACAGCGGGAACATCGTCATCAGGAGTGGTTCTCAAGAAATAGTTTTTCTCAGCCAGTATCTTCAGCGAGATGAAAAACGATAAGGAACATCCTCAAAGTCAAACCCAATACCCTTAAGTTCAAGTAAGCAAGCGCTCGGAAGATGTATAACGAAATTGCTCGCCCTTCAGGTTCATCCAGCAGGTACTTTGGCAAAACTGGAGGCGCATTTCTTGGCTTATCGTCCCACGTACCACCCTCACCTTAGAGATCTCCACGCAAGTCCCCAATGTTCGGATTCATCTTGAAGCTTCCCCCCTGAGGGGAAAGCAGCCTCAAGGTGCTTCACAAGATCAAGCAACTATATGCGGCCGTCTAACGAGCGGCAGTGCTGGATAATGGAGGAACAAACAGACCCAGGACCAACTCTGGACTGGTAAATTCAGAAGATCAAGCAATCAATCGAGAAATGCTCACAAACGTGCTAGATCTGCGTATATTTTTTTTCCATAGGTATAGATCTTCCAAGATTTACTATCTGAAGATGGACCACTAGTCAAGACTAGATCTTGAAGAGATAGAAGCTTTTCCAAGATGTACGTACTTCTATCTGAAAGAAGATGGACTAATATTATGGGAACAAGCCTTAATCCACCCAGTTGCGCCATGTGCGATAGCAGTGGTGGATATCCAAGGCATGAGGACAGTCCAGTTGCTTCAGTTTATTGATGAACACGATTGCAGAGGCGAGACCGAAAGCGTCTTAGAGGTGGCTGAACAAAAATATGCATGTGATTGCTCATCTTCAAGTCGTGAGAAGAACGCTTCCTTCACTCATTGAGTATGGCATCATAGTACAAAGTGGAGAATGTGGACAAGATGGAAATGGATCAACACTATCGTTTAGTTTCATTAGGTTGAATCAAGAACAATTATTGACTAGATTTAGTTTATGTGTGAAGGGATAAGCCTAAGGATAGAGGTGAAAACTAGCCGGCTGCTTTACCTTAGTGCTTTCAGCGTCGTTGGACCAAAGAGTTTTCAAATATGTAGTGATGATGAGAGGACTAGATAATCCAGTCTAGATTGATGAGCACTAGGTTACAAAGTGTGCAATATTGTGGTCTTCAAATATATTTCACCAACTTCCACAGCCGTAAAGTGCTACAACACTGGCGAAGACGTGTATCTTGATAATTTCCGCACTGGCAATGGCACAGAGCGCCAGCAATGCACCAGCGCAAATCGATGATGCGATAAGAGGCGCCTTCGAGTTCGACTTCCATGCACGCCCATCTTGCCGCAGGTAAGCGTAAAGTTAGAAGAGGTCGGAGGAATTCACTTTGTGGGCAGCATCTCAGGTCCATTTCTTAAGGGGAAACGCTCACAAAGACCTCCGCAAGAGCATCTTGCTGGTCAGGTTTTGTTCCCTTAACACGAAACGGAGGAGGACCTAAAATGAAATTTAAGCTTTGGATGACCAGCAATGCAGTATACTATATGATGGATTTCTGGAAGTTGTAGCCTTAATGAACGCCTGCAAGAAAGATCAAAAAGGCATCGATTCTAACGAGGAGGACGAGGAAACTGAACTTGAAGATATCTAACATCTTTTTTGTTTTTGCCTTTCCTTGGAGTAGAGGAACTGTTGAGAAAGAGTTTAACTTTGTTGAATAGATCCTGATCTGCTATGTGCTTCTCCGTTGGTGAAGATTCATCCTACAAGGAGGAGGAGGAGTACGAAGATACGTGAATAATAATGATGTCATGTCATGTATCTCCAATCTGATTTTCCAAACCAGCGTTGTGAATAATAACGAGAGTACAACTAGACGGTGATCAACATAAGAGAGACTAGCAAACAGTCTTCAGTACTTATCTTGTTTATTTCGAACTCGCAGTGTGGGCTTATTTAACTTAATATTAGTGGGTTGGGATATTTGGTTGACATATGATTTCGATGTTTGAAGGGTGTGGTCAGCAGAGGGGGTATAAGCTCCACCTGCGCCCCCCAGCAAAATACATGAGTAAGAAACTATTGACCCTATAGTTCATGGACCGACTCGAAGAAGATGAAGATGAACAAAAATGGTACGCAACTAGACTTTTGTAGCTATGCATTCCAATGCGGCAACATCTTGATCGTCAATGCATAGATTGATGCACTTCTTCTACGTCTCGTCGTCTATTGCAATTGCTCGAGGGCAGTGCCGTGCAACACTTCTGTTGTTTGCGAGTTTAATGAGACTGATGCTCGTGTGAGCTGCGAGATGGCGACGAGCTAAGTACTACCATTTCAAATGACATGCACATGGCCATGAGGTAAAGAATAAGAACAAAGTACTGACTTGAAAAACTTGGAAAAGATAGTTGTAAGAAATGCATGATGAAGACGAGGAGACAGAGTCAGAAACGAAGACGAGTGGAAAACTTTAAAGTGATTAGTAGGCTTTGACTTGATCGTTCAAAATTTGCATCACCCTCGTTTAACAAAGAGCTCAACCACGACGATGTGGTCCATGATCTTCACAGCCAGTCCCAGCCATACTTGTATTCTCTAATCAGACTCAAGTGCTCCTCACTCCGCATCAACATTCTAGTGACATCGACTTTGGCACAGGCATGAGCCCCATGAATGTGATTCCTGTGTACGTCGATGATGTTACAAGAAATTCCAGCTATGAAAGGGTTGCTGGTAAGAAACCAGGTTAGGAGGAGGACAAGGCGCCAGGTACTCGAGGAAGAAACTGAATGAAGCCACAACTTCGCTAGATTTTCCGGACACTGAGTGCGTTCTTTGGCACAGTCTGGCAGGTCTATCGTTGCTCCTTGAGAAAGGAGGGTCGTTAAATTTGCGTACTGCTCGCCTATCCGAGACCACGTCGCTGGAGGAAGTTCTTGTAGTGCGGTAGTTGTTTGCGTTCTTGCAGTATTCGAATAATTCAACTGTCCAAAATCATACAGTCCTGCAAAACCTTTGACCAAGACTTCAAGCAGAGGCTCCTGCTGTTGTGCTGTGTGCCGCTTAGCGTACCAAGCATGTTGGACGAGGGACATCTTGTACCGCGTTTGGCTGTAGGAAGAAAAAGGCTTGATGTTTGTCTCGATTTCTGTGATGCCCGTTGATGTCGCCGATTGGCTCTGTAATTGCGGTTCTTCATCTCGTGCTTCTTGTCGTTCATGTGCATGCGGAAAATGCAATCCTTTCTGTTGATGTTCCTTGATCAATATTGTTAGGAAATCGAGGAAAGTCTTGCGACTTACAACCTCAGATGTTGAGCTGCTTCTAGAGCTTTCATCTGCTACTGCAGAAGACTCTACTTTTTGTCCGGAAGCAAAAAACTTCCTTTCCTTCTCCAACAGGTTTATCCCTGGTGGAATACTTCCTTTCCCGTCGACCGGACTATTGCCAGTCAAGGCGCGTAAAGGATCAGCCAGATCTGGAAGATCACGATGATTTGAGGCCACGTCATTCCACGAGTCAACTTTTCTGTGCAAAAACGCACGACCACCATGATCCAGATACGTTACGTCTCTCTCGGTGTCGTCTCGTAAGTACCAACTATACTTTTTGTGCAAGTGCTGGTTGTGAAAAAGCATGGTGAACCAAGCAGTAACATGCGCGACAGTTCGATCATACTCGCTGACACGCGCTAGGGGAGGAAACATGCAACGGTAGGACATGCCCCATGCGTTTTCGAATGTGAAAGGCTTGTCGTCCGCTGGGAAGTACATTTCAGCGAAAGGTAGCTCTTCTAGGGCCAGAGATTCTATTGGTTTTGCTGGAAATGTTAGTGATGCTGCTCTACCTCCTTCTTCTGTCTGGCGAGCGATTCCATACTCCCTATACAATTCCGCTTCCCTCTCCAAATCCTCGTCTTCCGATGACGTGCTGATAATCGACATGAACCTCCTCTGCTCAGCTGCGTAGCGCCACTGCTCGAAAAAAGCTCTGGTTGCCTGCCTTCGGTCAGCGTAGACGTGTTCGGTAACTACCTCTTCTTCTTCCTCCGCTGCTGCTTCTCCTCCTCTACGCCTCCTCCATCGCATTTCTCCGATTTTGACAGTCCGCCAATTCACACTCATCACTGGATGTTGTGCTGGTCGCAACTGGGTGACGTTGGACCTGCCCTTGCTGGGATCAGCATTAATCGCCCCAGGCATCGAATACATCATCCACGTTTTTCTCCTTCGAAAGTACAAAGCCGTACCGTTTTTCGCCTTCCAAACTGTGTTCAACGGTACCAACTGCGAGGTGAATCTGTGCATATTTGCAAAGACTGCCTGTGTTGCTGCTGCTCGGAAATATTCGAAATGCCGGATGTCCACAATCCAAGGAGGCGACCCTCCATGCATGAAACAAGAAAGCGGTGGCGTATGCACGAAAAGCAAGTCTTGGGCAGCCTCCTCTTCACAGCGAACGTTGTAACCCATAACTTGAGGTCGCCATTGGATCATGGTGTTCATGTTTGGGAGTTCTTTAGTGTCGCCGGTAGAAGTGGTAGGAGCCATGACCGGTAAAAACGGTATCTCGTAATCAAACAACTCTAGAGGATGCATCGGACCCAGAAATGCCATGTCTGCATCCAGATACGCGACGAAGTATGGCTCACCAGAAGGAGAAAGAGATAGGGATCCATTTTGGGTGTTATTTTTAAAGCTCAGCCTTCAATGGTCATCATGACTCTGAACGGAAGGGACCCCCTTCAAAGCTCTCCCCTTTCCCTTCGTTTTCCCCTGTTCTCTCAAGGGGTCGCCAGTGACCAACCCCAATGACCATTGAAAGCTGAGCCTTAATATTTGTGTTGTCGCGTCCGGGTCCGTCATCTTGTCCTTTAATAGCCTGTCCAACCCCACGACCTCCACTATGACTTCCTCCGTCTGACAGATATCGATCCCACCATTCCAGTTCCCGTAATGCTCCCGCATCGTCTTGCCTCAAAGCCCTATCGGTGACCCACGCTGAATAGACTTGGCGCAAGTAACCAAGCTTTCCCGGTTTCTTTGAGTCACAGTAATGACCATCTGCCGAATCCGGCTCAGGCTCGAAGACATCGTACCAAGCTGGAAATTCCGGCGGACCGCCAGCCTCATCGTCTTGTTTTTCCCCGTACCAAGCTGGAAATTCCGGCGGACCGCCAGACTCATCGTCGATAGAGGATGCAGTTGTAGAATCTTGTAGTTGGACTCGTTCATCATCAGCGCCAGCCTTCACGCCCGCATTATGCAGCAGCTTCCGTCTTGTTTTTCCCCATCTCTCCCGCCATTTCGAACGTGAGAAACTAAACCCTCCATCTTCACTTGGAGTGCGCTAGGTTGCATCTTGGTCCCCTCATCTTGACCCCTTTTTTTACCTTGATGTATTTCACGAGAATACAAGGGAAAAGGGGACCAAGATGCCGAGAATGATGGAAAAAAGCTGACCATAATTCATCTTTCGACGCCTCCTCGTTTTTCCTACCTAGATGGTTCTTCCCTCCACCCCCTACTCTGCTTCCACGCCGAGCATCCAAAATTACTTGATCCCATTTTGCGTGTAATGCCGCAGCTGCTTTTTTGTCTAAGGCGCTCTCAGCATCCCAGACGAATACTAAGTTTGAATTCGGCCATAACTCGCGGCTCGGCCAAAACTTCGCATAGGTTGGCAGAAATAGAGTCTCTAAAAGTTTCGCGGCTCCGTAGTAGACCCGCACGACCACAACCAGGTGGGGCCACATGATCCACTACAGGACGAGAGCTAACATCCACCAAAGACAAAGAGGTGGTCATTGATTTTCAAAGACATCGGAGTCACTCAGTCTCTCAGTCGCTCCCTAACAGACCAAGTTCCAGAAATACCATGGCCCTCTTTTGGCGGGTTGTGCAAAAGTACCACAAGATGCCACTTCAAACGAAATTCATACTGATCCACTACAGGACGAGAGCTAACATCCACCAAAGACAAAGAGGTGGCCATTGATTTTCTTCAAAGGATGGTAAAGTTCTAGTACGCGCAAGTATCGTTTGATAATTTAGTCGAAGTATAGAAAAGCAGAAGGATCACATAGGAGTTGTCACTCAGTCTCTCAGTCGCTCCCTAACAGACCAAGAAGTTCAAGAAATACCATGGCCCTCTTTTGGCGGGTTGCGTTTCGCTACGACCTCCGCGTTATCGTGATAGAGAATCTACTTTTGGGAGGAGGAGCGAGGGATGGGGCGCTTTTTTGCTCATGTACTTCACCTAGGCTTACTAATGCACGCTGACGCTCGGATCCTTGTGCAAAAGTACCACAAGATGCCACTTCAAACGAAATTCACAGAACCACGCTTGCCGCTAGCTGCTGCCTGCAGAACACTAGCCATACTTACAGGAAATTTCCAGCGCGGTTCCTTTTGCCGCCCTTCTTGTTGATATAATATGTTGTTCTATAATTCAACTAAGTTTTTCTTCGAATTTTCAAATATCTCCAACAAGATCTCCATCTTCTTCGTCTGTGGATGCTAGTACTTGTGTTCTCCTCTCGGCTACTTTTCTTTTCAGATTATTTTGTGTGATTTAACTACCTATTTCTGCGGTATTTCTCATTTTCTTACCCAATTTGTCATATATATCGGAAATCTCTAATTTTCGATCACAAAAGCCCAAGGATCATACAATATCTTCGTGTAAAGTCAAATTAAAAAAGTTACACTTTCTAATGTCTAGTTAATATCGGTACACGCTTCTAGGTCTTGCTTGTTGTCGTGCGAAGAAGTGTTGTCCCTAGTGCTGCTTGCTCATGAAATCTTTACGTTTTGTTCTATTAATCGCTTTTTATCCCTGTTGTAGAGGTGGAGATGATCCTTCTGCATGATATGCGGTCGTCAAATTTGTATTTTTTACGTTTTCAATCATATGTTGACTGTGTTTTACTAATTTTCATAATTTCAATCTAATTGGAAAATGTTAACATTATGTTCGTGTGTTAGATTTGAAGTAGTTTACAATTATTTTTGATTATACTCATGCTGAAGACTGTACAAGAACTGTGGTTGACTTTTGTTTTCCCCCACGTGCTTCAGGAGGTATTAAGAATGAAAAACTATCATGATTGGAACTACAACAAGAACAGCTAGAACTACTTCTACACCAGGAGGGCTCTTTTTAACTTAACACTTATTTACAGCAAATTGATCATTCTTTTTAAAGTTTATAAAACTTTACACCAAGAAATTCTCTGTTCCACACACTGATCACTGGAAGAGAGGTCCTGTGACAGCACCCAAACCCGGAGGTCCTCTTGCTACTTTGTTTTGTTTCTCAACTCGCTCAGCCTGATACATCGCGCGCATCTGAGCTGCAATGCGGTTTTGCAACTGGCGATCGCGACAACGCTTGGAGTTGAAGTGCCACATCGATACGGAATCAAGAATTTCGCCACAGTGTTTGCAGACGACCTGCGTTTTGAAGTTCTTGTGTTCTTTTGAAGACTTTATTGAGGAGTGCTGTTGATATGAAGTTCAAAATGTTGACCATGTAGTATTTGGTAACCTGAATTCGATCACAAGGATTTCCTTCTTGCTTTCCTCATGATCAAAATCAGGTTACCAAATACCAGCACCATTCAGACCACAATGTTTCTTTTTGTAAGTACAGTTGATTATCAGTAGTTCTTGTATCATGAAGAACGAATCGATTGCATACTACAGATATCCTTCTTGTGGATTTCGACTTCCACTGAAGAGCCGCAGTTGGTGAAGTACCTTCCCACTGAGATCCAGCCGCTTCGCGACGTCGGAGGCACTAAGGCTAAGGTCCTCTCCTGCACGTTTCTCAGCATCAGACTCAGATGCTGATGACCCGCTGGTTGTAGTTGTTGTAACAGGAACAGCTTTTGTTGCTAATTTTTTGTTGCTATTAATGCTATCCTTTTCCTTCTTGGTTGGAGAGGGAAATTGCTTTTGCTTTTGCGCGGACGGCGAGTCTTGAGCGTACTGCCTCAACGATGTTGAACTAGATGACGAACTGGATCCAGACGAAGAGCTTGCGGAAGAGGCGAACGACGAGCTCGCAGAAGACCCCGACGAAGAGCTCGCGCTGGTCGAGAGTGAGGATGGAGCAAAGTTCGCCTTAGCTGCAAAAGATGCCTCCACCTCTGTTGTTGCGAAACAAGACGCCTCCACCTCTGTTGTTGGTGACTGCTGTGGAACTACGGTGGCAAACACTTTCGCTAGTCGCGTTTGCGATTAGAGGGGGAAGATGGTCGTGTCAGGTTGTTCACAGCTGCAAAGATGTCAACATCGTGGAGAAGAGATTCGATTTCAAAACTACTTTTTCTGAAACTGAAACCAATTGCAGATAGGTGGGAAGTAGGAGAAGAATCTTCAACATGATCTGCACCAGAACAAGCTCATGCTCATCAAGAAAAAGCCATAATCCAATGTCGCATTCGCTTCCTCTCGTTCCTGGCAACTCATATCACCTCCAGAGGAAGCTGCCGAACTACTTAGACGCGCTGGAGAGCGCACTGCAGAGAACGCGCTGCCACCCCAACGGTGCCCTGAGGAGTCACCAGAACTGCTGACTGTACTCGAAAGTCCTCCGGCTCCATCGAAGATTGAGGAACCGCGTGTTCCTTAGAATGAACTAGTAGTGGAGTTGTAAAATCATCTGGGCTTGTTTTATTTAGGGTGGCTGAGTCATATGACAATCATCAGATACAACTGTAGAAGTTGCAGCAGACAGAGCAGCAGATGAATGGAGGAGGCCTAGAATTATGAAGGTGGAACTATAAAACATGAGGCCATCAATCTTCATGCTAAAACACCAAACACAATCACAAACTAATGAACAGATTGCCATAAGACGTATTCATTGTCCCTCCTGAACTGCCTGTAGCCGAGAGTCCAGACTTCGAAGATCCGCTAGCCGCACAAGCGTCCATACTGCCAGGGGTGCTTTCCATTTCATCTTTTAGAACTTGCCTAAATTCATCTTGAAACAAAGTCATCTTTGACGCGTTTTTCCCTTGAAAACTTGGCAAAGAAAGATGCCTCTTAAGATGAATTACGGGGAGCCTTAAGTCTTGTTCAGGTACTTGTTGCAAGCCAGCAGCCAAGACATCAATGTCGTCACTTTGTTCCTGCACTTGCTCTTGCAGCAACGTAGCAGCAACCATGTGACTCGCGGCTTGCGTCGATGTGGAACTTGTTGCCTCTGGGCTTGGGTCTTGATCCGAAGTTTGTTCTATCACTTCTTCCTGATGCGCCTCTTCTGAGGTTTCTACTGCTAGTTGCTCGCTCTTCTTGGACCAGGTTGTTGCACCAGGTTGTTGAACAAGATGATTTATTGGAGTCGTTAGTGTCTTTGTCGTCGATGTGGACATGGCAGTCACCTGGTCCTCATCGCGTTGCGAGTTAGTTGTATACAAAAAAAGTTCCCCAGGAGCAGATGTAAGATTATTATTTAGAGTTAGAGGTATCTATCGGGGATTATTCATCTCAGGGATCATCTGGGTCCCTTATTTTTCCTCTTGTCTTTCTCTTCTGGGTCCCTTATTTTTCTCCAGACGCTTTTTTCTCTTCCAGATGACTCTGGAGATGAATAATATTCCCTCCACGACCGTCCGTAAATTATGTGTGTAGTTCTGTTGGAGGTTGTAAACGTTTTTCGTCCCCTTTCTACTAGACTCTCCGGGTGCTCGATGCATCAACAACATACTGGCAACCGGACCATAGAAATCGTCATCATCCTCTGTCCGTGTCAGAGGATCTGCAGTACCGTTCTCAACGCCACTTGCTCCTCCAACTCCTAACTTTAGAGGTAGGCTCTTGGTGCTCGCGGGTTCCCCCGCTTGTTATGCCTTTCTCTCCCCCTTAGGATGAGAGAGGCATAAAAAGCGGTAAGAAAAGCACCGTTAATAACCTACCCTTAATAACTGGACGCGGCTACAACCACGACTAGAGTTTCCGGGAATCCATCTTCCGAAGAAGCATCTTGGGCCTGTTTTTCCACCCTTGTTAAAGAAAGGCCCCAAGTAAGATGCTTCGGAAGATGGATTCCCGGAAGCCTTAATACCAACTCCAGCGTCGGAATCACCACAAGCACTAGATCCCGTTACACTAGTGAGATCACCACTTAGAAGATCATTGTTCAATGCGGCCTCGGATGTTGAGGTCGAGCTTCTAGACAGGGGTCCAGTATTTTGTCCCGGTTGTAGAAGAGCAAGTCCAGGAGCTTCTGTAAGATTGATTTTCTCCTCTTGATGTTTTTGATTTTGCTCTACTCCTTCACCTTCCGATCGCTTCTTCAACTGTGCGGACAGGAACGTAGTCGTGTTGTTCAAAGTTGAAGAAAAATGTCGTTGTTGAAGCGAAATGTAGTTTTTATTTGATGGAGATGTTGAGTCATTATAGTTGCTACTTTTGATACCACGAGAGAAAGCCAGAGATTCCTGTTCGTTGTTATTCGCATTCTCTCCCTGTTGTAGAGCTGCAGCACCAGATGTTGAACTTGAATCTCCACGACTTCCAAGAATACCAACATCACCTCCCGCAGCTCCTCTATTCTTCTTCTTGTTATTTCCACTCGACGACGACGACGATGACGCCGAAGCTGAAGATGACGCCGAACTTGAGGAGGAGGAGCGCAGTCTGTTACGGCGTTTTTTGCGTTCCACGGTGTATTCTTCGAATCGCATCGTTCTGCTTCTGCGGCACGTCTTGCAGGCTCCACACTGAAGTCGGCACATGTTCTTCTTCATAGTACGTTCTTCATTGTCTTAAAGCTCAGCACTGTTCAGTGGTCACTCACTGAAGACTCTGAAGAACGGAAGAGACCCTCTTGTTCAAAGCTCTCGCCCCCTTTCCCTTCATTTATTTCCGCTGATGTTCTACTCTCAGGGGGCGGCCGCCTCTTCGATCTCAGTGACCAACGGACCCCAATGACCATTGAAAGTTGAGCCTTAATTGTCATCTTCCACGTCTCCACCTGCAGGATCGTCTTCAGGATCGTCTTCTAGTACGACACCGCTATCTTCCTCTCCTCCAATCTTGATCCGCTCTTTGATCAGATCCATGTTGTTCTTCACGACCTTGTCCTTGTTAGTACTTCTACTAGATCCCTGAAGCTGGTCGTGTTGCCCTTGGTGACGCTCAAGATCTGCTACTGATGATCCTACTTGATCGAGAAGTACTGCTCCTGCTCCAGCTCCTCCCGTTGTACCAAGAATATTAATACCAGTACCCTGAAGCTTGGTCATTTGACTAGACACCTCGTCCATAGGTGTCTTCACTTCAGACAAAGAGTTAACTTTCCACATGTCGAGGAGACGTGGTAGAGCATCCGGACTCTTCTCACCTGGACTACCTTCAGGAGACGACTGCTCCAGTTTTGGCATTAGCGTGTGCTAGATCGCATCTCGGTCCCCTCAACATCTTGACCCCTTTACTGCCCTTGCATCATTTCATAGGAATAATACAAGGGAAAAGGGTACCGACATGCCGAGAAAGATGGACACTAAATGTTGACCTTAATTTTGGACTGTCGTGACCAGGAGCAGGAGACAGCACGACAAGAGATGAATCTTGATCAGGATTAGAGTCTGCTAGATTGCATCTCGGCCCCCTCATCTTGACCCCTTGCGCCTTGTATTTCATGAGAATACAAGGGAAAAGGGTACCAAGATGCCGAGAAAGATGGATAAAAGCTGACCTTAACAGGAGCAGTAGCGTTCTTCCTCTTCTCGTCTTCTGCGGCCTGTTGGAGAAGCTTCTGTTCTTGCTCCAGCTGTTTCGCTTCTGCACGCTGTTGTATTTTTATTGTAAGTATTCAAGACCTAAAAAAAGTGCACGTGATCCAGCTGCAAATTAGAATAACAAACCCCAAATTTAACTGTTATTAGTGCAAACTATGGATAGAAAGTTGTAACCCAGTTGTAGATGATGAATCCTCTCCTTGGGAACAGCTTAGTTAGTGCAAACGATTCTAGTACAAGTAGTACCTCCCTTTTCCCCGCTCGTTTTCTTCCCTTTCCTTTTCCTCGTGAGGTCGGAGAATCTGGAGAGCAGCCAAACTGTCTGGACTGTCTTCCACCAGGCGACGAAACTCCTTGTTGTGCCTGTCCAAGTCCCGTACTGCTTGATGATGCTGCGCCGTTTGCAGATGCAGTTGCACCACCTTGTGCGTGTGCGATAAGATTCTGCTGTTGCGCCATCATTTCCATCGCCTTCACGTGCTCTCCCATTAGGATAGTTCGTTGCGCCTCCATAAGCTGCGAAGTAGGGAGCAGGTGTATTTGATAATTTTTAGACGTGTAGGAGATGCAGATCGGTAAAACTAAAACTTCGTATCATGATTTCCTCTTCTACTAATATCACGACAATGGTCGTCCGCGCAGAAGGATGGGTGGATCCATAGTTAGAGCAGTAAGAAAAAGAAATAGATAATAGGATGGGATCCATAGAGCAGTAAGAAAAAGAAATAGATAATACCTTCGCGTTATAATCTTGCATTGCCATATGTTCCATCAAAGCCATTGGGTTCGGAGCAGCAAATTGTGCACCACCATAAGCCATTCCAGGCGCAGCCATAATCGGTTGATGGTACCATGCACCACTATAGGGATCAAAAGTTGGCACTCCACCCATTGTTAGAGCTTTCTGTAGTCAAACAATCTCTAACAATGGGAAATAGTCGGCTATCGATCCGTAATTTCAGCTGCATCGTTAAAAAATCTGGGAGAGTATTTCCCCGGCGGCGATTATCATTATACTCTTGCTTCCCTAGAATCATCTCTTCAAGGATCGTGCCGTCAAAGATCATCGATTAAAGAGAGCCTTAACATGGTTCCTACGCCCAGTTGCGGCACGGCACCCATTTGGTGCATGTAGTATGCTGCATTAGGATCTGCTGCAAATCCTCCGGGATGAAGCATGTGTGGATGCATCGGCATCACAGGACCTCCTAGAAGTGGTGCCCAGTTAGCGGACGGAGGGAAAAGATGTAGTTGTGGCGGAAGTTGCCCTTGCACCGCTCCTGCATCTGACTGGACGACATCTACACCTGATGTTGTGCTAGCTGCGGTAGCCGCGGACCTTGGGTGATTGAAGATTGAGTAACACGATCCTCGTAGTTTATAATTATTCTCGGTTCATCATGATCGAAGAACTACGTAGAAGTAGGAGTTTCTTGTTCAATCTAGAAGCGCAATGTCTATAATTAGTGAATGTATGAGAATATGAGGAGTTTGATACTGTTCTCCTGAGGCATTGCCAGGCGGCGACACAGTTGCATCCTCCTGGACCCATTGGCCACTGGCAGCAAAGGGACCGTTGGCAGAAGATTGTTCCATTTTTCTTTCTTGATTGTAAAAATTCAAAAATGTAGCACTGGCAGTAAATTTCTGACTACAATTTTTGGCCAGCACATGGCTGCGCAATTAAGCACGACATACTCACAACCTTTTTATTCTGCGATGCCGATTCATCACTTCTACTCGGGTGCGCGGGAAATTCTATAGTTACTTGTATTTATAAATTAATGCAGTATGGGAATGGGTGTGAAAGGCGTGTGGACGTGGATCGTCTTCTCCAGCATCTTCTTGACAGATGCTCTTGCTCTTCAACAGAAGACGAGAAGTGGTCGAGAGGTTAATGTCAGTCCATACCGACTCATCTAATCACGGTGGAGATTAACAGACGTAGTGTTGTCAAGGACCAGACGGGTAGTTCTTGCTGATCACAAGGCCTGATTAAATCGCTAGTGAAGATCATGATCATGGTCATCTGAAACCGAAAAAATATCGGATAAATACTAGCGACGAGAACGCATATATTGTCCAACAGAAACCGATATATTGTCCAACAGAAACCGATATATTGTCCAACCGATATCCTCTGAATGACTCCAACAGAACGCCGCATAGCGAGAACGCACATTTCTTTCGTTCGACTGATCATCTTCGACAGTCGAAGTTTATTGCTAGAAACAAAATTCGTTCGGCGTAAAAGTAGAGGGAAGAGCCAACCTCCGTCTACTTTTGCTACGGATTGAAGCAGCACAGTGCCCCAACGCAAGTACCTTCCTGCGGCGTCGAGAGTCTAATTATAGATGGACCATCTTCTCGGTTTAGGTTTTCTGGACAGATCAACGCGCGTTTTCGCTAATATGCCCTACTAAGTTATGTTGAGAACGAAGTGACTACCTTGATTGGCCTAAGATTATAATATAATGAGAGAAAAAGAACATTATCCTTTTCACCCACTCATCTCAAGAGCAGGAGTCCTTGCTCATCTCAATTGAAATAATAAAGGGAGGTCACAATCTACACCGCGTTTCCCCACCAGCCTTTCTGCTCAAGTCCGGCTCGCGCGACTGAGGGCTGTCTTCCTTTCGAACCTTTACCCTTTGGCACATTCAGAGCCCGCGGCCTGTAGGGTCCTTCCCCGTTTGATTTTCCAATCGGTCCTCCGCCTCCTGCAGCACCTTTTGGATTGTAGTCGTACCCACCTGCACCCTTTGGATAGTTGTACATGTACTCTGCTTGTGGCCAAGGAGCGGCAGACGCTGCTGCAGCACGATTATAGTCTGGATTATAGTGGTGATCCTGTACCACGCCAGACATCTCTCCTCCCAACATCGACGCGGACTGTCCTTCCCTGGCTGCCCTGAGCTGCCTCAAAGCAGCCTGGGGATTCGCGGTGGGGATCATTAATTTGTTGCCATGCGGTATGCGCGCGCGGTTTCTGCCTCCATCATCGTCGCCAAAGCCTGCTCCCCTAATTCGCAGGTGCATAGGATCAGCAACCGAACTACCGAAAGGCACATACACCGCCACTGCGTCCTCAAGTTCCCCGCAACAGAACGACCAGACGGTGGGTTCCATCTCCACTGAAGTGATCTGCTCAACGCTCAGCGAGGAGCTTCTATGATCGCTACTTCCCTCACAGCAACACCCGCAAGATGAACAGCAATTCTCCTCGGGGCGTAGAACGAAGAGATATCTCGCGCCGAGGCCCCACACCGTTTTCCCGATCTGTTGCATGTGTGCGATGAACATCCAATTTCCGAGAGCGGCTATGCAGACGAAGCTCCCAACAGCCAGGACTATGAACGGACTAGAAACGGAGGACGAAGGTTCGCCAGCACCACCGGTCGAACCCGAACCCAAGAACTCAAATACTATGATAAACGCGAGTGTCGCAGCGCAGCTCCCGGTCCAAGAAAGAATCATGCAGAGGAAAGTTGACCATTCCGCTCTCGATTGTTCCTCACTCTGTTCCCACACTTGCAGGAGGACATCGCCATGTTCGTCCGCCACAGCTTGCATTTTTCCCCAAGCTTCAGCACTCATCTTGTTCCTCGTGTACGTAGTGCTCCTTCTTGATGATGATGATGATGATGATGATGATGATTATGATGATGATTGTGCCTATTCCTATACTAGAAGCGGTTGTTGTTATTAAGGAGTTTATCCTTTGCACATCGTGAAAAAAGAAGACACGAAAGATGAAAAGCTAAAACTTATTGACACTCGCTTCGCCGAAAAGGAAACGGTTCTAAAAAATATAATAAGATCAGCCTAGGACTTTCTAAGATCAGTATTTCTATGGAGTGAAATATATTATAATGATCATGGACGAAAAGCTATTGAGGTTTACTTCTCCGAGGAAAAGACTAGTTGTAACCAAGGCTGGATATATTTAAGTGCTTGTTTGAGGTTCTTGAGCGTCGCTAATTAAGGGGTAAAAATATCCAAGATTATCTAATCCTGATAAAATATGTTGGGAGGATGTTAATTAGTCGCTTTCTCACCTCATCCTAACACAGTCACAGTCTCACCTCATCCTCATGTGAAGAAACGCTCGTCCCCAATGTTAATGTTATGGTATGAAATCTTAACTGTAAGTATCAGAATGTAGTTACAACTGCGCGCTTACAACTCTTACAGATGTTTATTCTCCTCTCAAGCCAAGACGTAACTCGCGACCAGATGATAAGCGCTCTCTCCACAGACTCGAAAAGTAAGTCATACAGATAAATTATATGCTCATAAGTGCATAGATGAGAGGTCAACGTCGAACCCTGAAATCTCAACATCAACATCATAGATATGGAAAACAGCCGCAGCAGTTGTACTAGATAGTTGTACGAGGTCGAAATAGCGAAAAGAACCTCGTTGAAAGGGAAAAAACATTCACGAAAACAAATTGTAATTGGAAAAGAAAATAATTTGTCAGAAACGCTTACGCTCGCTTGGTGACCCCGAGTAGATGGAGAACTCCGCCCCCCATACTCAAATCTTCATCATAATGACCCCTATGTCCTCTCCGTCTCTGTCTATCGATTCGATACCCACGACAGAGACGGAGAGGACATTTTGGTCATTCGATAGCCCGAGACCGTGGAGAGGTCATATTAGAAGCCCCCACGACCCCTTTGGCCAATGTTTTTGCAAAATTTTCTTCTGTTGCGCGATCCACAAAATAAGGTAGATCGTGGTCTACTACTTCATGCTTCAATTGCTCTAGGCTGTCGATGCGAGCCTCAACGTTCGGTTTCGCGGTGGTCCAAAGAGACTCGATGCTCGCTAAGCGAGTACCGATTCCTTCCCCGGGTCTTAGAGGTGTTCACTCGGATGAGCGTGGAGCTGCTGAGGTGGAACAGGAACAATCATAAGGGATGTGAAAGATCAAGCACCAGGACAACTAGGCGAATCCGAATGCATCGCAATATCAAGCGACTACTAGTACTGGTGTAGACACCAGTGATGCAGCAGAGTATCAACATAGTGCACTACTATGCAAAAATTATCGTCGTAACATCTCTCCCCGCGTCGCACTTCCATTTACTGCCCTCTCAGTAGCATTCAACAACGCCTCCAACCTCAATTCGCGTTCCTTCGTGGCATTCAATACCATATCCCCAAAGGCCGCTGTCAAATCGTTCCCAGAAGTCATCATTTTGTTGGCAGCTTCTGTTGTTGCGAGTCCTTGTAATCTCGCGTTCAGCCGGTTTGCTTTGCTGGAGAGAACGCTAGTGGTAATTGCTGAACTTCCTGGTGTTGAAGAGGTTGAGAAGGAGCTCCTCCCCGATGCCATGGATCCAACTACCTTGGATCGCAAAAACCCCACACGCCGACTGCTATTCGCTACACGGTTAGTCAGACCCAAAATTCGATTCTGCAACGCTTTCTCTCGCCGAACGATTTTCAGGTAGAGTGCGGACGCTGTGAAGAAGATGGGATAAAGGGAAAATGGAATCTAGAGCATTTTCAGGTAGAGTGCGGACGCTGTGAAGAAGATAGGATAAAGGGAAAATGGAATGTAGAAGTTGCTGCGTGATGAACGGACAGCAGGTGGAGAGGTGGCTAGCCCTAGCAAAATCATCTATCGGCTACTACGTTTGCACTTTGCTCTGGAAACAATTTCGTCGCCAGCGGCGCTGCATCTAAACTCTCCCACGACATCGAAACCTTTGCTGCATTTAATCTGACAGGCTTCTCCGCTCTTGATAGTCCCACAAGAGAAATTGCCAGCGATGTTGTGGACCGCTAGATGTTAGAGGTGGTAGAGCAGGGATGTTAGAGGTGGTAGAGCAGGGTTGTGGAGGGCTAGATGTTAGAGGTGGTAGAGCAGGAATGTTAGTCAGAGGTGATAGAGCAGGGTTGTGGAGGGCTAGATGTTAGAGGTCGGGTTGAGCAGGGGTGTGGAGGGCTAGATGTTAGAGGTTCAAAAGCCTGGCTGGTTTCATCTTTAGGTTCGAAAAAATGTACCACGTGCACGTTTGGCCATAAGTAATATTTCCACACGTTTTTCTTTCGCACGAACTATTTTTCAGGAAAAAATCGCCAGCCACGTCGGTCTGAAACATGCCATCGCCTGAGGGACTGTATCCAACCTCGCACACCAGTGGGCATGTGCTATTCGATGCCATGGAGGCACATGGAAGATTAGAGGGTCGTGTTGGGTGCCATGGAGGCACATGGGAGATTAGAGGGTCGTGTTGGGTGCCATGGAGGCACATGGGAGATTAGAGGGTCGTGTTGGGTGCCATGGAGGCACATGGAAGATTAGAGTTGTGTGTGGGTGGTGTGCACGACGATGTAGAAGTAGAGAGAGAAAGTTAAAATTATCAACATCGACGAGTGGACTGAGAGGTAGAACTTATCTTTCTTAACGAAAGGTGCCACTGCGTGAATCGGTGGTACTGGCTTCAACGTTTTCCGGGTACAAGAAGCTGTTTGCGTTACGTTCGAAGCGTCGGCATTGCAGACGAAATGCGAGACGTTCAAAAGGGGCTCAAAGCCAGTATCGCATGTCAGTGAACAGTTTTCTCCACTCGCAATGTCGTTACAGGTGAAATTCATCGCGTGTTCCGGTTTCACTACTCCTTTACAGTACTGTCTTTCACAGGTTGCTCGTTGTGAGACATTCTTGCCTTCAGCATCGCACTGAAAAACGCCCCTCGGTAGGTAGCCAACCTTGCACTCTAGAGCTCGAGTCTCGTTCGATGCAAGACGAACTGAGCTAGTATTGCCTCCAGCTGCTCCGGCTTCGCCCCAGTTTACGCTATGATCTGGAGCAAGGATCGGATCGCACAGATTGCGTTTGCAAACACCCTTGGACTTGATGCTCCTTCCATTTTTCGCACATTGGAACTCACCACTAGCTGTGAATCCGGTTGCACAGTCTATAGCATTCTCGGATGAAAGGGTTGTGCCAGCTGCGATCTTCTTTGAAGTGGAAGCGGCGTTTTCTGTCTTCCACTTCGTCGCATTCGACGGCAACTCCAACGTGCAGTAGAGCTGCTCACAGCGACCAACCGCGGAAAAGGTCGTCCCATTGGCTGGACACACGAAAGTGCCATTCCTCACGAAGCCCTCGTTACACGCGTAAGCCTCACAAGTCGAACCTGCTGTGACATTGGTGCAGTTGAAGGAAGCCGAATGGCTCAAACTGTCTTCGCCTGTGCATGGCTTGGGGGCTTCTGCTTCTGTGCTGCTGCCGGGGGTATTCCTCGTTGCATTCTTTACAACGTCTGCTGGTGCCTCTGCACTGCTTGAGAAGGCGGTCAAGCCGCTGTATTGAAGAAATCTGTTGTCAACACGACGAACCACGGCATAATTTTTCTTGTTTGATGCGGTAGATGAGCCGGTAGTAGTACTGTAAAAACTTCTTGTTGCAACAGAGAGGGAAAACCCTTGTTCAACGTGACTCAGGAAAGCTAGAGTTAGAGTTGAACAGAGCATCCTGCCTCGTCATTTCGCGACATGGTTCCACAGCTACTTACATGATTAAGATGAAGTTGGAGTTGCAGCGGGGAAGAAGGCGTCTTTTCTACAACAGCTACAGGAGACCTTTATAGGATGGAAAGAACTAGACTCTAGGTCTAGGTGTACGCGTTAGTGAGTCAGTTAATTAGAATCTCGAGCATAAATCAAACGACTACTTAAGTACATTCATAATTGTTTTGATTTAATACGAGCGTAATGAGGACACCATATTTTTCATAAATGCCCCTTTTTACTCTCTCTTTCTCTCTTGTCTTGCTCTCAGGACATAGCTTGAAGATCTTGTCAGTCGCTGAGGAATTGGTCGCGTGCTAAACGGACCGCTGTTATCCCGAAGGCAGATCGCCTTCTTTGTTGTAGTTCGTTTGCGTCCTAAAAGAAGTCATCATCGTAAGTAGGCTTATGGAACTGGTTGCAGGTACATCGGTAAAATTCCCATATTCAACATCAAAACATGTTCATTATCAACATAGTGGTCGTTCCCTCATTTGGAGAGCAGGATGGAGTGAGGTAGCACAATAGTTAGAAGTTGTCAAATACATTCTTCATCTTGTTGTTCATTTCTACTCCCAATAGAAGAGGAGGATTCCAAAATATAAGACATAGCAATAATATCTCGTCTACTTCCTTAGTTTAATCCGAATCCGAATCAAACGTCATCTGCACTTTTTTTTTGCTGAGTTTTTCCATTTCCTCCGCAGACTTGAAAAAGTCCCCGTACATACCATGTGACTTCTTCTTCGTTGCTACGAAGGTGTTGGCGTTGATCTTTCTCAACTCCTCGGGAACTGGCTGCTTCGCTCCCTCCAACAATCGGATCAAGTCGAAGCAGTGTTCCCGTTCCTTGTGTTCGCCTGTGGTGTTGAAGAAGGTGATAGCAGCACCCTTGCGTCCCGCACGACCGGTTCGGCCACATCGGTGGACGAAATCCTCCACGGTGAGTGGGAAAGTGTAGTTCAGCACGACGTCGATGTCGGGGATGTCGAGACCTCTGGCGGCGACATCAGTGGCGACTAAAATTCTTGCTTTATTGGTTTTGTAGTCTTCAATTGACTGAGTCCTTTTGTCCTGGGTCATGTCGCCCTGCAAAGCACGCAGTTTGAACCCTTCCCTCTGCAGCCAGTTTTCTAGATTTGCGACTTCCTTCTTGTACAAGCCGAAAACAAGGATCTTCTTATTCGGATTGGCTCTCAAGTTCTTCAGTAACAGTTCCCATTTTCGCCTGCCGTCTGGAAGAACGTGGAGAGTCTGCGAGATAGCATCGTTCAGTTGGAGCTTATCCTCTGTGTTGATATTCTCCGGATCATCCAAGGTCTGGTCCTTACGAAGAACGGTGATGGTTGCCGCATTTCGACCTATTTTGGTTCATTCGTTTGTTTGGTGGACGAGTGCTGGGTATTTCCTCGTTTTATTAGTGCTGAAGAGAGAATGCTTCTCAACAACAACTACAAGATGAACGTGGAATATTTCCTGATGAATCCCATTTTTGACTGTCAAGATTGTTCTTATGATGCAGTGCTGTTGTGCTAGTGGTAAAAAGCTGTTTTTGTGGTAAATTATATAAAATATCACAATGCTGAAAATCATTACCTTTCCCCAACAAGCCTCTAGCCAGCTTGTTCACTTCCATCGGCCACGTTGCTGAGAACAACACAGTCTGTCGCGTTACTTTGTCAGAGGTTGCATACTCGGAAATTTTTCGGATGTTCAGAATGAAACCGTCGTCAAGCATTCTATCGGCTTCATCGAGAACCAAGTATTCGCACTTGGAGAGATTGAGAACCTGATGTTTTTGATTTCGAGATCAGGATGATACTTTCTTAAAGATGAACTGGCTCTTAAAAACGTGATCGTAATCGTTGAGATGAAAGGAGCGAAAGCGATACTCAGTATTAATACTAACTTACAACTCTAGAAGTTGTAGAAGCTTTACTTTCGGTTTCGACTGTCCAACAAAAACAAAATCCAAAGTACTTAAATACCTGATCATTCTCGACTAAGTCCAGGAGTCGTCCTGGTGTCGCTGCTACGACGTCGCATGCGGAAGATTTGATTTTGGAGATTTGAATCCCCTTGTTAACTCCACCAATGATGCAGTGGACTGTCAAAGACATTTTCAGCTTGCTAGTGAATTCCTCTGCAACTTCAGCAATCTGTTGGACTAGTTCTTTCGTTGGCGCCATGCAAACCATCGCTGGATAGTGGTTCTTTTTACCGGAAGAAGTATTTACCCCGGAATTTTCAGCGAGCCTTTTAGCCAAGTAAGGCAAGACGAAAGCCAAACTCTTTCCACTACCAGTCTTGGCAATACCAAAAACGTCCTTACCTTGCAGGATCAACGGCCAAGCAACAGCCTGGATTGGAGAGGGCTTGCCGGAAGCACCGAACTTTTTTTCGCAGAGTGTTGAGATTTCTTGCGGGAGGCCAGAATCTTTGAAAGACGTTGCTGGCTTCGGAGTAGGGCAACCACTGACACTAATATTGTGCTCACCATAGAAAGGATCAGATTTAAAGCACTTTTCATCGGAAGAAGAAGATGCAGAAGTAGCTGATGTAGAAGTTGCTGTTGTAGCTTCTTGCTTGTCCTTCTTTTTCTTCTTGCCCGATGTCTCAGCAGCAACGGCCACTGGAGCTTCCTCCACAGCGGCAGGGGCTGCAGCTTCCTCACCGCCCTTATTTTTCTTCTTCTTCTTTTTGCTTACAGTCTCTTCCGAAGTCGTGGTGGCCTCTTCTTTGGCAGGAGCCGGAGCAGCAGGGGCCTCTTCCGCAGCATCCTTGTTTTTCTTTTTCTTCTTCTTTTTGCTAGATTCTTCTCCTGTCGCGGCAGTGGTGTTGCTCACTTCTGCGATCGCCGGTGCCTCTGCCTCAGCTGTTTTCTCGGTCTTCCTCTTCTTCTTCTTCGGCTCAACAGCGACAGCTGCTGCACTCTCCGGTGCACGCTTCTCAATGCTGGAAGAACCCATTTTTTGATGCGTCTAATATATTATTCACGCAAAAGTCGATAAAAAAGCCTTTGCTAAGAAAAACAACTTCTCTTATGCAAGTAGTTTAAAGTTGTAGACGAACTGAAAAATGTACTAACTTTTCCAGCTAGCTACACCAGATCTCCTTCACTTTTACAACCTGGGACTGAGTGGAGGAACAGAGATGAAAATCGAGACGAAAAACTGAAGGATCCTTGGGGAACGAAAAACATGATGCAGATCTTCTAATCATGGTTTTTTCCAGAGTGATCTGACATCTTCTAGTTACGAACATCAGTTAGATTCAATTAGAACATTTGGATTTGGATTTGGAGATTTCAGAAAAAAAAGTTTTCTGGCCACCAAAAGGGGCACAGTACGTTTCGCAATCAACAGAGAGGAGGGAGTGCAAGCGAACCAGTACCACTACATGACAGATCACTGTGATCATGGAGATCTCTGTTCTCCCGGGGAATGTGAACGGTGAAGTATGGCGATCTCAGAGCAGATAAGGTTGCTTTATTAGTACCCGTCTGCATTTACTACTGATGATGCGTAACTACCCTTGATAGTACAAGGCGGGTGGGTGGGGTGCGTTATGGATTCTATAATATGCGTAGCTCCTAGCAGGTCAAATCTTTCACTATGTGATCTCTGAATCTGTTTCATCTTTTTGGCCATGTCGTAACTGTGCAAAATTCAAAAGCCTCTAATCATGGCTCTGCTTCCTGTTCCTGTGCACTCTTCATTTTTTCTGCCAATCTGTCAGTAATAAATCTAAGCTTAGTTAGTCTTAGTTCTTGATTAACAAACTACATTTTACTGTCGACATAAGTTGAAAGATAACTTGAACTGCCATAGTCTGTACTAGTTTAGGTGATGATTAGGCAGAACATTAGCCATAGATCGTTACTACAAGGGGAGAATGAGGACAATGAATAGCACTATTCAAGGATCATGCGCAGCGGGAAGCGCATCTCCTGTTCTGTACTTCATCTTCACACATCTTGCTTAACTCGTTGGAATAATCGGCGCTTTTGCAGCTGCCGCTACCACGACAACGTTGAATATAACTTGAACCAGTAAAAATCATTCGTCATGCTTCGATTGCATCTTGTAGATTTAGATTTTTCCTGCTCGTAATTGATCATCGCAACATGAAACAATACAAATTTCTGTTTAGTACTTCGAGTACTTATACAAATACAACAAAATAAGCCTCACTCATCCTTCGCCCCCTCCTGAGCCGCGGCACCTTCAGCGGTAATCTCCGCTACCTTTTCGGAGACCGTTTTCCATTCGTCGCCTAAGTCGATTTCGGCAAGCCCTAGGGCCGCGATTCCCGCACATTTCTTGCCTTCTGCTAGGAACTCGAGAAGTTGCTCGACCTGGTGTTTGGGAAGATGGTCGTGAGGTGTTAAAACTTCCGGATGCAGGAACTTGTTGATCATGACCAGAACTTGTAGATCATCACCCTTGAACCTGTTTACTACTAGAAACTATGTTGAACAACAAGCTGCAAGAACAAGCTACTTACTGTACAGTACTAGCATTTTCCTTACAACTCCTATGTGCATTTTCCCTACTACTCCTACTGTGGTACTAGCATTTTCCCTACTACTGTAGTACTAGCATTTTCCCTACAATGTGAAGGTTGTACTATCCCCGCCTCCTTCTCCTCTGCGCCAGACTCAGCACCTGACTCGGCTCCCTGCTCTTGCTTTTCCTGCACAGCAGCTCGCAACTCCTCTAAGGCAGTTAGTTTTTCTTTGAGCTTTGGCACCACACCCGTTTCCAGTTCTAACCGCGCTTTTGCGCCTTTTAAGAGAGCTTCATCTATAACGGCAACATCTGCTGCCTCGGCTTCGGAGATGGCGGTGGCGGGACTTAGAGCAGAGGGGGTTCAAAGAGATTCCGGTTCCGGTAGAAGGTTCAATAGGTAGAAGAGGAGAGTAACAGAGAGAAGAATGAAATTAGACGTATAATACTAGGTGTTGATTAGAGGACCTAGAAGAGGAGTGTCTTCACATTCACAACAAGTAAGGAGAAAAAAATAAAGAACAAGTCTAAAGAGAAAAAGAGAAAAGAAAAAGATCATGAGAGTGACAGTGACAGAAGAATGAATAAATCTTAATATTGGAGGTGATTAGAGGACCTCCTAGACGAGCGTCAGCCAAAAACATTCTCATAAGACTTCCTCCTCACTAAACGCCAGCAAAGCTTCCTTCAATGCTGCCTGTTTCTCCCATCTTGCTGCCGTGTACGAGATGAGGTTTTCTCTCGTCTCCGCCAACGCCGAGTCGCCAAATGGAGTCGAAACAAACCAAGACAACAGTTTTGCAAACGTTTCCTGGTTCACTGCGACACTGTCAGCACACTCCGTTTTGTAGTCATCCCACAGCTTCTGCCTAGCTTCGGAATCGTCTCCCTTGTCGAGTGTTGCGAGGTCTAGAAGCTGAGGACCCATACCCGTGTCCCTTTCGACAAAAGCCGGCTTCTTCAGAGTATCGTAGAGGAATTGAAGGACATGTTTGGTTTGATGATGACCATCAGCATCTGAGAGGCCATGTCTGTACTTGTCTGCTATGACTTCCACAGCGATGCCGCCAGCACCACCTTGCTCTGCTTCAGCAGCGTTACAGAGGAAGAGGGCCTCGAACTCACTGAAGATATTGAAGATAGAAGAGGGCATCAAGGTGTTAGGATTATTGAAAATTGTTCGAACAAGGTTGAGATTATTTCATTTGATCATAATTGTCTGCTGGTACCAGAAGAAGATGAACTTAAACTTCTAGTTAGTTGTACGTAGGTGATTAGCAAAAAGTTGTACGTAGGCAATTAGGAAAAGATGAGTACCCTTGATCACCGTCTGCACACCACTTGTCCCTGGCGACTGTTGCTGCTTCCTCCCTCTCAGGTAAGGAGACTCCTGCTTTCTTCGCCCAGTTCTTCTTTACTATCTTAGAGGTAGGCTTTTGGTGCTCGCTTACCCCGCTTGTTATGCCTTTCTCCCACCTTAGGAGAGGCATAAAAAGCGGTAAGAAAAGCACCTTTAACCTACTCTTAACTATCGTTTCGAGATCCAGTTCGTTGGTGTCGTTGCCTACCACCAAGTCTCCATCTCCAAATATCTCGAGCTTCCATGAAGAGGGAGGTGGAGGAGCGCATTCTTCTGTTTTGATGAGGGATTTTGGAGATGTTCTTCATCTTGGAAGGAGATCATGATAGGTGGCAATTTTCTAGATTATACCATTATTTCGAAGTAGCAATGTAAAGTGACAACGTCGAGCGCGAGAGAGCAGCTCCAGCTCCATCTATAAGTACAACTAAGAAATGTCGGAACCGCGATGCTGATTGACTCGCTCACATTTTATAATGCTCTGCTGTTGATGTATCGCTGATCTCTCTGCAGGCCTCAGTGTTTTAAATCTCAATACCTCCCTCTCCTCCTTCCGCAGCTGCTTCTTCTGCTTTCACCGCCAAAGCAGGTAGCTCTGTCCTACCCGCACACTTGCTAGGGTCTAGATTGACTTGCAAGATGTATGTCGCGTTCGGCATGAATTCGACGTGGGCAAAAGTAGCAGAGTCTTTTCCTGCACTCTGAGCGACGGCTTCAAGTGATGCAAGCCAATTGGCCCGTCCACCATATTCCTCAGGGTCGATGTCAATGTTGCTCTCTAATGCTGGCAACGGCTCAACATCTGTTTCTTCACTTGTTGCTGTTTCGCCACACCTCTGGCTCTTCGCCGGTCGCATTGCCTCTTGAGGTGGATGTTGCACGAACAGAGTGGCGACGAAATAGACATCTGCAAAATTGGCCGTGATGCGCAAACAGGCAGATACGCGGTCGGTGGGACTCTGTGGAGTTTGACAAAAATTTGTATTTAAGCTGCATTTGAATTTCTTCTACTTGCTTGACTACTTCATAAGCTAGCAGCTATTGGAAACAGCAAAAAGAAGATCAACCCAATAAGAAAGAGGACAGTACCGCCACCGTGATCCTTTCTCGCAATATCACCGGATCAAAGGTCTTCAGGTCTTGGAGAGGCACGTCGAAGAGCTTGTGATTCGAAAAATCGATCGCCTTCACTTCGTATGGGGTGAACTGGATGTTAGAGCAGCGCAAGGAGGCGAGGTAGAAAAGCGTATTTTAAGGCGAGATAAAACAAAGGACTACGCTACTAGCTGAAAGTAGCTCCTATTATAATGCAGTTGCTCTAGACGATAGTGGATTAGTTAATCTTTATTAGGTCCGTTATAATTTCTGATTCAGAAGATTTGTTCATAATATCCAATTCCTCAAAGGATGGCTGTTTCTCCGACACCACTTGCTCAAAGCAGTGGATAAAGTAGTCCGGTTGCGTGCATGCTTGTGGCAGATTCGCTTCTAGCAGGAGGATAAAGGTGTCATCTTCTTGCGGTAGGGGAAAGCTGAACATTGGTAGAAAGCTGGTGACGTAGACATCCTCGGTCCACACTGGGTATAGTTAGAACTTATCTTGAAAGTCATCTTTGACGCGTTTTCCCCTTGAAAACGTGGCGAAGATGCCTCTGAAGATGAATTATTAGAGGAAGCCTTAGTATAAAGTCGGAGGAGCCTCTTCTTCTTCTCCCTCTACTGTTGCTGGTGCAGCTGCTTTCGTTCGTTTCACTAGTACTCTGAGACGCAGATGTGCTCTGACTTCCGGATCTGCGCAGTAGGTATAAGCGTGGACCATGCGTGGTAATCCAGCACCGGAAAAGCGTGAAACGAACTCGTACTTCGCCCAGAGACTGTAGCCTTGGGGTCTTTCCACTGGAGGGATGAAGGATGGAAGGATGATGAGTCGTTGGGAGGAAAGACCTTCAGAGACGAAGATTGTTCTTCAAGCCCAAAAAGGAGAAATTGAGTGAAGTACAACTTGTACTAGGCATCGATATGAATACTAGCACATCAAGGACTTGCTCAAGCCCCCTATCTTCCCACCCATTCAATTATCGGATTTTTACATTTACGATTCATAACAGCCGGCGCTTCCCCTTCCTCCAACGGCGGTGGTATTTTCAACACTGGTATCTTCGATCTTTGCTCCAAAAACGTTACTGGATCTATCCATTGGGTTTTCGCAACGAACTTCGCGTCATTGCTTTTCACTAGAACTTGATGTTTAGCTCCTCCAAAACCCGGATCCTCTAGCAAAAGGAAACAGTGCTCCACCCCTTTGGAGGTGTTCTTCGCTGAAGCACTAGCTCCTCCTCCACTGGTGGTACTGCTGCTCGCTGTCTGGTCTGATCCCGGCAATAGGCCAGGAACGATGGGTAATTCGAAACTGCATTGGGCTCGTGGCGCGTTCGGACCGCATAGATGCGTGCAGACACTGGTCACTTCCACGGGGTTGTTTTCGAAGAAGACGTGTGGCACGTTGTCTCCATTGTCGTCGTGTCCACCGCGTCCTCCATGATGACCTCCACCACCATGATGACCGCCGCCTCCGCCTAGACTGCCGCCAATAACGCCGGCCCGGGCCATGAAGGCTTCGCTGCTTCCGATGGCAACATTCGTTAGAAGTAGAGAAGGAGGCGACAGAACATGTTGAATGGATTCTTGCTTGAAGGGATGATACATCTACTTACGTGACAGAAGTAAGATAGATTTGTTTTCATGGCGAACGCAGAGGTAAAAAAGGTTCTCAACATGGATTCTAAAAAAGGTGAGAAGTGACTTCAAACCTATTCATAACCTATCCTCCAGTCTGGCCAAGTGCTTTTCCCTCTCCGCATAAGCCGCTTTGCACTTCATACGACATGGCCCTGTTCCGGTTCTAGATTCAATCGGATAAGAACCGAATTTCCAATGATCTATCTTGAAGAAGAAAGCGCCTTTGTGTGCGGCCGGTTCAATCGGTTCCATAGCTAGGACAACTGAAGCAGGCTCCGGCGGCGGTGGTGAGGGAGCAGGCTTTTCTTTTGGGTTAGAGGGGGTGAGTTGATGCGCTGGATGAAGTAAAAGAAATCTAATCCTTCTACTTCTATGTCAATCTATAGGTACCGTTTTAGAACCATGAGAAATCGCTCTTGTATGGACCACTCACGAGCATATAATATTGAGAAGATCAACACCAAGCCATACTACTCGGTGAGTGTTTTTCTGTCTTCTCCGCTTCCTCATGTGCCGGAGAATCGCCGGCTTCTGCATCTTCATCTACCACGTCATCTTGCCACATAAGCAGCTCATCATCATGACAGACTTTGATACTCCCTACGCCTGACGGACCGCCGCCTAATGCGCCACCCTTTGCTTGCGATCCCGCGCGGCGAAGTCGTAAGCTGAGGACCACGGGTGGGGATTAGAAAAGACATGTGCAATTAGAAGAGACAAGAAGAGATGAAGACTCCCGAAGACGTTCTTCTTGTTGGTCATCATCGTCATCCGCTCTTGTTGGTGTTCTAAGAAGCTAGTTAATTTCAATATTTATTTTCAACTTTAATATTTCAACTTCTACTGTACTTCATCAAGTGACCACGATCACGAATTAGGAGCCTTAATTAGTAGCCCCACGCCTTGCCTTCTCCTCCGGATTGTCCTGGGGGAAAGTGTTGTATTCCACACAGCTAAATTTCTCTGGTGTCTCGAAGGAGCCAAAGTGCGTTGCCAGATCGCAAACGTCCTGCCAGTGCACCCAGTGACCTCCGTCAACGTTGCGGGAAGGTTTAGAAGGAAAAGAGTCGAAAGGAAAGAGATAGGAGGTGGTTGTGGTGGTCACTCCTTATGAAAACGTGGGAAGGCCAAAGAAACTTTCTTGCCACCCTTGAGGATCGTCTAGAAACTAACGTCGAAAGCTTGTAGCCGGTTTCTTGTCATAATGACTGAGTCTCCTTCCTCCAGTTTCTTTCTCAGGGCAATGCGCTCCTCTTCCTTTGCGCGTTTCGCCCTGTGTTAAGTCGCCCGGATGAATGGTTACAACAGTATAGTTAGATAGACCGAAAAGGCGATAAGAATAAAGCGCATGCCCTCTAATGTATGAGGCGAGGGCGCCCTCCCTCCCAAGGTCTTACCCGTCTAAGGCAGGGGCTCAGGCGGGCTAAGTAAAGCCACGAATTACTTAGCAAGAACACAGAGGGGAAGCACTGCGCCCCTTGTCAGTTTGTCGGCTCCTTCACCGATTTCCATAGACACGAGGAGGCGCAGCAGCATCTGCATGTTGACTCCCAGTCATGAAATGAAGGAAATCAAACAGACACGCCAGCACCGCTCCACACGCTGCGACGCATATGCATGAAGCGGTGGCCCCTAGCGGATTCACCCACCAGCCCCGTGGAAAAAGGCAGAGCCGTGGCCACCTTGGAAAACTTTGCCGCTGGTCGGTATTGCATAGACGACATCCGACAGCCACAGCGCGGGCCGAAAACGCCACATCTAGGGGAAACGAGACATGCGAAACTAACTGGGCAGCTGGGGCGCCCTTGGGCAGACGAAACCACAAAAGAAGCGCCACAGCTCCACCCAGACGAAACGACAAGCAGCACCCAAGCCCGAATGAGCCCTCTCGCCTGCCACGATCTCCCGGCTGCAGCCTTCGATCCGTTTTCACCGTGCCACTTCCTCCGGCCTGCGAGCGAAAGACTAGACAAAAGCCCACACTACTCCTTGAAAATAGACAAAAACACCGCGACGCGGGTGGAACTGGGAACGACTATCCTATTCTTTCCACCCACTTTCTTTGATGCTCTGCATGCCCGCGCCAGTTGCCTCTGCCTGCGTCAGCCCTACCGCGGGCGGTACGTTCCGTGTGAGTGTGTGGCACTCCGTTCAAGCCCCCGCACCGACCCGGGAGCGGCTAGCGCTCACCTTGGCGAGGGGTCGGCTGGTGCTTCCCCATTGGAGACACCCACGCGGTGCGGATGGCAAGGAAACCAGCAAGCGGCGAACGGTTTAAAGAGGACGCGGCCCCCGATGTGTCCAAGCGGGTGCGAAGTGTCCTACCGGGTCCGACATGACTAGGCGCGCCCCGTGGCTTAGGCCCTACGCGAAAGCGTTGGCGCAGGCGAGTAGCCGCGTAAGCCTCCCCGTACACACCCGCCGAAAGTTCTGGAGGCGCATTCCGATTTTCATGATCTTCTGAAGATTAAAGCACCAGATGACAATTCTAAACACTGACTGGATATCAAATAGAAATAGCCCGAGTACGCTTCTTTTCGTTTCTGTTTTTCCGCAATAGCTTCAAAGTCGACCATTGCTGACTCCGTCGTGCTTCCATGCTCCTGCCCTTCGTTCTCTGAATTTTCGATTTCTGAGTTCTCATTCTCGGAGTCACTGGATTCTACCGCTTCCATCCGCACATGTCTCAGCATCTTACTCTCCATAGCCCACATAGGCTTCAAATTGCTCGGGAGCTTCAAGCGGACCTGGTCGTGGCGAGTTTTGAGACTGAGGCGCAAGAATGGTAAATCTAAAAGATGTGCTGCCTTAGCCTTTGTCTCTAGCGGGTTGTTGAAGTCTGGGACTTTTATCCTACCGAGACTCAACATTGAACTACATTGGAGTCTGGAGTATTTTCCATTGAACATCCCTTCGTCAGCAGCTCTAGTATGAACGAGGAACTACAACATTGGAGTCTGGAGTATTTCCCATTGAACATCCCTTCGTCAGCAGCTCTAGTATAATGAATGAGGGAGTCCTTCTTTTAGGAGAAGTACACGTTAGTAGTACCTGTCTATGCAGCACGACTCCTTTTTCATCCTTGTTTTCGTTGACTTCACATATTGTTCCGTGAAGATGAGCGTATGCGGACTCGTCTGTATCTGTTTCCTGTGCTTCTGGTTTGAACATCAGATGGGGCATCTTCACCCCTTCCTGCACTCTCGAGGACAGGCGTGCCCACGTAAGCGGCTCCACTACCGGGATAAAACCAGTCAGGAGGTGGAGGAGGTTAGAGGATTCCATTTTTAGGAGTAAGACATGCGAGAAGTATTTTTGCCTCAGCTCCTTCATCCACTTGATCATCATGAAGAATGAACTTGATCTTGATGAACTACAAAAAAGTAAAATCTGCAACTTCAAGAAGATCATCGAAAACCGTTTTCCAATCATAACCAAAGGCACAAACGAGAAGTCTTGAGAGACTTTCAAGATAGCTTTGCCCAGTATCTGCGTCCACATCGAAGCGTTTTTCTCTAGGTCTCTAGCAGGATCAACTTTCGGCGGTCTTCGCTTCTTGGACGGGGAGAGGGATTCTGTTGAGGTAGAACTCGTGTGGGAATGTGTAGAAGTGGGACTGTGAGTAAAAGAACCAACTACACCAGGACGACAACTACAATGTGAGTAAAAGAATCACAGCCAGAAACTTACTGTAGTGCGCCTCCACGTCAGGTGGAGTGAGCAGACTCGTGTGGGAATATGAAGAGTGAGGAGGTTGGGGAGCAGCAGAACTAGAAGTCTTGCACTTGTGGTCCTGCGAGTAGAGCACTTTGGTGTACACCGTACACATCTATTTTCAGGAAAAAATCTTGATCTTCTTCAAGATCATGACGGATGGGAATGCAGCTACATCAATTAATTACGTGCTATCCTCGCCAGTATCGCATTCGTGCACGCATTTGGCAATAGCGAGTGATAGTCGTTGTCGCCTCTTGGATTTTCGCAAGGTATGCAGTCATCCACAGCTATCGCTCTCCACTTTCCGAAGAGCCAGAGACGGACTACGTACTTGCCACTCGGATTGATGATGGGCATCTTTGCTTTGCCAGCCTTTGGTGGCGGTGGAGGCTCCTCTTGGCCTTCCTCGGTGGAGGTTAGAGAAGGTCGTGGAGGTGGAAGGTTATAAGTACGTCGATTGCTAATCATGGTCCAAAAATTATATGGATAGAAGTAGCTAGGAGACCACATGATAAGAAAACTTTAAAAATTCCTTTTCCTCTCGTCACAGAGCAGCAAGATCCATATAATCTTCGGACAAGGTAGTTCTCGTCCATTCAATTCCATACCTTCTCCTCCCCTTGCTTGAATGAGACTTCGGCTTGTGGATAGATCAGCTCGTAGAGGTAGTCACCAGTTGGTAGCATGGTAGATGCGTTGTCTTCGATTAGCTGGAACGCGCTGGCCATTGACTGTGCATAGCTCGAATCTTGGTGTGGCTGGACGAACATGCAAGCGGGCATACGTAAGGGATTAGAGCACCAGGAGATAAGCAGTGGAAACTTCAACATAGCGGCCAGAGACAGTATTCTCAGGTACTCTTATCTAGTTGTATTCTCTCGAATATCTCAATGGTGACGATCTCATGCACATGATCTATCACCTTCATCCCCATAAAATAATGGAGTACGAATTAGATTGTAGGTTATTCAACTTCACTAACCTCGCATTTAGCAGAACTAATTTTAAACGCACACACTGAAGAAGGGAGGGGTATGTTGGTCGTCAATGCTTCCCCATAAAATAAGGCGCCGGCGGTGGTGTTGCGTTGGACTGTTGGGAGCCACTCGACTTCATACTGGCGGCTGACATAGGCCTACTGCTCATGCCTGGCACCGGCAATCCCAGTTCCCGATACATGTCGTGCTGCTGAGCTTAGAAGGCACTTTCTTTCGTAGGAATATAGAAGATCGAGTGTTGTATCTTGTTGTTTGGTCCAATGGAGAACAAGAAAGTGCTGTCATTAGTAAGCCACAACTAATAGTAATTTTATGATGAGCAGTAGTCGTAAGTAGTATCAGGATAAATCACAGGATAGGCATCAACCGAAGAAATAGAAATCAGCAGGATCATAATTGACATTCTCCAAAAACGCCAGCATGCAAGACTTGCTATATGCCTCCCCACGTGGTGCGAGATACTCCTCGTACTGTTGCTGAGTAGACTTCTCGCTTTGCTCCTGTTGTATGTTTGGTGGGTACTCAGAAGTGTAAGTAGAAATGGCCGTAACATTCCTGGCAACTACAATTCTTTCGATGAGACGGAAGAAAGCATTGCCTGATGACAAAACGAAATTTGACGAGTCTAGTCATTGTGTGTGTGTGCAGCAACATCTCATAGTACAAAAGCCGGCTTAATCTCAGCCTCATCTTCTGGTGGTTCGACGACATGCTGAGCAGCTTTTATATGTGTAAGCCTGCGCCAGCTCTCAGTTCGCTTCTTTATTGATTCCTCTAGTGGCACCTCTTGAGCTTCGGATCTCCATACTCTGAAGGATGTGGAGTTGAGAAGTGGATTTGAGAAGTGGAGTTGAGAATAGATATCCATATCATGCTGATTATGGAGTCCTCATCCTCAACAAGAGCTTGCTTTCCTTCCTCGTATTAAGAGAACTGTAGTACTTAAATAGATGATCAACCAAAGATACGGATATTCCACGTCGAACCAGGTCCCTGGCGTTTGTCGAACGTTGAATTTGTCGGCTACACTAGGATCTGGAAAATAGCTCTCCACTACATCAAACTGCCAATTGATATGGTCCACCAAAGCCGGATCCCACTCTGGGTAGTCGCGAACCTGCTTCCTCTCCGCAGGGACGAAGGTGCGGACTTCCTCTGCTGCTTCAACCTGTGAAGGCTCTCTCGCTTCGAACGTCAAGTTCGAAGGAGGACCTGCGTCTGCGTCTTTCTTCGGCGGCATGGTGATTCACATCATTTCTCGACTAGCTCCCCCTCTTCACTACAGTTTTTGACATTCCTCTTCCTGTGAAAGAACTAGTTCACGCTCACTCTCTCTCCTTAGGCTATTTTTCTTCTTCATTTCTCTCTGTCTCTCCTAGGCGAACAAGTGCACTGCTTGAGGCCCTTTTGTACATGCAACAAGGAGAAGTACACATTTGCACCTGTTTTTTCTACTGTATAATCGAATACCTAAAATAGCCTTCAACACCTTCTCTACCGAGTACGTCATGTCATGTGTATGTCCTTCTATACCAAAAATTGCCGTGAACACCTTCTGCTCTACTCGATCCACAAAGAATGAAAGAGCAGCCTCTACGACGAGCGATCCACATCAAAAACAACAGCTTAAATCTTCAGCTGCTTTTTTCTCCGCTCGGAGTCTAGTCATCAACAATTTCATTCAGCTGGAGTGTCAACATTCAGAAAGTGTGAATCAAGGCAAAGTTCAGCAGATGAGAGTGCGTGGAGATTTCATCAGTCGTCCAATCTCTCGTCCTGAATCAGCCTGGTTCGCAGTTTTCCTGGAGGCTCAGGCGGTGGACGTGGTGCGAAGAGGGCGCTCGAAGATGACGAACAAGAATATTCCATGTCGCTCGTGTTCCTTGGGATCTTAGAAGAAGAGCCAGCTAAGGCTGAGATGGTTTTGGATATCTTCAAACCACAAGTACTATCTTGATCTTCTAGCTCTGATTTCTAGAATAACGAAACACATGATAAGATCGTCATGCTTGTTAAATCCTTATTCGCTAGTATCCATAATACTCGAGGATGACACCGTCGACATTGGGCTAGCGCGATACTGTCGTCTGCGCGCATGCTGAGCTCGTTTTCGGCGCTCTGCATCAGGTAGGTAGCCCATCAACCGATAAAATTCATTTCTACCCTGGAAGGCTTGACGCAGTTCAATCGAAGAAGACGTTGTCATACCCGTTGCTGATGCTTGGAGGTGGAAGTCGTCATCAACAGAGGTCGAGTACTTGTCATCATCGAAATCAAGATCGCGGCTGTAGCTTTCCTTGTTCCGAGAGGCACGACCAGTATGACGTCGTGAAGTACTAGAATCTTCCCTATTCTTCTTCTTTTTGTCCCCTAGTTGTCCTTGTGAATGTTGCCGTAGGAATCTTTGGACGCCCTTGCTAGTACTACTTGTCGCGCGATCTTCACCTCCGTCTCCTCGTTGACTGGTCTTTTTCGATTTCCTTCCAGAAGGTGGAGAACTAGAACCACGAAAAGCAGCTCCGCCTCCAGCCCCCGATGTAGTTGCCCCTCCAGCGCCCGTGGCGAGGTCCTCGCTGTCATCCATCTCACTTCTACTACTTCCAGTTCTTAAAGGTTTGACAACAAAATCCTTCATCAGACTACTAGTACTCTTTGATGCGTTCGCATTCTTTCCACCAGATGAAAGGTCCTTCAAAAAGTCGCTATTCCTCGCTGATTCATTTTTCCCCGATCTCCGACGAGTACTGTTGAATTCACCACCCTTGGAGAGAACATTTCTTGTGGAGGCAGTCCTCTGCAAACTGCGAGCACCGGTAATGCTTACCCCAGATGTCGTTGAGGCTCCACCTGGAGAGGTGAAAACTCTACCACTTCTATGATTCTGATTCCAACTCCTGCTGGCTCTTGCTGTTGAAAAGGATACAACTGGAGATGAACCTTGAGGACTATGAGGATGGGGTGAACTTCTCGCACTCCTTGTCCGTCTACTCATCGGAGAAGACGACAAACTCGCGCTCAGCGACCGTTCTGCCAACTTTCTTCGGACAGTAGCCGTCCAATCAAACCAGTGCAGAAAACACACCCGCAACCGGTTCTTGTTGCTGATCTTCAACAACTTCCTCTCGATCTCGTCAAGGAATCTGGCTTTCATCGACTTCCTCTGTAAAGACTTTTCAAGAAGGGCTGTGGCTTGCTGTTGGATTGCAGCTGAGGCGCCTATGGTAAGATTGGATCTATACTCGTTCTTGGAACCAGAAATAGGAGAAATGCTCACAACATCTTCACTACCAGAAGTTTCTTCACCCTTTTTCGAATTCGGTTTACCAGCTACGTTGACGTTATTTTTCTTGTCTTCTCTCTTCTCAGCCAATAACCGACGCGCACGCTCTTCGGAGTCAAGGAGCTTACGACGTAGCATGGCGATCTCTGCCTCCTTATCATCGATCTCCGAACGTGCTCTAGCCAGTTCCAAATCATGCGTCCTCGCAATACCGCGTTTCTCCTTCTCATTTTGCGCTTGCGATGCAACCTCCGTCTCCCTCGCTGCAGCTAGTTCCTGTCGTACACGTAACACTTCTAGGTCATGTTTCCTCTGCAGTTCTATGAACTGCTGCTCGTGCGATGCCAAAACTTTGCGAAGTTGGGACATTTGTTCGGCGAAAGCTTGTCTTCGTTCAGTATCCTGCTCCTCCAGAGCTTGCTGAAATAGCGCAGCGTTGGTTTGTTCTTGGAAGCCGCCGCCACCTCCTGCTGAGGTCGCAGCTAGCAGTTTCGCTAGGGCTGTGGCAGAAGTGGATGAGGATGTTGAAACTCCCATAATACTACCTAGTTTACCACCTCCAACACGTCCAGCAGCAGACGCACCTCCAAGTGCAGCACTAGGATTCGCAGAACCAAAGAGACCAGGATCGGTGTCAAGATTATTCACCAAATTGGTCAAACCACGACTGAGCTGGCGGCCTTCGGCTAGGGCTTGGCGTGCAACCACTGCATTCAACATGATATCTTCTAGGCGGATGGTCTGTGGTACAACTGATGCTGGTGGAGGTTCTAGTACCTTATCTATTACAACCTCTGTAGTACTTGAAGTTGCAACTGGAACTGCTGGACTCGCTTCTGATGAAGAAGCACCTGTAGCACCAGCAGCAGCCTGTATTTGACTCTTGCTTACAAGTGCTCCCTTGGACATAGACTTTGCCCCTTTCTTGTCTTCATCGTCTCCGCTACTGCTCGTACTCGAAGACTCCTGCTCTTTCGAAGAACGAGCACGAGAGGACTTTTTCCTCTTCTTTTTCTTGTCATCTTTTCTGCTTTGCCTCCTCTTGCCTGGAGAGAATGAAACGCTCCTACCTCGAGCGCTGGACTTCGAGGATTTCTTCTTGCTTTTCTTCTTCTTTTTGCTGGAAGTGAAACTGGACGACGAAGAATCAACACTGTGGTCGCCATCAACAATTATACTGTCCTCGCTCGAAGATGTAGATGAAGAGTCTTTGATCTTCGACCTTGACCTCGATCTACTTCTAGTACTTTTCTTTTTCCTATCTTCTCCTATCTCACCTTCTGATTCATCATCTTCATCTTCTACTTCATCATCTTCAGAACGCTTGATGTAGTTGGTGTCCTTTTTCTTCTTCTTCTTTTTCTTTTTGGGTTTACTAATGCTCCTTCCGTTGCTATCTCTGAACTCCTCATCATCTACTCCTCCACGACTACCTCCATTAGGACTAGAGGACTGCAGTATCAAACTAGCACTGTTCGGCTTTATCGTCGCATTATTTGTAGTACCTTTTTGCTCCAGGCCGCCCTCGTCAGCAGCTCTAGGTTGTGGTCGTACTAGACTCCGCCACAGTTCAAAGATATGCCGTTTCTGCAGCGCTTGAGATGCTCTCGTCGCTGCTTCTACCATGCTCAAATTAGCGGCTTTCGCACTTGTTTTGCTCCGATTGCTACTGTAAGGTGTCTGATAGAGAGTTTTCCCTGCAGATCTTGTCGAAGAAGATGAAGAAAAGTCTCGTTGTGGAGACGGTGTGGCGAAAAGACCACTACCTGCACCTCCGCCACCACCTGCTTGTTGCTCGAGCTCATCAACATCGTCTTCATCATCGTCAACATTATCAGAATCCTCACCTTCCTTGAAGGAAGATGCTACAGAGAACAAGCTAATTTCGCTGGTACGAAGTTTCACGCGTCCGGTGTCATCGAGTTTGGTCGCTTTTTTAGCCAGTTTTGGCACTCTTTTGCCAGATGAACCAGCGCCACTCTTGTACCTAGAGGGTACATTCGCATATCTGGCACTAGTACTGGTCTCTATGTCAGGAGACAGTCTACTTTTACTTTTACTAGGAATAGTGGCTCCTGCAGCACCGGTAGTTGTACTTTCACTCCTCTTGTTCAGCGAAACGTTGGCAACTGTAGGTGGCATCCTTGTAGAAGATGTGGAAGCAGAAGCACTCTGACTCTTGCTCGTGGTCTTGTCTGGAGAGAAAGACACCTTGGTGCTCTTGCTCTTGGAAACAGAGGCGTTGACATCAGCAGCTGCGCCTCTAGTGGGTGGCACGGAAGATGAACCGGTGCCAGGCTTCTTTTTCTCCGTTTCCTTCTTTTTACGCCCATCTTCCGCATCCTCGTAAAACATAAAGTTGTTGTTCCGCCCTCTAGTAGTACTCCTACCTCTACTTGAAGAAGTTGCCGGTTCTGAGATTAACAGACGTGTGAAGAAGTCTGCGGTCTCTGAGTCGGCAGGCGTAGCACTGGGCATCTTCGCAAGCGGTAGCGGAAGCAAACAATTCGTATTTTTTTTCGAATGAATTGAAAACTAAAAAATGACTGGTGTACTAACCTGTTCTATTGCGTGCTAGTCCAAGAGGTGGAAATGATTTTCATCACAGGAAGCATTGATTGTCTGGATTATAGACATCCATATTTCACAACTCGTGCTTCTTGTCAAGGTGGTCGGGAGACCTCAGCAGGATTGCTACACATGATCGAATCGGGAGACCGAATCTGAGAAACGATGACAGATTCAAGCAAACTTCGTCAAACCGATGAACATTTGCTTGTTAAATAAATACAACTTGAACTTGGTTAGTGGAAGATGACAGTGACAGAAATTACTTTGGATTTGGACTTGGAGATTTACCATTCAGTGCTCTTGTCAACCACGACCGACAAGACAGAGACAGAAGCAGGGACAGAGACAGAAGCAGGGTCAGAGACAGAAGCAGGCACATTATGAGACGTTTCTTCAAGATCCGCAAGATGACCGAGGACAAGCAGCAACGACCCACAGCAATGAGATTGATAGAGAGCTGGCAGAAGCAGGCAAAGTATCAGCTTGACTGCAGTATTGCCACGCCGTGGGACCCACGGCGGAGTGAAAATCACAAAACGTTGTAGCATAGCGCCACATCTATACACTGACTTAACAGAAGGATTCAGAAAAAGACATACCAACAAAGCATCTTTGTGTTTACGGAATGGAGCATACATCTGCAGCATTTTTTTAATGGGATCGACATCGAGTTTCTAGTTTCTGAAAAAACAAAAGACCACTTGTAGTTTGTCTTCGGAGATGAAAGGGATCGATTTTTGTATCATGATTAAAAGACGACTATCGAAGTGAAAAATGAGCTGCGGCAGGAGTAGCGCAACGAGAAATTGTTTTACCTCATGATTGTTGAGAAATTCAAGTTCTTTCGAAAGAAGATAGAAAAAAGAGTTCTAATGCAAATTCAAATTGGTGGAACAGTATTAAGCAGCATTCAATGTAAAGGAAATTTAGACGGAAAGACAACCACTATCTTCAGGATTTAGCGTAAAAAAAGTTCTCCTAGTTCATATTTTTTGATTTTAGAGTAGGAATCATAAATAACCATAAGTATTTCGTCTTGTTAGAATTGTTTTGAGTTGTGAATGAAAGTTCAAGCTGTAAGACTAAGGTTTCATAGACGTTGACGAAATTGAAAACTTCTTCGTACTACGATTCTAGCTCCTTATTTGCGAAACACCATTACTAGAAGATAATGACGTACTACGATTCTAGCTCCTTCTTTGCGAAACACCATTACTAGTAGAAGATAATGACGTACTACGATTCTAGCTCCTTATTCGCGAAGCACCATTACTAGAAGACAATGACCCTCCTGAAAGTCGCAACTCCTCATCCAACTCCTCATCGTACCAACTCCTCATCCTCCTCTACGCGGTCCCAGCCTTCTCCTCCGTAGAAGATTTGGACTTATTTTGTTTTTTCTGCGAGCTAGCGGGCGATGAAGATGTTGGAGATTCTTCGTCAGACGAAGACCCTTCTTCAGACGAGGAACCACTGCTAGAAGATCCTGGAGAGCTACCAGGACTAGAGGATGAACCCGCCTTCGGTGAAGCCTTAGGGCTTTCAGCTTGTTCTTCCTGGACTTGTTCAGTTGTTGTAGCTACTGGAGCTGCTTCTACTGCTGATGTATTGAGGGCTTCTTGTGCTGGTTGCCCCGATTTTTCATTTTCCTCAGCTACACGACTTGCCTCAAGGGGAGCCAGCGGCGCTTCATCTGGTGCTCGCTCTTGATTTTCCCCTTCGTCCTTAACACCTCCAGCTCCATCTTCTACTATAGCAGGATACTCTTCAGCTTCACCCTGCACTTGTTCTTCTGTCTTCACAGACCCTTTTGACTTGGATATTGATGATTTCAAAGTAGACGACTTAGACGTTGGAGATGTTCCACTACCACTTGAGCTCGCAGACTGTTCCGCAGACGGTTCCTGTTCCCGGTTTCTCACTTCCTCCTCCTGCTCAGAAGCGACTGGCAGGGACACTTTGTTCTGCTCTTGTTCATCTGGTACTGGCTTCTCTTCTATTCTTTCTACTGGTGGTGGAACTTCAGGGGCAGAAGTACGTTTTTCGAGATTTTTTTGAGTTTCGTCACCACCCTGAAGTTGTACTTGCCCTGCTTCAGCATCTACTGCTCGAGTTTCGTCACCACCCTGAAGTTGTACTACTTGCTCTGCTTCAGCATCTACTGCTTTGCCCGCAGAGATTTCAGGAGCCTCTTGCTCCTCTGCGTGATCCCTAGCAGATGTTGGAAATGGGTCATCCCTAGCTGTATCACCTCCTCCCCTGCTGTTCTCAGGAGAGAAGAGTTCCTCTTGCTCCCTCAGTTCCTCTTGATCCCTGACAGTCACTGCATCCATTTCCTCTTCGCCCCCGCCGCCCATATTCAAGGCTGAAATTGCGCCAGGCTTCATCAGCATCGCAAATGGCTCTGGTTCTTGTTCCACAGCAGCTTCTTGTTCCACAGCAGCTTCTTGTTCCACTGAGGGTGCAGCAGCCTCTACTTGATCTACTTGTTGAAGACATTCATCTTCCTGAGTACTATCCTTTCCTCCTGGGACGTCTTCGCTGATCACAGCAACATCTTCTTTAGGAAGACGAGGAGTTGCGAGAGCAGACGCACTAGCACTACTTCCTCCTATCTGTTCCTGTAAACTGTCACCCGCAGTGCGGCCGCTGAGCGGTGCATTTTCATGCAGTCCTTCGCTTAGGCCCGCATGAAGCGACAGATGAATTGTTGCTTCAGACGAGTTTCCCGCTGCTAATGCATCTGGTGCTCCCTCGATGTTGTTCTCGCTTGTGCCGAGTAGCAGCTCTGGTGGTGTAGGAGGTTCTGCTTCTTGTGCCGCTACTTCAGATGAAGACCCCACAACGGCTTCGGCATCCTCACCTGCTCCGACATCACTCTTCTTCGCCTCAACATCTTCTCCCGTAGTTCCTCTCTGCTCCACCACAACAGACTCAGACGCTTCTACTGCCTCTCCTGCAACTGCATTTTGTTCTCCTTCTATCTGCTTCTCGACTTCTCCCTCCCGATCCTCTTCCCTATCAGCCTCCGTAACGCCTGCCAAAGCCGTCGGTTTCTCGGCACCGCCTGCTTCCTTTGCGAATTTCTTGTTGCCGTTTGTTGAGCGAGAGGTTTATTTAGAGATGGGAGAAGAAGATGCACTACTAGAGGGGGAAAGGTACTGCTGCTCTGAATGCTTCCGGTATTTGGCAACCTCCTCAGTGTGATCATAAGGGGAAAACAAGAACAGAACGACCCTTGTGATCGAACTCAGGAGGTTACCAAATACCAGAACCGTACATGCTCAGATATGTGAGTGAAAAACCATGATACAGATATACCTGCTGGAAGAGAGCAAGAAAAAACGTTGTATCGATCAACACAGCACCAGCTGCTGTTGAAACCAAGTACTTACACGAACCCATTTTTCATCCTTGTTTCTCATAACAAGCATTCCATCCTTCAGTTCCGTATTCAGATACAGTCCCAAATCTGTCAAGCTCGGATCGGAGTCCGCATCTAATGCTAGCCGGGGATTCCCTCCTGCTTGAGGCGAAGGACCTCCTATAGAAGATGACGATGCTCCCCCTCCCATTCCCATGTTTAATTGCAATGGCGGCGGTTCTTGTGTGCCACTCTCTGGAGGTGTTCCTGCATCAAAAGGACTCAGTTGGTCACGCGGTATCTCCAAATTGTCAAAGGTATTTGACAACGCCAATGTATCCCCACCTCCAAAATGACTACTGTTGAAACCACCAGTGCGTGATCCTTGGTCAATTTCGTTGTCACTCAAAGCAGTTGCTGAGCCAGGTGCTTTCATGAACTGAGAGCCGTTGTTTCTATCCTTTGCTCTTCCTCCTGATGTGGTTGGTGGTTTACTACCGCTTGAAGATGCACTACGACTTGGCGGGTCTACTTCATCTAGACCCTTATTTACGTAAGTGCCAAGATCCACCTTCATGAGGCCGTTCATCATCCCCCCAGAAGAGCCTCCTCCACTCCTTGCTGAATCCAATGGCCTGTCCCAACTAGGCAAGGGGACCACGATGTTGGCGCCGATAAGAGATTTGTCTTTCGACAAGCCTAAGATTGCACGATGGACAGCGGCAATCGACTCATCGAATTCCTGCGCATGTCGGTCTGCACGAGTCTTCACGCGCTCAAACTCATCAGCCGTCCTTTTTTCGTTCTTGTAACAGCGTTCGTCCAGCCTCTTTGCCTGTGCAGTCAAGGCTTGCTCTGCTTTCTCAGTTGCAGCGTCTTGGCGCTCGATCAGATGCGTCCTGGTATGCGAAATAGTCTCCTCCAATGCAGTTCTAGTTCGGTCCACAGCCTGGAGGAGGTCCTGGAGGCGTTCCTGCAATCTGTTCAAGTGCGCGTCGTACGCCTCGCACTGGCGGGAGTAGGCAATTAGAAGCATATTCATCTGGAGTAGTTGGGACTCCTCTGACAAAACAGAAATAATAGCACTAGATGAGCTTAGGGTTAGGATGATATTCGTTATTTTATACAACTAGTACAGAGCAGTCTACTTGAGAAATGAGTAGATTCTTCTTGTTCATCAATTGAAAAACATGCATCTTTCTAGTTCTACTTCATAAATCCAATCTCCATTTCGCCACGACTTCGTCCACATATCTGCTCATTCTTTCCGCCCTTTCGGAGCCCTCCTTCCTGGTCTCGCCTAGAGCGTCGCTCAGTTGCCGCAACCGTTCACTCAACTGCTCGAATGCACTGGCTTGAGATTGTGACAGGTTCTTCACTACCTCCCGCACGCTTTCCGTCATTTTGCGTTCCGTTTCCATGCGATGCCGCATCTCGTCTTTGAATAAGGTCTGGGTCGTTTAGTTAGGGTTTGTTTAGTAAGGGCTGGGTTTAGTTTAGGTGGTTAGGGCTGGAGGTGGAACAGGGTTAGGGCTGGAGGTGGAAGTACGAGTAGTTATCTTCCATCACAATTATTCTTTCATCACAGGAGTGCTGTATAATTTCCACACTCACGAAGTACTTAGGTCGGATCATGTTGTGAGGATATATAACAAAGAGATGAAGTAGAATATTGTGAGGTAGATGAAGAAGCCTCGTCACGAAAATGTAGACGAAAGAATCAACAAAGTAGATTGACGTGGAAGTAGTACCTGAACATCCCTCACATTTTCGTGCACTTCTCCACGTATTTCTTTCACCGTTTCAATCTGCTTTTGCTGAAACTCCTCAATTTTTTCATAGAGAGCCGTTAGACCGTCTTGTCTTAAAGTCTCCGTGCGCGCGATTTGTCCGACTACCTGTTGAGGTGGATTGTAGAACAAGAAAAATTGTTGGTGCATAAACAAGCGATAGCGAATCATGATAAATAAAATCACACTTTTGACGTAGAAGATAATAAAAATCATAGAAGAAGTACTTACCTGATTCAATTTGCTATCCACGATTGCCCTTAAAGCATCCCTCTCTGCCTCCTCCCGCTTTTGCATCATCTCTATCTTGTTGCCGCACTTGAGCTCCATATCGGAAATACTCACGGCGTTCAGACTGTCGACGCCCTGCAATTCCTCTCGGATTTCTGCTTGTCTCGCCAACACCTCATGCTTCTCCATCTCTATCTTCGAGATCAAGACTTCTTGTCTCTGCTCAACTATCGTGAGCATCTCCTGTTTCTGGGTAGCCAGGTCCTCATTTAGGTTCTTTATCCGCTCTTCATATTCCGCAATGATGGCACTTCGTGTCTTCCGGTCTTTTTCTAGTTCGATCACCGTGTCGGTGAAGTCTTTACCGAGCTGGGAGACTTGAGCCTGTAGTGGAGATAAAAAGTGCGGAAAACATAAAAAGTGTGTGAATTGTGCGGAACTGGAAGACAGTTAATCATGTGAAGTAACTTCAGACGGGAACTTGCTTTGCCAGCGACTGAAAAATTCCTCAGATCAAGGATCAGTTGTACCCTCAGTTGCTCCACATGTTCTCTAAACGCGAAGCCTCCCATCATCTTTCCTTCTCCACTACGACTACCTTCGTCTTTGCAGAGAATAGCGTTTTCTAGGTTGACGATTCGAGCTCTCGCATCTCCCTTAAAAGCCGCATGAGCTTGTTCCATATCCTCTAGCAACGCGTTTAGACGCCCGTGACCCTCTGTCAACTCCTCCTGTTGCCGTTTCACGTCAGCGCGAGCGTCGTTTTCCTGGTATTCGTGTTTGGTGGGATGGCGATGGGGGTCTACTTTCGTAAGTCGGAGGATGATCTAAGAATTTTCTGTAGAGCAGGAGAAAGAACCTGAAACTGTCAACATCATGTTGACAACATGTTTCACAAAAAATAGTACCTGAAACTGATGTTTTGCGAATTGGTTCTTGATAAGCTGTTCAGTAATCAATTGATTAGTTGCTCGTCAAGTGCGTCTACATATTGTTCAGCCTCAAGTTCAGGATCGCCTTCTTCGTGTAAGTCCACCTCTGGTACTGCTTCTGGATTAACATGTATGTTTCACAAAAAATAGTACCTGAAACTGATGTTTTGCGAATTGGTTCTTGATAAGCTGTTCAGTCTCCTGGCGTTGACGGTAGACACTCTGGACCGCGAAATCTCTGAAATCGTTTTGTAGCCCCCTCACAGACTCCTTGACTGTGCTACTTTCCCTCTCACTGCGGACTTTGTGCTCCTCGTGCTGCGAAAGTTTACCTTGGATCATGTTTTATTCCGGAAGTTATTGTTTCATGGAAGTTATTGTTTACCTTGAATAGTAGTTCCAGAAAGTTTACCTTGGATCATGTTTTTGAAGATTATTCTTTTCATGGAGGAAAGACCATAGAATTCTTCTTCAGATGAAGAATGTAGTTCCAGAAAAGTCCATATTACTCTTGTCCGACAAAATCACTCCACTTTTTACCACTGAAACTTTTGCCAGAAATAACACCGGTAAAACCACCTCCATGTGGTCCATCTTCTTGAAAGAATCATAACAACAACAAGTCTACTAAATGAATTATTTATCACAAGTTGATGTCTAATAAATGATCATTTCCTTGTTCTACAACTTGAAAAATAATTATTAAGTATAACGAGGACAAGTAGCAGTTGTACTTGCCACATCTCGAACGAATCCCGAATGTCCTTCCTGCAATTCTCTAACGTTAATTTGCAGCTTCCTTATTATCTCTGCGTCCGTTCTGGCTCGTTCGTCTAGTTGTGAAGAGAGGTTTCCGTTCTTGTTTTCCAGAACCGATATGCGATCCGTGAGCAACCGGCAGATTCGCAAGGATTAGATGGTAAGACCAGTAAGAAGTCGTGTATTAACGCATGTAAAAAGTTGGGCGGGACGAAGCTACTTGTTGGCATCTTCTGTACTATAAAGTACGAAAGTAGCTAGAACTCGTCGTGGTGATGTCTGTAACAGTAAGTCAACCCACACCTCCGATGGAACTCATAAAGTTGTGAATTAAAAATAGTTGTACTAAAAATCCGGTTGTAGTAAATTCTACTTTAGGTCGTGTAACTACTGTTGTAAATAAACCAAAAACGAGTACTTCTCAGCACTATCACTAGTTGTTCTAGTTCTACGCCATAATCCAGCGAAAAAATCTGATTCTGCAAGCCTTGGTTCTGCGCCGCCGCATGATGCGACGCTTGTTGTTCCTCTGACAAAGGCTTCTGCAATAGATCCGGGTTCTGTAGCAGCTCCTTCGGCAGTTGTTTCAACGTTTGAGGAGAAGAGCCTCCTGGCCCTCCGCCACCAGGTGGTCCTCCAGAAGATGCAGGATTTATTGGGTTTCCTCCTCCTGAACCTCCTGCAGGTGGTGGGTTTCCGACTGGCTGTTGAGGCACAAAATCGCGATAGACACCAAGTGGCGGACTACGGAAGTTGTTGTACATTGGCTTGAATTGAGGTGGTACAATTTGATTTCCACCTCCTGCGGCTCCTAGAGGCAGCTTAGGAGGAGAGTTTTCGTCCTGTGGTCGTCCTCCTGCCCACGACAAAATGTCACCCATCTGGGTGCGGTGTCGGACCGGAGGTAACATTTTCTTGGATCGTGCGTCTCTTCTAAGCAAGTAGAAGAAGTACTAGAGGTACTACTACTTCAAGAAAAAAATATGCTTCAAGAAAAAAATATGCAAGAACCACTACATGTCGTGACGACTAAGAAGGTATGCAACAGACAGGTACGACTACTAGGTGGACGCGTTAGAAGTACAAAGAAGAAGATACTCTCAGTAGTGACAAGTCAAGAGATGAAAGATGGTCCAGCACAACACCCTCTTTAAAGCGATCCGATCAACACGAAATTGACGCACGATATGCACAACCAAACGAAATACCATCGACGATGGCGATACAAACTACAAAGCTACAAGATGAAGTCATTTTTGAAACAAGAAAAATCTTCAGATGGGTGGAAAACGCTTGTTCAGGTCTCTCTTCTGGGGCAAATGGGTCTCTCTTAAAGACTTTTCAGATCATTCTCTCTTTTCAAATGATTACAACCGATCAATTCCTTGACACGACTATCGAACGGCACGATCACTCTCCTATGTCGAGTACCTTTTATTCACGGGACCAAGAAGACCGTATTCGCATTCCGATGGAGTCCGATATTCTTAGTATACTCAGACCGCGAATCTGATGAAGAAGAAAGGTGCTCCGACAGCAATAGGTAAGTGATCCGGAAAAGATGTATTCGAACAGGATGAACACCAAAACTGGTGTCCGCACACGTGCTGGTACTCACTGGACCTAGTTGTCAACGATTTAATCATAATGCTTCTATTTTCATCATCACATGGTTGAAAATGATTCTTGATTGAATCTACCTAGTACAGGTACTAGTAGAGGTGCATGTTGTATGAAGTTGAAGACTTGATTTAGTCGTGGTCCTGATGATAAGATATTCGAATTTGTATCTTCGTAGCTTTTGAAGGTACTATAAGTAAAAGTACCTGATGATTTGAATCTATTCGGCAAGATGCCTAGGTAAAAGTACCTAAGTACTCCGTTTTATCTGGGAATCTATTTGACACCTTTTAGTTCTTGTTTTTGCTGTTCTTCGCCCGCGTACAGAAGATGAAGTAAAACCAAGTAGAAGTTGTACGACGTTCGTCTTTTTCTTCCTATTTATTCAGAATAAAGATTCTTTCTCATATCATTCAAAATGATGGTGTTGAGATCACGTGCAAGCACAGCGTCAAGACCAAGCATGCAACAAGATTCTGGTGATGCAGTTGCAGTGCACGTGTCACTAGGGTAATTATGAGAAATGCAATTCCAAAGTACCACCAATCTTTTGGCTTCTCGGAGATGATCCTAAAGTTAGTTTTTTCATGTTCCTGAGAAAATTTTTTCGCCAATGCTCCTGAGGAGGACGCGGCGTCCTCAACTGCTCTCTAAATGCAACAAGAACTCAACAAGACATCTTCACAACGGTCGAGTAATCTAGCTTCTAAATCTAATTCTTAACCCTTCAGGTTCTTTAGTCCTACCAGAAGACTAAGCCCACCAGAAGACTTCTAGGCTACTTCATCCTGGCTTGTGTCGACGAGCCTTGTGCTCGTCCACTAGTTGCATCTACAACAAGAAAGGCAGTAGAGAAGTAGTCTACTTTGATGCTTGTAAGTAGTAGTTCAACATCCTCTCTCCTTCAATGGAAACGATGATCACTATGATCAACGATGATCACACGTCCATCTACCAGCACTTCCACTTTCACACGTTTATCCAACACGTTCGTTCATTCAAAACGTTGGTTGAGGAATTTCTGCAGCTGCTCCTTCTGCAGCTGTTCCCCTTCTGCGTCGCAGTCCTGCAACCTCGTCAGCTCCTCCAGATCAGCATGGTCTTCTGTTCATCCTTGAGCAGTCCTGGAACCACGACAGCTCCTGCAAATCATGGTTGCTCTGCAAATTCTCAGCATCGTGAATACGGTCGGAGCAAAACTAAAAAGCCTTCCAGATCATGGACCTTTTCAGTCTCTCACTTCTCTCAAATCGGGGTTTTCACTTCTTTCAAATCGGGGTTTTCACTTCTCTCAAATCGGGGTTCTAGATCTTCTATTTCTTCCTTCTGGTGCTCTTCGACCGCGCATCATCGGATTCAAATGAAGATGAACAAGGTCATTCCAAAATTATCACCAATTGTAGCTTTGGATCAATCTCCATCTGGAAAAATTTCACAAGAAATATCGAAAAAAAAAAAGTTCATCTTCACAAGCTTGACAAATAATAGGCTTCTCTAGTAATGATCGCAATTTTCATCGTCAACATGTGCTTTTTTTAGAGGACTCATTTTCGTATATATTTTTTCATATAGTACCACATGTCATCAGAGGAGCTACGGAAGACAAAAAGTAATAAAGTAGAACAAAGGCGAATTTATAGTTCATCCACAATCTGATAGATCTCGTAACAAACAGCTGCACAAAAATTGGTATTGCGAAAACTATGGTCATGCTGATTCCAAGCAACAGCTTCGCCATCTTCAGTCTCCAAGGGAAGCACTGCTGAGACTGCTGTAGACTTTCTCTTTTCGCGCGTCCGGCATTAGAAGAGATTTGTTCGTGAGGGGGTGAGTGAGTGATTCGTAGCCAAGCACTTATTTCATCACGTCTTATCATGTCTAAGTCGAAGTGGCTCATCTATGCATTTGAAGACTTTCTCTTTTCGCGCGTCATGCATTATAGAACAAGAAGAGAGCTTTTATAGTATTTAACAGTTGTTCCCCTTGATGTTCGAGTACTGACTACTAATGACGAAAAGCCATTGCATCCGCTTCTGCCTTGAGAGCTTTTATAATATTTCCACACGACTGAAGAAGATACTTCTAACAATCACATTGGCCTTAGAATTCAAGAAACTCTCTCTCTTCATGAGAAAAAAGTCATTATGTATCTTGCAATGTCACAAGCTGGTCCGCTTTTCTTAGAGGACTCATTTTCGTATATATTTTCGAATAAGAAACAATAAGAATAAGAACGAACCATCAGAGGATACAGATACAAACAACATGAGCATAACTTCAATGCCGATTTTGCTTTATCCCTGTGGCGCAGCAAGCGTCCTTCGATACTTGTTCTGGTACTGGCACCAACAATAGTACGATGGAAAACGCTGTCGGACTTCTTTCGGTTGCTCCATATAGCCTTCTTCTTCTCCGTCGAATACTTGTCGGGAGTTAGATGAAGAAGAGCATTATTTTTGTTCAAGAAAAATTATCCACCTTGTTATGGAGGAAGATCCTTGATGTCCTGGTACATCAGAACATCTTACTATAGACTGCTTATCAAAAACAAGTACCTGTACCTACAACAGATGATAACAACATTGCAACAAAGTGGCCTGTTGATGAAGAAACTAAGTGGAAGAGGTAATCAAGATCAACTTGTTGTAGTACTCTAAGACACCTAGTACACCAAATGATTTTTTACGACACCAGATTGTTACTATATTCGCATATCTATGCACGAACAGCCGTAAGTACTGGTCAAATCTTGCTAGGAGACTTGATGGACACACACGGTAGCGAGAGACTGGCGGTGGCGGAAGCGGGATGTAGCGGATGCCATCAGGGTGCGTTTTTGAGTAGTACATCTCATGAGCGCCCTGCTGTCCTGGTGCTCCGGCAGTGGCGGTGGTTGTCTTAGAAGATGATGTTGAGGCTTTGCTGTAATTCTTGTTTCTTTATATGTTAGTTGAGGACTCGAATTCTTTGTTTTTATTGTACGTTCGTGTTGTGAGTTTCTTTAGTTACATTTCTAGTTTCATTCAGATTGAGATGGTTCAACGAGTCGAAGGATGAGAACTATGTGTTGCACCACGATGAATGGGAAGAAATTCTACTTCTAGATTTATGCCTTAAATGAACTCGTTGCTCCTGCCCCTTCTTCGCCTTCCGTAGCCCCACCGCTTGCTGCTCCATTCAAGCTGGCGGCCAGTGCTTTGAACCTCACGAAATCTGGATTAACTAAATTCCGAAGTCTGTGTTCCCGAGCTCCTCTCGTCTTTTCTAAAATTTCCTCCACTGACGCTCGTCCGGAAGCCCCTCCAGGCGCTCCTCCAGCTCCTGTTGAGGTTCCTCCTCCATGTCCATGAGAAGATACAACGAAAAGACCGTCTCCGAAGAGTCGTGTTTCGAAATCGTTGATATCTCGACGAAAACGGTAACGACTAGATCTCAAGTGATCCTCCTTGGGCAATGCGTGTGTAGTTGGCTGTTGTTGGATAATGAGATGACCTGTACTTCTGTTTATCGGAGAACCACCACCCGCCAAAGTTCCTACTTCTGCTGTAGATGAGTGTTGTATTGCAGTTGCACGAGCTGCAGTTGCACGAGCTGCAGTTGCACGAGCTGCAGTTGCAGTTGTTGCATCCAAGAACAAAGTGTCGTCTTCTTCCTCATCTGATGCACCAGGTAGGCGTAATAAGGTTCTTGCTCTCGCACTAGGACTAGTAGATTCTCGTTCTCCCGTAGTGGCATCTTTCATTTGTTGTGTGCTGGGACAGAGTTCTAGTGGATGCAGGTCCTCTGTATAATCCGCTCTACGTTGCGGTAGGGGTTCCATAGGTAGCCTGTATCGCTTCCGCAAGCGATTCCCCGCTTCCTCAAAATTGCGAGGATTAGAAGATGAAACGCAAAAGGCTATAGGTTAGGGTCGTTAGGCTAGGTTAGAGAGAAGTAGTGCAAGAACTAGAAGCTGGATGGCATCTTTGTTCTTTCGTTGTATCTACCTTCATCTTTGAAAAGGAGTTGTACAATTTTTAGTGTGTGCAAGTGCATGATGTACTGGATCATCTGCAGTCTTCAACATCATAACTCTACTTCCCAAATGATCCGTGATGAAGAATTTTGCTTCCGGGGTCGTCGGTGGCTTGTAATCGATCGCGATGCAGTTCTCTGCTATGTCCATCGTACTCTGGGAAACTTGAACAGCCCCTGCATAGCTGGGACGTACTAGTCTTAGAACTTACGTAAATCCATCTTGGTGAGCATCCTGGTCCCGGTTTTCCCTTGAGAAGACTAGGTAGAGGGGCGGACCACGATGAAGATGCCTCCCAAGATGCATTTTTTTATTTGAATCGATTCGACGAGCTGCCTAGGATTTCCCTGGCGAATTCTACCCGCTAGCGCTAGTCTAGCTTGTTGTTGGATTGTTAGTGGTTTCTCGACTGTTCCTCAAGATCAAGATTGATGCATCTATTGATTGTAGCCTTAACAGTTCACGACGTGGATAGGGATTCAAACTACGCGCCACTTCGGTTCGAGTGGTGGCTTTCGCTAAACCGGTCCACTCCGAGTAGACTGCATTCACACTCGGCTCAGACGGGTGTTGGTACTCTCCCTGGCCAAGAACGGCCGCCGATAGACGGTTCACGGCTGCCATCTTTTTCTATGTATTTTTGCACGAGATAAGCCTAGATTTGTTGGGGTGAAAACTAACTGGTTGGTTTACGCAGTGCTTTGAGCGTCGCGGCACCTAAACCTTCACCCAAAAGGTGAAAGCCGGCCAATCCTTTTCTATGTATTCTTTTGACTTTGTCTGGTTCATCATCATACTGCAGCCCAAACGACCATACTTAGGCATCGGCGGGATGATACATTTCCTACGGTTGTGAAAACGGCCGAGGAAGCGTTAAACCTACTTGAGTCTGGTTGTAACTAATTCTAATTGATGCCACCTTTTTCTATGTATTTCTTTGTCTATATGTAACTAATTCTAATCGAAGATCGAAGAGGAGGTTTTTCGTCGATCAATGTCAATTTCATCAAGACAATAACGATTTCAGGGTGTTGAAGCAAACGCCTAAGCTGTATAAAGATTCGTGGGAACAAAAGATGGTAACCTGTTTCTCTTTCAAAGCGTGGATCTTCGATGCAATACCTGAAACGCTCTGAAAGTGTAAACACTTCGATCTCGTCGGAGTGTGCAACGGTAAATTCGTCCATGTCTCTCAACAGCCCGATATAATTCACTCGAGTCCGCCATACACTCAACAGAAAGAATGACGGCCAAGCGCTGCTCAAATACAGCTAGAGCAACTAGAAAATGACGAGGATGATATACCCAGCTCCTAGGCGGGTGTGCAATGCAATTTTTAAAATAACCTCGCTCAGCATCAAACAATACAGAAGAACGAATCCGTGGATACAGCCAGCTTGTTCAACTCCGACAGATGACCCCTAAGAGGACCCGTGTCAGCACATCACACGACACAACTCAAAGGAGAAGCACTGAAAATATGAAAACAGAGGACCCTACAACACGAATTCAGATTAACTGTCGCGACTCTCACGAAACAGACTCGACTCACCAAACAGACGATTGCGCACGTAGTCTCACACGACGAAAGAGCTCGTGAGCATAATGAGTCAACATCATGTTTTTCTTGTCATATTTTTACTAGGCTACAAAAAGCATTAATCAGGTGGTCAGATGAATATTTAATACCGCATTGCGCGAAGGAATTTCATCCGTTTGTTCCGTAGCCAATCAAAGCCTTTTGAAATAAAAATACTATCTGTTGTCGTGCCCTCCTCGTCCGTCGTTATCATTTGTTTCTTTCAACCAACGAGGTAAAAAAAAAGTACGTATTTCTCCTCATACGATTTCAAATTCCTTCTGGAACGACGGCCGAACGCGCCTCCTTAGTAGAGACGACGGAGACGCACTACAAAAAAACTAAAAGGAAAGACTAGAAGTGATTAGATCCTTCTGGCCTCTTCTTTCAAAAAACATACTAGGCATACTATGGTGGGTCACGCTTCTATCCACTTGGCATACCTCTATGCCTAGTCGTTTGCGATGCCCCCTCTAGCTATCGATCTATTTTGGAAGCACGACAGTTGACGTTGACGCTTACAAAATACTAATTCTCCTCACCCAAGTCCTTCTGGAACGAAAGCAGAGCACGTCTGAGAGCAGAGCACGTCTGAGAGCAGAGCACGTCTGAGAGCAGAGCACGTCTGAGAGCAGAGCACGTCTGAGGGCAGAGCACGTCTGAGAGCAAAGCACGTCTCAGAGCAGAGCACGTCTGAGAGCAGATGCTTGCCTGAGAGAAGACTCTTGCCTGAGAGCAGAGGCTTGCCTGAGAGCAGACGCTTGCCTGGGAGCAGACGTTGAAGAAACCTAGCAACTGCAGCGCCATTTCTAGTTCTATCAATAAACCAAATTTCGTGGATGATCTGTCGTTTCTTGATCTTCCGTGGCCTTCCTTGAAATCAAGGGGCGCTACGACGCATCCAGGTTTATTTTCTTAAAAAATTATTTCCCAAATAATAATGACGATTTCCGTTCATTATTTCGTATCCCATTGAGGTACTAACGCAATTCAGTATAAACATGAATATATATCAACATCGCGACCTTTGATCTTCTTGCTTGAAAAACATCAAGGCGCTTCTTCCTGCATCCCGTTCTACTGGAGAACGTTCCGAGGCAGATGCTTATATAATACGTACAAATTGTAGGTCAATGCTATGACTGTAATATTAATAGACATACTAGTGGGTCACTACTATTTTTACTTAGACATGATGCTCGTGCTGAAACAGCAGCTAAGTGCAACCAAATGCCATCCGGGCTCAATGACATAGACACTTCTACACATAGTGCTACATAAATCACTACAAGAGAAACTACGTCGCCGTCCGTCGTCATCAAGCAAGCTTTTTTCTCTATCCCTTCGAACAAACAGAAAAGTCAAGCCGTTATAGATCTCCTTTAATGGCAAAAATTGAGATACATTACGCAGATGAGTACTTACGCATGTAGGTGCAGCTGATGGCCATCTATCAAATAACGGCGGACGGAGTACGTAGCAGTACAGTAGTGATCACGTGAATGGAAATCCCAAGAAGTACGAAGTAGTCGATTCCTCCACTTTGAGGACTAAAATCTTCATCTATTTTCATACGCGAGCTCCTCTTATCAAACTACAACCACGTCCACCCTGTTTCCAGTCACAAAGTTTTTTACAACAAAACTCAATTCTTCTATTCACAGCATACAGTCACGAACTATTCTTTTCTAGCACAACGATGCTCCCCTTTCTCTGTCTTCCGTCTACTTCTTCTGCGTCCTCTGCAGTTTCCAGGAGTCAACGTCTTCATCTCTCTTTGCGCCTCCCGCGCTTCTATTTTTTCTCGTTCGTGTCTATTAGAGATGGCTGGTGTAGGAGTAGGTCATACACACAATCATTGGTCAAAGTCCCTGCAAATAATAATGAAAAAAAACTAAACCAATAGCGGTATAAAATAACACTGTTTTGAGTACTAGACAAATACATAATCAAAAACGACCGCGCCAGAAGATAAAAAGGAAATACGCGTATGCTAGGGAGTGTTTTGTGAATCGTTCGATTGGTTGAGAACGTCGGAATAAAGGGATGGTCGCTCGCGCTCCTGATGTTCTTCCTATTCAGGATCGACATGATTGTTCCCTCCAGTTCTCAACCAGTGAAGCTATTCGACAACTACTACTGGAACTACACTGAAGGAGAAGGTATCGAAAGAAGAACTAAATAGAGTATACGGTCAGCAGACCTAACTAGATAAAATAATTTGCAGAAGAATGCCTCGGTCGACTTATTATATTTTTTATAAAATAAGAACGTGGAGGAAGGGAGATCATGTCTTATCAAATATGAGTATCAAACAAGTCTTAATCTCAGCTTCTACTCTCGTGGTCGCACTTGGCAGTCTCTACACCAAGGCCGGCCATTTCTATTCCGTGGGTGGCTTTGCCTCGTTCTGGTCTTGCTCTTCTTTCTCCAACTTGAACTGCTTGATCGCAGTCCTCTGGGCTAGCAAGACACTCTTATCCGGGCCATGCGTCTCCACCTTCGCGACAGCTTCACTGATCGCCTTTGCTCCGCCTAACGCCTTTTTGGCCTCGTCCAAAAAGTACCGCATGTCCGGCTTCGTGTTCATGTCCATCGGGAGAATAAGTGGAATAGGGGTCTTCCCATCAGTCATCAGTTTGCCCCCGTTGGGGAGTGTGAGCTCAGCGGCAGCTTCATAAACTTTCTGAACAAACGCTTTCACCATTGTGCGGACCAGATTTCCCGCCCCTTGATAGTACAGCTCCCCGCCTTCGGTCGTGGGAAGATTTGCCATCTTCTTCTCCTTGGTCTTTTCGTCGTTGTTTTCGTTATTCTTAAAGTCGTCGAGGGCACGTTTCCAAGGCGTTCCTCTGGACCCCTTATGTTTCCTCATCTCCTCTTTGAGGTTTTCATCGGCGCCGAAGCCTTTCAGAACCCCATCGAAGATTTCATTGTCGTCGAACTTGCCACCTGCCAAGTGGCCAACTGGAAACGCCGCGACGATCGTGTTATCTACACTGCAATAAACAAACCCAATCGCCAACGACCGAAAGGGAACCTTATCGAAACCCTGATACATGGCATGCGTTTTCTGTGGGTCGTTCCAGCCACTTTGAGCCACCATGGGTTCGCAACCGGCGTTCCCCTTGAATTTTTTGCTGAGTTTGATGTACACTGTGTTTCCCATTACGAGTTCCTGCGTCTCACCGTCAAATTCAGGGGATCCTGTCAGAGATTCGGTTTCACCTTGTTCGGTACGAGAAGGAGAAAACGTTGACGCAATCACATATGGAGTTGCTTTATCCAGCGTAAGCTCCGCAACTGCTAGGCGCTTGTCTCCTTCAGGCAGACCATCGTGCCAGCTCTTTTGCGGAAGAAACGCGGGCGTGTAACCGTGTTCTTCAAAAATCTTCGTCCAATACCCGTCATAAACTGTTGTAGTTTTCGTATCGGTATCCTTTGTCTGTACAAAAAGGTCTTCTTGAAAAGCAAGAACTGAAATGTCCACCTCATCAGTGTCAACCTCGTTGGCCATTTCTCCCACCTTCTTTCTCAAGGCAATGAGCTGGAAAAATGCTTGAATGTTTTCGACCTTTTTTCCCAATATCGTCACACTCGGCATCGTCATCCTCACCAAACCCCGACCGAGAATATTCCAGTTGAGGAGTTTCACAATCGGGGGTCTCTCGTAGCCTCCAACAGTCGGCAATTCCGCGTACAGTGTTGCCGGCAAGTGATCGCTCTGCAACCAAGGACGCGCGACAAACGGCGGAAGGCTCAGAACCTTGTTCACTATGTCTTTCTGACCTTTTCCAAACATGCCAGGAACATCGCCCTCTCCTGGGATCAGGTTATTCCACCACGTTCCGTCGAAAGCTGCAGCGAGGCTGTCCCAACTTGTACTTAAAGAGCCCGACCAACCTTGTACCATCTTGAAGAGCGCGAGCGCCTTCTCGCCTTTTTCGCCAGGGAAAGCCCCCTGAACGTCTGTCTGCCTAAGCAGAATGTCACCGAATTCGTGGCTTAGAGGAGTTAGCTTACTTGGCTATACAAACCAGCCTGGCTGCAGCATATATTTCGCGTAGAAAGAGTCAACTGGCAAAAAAGTCTTGGATAAGCATAATGCGCACACCGTCAGCACGTGAAACTAACAAACGCGCGCTGACCCCACCCAGATGTCACGGAGCCGCCGGGCTTCGCTTTGGTTGCCTTGTCAATACATAGCCCAAGCAAGGCGGGCGAGCTCGCTGAGCCGCGGCTACCAGGCTTACCCCTTACTTGCTTCCGCCAACACATGAGCAGGCCCGACCATAACCAGAACCAAAAAAGAACAAAGCAAGCCCCGCCACCGTTGGCCACGCAAGCACCCCTGCCGCGATACATAAGCTAAGGTAGCCAGCTAGTTCAACTTGGACGACCCGCGGGCGATTTTAGTTAAATACTCAACCTGTCCCGGCACCATAAACCGCCAATGCGCTAGCTTTGCCCACTTGCTTGGCAACCAGCGGCCCGCGTGCCTACTTGGGCACGATACAGTTGTTAACCAACTAGCTATAGCCGGCGAGCTTCGCAGTAGCTCGGCCACATATTGCCAGCTAGCGCGGCCCTGACCATCCAGCCGCCAGCCTAACATTAGCTGTCAATCCACTACGCCGGCTCTGCATAGCCACGGATTGAGCGGAAACCGTCGCCAGGCAAATTGCTTCAGAATGCGGAGCCATCTAGGCCAGTGCTAGCTTCCTTGCTTTACTTAGCTAAGCCCATTGAGATGCATTAGTCATACAAGCGCCCAGGCCCAATTCACAGCAAGACATTGTATTGGGCTCAAGCCACCTGGCATGGCCATAGCCCCCTAGCTTCGCTAACGCTATAGCCCGCCGCCCAGGTTGGTTGACAGAGTGGCTTAGCCAGGGCCGCCCAACTAGCTTTGCCCGCACCAAGCAAGCTGGCAAGCTGCTTAGGAGCGAGCCGTATACATACGCACCAAGCTGCCCGCTACTACCTAATTAGTGCGTCCGCGTCCATCGTTGGTTAGACCGCGAGCGTAGAGAGGGGAGCCCCACCGCGGGCTTCAACATAGTAAGTTAGCCAGCTACCTAGGCCATCGTGGGTGCAGTGCGTTGAGACAGAGGCCACGCCGCCATAGTACGCAAGCTCCCTCAGCCGTGCCACCAGGTTGCTTCGCTCTCTGGCCTAGCTGCTAAGTAAAGCCCACTAGCCTAGCCATAGCCAGGCGGCCTCACTCTGCTCAGCCGCTTGCCGCCCTTTCAGGCTTGTGAGATGGCCTCCCTTCCTTGGGGTCAGTGGGTGTGAGTGCGTGCCGGAGAAAAATTGGGCCGACCGCATTGCTTTTGATAATTACTATACATCCGCCCAGGGCACAGAGCTGGTGGCGCGCTTCCCTGTGAGAGCAGTAGACCCGAACAAACTGCTACCAAATACAACACGCGGGCGCGGCGCCCAGGGTGGGGAGCCGTCTTGCTAGGTAGCTGCTTCACCATACCACAGCAAGCTAGCACGCCTGCTAGCTGCTTGGCCATAATGCTAGCGGCTTGGCTCGCTAAGCCTAAAGCCAACCGCGCACTAGCTGTTTTGCCAAAGCTAGCTCACCTCACTAGCTGTTTGGCCATCGGTAGCTTGCTAGCTGCTTAGCCATGGCTAGCTTTCTAGCTGCTTAGCCATGGCTAGTTTTCTAGCTGCTTTACCATAGCCACCTCGCTAGATTAGCCGTAGCCACCCTGCTAGCTCAGCGCGGCATGGCCAGCCTGCTAACCTCGTCGCGACCAGCTTGCGAGCCTCGCCACAGCTAGTCTGCTAGCTTAGTAACCATAGCCGCTCCGCGTCGGTAACTTAGGTTAACAATAGCCAGCTTTTTTGTTAGCTTCGCCATGGTCTATCTATCGGCTTGTCAGCTTAGCCACAATGACAGCCAGCCTGCTGGCTTAGCCATGTAACAGCATACGCATTAGCCCACTCAAAGCGAGCCAGCCGTGCGTCGCTAGCTTGGTGACCACTTAGAGCCCTGCGTCGAAGCCGTTAGCCTTGTCTGTCTATTGCTAAGTAACCTATGCCCAGTGTGGCGAGCCCTTGAATTATGGGCCCGCTTTCTGGGCATGTGGTTATCGAGTTCGCTGCCACGCGATCGATAAAGAAAAGCGCAGCAACAACAGCGTGAAACATATGTCATTATGAGGCACGTTGCAAATTGCAAACGCGCCCGATCTACACTAGCAAGTTGCGCGCACCTTTCGGGGCCATGGAGAAGCCTCCTCCACGCTTTTAATTTAAAACTGAAGAAGTAATGTGCTGCGTGATCGCGTGGCCGCTTTATCAAGGAATACGGCACCACAAACACCCACGAGTAGCGCAGCGCAGATGACTGACACTTGGCAACACTCTTGGTGAACAAGATATCCACCAATCACGATAAAAGCCCCTAGAACGAAGTGTGTTACTCTAACTCCACTTCTATACCGGGTGAACCTTAGACAACAATGAAATTAGTGCATTAAGGTCTATATTTTTCACATACTGATACCCTCGCTGGGCCAAAGTAGAAACCAGCCAACTAACTATCTAAAAACACAAGGAAAAAAATTGCAGTAAAAAATTGTTTCTGATGATGAGTGGACTAGATTGTAAGCCTAGGCCCTTTTAAGGTCACGTACCCTGCCGCGTTTAAATTCTTTAAATAATAGCGCACACACTAGAGCTTAGAGGGGTGAGGTGACCGTGGGCTTTTAAGTAGCATTGATTAGCTTCCTGAGCCGATTAATATTAATTTGAGGTTGGTAGAACAAGCCTCTAGAAGTAAATACTCTATGTATGTATATTACTTATATATTTATAAGAACAAGTTAGCCCGACGCCTTAAAAAACTCGTGACCGTTACTCCCGTGCTCACGTAGGCACCGTCGCAACCGACGCCGAAAGCGATGGTCTCTACGGCCGTAGCTGGATCAACTTTAGCTTTACTCTCAGCGCCCGAGCCTGAAGAAGTAATTAAAGGATGAAGCGAGCTGGCAGACAGCAGTTCCAGTTTGTCGATACGGGCGCCGTCGTGGACGACCTCAAGTGCGTCGTCCGACTTCCACCCGTTCGTCACCATCGCCACCCCGATGGACGACTGTTCCCATAATAAGCGACCAGCCTTTGCTTCGGGCGATTTGGGGTCCCCAATGTTCTTTGTTCCGCAGTTGAGCATGTGACCCTTGATGTTTCCCCAGATCTCCTGCGCAATGTAGCGCTTCAGCGTCTTTTGCGACCACTTGATTTCATGACCTTCTGGGCCATACGGATCAATCTTGTCTTTGTTGTTGAAGTGCGCCTCCAGCTTCTTCACCGTGTCTTCCTGAGTCGCCATAAAGGTTGTCAGCGTTTCGAGCTCCTTATCAGCGTCTTCGCCGCTCTTGACCTCGACATTGAATCTTTTTAGAAGCTCTAGTAGAATTCTCCAGAGCCGTATACTAGGTAATATTAAGAGTGCCACGACACTTCGATAAGATGATGAGTCGCACACGGCACATCTTCCACGAAGATTAAAACAACGGCTATATACAATCTCCCGCTACTAAAACAAAAAAGGAACGAAGCGCCCCCCATCTCACTCAACCGGCAAAACACTCCATCAGTGACGGCCCGAACCCCTGCGCGCCGGATCGATGACAGCCCTCAAATTCTGAGGGAAGGAGGGCCACGCCGAGCATGCCCATGCGCAGGCTTTTCGACTGTGACTGAAGCTCTGGTAAATATCTTACGAACGAAAACCGAGCAGGCCAATACCACCCCGCAGTACCTCTGCGCGAGGACTTCCAGAATATAGTTACCTCCTGGGCCAGGCTTGAGGCTACAGAGTAACGACCCCGCAAGGACAACAGATCACACCGAAACAGAGCAGAACTTCTGCGCAAGCACATGCCGAAGCTTGATGTCATTGTCTAGCCCCTTTGAGCTTAAAACCACTCCCCCCTTGTTCGCGCCGCTCAATCCAAAACGTCACAACACGGCGTCACAATCTTCAAAACTCTCTTCAACACCTCTCCAGCAGGCATCGGGCAAGACCCACGCTTCCTTAGGCGTGTGCCGGTGGGTTCCTGCAAATGGTCGAGCGCATGACGCTGAGGCGGGGCGCAGTCCTGGGCCAGGGGTTTTATTTGGAAGTGAGGGCTACTTTGCCTGGCGGCCTCTACAATCGCATGCACATAAAACATTTTCTCACAAAGAAACCCAACAGCTTACGCATTAATCGGTTAACAAATGTGATTGAACTAGATTTTTGACTGATTAAGGACAAAGCAAAGTCTTGCCAGTAATCGGTTGATTATTATACTGATTCGCTTGCCTGTATGAATGGTTAAAGTTTCCTGAGCTCTTGCTTCTTGCTCTGTCGGACTCCCCTTGACATCAAGGAGCACCGCGACGGATCAGAGGTCGAGGGGTTGAGGTTTTCTACAACCGAATATCATGGCTCCATCAAGCTGCGGTAGAATTGGTTCTCTGTGGTGCGAAAACTACAACGCAACACATGACTTTCCGGGCCATGGACACTTTAGCTTGTCTTGGTTGGCAAAAGTAACGGGCTCCTGGTGCTCTAACAGACCAACACCAAGCGCTGGAAAAACAAAACCAAAAACTTCTAACAAATAGCCCAAAGGGTAGGACTGTTGCTGCCGTTCCTGTAGTTTCTCTTCAGATGAGTGAAAGTATTCTTCATCTACTCAGACGAGCACTCTCTCCTTCAGGAGTGAAAGAATTCTACATACTGTTCAACTACTCACACAAGCGCGGTGACATAAATTTGCGGGGATACGTGGCCGCGGAGCAAATACCGGCTTTTGCTTTTCGGGTTTAGCCGCCTTCTCGCGAGTTCTCAGGAAAGAAACGGGCGGCATGGTCGTGTCGATCCCGGTCGTGAAGTTCCCGGAAACGATGGCAGCGCCCCGCAAATAACTCTTCGAAATTGCCGACATGATATTTGATGAGTGTCCTCGATTAGAACGAAAATCCTAAAAAAGAGGTATTTTTTGGTGCGAAACCTCTTGACGTTGCGAAAACTGTATTTGATACAGCTCGTATAGTCCTTTGTGGTCCTACCTCTTGAATAAGGTTGATGAAGATAACGTACTTCGTTATTGTAATTTCCTTTTGAGCGAGGATTTGAAGGTCTTCTTTTAGACGAGAGATTCTTTAGGATCCGTGCTTGTTATAGAAATCTAGAATCCGGAAAAGATTAAGATCTAAATCCTGAAGATAATGATCGTACCCCTACCTTTTGTTCTGCGTGCTGCTGGAAGAGTGAGATCGATGGTCCTAAAAATCCTAAAAATCCACAAAAGGGGCAGCTAGAATAGATTTGTAAACAGCTAGTAAAACTAGATGAGAGTTGAGAAGAGTAGAAGAATAGGGTAAGAAAATGGTCAAAACGCCGTCACACTAGGTGAAGTGTTTCACGACAAAGTTACCAGTTTCCTGCGCTGCCGAATGAGAGAGTGAGAAAGCTATAAAAAGTCGATCATATTGCAACTGCAACAACATCAACATGAAGTAGATAGACTATTTTCTATACTCAAGAATGGTTATTGATATCGCTTGATCATTGTTGATAAAGAGTACCTGCTCATCTTCCTCAAAATAAAGTGGAAGATGAGTTCAGTTTCTCCTCTCCACAATCAACCCAACAGAAGAAAATTATCACGTAATATCGCGCTCACAAGAGACAAAGCTCATCACGCCCTCGACAGAAAAAGCTCATCACGCCCTCAACAGAAGAAGCTCAGCACGTGATATCGCACTCTCAACAGAAGAATAACATCACGTGATATGATCGCACTCTCAACAGGCATAGGTGATCAACACGTGATATAAAGCCCTCAACAGACGGAGGACATCACGCTCTCAACAGAAGAAGCTCATCTGCCGCTCAAACTCAATAATCATGCTCGCCTGATCATATGATCAATCTCACCACTTCATCTACCTCCGAGGACAGACGGAACTACACTACCAAGCTTCATAAGCTGCCCGGAGTCGTCTGCACAGCGTTCAGATTCGTTCCCTTGGAGGTTTTTGGTAGTTGCCAAGGCCATCGCCCGAGATTCTGTATCAGAGATCAGCAAAAATGGACCTCCAAACAGACGGATTCTAGTGCATGGAAGGGTTCGAAAGTAGATAGTGCTAGCCTTAGATCTAGGAGCTTGGATCGCCTGCACCTACACTGATGATATGATCAATCTCATCATCTCTACCTCCACGGAAGCCCAAACCACATGAAGATTAAGAATATGCGTAGTTGAATCCCGTTGCGATGCGTAGTTGAATCCTGTTGCACTGATGTCGTGATGGGTTGTCGTGTGCGTGGTTCCCGACATGAACGCTCATTGGCATAGTTGTTGCTAATTCATTAGAAAAACACGTGCATCACATGTTGGGAGTTCAACTAGTTGTTAGTCTTGCTAGTTGTAGAAGTACAGTATTCTTGTCTATGATCATGAACAAGGGACGAGAGTGATATCTAGGGTATACTTGAGGTAACCAATAGGGAGAATTTTTTCGCACGAATGTGATTGCAACCTGCGTTTTTTCCTTTGGAAAGAAAACCAAACTACAAAAACATGGAGTGAGTGTTCAAATTCTTGCTTCTATTAGAAGAAGGGACAGGAGCTGCTTACAAAAGGAAAAAACATTGGAACCCTCGTCAGAGAGTTGTGACAAAAAAATGTTAACTTTCAGCCACACCGGTCGAAGAAGCTACAAATGCCCTTCCTCCTCATCTTAGAAACAAACGGACACGCTTAAACCCACATACGAATTTTAGGGAAAATTAGGGAGCCATAATATCCCCTAATTTTCCCTAAATTTTGACCTCATCCACAAGCGTATCCGTTTGTTCATAATCATCCAATCTCAAGAACAAATCCGTGTTCATCCACGGGTCGAAGAACCTACAAATGCCCTTCCTCCTCATCCAGGTTTCCATCGCATGTCGAGGGAGATCATGGTATTCTGAGGATATTTGCGCAACACTTGGACAAGTCGACTGAGGTTTGAACTGAAGGTCCCCACTACAAAGTTCGCCTTGGCCAGCAGCATGACCTCTGCCCACAGTCTATATTAGAGCTTAGACCCCGAATCCATCACTTTCCTTGTGCAGTAGTTTTTCTTTTGTCATCTAGTTTGATTCTACTTATTGGTGCAGTATATCTGTACGTACTTTTTCCCTTGTATAGGCAGCCTGAGCAGCAGGGATGGATGCACCTTACGTGGATGGATTGGAGGTAGCCGTAACTATACAAGTCCTCGGCGCCAGTTCCTCGCTTAGGATGTGTCCACTCGCTATTGGATAACATCTGGAAATTAGACAAATTTTGATTTTTCAAGCAGTGAGAACAAGGAGGTTGCACAATGGACTGATGATGTGAATCTACTCGGCAGTCTGCTATAGATGTACAATGGACTAAAAATTTATAGAAAAACTAGAAAATCAAAATCTTTGCTACATTGATGGAAATCCAAATCTGTAGAACTGCGACGACTACGGCGCGCAAAAAGACCCAGACGGGCAAGACGAAGACGACGAATACGAAGGAGGAGGCGCGCAAAGAAAATCTACTGTACATCTACAACATCATAAGAATACGAAGGACGAGGCGCGCAAAGAAAATCTACTGTACATCTACAACATCATAAGAGCAGTATGCTGAATATTTTCTGCTTCGCTGAGGTCCACCTCTCCTTGAACGAGTTGGTCCACCAATTCACTAGAAGCAAACGCATTCCTATTTGCGAAGTTCGAGGTTGCAGATGTCGATGCAAAGTTCGAGGCTGCAGATGTCGACGTTCTCTTGGCGTTTGTTGAGGTTTCTGAAACCGTTGCTTCTAGAAATGGCTCGTCGGCAGAGGACACCTCCACGACCCGAGTTTCGTCTCGTCCTTTCTTCATGGGAGTTTTCGTCCTTTCTTCATGGGAGGTCGTGGGTTCTTCGACAGCTAAAGCAGCCTTGAGGATTTCTCGTCTGCAGAAGGACCGTAACGTCCACTTGTTGCGTTGATAGGCGTCACAACGACGAAAGTCTTCTAGTTTCGTGCAATTGTCTGTCGCAACGAAGACAGTCCTCACTTTTGTCGGCACATTCCACCTATGGAGGACACATTCCGTTTTTTCTCCCTTCTTCTATTCGATAAAGAACTCGAATAACCGAGTAACAGACGAGAATAACCGAGATTTACTGACCAAGGAAGAGCAGCAGCCTTGAAAAGCTACCTCCCTTATTTCAGTCAGCAACTACTCGGTTATTTCCAGAAGTTTTCGAGTAGACGGCAGAGGAGGACCATCCTGGTACAGTTCTTCTTCCGCCCCTTTTTAAAATGTATGTATTGTTAGTAGTTCGTTGCCAAATGAGAAAAACTGAAAATGAGTGCTGCCAGGATGGTCGTGAGGATCATGGAGAACAAAACATATTAGTCCATACCACAAGTGTTGCTCCTCTGCCGAGTAGTTCCTCTGCATCAAAGGAGAAACTACCGTGCCATCAGGTAAGACGTCGTCATCTCCAAGACCGTCTTCAACCCCTGCTGAGAGAAACCTCCTCTGCTGGTCTTCCTTGTTCTGCTCATCTTCCACTTCTACGTCTCCAGAATTTTTTCTAGTAGTTGTACTTCTGCTAGCACGAAGATGATCTTCTTCATCCCCGCCTACAGTTTCAGTATTTTCCTCAGCTCCTGTTGTACTTGTTTTTGAGCCGTGTCCCGACCGACTCTTAAGTTCGCGCTTTTCTATGGCGTGATAGTCGTCCACTGAGTTGTACCTGCCTTCAAGCAGCTCGCCCATACTGAACTGCCGCTTTTTCTTCACATGCATCGAATACGGATTCACATCTGAAGGTTCACGTTGTTCGTTGTCGCCAAATAATAAGGGGAACATCAGGATTTTCATCATTCGAAGGACATCTTCTCATCTACTACGGATGATATATTGACAAAACTACATAGATGACATTCACCATTTCATCTACTACGGATGTTAATATTGACAAAACTACATAGATGACATTCACCATTTCATCTACTACGGATGTTATTGACAAAACTACATAGATGACATTCACCAAGAAATAGAGAGAATCACAATAACTCCAGATGACGACGAAAGTCAGATTCAGATATCCAGATAAAGATAGAGAAAGTCAATCAAATTATATCATATTGATACATCCATCTTCGTAGAGCCTCTCAAGGGAGTTGTGCCAGCCACCTGGAGTTTTTAGCAGGCGTTCCCTCTCTTTGCGGTCTGGCCTATAGAATCGGAGCAATCTGTCCACGGTGTCTGCATATAGGCAAACGTCATGACGGAAACGACCTACATTGTCGGTACTACGAATGTGGAGACCGGCAAAAGCAGGTAGGGAAGCGAGCGTTGGGGCATTGGATGAAGCAGTGTCTAATACTGAAGCACTAGTATGAGTATCTTGTGTGGAGGATGAGTCGAAAAAGTTGTTGTCTTCTTTTTCTACTCGTTGTGCCAGCTCTGCTTCATTTCTAACGACGCCCACAACTTGGTCCTCTCCGCTTGTTCTGATTGCAGGAGGTGCATCATTTTCTACTAGTACAGGTACAACAGGACTTCTATGATCAGGCTTTTCCACCTGCTTTCCTATGATAGTCATCCCTTGCCCTTCTTCCCCTCCTACAGCCTTCCCTGCTGCTTCAACCCCCGCCGTCCACCTATATGGTCTCAGCTGTTCGTCGTTGAAGTAGGTTTGACGGATAGTGAAATCGATATCAGGTTGGACCTTGAGGACCATCCTAGCCATTCGGCGATACATATACAGCTCATCCCTAGAGCACACATCCATCTCCTCCCGTAGAGCATGCGGCCCAAGCAGGAAACGACACACAGCCCAATAATCGGGCTCAAACACCCAGCCATCCGAATTTATCTGATACAAATATTCATGTGAGGTTATTTCTTTGATGCGGCTCATCTGTTGTGCTGTAGAACTTCTACAAATATCAGATATAAAATGCTGTTTTTCGTCCACCTAGTAGAGTTCTTCCCAACACTTCTTTGTATACCACTTACTAGAAATAGTTTTCTATTACTTTTTACATTCTTTTTATATAGAGTAAGTACAAGAGAGTACCGTTTGAAAGTCGGTTCCGCACTTGCTTGCTGGTTGGAAGAAGCAATGGGCCTGTCCACGATGCTCGACTGGACAGCTGTGCTGTGACAATTGGAAACCGTGCCCCACGTGAATCGCCAAATTCGTCACCCTGAGCCATGTGTTCACCCTGCTGCCATATCCCAGATGTCCGGACATCATCGGTCGGTTCAGGAAAATCAGAGCTTAGAAGGAAGATGTGTGAGTGTGATCCTTAGTTACAAGTGATGTCCGTTCAGGAAAATCAGAGCTTAGAAGGAAGATGTGTGATCCCTGGATGAAGTAGCCTTAAGTCCGTGTGGGAACAATCGTACCAGGACAGCCGTCCACACGCTGCGCAACCTTCCACTCTGTGTCTTCTTCAGGAAATGATTCTTCTACGGGATCCCCCGATTCCAGCGCTCCTCCTTGAGCATGATGGTCTCCTCGTTTTCCTGCGTCATCCTCTTCTTCTGAACCTGAAGATTCCTGCTTCCTCTTGTCCTTCGATGCTCGCTTCCGTAATCCTCTCCCACTCATCACCTTGCACTCACACCAGTGAGGACATCGGGTTTTGTTGTAAAACGTAACGGAATCCTGTCCAAGCCAAAACGTGCCATCACTGGTCATATTCGCCTTGCTATATTCGCAAAAATGTATGAAAAAGGATGAAGAAAAGCATGTATACTCGACGTCGGGGTTTAACGTATAAATTTTTTCCACTATTCACGATCTCATTCATCACGTTAAAACAGATTTTTTATGCTAGTAGATCATCAGCACGACAGCACTTCTATCATTTAATATGTTTGAGACTTACTATCTCTACGCGGACCTTTGATGTGCCATAAGAGACCCCAGACAGAAATGACCCATGTGCCATAACAGAGCCAATACACAAATGATCCATTCCGCAGATTACGATGTCATGCCCGTTCACGGACATGGCATGTTCCCGTTTGTACCCAAAAACCAATCCGGGAGGAAAATCGCGCTGTAATTTAAGGTAGGCGTTTGGGTCCTGAACTGGAGAAGTAGATCCTTCGACGTTCGTAGTCCCTCCAGCTCCACTAGTAATTTTACTACGGGCTTTCGCACTATGAAACAAGTATCCAGATCCAATGCCATGTTGATCTCCTTCAGCGGATGAAGCTGAAGAGTCAAGAACGTGCTCTGGGTCTCTTGATTTTTCATCTTGTGCAACAGCATCAACTTCTTGCTGAACATCAAGATCTTCAACTCCGCGTCCAACATTCTGGTATACTGACGCATCTGCGACTTCTCCACTCACCGCCAGAGGCCTCAGGGCTTCCCGCTTATCGTGTAGACTGAATTCGAGGGCCTTCTCCCTTTCAAATTCTACAGTTATGCTGTACTGATCGGCTGCAGCTAGGGCTTTTAGATCGGCTTCGGATATGTCTAGGTCAGGAGCCTCTCCTTCTGCGCCTTCAGCCTTTGCGGCTTCCTCGGATTGTGCTTCAAGATGTCCCCTGCCGTTGCTGCTATCCACCCTATCCCTTTCCCTATTTCTGATACTAGTCATATTATCTTCAAGAGCCCTACGTCGTCGTTGCCTGGAATATGCTTTTTGCAGAATGTGAATTTTGTTTTTGTTATGGGCGAACTTTCTTCTGGCCACTGAGAAATAGATCCGGCGATCCCTCTCCATGCTCTGATGGACCAGAGCTTGGGTCTTGCGCAGCAGCTCATGCTTATTTCCACTGGTCTCATTGCCGTACAAGAATTCCAACCCTTGCTTTTCTATCCAAGCTGCACTACTCGAACTGGGATTTGAACCCTTCCGGGACTTACTGTCCACTTCTACGCTGCTGCCAGCAGCACTAGCATCAGTATCTGCCACAACCAAACAACCTACTGAGACGAGCAGCCAAAGCAAGAGGACACTTCGCAACGGCACAACACCAACTAGTACGGTTGTGAGCGGGGAGTAAGACATCGAAAATTAATAACACTCCCGATCTTCAACATTACAACAAGTACAAAGATGAATCTTCAGAACAAGAACAAGGTACACAGATGAATCTTCAGAACAATGAACATATCTTCTAGTTGGTCAACGTCAACACAATACCAATATTCTTCAACTTCTAGTAGTGCAATTTGTTACTAGTAGTATTATTCGTGTACCTACTCAGCATGACAGATCGAAAGCAAAAGTACCACGCTCATCATCTCTCTCCTAGTAGTCGTAGCACTCTCCTCCTAGTAGTCGTAGCTCTCCCACTCTCCGATCTCAATCTCTTTCCACTCAAGCCGCTCAACATTCTTCCAAAAACGTCTCTTGATATCTTAATATTTTTCAGCCCAGATCAAGTACTAGTAGATGAACACCACGACGTTGGTCATTACCTCCGCTTTTACCTCGGCTGCGCCCACCACCGCAAGGCCAAGGGCCCTCTTCTAAATCATTTTTTCAACAGCATGTTGGGCCGTGTGGTCATTCTCGACAATCTTCAACATCCCCTTCTTCCCCATAAAAAAGTAATGCTTTTGGTGACAATGATCTTCTCCAGATTCAGATTCAGGAAGAAGAGAAGTGTTCATCTTCCCGACATGGACATACTCCGTTGTATGGCGTACAACAGGAATATTTCATTGTGAACAGATGTATGCACGATCTTTCTTTTTATAGTCCCCCGCCCTCCAATGCTAACTTGGTAGCCACTCCCTAGGATCGGATAGGAATTGACTTTGACTCGCCGTCCACAGCTTCTTGACCTGCAGCCTCAGGCGAATATGTGAACAACTACCCTAGTGTTAGTCGAATTCGAAAATTTTCTTAGTCATCTCCCCTCTAGTCGTGGCACATTCATTCTGATAATTGTTGTTGTAGTAAGTTGGAGCTACGTCCTCTAATATCCCTCAAGCAGCCAGCGCCACGATGCTACCCAACTATTAAAACGAATCTAGTACAGCCTACCCAACTAACATGAATCTAGTACTAGAAAAATTGCAACTGAGATACCAGGGCGGTTATAGTTTAGTATCAAGAACTTCAAGATTGAAGATCTCGTCGTCGAGACATTTTTATTAAGATATTGCCTCCTGTGGTCTACGTCTAGTTGTTTGACTTCACCTAAGATGACTTCCAAAAAAACACCTTGATTTTTGCATTTTTCCTTGTCCTCGTCTAATATCTTATAATGTTTTTTGGTTTAAGTAGGTGCATGGTGAACTGGAGCTAGCCGTTCTAGTTATCGTGTTGGAAGTGGGAGCGTCCTTTTGACGCTCCTCGATGGATATTGCTACATTTTTACATCGTTCTTATCGTCTTCAGATGTTTCTATTATGATTGCGAAAAATACATTTATTTATATTTTGCAGTCCTAATGTGCCTCTGCCTTCTCGGCACGACTAAAAATTTTGGTTGTTTATGATTTGCGAATAAGATTTTTTGATTTTTGAAGGCACATTTTCCGTACCTATTTCATCATTTTAGCAATGATGTGCGTTTTGTGATTGCGAAAAATAATTGAAATTATTTATTCTTTCGAAAATTATACTGCTCGCCAGTATAGGTCGTATACGTAAATTTGAATAACATTTTTGATTTTTTTGCGAAGCTTCATAATACTCATTTTTTTTGGTTTTTGTCGTTTTTGATGTTGATGGTAACTCATGTCGTATATTTTGATGCACGTTCTTTTCTTGGGCCAACAAACCTCCTAAACCACTCGTCTCTTAAAAGTCTCAAACAATTTTGTATAAATTTCCAAGTCAACTTCATCAAGGTATAATGAATATCTAAGGGAGGATTAGCAGGCGTAAAACAACAGGGGGGGAGGCGTAAAACAACTAGCAACTCATTTATCCTCTGTTAAACGTTAGTACTCTAGGTAACATGACCCGTCGTTGAATACGACTAGCAGTAGCAGGAGAATGAATAAGAAGCCCGTCTAGTAGAAAATAATAATCAATTTGCCCTTCAAAGAATTAGAACTACTCAGTATGGGACCAAGAAGTTACAGTAAATGCTCCCACTTACTACAATACTTGCAATTTTCCTACACAAATGAGATAAGTTCTCCACCAACTCGTCAAGAAGGACCACAAAGTGATCATCATCCCTATCTTCATCATTTGTCAATACCCTCACCTCCACCACCTTCTATGTCCAACAAGTCAACACTTTCTGCATCGAAGATCATGCTCTCTCCTCCATCTCCACCGGCAGCAGCTGCCTGGTATCGGTCTACTTGAGCACCAGAGACACGAAGATAGGACGCCTGATGCTTAGAACTCACACTCCAATCCATCTTTCTCCTCTTGATGAATGAATGAATGTGCCTAGCGCTAGATCCTCCTTTTCTATAATTTTTCATTTTCTCTGTTTGAAAACAGCTGAATACTACAGATGCGGAGGAGGTCATCTTCAAAGATGGATTTTTATAATGCAGTTGTTCTAGACGATAGTGGAATAGTCAATCTTTTTAGATGGATCTCTATTCAAAGATGGATATTTTTATAAGTATAAGTTGTTGATCCTTAGATAGTCAAGAATCTTATTTGCTTTATAAGTATAAATGTATATTTAAAGATGGATTTTCATTATAAGTATAAATATTTATAGCTGAGGCCTTAAGATGCTCTTGTCCTGTCAAAGAAGACGGATAGCCAAGCACTTGATCCAGATGGTCCGCTTTGTCCTCAAGGCCAGCTGGCGACGCGACGTGGTCGGTCATTTCCACCTCTTTTTTCGCGCCCTTTTTCTTCTCTTCTTTCGACAAGGTGTAGAGGACGATGCAGCAGACAACCAATACGGAAAGCATGCCCAGCATGAGCAACTGCTGCGTACTGATCACGGATTCTGCATCGGTATCGAAGAGCAATTCACCGAGCCAGAAGGAAAGCACGGTAGCTGTTGGAGACAAGGTTGAGGAGGAAACATGTAAGTACTTAGATGCTCCCACCTATAAAAATAGCTGTTGGAGACGAGGTTGAGGAGGAAAGATGTACTTAGTTGCTCCCACCTATAAAAATAGCTGTTGGAGACAAGGTTGAGGAGGAAACATGTACTTAGATGCTCCCACCTATAAAAATAGCTGTTGGAGACGAGGTTGAGGAGGAAACATGTACTTAGAAGTTGGTCCCTTTCAGCTATTGGTTGAGATTGAAGTCGTGAAGAGCTACGGATTTCGTGAGGGTGTTTGTTATTCTTTTATTTTACATTTACAGCTAACTTGAAAGGCCAAAGGCCTGTGTACTTGTTTGTAGTATGTTGTCTAAATTTCTGAAAATGATCGAAAATACCTGCAGTATGCGCGATCTTGTTCCAGATGACAGAGACGAACTTGTTGATGACTGCGTTCAGGAAGTATTGCAGCATGGTCAAAATCAGCGTCACCGCGAACATGCCACTCCAACCCGAAAAGAAACCATTCTCCCAATCATATCGCCCGTCACCACCATTGGCTAGGAAAGGAGAAGGCTCGTGTAGTGACGCAGGTGCTGCAACATCAGAACTAGAAGCAGTACTAGCGAAGTGTCCCTTGTTGTCGTCGTAGGGGTAGCCGGTCCAAAGGACGTCTTCACACCGAATATCGTCGCAGACGTAGGTGTTTTTGCTCTCCTTCGGTTCGTTCCATGCGCTGTTCCAGGCGACCCCAGCTGCGATCGGACCCTGACGAAGGTGGAGGTTGAGGTAAAAGTGCGACTCTTCTTCTTGCTCTCCTGCTGCGGCAGCTGGACTGGATGATCCTCCAGCCAAAAGAGCAATCCCCTTGGGTCTAGCCATGTCTGGCCCTGCAACTTCGGGACTATTCTCCAAGTCAGCCTCGGGAAAGACTGCTTTGCGCGGGATTCTCAGGGACCATTTACCGAGATTCGCGCGTTCATTCGGTATCACTCGGTCTTCCTCAGTTGCACGCAGGATGCGAAGAATGCCTTGCTGGTCCAGATGCCGCCAGCTGGCCAAGACCGTCCAGTCTTCCTCGGAGCGGATGTACTTGGAGAAGTCGGAGTGTGCTGTCGCGTCTGGGTCCACCACGTGAGCAGATCTAGTCAGCGGCTCGCCCGTTTTCTCATCACGATCGATGGTGCGGCCATTCCTAGCAGACGTAACCCGCATCATGCGCGCAGCTTTCTCTGTGTTACGAGGAATCAACAACTCGTACACCTGTAATGGCGTACTAGTCATCCTTTCCGGTTGCCCAGCACCACTAGCTTTTCCTCCTGGCAAATTTTGTTCAAGCTCTGCTGATGAGAGCTTTCGTGGAACCAAACAGGCTTGAGGACGGAAGTACAAGTGACGGAAAGGAGCTCTCCCAGAGGTACTTCCAGCCGCTGCTCCTTGATCAATGAAGTCTTCCTCCACTGATTCAACACGCCCCTTGGCTTTCTGGAGAAACTTGCAGTATACAAATTTCCCAATCAGATCATGGTCTGCTTGTAGTAGAGCGGAGTTTGTGGAAGTCGCGGAAGTTGCACTAGAGGACGTTGAGGATGATGACCTAGTTTGCTGCGATTGCTCATCCTCACTAGAAGTCGTAGAACTTGGCTCTTCCTTTTTCACCCTAGTTGTAGCGGCAGAAGACGCTGCAGGAGCTTGCTGTTGTCCTTGTTGTTGTGCGGTAGAACCCTCCTGCTTGGCAGATGCTTTAGGATCTACTTGTTGACTTGTTTCAGGAAGTGGAGCAACTTGTAACCTGTGATAGACGCCACGAACATCATGCTCAGGGAGGTTCTTTTTGCTTGTCGCTTCTCCTACGCTGTCATCCACTTCAAGAAACGGCAGACGCAGTTGTTGCCCATCAACAGTAGTAGTACGGCGTTCGCGGATACCTCCAATTGCTACCTTAGTTTTCCACTCCGCAGGTTCGACCATGCGCAATTCCTTTTTGTAGGGCGTCTTCGCTGCATGATTGGCTAATTCTCCCACTTGCTTCTTCAATTCCTCAAGTGCTTTCACGAAAGGCAGCGCCCCACGATGCTTAAATTTCGTCACGGCATCTCCCTGGTAAGCCGCTTCCTTACCATGCACGGCAACGCCGTGATACTTTTCGTAAGCAGCTTTGAGGGCTTTTTCACGCAGAGACTGAAGTTCTTGACGGGGATTACTCAAAGCAGAAGTGCCAGTAGCAGTTCCATTATTTCGTCCACTAGTACTAGTTTGTCTTTCATTGAGGATCTCATCAATCCCCGTCTCCAAATCCACATTTCCGTCAATCAAATTTTTCTCGAATTGCTTCGTCAATTTCTGCAACTTCTTTCCGTATTGTGAACCCACGCTCGTGCTCATACCAGCTGCGTGCTGTTTGAAGTCGTTCCATTTTGCGTTTTTCGTCGCTGCCCAGAACTGCTGTGCTTCGGTTTTGCGAGCTGCCTCCATGTAGTCGTGCAGAAAGTCGACTTCTGACTCTTTGTCGGTTTCAAACTTGCGCAACTGATTTTCGAAGAAGTCCTTGCCTTCCGCCAGAGTGTCGCGCACGGTCAAGATTTGGCCACGATAGGTGAAAATCGACTGACGGAGGTAAAGGTTTTCGGGTTTTGCTTCAGGAAACGCGCCTTCCTGGAGTCGATCCAACGCCATGCCGAAATAAGGCAGCAGAAAGAGCAGAGCAAATGTCCAGGGATTAGAGGGAGAGAGGATCGTTTCTTCCTCAGGTATGAGGAAGAATTCTTGTCCAAGTACAACTTCTTGTTGAAATTAGACTATACGAAGTACAACTACGTTAAAGATGACATTCACTAGACACTTTTTTGATGTTTTAGACAAATTTGTTTCGTAAAGATCACTTGTGTGATATCGGTCTGAAATTTTTGCGTGAAAATTGAGATTTCGCGGTCTTCCTTCATGCGCTTCTCCTGCAAGGTTCCTCCCATGACCGCACACGCGGAGCCTGCAAGCATGACGATGAGTCCAAACAAGACCTTGACGCTGCTGCTGGAGTCACCGGCAGCGTGGCCTTTCGAGTCCTGCGATACCATGCCGAACATGGCGACTGCAACCGCGAGACACAGGATGATCAAAACCTGCTTTCCAGTATGCTTCTTGCCGAGAATCAAGTAGGAGAAGGCCATAGAGAGCGGGATCTTGCTCTGCCCGAAAAGATTGCGGAGTCCAGGTCCCAGGAAGAGAGGCCCCATGAGCAAAAACGCCTGCGAAAACGCGAAACAGAGACCAGACATTACGTATTTGCCGATGTCGCGAGGCTTCATCGTGTTTTTCAGGCCTTCACTCAAGCTTTTGCAGAAGTCCCGTTTTTTCTCGGTCCATTCTTCGCCAGTAATAGCGTTTTCGCGTGGCTCTTCGCGTTCACGCCACGGGTTGTTCGAGACCAAGACCGACAGCAAGAAGTACAACACTGACGCGCACACGCCAATCGCCGCAACCAAAGTTTGAGAGACCATTTTGCTGCCTTTTGAGGTTTTACGTTGAGCAACCGCGACTGAAACCAGGACAGCAACGAACAGAACCAGCATGAGAATCGTGAAGACAGAAAATTCCTCCTCCATCTTCGTGTCATCCTTCTTGTTTTTAGACGTTGTTGAAGCAGGAGTCGGATCTTCGTCTTCGTCTTTTGCGGCCAACTTCTTGTCCTCGTCGTGGTCTTCTGCATCATCCTCGTCACGACTATGATCGCCTCCAGCACCGGCTGCTGCCATTTTCACACCAGCTCCTCCATACAGACTACTACTTCCTCGTCTACTTTGAAGAGTGCTTTTCATACCAGCAGCACGCATCATTTTCTCTTCGTCGATGATGAGTCCGCCAGTGGCATCGTAGTCTTCTCTAGGTGCCAATAAGTGCACATGCTCCTCTACTACAGTGTTTGTTGGCGTTAGTGCCGCTCCGACTCTCTCAGAGTCGGATAGTTTTTTCCTTCCCATTTTGTTTGCTGCTTGTGGGAGGTCTCGATCTTCTAGAAGAAGAAGATGGTGTCGCTCGTTGGAAATGGAATGAGACAGATATTATCGGTGAAGAGAAACGAGGTTCACCGAAGTTAATGTTGCAGAACAGGTACTTAATAGGTAGTTAGTTTGAAAAGGAAAAATCTTCACAATGCAATATTATAAACGTACGTAGTTATGTTGATAGGGACGAGATGAATGCAATTCGATCTTGTTCAACCAACGTTCTTGCAGCCACTTGCTCTAAGATCCTGTCAAAACTACAATTGTTGAAGATTGTAGGATGTCAAGATGACGCAGATGAAAGAAGATCGAGAACCTATTAGTACCTACCGGGACCCCAAAAAAATATCAAATAACGAGAGAAGACGCTATAACAACAGAAACAAACTATGGTGAAAGTTGTAAAACAGGCAGCTCAGAAAAAAGTCGGGGTTGATGCTTTATTTAAGGAAGAGATAAAAGTTGATGAAGAAGACCAAAAAAACCGCGCATCAAAACCACCTCTAATAAAGAACTAACGGTAAAACCGAAATGTTCCTCGTTGATGCCTTAGCGGCCTGATTAAGGAAATTTTTTGATGAGGAGTCAGGTATCATAGGCATGTACACCCTAGAAATGCCAATTGTTGGGTATGATCAGTAACCCATTGCAGACATCATCAAGATCATGATCGTGTTCATCCAATGGTTGGGTATGATCGGACCACAAGTGAGCCTCAGTGGTTGGTGATAGAAAAGGAAAGAAGAAGACGAAGTAGAACGTCGAAGAAGATCTCCATTCGACTTGGTGCTGAATGTACTAGACTTCAAGAGGCCAATGTAGACTTCAAGAGGCCAATGTAGACTTCAAGAGGTCGCGCTTTTCAAGAAAGCGCAGAAGAGATCTGGATCTTGCTCTTTCGAAAAGATCTCCTGCTGGAGGATATTTTTGTAGCAGGATCATTTCCTCTCAATATCACGCAGGATCATCATTTGGCTCACGCATGTTGTTCCACGTAGGATCGTTTCTTCTTTCTTGGTAAATCAAATCCTGTTGCTCCTCAATCTTGTTTGAGGGAGTAGAAGTTCAAGTACTGTGTCTCATCTGCTTCTATCAGGAGCGTTACGAAAAGGATCGTGTTTTTTGTTACCAGCTTTATTTCCCGAATAGATAATTGAATGAGAGTGGATCCAGATAAATGAAGATTCCTACTAGTGTAAAAAGTGGCATGATTATCCTTCTTTTTCGTGCTGCTGAGTAAGAAGATCACCATATGCAATTTTCTGTTGTGCAGAAGAACACAGAAAACTGGTGCTGCGGCCTTGGGTAGGCTGCGGTTAAAACCTCTTGGATCTTCTTTTAACGAAGTTTTTCTTGAAAATTTTCAAAAGCCTTGTCCTATCTGCCCGCGAATGGATCGTTGTATTTGATACTTTTCTTTTTTAGGTTGTGTCACTCATTGGTTCTAAGTGGGATGCCGCTAAGACGTCCCTTATTCTTTGAATCACATCAAGATCAACTTTTTCGAAAAAAATGTCCACGTCTTTAGAGGTAGCCTTACCTGTTTTGGCAACAGCACTACCAGGGAAATTGGAATTAGGCATCCCGCTACCACGCGCATGCTGGTCTAGTTTGACATGCGACGCCGCAACATGGGCATCCGCATCTCCGCGATCAAAGACAGTTTTGCTCGTACTAGTACCATCTTCATTCTCATCACCAGCTCCTTGCTGGTCTACTTGTTCAGCAGCTTCATCTATTTCGTTAGTCGTTACTTCAGCAAGACCTTCTCTCTCAGGCTGTAGTTGCTCCACCATGAGAGTTGTAGGAAATGAATGTGGTCCAACATGGAGTTGTACTAGTGGTTCATCTATGACACCACTCGTCGACGACGACCTGCTGCTCCAAGACGAATACCGGTCACCGAGAAGCATGTACAGGACTTTTTGCTCAGCAGCCGTTACGCGGTCCAAACGTTGTGCCGTGGTTTGCAGTAGAGATGCGATTTGATGTCGCGTCAAGTGTCGGCCAGCACCGCCTAGGAGTGATGGATCGGGTAGAGAGCTTTCGTAATCATGCAACCTCCGCATCCTGTCTTCTCCGTCGTCATCTAAGACTAGGAGAGGCAGGATCCTCTCGCGATGGTAACGACGACCTTAGAAGAAGATTTTGGTTTTATAATACACCTAGTAGGCGCAGAGCCGAACAATTAGTCGACAGAGCGCGATGTGCAGGAACGAGTACAGCTAGTTTTATCTCGTAAGCACCTATTGTTCATCAGGCGTATCAGGAAGATACCTTCTTTTTTCTTGTACTAAATCTTCATAAGTGATATCCTCATTTTTCTGAGACGGCGTTTTCCTAGTTGTCGAAGGTACAAGTGCGACTCCCAACTTTTCGAAGATGCCGATGTGTGGCGCTAAAACATCCCTCCTTATATCCAGCATGCAAGCTGCAACGACTAGTGGTATGAAGGACGAGTGTGGTATGTGTGAGTGTGAAGTTTCTTCCACGAGGAGTATTCTTCAATATTGTGTCGTGAAGGTTCTTCCTCCACCTCTCTACTGTAGTAGAATAGCCTTCGGTGGGATAAAACTTGAATATTAAAGAGCGAAATAAAAAATCAACAACGACTCCGCCGGACTCTCTCTCTCTTCCACTTCCGCGCCCCAAACCCTCACGCTTCCACTTCCGCGCCCCAAACTCTCACGCTTCCACTTCCAAGCCCCTAGCCCTCACTCTTCCACTTCCGGGCCCCAAACTCTCACTCTTCCACCTCCACCCTCCAAAGCCGCACTCTTCATTTTCGGAGCCCCAAGCCCTTACTCTTCCAACCACCTCCGAGCCCAAAGCCTCACTCTTCACTTTTTGCCCAAGGAAAGGTTTCCAGTTTCGTCCCCGTTTCCTGCTTCACTTTCTGCCCAGGGGAGCGCTTCCACCTCCGTGCCATTTTTCTGCTTCAGTTTCTGCCCGGGGAAAAGTTTCCACATTGATTCGCCCCTTTTCCCTGCTTCACCGTCTGCCGGGGGGAATTTTTCCACCCTCGGCTCGTCCCTTTTTTCGGCTTCACTTTCTACCCAGGGGACAGCTTCCACCCCCGTCCCTTTTCTCTGCTTCACTTTCTGCCCAGAGGAAGGTCGCAGCCTTCACCCCTATATTTTTTGTGCTTCACGTTCTGCCGCCCGGCGAAAAGTTTCCACCCTCGCCCGCTTCTTTTTTCTGCTTCACTTTCTGCCAGCGGGAAAGTTTCCACCCTCATCCCGCTTTATTTCCTGCTTCACGTTCTGCCAGCGGGAAAGTTTCCACCCTCATCCCTATCTTTTTCCTGCTTCACTTTCTGCCTGGGGGAAAGTTCCCGCCCTCGTCCTCCTTTCTGCTTCACTTTCTGCCCGGGAGAAAGTTTCCACATTGATCCCTTTGCCCCCTCTACTTCACTTCCTCCCCGCGAGAAGGTTTCCACGCACCCCCATCCCCTTTTTCTGCGTCACTTTCTGCCCCGGGGAGAGTTTCCCTTTCCACCCTCATCCCCTCCTACCTTCTGCTTCACTTTCTGCCCAGGGGGGGAAGGCTTCCACCCTCATCCCATATTTCTGCTTCACTTTCTCCCAGGAGAAAGCAAGAAGCGCCCATCCTCATCCCCTTTCTCTGCTTCACTTTCTGTCTGAGGGAAGGTCTTCACGCTCGTCCCTTTTTTCTGCTTCACTTTCTGCCCGGGGAAAAGTTTCAACCCTCAGCCTTTTCTCTTCAAGTCCAAAACATCAGACAAAGCCCCTCAAACCCAGCTACGCCCTGAGTCCAAAGCCTTTGCAAATCCAAAAACTCAAAACCCAAGCGCCAGGCCCGAAGCTTTACGCTTGGAGCTTCGCTGCAGCTCAAAGCGTCAAACTGAAAGCCACAAGCTTCGTCTCAGGCTGCAGGCTACAAGCTTCAAAACCACGCCAAGAAGTGGAGCCCCCACCACAAAAAGCCTACGCGTAAGGCTTTGCACTCGGGTCAAGACTTCCAACCCAAGAACTTGCACTATATTCAAAAGCGGGCAAAATTTGGAACATCTCAAAAACCTCAGAGGGGCGGCCTCCTCTGTCAAATTCCGCGGCGTCTCTGCCCCGGCTCCTCTTCCGCGGATCAACTCCGCCAAGAGAGCGCCGCGACCTGGCGAAAGAGGAGCGGGGGGGGGTGCGTCTTGGCGGAGGAAATGCTTGAAGGAGGTGGAGGATCCTAGTGGAGGGAGAGCTATCGGGCGCTGAAGTCTACTATGAGAGACAATTAACCGTAGGAGTAGGATAGCTACGGTTACGTTGGACCTTATGGAGGATCCCCCACAGGAGCGAGGACCTACCCTGTATGATCTATGATTGTCGGATGTCATGTGTGTGCCTCTGATATGACCGCTCTTGCTCACCGTTCTTGATCACCATTGTGGAAAAGGGCCTACATCTTGCTCATAAACAAATTCCGTAAGTCCAGCAAGATCGTCGTCGTCGTAGTAGAGGCACAACTCTTATTCTGAGAGGGAGCAGCTCGACTCTTTTCTCCAGCTGTAGTGACGATTTGTCCATCTTTCACTTTCTGCCTGTGATCTCCTTGTGCTGGGTTAAGAGACAGATGGTCTACCTGGTCCTGCTGGTCCTGCCTTCTAGTACTTCTAACTACTGCAGATGGTGCTGTACTACTAGTTAGTACACTACTAGAAGTTCGTTGACCTGGTTGACACAACTCATCAATTTCAAAGCCCAGGTTGGCGAGTGATCTTTTTACCTCCTCACATTCCTGCTTCACCTGCTCGAGCAGTCGGAAACACTCCAAACTGAGCAGTGCAATGCAGTCCAGGAACAATTGACGTCTTGAGGAATCGTAGCCAAAGACAGAGAAGCTTAGAAGAGAAACAAGAGAAGTTCTTTCTCTTTTTGTGTGTCTAAAATGATGAATTCATTGAAGGTAGCAAGAAAAATCGTAAATATTTTCCGCGCATCCATTTCCGGAAGAAGAGCGCAACATCGCCAACAATTTTGCGTAACCATATTAGAGGTACCGACAACCCATCTTTTAGAACCTCTTTTAGCCTATTCAGAGAAGGAATTCACTAAAAGATGGTGTAAAAGATGGGTTGACGGTACCCATAACCATAGTGGATGTTCCTCCACCTGTGGTGCGTCGTCATTGTTATACCGGAGGAGCCCGTCTTCAGAAAAGGTACCGGATTCAGCCGATGCCAGTGAATCTGAGGTAGAGGACTCTTCATCGTCTTCGGTGTCAGAAGGGTTTTCTTCAGTCGTGCTGCTGGCTATGTTGTCAGCACTATGATCTTCATCATGCCTACTTCTAGCAGTCGAGGGACTTGTTGGACTTGGACGAGGTTCTTCCTGCTGATTAGTCTTTTCATTCTCAGCCACTCCACTAGCCTGACTTTCGTCTTCTTGCGGAAAAGGCATCACTGATGACCTGGTAGGAGGAGTAGCAGCTTCCCCTTCCACCCTGCTTTTCCTCGCCTTCTTTGGAGACGTGCTTCCACCTCTCCTCTTCGGCATATTACTTCGCTCTTGCAAGGTCAATATACGATGACCATGCTGCTCAGCATAGGATAACACTCGATTGCGCTGCCTCCTCCGTCTCTTTCGTGCCATCTCTTCGGATCTCAGCAGAGCGTTCCTGCCACGCCAAACCCACTTGACTTCATCTGAAGGAGCGCTTGTAGCTGTAGCTCGTTGGATGAAAAATGTCTAGAAGGCATACTTACTCTACTACGTTAGCAGCATTTCCGAAACAAAGTATCTAGGAGCTGTAAAGCGCACAGCAATGAACTTGAGCAGCAAGTTTCTGTCGGGGGTAAAAGTTTCCGCACTCTTACATTTCTGCTTCACTTTAAGAATTGAAAACACTATAAGAAAAAATGAAGACGAGGACCAAGTGAACAAAGCGTAAGCGTCTACAACTGCTACAGAGAAAACGAAAGAACCCCTACTGCCTCAACGTCCTCCATAACTTGCTCCCTTCTACGTCCCTTCGAGCAGCATTCATTTTCGAGAAAGCGTGCCAATCCTCGACAAGCAGAGTTGTAGGCGTCACTCGAAAACAGAGACGGAAAAGCAGCTGAATCCATATGCAAGAGTGACAAGAGAACTTCACGCAGTGCTTCGATTAGATACAATATTCATTCATTCATTTACCTAGTAGTAGTAGTAGTAGTAGTAGTAGTAGTAGTAGTAAACCCATTCGAGGGGTACATACATCTTATTTCTAAATACAATACAATTAATCTCGCACAAACAAGTTCAGTGCAGACTGCCATTTAAGGCGTTTTATTTCTGAGAACAGCAGGGAGAAGTATTTGTCTTATCTTATTACATAGTTAGCTGTAGAGGAAGAGTCTGCTTCTGACAATTATCATCATAGGACAAACAGGAAATCTCAAAACTCAAGTTCAAGTTCAGCCTAAAGAAACAGCTTTCTGGCAGTCGAACGGCAACCACACGTTGCCTCGTTTTCGCACGCGCCACACCTCGAAGGGACCACTGCGTGAAGTCGCATTTAAGTTAAAAATTTCGAGACCAACAAGAAGAAAACATCAGTAAGCATACTAGCACCGGTACAAGAAGAGGGCATCAAGAAGAGGGCCCTTCATATCTAGAAGGAAGTATGCTTAATGATCGTCGTGCCTTCTATGATGTCCGTGTCAACACCATAATGGCAATTTCCGATATCGTGCTCTGCTGTGTCCCACGAGGCACAAAAAGCTGCAGCAAAGGTTCTTCCTCTCCACCACTTGTCTGTCTATAGTCGGTCCCTATTAATATGGGCCAAGACACTGCAAAAATGGTATCCAGATACTCCGTAAAAAATTTCGAGAGTTCATGCAGCACACTAGTCGTCACAGTAGTAGTAGTAGTTCCTTCACAACAAGCAGTAGTAGAGGATGTATGCGTACTACTATCGGTGTCAGAGGAGGAGGACGAAGTTAGTGACTCATAGAAATCCCTTACCGAAACAAAACGTCGGCTTGTGTAGTAGTAATGGAAAGCTAGCTTGGCATAGGCTATCGTGCCACGTATAACGGAAACTTCCTCTGCTCGGCTTTTTCCACGAGGACCTCTCGAGAGATGCACTTCAGGTGACATCAACGAAGACGTTGTGGAGGAAGAAGGGCCATCTTTGCTCCTGGTGGTTGTAGATGACGATGCGCTCAAAGACGTTAACAGATTTCCAAAAAAGGAGGAAAGTGATCCGCTTTTCTGTTGTTGAGCACCGCCTGCTCGTTCGATCGTATCATCTATTGCGAAATCCTGTCCATTGTCGTCGCCTGCATTTCCCTGCGACCCAATTAGAGGCTAATTCCAACTGCTAAGTAGAACGCTCTCATGTAAATGTATGCTAAGAAGTAAAATATTTCATCTCCTGCTGTATTAGGCTCAACAGCACACTGGTCTCGTCCTATGCATTTCAAGAATTATCTTAACGAACTACCCCCGACATCAGCACCATCGCTTTCCAGGAATCCGAGCATCCCAGTTTCTTCATCCAGCGTTATGAAGGTGGCTCCTCGTTTAATGCCCACAAACACAGCAACGGAAAGTATCTCCCGAGTACTTGTTGACGTCTGAATTAGCAAATCACCACGTTCGTTAGACCTTACCGAGATTCGACTTGAACAAGGGTATCTTTGACCATTTTCCCGTTGAAAACAGCTCAAAGAAAGACGCTTCGACGTAAGATGAATATGGAGGAGCCTTAAGATAGAAGTGCTCATTGCGTTTGTCCCCTGGATGGAAGACGGGATAAAGGCCACAAGGTGACTGAAAATACCGGAGAACAAAAGCATCAGACCGTTCTGGCTCGTCTTTACAGTCCGTCTGCCTGCTATCTGGTAGCTGATGATCCTGCGCGATATCTTCATCCTCTTGAGCCTTTCCAGCTGTTTCTCCGTCGCCATCGGACCACATCAAGTCTTTGACCACGCTTCTGTCCTCTGAGACGCCTCACTAGTTAGCAGATGAATGTCGTCAACAATACCTGTCATTCATCTCAGTTATGATCGTCCCTCTCAATCTTCATGAGTCAAAAAAACAGTGTTAATACTGCCCCTCAATTATCTCGTCATGATCTAAATAGTAAATGTGTATGATTCTGCCCCTGTCTTAAGTGTTTGCGCTTCCGCGTTGACAGGAGGCAGACAGGCGGCATCGTCCAGGCTTACGTCGGAAAGAGCACCACGCGGAGAGGATAGCTGAAATATTTTTGCACAAGACTCTTCCTCGTGCTCCGCCGCATCAGCCCTTATCGAAGATGAAGGCAGAAAGCCAGTGACAACTAGACGTGCACTCCGGGTCCTTCGATCACGGTTTCTGCCATGTAGATCAGGATCTTCAAGCGGATCGGGAGTCATTCTTTTGCAATCTTGTTCATCTATGACCAACAGGATGGTGCTATGAAGAGTCCTCCTGTCCGTAGGGCATGTTTCTCCACCACCGCGAGATGACGAGGATCATCATGTTTTTTTTTTGAAATTTCTAGAAGTCCAAGCGCTTCTTACTGGTCATGGTCAGAACAAAAGTAGTACTAGCTGCAGAACACGTGTAGTATGGTACGCAAGTTGCAACGTGGTCGGAACGGTGGACCATCACCGCGTACAACTCTGTCCACCACGGGACATCAACAAACATTAAATTCATATTCATTTCATTTCTTTCCAAGTCGATAATAGAAATTACATAGAACAGTTGTCAGGGAGTTGTCGTTTCATGTGTACTACGTGTAGTAAGGTAATAGCATTGATTTAACACGATTATTTTGTCCAAGAACAAGAAGAAAGTGTGATTAAATAGTGATTCAATCATCATCAAAGAAAATCAAGAATTAGTCAAGAATTATTTCATTTCTATTGTAAAAATGCTCATGCTGTTGAAGCAAGATGTCGCTAAGTATTCAACCGTATTATATCATCTCTAATTATACGACGTGGAGGACAGTCGCTTTCACCCGGCGATTGCCTCGTCGAATTTGCAGTTACTCCTGCTCCACCCCCATCTCCTGAAGAGCGTCGAGCGACGAAGTGAGCAAAAAGATAAATTACAATTCTATGATCTAAATTAGAAGAACGACCCAAGGACTACGTCATTTATGAAGAGAACTGCCATCATCCAAGTCGCGGCTTTTCCGTGGTCACGACCTCCTATAGAAGTACCACATTGAAGTTCTTCCTCAATGTAGTAGCAGCCGCTTCTCCAATTGGATAGAAGAACAAGCCTGAAGGTGCACACCCGCAGGTCTCGACCTGCTTCCTCTTCCAACATCATCCTCCAAGGAGCATTTCTACTTCCATCCTCCAAGGAGCATTCCACTTACTTCCACTACAATTCCAGACAACTACTTCCACTACAATTCCAGAAACCTCCTTCCCACTACAGCTACTCCACGTCATGTGAGCATTTCCATCACCCTAGAAGGCTATTGCACAGTCCCATAATCCTCCTCCACGTCATGAGCAGTGATGTCCACGGTGGTCACGTGCTGGTGTTGTCTGTAATAGAGAATCAAGGTCATAATTGCCAAGGTTGGATCTGCAATTCCGAAGAACACGGCCATGCCTCCAGGTATGGCTTCCATGCAGTACAGAGGTACTACGAAGAGGCCGGGGACGATGATGATGCGCGTGTTTTAGAGCTGCTCAAAAGATGAATTCTTCACAGAACTCCTGTTGTTCTGAGTGGAGTAAGCAGTGAGAGAAGCAGTGAGGAGCAGTGAGTTGTTCTGAGACTTCGCTCAGTGGAGGAGCAGTGAAGGAAGTGGACGAGCGCAAAACAAGCCAACACTTCATGATCTCCCAATTCCGAGAAGGAGAAAGGCCTTGTAGAACAAAGGGCTTGTAGATCGATGAATATAAGTAGTTAATGAGCTTGTAGAATGGCCTTGTAGAAGGTTAATGAACTTGTAGAAAGGCCTCGTAGAAGGGGCTGTGGTAACCCAGTAGTAGATTTGATATATTGATTTCTTCCTGTACAGAAAGTTCAGGGCGTCCCCTCGCTCTGGAGGACCACACCTCTACTTGAGTAGGTAATAAATGAATGATTTAATGAGAATTTTTGCAAGAAATGTGCCTTAAATGATGATCGACGCTGCTGCGAACTTGCTGTTGTCTGCAATACCAGCAAATACGTAGAAAAGCCCAATGTAGAAAACAGCAAAACCGAAAGCACGGAACCAACGGTTGTTAGAACTTCCAGCAAAACCGCAAGGCAGCACTTTCTTTTTTGACACATTTTTGCATTCTTCAGAACGTATTCCTGCATGCGTGACCTATTCATTGCAGGGCACTTGGAGATCAAGTAGAGGGGGCCATCTTCAAGGATGTTACTTGTTCTTTCATCTTCTTGAGAAGAATCAATGCAACCAATAATTTTTAAATATGGAAACAAACATTCTTTGCATCAAGCCTTAACTTCTGTAGCCTTCTTTTGATCTGATAGAAAGATCGCTGGGAAGAGAGCAGGGAAGAATTCCATCAAGAGGCCCAGTACGATGTAGATGCCACCCTGAATGAAGGACCACTTGGCGAGAGTGGACAACCGTCGTCCGCTCTCGATGCAGAAAGCATCAGTAACGAATCCGAAAAAACCACCCATCTTGTTTTTGTTTGTTGTATCTTTCTAGGAAGTAGCTACGAGGCGCATAATTATCGTGATGATTGGTGTTTTATCTTTCTGGGAACAAGTAGCCGTAGAGAACTTTTACTCTAAAACTAGCTGTAGCTGCTGTTGTAGTCAAGAAAGGAGGACTAAGAAGATGCTGAGGGAAGTCGTACGCTCATCTATATAAGCATATAAGCACCACGTTAATAAATTATATTCATATGGTGTTGTATGATCTAACTATATAAGCTGCATACGATACTATATGGAGGTGTATCAAAGACCAGAAACTAGCAACTATAAAATGACAGCAGGGCAGCTCCTGAACCGGGTTGGTTCGCTATATAGGCAAAGAACGAAGGCGTGGATGATGATCCTTGGTCTCCTGAAAACATTTGAGACGCAAGCAAGGTAGATGAAGCAGACAAGCAACATACACGACTGGATTTAGAAGAGGTAGACAGCTACGCAATGTGCCTATGATATTTTTTATAACAACTACACATCCACTCGGAGAGACTCTACAGATGAACAAGACTCAACTAGTACAGACTCAAAAAAAAATCTATCAGATCTTTTTCTTTAAAGTGTGGTCTGGTACACTCACCAGCTCACCAGATGTGACAGACAGATAGATTTCTTCGTCTTCTACTGCACTCTGCTGGCTAAAAATTTTACCAGATCACTGATGTGAGCACTCTACTAATTCAGGAGAAGCAAGGTGACTCCACCACTCTCTAGTACTCTTCTTCAGGTCATGCCAGTACATCAACAGATTGAAAAGCAAAACAGATGATTAATTGCAAGCACTTCATGATGAGCACCACTGCTACGTACCTACCTTCTTACAGCGCTGAGATCTCAAGCAGATGGGCACTCTCCTTTCTAGCCAAGAACTAGACGTAATGTAGTACAGCGGACAAGCAAACTACAGCAACAACCTAAAGTTTCATCGCTGGACAAGGCTCCTCCGCAACCTCCTCCGGGTCGTGACCGTGTATTTTTTTCGTTACAAGCACCAGATGAAAACATCACGAGTAAAAATAGTCAAGTCATCGTCATGATCTCGAAAACACAGCAGAACTTCGAGACTTCTATGCAGTTGTTGAGCTTCAACATCGTTCTTATTCTTACTCACTTTTCATATGATTCTGCTTGTAACTTATCTTTTTTTTGTTTTTTTTATGTTTAAAAGTTTATCTTTATCATTAATACTGGCCGGGGATATGCTTCTCCTCTTGGTTGATACTATTTTTCTAAGTACTAGATCATTTTTGGATGAGCCCTTTGATATGATGTTCATTTTTACGTATGTAGAACAGTAGATATATTAGTTGCGTACATCATATTCCAAACACAATCATCTTTCGACGAGGGCGATGGGATGACCTAGTAAAAGAGTAATAGCGCAACAAACTTGTCTTCTCAGGCAGTTGCAAGCGACGAGTGTCCACTTGGTTGTCGTAAGACAAGTGTCTACTTAAGCAACGCAAAAAATATCCACACGGCTCATATGTTTACTGAAAAAAATGGGATTTCTTTTTCTACCTTCTCAATCTCGTCAAGCACCAGCGATGATCCTTAGTTATGTGAATCTTGTTCATCCCAGTTGATTCCTACAACTTAGCTATTTAAGTACAATGATAGTAGGCGATGTTTCAATCATGATGGGCTTAATGTGTATGTGATGGGATAGGAGTGGGCTCACCTGCGAGGAGATGAGCGCTTGAGGCACGACCATGTAGTTAGAACTTTCGTTATATCTACTAGGAAGAAATGCTCCTCCGAACGATGAAGGTACGCAAGGAACAAGAACTATCCTGTAAGACAGAGAAAAGTGACTTTCTTCAAGCTCAAGTTCTTAAACTTCAACATGATCTACAACATACTTCTACAACTCCTACGACATACTAGAAGGTATTTCTTCAAAAATCCATCAATCTCAACATGGTGCTTCGATCATTCTTGGAAAGTACTAACACATTTTAGTTTTTTCAATACGAGAACTACAATTATCCGACTATGTTCATGAAGATGAAGGTAATGAGGTCCAAACTGTGAATACAGATAATTGTGTAGACGATCTTTTTCGATATCTCCTCTATCTATGAAATTCCTTCAAGAGTATTCAAGCCTGAAAATCCCGATTCAGTTGTACGCGACAAGAAGAATCTTCTTCACTTCTATGAATATCAACATACTTCCTTGTGGTTTTGATGATGAGTGAAAGTGAATCTATTCGGCTGCACGCAGGTGCTACCTAAGTAGATTTTCCTTTCTCTCACAACATGTACCCACCTTTCAATACTTTTACTTACTCATTTTTTCTATCAACAAGTTGTTCTATCTTTCCCAAACATCTTCCTGCTGGATCTAGTACAACTACAAGTACAACAAGCAGTGAATCACAAGATCAAGAAGAAGACCACATTCTATTCTTTCAAATCAATAAATACTACAGCAGTCTGTCACTACAACCTTCATCATATTGAAGGAACAACAAGATAATATCGAACGTTATAACATACTCATGATATGGTATGGAAGATTAGCATTAGTACTTTGGAAGCATTCAATATCATTGCTTGCTGTGTTCAACATACTTACAACACCTAATATCATGTTTTGAAGATGGTAGATCATTCTTATTTATGTTTTCTTATGGTAGAAAGAGAAACAAAAGTACAACTCAATAAGGTATCTTGCTCGTGGTAAGAGTAGCATCAAGCGTCTTCTGAGGAGTCGCCGTAGTCCACCCATCTGCAATGAAAACTATTTTTACCGCAAGAACTCATTTGAAGTACTTTTTGACGAAGTTGTCTTCTACTTCTTGGTCCTCAAAACTACTCCAACATCAAATTTGGAAGTGCAACTTCTAAACCTACAACTGTGACCATCTCGATCTCCCCATCATGATAGATCTCCTCCTCTTCATGATAGATCTCCTCCTCTTCATCATAGAACAAGTTGTAGAAGTAGCACTTCCTCCACCCGTACCCCCTGGTAGCCGCCTCAAACTTCTGCGTCCTCGAATGTTGATCGTAGAAGTCTATTTCCGCCTCTTAATATTGACGTCTCCTCGTCTCCATGACTCCTATGAAGTCAGCTTCATCTTCATCCAAAATTAGATGAGTCTCAGATGTGTTCTAGCCAACAAAACTAAGCTGAATGTCATGTGTGGTGCGCCTCTCTTAGTGCTGTCCGTACTAGCACCCGTAGAGACTAGCTCTGATAGTAGATAGCCTCATTTCATAAGAACATCAGGGGCCATAAATCTTTCCTGAGAAGTCGTTTTAGGCTTCCTTTTTTTCAGCAGGAGCAGCCTCTTCTTGTTTCTTTTCTTCAGCGGCCTTTTCCTTTTGTTCCTTTCCTTCAGCGGCCTTTTCTTCTTCATAGCCGCAGCACCCGTCTTCGGCCTTCTTGGCCGGTTTCACGTCGGTAGGAGCATCCTGTGCAGGATTAGAGGTTCTTGACTTAGTTCCCTAACTCAACGTTACTACCATTCTTGACTTCTTCAGATCATCCGTGGCTTTCGGGTAATAACTCAAGTAGAAGCCTAGAAGGGAAGGATGCAATTATTCGGTAACCCTTAACAGGAGTTGCCGGAGCAGCAGCCGGAGCAGCAGCCCGAGCAGTGTCCTCAAGAACCGCCGTCAGCTGGCTGTCCTCTTTTACCTTTTCCTTGGTGCGGTCGTCCACTGGGGGTACGGAGCAGCAATGTGCCACAAAACTCGCGTCCACCTGCTCCCATCAAAATTAGAACAAATTTGAAAACAACTGTCTAGGAATCAATAAGATGATGATGAAACAACTGTCTAGGAATCAATACGATGATGATGATGATGATAATGACTGTACCTATAATACTAGAGGAATCTATCATGATCTGCCTCTCTACAGCAGGTGTTAATCACAGCAGGAGTCGACGAGTTTACTTCTCTCAAAAGAAAATCTTCTAGTTCTATCTTCTGGACTCCTGGTCGTTACCGCGTCCAAGACCTTGCAGAAATCTTACTGAATCTTCAAGGGAGGAAGAACCTAACATGTCGTGTAAAATCCAAAGTTGGCCAAACAAGATTGGTGGATGTGTAACCAAAACGATTTTAGCCAAAGCAGAGAAGTGTTTGAACCTATCAATTAATACAGGTAAATACATACAAGAACGACAAAACAGGTATGTTTTACGTTGAGGACCCTTCTTAATGCTTGGGCGACTTGTTATCGACATCGTCGAGGGCGGTGTATTGCACCTCCTTATGCAGGTACTTGTTAAAGTAGGCCATGTAGTCGAAATCTTGTTGGCCGAAAATCGGGGTCTCGCCGCGCTTCGCTTTGGGCAGGTCTTCAATGTGCAAAACATCCAAGTTGAGAAACTCTTGCGCACGGAAACTCATTTCGTCCTGATAAGCTGTCCATTATTAGAAGAAAGAAACCACGACAAGAACCAACGACTAGAAACTTGTTATTGTTTGTTAATCCATCAACTTCTTAATAGTAATTGAGGGTCTTGTTCCTTGTTGAAGTTGAATACCAAGCATATAAACAAAAATTACTTCTAAGCGACTATATATAACTTTTAACATACAACTGGTGCAAGAACTATCAGAAACGCCTTGATCATGAAATGGGTACAAATAAACTACAAAAAATGCACCAGGTAATATTAAACGACCGTGCTTATCATTTCACTTCTGCTATCTAGGTAGTTCTTCAACAGCACAAAAATTGTGATGAACAAGGGCGCGCTTCTTCTAGCCTGGCTGTTCCATATTAGCATAGCAACAGCGAACAACTGCTATGGCTTCCATGTGTGTGTATGGATGTAAAGGGAAACTTCAACGCGTGGGGTCTTGCACGGCGCTGCGGCCGTGTTCAGTCTCCAGGGGAACTTACGGCCGTGTCGTTGGCCTATGGCTTCCATTCCATATAAATGCCCTAGATGTAATGATCTGTGACTTATCTACGTATAACAAGGTGTACTATGAATATTTTATATAATATACTTATATATATAATATATTAACACTTATATGCTTAAGCATTTTCTATTTCCTTAAGGGTGGCTCCTTTGGAAAGCTCCTTCAGGGTGTGCCACTCATAAGGAACAATGGCCCCGTATTAATATGACCAAGAGAATAAGTAGATTCCATAATTCTGCGATGGGATCTCGTTCTTCGCCTTGGGAGTTCCTCCGGCTTGGTGGCACATGTCGGCGTAACGTTTGGCCGAGTTGAGCGCGTCGGCTGTCAGTTCGTGGCGTTCCCGCTCGTTTTATTAGACGCCCACACAAGGTAAAGGAAAGTAGTAGTAGTAGTAGGAGTAGTAGTAGTAGTGTGCCCATTCATGGGGTATAGCGTTACGATGTAAGAGTAGTAGAGGAAAGATGTGTAGTAGTAGTAGAAGTAGTGTACCGCGAAGCAACAAAGTCATGTACCCATTCATGGGGTACTTATAACATCACGCGAAGCAACAAGAGTGAGAGTAGCAGAGTTTCTGTGACTAATTACTCTACTAGTCCCAGAACAAGGGAACAAGTAGTCCAGAGGAGCAGGTGGACAGCAAAACGCTACTTCATCTCGTCCCGTAGATGTTGAAGTGAGAACCCGAGTTGTACTGAACGCCGTTACTACAAGAAGTGTACTTACGGACCAGTACTTGTTGAGACTGTTCAAAACTGACTGTTCATTTTGATGTTCCATAAGTCAATTGCGGATTTTGCAGCTTAATGTTAGCTGCTTTCCGCTTGCGATCCCCTGATTCAGCCATTTGACGTTTCCTTTCTTGCAGCTCTTGAGCGCGTGCGGCCTTTTTGTGATTTGCCAAGGGGTTCCAGCGATCTACGCGGGTCTGGATGTAGTCCGCACATTTGAGCTTCTGGCCGCTCGCCAAAGAAAGCTTCACGGCTGCGACACCGTTGCCAAAGATTAGAGATTTCAAATTCAAAAAAGTTGAAAAGTATTGATGATGAAAATTCTATGTCTACGCTTCTATTTACTTTCTTCAAAACAAGTGTGCTAGTATCGTTCGTTCTAGTACTTGAAGAAAACTCAGGTGAAGGTCAAGGCGTGCCATGATTCTGTAGAAATATAGACGCTTCTACCTACTTTCTTCGATTATAGTGTGTTATGCTTCGTCCTATGAAGATGAAGCTCACGATCTACTTAGTATCTCAGAAGGTGCCTTAACATGAGGGCTGCGGAAACTGCGATCTGCTTCAAGGACATCTTGTTTGTTTTTCTAGGTCTATGACAAAGAAAGTAGTCTTGATAGTCTTGATGTTGAAGAAGACGATTGTTGAAGAATGTTCTTCTTGTTGAAAAAATTGTGATATTACTGCAAGATCTTGTAGATGTTGAACAACGAGTCGTAAGTAAGTATCTTGATGTTGATGTTGAGAAGAATGAATATTCTTGTCGTGTTTGACGCGGGTTAAAAAATCCAAGGGATTTTCCAAGATTTTCAAGGCTCTAGATTTGGGTTGGTGGCAAGAATGGAGGATGAATCATCCGATCGATAGGATGAAGATCAAATCAACATCTATGATTCAACAAGCAAAGCTCTACTGAGAAAAGGAAGTCTCTACTTCAAAGAAATTCTCTAAAGGAAACAACTTTGTAAGGAACGACAGTACGAAAAGTTCAAGTCTCGTTCTCAAGCACCTTGGGACTATATCGAGACAGAGAGAGAGAGAGTAGCCTCAACAGAAGATATTTTTACGAAGATACTTTCTCAGCGATACTTTCGCAAGCACGACCATTTCTCAACGACAAGTTTGAAGACACTTGGATCTATGTATACGAAGATCATGCTTTCTCACGGGGAAGTTACCCTCACTCTCTCACGACAGATACAAGGAGTCTCGCACGACAGAGCATACTCGATGTGGCCCCGATTTTTTTCACTCATCAATATCTCTTCGGTCATCTCATTCAATGCTACTCGCATAGGACACTCGAAGACAGAGGCGAGTATTCGAGTATTCTCAACACGACAGATAGTAGTAGTCTCGCTCTCACAAAGCTATTCCCAACGTGCTTTAGGCAGATGATCATCTTGTGCGTTAAACGAGGTCAATTTCGACGAATTTAACGAGACACACATTTGCAGAAATGTTTATTTCTCGTCGTGGTCACTCGTCATATTATGCAAGATTTGTCTCAAGAACACTTCTAGCTTCTGCATGACCATTTTACGCATAACAACACCACCAGAGCTACACGCTTACTCGATCTCGATCAAAACGATTTGTTTTTCCCTCAGACTAGCAATACCAATGGGATAAAGAAGAGAAAGATGGATTTTTCTAGTAGAGTGTAGGAGCCAGTGTTTGTCAACAAGTCTAGGTACCCTAGAAGTTGCATCCTATTCCTACAGCTAGCCTACAAATCTTTCCCTAGTAGTAGCAGGAACAGTTGTAGTATAAACATCCACGGAGTCTACAAATTCTCTACTAGCAAGAACAGTGGCACAAACAGAGCGGCGGTCATGTGTAGAACAGGGTATGCATATTCTCATCTTCATCCAATCTTCGAGGAGACGGTAAATGTACCCACTCAAGGGGTATGTCAGACTACCACACTACGGTAGCGATTGATGCAGTAGCAGGGGCGATGTAGCAAGTAATAGCAAGTAGTACTGTAAGCTGCTTGTTCGTCGAGAAGATGGGTCAGTCAAGCAGATGGGTCATGGGATCCTAGCGCGTTTAACTGAGAAAGTCGAGTTTTTGATGTACGTAAATGTAGAATTCTACTTGGTTTGAGAGTGTGGTATCACTGTCTGTGAACATTTTTCGTCTTAGAACGATCCAATGTTGAAGAGACCGACCTAGATGTGAGTGATATATCCTAAAGTTTATCAACACCTCATCTCTTAGCATTGTAATCCTTCAAAATGTCATAGATTCATCCACAGACTGTCATATTTGCTCATAGTGCAACAACCAAAGTCAAGCTCCTGCCACCAAAATAGTGTTTCAGATTTGAGTTACAAAACGTTCGCCAGGAAATGAATTGAATTAAAACGAGATAAAATCAGAAATTTGTGGATAGTTGCCATTTCAAATTGAAACTGACTTCTTGAAGTCCTAAAATGTTGATATGGTGTAAGAATGTTGCTTCAATCTGATGGTCATGCCACTATCTAGGCTAATGAGATGTGCATGATAGTGATCACATTTGCACTCTTACATCGATCATATCAAAAGAAAACTATAGCACTGTCACCTGATTTGCAACTCTCCGAAAGGTCAGTTTTCACTTTTTGAAGAAATGAGCTCATCAGAAATTAAATTCAATCAAAACAAGATAAAACCTAAAATTCTTGGATATTGACTGCAAAAACTCCAATATACACCATCGAAATTCACTAGAAGTAGCACATCTTTCAGCAAAATCCGAATGCGACTCACATCCAATTCCATACTACTCGCAGTCAATTCCATACTACTCGAAGCCAACTCGATGCTACTCACATCCAATTCAATGCTGCTCGAAGCCAATTCCATGCTGCTCGAAGCCAATTCCATACTACTCGCAGTCGATTCCATACCACTTCGAAGCCAATTCCATGCTGTTCGAAGCCAATTCCATACTGCTCGAAGCCAATTCCATGCTGCCCGAAGCCAATTCCATGCTGTTCGAAGCCAATTCCATACTACTCGCAGTCGATTCCATACTACTTCGAAGCCAATTCCATGCTGTTCGAAGCCAATTCCATACTGCTCGAAGCCAATTCCATGCTGCTCGAAGCCAATTTCCTACTTTCCTGCTCGTCGGCGTCCGTCGTGCTTGCCTCGAGACTTCAATCTCGGCGCACAGCAAGCAACTTTCGAAGAAAAAACTGCCCTTGTTGCTCCTGTGGCTGCTGGTCCCGCTATTGCATCTGCTGCTGCATCAGCTACTGCATCTGCTGCTCCTACTAGTACTACTGCGTCTGCTGCTGCTGCTACTACTACAATTTCTACTGCATCTGATACTCCTACTAGTACTACTGCGTCTGTTTCAGTGATGTGATCTACTCAGAAAACCTCTCAAACCGAGCAAGAATGCTATCGATGATTCCTGAACATGTCACAACATCCAAAGAACCCGTCAATCTAAGCCTCAACATGAGAAATTGTTGTACTTCCAATTGGGAAGTTCCAAAAGCGCAGGGTCGTACTTTTATCACTGTTCAATTCAAGACGGAAGAAAAGTATTTTTTCTGTAGTGCGAGCGAGTTCAGAAGAATAGGTGATCTTTGCACCGCTTCTCCTCGCGAAGTTATATCATCGTCCAATCTGTCACCTATGCCGAGAGCAAAGGTGCCCACATGCAGCACCCCGAGAGCAATTGGAAATAATGGCGATGAAGAGTTTAGGACTAGACGCGATTCATGATTATTACTTACGAGAGGTAATGAGTATTATTTACTTCTAGGGTTAAATGATTGTAACAACTGTATTAAGGATTCATCTTGTATATTAAGAAGTACAGAAGTATTTGATTTTGATCGCACTGCTCAATCAAAGCAAATCAGGTTAGATGTTGTCACTGACGCATGCGGGTTTTCTCGAAAAAATTTTCATCGAGTGAGGGAAACGTTACTTCTTCTGTCAACAGAATCTTCTTCTTCCTAGCTAGTAAGTACGCAGTAATCACTTTTGATCAAAAATGAAACATGCACAATTAAAAAGTGCGTACTTATAGTTACTTACTAAAAAGAATAACTTCGTTGTTGTCTCCTGAGCAGGAGTTGTTTTAACGTTACATATCTGAGAGAGAACGAACAATACGAGGGAGATGGACAAAAATATCTGCTATTTTCAAATTTTTGACTCGACATGTCTCATAATTTGACTTCATCATGATCATTTTCATTAGACCACCTTAAATTGTGAGTTGTCAGATATAGCTTTTACTAATCAACAAGAATCAACACGTGTAGTAAATGAAAAACTCAAAATCCGGATTCTCCTCCGTATGAAGCAAGAACAGACCACCACACTCCACTTGCACTTCAGACATTTGTTCGCCTTCGCGTCATGTCTTCTTCCCAGGCTTGTCTGCTTCCACTTCTCCGTCATGTCCAGACATTCAGAAGGAAAACATGTTACTCCTCATTCCTCGACGGAGTGAAAACGAGTCTTCCGTGTCTGGGGATGACACGACTTTGTTTTTACTGCGCAAGGAGCTTTCCTTAATACTGCCACCTCCAGGTGCGATGTAGCGCGACTGGGGCGGGCCAGGTTTTGTGGACGAGGTCGTGCGCTCATTAGGGAAAGTAATGTAGAGTCACGACGAGATCCACGAGAGAGTAATGTAGAGTCACGACGAGATCCCCGAGAGGAACAAAAAAAGAAGCTCCTGATCAATGAAGCTAGAAGTCTAGATTCATTCGAACCACGAGTTAGGACTATATGCCACCGCCCTTTCAAATACTTCATTAGTTCTTTCAAGTTACGAGTAGTAGTACACAGTGTGGATGTCCATAACTTTAACAGAAGAGGAAGAAGATATACTAGCTGCTCCACCTGCTTTTTTCGTAGGGTTGTTCATCTTGCTTGATGTCATCTTCCGTTCAAGTCCAATTCCGGCACTGCGTTGATTTTTCGATGATGAAGCTTGAGACGCCACCGAACTCAATACAGAGCTGTTGTTGTTATTGTTTTTCGAAGTCGTAGAAGTATAATTCTTGTTGTTACTCAGACCTCCAGCTCCAGTACGACGTGCAGATCCTCGTCCAGGTATTTTTGTTGTTGTACTATTAGTAGTTGTTGTCTTACCTGCTACAACCTTTTCCTGTCCTTTGCCACTGTCACTGGGCGACGATGCTGCTGAACGATGTGCACCGAACAAGGACCTCCGGGATGCCTTGAAATTGCTTGCGCCCAAACTGCTCTGACTCTCTAACAAAAACGACTTCCTACTTTCGTCCACAATAGAGGAAGGCCCACTCGAGGACGCTGCGTTAAATTTCATCTCCTGATGTAGTTGCTCGCGTTGACAATGCTTCTTAGATCATGACATTTGATAGCAAGATACACCGCAGGACGAGTGAAATCGAGCAAAAGAGAAGCAACAAAACAAGACGAGCTGTACGGTTACTAAAAACAAGCAAATTGAAGCTGAGGTCGTTCCCTCGGTCCTGTTTTTCCATGTGACAAATAACGCCGGTCTTGGCGTCGTTCTCTGTCCATAAGCAGATCTCACAACGAGCATAACATCCCTTCCCTGTCCTGGCTGCTTTTCGTTTCCAAGACCTCCAAGGATTCCTTTCTTGCCGATCATGCCAGCTTCAGCCTTACTAGAACCCTGACCAATCGGTGATGCTTCTTCAGAACTATGTGCGCGATTACGTCCAAACAAAGACGCTTTCCATCGTTTCACTACAGGACGATCCTCACTGCACACTGACGATGAAACTTGGCTGTCTCGTGACCTGTGATGCGTACTTCTGCTCTCAAAAATGCCACTTCTTTCCTCCTGGACACCAGGTCCTCGTTGTGGCTGGCCCTCTTCGCCTAGTAATCCACCACCCCTCGCACGGGCTCTCCAGTTGGTATTCCAGAGGGGACCCTTCTTCACGACCACCTTTGACTGCTTTGGAGGAGGTACAACTCCCGGTTGTTGATGATGTGCTGAAGACGATACACCTAGTACAACTCTTGCTGTGCTTGTTGTAGCTCCTTGATGATGTCCTTCATCTGCTTCTCGTGCTTCTTTATTTCCAGAAGGAGGAAGATGAATACCGCCACCACTTGCAGCTAGGTTCAAATTCTTCTTGTCATCTTCTGCCTCCTGCTTTACGTCCTCAGCCACTCCAGAAGTACCTCCTCCTCCGCCTCCAGAACTCAGTTCTTCGGGGCTTCTTTCATTTAGACCTTACTTTTATTCATCTTGGAAAGCATCTTTGACGCAGTTCCCTCTTGAAAAAGGGATCAAAGATGCCTCTTAAGATGAATAAAAGTAAGTCTTAATTCATACCCCCTTAATTGCGGCATGAGAAAGGACCCGTCAGAGCTGATCCGGCTCACTTCATCATCGAAGAGATGCTTCGTCGTCGAGGCACGCCTTACCCTCGCTTGCAACTCTCTAGCGCGTTTGAGCACATCGTCTGCCAAGCTAGAGGTGTTTTGCTGCTCCTGAAGAAGCTTTCTTGTCGTTGTAGCTCCACTACCACTAGTGGTCCTAGAAGAAGTTGCTACATAAAAATCTTGATTCTCTTCAGTGTGCTCCTCGTGGAGTATCATATTGCTGTTATTGTTGTTTGATGCGGAAGCAGGCTCTACACCGTTGGACGCTAATATCATGGGAGCATTTCCATGGCCGCTTAGTACATTTACTCTCTCCTCGCCACCAACTTCGTTACAACCACCGTCACCACCGTCACCACCCTCGTCCTCTTCGTAACTAGCAACAAGTCGCGCTTTAGAGCTCTCCCCTCTTCATCCCGGTGGAAACCCCCCCAGAAAAATATGCGTCAGTATCTCCCTTGTATTGGGAGGCATATGTTTCTTTGAGGGATCAATCCGTCTACAGGGAAGGAAAAGGATTATAGGGGAAGCCTTAAGTAGTGCTTCCACATGCTGGTCCTCCACATGCTGGTCCCCATCTTCAACATCCTCATCTAAGGAATCATTTGCTGCCAACTGATCGAGCTGACTTCTTTCTGTATCCCCTAGGGTGCTGTTTCTCCGGTACAGCATACCTGGCTGGGGTTGGTCTTCCTGGCCAGAAGAGCGGTCTTCCTCGTATGTCAACTCCTCCGATCCCGATGGCGCGCGCTTGAAACTGCTATCGTACCCACCTTCTAACTCTAAGCGTCTTGGCATTCCTCGTCCATCTAGGTACATCCGTGTCTTAGACCTTGATGTTCCCCACATATTTTTCATCTCCATTTAAAGTGCATCTTCTTTGAACTTGCTTCCCACTTGAAAACTATTAACGCAAGAAAGAAACAAGAAAGTAACTACTTAAGTAAGATGCTTCTTCAGATGAAGATGAAAGAATTTATTTGGGAAAAAACCAAAAACCACTTAAGTGTCTCATGCTCCAGCGTCTGGACTGCTTCTATTGTTTTCGCTTCGATCCTCCCTAGAGTCTGTACACGATCCCGAATGCGTTCGACGTTGACCAGACTTCGCCGCAAAGAATCACGGAGACTCTTCTTGTCGCCAGCTAATCGAGTTCGGCAGCCTAGTAGGGTTGAGTACAGTGCTCGTTTGAAGAAGACATAACATTTCCAGCAGACTGCTCTTGTTAATACCTACTAGTTGATGTACTCCCACAGTAGAGGTACAACTTCCACTACAACTTTGATTTCTACAACTACCTGTAGTAGAACTACCTCCTTCGATTGTATTCTTACACCTGTCATTTGCATCTTCAGTCTCACAGATTTCCTTTACGATCAAGATCAACATAAGTACCTGTCATCTGCATCAGTCTTGATTCGATTTCCCCAAGGCGTCTTCGAATTTCGGTGTCTTCTGCTTCTACTTTTCGCGCAAGAGCGTTTTTCTCCGAGAGTAACTGCCTTCTCTCTGAAGCACTTCTTTCCCGCTCCCGCGTCATCCTGTGGAGGTGTACCAAGTAATTCATCGGAGATGGTGCACTAAGCAGTCATCCTGTGGAGGTGTACCAAGTAATTCATCGGAGATGGTGCACTAAGCATTAATTCTGAAAGTCGACGGATCAAAGTTTTCGCGTATAGACTGAAGGAGACTAACCCCGTCCGTCGCCGGCAGCTTCTCGGATAAACGCGCAAGCTCTTCCCTTTCGGATATGCATGGCACTACAAAAATAAAAATTGGAACTTTTTGGAACTCTAATATCAACAAATAAGAGGAGAAGAATCACAGACAGAGGCATGAGGCATGCAGCTGCATTCATCGAGTACTAGATGTGCTGTAATGTCAGGCCGAATATTACTAAATGAAGAAAAACGCATCAACATACTTTGCTTCCAAGTCTTGACGAAGTTTCCGCTTCTCTGCAACTTCGTTCGACAATTGCTCCTGTAATCGACAAACCTCTTGCAAATACTCTTGCTGACATTCTGTTGGCGAGGTTGCTAGCCGGATCTTATCCAGTTTTTGCTTGCCTCATGAACATAGGAAAGGGTCGTCGTGGGTCGTGGGAGAGAAATTTTGTTCAATGAGTATCTTTTCTACATGTTGCTGTTGTAAGTGGAGCTAGAGGCCTACGCACATGATCAACATCTGCAGGAAGTAGAAGTACAGAACTTAAAAGTTTTATGCTCCATTCAATCCTTCAAGAACCATCTCAACACCTTCCTGCTCAACTATTAGTTATGCTGCGAGTATCATAACCAAATGGCCTGACGCTCACTGCAGAAATTCGCGTTTTCCACCTCCTGGGCACCGGCCAGCTGATCTCGAGTAGCAACAATCTGAAAAAAGAAACGATTCGTTCTTCACAAGTGGTAATGGTAGTACTAGTATGCCTAGGTGTAAAAATCGTAGTACTAGTAGACCCATCATGTTGTACAAGCACTCCAAAACAAAAGTTACCAATTTCGCATTCTGTCCCTGGGCAATTCCACTAGGAACGTCCGAACTGGTCGCCAGACTGCTTTCACTCATCTGATTCGCCTTGCCTGCGAAAGCTGGACCTAACTTGGGTTGTATTAGGTTGCCTACAACGCCAGCACCAGTAGGAGACGATTTGTTGATGTTTGATAGGTTAGAAGATCAAGATGGGTTGTTAGACGACAGGAATTTTGACGAGGTCGAACGCTAATCGATCAGACAAATTCATGCGAAGGAAACGAAAGGAGGTAGAACTATGGAAACGAACGAAAATCTATTAGGTATAGGTGGTAGTCATGAAGAGGAAACAGCTAAGATTCTCAACCTCAACCACATATGATCATCTCCATAATATTGATTCCCAGTCGACCATTGAAAAAAAGCTGAGGAGCGACTCCGATCGGCGGCTGCAGTTGCCCTGATGTCCGTATCCCTGCTGGTGAAACGCCACTGCGCTACTTAGAAGACGAAGACACAGTTGAATAGTGAGTTTCCAACCAGCCTGAAAAAGGAGACCAGCAAATGTCTTCGTGCGACCTGTAATTTTTCTCGTACTCAATTTCAATGAATATGTTGAAGGGTTATTCTTTTTACTACAACTCCCAGAACCAGGCACACTGCATCACATAACATCAACAGCCTGATAATGACCTCCAACCTTAACATATGGCGTCCCGATACTGCCACGGTTACTCAGTGCGTATGGAGCAAAGGGCGTCACCACGCTGGAGGGGCCAGAGGGCCCCACCGATGTAGACGCGCTACTGCAGACAACTGTAGTTTGTTTATTGTAAGCAGCAGTAGGAGTATCAAACCCAGAGCAATATTCCACTGGAAATCAGAATTCTTTCACCTGCATCGTATGATCTTCCACCGTACTAGAAAGTACTAGAAGATGGTGATGCTCCTCTTCTAGCTTAGATATGATCACCGAAAATTAAGTAGCTGCACCAAATACTGGAAAGTACGTGTTCCCAGCGGAGTTCTTGGTGACGGTACGAAAGTCAGCTCAGGGAAAGCGTGTTTTGCAAATTTTGCATCGAGAGGTCTGAAAAATGGTCCTTGGATACTCCGGGGGGTTGGACCTGCGATTTGTAATGTTGTTACTGGGTACTTAGAAAATAAGAACGAAGGGGACCCAAGAATAGTGACGAATGAAACGAAATTCGATACCAGCATAGCCCAAAAGTGGCCCGATGATGATGATGATGATGATGATGATGTGAGTTGTTAAAGGTGAAACTAGTCCTGAAAGTGTGGAATTCTCTTCCAAATTCTTATCAATATCCAAGAATTTCTGATTTTATCTCGTTTTAATTGAATTCATTTCCTGACGAAGAGAATGACTGGACATGAGTCAGAAGTCACAACTCTGGATAGATATGGTCCTATTTTAGGTTTCATATGCCTCAATATCCTAGAAAGTGTCAAGATGTAGCTTGTATGAGCTTCTCAGAGACTGCAAATCCTGAATATTCTAGGACTGTGAAGTTTTAGAGGTCTAATTGATAAGAATTGTGTTGTTTTAGACTTGACATGCTTAGAAATCCTAAAAAGTGTCAAGATATAGCTTCTATGTGCTTCGTAGATCCTGTACATCCTAAATATTCGAGGATTGTGAAGTTTTAGAGATCGAATCGATAGGAATTGTGCTGTTTTAGGTCTAACATGCCTCAATATCCTAAAAAGTATCACGCTATAGCTTCTATGAGCTTCTTAGAACCTGGAAATCCTGCATATTCTAGGATTGTGAAGCTTTAGAGACCTAATTGATAAGAATTGTCCTACTCTAGACTTGATATGCTTAGAAATCCTAAAAAGTATCACACTATAGCTTCTATGAGCTTCTTAGAACCTGGAAACTTGCATATTCTAGGACTGTGAAGCTTTAGAGACCTAATTGATAAGAATTGTCCTATTCTAGACTTGATATGCTTAGAAATCCTAAAAAGTATCAAGCTATAGCTTCTATGAACTTCTTAGAGCCTGCAAATCCTGCATATTCTAGGACTGTGAAGCTTTAGAGACCTAACTGATAAGAATTGTCCTATTCTAGACTTGATATGCTTAGAAATCCTAAAAAGTATCAAGCTATAGCTTCTATGAACTTCTTAGAGCCTGCAAGTCCAGCATATTCTAGGATTGTGAAGCTTTAGAGACCTAATTGATAAGAGTTGTCCTATTCTAGACTTGATATGCTTAGGAATCCTAAAAAGTGTCAAGCTATAGCGTCTATGAACTTGTTAGAACCTGCAAATCCAGCATATTCTAGAATTTCCAAGTTCTAAAGACCTAACTTCGAACTGAAATAGTTTTGAAATGCTCAATATCCAAGAATTTCTGATTATATCTCCTTTTAATCGAATTCATTTCCAGACGAAGAGATAAGCACAGCATCAATCATGCAAGAAAAGTTGAATCAAAGCAAAATATGTGAAGAATAGTGACAGGAGCAAATTTTGTCCCTGCAGCCCCCCGGTATGATGGTGACAGGAGCGAATTTTGTCCCTGCAGCCCCCCCGGTATGATAGTAGCAGGAGCAAATTTCGCCCCTGAATCGCCATGGTATGCTAGTATCAGGATGAGAGTTTGCTCCTGGATCAGTCTGGTATGCTAGTATCCGAAGCAGATGTTGTCCTTCAATCCCCCCGGTAAGATAGTAGTAGCAGTAGATTTTGTCCCTGAATCACCTCGGTATGCTTGGCCTAGTCGAGTTTGCAGTCGGCCGTTGGCTTAGCGCCATTCGCGTAGCAAGAGGATGAGCGCACTAAGTACTTCACAAGAAACGGGGAGTGAGTAAACAAATAATGATGTGCCTACTCGTGGGCTAAGGTGCAAATACTACTTAAACGTAATAAAGAAAACGAAAGTACTTCTACTTGTAAAAAGCAATACCAAAAGACGACGCACGCTTCTCAGCTCCTCCGTCTAGACCACGGTCTTGCTTCTCTGATCGTGATGATCGCACGACCAAGAGACCTCGCTTGTCGCTTCCACCGCTCTGTTGCCGAGCACCGGACAACTGGTCTTGAACAAGATCCTGATTGCCCAGATCTTCGCGTTGTTGCTTCTTCTCTTGCTCCTTATTCATGTTCAGAATTTCAGAACTCTCCGGGAGTAGACCTCCAATTCCAGCAGCTCCTCCATCTTCAGCGCCTAAATTAGACGTACCGCGCCACATGAAGATCCCTCAGAGGATACCTTTACCTGACGCCTTTCACTAGACTTGGAAAGAGGACCAAGGCTGATGCTGATGCTGAGCCTGAGCCTGAGGATGCTCTCTTACCCTTGGTCAGTCACCTTAACTAATAAATCTGCGTCTTCAATCCCGTTTTCGTCACGCCTGTTAATCTCGTATTTCAGGCGCATTATCTCGCTTCCATTCGCCTGCAAAGCGCGCTCGATGTACCCTTGATTGATGAAGGTGGAAACAAAAAGGATTGGTCGTGATTTTGACGTCAAGATCATTATTGATCGAGTGTATTCATTGCTTTTCGTTTCCATGTCGAACAAAAGGAAGAGTAACATTTGTAGTACATGATCTACATGAGGCAGAGAAACCTAGCTTCAGCTACAGAAGAACTATTCATCTCAAAGAAGCCCTTCTTTTTTCTCATAATGCGCGTACTCGTAGAAGATTCGCCTGGCTCGCAGAGTTTTACTGAAACTGGTATACTGCCCTCCAGCTCGTCTGGCGTGGCTCCTATAACACGCGTGCCGAGAGAAGGGGTGTGCTGAGGTGAGTGGAGGATGTGGACGATATCATCCAAGATTGAAAGGAAGTGATACTTCTAGCAACATAAAGGTGTGGTCGAAAGGTTGTTGCACTTCTAGTCCTACTTCTACCACAAGAATGAACGTAAGTCTAGTTATAAGAGTTCTCCAGAGAAAATGAAGTGTCTGATCTACTTACTGCAAGAAGTACGTCGGAAAATTGAGGTACTTCTAGAGGGAAAAAATGTTGTCGCGCCTAAAAAAAACTTACCTTCGCAGCAAGCTGCTCATGATCCCTCAACTGCAAGAAAAGGGAGACTAACTCCGCTCTCTCCGTTTCCATCTGCTTCAATTTCTGCCCAAGCGTTGCTCGATTGTCGTTTGAGAGGCTTAGAGTATGAAGTTGATCTTCAAGAACTGCTTTCTTGGTTTCATCAATCACAAAACAAATTATGAGTCTGCACTCCTTGCGTTCTTCGGTTCGAACTTCTATGGCCTCCTGTCATAACAAAGACCCTCTGTTATCTTCATGCTTTTCGTGCGTCGCACAGTATTTCTGGGCAAACGCTTTAGGGTCTCTCAAAACCAGTTGCTCGTCAATTTGCCTATGCTTCGTCGTATTGCTGTCTGTATTATAGGACCCAACCGACTGCGCAACTGATGGCGTCTGCCCTATAGACGGCGTCGTGTGCGGATTCGTGACCACCAACCGCGTCCCTCTAGAGTTATTTGCGGAACTACCTGTACTATGGGTGGCTGGAGCTCCAAGTAGAGGTCTTGTCGTCGTAGTAGTTGATGATGAGACTGTCTTCTTAATGCTACCACCACCTCCCACGCGCACGCCAGTCTGCTCTCCTATCTGATGATCACGACCTTGGGGCCCCTCGTCTACCGCTGCGCTGTCGTCTGATGACGACGACCTAGATGATGAGCAGTCGTCAGAACTGCTCAGGCTACCTGTAGCCACATTAGTCCTTGCATCTTGCTCTTCCACATCATCTTGACCTTGATCACCTCCGCTTCTAGATGTTGCAGGATGCGGATCATGTTGAAAATTGTTGTGCTGGAGATCATAGTTGTTACTCTGGTGTCCTGCATCTTGTTGTTGACCCAAATTTCCAGGAAGACCCAAATTTCCAGTGCGAAAAGCACCTCCTGGTCGAAGAAACCCTCCAGCTGAGGAAAACAAATTCGCCTTACCTTGCACGACAGGCATTTGCAAAATAGGAGGTTGAAGTGTCCGCGGCCGTAGCTCATCACCTCCTGCAGCACCTGCGACGTGAGGAGCTGCAAGATCATGGGCGTCATGATCAGCAGGAGCAAAAAAACTATTTCTGTCAGTGACACGAGACTCCAATTTCTGCAGTGGACTCCGACTACGTAATGGCATTGGAGAACCTATTCGTCGTGTTGACAGAAGATGATCATCAATGTAAACGATGTTGTTCATTCATTCATTCGAACCACGTAGCAACTTCTACGATGTTGCGTGTATTAAGAACCAAATAAAGAGAAAGATAAACAAGAACCACAAGAACCACGAATATAATGCTCCTTACGTGCTATCCCTCCCGTTGCGTGTCCAAATTGCATTGGCGGTGGCACCGGCACCGACAGACATCCTGGAGGCATCTGCAAGGCCGTTCGCGGAGTAAAATTCATCATACTAGAAGCACAAGGGCTTCTACCCCTTATAGCTGCTGTCCCAGCGCGGGCCATTATAGAAGTACCTCTTATTTGTAAGTTGTAGTGACCACGAGGTGCTATTTCATTTCCACTAGGGCCTGGGCCACCGAATCTGTTAACTGAAATTTTTGCACCTCCAAGCAACAGATTATTGGACTTTAGTAGACCTCCTTGTTCCCCAGTCGACTCTACTTGTCGAGTCATTTCTTGATGAGCTTGAACAAGAGCATCTCCTATCATGTGATCTTCGCCTCCAGAGTCTTCTTCTCGAGGCTGCTCATTGTCATACTCCTCCTGCTCGTGCTCACCCAAAACATCCCTATGAAGGTCCTCCCGTCTTTCAGGTGATAGTGTCTTCACGCTATGCCTTGGAGTTAATGTGGCACTTGTCTGTGCGCTGTCCCCTGTACGTGCACGACTCTCCCTACTTTGTTGCACACGTGCTCCTGGGCGACCCCTGGAAGTTGTACTGGGATTGCTCACGACATGATTCTCACGCCTGTCATCGACAGCTTCTTGCTGTTGCGCGTCGACAATGTATTCAGCTTCTGGCTCCTGTTGGGCGTCTCCTGAATCTTCTTCTCGATGGCCCTGAAGATGTTGTGGATCAACAAATTGTGGATCACTGTCTTGCTCTACTAATACCGCTTCTGCTTCTACCGCTTCTGCTTCTACTGTAGGTGGATTTGCGCCCCTCGATGGCTGAAGGAGAAACCCACCTTTGCAACTTGTTGGATTGTAGGGATTATTAGAACAAGAGAAAGTACTTATTTCTAAAAGAGAATAGTGCACAAGGAAGTAGAAGTGCCAGATGATGAAATGATCACTACTGGTACGTCAGTCAATCTGTCAAGAGTAAAGTTCTCTTCACGAGGACTGTCACACTATTGCGAAATGATGAACAAGGAAGTTTCATTCTAGTGCCAAAGAATAAAGCCTTTGAGTCTACCCTTAACTTTGTTCGCCCACATCTGCTGCTGTTGTTGCTGTTGCTGTCCTCCAGGACCCATCATCTTCATTGTCGATGCTGCAGGTACCTGGTTTCCTCCCATAGGATTAAACAAAAAGACGCTTCTACAGGAGGCACCGGCTGTGTCCTGCTGTTCAGCTGAGCACCAAGAGGCAGAGCGGTTCATTATACCTTGAGATGGCACTCCTCGCAAAGCTCCTGAGGAAAAGCCAGGATAGCCGCGTTGAAGACTCTGCGCCCTCGCCTCTTGATTATTCGATGGAAAACCTGTCGCCGATGACGGCGGTTGTACTGGCAATGCACCGTTTAGAATCGTGCCTTCATCGTCATCGTTGACGTCAATGTTGCCGTCCTCTCCATCTACTTCGAGTCCTCCATCTTCAGGGTAATTAGGATCCTGCACACCTGCAACAAGAGGAGGAACGATTCGTGGAGTCCACATGCTGGGCCGTTTGTTCATCTGCATATTACTTCTAGGTGGAGGTATTTGATGATGCCCTACCCCTAGTACACCTCCTGGTTGAAAAGCGGACATCAAAGGCGGCATGGGTGCTAAATGTAGTTGATGACCAAAAGTAGGAGCTTTTCCTTTTCCTTGGTGTCCCATTGAAAGATGGTTAGCAGCAGCACCGTGATTGAAAGGTTGCTGATTTTGTTGTTGAGCTATCGGCATGCTCATCATCATGGTGTTGTTGCCTACTTGTGGTCCTTTGCCTCCTTTTGTATTTGTCATCTTGCCTTTGTTCACGTCCATCCCACCTTCTTGATGCTGCTGTCCACGAGCACCAGAAGGTTTGCCCCTCAGTCTCAACGGTGCTGCTCCACCTCTTCGACGCAATTTGCTATTTGAGGCGCTCGATGCACCTGGCGTGCTCTCTTCGCCTCGTGGCGTGTATCCTGGCGCAGCTGCAGCACTAGGATTAGACTCAGCTTGAATCCATCTTGGTCCCCTCATCTCGACCCCTTTATTTCCCTTGTTTTTCATGAGAACACAACGAGGCAAAAGGGGATGGATCACTACACTAAATGAAGGAGGAAGATGGACTTGGACACTAAATGTAGTTATAACCATAACATTAGGAGGTGAAGCACCCGACGTACAACCTGCTAAGACCGTAGGACAAGAACTACCTACTGGGGAGACTCTCAACATGCCACCGGAATTCATCTCGTCGCCACTGTAGTTTGCTCCTACTTTTGCTCCTGAAGAACCCATGTTACCCGTAACATTATGCTCTTCCTCTCGCGGTGTCACGAATGTACTACCTGAAGAGGCTGCAACTCCTTGCTGCTGCTCCTGTACTACTGCGCCTTGCCGTAGTTGATAAGTCTGTTGGTGTTCTTGAGTTTGATATTGAGCCATATTAGATTGAGACACAGGCTGAGACTGTTGAGCCGTTTGTTGTTGCTGAGCACTGCTCCTGTTAATTCCTTGCTGCTTAATTCCTTGCTGCTGTTCCCCCACGGCTTCTCTCGCTGCAGTCGCTGGGGACATCCGTGTCCCTGCTGGAGGTGATTCTTTCCCAAAAAAGCTAGTCAGAGTTCGAATGCTAGGGCTCGGCTTTCTTTTGTCCAAGGAGACTTCAGGCGTCGCGCTTCTCTCCATTCCACGCTTAGGCATTACAGGCGTTGTTGAAGGCACCTGCTGGGGCACTGGCGGAGGTATAACCACCGCTGAGCATGCTGCCGCTGGAACTGTTGCTGGAACTGTTGATGTTGTTGAAGATGTAGTTGCACTGCATGTTGTCGTGCTATTTGCCTTTAGACTCGCAGAAGCAGAGGCGGTCGTGGCACCAGAGGACGGTGGACCACCTGTAGTCGGCGGACTTACCAAAATTTTTGCAGGCCCACTCATCAGATTCGAGACGGCTGAAATGCTCGTAACGGAGTGTCCCGACGCAGTCGTTGCTGGTGTATCCGCTGTTTTCCCCTCAAAACTCCCACTTCGTGATGCACCCGCCTTGCGCGAAGCGAAGAATTCTGTTGATAGATTAGAACAAGGGCTGATAATGGTGAGTAGGATACCACATGAGTACGAGTAGGATACCACATGAGTACGAGTAGGATACCACATGAGTACGCCCTAACACAAGTACGATCCTAGGAGGATAGGAGTCTGCCCACGACATACGATCAGTATGAGTATGAGAACGTCCTTGTTGAGTATTTGATGTGCTAACTGTAGGTTAGGTAACTGTGGGATTCTATATGGGTTAGAGGTTTGATACCACTAATTCTGAAAATTTTTGAGCATAGAATCTGATACATTCTAAAGTTTCTCGACATCTCGTCATAATCCCAATTCTTAGCATCGTCATCCTTCAGAATGTCCTAGATTCATCCACATATTGTCATATTTGGTCATATTTCACCAACCAAACTCAAATTTTTGACACCAAAACCGTGTCTCAGATTTGATTTACAAAGCGATTGCCAGAAAATGAATTGAATTAAAACAAGATAAAATCAGAAATTTATGGATGATTGATATTTCAAACTGAAATTGACTTGTTGAAGTCCTAAAACTTTGATATTGTGCAAGTGTGTTCTTTGAATCTGTTGGTTATTATACTCGATACATGATAGTGATAAGTGCATAGTACTGATACTGATATGCTTTCATAGGATCAACAGCAAACTGTAGCACGGCCACCTGATTTCCAGCTATCAAAAATGTGCTTTTTCAACTCTTAGAAGAAGCTAGCTCGTCAAGAATTTCAGTGGAATCTAGTATGGTTGGTCTGAGTGAACAAGATAGGAATGTCCATGCAGATACACTGATAGAATGCTGGATGTAAAGAACAAAACTACCACAGGTTTTAGAAGTAGATGAAGTATAAGCTGAAATGACGCTGGACCGACTTGCTTCTACAGGTAAAAGATCCATCAACAAGTACGCTGTCTGTTTTCGAATCTTGCTCCTCCTTTCACCGTATTGCTCGTCGGCGTTGAAGCTTCCGAAATGCGGCTCGTTTCCGTGCCCTCTACTATGGTAGACAATTTCGCTGGTAAGGTAGAAGGCACTATCGCTCCGGGATTCAGGACACGTTCCTCGCTACCAGATCCAGGAGAGTCGCGGGAACCGGACAGATGACCACTCCCCGTAGCTGGGTCGTTATTCCCTAAACCTACTTGAGCTCCGTTCACTAGCACGATCGCACCAGCAGCAGCACCTACGGAGGCCGAGCCTGATCCACTCGTTGGTGCAGCTTCAACAGAAGAAGAAGCTGTGCCTGCTGCAGCCCCTGAAATTGAACCAGGACCATTTCTAGTGTAGTTCAAAGCCCGCCCATCATTTGCTTCTCTTGTTCCTTCGTTTTCGTCCGCCTCTGAAGAGGAGCTTTCTTCTGTCGCAACATGTACACTATCGGGTGACCCGCTGTCCTCCATAGAGGTAGAACTATGATGTTTGCCGTCGTCGGGCGACGAAAGTGCTACGTCCGGCGATGAGCAGGATGCACTACTCGAAGAAGACGACGATGAACTGGATCCAGAGGAAGAGTCCTCAGTCATCTCGACGTTTTGTTCACTGATGTTGTTTGCCGCCTCATAATTGCCGTTAGAAGCAGTTGTCGTGCTGCTCTCATGTTGTACTAGCTGCTGTTCCTGCTCTAGAAGTATTAAAGCTCAGCCTTCAATGGTCATCATGACTCTGAACGGAAGGGACCCCATTCAAAGCTCTCCCCTTTCCCTTCGTTTCTTTCCCCTGTTGGTTCTCTCAAGAAGGGGTCGCCTCTTCGATCTCAGTGACTCCAATCTAAATGACCATTGAAAGCTGAGCCTTAAAAGTAGCTGTGATGTTCCTCTAGAACAAGTGTCGACATCGACATCGACAACTAGTACCAGGTCATTTGTAATTGTCTCTCCTACTGCTGCTGCTGCTGCTGCTGCTGTTGTCGCTTCTGCTCTCACCTCCACTCCTGTGTGTGCCTGCTGGTGCTGTCCTCCTTCCTCCTCTAGATCGAATGTGACCTTGCGGCTGCCGTTAGACTTATTACTGCGATTTGAGCGAGACCGATCCCTCGCGGCAGACCCTTTGCGACTTACGACCGCACTCCGCGTTCGCTCTTGATCTACCTCGCGCTCCTTATTAGAAGAAGATTTACTTGTGTAGCTAGTCCCTTGTTGATGTCATGCGTGTGTGTGTGTGTATCTCTGAAGATAGTACTGTACCTAGTACCCCCCGTAGAGATAAGTGAGTCACTTGAGCATGCTCATAAAATTATCACAGAATCAGACTGATCTAGTAAGCTTTCTGATTTTCTCCTCGTCTCTCATAGTACTTAGACTTACTAGTACTAGGACTACCACCTCCAACATAACAACTTGTTGGCGTATATCTTCCAACTCCTGCTCAATCTCGGCTTGTGCTGCGGCTAGCAAGTCTACGTCAGGACTAGCCGTTTCACAGGGACTTTCCTGTCTGGGACGCTCATGAGGTTCGTCATCGTCACCATCATCGTCTCCTGGTGACGATGAGCCGTGTTGTAGCTCGTCTTCTTCTTCCTGTGCATCGAAATCCATGTTATCCATCCCATCTTAGAGTTAGGTTTTTGGTGCTCGCTTACCCCGCTTGTTATGCCTTTCTCCCTTAGGAGAGGCATAAAAAGCGGTAAGAAAAGCACCTTTAACCTACCCTTAACCATCTTCGTCTTCATGTGCATGGCCGTCACCCTCACCATCCTCGAAGTCATCAGTACCAGGATGATCCAACATCTGCTCATCCTCAGGTGTTGTCCCGTGCTCTTCTCTATCAAAATTTATCGGAAAATTTGGTTGGAATCGACTGGCACGTTGATCCATAGTAATGAAGGCCGAGCCGCGACTGTGGGCTCGGCATAAAGCCGTAGAGGGCGCGTTGCCGTTTGTCGTGGCCATGATGATTGATGACGTTTGATTGATCTTTATCGAAGTCGACGCGCGTTTCTTAGGTAATCCATGAAAAAGAAAATGCCTCGACTTATACATTTAGTGTCTCATTAATCGAGCAGGATATTAGAGCAGGCAGAAGAGAGATATTATCAAGAATGACTAATCATACTGCTCCTGTAATTTCCCGCTCCAAACTCTGCATGCTCCCGCTCTCTCGATATCTCGTCATGGTGATACATGTTGAACGCTTGAGAAGATGGAGCACTTCTTTAACTACAAAGTGACTGCTATCTTGCATATGTCCATATATGGTATTTCTATAGTTGTCACACAGCTCGCGAACATCAAGATGAAGCAGCGAGCGCTTACTCTGCATCTCCTTCCAGCTTCATCTTATTTGCTGTATTCTCAACGTGGTCTTGTAGATCGTTGAAGGTCTGTGAGGAGGCTTGGAAGAACATGGGATAACTTATTAGGGGGTTTGCCATTCATTTAGAATCTTCTTTATGCAACATCTTGCATGATGGCTCTTGGAATTCCTCAGCTGTGCTTGCTGAGGGTGTCTGAAGCACAACCTGCGAGTCATGATTCGTGCAGGCGAATGAAAAACGCAGCAATATAATTTCGTATTTTTCACCTGCAGCCGTTGATAAATAACATCAATCATGAGGTCGTACTCGTAGATGCTTGAAAAAATAGAACAGGAGCTTTTACCAATAGAGGACAATCATTCGGACGATTCGATAAACTTTAACACTGCAAAGACACAACTGACAACTGATAAACCTAAACGATACAACTAGGACAACACATTTGTAAGAGCTCGCCGCTGCGAACCCGCCAAGAAACGATAATTTTAATTTCCTTGTTCCCTGTTTCATTTCCAGCATATTGACATCCAAATTATAGAGTTACAACAAGAACTGTGCTTATGGTATTCATCCATGATCGATGACAATCTCAACATGAACAGAATTATATGTTCTTCTTGTGAGTCATCATGTAAATCCTAGCTTCTCAACATCACTAATATTCCCGTTTTCTTGCCTATCGTCTTGGAAGTCTCAGCCAGCTACCTCCTTTTGATGCCCCTGTGGTATTTAGAGCGCAAGTTGTACATTCCACAGCGCTAATTATCGCGAAGCGAGTATCAATAAGTTTAGCTTTCCACTTTTATTATGCTGCTACTCACAGGAGCTACACTATGATGATCATCTTCTCAGCTCTGTTTTTCTCAGAATCAACATGATCTTGGTACAAGTAGAAGGTCATCTTCTCATCATGCCATGTCTTAATGTATCGTGCGCTGCTGCTGCTGCCATGCCCTCCGGCAATAGACCACCATTCTCAAATGTACTGGAAGTAGAACCGCTCCCATCAGAGGATGATGTAAAGCCAGTTGGTAAGTTAGAGCTCAAAACAATTCAGTCCCTTCCAGTTGGTAAGCTATTTAGTTCCTCCCTTCATTTCTTTGGCATCCTGAAAAGGAAACTGTTCATTATTATTATTGACTGTTGAAATTATCTACTTGGCTAAAGATACAAGATAGTTTTCTAGGCTATCTCTTGGGGAGAGTAAGTTTCTTGCATTCTAAGGCCAATGAAACTGTTGAACACTTCTGGATGAATCGTTGAATCGTTGCACAACTCAGCCTTAAGTAAAGTCGTTGTGGAATCTGCGAAGCCTTCTCCAGCACTCACACTGCCTTCCATAGCTACTTGCTCGCTTCCACCGCCACCAAGATATTCACCCATCATCGATGACACGCCACCGAACTGGAATGGCGATGCAGCATTGCCGAAGAGATATGAAAGTGATGCTATTCTACTTGGGTATCGCGATTCACGACGTTCGATGAGAATACTTATCAAGAGAGTCAACGTCGATAGGAGTCAACGTCGGTAGGAGTCAACGTCAATAGGACCCGTCAATATCATGCTCTACTACTCAAGAAAAAGAAACAGCACATTAGCATTTTCACCATCTACTTCTACTTCTACTAACCATTATAATTGCACGACATGATCAAATCATAAGGAACTTCCTCCAAACATGCCTCCTCCAGATGAGCCAGAATCGCCAGCTTCTTCCATCCTCCTTTTTGCTTCCATTGCTTCCTGTTGCTGCTTCTCGAATTCTAAAGATTCTAGCATCTGTTCCCGAGGAGTCTTCTGGAATTGCCTAGCCATCAACGCACTGACACCTTCAATACAACTCAAAATAACGCCTCCAACGACTGCGGAGGATGAAAGGAAGAGGTGTATCTATAGAATGGTGATGGTGTGGGATGATCATGATTTCTAATGTGTCGGAGATGGAGTTTATTGAAGTAGATGGGCTTTTAGTAAGTATGATTCATCTAATTCTAATCACTCATGCTTTTTCTAGTACATTGAAACATGATTCAGAGGTGGACCATAAGCTTTTCCCTGCCGACTTCCATCCTGTTCTCAATGCTAAAACGCCACCAGTCAGAAAGCCCGACATGATTGAGTTCCAACTATCATCGGTTTGTCGGATGTACTGTAGGGTACAGTCGCAAGTTGCAAAGGTACCACCCCACACTGCGAAGCTTCCACCTAAAATCGGTGCTCGCATCTTACCATGGTACAATGCACCAGCAAGTCGCTCGCCAGAGGATGAAGGGAGGTTACGTTCTTGGGGAGAATGGGCAACAGTGGAGAGAGAATTCTAATGTAGAGAGAGAGAGCGGTTCTTGCAACAACATTGATGAAGATTCTAATGAAAACGCAGACTGTAAGGCTCTTCTTCTAGACCAAGGCTCTTCTTCTTTCACTTATATATACCCTCACTGTACTAGGCTCGAAACATTTCTTCTCGATTTCGAACGACCACTGTTGGCACATTTATCTATGCATTGTGTTGTCCCTGTTACCATCGTTCATGATGGCCGTAGAGCACACTTATCTAGTACTACAAAACGAACTCTTCTATTTCAATATTCATATCTATCTAGATACTTATTATCTAGTAGACTACTAGTACAACCCTTGTATTTATATATATATAATTCCCATTGCTTCATAACTTTGGACTATTTCGTGCTCCTCGAACGAAGTGCCAAAGGAAACCACCAATACACCCCATCCCAAAAGCACCGCCGAGATCCTCTACGATCCTATCCGGGCATGGCTCACGTGCACGATCGTTGTCGTGCTGCTCTTGCCACCTTGCTGTACCGCTTGTCATTTTGCTTGTTGAGGTCGTGCTGCTTTATGTGACTGTCTTCGTAGGAGAAGTTTTTTTGTTCTTGATGACCCACAGATTTCTTTGATGGTTACTAGAAAACGAAAAGGAAAATGGAATACGACTATTGTTCTTTCAATATGCAGATCTAATCGCTTAACACCGATCTAGATTTCATCTACCAACTCTACACAAGAACAGCCTACTTTTGGATGAATGAGTTGTACAAGGAAAAGTTAAATCTGGAGGCCACATCTTCATGAGGGTTGACTCACAGGAGCCACAAACGTCACGAGTGCCTGGTTTCATTGAAGTGGATGTACGTCAAGCAAATCAGATGGGCAATTCTTGGATCCTTGGTTGTTTGTTAACACTGTGGCAGGATGAGTGCAACATCTGATTATATCGGTTCTGCAGCTTCCAGCACATCAGTCTGATTCTACGAAGAGGAGAGATATAACTTCTACCATCTTCTTGTTCATCTTTTTCCATTCTATCTTGCAATGCTCGTCTGTTGATGAACGCGTGGGAGGATCATCAAAGCAGTCATAAAGGGGGTCGTGCACACACTGCCTTCGCACCTACGACTCAATCTGTAATGCATCATCAGATAAGATTTTCGTACGCCGGAAGAAGATTGTGCTGGTGACAACAACATGAACACAACATGAAATTCACAACATGTCCTTCTCTCCTGCATCCGGGCCGCTTATGTATTGCTGGGCAGTAGTTGCAGCTGAATCTTCATCATCCATGGGGGATTATCATTCAAGCAGGTGGGTTAGAAGATTCTTGGCTTGATTTCAGGGGCCATGGCTCCAGACAGTCTGGGCGTGGGAGACAGTGTATGAGTGAGGGTTGAGAATGACAGGCTGTCACGGATTATGAAGTAAAACTCATAAAAAATTCTTTGAATCATATTGCTACATAAGACACGCTTTGATAGACACGCTTTGATATGACATAGATGATGTTTGCATTCGTCAAAGTGGTCAAGTAGAACCTAAGTTCTTGTAAGAAGTAGAAGTGATGTAATTCTTTTTAGTTGTACTACTTAGACAAGAACTTCATCGGCGGGTATTTTTACTTCAAACGTAGTTGTAGCTCATGATCATACGACTACAGGAGACAATGGGTTTTTTTCGTAGTACTTCTAGCCTTGTTTTCAAAAGCTATGTTGAACATGTGTGGTCTGTCTGTCAAATGTTGTAAAAGGTCCTCAAGAAGATTTCCGAGTTGTACTACATATGAAGGTGGTTCAAATTGATATTTATTATGACACATAATATTCACAACTATGGCTTGGTGTACTGAAAGATTGAGAGAGATGGGTGGACAAAAGTTTTCATCAGCTGGGACCTGAGCAGGGTGGGTTCTCATGGTATCTATTATCCGTTCAAATAATCGTCACCTACGAAAGGGCTGAGCGGCGCCGATATGCGATCTTCCTTGTCCTTGTGGGGCGGCACCTCCCATTGCCTTGGGATAGGGATGGTGTGTCGATTTTTCGAATCCCTTGCGAACTGGCACTGCGCGAGGCGGTGAAGAACGCGGCGCTGGACCTCGTCCTCGCGCCATGCTTCTGCTTGTCCTAGGCAGCGAAGACCGCGGTGGCGCCATGATAACGGGAAGATTAGAATTCGAATAAGTTTGAGAGATTAAATTGAATACGAATAAATGTCGATGTCGGTCTCTCTGTCTATTAAGAGAAGATGACCTCCTTAGCCTTACTAGAAGCACTAGTAGGACTAATGCTAGTACTTCTAGACTCTTAGAACAAATACAAAGAGTTGTAGCTGAAGCCTTAAGGCCCTTAATAATCGAGTTCGTATTTCTTGCTTGTTGTGTGCGTTGTGGGGCTACACTTTGAGGTCCATGGATTTGTTGTGGTTGAAAACAGCGCATCGGAGGGATGAGATGTACCCCAGCAAGACTCGCCTTTGCGCTCGCTTTGCTAGTTGTTTGGGTCTGCACTACTCCTCCTGAAACTCCTACTCCTCGTACTGGTGCAGCTGCAAACAAGGACGACGAAGAAGCCCCACTAGTTGTACCGCTTGGTGAACCTTGTGGTCGCGCTAAAACAGAAGCACGCGACATCAAGGAGGACACAGGAACTAGAACACGAGCTTGGGCATTGGAAGTATGTTGAAGGAGTCCTGCTTTTGGTACCCCAGCAACAACCGAAGAGCTTTTTAGGGGTCCTGCTTTTGGCACCCCAGCAACAACCGAAGAGCTTTTTGAAGAGACCACATTTTGCAGACGAGCAGGAGCAACCTTTTGAATTACACCAGGACGAACAGCATGACTCGGAACAATAGAGGCGCTGCGAGTAGGAAACAGTGGCCGCAACGGGCAGTGCGGCATAACTTTTTGCGACGGGGCAGCGGTAAAGCCATTTTTGATTAGACCCGAGCCCCCAGCCGCGACAGGGCTAGCGTCAGGCCTAGCTGTGGTCATGACCCTCATCCCATGCTTCGCCAATGGAGCTGCGCCTGATTTTGACACCGCAGCTGGAGGCGCGCTTTTCATCTGCTTCACCGGCACATCAGAAGATGTAGTGTGGTCTACTATGCTAGAGCTAGTGGTCCCTGTCTTCCCGTCGCCGACTCCTGATGCAGATGAACCCGCTGATGCGCTGATGACCTGCTGCCCTCTTGCCTTAGGCAAACAACTACCCGCCATAGTACCCAAAGGGGCGCGTCCAGGCGCCGGTGGTGATGTAGAAGTACTTCTTGTAGAAGTACCATTTGCAGCTGGAGCTGCTCCTGATGTACTACCTCCCATATTATTTGCCGACACTCCTGTGCCCATAGCTGTACTATTTAACGCAACTACTCCCACATGTTGCCCTTCTTGTGGGAGCAGTCGTTTCAAGGGAACCAACTGGCGGGCAGACCCCTTCTTGGCATTCTTTTCCACGACAGCCGGAGGGCCCCCAATGAAGGGATTCCTCAGCATATGATCCCTAGCACCTGTACTAGTGGAGGACAGGGGCCCAGTGCTTCTGTCGCTGGCTGTAGTTGTTGTTGAGATGCTTACCGCGGGTGGAGGACCTGCATTTGTTGAGCTGCCGCCCGTATTGACACTTGCCGCGCGAGTCGTCGGCTTTTGTAATCCGTTAGCAGGGCTACTACGCGCGGCAACACAGAGAGCTCCCGCAGCCGTTGCACCTTCTTGACGCACCATTGGAACTGCTGAGCTTAGCCCTCCAGTTCCAGACGGCGCACCACCGCTAAACAACCCCAAAGATGAACGCGGCTTTTCCCTGTTAACGCCAGTAGAGATGGCGGTTGTTCCCCTACTAGAAGCCGCAGGGACACCAGCACTGGTTGAGATAGAAGAAATACCACGACCCGGAACAGGCAAAACAGTACGAACGCGACTGGTTGAGGTCGACGAAATACGACCCGGAACAGGCAAAACAGTGCGACCAGGAGAGGATGATGCAACTACTACACGAGGAACACGAATGGGTTTCATCGACACGCTGCTTTTCTGGACCGTCTTGTATCTTAGATTTCTTATTTGATCATTTGCAAGCAATTTATTGAATCAGCAGGGACACCAGCACTGGTTGCAATCACGATGTAGAAGTAGTTGATCAACGTAAAAAAATCACTATCCTCGAATCATGATGAACGAATAGTACGATGCAAGCACCGCCTTATTCCTGCTGAAAGGACGATATCAGTATATCTGAGAAAACTAGCATAACACTCTCTGCGATATTCTCTGCGTCAGCGTTGACTGCTGTAGGGCTAAGGCCTGATGTCTTTTTGCTAGTAGTTCGTTTACCAGAACTCGGTGTTGCAACTCGCGGAGTGCAACTTTTGCAGCACGTTCACGTTCACGTTCACGCTGAGATCGGATCAGCTCTAAGGTTAGAAGAAGAGGCAAGAAAGAACGTAGATGTGGATGAACAACTGGTCCTGTAGACCTAGAGTCTATACGTATAAAATGATCAGACGAGGACTAGATGGCACACCTCGGCCACGACTCTATGTACTATTATTGTGGTGGAGCCGACCTAACTAGAAAAGAAGAAAGATGACCAGAGGAATTTATAATAATGTTTGAGTTCTTAGAGTTGTCCTTCTAGTTGTCCATGTACATGTACACGGGTCAGTTGAGGAGGAAGAGAGCATCAAATGACGCAAGACAAGAAACGTCCATTTTTTTAAAATAATAATGAAAGGACGACTAGACGGTGTTTTTTAACAAGGAGAGAAGCAAACAATCTTCAGTACTACTTATTGATTATATTTTCTAAAAGTACAACTATTAAGCGGGTAAACCTTAGATAGAAGTCAAAAAAGTTCCACATGAGACGAAACAATCAATAAACCACAGAAATTATTATTTATCTTTATTAGGACTTGTAATTTAAGGCATAATAGTAATTAGTCTAATCAAATTTGTAAAGCCGTAACAAGGCCCTTTTGTCGTCAACACTCCCGAGAATTTGGTTGGTCTCCGGATTGATTTCGTCGACTGGTACATCAGGTAGACGGCGTCGGAAAACGAAGGTCCTAGCATTCCAATCACCTACGTAGCTTGCTTTACTTAGAGTGGGTTTCCCTCTTCTTTACTTACAGAGTGGGTACTATCATTTTTAGCTCGTTACTTATAGAGTGGGTACTATCAGTTCATGGTCCCTCTTCTTTTCTTACCTCCTTGATGGGCTCGTTACTTATAGAGTGGCTACTATCATTACAGCTCGTTCTGTTCTGGGCATCTATCATTAGCGCGTGCTTCCGACAAGGAGATTCTTTCCCTCTTCACACGACTACGTAGCTTGCTTTATACTATCCGCGGTGGAGTGGGTAGTAAGTTTCCCTCTTTATTCCCCCTTCTCAGTTTCTCCTTTGAGTCACAAGGGATGTCATGTCATGGGACGGATAGTGTGAGCTACCAGGTTGTGTAGCTACAAGGAGCCTTAAGATTAGCTCTGCCTACAGAGCTACAAGGAGCTTCATCATCCATGTCTACTTGAGCTGTAGCTATTCAGCATATTGCTACAATTTGAGGCCTTAATTTCCCCGATCTCTTCTCTCGCTCATCTCCAAACCGGCAGTTGTAGTACTTCCACCTCGTCTTGTCGAAACCACGGACTTCGGAGAGGTAGAGGCTGCATTTCATGTTAGAAGCAAGGATACATGATCTACTACAGCATTACTTCTAGAAGAATAGATCATGACATGTGTGCTATGTGATGCATAAGTAGATAGATTAACGATTTAGTACGACGAATCAATAGCCTCGTCTTGTCGAAACCACGGACTGATGCATTTCATGTTAGAAGCAAAAATATCTGATGCATAGATAGATTAACGATTTGCGTGGCACAAGAGCGCGGTCGAGAAGCGTGGCGCAACTTAAGGCTAGAGCCTCTATTTCATCAACTCGCCTTAACATTGCATATTAGTCCGACGAATAGCCTTAACATTGCATCATGGGATAAGCCTAAGGTTGAGAGGTAAAAACTACCCGGTTGTTTCATTTAGTGTTAGCCTTAACATTCGCAAGTTGTGTCACACACCACGATCTGAACTGCTGGTTCACCAGACTGAGATGGATTTCCCCTCGAGCACCCGAAAGTAGCTTTTCTGCAGATAATTAAAGCGTGAAGCATTTCATCTTTAGATGTTGACCGTATTGCTAAGGGACACCACGTTCAGTAGGAAAAGTAGTGGTGATAGTATTTTGAATATGCAAGGCGAAAAGCATGTAGAAATGAAATGTTTCAACCCTTAAGATGAGAGAAACATCTTCACCAACTGTTGTGCTTCTTTCTGCACGCCTCCTCGTGCGTCGGATTCGGATAAGCTCAAGGGGTAGGGAAAGTTGAAGATGATCACGTCGAAATCTTCACGAAGATTGGTGTTGTTGGAGTTAGAAAAGAAGTAACTTACTTACTTATGCTTATCTAATTCAACACGAGTTGGAGTTGTCTTGTATGATATAGTGTTGTCCAAGCTGATTATTTGGATAGAGGACCAGCAAGTAGCTCAAGATCTTGCTTTGACAGCGACATTACCATAGTGCTGCAGGGAGACCACCTGGTCGCGTGTTTAACAAATAACACTACTGGTGTATGTATGTGTGTATCCCTGATGATGCCGTTCCTGACACCGTAGAGATAACTTCTGAGAGGGTACATGACTAAGTCAAGACGGTTGTTTGTTACTTTAATAACAGCCATAACGGCTTGTCCAAAGACTTCTTCCAACTTCGTCGCATCGACGCCGTGCAGAAGCCGCGCTCCACTGGCACGAATCACGCTCTGATGTAACTGGGCAACCCCTTGTTTGTCGTATTTCTCCACATGTTAGAAGAAAGAGAACGTAAAGAACGGCAATTCGTACCAGAGACCGGTTGATGTACCTTCCTTGTAGATGAGTAAGTATTCATCTGGTTTGTAGATGAGTAAGTATTCTGGTAGTACCTATTCATCTGATTGATTGATTGATTGATTGATTGGTGATCTGGTACCCTTATTTTTTGTCTTCAAGGTGAACCAACTAGACACCAGTCAAAAGGATCTTCAAGGAAGGTCCTTTGAAATTATAGGAAGATCACTCTTTGACTGATTCTGTGTCTCTCTGTACTAGTTAAGCTAACCTGCTAGCCTTAAAAGAATGCTGCTTCATCTTCAATAACACTCGCAGTGAGACACCACACTGGGTCTTCCACGTAGCACACTAGAGACGCCGAAAACGACAGATCCCCATCCCCTACTACCAAGATCCTCTTGCCTCGAAAAAACGAAGTCAAGTCCTCGACGTCGTCGTCTTGAAGCCCTTGTTCGCCGTGATTGGGAGAGGTAGTTGTTGTAATCCTAGTCGTGCCACCCGTATTTGTACTGGTGTCAACATCGAGGACAGTAGTCGTGCCACCCGTATTTGTACAACTGGTCTCAACATCGAGAACAGAAGAAGTGCTGATGTTGGTATTACTAATACTACTAAATGCAGCACTAGGGAATACGACCCTGCTCGTATTTGTTGTACTAGTCTTTACATGCTGCTGCAATTGTTGACGTTGGGAAGCTGACGGAAGCTTTTTCAAGATTGGCGGTATCAATTGCTTCACAAAACACCCCTTTTTTCGCACACCACCTACAGCTACAGCCCTCTTCTTGATGGTCGCGCCACCACCGCCTTGCTTCTGTGTTGTGGCCTTGACACGGGACTGAGAATTAGAAGCAAGTTGTCAGTGGTCTGTACATCAAATTGATACAGGTATTACAGTTAGACTGAGGGCAGCTGTACACGTACCAATAAGAATAGCCAGGTCGGTGTTTTCTAGTACTGTTTTCGTTCTACTTTGCTTGAATCTTCCCAATACGTTAGAACCGGTACCACTAGAAAACAACTCACAGTGAGTAGACAAATTTCTGACCTTCTCGAGTTTGAGTTTCAATTTTCGTTCAAATCCAAGAAATTTTGAATATATCTTGTTTTAATTCAATTTAGATTGAACGAAGAGATAAGCAAAACAATCCACAAGCTCAGAAATCTTCTCAAATTCAGGCATTGAGACTATCAATGTGCTAGAATCAAGGTCGTGATATGTCCTACTATTGGACAATACTAGTGCTGTTCTGCTACTAGTTGCTAGCTGTTAGGTCACTACTTCGATTTTCTTAGGATTTCAAACCTCAAATTTGAGTTTGAAACTACTAAATCCAAAAAAATTTGAGTTTATCTCGTTTTGATTCAATTTAAATCCATATGAACGATTGTTGACATGATTGCATTGCTATCAGTTGGTCTCTATTCTACTTGAACTGGATCAATCAACGATCAACATGGAATCACCACTCCACCATGCTGAAACGCCACCGAATTCAAGTACATGAATCAGTTATCAGCGTGAAAATACAACATACTCCTGCACCGATATGCTGACACCTATATACAAGCTACTCCTGCTTCAAGTTCAAAATACAATCTAATAAAAAGCAGTTAGCAGCATAACATCCTCGTCCGTGCTAATATTTTCGTCCATGCCCTCTAACACTTGTCGCGCCAGCTCCTCTTCCAACTTGGCCATTTTTTGCTACGGTAAACTTTGTTTGTTATATCAAGGTAATAATATCAAAGCTCCATCTATACTACGGTAATAATATTATCAAGGTTGTAAGTAGTACTACCAGGTGGAACGGAAGTTGAAATAGAGCTAGTAAAGCTATCAGATAAGGATTAGATTCCTCAGTCGAGTCGCAGACCTTGTTCTTGGAGTCAAAACCACTACTCCTACTACGTGTACTAAAACTACTAATAGTCCATCTCAGTGATTGTTCTCGAAAGCAGGTGGCTGCAGAGAGGTGATCATTGTACAGGCAGTAAATGTACTTGAACTCAAATGCACTAGACTCTCTATGGATACTCGACGACTTTCGACGAGATTCTGGGAGTCAGCTGCAGCACAACGCTAGTACTAGTACAACGAACAGTGGCACTGTAGTTACTCCCAAAACGACAACAAGCAACTCGAGTTCGTCGACATCTTCTACCACGTTCTCTCCTCACACTCTCGCCTTCTTGGATTGATGTTCGACTTCGTTCATTCCATGTCCTCCTGCGAAGAACACTGTGCTTCTTCCGAAAGGAACGGATGACAAGGAAAACCAACCAGTATTTTTAAGTTCTATAATTGGAAGATTTTTGGAAAATCCATAGTCCAATGATGTTAATCTATCTTATCAGTTCGTTCAAAAATACTCTAGCAGATTTCAGATTTCGGAGGATCTCGCAGTTTCTCTTTTTGTATCCTGGGGCTGCTAGAAGATGAGTGGCCTCAGTGTTATCCAGTTCGCAAACTGGCGGCAGGTGGAGTACATTAACCTCCTGTTAGTGTCGTTGTCTTTTATACAATATTTCCGAAAAAAGTATACTGAGTTTGTGGAAAATTATGTACAACTTGTCCTCCTCAATTTTGCATACTATGCAGAAGTTCATCTCATTGGCCGTGCCATCTGTGACAAAGAGTACAACGAACCTTGGAATCTCCCATGCATCAGCTTTCACTTTTAGACCCTGAAATCTTGGTCATTTCAATCCCATATGCATCATCTTTAAAGATAACGGAAGACTTCGATGCGCGTAGTGGAAATCTAGGACTTCTTTGATGAGGAATCATTAATTATGAAGTGAAAAGTAAGTAAGGAATCTTTCTCAGTAGTTACTACTAGTACTAGTCATCTTCATCCGTAGCTTTTTACACACGATCAAGAATACCCACGGCCATGAAAAACACAATCGATCCGGCGGTGTGATCTGAATAAAAGTCTAGGTTAGGTTAGGTGTGGGCCTAGTACCAGGAAAACTGGCAGACATGAATGGCTGCTGAGGAAATCAAAGGGATCATGTAATTGTGCGAGCCTTTATTACAAGGGGATCGATCTACTTCATCATGGCTTACGCAAATGCATAGGAGACGTTTACATTTTTTAACATCTTTTAAAGTTCATCTGACGATTGCTCTTTTATGCGCCACAACATGTCGCTACTATCTATCATTCACTACAGGTTTAGCGATCGTGGTACATACTAGAAATGGCCCTGTTGCTGGTTGTACATGCTTACTAGAAATTTTTCCCCCATCTTCTATTTCATCCATTTCTGATCTCAGCACAGTACAACACGAGATGATTTCTATAGACCAAGAACTACTTACACGAAGATATAAAATAACCTTCTTCACACTGACCTATGTGTATGTCATGTCACTGACTTCACGATATTAGTTAGCTGCTGTTTTAGTTTGAAAAAATTCACTACTGTAGAAATAGAAGTAGAAAACGTAGATGGCCATGGTCATGTACTTCAATCATGCCTAACAAAATGAGCTGACTCAGAAAAGAGACCGCCCAGAAGGACATGCACATAAGGGCAAGGGACGTAAACAAGAGTTCTTTTTCGTTGCAGATGCGAAGCACTTGTAGTTGCATCAATGAAGATGTTCTTGTATGCGTACTTTTCTACAATTCAAAAAATTTCCATCAACATTTTTGGCCGTCATCTCACTACTTGTACTTTCATCCAAAGGTGCCTGTCTAAATGAGTACTTAGATCGAGAATCTCATGCTATCAATGATCCAGACCTTTAGAGCAATTGTACCTATATGTTGAGAGAGACGACAACCTGCGCGGACTGGCATCCAGATTCAATGTTTCCTGCCTCCACATGATTTGGGTTCTTACTCTCTGTGCACCATCTGAAATGAAGTCATCTTCAAAAGTTGTTACATCCCTCTACAGCGATGTGCTTTTTGCAACTATGTTGATTCAAAAGCAAGCCTCACGTAATTATTCGTCTCTTTGTATTTGTTGCATGGTTTACTTCTACACAAGAAATAATAGGTCATCAACGATTAATGATTAAGTGTCATAATAATAGGTCATTAACGATTTATTTCTTGGAAACCTCAATACTTTATTACTTCCTCCACGATTATCACAATCAACATTCAGGACGAAACACAGTACTACATAATTCGTGACTTTATCAGGGTACTGATACTGATGAACTTTTGATTACTCTATCAGGGTACTCAAAAAACTGATGATCTTACAATTCTTAGAAGTTAGGTTCCTTTCCCTGCTCTGGACATCACTGCGGAAGCATCGGTGATGGGTGCGTTCTTCTCGATGTAGACAACGTAGCGCTCTTTGCGTCTGGCGTAGTACTGGCATTCCACATGGCGGATTGAGACCAGGTTCTCGCCAGCATCGAAATTCTCTTCCCACCACACCTTGTCATAACTGCGGTACTCCGGAACGTCCTGGGGAGAAGGAGCACAGTAAGGATCATGAAGATGAAGATGTCACAAGAGAATATCTTCACTACTTGTAAATAACTTTAAGTCCTCTTAGAAGATGAAGGAGAAAATTCTAATGTGTTCGTAGTTTGCTTTTCCATCACACAATTAGTACAGATGAAACAGATACAGAAGCGCAAACACGACATGATCTAAATTATACGACCACTACAAGCAACGACTAGAAAACAAATAAAAGCAATACTAAATGTACAATCACAACATGATACTATGATACCTTCGTCCACCCCAAGTGCTTGATCCTCGCGTTTGAGACATCATGATATTTGGCGTCCAACACGTCCGCAATAATAACCCATCTCTTGGCTATACGGATCATCTGCTCCACGGCCTTTTTGGCTAGCTCTTTGTCGTTAATGTATTGGAAAACGGAGTTGCACACCACCACGTCCCAGCTATTATCCGGCACGCTCTGCAAACAATCCGGGACTAGACCGACGTAGAAGTTGTCCTGAAGAAAAAGTCGGGGAAGAAAAAGTCGGGGAAGTTGTAGAAATTAGTAAGTACAGTATAATAGTTGTCCTGAAGATGGCGGCGAAGAAAAAGTCGGGGAAGTTGTACTTGTAGAGGTTAGTAAGTAGTATAATGCATTTTTTGGATTATACGGATTGAGAAAGAGGAGCTCCTGATTCAGTTTCCAACTACAAGAACTGATTAGATTAATTAGCCTTGAAGCAGAGAGAACAGTGCTGGAGGAGAAGAGTAACTTCTAGGAGCAGAAGTCGTCCATCATGTACTGTCTGATTACATTAAAGTTTAATCACAAAGAAATAGAACATAAGTTAAAGTTTAATCAAATAGTACCTTGTCTTCCGGCGCAGCCAGTTCGTTTCGGACCAATTCGACCGTCTTCGGCGCTCCATCGACTCCTCCTAGCGTTAGCTTTCTGCTCTCCAGTGGCATCGTTTCCTGCAACGACCTGAGGAAGGCTAGAACTCCACAGCCAGCTTCAAAGACTCGATCTCCTGGTATTAGAGCTTGTTGCACAAATGTTGATCTTCACACCAGAAGTCATCTGTTTCTTTGGCTACGGGCATGATGTGTAAGTATGCAGCTTCCTCTACCTCTGAACAAGGAGGACCAGCACACCCAAAGCGAAAGATGCGGATCATGCCTCTTATGAAGGAACAACGATTAGTATTTTTCATATACTTAATTTAGAAGGAGTTCATCTTATGAATTAACGAAAGATGCGGATCATGCCTCTTATGAATTATAACTACGAGGACGAATTACGGGAAGCCTTAAAGGTAGCACTTTACCATTTACCGTATCGCGAACATAGTCGTCCCAGATCTGTTTATCCGTGAGGTCCACCCAACCAGACATTTGATGCAGGTGGCGGAACTTGGCTTCCCTGGCCAGAGCGTCAAATGCGGCAGACACCGCTGAGGCGTGCATAACTGAATCTTAGAGCTCCTCAAAAATAAATAATGCAGTTCTTCTAGACGATAGTGGATTAGCAAATCTTTATTAGGTCCTTAACATAACACTAATCTAATACACTCGAACGCATCTATTTTTTCTTATTCTTGTTCTTGCCTGCATCATTTCTCCCAATCTTCCTGACAAGGAACAACAAGGGAGAAATCTTGAGAGTGAGAGTTGTTGTACAACAAAAGAACTAAAATTGAAATTGTATATAATTCTTGAAGAGCCTTAATCATCAGTAGACGCAGTAGACCCGTCCCCATTCTCGCTAACGCTGTCAAGCTGATCGTAGCTGTTGTTTTTGACTAATTTGCTCTGCTGCGGTGGAAGCGCGTGGAGTGACGTGGAAGCCGAAGTGGATGCTACTGAAGCCGCATCAGCCTCCGGAGGTTGTTGTGTCCATTAGAAAAGGAGTGGTGGTGGGAGGAAGATTCTCTTACTACCTGCGCCTTGGAAAATTATGTTGGACATGACGAGTTGCCTCCATTTATCAGATTTCATCTGATCAGATCCTCAACAAAAATTCCATGTGCTTCTAAAGTAAACCTAGAACACTAGCTATACCCTCTATTGCAATTCTAATTTTCTACCAATGCCATAAATCGATAGTTTGTTGCTGATGCTTCCGACACCCAAAACCGTGGTAAGACCGGCAGCAGCGCGTTGTTGTGGGGTAAAAGTAGCAGGAGGAGTGCCACTCGAAGCGCTCAAATTATCTCCAAACGTTGTGCCACTCAGTATTGGCTTCTTGGTTAGAGCTATACAACATTTCAAAAAAGATGCTACAGGCAAAATATTACTTACAGATGCAGCAACATGATCTACTAAAGATGTTGGGTGTGCAGCTAAGTACATGATCTAAAGATGGATATGGATTCTTGACATTATATATTTGTGGTGGAGCCGACCTAACTAGAAAAAAGACAGACCAGCGGAAGATATAAAAGAGAAAAGGGTCACTATCAACAAGTATCCTAAGGCATCCTGCTAACTGCTAAAACTAACTAAGCGCCGGCGCTATCGTCGTCCTGTCAGCCCCATAGGTCTCACCTTCAAAGGCAGTCTCACCTTGACATTATATATAATACTCGACGTAACTTCTGTCTGTGGTTCGAGGTGAGACTGTTCTGATTCGACTGCACGCTTCCAGCTACGGTCCCTTGACCATATTGGAACTCACCGAGGCAAAACCTCAACAGGAACGGAATTGCTTTGGTATCCTCCTCGGTGACGGATCTCTTCTTTTGGGCTTGAATCGTCTTCTGCAGGTCCTCAAGGGTCATATCTTGCAAGTTCTTGCCACGAGGCAGCTCGACTACATCGGTCACGGAACACTCTTATTAGATGAAGAGAAGACCTTAATAGATGAAAGGAACAAACATTAGTTTTAGTGCTAGTCGCATCAATGTAGATGAAAGTATAGAAGTGGGTCGTACGAGGACGATGAAGAGGAACAGTTTGTTAACGAATTTGGGAATATATAAAGGAGATGCTAGTGACTTCTTGAAGCAAGCTATGAAGAACAGTTAAAAACATTTAAAAACAATCATATAGAGGATTCAAAATATGAGCACGACAGCGAGGACTTCTATCAATCAAAAAAGAATACATAGAACTTCTACATCAAACCTGGCATCTACTTTTTATTTGTGGCCTCCTTAAAGTTCAGGGTATGAGCTCGAATTTCCTGCGTCGTCCTTGTTCATCAAATTCAAAGGCCTCCCAGTCCTATCTTCATCATCGTCCTCGACTTGAGACGATGCTTCTGAGATCTCTTTTCTGAGGACTTTGCTACTGGGAACTAACGAATTTAATCGTCCCCCAACTTGTCCTCCAGCACCTATCTGTCCATTTAATACCCCAACTTGCCCTATCTGTCCAGCAGCGACGCGAAGTACCTCATCAGGATTCAAGCCAAACTTCCCAGCGATGGCATCGCAGATCTCACACAAACTGCCTGCAACAGACGACATTTTGCTAGGACGGCCCTTGTTTATTCTAAAAATATGATTATGATTATGATTCTGCCGCGCGGCAGTCTGCACTGAAATCTGTGCGAGATTATAATTGTATTGTATTGCAACTACAGTAGAAGTAGTACAACTTCTACGATCAAGATAAGCGCACACTTGATGACTCGAATCTATTCGGCAGCTTGCCTAAGATACGTAGTAGACGAGTACGTTTTATAGCTACCAAAATGCCGGATAAAATTAGATGAACGTCTCAGAACGTCGTCTCTCTACTACTATCTCGACAAAAACATTTGAATTCTCATCTTTCTTATGTGAAGAAGAAGATGCAAAAGATCTATGACCAAAAACGAAAACCCGGAAACTACCTCCGGGCCTGGGAAATGCTCCTCTGCTTTACCCAAGGCTGATTTTGTGGGCTTAAGGGTAGGTTGAAACGGGGTACTTTGAGCATCACTAGAGCTAGAAACGGAGGTTGAAGAAGACAAACGGACGACCACTTTTAGAAAACAGAAACAAAGCACTCATCATCATGGCATCTCAAGTAGCCATCCTAAGCTACTGGCAAGACGAAACAGATCCAGCGTCGACAAAAGTGGCCGTTCAAGCAAAGCACTCATTCATCACGCTGCCACTCGTTCAAGCTGCCGCACCTAGGCATACACAAGTAGAAAGCAGACAGAAAAAACTATCCTCTTAGAAAGAACTATCCTCGTCGCCTCTCCACCACAGAAGAAAGAACAAAAAAACCTCTCCACGATATGGAAAGCCGCATTAGGTCTCTCTCGTGTTCGTCTCAACTGTAGTTCATAGTCCTTGTAAAAAAAGCCACCTCTCGTTGTCGTCTTTCTTTTAAGAACATCGTTTGCGCCTCAGAAAAATTTTTGTCAAACAGTAGACAGATGAATGTCATTTGATTCTGTCTGCCTAAGATTTCCCTTGGGGAATATCCATCCAATGCCTACTCAATGGCAGTATCTTCCAAACGACCTTGAGGAATTACATGAATTCCCCACTGATGTGCCTTCGCCATATCAATGCCCAACTGCTGTGCCTTCCTCAAGAATTCCACTGGAGGAGGTGCTTCAATCAAACGATCTGGCACCATTAATTTCCAAGCATGAAGGAAAAACTTACCTCCATCTTCACCTCTCTTTTGGGAAGCAACATCCTCTTGGTCGTGACTTCCAAGCTCCTCCTTTTTTAGGTCCCCAGCATTTTTTTCATCATCAGTTTGGCCTCCTTCTACATCATTCTTGACGCCGTGACCCTTTTCTGTACAGCCTCCGTCAACGTTTTCCCGATCCCGAACTCTAGGGTGAGCGACCTCCTCAGTTAGGACACCATTTTTTTCATCATCATCGTATCCTGCGTCAAAGCCTAAATCGTATTCCCGATCCCCAACTAAAGGAAAGCCCAGCAACGCACAGTGTCTCCTAATCTGGTGCCTTCGTCCACCACTGGTCAATTCGCACAGGACCAAAAATGCCGTTTTTGTCGATGAAGCAGTGCTGATGAACGACACCGTCGTAGTGCATGCTTTGCCGTCCAGAGGTATGGAGCAAGTGAGCGTAGCAGGACCAGAAGCTTTCTCTCCTCCATTCTGTTCTTCACTTATTTGGCGTTCTCCACCCACTCGTACCAACGCCAAATACTCTTTCCGCACATGCGTTGACCAGAAGCTTGGATTGCCAAAAATTCGCGCAGCTTCTGGACTCTTCGCAAAGAGGAGGGCGCCGCTCGTATGCACATCCAAACGATGTAAGGGGGTCGCGAACAACCTCCCTCGTTCTTGTGGTGCTGGAGTTGTTCGTAGTGAATTTACCAGATCAGTTACAACATTTTCATTCTCCGATTCTACATGTCGGGGTCCACCTACTGGTGTTTTCGCTTCCAAATACCCCATCACTTCATTCAAGCAGCTGGTAAAGCCTGCCAGTCGATGAATCGGACTCACTCTTTTACCCGCTTTTTTAGCGATACACAGCAACGAGTCGGACTCGAAGAGGACTTCAAAGGGAGGTAGAGGAGGCGGGTTTTGAGTGTCGTGAGGAGGACGAGGCGGATCTTGTGTGCTTTTTTTTTGAGTGGCTGGCTGTATCGGTACTTTTAACAGCGCATCCCTTAAAAGCTGCCGAACCCTAGGGACTGTCCAGTGGACCCGTGTGGAAGGTTTGTCTTTGGACGATGTGTCTTGTTTTTGATGCTTGTTCTTTTGTTTACTACCACAACCGATTGAAGACGATTCTGTAGAAGATGTACCGCTTGAAGATTCTGTGGGAGATGAACCGCTTGAAGATTCTGTAGAAGATGTACCGCTTGAAGATTCTGTGGGAGATGAACCTGATACTAGCCAAGCAGTGCTGCAGGGTTCATCGAGGACATTGACGGGACATACTATACCACCTGGTCTCCTCACAGCCTCAGTGAGGAGTGAAGCTACTTCTTCAAGCGTACGCCGTCGACCTGATCCAGAGGACGAGGTGCAGACACCTCCTCCTGCGTCTTCATCTACTGGGAGTTCGCGATGATTTATCGGCCTCGTCGTGTCTCCTTGTCCTTCACGACCAGATTTTCTTTCTACTTCTGCACGATCCAGCCCCAACTCCCAGAAGAGAGCCCGGTATTCCAGAGCCGACAAGATGCCTTCTCCAAAACAACGGTCCAGGGTCCCTTTGGCCTCTTGCGCGAATGCTTCAGGCTCTATGAAGTCGCTGTGAGGTTGGTTCTTTCGTCTCGGACTCAGAGTAGGCTTGTTGCACCTGCATAGTACAGCACCATGATCCTGCGATTCAGTTGGCTCCTTCTTTTCGCTCCTGTGTTCCATGGCTGCAGTGGGCTCGGTGTGATTTAGATCAACGCTGGAACGAGGCTGAACGCCGAGTCCTTGCGTCACAGGCGCTTCCTGCTGCACTGGTGAGGACATCTTCCTATATTATACCTGCTAGCTTAACGCCTCCATATTGGTGTGAGTAAAATGAGAACAAGGGTAGGGGTACTCCTTGTTCAAAAGATGCTCATTGTGGTGAAGAAGCTACTAGTAGTCAATCATAAAATGAAACTATCTACTTAATAAACCACCCATCTCCTCGTCAAATACTCTCACGTGGGGTCGTCTGTGAACGGGAGTACAAATTCAGCGCCAGACAGGAACCACCCCTGCATAAGTGATCATTGGAGGATCTTCTGACTCACAAATTATGAATGAATATCAAAGGAGGTCAACACGCAGCTATCATCGTTACCTTGTCCCATATAGTACTACAAGCCTATAGGCAGGACAAAACAGTTCCAGCAGTATGTCAATTACTAACCTACTTAAAAAAGTTACGATGTATCACAAGATCTGCTGAGGATGGTACGCAGTTGAAGTGAAGATCCGAGCTTAGAGTATGAAGTGATCCCCCATGATCTAGTATCACACGAACCCCTTGTAGTTCGTCAACTTGACCTCCATGAGTACTTGAGTCGATCGTTTTGATTTCAATCTTGATCCTTTCAGTGTTTGATCATCATGATTCGGCCAGAGAAGCTATGTAGTATGATTTCATTCATTCATTCATTCACTTACCTGTTCGCGAGGTGTAGTCTAGTTGCAAGGGAAAGGGGGGTTTATTTCTTTTCCTTCGAGCTCTTTAAGGGTTGCTTCTTTCTTTTCTTTATTTGCACTTTTTCTTGTGTTTTTTCAACAGCTCTTATAAGGGGTTGCATCTTTCTTTTTTCTTTATTTTGCACTTCCTCATGTGTCTTTTCAACAAGTCAATTCTTTTTGACCTCGCCAACAACGACATCGCTTGTTCATCATTTTCCACCTTCCACTTGCAACATTTTGGGCATCTGAGGTACTTTTTTCTTCGATACTGATAGCGCAGTATTTCCGGAACATAGAAGCTGTGCAATCTAACGCCTGGTCCTGGATAGTACCTCCCAGAAATGGGATGGATAGCGTGACGTTCTGGTCTGTATAGATTCTGAACACTTCCGACAGCGGCCCGCGTGGGTGTCCTGCTCATGAGTACCTTGTATGCCTTCGTCGGTTCATTTGCTGCATGGGCCTTCTCGTGTTGTTTCATTGCTCCGTTGGAGGTTGCAAATCTCATGGAGCAGATGCGACATCCATATCTTTCCGGGTGCTTCTTCCTTGTCTTCAATTTTGGCCCAACCGACCTCAGCCGCCAATAACAAGCATTCGACCCTCTTCTTTGTTTTTGCTTCTGTCCTTCGTATTCTGCTGCTGTGTCCTGCTTGGCTATTTTTCTCAGCGCTTGAGCTATTTTGGGAAGGCTTGGGTTGCTGGCTGGATGTTTTTGTTCATAGTGTGCCATCAATGCATCTGCACGCGCTTCCGGGTTTGACAAATCCCACTCGCTTCTCGCGTGCTCTTTGGTCCAGCTCCATCCACACGTGGGGCAAACACCACCGGCATGCGGCATCTTTCTAATCCTGATCTCCTTCGAGCTGAATGCTGCAACTGCCGTGGCAAGAAATAGTGGGGCCTCAGTTGAGAACTCTAAAGCTATCGCTTTTTCGGCTGGTAAGCACATTCGGCGTATTACTTTAACCGCCTCACCAGCTTGACTCGTGCTTGTGAACGCTTCTCCACTGTAGTCTTCCCATCCTTCTTCGGCTGTGCCAATGTTGCTGAATTTTTTCGCTGAGGAGCCTTGTTGAAATACTTTGACTTGATATAGCCATACTGGACCCGAGAAGTGTACTGCTACGGAGCTTTTTCCTTTTTTTTCTCCTTGTTTTGCTTGAATGATGGCGACCTCTCCCGATTCAAGGCACTGCGGATTTATGCTGATCCCTGGCATGAGAGGATGCATCTGCTCGCCGCCCTTAACAACTTCAAGGCACGCGGAGGCGTCGCCTGTGAGTGTGAACTCAGCGTCTGTCGTTGTCATTGGCAAGTTAAATTCCGCTTCGCCTCTTGAGTTGCACTGCCAGACTTGGAGTGGCTCTGCTTGTGTCCTTTTTTTCGCATTGAGTGTTGTTTGCTTTGCTTTGCCCTCAAGATGTTTGCTTAGCAGTTCGCTCCATAGGCTTTCCTTTTCTCCTTGTTCTCTTCCGGCAGCCGTCCATTGCTCAACTGTGCTATAGATGAATGCGACGCGGGTGGCTACGTAGTAGAACTGCTTCCGAGTTGCATAAAAGTCCGACTGTCTTTCTATTTCTTCAACGATTTGCGCATCTGCTCTTCCCAGTGTATCAGCAGCAGTTAGCTCTTCTCCCTCCTTTTCTTTTGGTTGAAGCAAGGACTCGATCATGGCTGGAGAAAGTCCACATTCGCGGGTAAGATGTTTCGCAAGCTGTTCCTGTAACGAGTAGACTACGCGATCAGCTGGAGGAAGTTCCCTTTCGTCTGATATCGTCCTCAGATAAGCTTCCCTACCCGGCGAGTCTTCAGACTGCTCTGGAAAGAAGTGCCCCAGTACTGCTGATCGTTCCAGGGGTGAAGATTCAGCGCGAATCACGTGTCCCCAGTGCTTTGCCTTGATGTAGTAGAAAAATACTGCCAGCGGGGGAATTCTCATCTCCTTCAAAATTTGGGATTTCTTCACTTCACCATTGTAATACTTCCAGAGAGGATAGCGGGATATCATTGCCGCCATCAATGCTTCAACGTCTGCAAGCTCTTTTACTTCAGTTGGAAGTGTTGCTCTTACTTGCTGGCCGAAGGATATCACACTTCGAACACATGCCATAAGCAACTGTCCTCGAACAGAGTGGTCAACACCACCCAGCCCTGCTAAGCGCTTTCTCATTGCAAAAAAGGGCCTCCAACTCTTGGCCAGTTTATTTTGTACATCAATGCCAATATCCGTGTTCATGCCCAAGTTCCTTTCCGCAATCGTTGTCACTCGGCCAGTTACTCTTTTAGTGTTGTTTTCACCCATTCCGGCTGCCTGTAATGTTTGCACTAGGCACTCCCCCAACGGTGTGAGAGGAGGCGCTCGACCTGTTCTGGCTGCTGCGACAGCTTCCTTGTCTATCCTTTCTGCTTCAGAGGGCTCGAACTGTTCTAGAAGGGAGGTATCATCCGCGAAGAGAATCATGGCTACATCTTCAAACTTCACTACTTCTTCGTTGGTGGAGTCATGAGAGAACAGCAGGGATGCTATCCTCCGCTCTCGTTTCCACGTGAGGGAACCTTCGCGCGATGCTAGAATTATTCCTGAGTCGATTCCTCTGCTTCGTGCCCTCTGCACAAAACATTTTAGCACTACCGCATAAATCACTAAGAACAACGTTGGCGACGTCGGGCAGCCCTCTTTGCAACCATGTTGAAGAGAAAAGGTGGAGCCTGAAAATGAGTGAACCGCTCCCCGATGCGTTGCATCCAAGACATTCCATACTGGCGTTCCCATTAGTCCTAATCTTTCGAAGATGCATCGAGTCAACCGCCAATCGAGACTGGGGAAGGCCTTCCTCAAGTCCACCATCGTAAAGATGGTTTCTTTTAGCCCTGCCCTGGCATATTGGGACGCGTCTTCCCTTAATCTTGAGAAAAGGGCCATAGCTCCTAGCGCTCCCCTCTTTCTCCTAAACCCGTATTGCTCTTCGGGCAAAATGCCTGCACTCTCAGCAAATCGCAGTAATCTCTGGCCGAACACTTTCGCTATTAGCTTCATCAGAATCGGCGTCAATACTAGAAATCTGTAGGAGTCAGGGTCTTCCACTGGGCCCTTTCCTTTGTATAATGGGACGTCCTTGCATAGGTGGAACTCGCCTCCCATGCTTCTCAGTGCACTTTCTCCCTTTACTACTTCGCTTATCGCTTTGGCCAGCCATTGAAGGTTTTCTTTGTCAAGATAGGTGAGAATGCGCGTGGCTAACCCGTGTGCGTCTCTCGCCCCATCTAGCTGCATTGACCGCAGGCAGAGGCTAATTTCTTCGGCCGTCACTTCACCGTTTAGCACTGCACGAAGCTCGGCTGATGGCTGTTCTAAGACTTTCCATATCTCCGGCTTTAATGGAATTTCTTCTAGCTCTGGATGAGCCGGGGAGTTTCCTACTGTGTTGTATTTCTCCTCAGCTTGTTTGCCGGTGATGCCAGGTTTGCGTGTGGTCGATCCATCGTTTGAGGTGCGTAAGTAGTCCCATACTTGATGGAGTGTCCTTCGAGAAGTCGCAATCTCTTCCTCTGTTGCTTCTGGTGGTGGCTGTGGCCCTGGTTCGAGAAACATGCTGGCCGACTCCTGAAGAAATGGCCGGAAATCCTCAAGCGTGAAGAGTGAGGCCTTTAGTTTTTCCTTCAGCTCTTCGTTAAATGCCTTGGCCATCTGCTTGTCCGGCGTCCTTGTAAATCTCATTTGGGCTCTTCTTCTGCGTTCACCTTCATCAACCAGCTGCTCCTTAGTTTTGTACGACGTCGTTAACACTAGGGCACGGTGGTCAAAGCGATGCTCAACTTTGTCGCCATCTATGCTTATAATTCTCATCGCCTTTATCATTCCGAGCGCACCTCCATTTATCCAAACGTGATCTACTTCAGTTAGTGGTGCTCCAGATTGCCAATAAGTGGCTCTTTCTCCGTCTTCCGACAATTCCCCGGCCGTGAAATACGAGTTGACTTGGCAAAAGTTGTTAGTGAGCATCACTTCCTGTAGCTTTTTTGAAAAGCTGGTGACTGTTCCTTGTCCAAACTCTCCGAGGTTGGGCTGCTCTCCACGCGTCTGAGCGTCACAGATTTGCGTGTTGAAGTCCCCTGCAATTATCTTCGTCTTCCATTTGTGTCGCCTCATCTTTTTTAGACTTGCCAGAGCCTCTCGCATTCCTGATAAGAGCCTCGCTTTTTCTTCTTCAGGCCTACCAGCATGAGGAGCATATGCGGATACGAGTACAAATTTGCCTAATAGACAAATTAACAGCCTGTCGTGAGCTATCGCAATTTCCTGGCCCGAGTTGTGCTTGGCTATAGCGTCAGATATAAGGTCAGGATCCGTAAGAATAATGCCAGTGCCTCTCGTTGCAATTAGGAAGTAGCTGTCTCCTTTCTTGGTCCAAAAACTGGGGCCAGGCGTAACAATCTCGTGCTCTTCCGCTCCTTGCATCGAATAAAACTCGTCAGGTCCATCGGTGTATTCAAATTCGGAAAGAAGGACAGCCGACCACTGCTGCAGGCGAGCTTGTCGAAGGACATAATTAAAACGTTCACTGTGTGCCGAGTCAGAGCACATGTTAATCGCCGCTATTCGCAAGAGGATCTCCTTCGGATTGAGACTGGGCTCCTTTACTCCAGCTTTGGGGCGTTTTTTGAGCAGAGGGTCAGAGGATTTCGATAAAGCTCCACTTTCGGCGGAAGTAACGTTCTTGGACCAGGACACCCTTCTGCATTCTGTCTGATCGCCAGTGCTATTTGACGGATGAGCATTAGGGACTAATTTGCTGGCACGGTCAACCCGACTCTTCACTTGAGACGACAGATTGGAAGTTAAGAGCTTTTGCAGTTCAATAGCATCATCCAACTCACCCTCTTCCACAGATCCACGCCAGATTTTTCTGTATGCTGCTGCTGCAGGATGTGAATCCTCTCTATCGTGCGCATTTCTGCATTTTGTTCCATTTTTGGCATGATAGGAACCTAGTGCCTTAGGGCCACGCTGCCCTAGGAAGGAACGCTTCTCTATGGACTTGTAACATGAGAACTCAGGCTGATGCTCTCCGTGGAAGATGTTCATGGCATTTTTATTTTTAAGACACGTTTTTGCTGCATTGTTAAGAAGGTTCTTGTTCTTGAAGTGCGACCACAGTTTTCGTTTTTTGCTCCTTGCGGCCAATCTTGTTTTTTTGCTCAGATAGAAAATGGCTAGAGACAGTTTTTTCCATCGACGTCCTTGCAATATCTTGATTATTTCGCCGTGCTTGTTCTTGATGTCTAAGTTGGATCTTTTCCAAGTAGCAAATATGCTGACTCTTTTTTTGCACTTTTTTCTACGCTTCACACTAGTTTGCAATGTATTTCTTCTCTCATTGTCCCCTTTCATTAAATCTTCAGCGCATATTTGACCTAGTCCTTCATTCTTCCGACTTCCGTTAAATTCCACTGGCATTGCTTTTTCTTTGTTGCTGGCAAATAGCGCATATTTCCCCTTGATTTTCTCGCTTTCCCATGTCGGAGTAAACCTGTGTGAGGTTGATGACGTGCGCCTATTTGGATTGGACGTGGATTCATTCAGAAGAAGACTCTCAGCTTTTTCCTCATTATCAGGAGGAAGCTCGTATCTACTACCCATTTCAGGTTTGTCGATTTTGTGTATTTTCGACAAGGTGCAAGGTGTCTGCCAAAACTTACGGGGATGAATCTTGATGGGCGTAGTGAAAGTGTTTTTCTTGTTGCTGCATCTGCTTGTCTTCATGGCTAGTCTGCGAGAGTTATCAATTTCAGAAATCGAGATAACAGACGTACGACTACTAGTACCTCCAGCATATTTTTTTATTTCGTCCACTTTTTTTTTCCTCTTGGTTATTCCGGATGGATACTTGGCTTTTTTCGCAATACCTCTTTTTTTTGACTCTTGAAAATGTGCTCCGCTTTCGGCTTCTTTCAAGCTTAACCTGGCAGAAGATGGGTTTTGATTAATCTGCTGGGAGTTGTTGTGCGACAGGTCAGATGAGTTCTTGCTTTTCAAGTCAGAGGACGAGTCAGCAACGGAATCAGAATCCAGCTCATATAAGGGAGCATATTTGTTGTTGAAGGCAGCCGCACTTTTTGCTTCATTACTAAGGTCAAGCTTGTGAGTGGTTCTCACAAAGGTTTTTCGCCTATTAGGTGATGTCCATGGATTAGTTGGCGAATGACTCCTTTCTTCATGATGAGCTCCTTTGTAAGCTTGGACTTCATCAACGCGGATAGTGCTAGAGATAATTTTATCGTAGATGCTGAGAACGACAGGTCTGATCTTTTGTTTCGGATAGTTCAATTTGCTGTCATCTAGGTCTTGCCTTTGTGCTGCTGGATCCTCGTCATCAATCTGCGCTCTCGGCTTATTGAATCTGCTGTAAATAGATCTTCCTGCAACAACTTGATTAGCAGGAACTTCAATAAATGGCGCCCCATCTATGAGTTGCTGGTAATGGCTTACCATAATTCCTGTTACTTCATGTCTATCTATCAAAAGACTAGTAATACCCAGCGAGTGCTGAGGGACATTCTGGCTGAGGTATACTGCAGCTCCGCTTTGGTCGACGTAATACCAATAGCCACTATTGTCTTTATAGACGGGCGGCCCCGATACTGCAGGATTGCCCTGAGGCGCTCCTGCATGTGCTTGTTGTGGATTAGCTTGAGTAAGTTGCGCTAGAGCGATTTGCTGAGCACTTGTTGCCACATATGCCGAGTTGGCACCCTTGTGCGCACTGGCCGTCGGCTGTGCAGCATTGTATGCCGATGGCGGAGCTATGGCTGTCCTTCCGTGAGTAGTTGTTGAAGTAACTGAAGGCATCATCATTGGTAGTGGAGGAGGAGCCGCAGCTGCATTTCCTGCTGTTTGTGCCGGATTCGCCGCTGTGATTAGTTGCGGGGGAGGAGCACTTGCGCCCGATTTGATCAAACCTGCATTCTGGGCTTGCACTTGATTGTTGGCCGCGTTGTTTTTTCCTGAAACATAGTAGACCAGTGGCCCTGCCACTGCCTGAAACGGCTTCGCATTCGGATTCAGTTTGAAGGTCTGAACTGTTTGTCCTTGATCATTTACTCCACCCAGTATACTATTTGGAGCCCCAGCATGATCTGCGGCGTTGATGAGTGTATTCGTGGTGGTCGTTGCTGTGGTTAGTCGATTCTGAATGTTGTTTTTCGCATCTCCACCAGATTTAGCGTGCTCTTCTACAGTTTTTCCCATCTCCGCATCAACCAACTTTTCTGGACCAGTAGATATTGACGCGGCGCAAGCAGTAATCACCTTTTTTATTTCTCCAGCATCCTTCTCTTTGTTCTTTGCCGCCGCAAACTGTTCTCTGAGGGTGGCTTCACTGCTTTTCTTATTTGATTCCAGGGTAGTCGGAGCTAGTGCCGTTGTCCTGATTACTTTTTCCGCAGGTGCACCTGTGTGAAACGTTTCGCTGTCAGCAGGTTTCTTCATGGAGATGGTTGATGTCCCGGTGAAAAAAGTTACCGCGCCGGCAGCAGAACTCCCTTGGTCGTCATTCGCAACTGCTGAAATCTTTTGATTGCTTTCCATTAAGTCCTTCTGTCCAGCTGTAGTCTGCACTTCATTGTTTGTCGCGTTGATTTCGGCGTTGCTTTCGGCGTGGCCAATCATGGACGGGGTGCGGGACATGCGCCTGGTCAATTTAGCTTGAAGTAGAATCTCATCTTTAATGTCTTCTAGAATTTCTCCGCTATCACGTAGAAGGTCACTGTCCTCTTGTCGTAAGATTGCAGTCACAAACTCCTTTATGACTAGTACTTGATTTTCGGAGGGGGGCTTGCTGCGTCTAGCATCTGCTACTACTAGTACGGCGCGCTCAATCGTGTGCCTTGCAAGATAGAGTAGCTCTCGATCGATGTTGTTCACCACTTCCTCGCCAAGAATGATCTTATTTATCTGAGATACCAGATCCAAGACCCAGTCAACTTCGCAAGTTTTGCTGCTGACATCGAGTTTTTTCAGAATCATGCCTCCAATTTTTGCTCTGATAGATGCTTCGGTTTTCGATGCTCCTACTTCTTCCTCTTCAAATTTGAGCTTTGAAGGACTTATTTCCATCGATTCTACTTCCATTTTGTGCTCCATGTGTGCCTTGGATTCATGTTGATGATCGCCTTTTTTTTCGACTTCTACCGCAAAAAGAGGGGAATACTCCGACTCGTCATCTTCTTCACTGAAGGTCCTGCTGATAGCTTTATTTTTCTTAGGAGTGCTTTTTAGTGTTGCCGACTTATTTGCATTATCGGCGCCAGCTGAGGCGCTGTGATTTTTGCTTTGTGCTTGGTGTTCTTGTTGATCCTTAATGTCGCAGCCACCATCCATTAGCATCCTAGAGGAGGAACCAAAAGCTTCCTGGGGTGGAGAGTCTTGCACTTCCAGACTAAATCTCTTCATCAAGGTGATCAGGTGTCCCTCCATCCGATTTAAAGAGTCTCCAGTGCTCTTCCTGTCTTTCCTTAATTCGTCGATCATGACCTGCTGGCTTTGCTGCGTGTCACGAATGTCAGAAATCTCCTTCATTAGCTCCTTTTTTAGTTCTTGATGAGATTCTTCCACTATTTCTTTCATCTGATTCAAGGTATAGTTGTTACCACTGGTACTTGTGACTGCATAAGACGGAGCTTCCTCTGGGATCGGTTCCAACTTTGTCGCCGGGTTCACCATCCATCTCTCGTGATCGAACATCGGTCGCATAGCTTGCACTGCTACTTTCCACCCCGGAGATTTTCCATTCATCCATTCCCACATTATCGCTGCGAGGAAGAACCCACCCTTTTCAACTTCGTAATTTAGGTTGCTTCGCATGACAGGAAATTTTGAGGTCCGCTGTAGCTCTTGCGGGTGAGTTTTGTGCCAGCCTTCATCTTCGATGTCCACTACCATCATGACCATCCCGCTTTTGTCATTGTACCATAGAACCCGGATTTTGAGCCAATTTTCAGGTAAGACCCAGCGCCTATCTGCTGTTCTCCCCCACTTAGGTGCCCCACCAGCTTGATCTAAAGCATCACTGCGTTTCAGCGCCCAGTGCGATTGTCTCGGGTCGCGATTACTCATATGAAGTGGAAACTCCTCATGCTCTCGTAGTCCCCTAGTGATCGTTTCCTCTGATAGGCGGGAGCTTAATTCCATCACTTCGACCGCACCTCCTTTTCCAACTAATGGAAGCTTTTCACCCTCGCCTTTCTTCGCGTTATAGGCTCTTCTCTTCGTCACTTCGTCCAACGTATAACTGAAGGGACCAACTGGGGATGTCTCATAGCTTTGTTGTTGGTGGTGATTATTCGAGCCGGATGGGGTGGAGCCAGTTTTCATATCCAGTAGCTTTACTTCTTCTCCTGAAGATGCGCACAGTTTATTAGCTTCTTCTTGAAATGCCTGCTGCGACATCATGTCGATCATCCCACTGATGTGAGCTCCTCGCGGGTCGTTGTTGATGATTCTGTTTCTGGAGCTGTTTTCAATGTTCGCAACCAATTGGTCCTCGGAGATGATCGGCAGCGAGCCTCCTTTTTGAAGTGGGTGAGGTAGGGGTTGCATCATTTTCGCATGTTTTAGCTCTCGTAGTCGCGATTGTTCTTCTTCGTCGTTGCTTTTGTCCACTTCCATTCCCTGATAATTTCCCTCAGCATAATAAAGTGGCTCCTGTTCTTGTTGGTCCTGCTGCTGATTGCCATATTGACTACTAGAAGTTGAGAGCGATGATGTGTTAGTGGTGGACGTGAAGGGGTTGTTCTTTGCTACTAGTCCTATAGCTTGCTTTTGGCCGCGACGTTGATTTTTTCGGCTGCTCCGAGTAGTATGACTGGTTCGATTATTGGCTCCACTGGAGCTTGAGCTCGGACCAGTATGATTTAGAGAGTTCGGCTTTTCGCTCTTTTTCGCTGCTTGATTGGGCTTATTGCCCTGCGGTCCATTGACGCCCATGTTTTTGTCTTGGCTTAAAAACGAAAGACTATGTGTAATTGTGGTTAGGGATATTAAAGAAACACGATGATTGATTGCAAGTATCCGTATGATTTATCTTATTCAAGTTATCGGGTTAGAAAATGAAAGTTAGTTTTATTTGTATGTGAAGGGGTTATTATTTTTGTTGTTTGCATTCATGTGGATTTTTCCAGTGAAGAAATAACAGGTCATTTTATTACGGTCACGTTCAGTTTTTTCCTTTGCGTAGCATCACAATTAGATTTCTCAGAACCGTTCATTCATAGAGCATGTTTTTCAGCGTGTTGGATCCTTTTTTCAACAAGTTTTCAGTTTCGACTTCCTCAACATTGGTGTGTTTTTCTAGATTCAGCGTATTTTTTCCGCTCTACTGCCCAGATTTTATAGACCCAGCCGGCGGGCGATAGCTAAATTCCAAATCAATTCCGTATCATTGGTGATTGCAGCTAACCTGCCAACTAGATTTTGTGCTGAGCCATGTCCTATAAAATTCAAACGGCTGGGTCTCTCTGTTGTGAATAATTACGCTCGCAGCACAAGGCCTTGAGCCAAAATGGCTACGGCTATGGAAGCCTCTATAAGTATAATTTACTTGAGCGAAACTATTTCGTTTGTCGTCGTCAGCATCACGATCTCGTCAAATTGTCTTATACTCCAGAGCGCCCATCCCAAGAAGGCTTCTACGGTCCGTAGATGTAAAAAGCTTTCCATCTTTCGACATTACTCCCGTCAGCCCTCAATCGACTTATTGCACGGTTAGGTTAGGTTGTGGATCCTTCTCAACGAGCCCCACAGGCACATGCTCGCCTCCGAGGATGATGGGTGACATAGGTAAGGTCAGCAAGAACTACCTAAAGCATCACGAAAAATAAACGAAATACAGCGATCCCGATCAAGCACAGTGAGCCTAGGAATATGACCACATCGAATATCGGGCCTCGCAAACTAGACGGCACAGCAGCACCAAAGTCATCCATCACACAGGGTCCTGCCTGCGATATACTCTCCTTAAGATCCTGCGGAGATGACGCATTCGTAGACGAGCTCTGTCGAGGAGGCGTACTATTGTTAAAGTAGGGTATATTTTTGGTTCTTGAGCGGTGAACCCACTGCAGATGCATTCCAACGAGTAGAAAAAGCGCAAGACCAACAAGGATCGGTGAGGCAGAGAATATACACGCGTAAGTGAGTTCCCATGGCAGGAGTAAATGACAGAAAATAAGATACTTATTTTGCCAAGAAGATGTAGAGTTATGATTTGTTGAGTCGTCTTGTTCCCCCACTCGTTCTTGTTCCCCCACTCGTTCTTGTTCCTCTACTCGTTCATCTTGTTCCTCTACTCCTTCTTGGTTTATTTCTGTCAAGTTTGTAGTATCCTCCGTTGTTTTCCCTCCATTGCTACGTCGGGTTACAGCTTCACGTGGTCCACAAGGAGTGGCTGACGAGAATGATGGTTCCATCCTCGTCTTCGTCGAGTCAGGTCCACAAGGAGTGGCTGACGAGAATGATGGTTCCATACTCGTCTTCGTCGAGGCAGGCTCAGGTTCAGGTCTGCTGTCCGCGTCTTCTTCATACAATGCCGCATGTTTTTGTATGAAAAACTTGTGCAACAAGATCGAGATCATGACCGCGTCAATAGCTAGGACGAAAGAGACGAAAACCACATCCCGTAAAACCAAGCCACTTTCAGCTGCAAACACCACCAGAAGGATGAAAATACAGGTTTTAGAGCTGCTGTATTGCCGCAAAAACAAAATGTGTAGTATCTATGCTGTTCATGTTGCACCGAGCGGTGTGTGTAGCTGCTGCGGATTCGGATATTAGGTAATCACTCTTAGTAAAAACCGGTTGTCACTGTTTCTGTTACCTCTTCAATATCATCATGTTGTCTAAAAAGATTTTCATATAACTGCAGATTAAGAACCCCCGACCATAACGATCGATACAATCGTCGTCGCGAGAAACACCAAAAGCCAAAAGTTATACTTCTTCCTGCTTCTCGGCACTCCCCCCTCCCTTTGCCCACTAACCGCACTAGCACCGGGTGAAGACGAGAACGATGTCGACGCCATTTTTTGAAATCATCGTGTCGTTCTTTTCAAAAATGGCCCTTTCTAAATCGATTTCTCAAAGATAAGCAAATGAAACTGTAGCCCAAGGTGGACACACGACAAGCAATTCTACTTCTGTTTTTTTGTTTCTTCTTGACTGTTACTGTAGAATAAAGTACGGCTTTTTCGAACAGCCATGACAAAAGCGAAGGCTTCAATTTGAAAAATTTGTGCGCTATCTACTCAAACGATCTTGTGGGGAAGTGGGAGCTAGCAAATTTTCCACATAGAAGAGATAGAGGGACACTCAATACATCTACTAGGCAACGAACAGCGGAAACTTGCGGGTAAAAGTATGTTGCTCTCCATGCAATCACTAACACTATCATCTCCACGTGGTGAATGTCTTTGTTTAACAACTCAAGCAGCCGAGACCGATAATACCGCCCATTCCGCATACATTTTGGTTCAGATTCTAAAATGGTCAGACTTATCACAGATACGCACGCTTCCTCCAGGCAATAAAACTTTGTCGTTTTCAGCACCATTCCAGTATTGAATCTTCATGACAAGAACTCCTGTAAACTAAAACTACAAATCACAAAACATCAAACGTTGGACAACTTATAGACTTACTGGTCAAAACAGTAAAGTTTTTGATAGCGGTTTTTTGTGCTCCACCAGCACCATCCACATACTAGTATAATTGCATGCATTATACACATGAATGGTGCAATTCGGTGGTTCGGGACCTTGTCTGTGGGTACTGCTAGTAGTTTTTATTGGTGCTAGGTTACTGTTGGTGAAGATGATACTAGACTACTAGGTGAATGATGAATATTGACAAGAAGGGTCACAATTATTACTTACATTCGATCGACATCTTCGGAGGATACTGCAGCAGACACGATGTGGTCGGTCTATTTGGGCGAAATATTACAGGGCATCGACATCGACATCTTTATCTGAGGAAAGAACGACCACTCAACGCGTGTACTCCGCTCAGCTACTGTGATGATGTTGTAATTGTATAATATGCTTGATCTAGTACTAGTACTTCATGTTAATAGCACTGCGAACATTGATGTTCGTCACCACGTCCTCGGTCCTGTTAAAAAGCAAACAATAACAAACTTTTGAGGGAGGTTATACTAGTCAACTTCTGCTTTCTTATATTCATTAAACAATTCCACCATGTCTAGCGGGTGATGGCTCGGGTGACTGATGAATCATAATGGGGCTTGATGTCGTTTTTGAACAACATTCGAATTATTTGATAAAGAATAGATCAAGAACCGCCCACACGCATAAATATATTCGAACGATTTTTTCATCCTATTTTTTGGCTAGCTCTAATACGATTAAGAATAGATCAAGAACAGGCAGTTCTGCGAAGATGTTTTTAAAGCATTAGCGTTCGTCGAACCTACTGCATTAACAGTTATTCAACGACATTCGATTTCAGGTGGGAATTATGCTATTCCACCAAGTATTTTTTCACCCGACTAACACATCAAAGCGTACTAACACTAAGTAACTTAAGTGTAAAATCTGCTTGCATCTCCTGCGTAGTTCAGTCACGCTTTAGTATCAGCAACTTCAAGCAATTCTCCAAAAATCAAAAATATTCAGCCTCGTACTATCACTGATTCAAAAACTTTTATGCTGTGCATGATTTGGTTCAGACGCTTGAACCAGAACCAGGCGTATGATATACACGAGGTTACATTTACATAGATACAGATACTAGATCTTTCTTATACATTTTTTGTTCTACGACTGCGATATTCATATTTATAGATACGGCAATATTAATTGAAGGTATGGGATCATATATATTTTCAAAGGTCATTTCTACAGGTAATGGTATCGAATCTTATCAAGTATAACTGTTAACAAGTTTGAAATAAGTGTCGAGAACAAGTCGTCCTTGTATCAAGTAAGTAAGTACTTACTCATATCTTCACTCATATCTTCTTAAGTATAACAATGCGCCCTGCACCAGCAAGACTGCATTTCCGGAGACCCACGTCAGCATTGACTCGAGCAGCTGCTCCCTGCCAGTGCTTCCACCAAAAGAGTCCAGCTTGTGACGCACGAGCTAGACCGCAATCGTGTAGAGGTGCGTTTGTGCCATCTGCCTCGCTTCACTAGAGTGGCTTCCTCATCAACTGTAGCGTCCTCATCGACAGGAGGTACTATATACTGTTCCTCGGTAGAGCGAGAGGAAGAAAGAGAGGACGGCAAGGAGATCTCATCTTCTTCTCTGGATGAAGTCGGAGATGAGAAAGTACAACTTCTTGTTGTACGGGTAGAGGTGATCAAAGTAGTAGTTCCTATGCACGTAGAAACAGACTCCTCCTCAACTTCCACTTCTTCTCTACTCTCTTCATCGGGTTCAATGGTCATCGTAGTCTCTTTGTTCTCGGAGCCCACAGGCTCTTCTATTTCTACAGCGCCAGCAGTGCTGTTCATTTCTCCACCAGTAGATGCACTTTTACAACTGGAAGTACAGCGAGTAGACGTACAACTAGATGAAGAACTTCCACCTTGTTCCATCTGCCAGCAATTTTCTACTACCGAAAAAAATGAGACTCCGCTACTATTCTCGCGTGTCAGTGTGTCGCTCGTCACCCGTCCAGTCTCCAGCAAGGTCCCCACCAAGGTCAACAGCAACTTGCCAGCCCGCTTCCATCCTAACTCTAGAAAAGGCGAGAGTTAGAGCAGGTTACGCAATTACATTCCTCAGCACATCTACTTCCTTGGCTTGTTCTTAGTCTCTTCTAGAAACAAAAAGCCAAGGACGATTTATAGTACTGGGCCGCGGGACTGTATTTATTAATTATAGGTAGAAACAAACGCTTAAGAGAAGCATTCGAAGACGTAGGTGAAGATGGAGTTATTAGCGCTGTGTCCGGTGTGTCGGACAGCATTCAGCTCCTCGTCCAGCATGTGGAAAGCGATTACCCGACACTTCTCTCGATCTTTGGCGTTCCGGATTAACTCGCGCCAGAGGTCAATGCGACTCATAGTAATAGTGGAAGAAGAATCTTCATCTTCTGAACTAGTAGTGGAGGAATCAGACGCTTGTTCTGAAGAAGAAGTTGTTGAAGAGGTAGAAGAGGTAAATGAAGGAGCTGGAATTGGATGCCCTTGTGGATCATGTTGTGCTTCAAGATTTGGAGATGTGCTTTCCCGAAGAAGTAGTTTCTGAGGTTCTGCACCTGCTTCACAAACTGCTTCATCACCTGCCTCACGACCTGCTTCGAAAAACCGATCAACGTATTCTGGCAACGTCACGATGCAGGCTCCACATTCTACTATGAACTGCTCTGAGAAAGGCAAAACCCCTGTCAACTGCGCGTTCTCAGGTATCAAGGAGCTGTCTTCCAGGTTGAAAAGCGCACACAGAGACACGGGCACGAACTGATCCTGGTTCATCTTGTCCACTAAAAAAGGCAGAACATCGCGAGCACGGACAGAGGCAGGCAAATTCTCGAGGCGAATCACCTCAGCATTCAGCAGTGTCACTTCCACGGAAATAGAATCCTCAAGCGCAAGGAGCTGTTCTTGAGGATTCTCTGACTTTTTCTGTTGCGGCTGTAGTTGTTGAGGATTCTCTGACTTTTTCTGTTGCGGCTCTGCTTCTTGCTGTTGCTGCGGAAGAGAATCAGAATTCTTGATGCTCTGCTGTTCTCCCAGCACTACGCAAAGTTGTAATTCTTCAGGAGCATGTGCTGCAGAACATGTCGTGCAGCTGCCATTTTTGATGTAGTACGTTTCACCTAGCCGCGGACATATTTCTCCTGCTTCTTCTTGAAGTTGTTTCCTCTGGCGGCCCTCAACATCAGATCTTATTCCATCTTCTACAGCAGTCGTTCTTGATTCGTTTCTAGGCCTCTCCTCCTCATTTCCTCTCATGGTTGAAGGCTAGCCATGTCCTTTTTCAGAGCTCCCTCTTAGAAGAATTATTTAAATAACCAGGAATACAAACACGCAGTCATGACCGAGGTGGATCCAAGCGGAGAAGCAACCTCTCCCTGGTGGTTCAAAGGATTCTAGACTCACTTAATACTTGAAGATACATAGTACCGATACTTACTTATACATAGAACACACTAAAAAGAACACCAACAACTTTTTTGCGATATCAGGACAATACTGGCGCTAACAAGAACGTCAACAACTTTACTGACTCAGACAAAGGAAACTTTTACTTAGATGATGATGCTAAACAGGAAATGCGCTAGACATTGGAATAGATGAATGATTCATTGGCATAAGTAGATGAATGATGATTGCGTTGAAATAAGGAAAGCGAAAGAACAAAAAAAAAAATTAATTTCAAGGAAAGCAGTGGCAGTTCATAGAGGCAGCCTGGTGGTTCGGTTGGAGTCAAATCGATATTATTGGTCTGGAGAATGAATGAATGAATGTACCCACTCCAGGGGTTTAGAAGACACTACTACTGGCTAGTTCTTTTTGCATCTCTTCTCGTGGGATCTCATGATCTCCACTCTTTTCGCCTTTTGCATTAGTGTCATCTGTTCGTTGTACTCCAGCTCCCACTTTTTGCACTTTCTACACACGATTTGCTCCCTATTTGCATTCTTCCATGATGTTTGGGGGATTCTAATTTCTTGTAGCGCCGCATCTGAACCGATAAAACTCTTCCCCGTTCTCGGGTTGTAGGCATGTTGCTCTGGTCGGTATTCCCATCTGATTGATCCGATGGGAAATATCTCGCGTCTTGCTCTCGCCTTGATGACACCTATTTTGATGAAGTCATCAGCTTCGTGTGCTTTTGCGTGGTCCTCCATTGCTCCATACGTCGTGTGATAAGTGAGCCTGCATCGTTCGCATTTCCACCTCTGTGGATGCTGCCTCCTTCCATTCCGTTTTGGCCCAGCTTTACGAACTAACCGGAACGCCCTACTGGCACTCGAAACCTTGGGAGCTTCTTTTTCCGCTTTTTCCTTAAGTTGCTCGTCTGCTAAGTCTTGCATCCTCTCCGCGAGCTCGTTAGGAACGACCGCCGGCGGATGGGCTCCTTTTTCGATGCTCTTACGAAGGGTTCTATTCTTGCCGCATTCGTAGGAAAAGCATAAGATGGATCCGGCTTTACACATTGGACAAAGTGGTTGAGACAACACCGAGCGGGATCGCCAGATCCATTTGGCACTAACGCCTATGGCTGGCGCCACCATAAAGCAAGACGAGCCGGGTTCCAGCGTAAAGCTGACCTCGTCTGCGTCTGGAAGTATTAGTGCTGTCCACTTTTGTGCTTCAACCTCCGTTTGCGACGGACCTTCTCCTTGCTGCACAGTGATGTTTGGGTCTTCATTCCAGGCGGTTCCTTGTGCACCCAGCGCCGTCATCCCTCTTTTAACGTGAGCCGAGTGTTTATCTCCCATCACCAGGTAGGTAAGCCATATTGGTGTTCGCGATTGCAGTCGATATCTTGTGGGCTCCCGGAGCTCTCTCCTGTTCCTTGGGTGCTTTGTTGAATATAGCTCCGCTCCTCCGTGGCCTACAATTCCGGAATGTATGGTTAGTCCACCGAGTTGAAGAACCTGGCCTCCATCCGGTGGGAGTGTTGTGCTTGTTAGTCTATCCTTGGAGTTGTGTGTGAGTCTAAATTGATCACTGCCCGCTTCATCCTTCACCATCTCTGTCGTCCATCCTTGTTGTATCTCCTTCTTTGTTAGTTTGCACTCTTTTCCGAATTTTGTGAAGTATTTGGCTTGTAACACCGCATAGCAGACCGCCTCTTCCGCGCCCGCCTTTGCCCAACGCTCTACTGTGTCGCGAATGTATGCCGAGCGCGTGAGGTGGTAGTAGGCTGCCTTTCGTTCAATGTAATCTTGTTTCTGCGCATCGGATGGCTCTGGGGCTAATTCTCGAAGTAAGGAGGCTAATTCCGATTCGCCTACTCCACATGTGACCGCCATATGCTTCATGTATTGCGCCATCATCTGGGCACTTGCCCTCTCACGTGGTGATATCCGTGGATCTCTTGCGGCGTCTATCAGAAAATGCTCTCGGCCCTGGGCCTCGCTGCAAAGATCAAAGAAAAAAACTTCTTGCAGCGCTCTTTTCTCCATAGATTCCTCCGTCCTGGATCGAAGTACATGACCAATGTGGGTTGCCATGTGAAATCTAAGCTCTACCTCTACTGGAGCCCTCCACGATCTGTACAGTAGCTGCGCGTCTGTGCATATTCCTTTCCATCTCTTCCAGGCGGGTACTCCTAGGGTGGATGCTAGTGTCTGCAGGTCGGTTGCTGCCATGTCCTGGAGCGCGCGCGCGGTGGTCGCCCTCGTCTGGGTGCCGTAGTATAGTATAGATCTAACAACCGCTGACTGGAGTTCACCTTTCCGTTTGTCACTTATTCCTCCTAGTCCTGCTAGTCTTTTCCTCATTGCGTGGTGTGCTCTCCAGGCTTTGCCTACCTTTATTCTGATGTCATCACATTCCGCAGTCTGCTGGCCCAAGTTTCGTGTTCTTATCCTTGTGATGTCTCCTATTTGCCTCTTCTTGCAATTTTCGCGCATTCCGGCGTCTCTCAGTGTGTGAGCATTTATCTCCAGGAGCGGGGACTCCTTAGGCGTTCCCCCCTGGGTTGCTGCAAGTTGCTGGGAGTGCTCGTACTCTGATAGCTCAGCTCGCGTTACTAACTCATAGAAGGTTGTATCGTCCGCGAATAACGTCTCTGAGACCTGTTCCATGGAGATCTCAGCCTCCTCATCTCCGTCGGCCGCAAACAAGAGCGCCTGCGCCCTCTCCCTCCGGGGCATCCGCCACCCCCCTTCGGCACTTATCAGCGTGACGCCTGTGCTGATGCCTGCTCTGCAAGCTCTCTGCTTTAACACCCGGAGCACACAGGAGTAGCAGATCACGAATAAGGTAGGCGAGGTCGGACATCCCTCTTTGCAGCCATGTTCAACCCAGAACGTTAATTCTCCGAAGGAGTGGGAGGCATAGCGATGCGTTGCCCTCAAGACTCTCCAAACTGGGTCTGCGAGAAGACCTAGCGCCCGGAGTGTTGAGGTGACCAATCTCCAATCCAGGCTTGGAAAGGCCTTGCGGAGATCCACCATCGACATGAGCGGCCGTTTGGTCTCACTTCCTGAGGCGGCGTTCTTGGCATCCTCCCGCATTCTGTTATACAACGTTAGGGCGCCCAGCGTGCCTCGGTTCCTGCGAAACCCATATTGCTCTTGGGGGAGCAACCCCATGGACTCTACTGCCATCAGCAACCTTGTTCCGTACAAACGGGCGATGAGTTTCATCACTATTGGCGTTATGACTAGGAATCTGTAATTATCTGCGTCATCTGCAGCGCCGGACCCTTTGTAAAGAGGAACGTCCCTACATGCGTGGAACTCGGGTGACAAAGCCTCCGCGCTAAGGGCACCTTCTTCCGCTGTTGCGTGCGTTATTATCTCAGCTAATAGCTTGAGACTGTCCTCGTCCAGGTAGCACAGCAGCTGCATGCACTGGCCGTGTTTGTCACGAGCGCCTGCCTTCATCATTGTGCCCAGGCACGCCTTTATCTCTGCCGCTGTTACTGGCCTCGCCAATTCACTCCTCAACTCCTCTGGCATCGACCCAACCACCTCCCGGAGCTCGTCTTCGATCGGAAGGCTCTCCCTATCAGGGTGTAGCGGAGTATTCCCCACACTGTCATACTTCCTTTTTGCTTGTTCGCCGCTGATGGCAACCGTCGCCTTTGAGGCTGTGGTCTGCTGCTGCCTGAAAAAGTCCCACACCTGGGCGAGCGTTTTGTGCGTGGGCTCTTCATCCTCGGTTACTGCGTCTGGTGGGGCTTCTGTTGGGGGCACCAGGAAATGCTCACTCATATCCTGAATCTGAACGCGAATATCTTCTAGTGTGGGTTGCCGCGGCCATCCTGCCATGCTCTTTATGTTTGCGTTGAACCATTGTAGTGACTCCTCATCGGGATTGGGGTCATATACCCACCTCGCTTCTCGCTTTTGTTTGCCTTCTTCCTTCAGTTTCCCTCTGGTTCTTATGCTTGTTTCAGCCACTACTGCCTTATGATCTAATCGGGGCCGCTCCGTTGTTCGCAGCATAGTTCGCCTTATGGCCGTGATATGTGGGCGCATCCTCCCTTTGACCCATAGGTGATCTATCTCTGTTAGGGGCTCTCCTGACCTGGTAAACGTTGCTCGAGCTGCATCTCCGCCTTCTACTTCAAATAATGAATTTGCTAGCACAAAGTTGAACTCTGTCATGAGCTCCACCAGTTTCCCCGCGCGTGGGGAATTTGTTGATGGTCCATATTCACCTAGGGAGTATGTCGACGGCCTGGCTGTATCATCTCCCACTTGTGCATTGAAGTCCCCGCCTATGACATGATCCTTCCACTTATCAAGGCGCCTCTTCCTCGCATCCATAAGCGTGGTACCGAGAACCAGTAGGAATGAGTTCCACGCTTCTATCGATCTTGAGGACGTGGGGGCGTATGCCGCCGTAAGTATCAATTCGTCCAAGTATAGCGTTATTACGCGATCCCATGCTTTGAGTATCGTGTCGTCGCCCCGTAATCGCTCTTGTGCTTGTGATCGAAGGCTTTTCGACAACAGAAGTATGCCAGCTCCTCTGGTCCACATTACACAGAATCCTTCCATAATCTTCCAATGGGGCCGTATTCGTGTGAGCGTTTCTTTCTCCAGACCGGATGCGTCGCCGTCCGCGTCCTCTGCTGAAAAGAAGTTAGCCTGAAATTGGTCAGCTAGTCCCCACTGTCGTTGTTGATGTTCCCTTAGCGTGTCGCTCTCTTGCTCCGTGACAGGGTACCATTGAGGAGGCCTTTCCTCTTCGTTCACTCCTTGACCATATCCGGTCTCAAACTCGGATAGAAGCACCACGTCCCATCCCTTTTCTGCCGCTGCCCTGGCCACTTCCGTGAATTTCTTGGTGTGTACTCCAGCAGAACGCATGTTCTGTGTGGCTATCTTCAGCTTTCCTGGGGCCCCCGCCCAGGAGGTGCTGTATTTGAGTGGCTTGGGCTTCTCTGTCTGATTTGATGTGGTTTGCAATTCAATGGCCGTCTGGGCTTTTCTCTCTCCATCTCGCGCTCCTTCTTCCGTGCGTCCGTCGGACAGTGGGTCATGGCCACTTCTGCACTGTGACCTCTGCTCTTCTCCTTTCGTTCGTGACTGTCCGTTTCCTTCTTGGCGTGGCCTTCCCTCGCTTATTGTCATTTCTGGATAACTGCCTCTTGGAGGCATGGACGATTTTGGTATGTGTATGGAGGACGTGGTGGATGAATCGGGTTCGGTCTGGTTCTGTTCAGATCGATCCTCGCTCAGCTTATGGACTTTTTGACTTTCTTCGAATTTAGGGGAGATGTCGATCTTAGGCTTTGATTTGGATTCGTTTGGCCATCCCACTTCAACTAGCGGACTCCCGCGATTCGATGTTCCCCTGGTAGAACAGCTTTTTGCGGCTCCCTTCTGAGTCATATTCTTAGCAGCTATTTCTTCGATGTCTTGCTTGACTCGCTGATGTTTTAACATTGCACTTTGTTGACCAAGGGTTTTTGAGTTATTGACTTCACAATGTTTGATTTTGGAATGAGTGCATGCACTGTCATTTTGCTCGGTAAGCCTGCTTATGTAGTAGTCGTCCTTTGTTTTTGATGATATGCCCAACCACCTGCGTCTGCTTTCAACTGATGTATCTTCTCCGCCATCTACGACTGCCCGTTTCTGTAGATCGTCACTGTGAGCTTCAAGCTTTCTTTCCGATGCAATGTTCGTTGCCAGAGACCGCTTCCCATCGTGTCTTTCTTTATTGGTCGGAGTTGCCTTCTGCGCCACCTTGTAAGACCCCTCCACTCGACCTCGTTGTAGGTTGGCTATCTGCTTGGCGTCATCTTCCTCTCCTTCCTGGGGGCTAGTCGTTTCTGACCAGTCTGTTTGCTTCAACTTCGAGCGGTACCCACGCGAAAGCTCTTCACCTTTATTGTCTTGTCTTCTCGTGGCTGCTGCACATTCATCTTGTCCTTTTTTTGTTTCTTCTTGGGGATTTCCTTGTTGTTCGATCTTCTTGCACCTGGCGTTCGAGATAGATGATGGGCTCGAGTAAGGAGTCCGAATGGATTTTGCTCCTCCTCTCCATGTGTCCCTACTATGTTTCGCGCTTCCACTTGCTTTTTTATTCCCAGGGGAGTCTGCTTGTTTTTCTTCTACACTAACACTATGTTGTTCTGAACGTCCGACATCTGCATGGGCAAGTAAACTAGTGCCACTCTGTGATTCTTCCTGCTCCTCCTTATCTCCCTTTTTTTCATCATCATGCTGCGTATACGTCCAGCAGTCCACGTCATACTTCGTTATTCCCATCTGCAGTTCTTCTCGTACATTGGGTTGATGAGGATCTTTCTTCATCCTGATAAATGCAGCGTTGTTCGAGTTCCTTCCACCACCATTATGTATTTTGTAACTTCTCCTCGTCCATTTCTTCTTGTTGTTGATTTTTGTCTTGTGCGCTTCCTTCGGTTGATGACCGCTTCTTCCATCTCTTGGTTTCTCGATTTCCGAGAACTGCGAGCTTTTGTCTCCTGCTTTGATTACACTTTTGCATATTTCGAAGACCGCGTCTCCGCCTCCTCCTTTAACTTCTCCATCCTCTTTCCGTCTTATGGCTTTGAACCTGTGGTTTTTAACGATGGAGGCTGTTAGCAAGGAAGATGAGTGCGAAGAGTAGGTCCTAGAGTCAGCCGTAGGTTTGAAAGCGTCGCGATTAGTAGGAGACATGGCTCTTTTTCGGTCCTCTTCTACAAAAACAGATTGGATTTCTTTGACAGCACGGCGTGCCTCAAGCGGTTCATCCTTATTATTCTCATTCATCCTTCTCTTTTGCGATTTGAACGATTTGCATTCAGACTTGATGTCGAAGGTCTTGGACTGTTGTTCTTCCGAATTTAACGCCCCTGCCTCGTTCCCAGAGTTTAGGCAGGAGAATCTATTGGTAGTCCCTGATGTTGATGTTGTTGAAGAGCTATGGGCCGTTGTTGATTGTGTTGAGTCACATCTTGCTAGTCGCCTCCAACCAGTCCTCCTCCTCTTACTCTGTTTGCTCCAAATCGTTTTTGAGAGCCAATTCGGTGATTGTGTCCAATCTGAGCGCTCTCCCACATCTTCACTTGTGGCTTTCTGAGTATTAAGGCTCGCATTAGGCCGGTGATTTTCTGGTCGAGCCGTGTTCGGGCCGTTAGATGTTATGATGTGACCGATTTGGCCGCCTTCTACTATCATCAAAGGGACGGTGTTGAGATTGAGATTGTTGCTAGATCCTTGCCCATCTAATTCTGCTCGTGTCGATGCCCCTGCGTGGGGCAATCTTTCTTTTGTTGATCGGTGGATGGAAAGTTTGGTCCTGCTATGAGGATCTTTTGGATCTGCTGATCCACTAAGATGATCTTGCCCCAAAAATACGTAGTGATGCAGTCTGGTGTATTTCTCTTCTTCTTCCATGTTCCTGCAGAAGCCATAATAGCTAAGTCCGGACTCAGGGATTGCCAGTCTCATATCGTCTTGACTATTTGGCACAATTGGAGGCAAGAATTGAATTTTATTACCTTGATGTGGTCCCTGCGCATGCTCGCCTTTTTGTTGTCGGTGCGCGTGTCTCGGCCCCCGTCCACTGCTGTCTTCAATGTTGAGGCCTTGTGCTTGAGCTCGTTGTGCAGCTGGCTGCCTTTGCTGACCTTTTTGCCGATGTTGTAGCTGTTGAGAAGAGTGCGAGGCCAGCGATTCTTGCAACACTAGATTGTTAGCTCGATCATATTGATGAGGTTGAAGTTGTTCTTGACCTTGCCCTTGATCTTGATCTTGCGTCATGAATTGTCTTCCGTCATTGTCGAATGTGCCTTTCTGCCTTTGGTCTAACGTGTTCATCGGATACCCTAGGAAGTCCATTGATTGGTCTTGCTGATAGGCTTCAACTGTTTGCCTTGCAGTAGTAGCTTGTTGTCCTTGTATCGAAATGTCTGGTCGTATACCTCTTTCTACCATTTGTATGTGCGAATGGTGATTGTGCAGTTGTGCGCCCATAGCATTCTGGATCGGAGCAGAGAATTCTTGATGTAGAGGGACGATGGATTCCTGCTGTGGCACGATGGCTTGCTGGTTCTGATAGTAGAGCCTGTCCCTGTAGGCATAAAATTCATCTTGGTATTTCTGGTTTCTGCGGAAGTCTGCAGTCTGATCTTCTGCTGCTTGCTGGGCGTTGATTTGTCTCAACCACTCCTGCATTTCCTCCGGCGTGTATTGTTGTGAGGGTGTGATCTGGTCTCGATTATTCTGGCCGTCTTCTCCAGGCAGACTAAGCAGATCGTTATATGCCGATGTTGCATGGGGGACATACACGTCGGCCGCAGCTGATAGTTGACCCCCAGGGACGATCTTGTTTCGCACATCAATGACTGTCTGCATCTCTTGTGCCGTCCATTCTCTGGCATTGTGAAGGTTCCCCAGATTGTCCTGTAATTGATTAGGAGCTATGCTGCTGGCGGCATTCGTCTTGGATTGCTGTCTTAAGGCGACTTGTCGCTTATTCTCGTCTGCGATTTTTTTGAACAACGCGATTTGTGGATCCTTCTCGCCGAGGAGCTGCCAGGCGTTTTTGAGGTATTCGGCTGTGGTTTCTGCATGTCGGTGTGAAGCGTCAATTATCCCCGTTGTTCGCGCATCTCTTCGTAGGTGTGCATTCGTTTCCCCCTGCTGTTTCTTACCAGTAGCTGATGCTTGAGGGAATGCTTCGTTCGTGCCTAACCCCGCATCTCGCTTTACATCGTCCTTGGCCTCTTCGCTTGGCTTTTCTGCTGGAACAACTGTGGCATCCGACCTCTGCGCGGGAGCCTGAATGTTCGTTGTCGTAGATGTGGACATTATTTTTGTGCTCGTATTTGATGTCGCCGATATGGTGCAGCCTGCCGCTCGACTTTGGTCCGTCTCGTCAACGTTGCTCGTGTCCTTCTCTGTGCCCGACTTATGAGATGCAGCAATGATTGACACCGGGGCTTTACTTATCGTTCCAAGAACATTATTGACCGTTTTGGTTCTTTTCGTGACCAGTGGCGAAATCACGTCCGATCTTGCATCGTCCTTTGACGCCAAATGCTTCTCCTCATCCTCTTCTTCTCTCCCGGCCCCCATTTTTTTGGGTGAGCGGATGGAGATCCCTCTTTTTGTAGCCTTGTCACCATGCGCGAGTGAGTTGCGGCTGAGGATGGGACCTGTCGAGTTGATTTGTGATGTGACGCCGTTATTCTCTCCTGGATTCGCCGTGATGGCCGAGTTGATCGCGCTTCCACTCCGAGTGCCTGGGATCGCCTCTCCCTGTGTAGGGTCAGCTTTGCCTTCGTATGTTGCTTCCACTCCTCCTAGTTGTTCCACTGAAGTTTGTGCATTTCTAATTTGACGCTCTACGGCTGTCGAATTGAGAGCGTGGCTCTCGCCTTCGTTTTTCGTCTTTTCTCGAATTTGCACGTTGCGCTCTTGCTGCTGTGATTCGTCCTTCACTACCATCGAGTTTGCTTTTGTCACGTCTGGAAATAAGGGCTGTGCTTCTGCAGCTGGGTCCTGGTCGGCTCGTGTGCTGGACGTCTCCTGCTGTATGGCTGCCATCCTTGCTTGTTCATCCATACTCATGTAGAGGCTGGATGCCCGGAATCCTGGATCTACGGCTGGATTATTTTTGAAGGATTCCTTTTTCCACTCGTCAATAAGTAGTAGCAGGCTGTGAATGTGTTTTACCTGTTCCTTAGATGGAGGCACAAATACGCAATTGATTTCTTCATCCAGGAATGTGCTCACCTCGCTATGGCCCTTGAAAATGTAGCGACGAGGAGGAAGGACGATATTGCTTTTCAGAGTCTCATAGTCCTTGATCCGCAGGTTGATCTTTCCTCTACGTCGATCCCGTTGTTCCGGAGATAGTTCCGCTTCCTGACTTTTGGATAGCCGATGTAGAGGTCCAGCTCTCTGCAGTACCTTGTCTATCTCCACCTTCAGCTTGCTTGTATGATTCCAATATCCATCACACCAGAATTCGAGATCCGCCGTCTGGTGATCGTATTCAGTTTTCGGCATCCCGGATCTGTTGCTGATTGCGTCGTTCCTGATCTTAAACGACAGCGCTGCTACTTGGTAGTCGGTAGGATAACATTGGTTGATCATGTCAGCTGCTTGAACCGATACTGCTTCCGTGATTTTGTCAATACGAACTGCGTGGAGCGAGTCTCCACTTTTAACTCCCAACAAGATGTTGGTGAGCAATCCCTGCCTATATCGATCCATCCTTTCGTATCGCAGCTGCGCCGATATCCTGTTTTTTTCTGCGTCGTTGTCGCCTTTTTCTGGGTCGTCGAAATTGAGAATCGTGGGCTGTGGTGGAATTACTCCATCAAGGAAAGCATCCTCTATCCCTTCGTGCGCTCGGATTGCACTTTCCTTTGCGATCTTCACCACATGTTCGATTTTATGTTCGCTTTTTTGCATATTCGGACTCTCCCATTGCAGGAACGCTGCTGGGTGTGCTTTGGAAGCATCCTGTAAAATTTGCCTTGGTGGCGGTGAGTTGTGCCTACTGCGTCTCCTTGGGCTATCGGCCAGCGATGAGGATGAGGCTGGGCCGGTCCCTTTTCGCCTTCTATTTGCAGATTGGGTCCTCTTACCTCCATGCATTAGCTTCTCACCGGGTGTGACATTCTTTCTTGTTTTTCCGGGTATGGGCAGTGGTTGCTCCTTCTCTGCCTTTCCGCCTGCATAGTACAATGGCTGTTCATCCTCTTCGTCGTGTTGTCGATCTTCAATTGCCACGCGATTTCTTGCGCTCTGCATGTCCTCTCGAATTCTCTTCTTCTCCACGTCCCCGCCGTCGGATGATGAATCAGAGTCGGACGCATCCAAGATGGGCGCCATCTCCGTTCCGTGGATGCTTAGTAATTGGCCGATTGCTGATAACGTTTGTTTTCCAACTGCGGATAGTTTCTTGATCTGCTTTTTCTGCTTTCTTTGGTCATTTTTTATAGCATCGATCTCCGATCCAAGCTCGGTCTTCAGCTGGTTGTGGGATTTATCTATCATCGTCTGCACGAACTCCATCGTTAAGCCCTGTGATTGTGCCGTACTTTGCGGGGGGGGCTTGATCGTGGTTTTCGCATTCATACACCATCGTGATGGATCGATTAACGGGCGGAATTTACCCACCGTGAGGACATATCGGGCTCCGCTCTTTGCGCTGTTTCGCCATTGCCAAATCGCGGTGGCTGTGAACGTCTCATGCTTTTTGATCTTGTAATCGACATCGTCACTGTAAATATTGAATCTGGCGTTCTTGTACTCCTCGTCGGAGACTCCAGCCCACCATGAGGGATCTGCTGTTTCGCGGACTTCCATGCTGTATGATGTTCCTTTTGGGTTGACATGGCAGCACGACACCTTGTACCATCCCGGTGGGAGACACCATCTTTCCGCTTTGTCAGTGCCCCATCGTGGTCCTCCTGCTTCTTCATCCCATACTTCTGCTCGAGTAAGCGCTTTGGACAATTGCCTTTTGTCCCCTGGCCACTGTTCCCAGGGGAATTCTTCTGATGGATCGATGGACGCGGAGATGTATGGTTCCCCTAGTTCCATCACGGGGATTCCACCCTCCTCTTCATCTGCTTCACCTCCAAGTGCCGACGATGGGTATGTGGCGAGGGATCCTTTGCTGGAGGCTGCATCCGATTCGTCGATCATCATTAGACCACTCTTTCCTCCTTGTCCTGCCGTGCGCTGCCGCCTGCTTGTGAGAACTACCATTCCTGTGTTCGGATCTCGTGTGAATTTGGATGGTGCAAGGCTCAGGCTTGAGCTCATCTGCGGTAGTTCAGTTGAAGATGACGCGTGTTGCGTATGAGTCGGACCTTTTCCGTGCCCTATTAGTCGCATGTCCATGTCCGACAAGAAGTCTCTGCTGTCGTCATCGTCGTTTAATAGCCTCTCCTTCTCACCATTCGGTCCTGGAGCGAGTGTTGTGGTAGGATCTGCTTTTTCACTGGTTGCGTCATGATGCATTGTAATCCGTCTGGAACAGGATGCTGAGGAAGATGGCTGTTGTTGTTCCTCTGACACTTCTTTCATCTCGATATCCTCCTCTTTCACATCCTTGGACAGCTTTTTCTTCTTCTTTTTTTGCTCATTTTTGTTGTCCTTGCTCGTCCTCTCCTCAGGTTTCCCGGGTCTCAACGACTTTTGAGATTTCGGTGCTCCCTCCTGCTCACCTTCTTTGCGCACCGGATTGCCGCTTGAGGATTTGCTTTTGGGCGGCATTTTGGTGGATCGGATCTGGATCGCCGTAGGATGCTTAGATGTTTCGAGTCACTTCTTCCAGCTCTATAGATCTTGTAGTGGGCTTGGCCCAATATCGTGCGATGGGTCGGGTAATCGTGACGTGGGGAGATATCTTCTTAGTTGTGACCGGTCTGGTAATGGAGGATTTGGTTGACTCGGTTGTCCACGTAGAGTGATTCTTGATGGGATGTTTGAAACTTATGGGCTATAACTTGTATGCACTAGATGTTGTTGGTTGACTTTTGACACTTTCGCTGTGCTTATAAATCTTTCCTGGGAGATGTCGATGAAGAGGATGATTGTCGTTGGTTGTCGTAGTTCCGTATTCAAATGCTTCTACTACTATATTTTGTTCTTCTAGGTCTCTTTCGAGTTCTGCTTTTTTCGGCCGGTGAGCTAAGGATCACTTGAAATTGGCGACGTGTGGTGCTGTGTTCCGCTTCCCTTCTTTGTATTTCGATTCGATTTGCTTGCGAAGCAATTAGCATTCCGGACTAGCCATTTTGCATTCTATCTTAGGTTTGTATTCAATTAGTTGTCGAACGTGTTGTGAGAAGACTGGTATTCAATTTTGTTTGTCGTCTTTGGTTCCTTCCTTTTGTCATTTTCGGCCTCTTTTTAAGCTCCATTTCATCCAGATTTCTTCATCAGGCTGTTGGCCTTGTGGACTAGAACAGTTCTACTCATTCCAGCCCCATTTTAGACCCAACCGTCTGGGGAACACCCTACGATGATTGAAGGAACTTGATAATTCAGCCATTTCCGTTTTTCATTTTCGTTTGCATTTATTCATTTCTACTTTCTTTCTGACGGTTGGGTCTCTCTGTGAGTGAGAAACAGGCAACAAGGACAAGGCCTTGAGCCAAAAGAGAGATATATTTTAGAGAAAGTCACCACTATCAGCATGACTCATCAACGAAGTACGTTTACTTCAAGGGTCTTCACTTCTAAAGGATATTAAGGATGTCATCAGGATATTAAGGATGTGATCAGAAAATTGGTATCATTGATTTAAATCTCCGTTCGTAATATTCCGCCCCACGACTTTATTCCTGATCTAAATTTTGCATTTGAAGGAGCTTCATTGATCATGTTGCCAGCATCAGTAGTCTGCTGGTGAAGCATCAATCAAATTTCGATTCATTGATTTCTACAACTACGTTGTTGGACAGGAGCTTGCAGAATGCCGACGAAGAGGTACGATTTTTTTCTAGATCTTTTTGTGCAATGATCTTCAACGCGATCGACGCGTTCGATGATCGACACATTTCTGGAGATCTTAATCGATGATTTTTAGAGCGGATTCGAGATCTTTACTCTTACATCAAGCATTTCTGTGTCGAGAGCTGAAAAAGAACCTTTATGTCTATCTGAAGTCGAAAAAAAAAAGCTCAGCACTCCAACGAGACGAGTCACCGAAAAAAGAAGTCCGGCGGACTGTTGGCGATGATATGATTCATTTTCCTTAAAAAAAGCCGAGCACGAAAGCGAGACGGTATATTACAGCTCATCTTTTTCTCAATGGAGTTGACGTGTTGTTCTCTGAGTGACTGATTCCTTGTTATCAAAAAAAAATTCCGATTTTCGCGATTTCGAAAGGCAATCTTGACGAGCTTGAATGAGTTACGATGACGTAACGAAAAAAAGTTTGTGTGAGTTCATACAAAAACTCAATCATTGTAAAAATCTTCATCGTGTTGGGTGGAGGTGATCTACGTGGTTCATTTTCTTAGCGGACTATGTCCGTGTGTGAGCAGGTGTTGAAACAGTGTGGGCGTGTCTGCATCAAAACAGGGAATTTTCTTAAATCTTCGCACATCTTCGAAGACGAGTGGGATAAATACTTCATTTTAGAGTTAAGAGCAAGACGAGGCTTGCTGGTGACACTACACCAGCTAGCCAATTATAATTACCCTCCTCCATCTAGAAGTAGTAGACCCATCTATGTTGTGTTGAAAATTGAAACTGTGGTTACAGAAAATCAAAACTTTTCATCTCATCTCACATCTCGGATGAAGCTCATACTTACTATGCGTTTACGTTTTTATGCATGTCGTCAATATAATAAATTGAATGTGAACAAGGAATACTTTCTATGAATGTTGTCAATATGGTATGAAGATAACTCGTTCGATGCGTGTATGTACTTTTTATGCTTGGCAACTGACATGGTATGATAAGAAGCTAACCCTAGACCTAGTAGCGCTGTCGTGTCGTACTAGATCTAATAGTGTATTCCATTCTCGCCGTCTGTGGCGTCGAATACTCCAACAGCATCGCCGGTGACCGATACAGTCTCAACAACTGCATGTACAGTCCCCACTCCGTATCTAGGTCCCCTAATGCCCTAGCCAGATAAATGCCATCGCAAATATCTTCGAAGAACGTCGTGTCCTCCAATTCGGTGTAGATCACGCGTTCTGAGCTGTTGTTAGACCTTCCCTTTATTCATCTTGAAGCGCATCTTTGGGGTTTTTTCCCGTTGAAAACGTGGCAAAGATGCTTCTTAAGATGAATTTGGGGAATCCTTAATGTTGTCGTAGGCTGAGCGGATAAGCTTGAACGCCGCATAGACGAGGAGAGAATAGAGGCCAAGGATACTGAAAAACGGAATGGAGCCACTGGAAGACGAACTACTGGAGCCACTGGTTCTTAGAACGCCGTACTGGACCCCACGCAAAGCGCGCTCGGATAGAGTGACAAACTCAAAACTTTGGAGTTGCTGTGTTCCTCGAGAAGTCGTGCCTTCATGATCTCCTGATGTTGAAAAGTGAGTTTCAATTTGCCTTGTACTCCGATTACACATTACCACTTGTTCCTTTTCGCCACTTCCGATGTGCTTCTTTTTTTGCTGAGGAAGCACGGCCATTTGCCAATATAGGTCCTCCGCGGAACCCCAACCCCGATCTGAAAAAAGACATAAAGCAATGCCTCGGGTTCCGGGATAATGGATACTCGATTTAGAACCCTCGCCGAGAACAAGCGCCGGTCGAGAGTCTACTTGTTGGGTTAGTTGTGCATCACCGTGATTATAAAAATTAAAGCTCAGCACTCAATGGTCATCATGACTCGGAACGGAAGGGACCCCCTTCAAAGCTCTCCCCTTTCCCTTCGTTTCTTTCCCCTGTTGGTTCTCTCAAGAAGGGGTCGCCTCCTCGATCTCAGTGACTCCAATCTAAATGGTGACCATTGAAAGTTGAGCCTTAAAAAAAGCATGTTTAATATGCTGTTCGCGCCTTCGTCCACCTAGTAAATCTTCACCAGGGTCGTCTCCTCGCGTCTCCTCTTGTGGCTGAGGCTGTTGGAGAATATCATCTTGTCCCTGTACTAATTGATCTCCACCGCCATGTTGTTGCTGGAAGTTATTCAAGTTTATTCCCCTTATATCATCCTCCTCATGTTGATCGTCATCGTGCTCGTGTAGGTATTCAGTTTCAACTTCCCTGCCTGGCGGTAACCGCACAATGCGGTCGTAGATATTGGGGAGAACGACGGCTGGCGTAGATATTGGGAACGCGTCTTTCTTCCCTACAACACGACCAACATCATTTTCGAGGACGAGACCAGGATCATTATAAAACGAGTTTAACTGTGCGGCTAAAGCTTTCCTGATATTCTCCAGTACATCGTCATTTTCATCTTCTGATCGGTTTTGATCCCCTAGCGACGAAGATGCTTTGGCTCTTCCACCAATAGGTCGCTTGTTGAAGATTTTCAGCACCTTGAGTCCCCTAGCAGCCGGGATATCGGTGTCTGATACTCGTTCCCTATCGAAAACGAAGCTCAAACGAAACTGGAGACTGGAGAGAGTACCAAGAGTAGGAGATGAAGAAGTCCTAGCTGACGTACTACCAGAAGTTGCTGTTGGACGAGATGCTTCAGAGGACAGCATTTCCCTCACGTCCTGTCTCAAACTTGCACTCGTGGAACCCCAGGAAACGTCCGAGGCACGTGGAAAAGCGACTCGTTGTACTAGGTCTGCACCGTTGTTGACTAAAAGCGTATCCCGTGGTGTTGCCTGCTGTTGTTCGAAGGAGGAAATAACCTGTGCTGTCCTTGTTCTACTTGCTAGATTAATATGCTGAGTGCGAGAATTATAGGGCTCCCCTCCTGTTGTAGCAGCATTCCGATTCTGCACACCTTGGTAAGCTCGTTCTTGTAGTTCCCCTTCACTCTCGCTGATCTCGTCTTCACTTATGAAACCACGATCTGCAGGAACAATGGTCCTCTCATCTTGACCTGCTTCCTCGAAGTCAGCTGTTCCAGGCGTCGGTGGCGGTGAAAAAGGTGTTCCCTGCGTCGACTGATACAACGTTACTGCCCTACGGTTTGACCCCGATGAAGTGACGATCAATTCGAGTCGGAGCTTTGCTCTGGCAACGCGTGTCATCACGGTGTTCGGGTTCATAGTGGAGAACAACGCCAATGGCCCAATGACTAGAACAAGAATGAAGAGCAGAAAGCAACCACCCGAAAAAAGTTTCTCTGTCTTGGTGCGGGCATTCGTCTTCTCCTTTCTGGCTGTGCGAAGGAGATGCTTTTGTCTACGTGCACCTGGAGTCAAATCTGGCTCTGAATCTTCTTCCGTACTATCGCTATCACTCGTATCACTTCCATCTCCATCCTCCTCCTCCGACCCATCATCCTTGTCACCCTTCGAACCCCTCGTCCGGGGGGGTTCTTCCGCATGTCGCCTCCTGCTGATCATGTCGCATTTTGTCAAGAACAAACTGCCACGCAAATCCTCCAACTTTAGCCACATCAGGAGGTCCATAGAGGTCCGTGTCACAATCCAATCACACAACACTCGAAACTCATTTAAGAACGGCAAAACCATATACAAGTGAAAAATCGTTTTCGCCAGGAAAAGTTTTGTCGTAATTCCTAAACCAGCGGTGCTTGGTTGGACGGGAAGTGGGTGAGGAAGAGGAAGAGAGGAGCGTCCATCTCCAATTTGTTGTGACTGTTTCATGTTGCCTCTCCGCTGACGCAATCCTCCGGAACATTTTTGTTCACCGTCGTCAGCGTTCATCTTGCTCGTCATAATTTCCTTCACGCCTGCATCATCGTGGTCTTCGGTTCTTGAGTCTACAACTCTGCTTTCAGCTTCCACGACGAGCTTCTTATTTTTCCTTCCTTTCATCGGGTTCCTCACGTTTCTCATCTGTTCTTCCCCACCAACAGCAACTACTGGAACCGCAGGCAGCGTCTTTACCTTAAATCTGCTCTCGAAAGTTGCTACGTACGATCGACTCACCAATGACAGTCCTGACCTCGTGCAATGCCGACAGTGCGGATCGTACCTCTGCTGGATACAGGTGAGTAGCAGGTAAGCGAAATACAGCATATAGAGCACGGCTAAGAATGGCGACTGAGCTAGGAACGTTGCGTTGGTGGTCAAGGGAGCCGACGGCGTCGTTAAAAAGACCCAGATCAAACATGTGTGAGCAGCTAAGATCTGCAATAAAACGAGCATCCTCTGGAGCAGCCGGCAAAGAACCTGTCTGGCGTGATAATCGTAACTCAACTTCGATTTTTTGCTCTTCTTCTGTTTTGCAGAAGGTGGAGAGGCACTACAACTTGCACTGGCGGTCCCCGTCAACATCGTTGTCCTCTCCAACTCCAATGTTCTTGTCATCTTCTTCTCATGATGTTCCCTCAACGTCTTCGCCCACGAATGCAACATTCTGTCGGCCACCGCAACCACAAAGAGATACAACAACGTCAACACCTGTTGACCCGGGACTTGCTTACCTTGTCGAACTATCGCCCATAAGGTGTCCCGACTCATTTTCCCGAAGTAGATCCGATCCCAGAAGAGCAAGGCCCAAATGATGCACGCAATGAGCACTCCCAGTCTGGCACCGTATAAGCTCAAGCCAGGCTTCGGAAGTTCACTGAAGTAGAGGATGCGGATGCTCCCATAAAATGTGCGGAATCCTTCACAGAGACTTGAAGATGCAGTCATTGAAGACGTTGTAGCCGAAGTTCTTGCTGGATCTACTACAACTTGGGGACTTCTTGCAACTTGACCACGCATGCTCAGGGTAAACAGCTGCGCCTCGTCCTTCCGTTCGAACTCCCTTGCTTCATACTCTATGATTTGTCTTGCCAAAGAAGTACGAGTCGGACTCCTGTTTGCACCGTCGATCTCAACATCAACTCGTTGCGATTCAGCCTGCTCATCAGCAGGCGGTTCTTCATCTTCCACTTCTAAAAATGTGCCGTTTTCTCGCTCCTGTGCTTCATCATTTATGACGTTTTCTTGCTGCTGTGCTTCCGCTGCTGTCTGCGAAGACGATTGCGAATTTTTACATGAGGATTCGCACGACTGGTGTAATTCATCCCGAACCACTGCCAATCTTCTAGAGAGTCTTTGCAAAGGTACCAAATGTAGTCCCATTCTGGACATTTGGTAGATGTGCAAGGAAATCGCAATGATAGCGAACAAATCACACCAGAAGCGCGTAGCAACACCGCTTGTCGCGGAACAGGAATCATCGTCCGTGAGACTGGCATTACCGGGATCTTCTTCCTTTGATAAATCTCCACCTGCCTTGGCCTCCGTAGAGAGATTCGGTTGCCTGTTATAGAAATCGTTGACATGATGTTCATCTGTAGCATCACCACCAGGAGCTTGTTCATTTCTTGTCTGATTATCTGTAGCCTCAGAAGCAGCTTGTTGTTCGACCACGCTTCTTGTTATCTCCTCGTTATCAGCAACTACTTCAATCCCTGGTCCTGCACTCCGTCTCCCTGATGAAGAAGTCCTAGTCTTCGATATGAAATGTAGCCAATCCTGACTCCTCGTCGGTGCGAACAAAGCCGCTGTCGAAGGCTGTAGACCCAACAGGACGCCGGTGCGCTTTAGGTCCCGAACATGAAGACAACTTCTGTTGGGTGCAGATGAACCCATCTTCACGACTAGCTCCCTCGACCACACATTTACTATCGGCAACTGCGCCACCAGCTTACAGCACATGGTGAAAACTAGACCAAAACGGAGGAATCGCCAAAATTTCAGTGGGGTGAATGGTGACGCTGCGACACCGATGAGCACCAGTGAAGTGTGTAACATCAGCACCAAATTCGGTCCCGGAGGAGAAAACACGACGTAGACGAGGGTGGAGATGAGCACGAAAGTCAATGTGCTGGACGCAAAAGCTTTGTAAAGGAAAGAAGCGAAAGACTTGTATGTGCTCGCACTAATTATTCCTCCGCGACTTCTGACACTGTGCTGCCCATTCACGACAGTCCTCGACGAGTCTTGATGTCTCCTTTGCGCTTCATCCTGATTGATCTCCTGAGGCAATCTGAATCCCTTATGCGCCGGAAAAGGCTCCCATAAATTCCGCACGAATCGTCTATCCTCGATCAAGGGAGCAAGCACGCGGTTACGGAAGTAAAACTGCTGTCTTTTGAAGCATGCACAAAAGCGCCTTTGTTTCTTCTCTCCGATTTTTGCTTCACCACTCGAACTAGTACTGTTTAGGTCAATCTCTTCCAAGAACTGGTCATCTGCTTGTTCCGCAGGAGCTCCTCTCCTGTCCATACTAGTTGTAGTTCCATGATTTTGTTCATTTTCACTTTGACCCTGAACTTCATCTTGTTCTATTTGAAAACTCGAAATTTTGGAACTCGACAAATCCAAATCCTCTCGTGAGGACCGGAGTTGGCGACGGACGTCAGACCGGAATCGAAGATATTCCAACACTTCCTCATCGTCGTTAGGGTTCTTAACTATGCCGATCGCTTTCGCAACCGCCTCTAAGTCAGCTCCAGAGGCTAGTCCTAGCTCTTCTAGTCGGGCAGCAGCAATTGACTCTTCTGCAAAAGCAGACGAGCTGCAGGTCGTTCGATTCCCCAAACAAGCGGCAGGCGCCGATTTCATTTCCATCAGCTCCAAACTACTAGGCTCTTCTTGTCTTCCGTAGAGACGACGCGACAAATCTCGAATGAGTCTCTGATATCTAGCCATCTTTGCGAAAAGGATTGTCTGTTTCGTCCTTGTTTCAGTGAGGTCTTCCCGAGCCCAAGCGACAATGCTCCACTCGTATCGCAAAGCTCGGATTTTGATAAGGAGAGCGTCATCTACTAGTGCGGACGCTTGTCCGATACCGATAGCAGAGCAGTCCTCGTCTATACTATTTGTAGACGTTGGAGGCTGTGAAACTACTTGTTCCACATTCTTCGGCGCATCGCCGTTGTTGTACTCAACACCTTCCTCGTCTTCAACATCTCCCGCTCGAACGAGACACGCCAAGTATCCAAAACACACTAAGACGGCAAGAAGTGACCAAATATCGTAAACCGCGCGACTACCACCAGGGTAGGGCTCCTTCGTTATTCCAGCCAGCAATAGAGCCAATTGAATCCAGGTTCGACTCTCGGCAGTTCGCTTAGGACCGCTGTCTTGCTCTACAGGTCTTTTTCCCCATACAAACCTTTCTACGGCAGTAGCACAAATAGGCGCCGGAAGCCATGGGGTGGAGGCTCCTGTAACACTTCCACTTGGTCGTCGTGAAGAGGGTGGAGGCGGTGGTGGTGTTGTAGAATTCATTACAGGAGGAATTTGTGATATACTCGTACGAGAAGATTCTGCCACCACTGGTTGTACTTGTTGACGTAAAAACCCTCTGCGCGATGCCGTCGCAGGCTCTGCACTCGCAGGTGGAGGTGCTGGTTCTGGTGTACTAGAAGTCAGACTCACCGGACAAGGAATCCAAGGTACCTGTGCCATTCGTCGACCCAAAGTGCAGAACAGCTGAAAAAACAAGGCTACCAAAACGACGCATCGTACTTCCCTTCGTCCTTGTTTTTTCTTCTTGCTGATGGATACTGCTGGTACGACTTCAACAATTTCCATCTCAACATTGTCCTGCCTCTGCGTACGTGTCTCGTCCTCAGCTAGAGAAGCCAGAGCTTCCTCGACCTCTGTCTCCCCCGGCACTACAAGCGACGTCGCTAAGAAAGCTAGCAGAAGTCCAAAACTGACAAAAGTTGTCAGGTCGCAATTCATCGGTCGGGCTGCTATAGACGGTGCTGCGAACCCGAACACGAGCACGAAGACAAAGCCAGTCGCTCGGAAAAGTGAGGACCGGGCTACTGAGCGCGATGTCTCTTGCCAAGAGGACGTGGTTGATGTTGATGCTTCTACTTCTAGGTACTCGTCGCGATCGTTGGTTCTTTGTGTCCTTGATGTGGTACCGAAGATATTCCTGATACCACCGTTCCCACTCCCTGCTCCGATCGGTCGTGAAGCTGGCAACAATAGACACGTGAGGATAAAAAATGTCCACAACTCGGCCCAACAGACTGATCTGCAAGGCCTCCACATTCTTAGATTCGACGACGAGAATCCGTCTCTCCAGCGGGTGGCCAAATTCAGAACGAACGCTCTAGACCACTCGTCGTGGCCACCATCAACGATAGCACCAGCTTTTTTTTCACCAGGAGCCTTTCCAAATTCCGGTTTCCCTTGACTGGTCAATCCCAAGAACGCTACCCATTCCTCTCCACATGAACTTGCCGATTTTCCAGGTATACAGAAGAAGATATTAGCTCCAAAAGTCTCAGCACTAGGCTTCGGAATCATCGCACCACGTGGTAACCACTGCTGCCAGGCGTTGTGAAAGGCTATTCTGAAAAACACGGACCAAGCTAATAGCTGTAGAAGTCTGCGAGGTCGACGTCTTCTGGTATCTTCTCCACCGGTCTGCCTCAAATGCCGAAAGCAACAAGAAAAAATACCGTAAACGACGAATATGCCGTAATAAAGTGTCCAAATGTTATGCCTGGTTACAGCGAGGAGAAACAGCGCTCCAACGCCGAACTCCGCACTGAAAGCAGAGAGGAATTCTAACGCGCCTGTGGTAAACTTAGTCCATTTTCCTACCGAAATGAGACCCGTCAGCGTGTTATCTTCGTTCTGTGCTTCATCTTGGTCACAGCGGTTTCTCTCATTTTCTTCATTCGCTAATATCCTTGGCCCAGAGGACTCTTGATCATGTTCCCCTCTTCTTTGCGTTCTTCTTGTACAACAATTATTGCGCTTGCTTTGCAGCACCCTGCTCGTCTCTTTTCCCTCCTCAGACTTTTCCTTCCTCCTAACGCAGCATCCACCACTGAAGCAGACATGCAGAGCACAGAAAATAAGGATCGAAACGTCGATGCTCACGGGTCTTACCAGAGAGGAGAGTAGTAGAGAATCTTCACGTCGTCCACTCTGATCGGCTAAACCCACGTACTCGAAGTCTATTAACCAGAAAAGCTTATCCCGCACACTGGGAATCACCACTAGAAAACGAAGGATAAATTCCACAGCGACAACGATGGCAAAGAAATATGCGACTGCCAGGATATGCTTATGATGTGGGTTCTTTTGCTTCTTGTTTGCTGTAGAAGATGTAGCTGTAGATGGTGCTGCAGGCGTCTGGGAGATCTGCCTCTGTTGAGCAGCAGCATCCTCGCAACCATCTTCGGGACCTTTCCATGACGCAAGCCCGCTAACAATCAGTGCCACTAATGCTAGCAGTAACCGAATACGGCTGATCAGGTCTTTCTCTATGCAACTAAGCAGCGCGATGCATACGAGTAAAAGACTGCAGGAGGCGTAAGAGCGGGCTCTGGGACCTTCACCTTTAATAGGCTTTTCTGACGGACATCTGCCTGTTGCTGAAGAGGATCCCAACACTGGATGAGGACATGATCCTTCTGTGGACGACCTTGATCGTGCCTCAAGTGCTCGTGCTTCCTCAGAGGAGGCAGCCAGGAGAGGGCCTTTCTCGTTTGCCTCAAGTGCTCGTGCTTCCTCAGAGGAGGCAGCCAGGAGAGGGCCTCTCTCGTTCAGGAGGTTCTCGTCTCCTTCTTCCATGTCGTTCGGGCTCATATTTTTGTTTGTTTCCAAATCTACTACGTGTGGAGGTGCCCTACATACACTAGTCATCTTTTCTTGTTGTTATTTACTCGACATGATGTTGATGAAGGATCATTAGAGCTAACGAAAAGCTTTGGAGTGAGCAAATGAGAATTAAATAAAATCCATGACTAAATGGGGTAGGACACTTTCTAGATAATCATGTCAGGCGCAAACCCGCTAACACACGACCAGAATGATGAATGGTACATCTTCTTGTAGTTTGAGTTTCAGACACAACTCAACTACTGCATGGCCGGGAAAAAAAACGCCATGGTGGGGACTTGGTCGTGCTTGTTTGGTTCGGAAAAGAAATCCTGTAGTTGGCGTGGAAGAGTGCGGATATCAACAGGGGTGTACCGACAACTTGTAGCAGTGCTGGTCCTTATCATGATCATGAGTCTGCTTCTTAGGATAGGATAGGAGTAGGCTCACTTATGACGGAGTGAGCATATAGGCTGGATATGCACTCAGTAAAATTTTGATTTTTACTCTCCCTTCGGGACATGTATAATTTTTCTTTTTGTTGCTGCTGCTGCTGCTAGTACTGCCTGGATCGAGGGTTTGATCAGGCTGCTGCTGCTAGTACTGCCTGGATCGAGGGTCTGATCAGAAGATGATAAAGATCCGAATTTTTCACTTTGTTCAGATCGTCATCGCTTTCTCAGAAAAATAACCTTTTTGCTTGAAAATGAGGAAGGAAAAAACGATAGACAACAATTTCTTCAGGTTTTCCATCATCACCATTGGTTTTTAAAGACCAGCTCATGTGAAGTTGTATTGCCAACAGCTTCAGGCACGACTCAGTCTATGAACTTAATACTTGCCGGTAAGCTACTAGAAACATAGACATCGCAAATTTCCACGTTTTCTAGCGTTGAATGGCTGTACTTCTAGCTAACTCGTCCTAAACACGTCCTAAAATTTCAGTAAGTACTTTCATGCGATAGCAACACGCTACTGCATCTAAGATCTCTAGGTTCATTTATAGTATGACTGAGTGAATGGATGCACCCACTCCACGGGTATAGAAGACCACTACACTAGTACTGTGATCTAGTTCCTTATCCCGCCCGGCCCCGGACCAACAGTCAATTTCCTGTCGTGGGATTGCATTTGTAGCAAAGGATGCTATCGTCCACGATAACTGCGCAGTCGTATCATAGACATAGTTTTCTTGGTTCTCCACGTCTCTCAATTCTTCTGGAGTGTTAAATCGGATTGGCTTTTTTAAGCTCCCTAACGAGTTCTGCCAGGCTAAGGGACCTAAATCAGAGACTCCTGGTGAAGACAGGGAAGCCATTATCGGTGGAATGCGATTTTGCTTTGGGGAAACAACTCACCCTCGTCGAAAGCTGTATGACTACGATGTCGTTGTACTACGAGAGGCAGCTTTCAAAGCTGCTGGTCTCATCTCCTCCTCCTCTTCTCGGATATCCATTTCAAACTCGTCGAGAGCTACCGTAGAAGGACTGTCACTTTTTTCACTGATAAAAAATGGACTAGTTCGCACCCCCGTAAAAGGCGAACCCGTTAAAGACCCTGCTGTTCGAGTCGACGTCTCGAGTGAAGCGATCGATGACGGTGTCCTTGGTCCACTTGAAAGCGGTCTCCATGTCTCTTGTTCAAGAGGAAATTTATTCGCACTATCATCCACTTTCGGTGCAATTTTTTATATTTCCTCCCGAAAGCCCATCCACAATGTGCTCCTCCCATCGCCCTCGCCGTCTCTAAACAAAGCAAATCGCCCTCGCCATCTCTAAATAAAGCAAAGATCTTTTGGCACGGTAGGCGTTGTGGACTAGAAGGGAGAGGCGATGTGTGAGGACTAGTGCACGGGTCGTTTGCGGTGCAGAAAGTTATTTTCTCTCTAGAATATAATGCAGCAGCAGATTTCTATGAACGTAGGATAAGCAAAGTAGATAATATGTTCTTGGGAGTCAGGATTCAGGCTTCATAAGTAAAAAAAGCACGCAGCTGATCTTTCCCAGTTTCTCACGGCACTCAGTGATCGCTGCCCTCAGTGCCTCACCGTCTCCAGCGTCCGCTCCAATTGCATGAGTTTCGATAGGCTTTCCTTCTTGCTTCGTAACCCTAGTTCTTCACCATCCCTGGTTGAGTGAGTTTCCCATTTTCGCCTTGAGCTCCCCATTAAATCAAGAGGGCTCCACTCAGCAAAGTAGTCTAAAAGGGAAAGTGAAAAAATAGCCAGAAGCTTCGGTAAGTCGTGACTTGGCTGCAGCGTCAGCTTCTTGCTGGCGTAAGGAGGTAAAGCCCACCTTTCCAAAGCCATTGTCAGAAAACAGACCGCCGTTATGGTTGAGATGCCTAGTCCGGCGCCCACGACGAAGGGGATTGCACAAGGGAGTGGGACGAAAGCGACGGTGAGAGAGACAAAGAGAAGGAGAGAAAGACCGCAGATGACGTTGAAGAGCGGTGTCTTATCCTGTAGTAGGTCCTCGTCTCCCTTTTGAACTTTATCCCCGTACCAAACAGCGGAGAGCATGCTCTAGCTCTTGCACCACCGGAGATACTTAGAAGTGACGACCATAACAACGTCTTCCCTCCACCTCCTCTCTTTCTATCCTCTTTCGTTTTTCTATTGGCCATGTTCTTTTTCCCTTGTTGAGTCGCCAACTCCAGCAACCCTAGACCCTAGCCCTAAACGTGGACGTTCGGGACTTCGCAGACGTCTTCAACCGGAAATGCGGATGAAACAGTGGTACTAGAGGTGACGACTCGGACACTGACCGTCAGAGCACGCCATCCAGACAGTTCTATTAACGAAGGGGCTCCTCGAAAAATCGCTCTTTGACCCGAACGATAGAGAAAAGGAAGGGCCTTGGTCGAGGAGCTCTGGCATTAGAAAGAAGAAGATGCTCAGCTGGGATAGCACTTCGTTGCAGGATCAGGTAGACCTTAGGCAAAAAATGAGTTGCCAACCTAGTCGATGCTAAATGAGGAGAATGCTTCCCTGTTAGGTCAGGTACACCATTCATGTAAATTGTACTTCGCCACACTAAGACTTGTCCCATGAATTTCTAGATGATGATCTAAAAGAGGGGAAGTCAACTCTCTAGTGCGAAGCTACAGCCGAGCGCCATCTATCTGAAAACCAGAAGGACGACTAAAGTGGCCGCGGGATCTTTTCTAGCAATGTTGTAACACAGAAGAGGCATAGAGATTTCACCACAGTGCAGAGCACAAGGTAGAAAAAGCCAAACATCTGCTAACTCTAACATTGCAACAAGATCCACACTGTGATTCCATCTGCATAAACGATAGGAGAATAGCAGCTAAGCAGTCGTAGTGGAAATGTTGGTCTATCCTTGAAAACAAGCCAAGAAAAAGTGATTCCCATATCGCACGATGTCCAGTACGCGGCTGACGTTACAACTAACCGGGACCGCGTAACACGGCTTTTTCGACAACACGGCTAGAGGATTTTAGTACAGTCGGAATTTGACAGGATACCTCGTTGTAGGGGGCAAGAGCATTCTCCTGCAGTGTGGTGGCGAGTTGTTGGACACTCCGGTCAGGAATCGGCTTGACCGCTGCGGCGTTTTTGTAAGTGCAACGTTCCGATCTCTGTCGTGGGTTGATGGTGCAGTGGAGAGGAGTTTGTGGATTTTTTGTGGGAATTCAAAGTTCAACAAGGGATCTCATTCATTTTTGATTACAAGAAGGACAAAAAAACAAGGATCATCGCTAGAGTACCTCAGCGCTGCTTCCGCTTTAGAAGAACAGGCAACCCCACCACCTTCTCTTAGTATCTACACATCTACAAATGCCCTTCGTAACACTAATCCTCCCTCTCGCAGCTTCCACTGACTTCACATAGCTAGGCTTCGTTTCGTGCTCTGCGTCGACAACCATGTGCCACACAGCACCATTTTTTTTCCGCCAACTCGAAGTTCCGAGTGGCCTCAGCTTCTAGGAAGGAATGAGACCTAGTATTTTGAGCTTCTGAACAATCTCAATACCAGAAAACCGACTGCGGCAAGGAATTTTCCCATCCTGCTATGCTAACTCCTGACATTAAAATGATGTAAGCACGGAATGCCGCTACTGCTGCTTCGTCTTTCGGCTGATGTTGAACTCCAATAGTTTAGGATTCGATCATTCCAGAATGACACTACTAATTCCATCAGGAGCAGCCACCAGAAGTAGTGAAATTCGGCACGGCTCTGGGATCATCAGGAGTTCGCGTTCGTGCCTCAGCTTCAGATTCCGCTCATCCCGTCTCCTTGTTTTCCAAGTGTACGACGCAGATCTCTGGGTGAATCCCCCCCTGGCGAGGCTTCCTAGTTTTACTGCTGTTGTTACTGACCACTTGTCCGAGTTGTGTACTAGTCCATAAGTCACTGGGAGACCGCTAATAACAGCAGTAATCCACAGGAGAAGATCCGCTAATGTAATCACGCGCTTCACCCAGTTTTCTGCGAACATCTTCATGGATTTCCACGTATTCGTCAACGTAAGAAGAGGGTGATCATGGTCGTTTCCACACTTCAGAACCACTAGAAGTGGTCGTGCCACTGCTCTATTCCAGCGCTGCCTCTCCACCTCCAGACGAAACCAAATCCAAATGCCCTAGTTTCCCAGACAATGGAGAGGACCTGTTCCCTCTTGGATTGCGCTGCTGCTCATCTGGTTGTTAGACAACGCCTAGAAATGGTCTAAAATCTGATGACTACTTCTTCGTTGCTCATCAGTGCACCAAGTCGCAGACCACTTTGCCTCCACATCCCTGTCATCGCCACCTATGATTTTGACGTGTGCTGGTATCTAGTCCGACAGAGACTGGCCGTTGTTGAGCTACACTTGAGCCTCGACTCGACGGCCGAGAACCAGAGTAGGCCTTTGGATGAGATTTTTATTACTCCATGGCAGGTTCTGATGCTGTACGATCATTGAGAGATCTTGATCTTGCTCCAAATCTAAATTATTTACATTCACTGGAACGTCCCATCCTTCTACCCAAGTGAGTTCTCATCAGCCAAATGCCTCGATGTTGTCTGTCCTGAGAGCCATCGAGAGCGACAGAACGTCACTCCCGACAGCAGTCCGACTCGTCATCTAAATTTGTTGGCTCATCATGTGAGAAACTAGGGACAGCAAGGTGGAGGATCGGTGTCAGTGCAGAGCTATGTACTACTGTGGAAGAATGTAAGATGAATTCGAACGAAGTCGAGTTGAGCTAGAGGTTGCAGATGTAGAAGTAGAACCAGTCCCACTGACACAATAGATCTTTCTCCTCTTTACTTTTTACGGTCGGAGGTTATAAAAACCAGCCACGCCTCCATGCGAAAGCAACCAAATGCGAAGCGTCCAAACGTCGCCACCAACCAATCATCCACCCTATCCAAATCCATCCATCCACACTCACAAGCACAGCACGACATCATCATTCAACAGAAAGATTCCATCTTACCGAATGAATCAGTGATGGGGTTGGAAAGGACCAAGAAAACTTTAAAATAGGCCCTTGAAGGAACTCTAAAACACTTAATTCGTTCCCAGGTTAGGAACTCTACAGTAGTTAATTTCCTAGGTTCTATGACAAAGGAAATGCTGCTGACACGCATGAACTTCGACTTAAAATCTTCACCTTCTGTCTCAACGACGCTTTGGTTGACGGAGCGGAGGCGGAGGCCGCTGATGTGAGGCAGGAGAGAGTCGGAGACGGTGGTACGGTGTTGGCGTTGGCTCGTTTCTGTCGCCCGTCCGACGGATTTTAGGATCTTTGGTGCCGCTCCGATTGTTGAATGAGGGTTTCAGAGGAAAATCCAACTTCGACAGTTTCGAATTATAAACGCTACGTTCTACTTCGTGACAATTTTCGGGCACTTTCGGGATACACAGGGGACTAGGAATACTTCGGGGGAGGCTCTCCTTTCCACTCGCCTTTGAAATTTCGCTTTCGCTTTCTACGACTCACAAGAGAATTGTATCTCAACACAAAACTCACACTCGATTGTTCAGGATTTTCCTCTTCGGACAACACGAGGAAACCTTCACCTAGGTGAATCCATACGTGGCGGGTACTTAGTCAGAATAATGTCAACCGACTTTTCAACACCGAGGGTTTACACACAGCTTTACGCTTCAGACACAAGCGGCTCCAGAAAGCAGGTGCTCCACAGCAGCACAGAAGTCGCGATATTGCGACTTGAGACTTTTTTTAGTCAGATAGACAGAGCAGTTGACAGTGTGAGAAACAAGGTTCTTTTTGATCGTTTCGTCTTCAACAGGAAAATGTGATTTTCATGTTGTCCAGTGCCGCATGAAGCAGCATTATCTCTTCATCCGGCCACATCAAGTTCCTCCTGTTCCTCCCAGAGTCTTCTTCACGTCTCCTCCTTCATTCTTCTCGCTTTAGAAAGCACCATTACATGTCTCCTCAAGAAATGTTGGCAACAACAAGACCCTTACTTGGAGAAGGTGATCAAACCCTTATCGAACAAAAGGCGGTTGAGGCAGGCATCGGACTCGCCCTTCTGGCGGATCATGCCGGACAAGTGGAAAGTAAAGAACTCGTTCGTGTACTTTCCCTCGCTGTCGACCTGTATGGTGTAAAATTTGGAGAGGATTAGTTGGGAGAAGATTAGTTTTAGTAAAGGCAAGTGGATTTTTGGGAATAGTGGAATTGTATGACTCTTTGCGATGAGATGCTTAGGTGAGTCGACTGATCTATGTATGGAAACGTGCTGCTGAAAGTTGCGCTTTTCGGGTCCCTAAAAATTCGAACGAACTTCGTCCACAGCACAAGCACAAAAAATGACAATGATCCAAATCTAAATCTCTTACGACGGAAGTCTAAAATTTAAACGTGCATACCTGTCCGACGTTCATCTGGATAGAGGCATGCTCCTTGGCCGAGATGAGCTTGTTCGTGGCCGAGCACTTGCGCGGGATGTACAAGTCAACGCGAAGTCCCTCTTCGTTTTCCATTTTGGGCTCTGTTTTTGTCTGACTAAAACAACTAACCGCGAAGGTAGGTTGTGCGTTTTCCCTGTTTTCAACATTGATTTTAGAAGGCAGGATTACGAAATTGTTTGACTCTTCAACTCTCCAGCTTTATTGTTTGACTTTAAAACTCTCTAGCTCTAGATGAGCGACTTCGGTAGAGGAAACACAAGGACTTGACTGAGTACGATGCCTTAGCAGATCAGACCGAACCGCATTTGGAAACTTTCAAATTGTGCAGATTTAGAACCGGCAGCTGATCTCAAGTCTGTTGGCTGATCTGATTGCTCAGATGAGCATCATGAAATTTTTGCTTGCCTCGTGGAAGTTGGATCTAAAAATCTGACTAGATTGCCTGAGGTCGGGTTGAAGTGATCATATCATCCTCTTGGACTAAAAGATTGAGCTGTCGTGATTGAGGTTGATCCCTGTGTCATTTTTCGGTGATTGTTGATCTTCAGAAGCATCACAAACTTCGAACGCACATGTAAATCTAAAGAACACCATATTTCCGAAACTTTTATGCGTTTTCCTCAGATACTGAGGTTTTTTTGTGCGCCAATTTTGCAAGCCCAATGGGATTTTACACACAGATCTCTCGCAGACGAGATTTTGGTTCTTTCTCGCACGATAGTCGAGTTTTAGATTTTTCCTTGGATTGTGTTTTAGAGCGAATTCAATACGGTAAGATCAACGCGAATTTGGTAGAATTTGGGATAATTAGGTTCTTGCACTTTTTGATTATCGTCTACGAATTGCGAATAATACGGATAGTGCACAGTCAGCAGAGCTCTACGAGCTCAAGTTGCACTGACTTCGAAGTCTAGGCAACAAATTTAATACGGAAATTGATCTAGAAGTCTAAGATTTGCAGGAGTTCAACCGAAGGTTTTTAGTCTTTCTCGGAATCAAATCCGCTTAAGTTTGTCTATACGTGGAAGCACAAAGAAGAGAACATCAAACTCAAAGGTTTTAGCTCTACAACACTTTAATTTCGATGAATGCAACCACTGCCAGGCAAAATACTGCACCAAATCTAGTATGACAAGAACATTCATGGGTCGAGCTCTATGACATGTGATCTAAATGTGAATTTTTCGTCTCTCTGAGATTTAGAAGACCCGGTACTTCTAAAGAGATTTAGTCGTCTTCTTTCTCGTACTAAAGAGCATTTAGAAGACCCAGTACTTCTAAAGAGGTTTAGTCATCTTCTTCCTCGTCCTCCTCTCCCGGGTCGTCCTCCTCTGCTCTTCTAGAGAGGTTTAGTCATCTTCTTCCTCGTCCTCTTCTCCCGGGTCGTCCTCCTCGTCGTCCTCTTCTTCTTCGCCATCGTCGTCCTCTTCCTCTTCGTCCGAGAATGCTGGGAGCATGGCGGCGGCTCCTCCGCCTAACTTCTGCATGAACATCATGGCCATGACCTGCTTTCTCACCTTCATGACGGCTAGTTTGAGCACCTGCGCTCGGCGGATGTGCAAGGGGTTAGAGGTGGGCTTGGTGCTCCGAGGAGGATACTACACTCGTCTTTTGTCGAGTCTGGATAGGGAGTTGTCATGCTTCAGATTTTTATTTTGTTACAACGCTTTTCCGAACAGCTGAAATTTCCCGTTTCAGCAAAAAGCGATAATCTTGATTTTCCAGTAACAATCGATGCCAAGAAAACTTGGAACAACATCTTCCACTCTAAAAACTATAAATTTAATCTAATCATCAAGTCAATTCCAATTCCATAAGTTTTATCCATGATCCCTCCTTCGCATCTACTATTTCCTGTCGCAGGACGTTCGTATCGCACTCCGTTCGCCCATTCACACCGCACAAGCGCATAAATGGTTCCAACACCAAGTCGTATCTTCCCAACAATTCCACTAGCCTCTTGTTCACCACTTGTGTACTGCCGTAGACCTTGCCGATCTTGATCTCGTTCTTGTTGCCGATGGTGGTCGCTTCCAGTTGCAGTCCGAGACCAATGTCGCCGTTGACCTTCTTGGTGAAGAAGGAAAAGTATCTGGCGAACTTCTGCACCTCTATGGTGATGCTATCCGAAGCTCTCAGCTGTTCCTTCATCCCCTCTAGGTCGTCTCGAACGCCATTCACAGAGAGAATGCGGTCACCAACAGAGACCTTTTTATCGGCGTCGTCCATATTCATCTCGTTGTAGTCGTGCAAGAGACCACCCCACACAACGGCTTTGACGACCTTAATTGATTTTTAGACGCAGGTGTGACAGTGAGTTCGAAGACCATTTGGATCTCAGATTTTCTAACCAGGCGTTCATAGAAGTACAATGGTGATTAACTTCAACCACTTAATACATCCACTAGGAAATCAAACTGTACCAGATGTTGCGGCGCATTCACCGGCAATGCTTTGTTTGCTTCTTCAAATGCCTCTGCGCCGTCGAAGAAGCTTATGCCGTACTTCCTGTCTGGCGTCGGCTTCGTCAGGGCTATACTTAGCACTATGCTCTTGTCCCAAAACTTTTCGATCTTCATGAACCCGTCTATCGGTATTGCGTTTTCCAATTCCAATGCGCGCATGCGCTTCTGCTTCGGGCTCACTATGGCTAAGGCTGACAGTGTTTCCTGTTCTGTTCTCGGGTTCTGCGCGACCATGAGGGACATGTTTTGCGTGTAGAGGCTGTCTTTTGCTTTCTGGATTTTGGGATTCAGCATCATGTCCCTCTGCCTCTTCCTTGCTTCTCTTTCCTTTTCCGCATCCGCCTCTTCCAAGGCCTTGCGCATTTTGCTTCTTCGCAGATGCAATTCCTTGGCTGGCGAGAATAGCAGCTCCTGCAGGTCTCTTCGCGCCTGAGCCGTGCCCCTGTGCAGGGTCAGGTTTAGCCGTTGATGCATCTGCGTATCCCGCATCACGTCGGCTAAACTCGACGCGTCTTCTTCGTACCCGTTCACCTCGCTGATCAACATGCTTCTGTGGATGCACTGCCAGTACTTGCCTTCCTGTGCGCACTTCAAATTCCATGCCATCACCACTGTTGACGGGACGTAACCCGCGCGCTCGAATTGCTCCCTCGTGTTTTCCCGCTGCATCTCCTGTTGATCGCCGTCGCCGCCAGCCGCTGCTTCCGCTTCGCCGCCTTTGCCTCCCTTGACATGCAGCACTCGCAAATGGGTTTTGCTGTACTTCCTATCGAAGGACAACCCTAGCTGCGTCAAGCCGCCCTCTCCACTGCGGTCCAGTTTCACACGGATGCTGTTGGGATATCTTTCGGCTTGAATGTCGAACTTCAAGGCACTAGAACGAAACTCTTCGATCATTTCGGTTGGTGTGCGTTTGCCGTTTACAGAGAGTATGCGATCGTACATCCGGAGCATGCTCTTAGCATCTGTACTCTGCAAGTCCCGATTATGGTTCAAAACAGCGCCCAGACCTACTTTCGTTACGAGGAGAACCTGGAAAAGAGGAATTGATCCAGGATACAGTCCCAATCATGCGGTTGACGTTCAGCACACGACTCAAGCTAAACCATCATGATTCATCTCTGCAATCTGCTAGAAGCTCAACGAATTCGTAAAAAAAGTTGCTATAAATTGTTCATCGAAGGAAGTAGTACCTTTGGTGCATAATCCTTCGGTATTGACGGAAACTGATGTTGAAAGTGCTTCTCCCCATTCAAATAGACGATTCCTAATGGGTCTTCGCTACTCTCCCTTGTTACCGTCAGGGCTATTGTCTCCGGCTTCTGAGTTTGGGGTTCGATGAGAAATTTTCTCGGGGAAAGGAAGAAGTCTTAGTCAATTCCAATTTGTTACTTATGTGCAGTAGTGGCGTCATTCAAAGTTGAATCAAGGAATCATGATGAGGTTCATCTCGTACGATTACAACAAGCCCAACAGAATACTAGTTCGACAAGAATTATACCTCCGCCGGCGGGCAGTAGTTACTGGCAAAGCTTTGCGTTGCTTTTGTGTATCGATTCTCTGCCTTCAAATCCTCTACCCTTTCCCTTGCCTTCTTTCCGCGGAAGCTTGCTTGCACTTTTCCCGCAGCCTTCTCTACCTCCTTCAACGTGACAGATTCTCCCAACATTGCCTTCAATTCCTTCTCAGTTTCTTCGTCTTTTTTGGCTCTCCTCTTGGCGCCAACGTTTCTTCTGGCTTCGCGTGCGCGATACAGGTTCTGAACTTTGGTGGCAGCGGCTTCTTCTTCGGCCCTGTGAGGTGGTTAAGAAAATGTACTTGGCCACGAGCATTAAGAATTTTTACATCGACCGAGAGCACACGTAGTTTGCTCTGTTAATTCCCTTGACGTCATGTTATCGAGATTAAGAACTTTGCAATTCTCATGCGTGGTGATGAGCTGAAGATCCATTCTTTTCCTTTGTGAGTACGATCGAATACTGAAAGTGATTAGCGATAATCAAAAGAATGATATACCTCATTTCTTGCTTCTTCGCATCCACTTTTTTCCTTGCCATTCTGCCTCTAGCTGCTGCTTGTAACTTCGCAGCCACAGCATTTTCTGCCATATTTTGCTCTATATCCTCGATATTAATGTCCCCGCTCACCGCGCCTTGGACAAGCTGTTGTGGATTTTTTTGCGAGTGACATTTTAAAGATTAGACACAAGGGCTAGATGAAGTGAGTCGCTTATCATCCAAGTATACACCAGCGTGAAGAACTAATGCATAGTACCAAGAAACAAATCTAAAGAACTCCAAGTACCTTCGCATGTGTTATCGCTGCTGCAAGTGTATTTGGCTGCAGCATGATGCCTTTGTTGGTCTTGGCCAGATGATTTGTGCCCTTTGAGAGTAGGAGGGCAACGCAACTCGGCTCCCCCATCTGCACATAGTGATATTCCGCATGGTGGAGGCACGTCCTTCCTGCCTTATCCGCAGTGTCCAACGTGTCTTTGGGCAAGAGCCGGAGGAGGTAGCTGTGAGGGGGGTTGTTGAGGGAGGTGCGGTCGATTTTAGTGGTACAGAATGGTTTGATTTGCAGGAGGAGTTATCACCTCAGCACCGTAGTGCCACAAGTGGCGCGATGGTGTGGGTCTATTTGGCGAACTGCCTAATATTTCCCCGATGACTTCTACCCGCTTGTCTCGCTTGTTGTTGGATTGTATAAGTGGTCTTTCATCACCTTTACCAACCAAAGAAAATTCAAATCAAAGAAATGTGATAGAGATAGATGATCAACACATTAACAAGGAAAAGCACTGTGATACCTCAAACTATCAACGCAGCCATTGAAAGCGAGGGTGTGAAGGACAGTTTGGTCTGCTGTGTTCTTCAGATTCATCTTCGCGCCATGCTCCACTAAGTAGTGTACGGTATCCGCATTCCTTGCGAAAAATAAAGGCGTCTGGTTATACCTGAGGTTGTTCCGAGGAAGAGGGATGATGAGATTGAAGAATTCAGGAATGTAAATGCTTCCGGTATTTAGTTGTAACCTGAATTTGATCATAAGGGTTCAAAATTCAGGTTACCAAATACCGGAAGCATCCAAGGAAGACCTACCAATCTTCGCTGAGATTGAATACAAGACCTATCTTTGGTGCCCTGAACAAATTCAGAAGATCCAAAACAGCGAGCGAAGTCTTGTATTTTTGTTTTTCGCCCTGAACAAATTCAGAAGATCCACCCCAAAAAAAAGATAGAAAAGTCCAAGTACGCGTCCATTATATTCACATCGGCGCCGTGTTTTATGAGCAGTCGCACGATAGCAATATTGCCCACACTTGCGGCGTAGTGCAGTGCTGATGGATTTCCCACATTCGGATCGCAGCCTACCTCCAGTAGCGCCGTGACTAATCGGTTATAGTTTGCGCTAGCTGCGAAAGACAAAGGCGTCAGCTGTCTTGCACCGGAGGACTTTATCTGTCATTTCAAGTCGTCGGTAAAAACAAAGTCGTGGGATTTTTGACCACGGCGAGAGCGAGACGACAAATACTCAAACTAGCTGTAAGATGAACCTAGGACTTTCTAATACTCGAACTAACTATTTCATCAAGGAAGTGGCCAACAAATTGAGTCTTCTCCGTCCATTAGTTATTTACTCCATAGTCAATGAGCCAACAATCACATTTCATGCAACAAAGTAAATGATCCAACAATCACGATAGTCAATGAGCACATCACATTTCATGCAACAAAGTAAATGATCCAACAATCACGTTTCATCAACTACGTACATGCAGATCATACTTATTAGTACCACTGCATTCTTATCCGCATCTGCGAGGTTTGTCACATAATCGCTTTGACATATCTCCCAGTCGGACATGCCGTCCTCAACCATTAGCAAGAGGTCCGTCATCTTTAGCTTTGCGAGGAGGTGCGCGGAGTAGGGGGGCTTCTGCGCGGTTCACGTCTGAGGAGTTGATGTCGCTGGTGCAGGAGATATAAGACTGCGATGTCTCAGTTGAAGAACTTGTCTGTGTGCGATGGTATGCGGGTAGACACACTGATCTTGCCCTGATTGTAGACCTGCGCAAGCGCACTGCAGCTGCGCCGGCTGTTAAGGCGGACCTCCAGAACTTTAATATACGTATGCCATGAAGGGATAGACCTAACTTAGAGAAAGGGGAAAAACGAGCCGGTTGTTTTATATACGTATCATTTGTTCATTACCAACAGGGTGCTAAGGTTGCTTTTTCGTTCGTTGCGTCTTAAAATTGAAAGCTTCCAAAAAGAAATCATTCACACAATTACTGTTAAGTCATAGTCACTTCACAAAAGAACTACTCAGAAGTAGATTAAAATTCGACTTTCATCTACTTACTGGAATTTTTGCGTCTACCGTTTTTATACAGTTTCATGATCAACAAAAAACTATGGTGCGTAGTGTGTCTATCATCTAGTAGCTATCTTTATCTATACAACAAGAAATAAGAAATCATTCGAGCGCAAGGGTGGGATAGAGGTTCGCGGGGCCTGTCAGGATTAGGAGTTATCAGGATTAGGAGATATCAGGCTTAGGAGACAGATCGGATTCAGATGAATGTCCAACCGAGCAAGCTTCAAGTTATTGCTTGCCTTCCTGCATTGTTACCGCCTCTGTCGCTCACTCTCAGATACAGATTATTCAAGGCAGCTATGGCTCCTCAACAGAGTGGCTTTTGACTTTCTTCTCTCAACAATGGCAGAACACATAAGATACCCTCTGAAACCATTAAACAGATAGCAGTAAGCACTCTCAAGAATACAGAAGTGAATTAAATGATGCTTTCTCGTGGTCGTTCTCGTTGCGCTCTCAAATGATGAATGAATGAATGAATGTGCCTAACAAGAGGTATGTGCCTAAGAAACTCTTCTTAGAAGAACCGACAAGCAATCTCAGCTCTAACATGACAGATGATGGCCTTATCTCAAGGCAAGAACTCGGATAGTACGTACTTCGTCGAGATTTAAGGAACACCTTTCAGTCATGTCAAGACGGTGAAGATGTCTACTTCCATCCGTAAGTAAATCGTTACATAAGGCACAGACGAAGAATCTAGGCGTACATGAGCCAAGTCACGTCAAAACTTCTCGTTTTTACACTACCGAACCAGAACAGAAGTACACGGATCTCTTTCTTGCCTGTCTCATTAAGATACGTAAGTTAAAGTTTTTGGACAAGTTAAAGTTTTTTTTGGTTCAAGCATTGACTTGTGTTGATCGGACGTAACTGCAACAAGATCATCTCCATGCGATTTCGTTCCCTTCATCGAGCCCTTTACAACGAACTGCAACAAGATCATCTCCATCATCTCCATGCACCTTCACTTCAGACTATGCGCCATGCCCTCATCGTCTTGTAACGTGACGAAGAAAAGCTCGGAAAGAGCTATTATTTTGTCGGTTGGGATTACGTAAGAACCTTCGAGTTCCGCAGCGAAGTCAGAGGCCTGTGGAAGCAAAGTTTGGAAGGCAAGTGGTGAAACAAGAAGCTGCTACAAGAAGCTCTAGTAAAAATCTTACAAGAAGCTCTAGCGGTGAATCAAAATCTTACGAGAAGCTCTAGTAACAGCACAACTCGTAACTGCAACGCATTCAGTACCTTCGCATTCAGTCCCTTCCCGCACAGATCCAAGCCGATACAGGGCAATTCTCCTCTCGAAAGATCGAGTTTCTTGATGTCAAAAACCTGTAACTGCTCTGCTCTGGCTTTGTCAAGGCCTAAAACACGACTCTGCAAAACCTCGTAACCTCCAGCGTTGGCTTCGTGAAACTTCTGCAGAAAAAGATTCAACTTTTCTTCTTCGAGGAAGAGCACGAAAACGCGATTCTCAGCAGCGGGGTCGCAAGAAGGACGCTGTTTTGTTGTGTTTCCCAGGGAAAATTAGGAAGAGTTTTCTTGCTCTACTCTTGATGTGGAAAACCAGCGCGGTCTTTTTGTCTAGCGTTTTAAGTAGTTTCTATAGATGAACAAAACAAATTCATGAGGTCTTCAATAGAACTCTTTAACGAAAGTGAATCGGCTTTGAAGCGGAGAGAACACTGCCTGAAATGAGTGAAGACTGTTTTTGTTTAACGAACAGTGCTTGAAATGACTGTATTTGTTTCACGAAAGTGAATAGATGTTGATTTCACTCTTACCAATGGCCCCACTGTAATCGGAATCACCGGAAATAAGCCTCCGCTCTCCATGTGCTGGAAGACCTCATCCCGCAACTCGGTACTGGTGCCTGCATTGAATTGAGGACACAATGCAAAAATGTCTCGTGCTCTAGCATCTGTAGGTCTATTGCTACATTTTGTGCGACAGGAGGATTCTTTCAGTACAACAAATTGTCTACAGCGGCCGGATTCTTTCAGTACACGTAGACCAAACTAAGTTGTGTAAGTACGCAAACACCTAGTACATTTCTCAAAGTCGATCAGCTCCTTCAAGGTCTCCTTCGTGTTGTATGCTTTTGCCAGGCTGTAGTTGAGCACGCCGTCTTCCCTCTTGTTGAAGTCGAAGATCTTGTACCACTTGTTGGCGTAGGCGTTGATCTTGCAAATATCCAGTTGCTGCTTCAACGCGAAGTAGCACAAAGGAAAGCAAGAGAATTCCATGTAGGGTATGAAAGTGGGGTGGAGGATGAGAGTATTTCTTGGGTGAGTGAGAAAAAAGTGGGGTGATTGATTGATTGATATGCCTGACAAGAGGTGGATTTGGGTGGAGGATGAGAGTATTTCTTGGGTGAGTGAGAAAAAAGTGGGGTGATTGATTGATTGATATGCCTGACAAGAGGTGGATTTGGGTGGAGGATGAGAGTATTTGGGTGAGAAAACGAAGCCTATTTAGTAGAGTTTTTCATTTTTTCTCCTTGTTGTATTTGTCATCTAATGTCATCAAATTCTCGATAGTTAGTATCATCATAATATTCGAGTACTCGATAATCGGGTCTGTCTGAGAAAACAACGCCATTTTGCAATCCTTGCACTCTCGAGACCGAAATTGCTGGACGCACATCACAAAGCTGCAGTTCTCGCAGTTTCGGACGAATATGGAGGATTCTATCTGGTGAGGGATAAAATATACACCTTTTATGACAAACCTCTCCAGCCCTCATAAAGAAAAGAAATAGGCAATGAACCATCAATATTGCAGAAGGATAAGCTTGCTATCGTTCCTTACCCTAAAGATCTTGATTATGAGGAGGATCTGAGTTCTGTCCTTAAGGTGAAGAGCCAATAATTTCTAAGTACTCAAATTCTTCCCATGATGATCCTAGTACTATAGATACGTGTTGTAGTAGAAGTAGCACAAACGCCTGAAATCTACACAAAGGTTAAAAAGTACTTCTACTTTCTTATAATCTGTACAATCAAAAGCGAATGTAGTAAAATACCGGTCCCATGAATATCCGGCAATTCTTGCTATAGTCAATAGACACAGTCGCCATAGGATCCAGCACAAAAATATCACAGTTTTCGCATCCGTCAACCACGAATTGCTGTAATTGCAAGCCTTCTTTGACGATTACCTGGGCGTGTGCGTGGGATAGAGCATAGGGATAGGTCTATTGAGTAAATAAAGAATCACAATCACTGATTAGAGCATAGGGATAATAGGTCTATTGAGTACGTAAATAAAGAATCACAATCACTGATTAGAGCATAGGGATAATAGGCCTATTGAGTACGTAAATAAAGAATCACAATCACTGATTAGAGCATAGGGATGATAGGTCTATTGAGTACGTAAATAAAGAATCATTCACTGATTAGAGCATAGGGATAATAGGTCTATTGAGTACGTAAATAAAGAATCACAATCACTGTTTTGTTTAGTTATAGTCGTCCAGTTATATAGCAAATTGAGCAGATGGTTGTAGTCATTGATGAGCTTGAAAAAATACCTCATTCTTTCGATCCATGAGCATGTAATCCTTTTTGTTTATTGACTGTTTCTTCTCCCAGCTGAACTGTTTCTTCTCTGCTGGCTTTTCTTCCTTTTTCTCTGGCCCTTTGGTCGGCTTTATTATGGGCTCCTTCTTCGCCTCCTTGGATCCAGCACAGTTTCCCATCTTGTCCTCCTCTAAGTTTTTCTCAGTTTCCGACTTGCTGGTAGGTCCGGCGGCTCCCTGTGCAGCTACGCCGTCTTTGCAATTTTAGAGGCATCGGTGTTTTGACACGACGTATTGGAGATTTTTTGGCTATACTGCAGTTCATCTAGCTAGTCTTGGTCGTGTTATCAATGGCACAAGAGAGGACCAGCGGTCAGCTTCGGAAATGTCTACATTTAATAGAGGCTACAGATGACAGATCTAGACGGGACACGAGCAGCACTAGATGACAGTTTCATTTCATCAACGCCAAAATAAGCTTTGTAGCAGAGAGAGCAGTGCTTGGAATGATATAAATTTCTGCATGGGATAAGCCTAAGCTTGTAGAGGTAATAACTAACCGGTTGTTTTATTTAGTGCATCTATCCGTAAAGATTATCCTACTATATCTATCCTTAATGATACCAGTGGAGCACGTCTATCCTACTATATCTATCCTTAATGATATAATAAACTACATCTATCCTACTCTTCGACTTCATCCATCCTTAATGATATAATAAACTACATCGATCCTACTCTTCGACTTCATCCATCCTTAATGATATACATGTATCCTACTCTTCATCCATCCTTAAAGATTATTCTTATTCGCACCACCTCCAGCTGCAGCTGTGCCGTACGGATTCGGTGTAGAAGAGGATGCAACTGCTGTTGGTCCGCTGCTAGCTGCAATTCCCCCAACACTAGCAGCTGCTCCACTAGCTGGTGCTGAAACGCGGCTATTTGCTTTAAAAGCTGCAGGGGTCGAAGATTTAAAGGTTGAAACATTTCATTTTTTAGTAGCCATCTCAAGTACGGAAGACTTGCAAAAATGAAATGTCTCAACCCTTAAAAGATGCTGCTAAACCGGCAACAATACCACCTGAAGACGGGGGCGCTGATGTCCGTGATGGTGCTGATAGGCCAGCAACGATAGAAGTTGGCTTACTCGCTGAAAGGCCAGCAACGATAGAAGTTGGCTTACTCGCTGAAAGGCCAGCAACGATAGAAGTTGGCTTACTCGCTGAAAGGCCAGCAACGATAGAAGTTGGCTTACTCGCTGAAAGGCCAGCAACGATAGATGATCCCGGTTTCGCTGCGACGGCTTTGGCTGCAGGAACTACAGCAGCAGCAGTAGATGGGTCAGAAGAAGCTGCAGGTGTAGCTACTGCTTTGGCTGTGGGAACAGCAGTTGTTGAGGATGGTGCCGCAACAGCAACGGGGGGTACAGCAGTGGAGTTCGCTGTCGCTTCCGCAGATCCAGATGGTGCAACTACGGCAACTGCTTTTGCTGTCACTACAGGCGCGGCTACTGCTTTTGCGGTTGGAACGACAGTAGGCGCTTCTGCTTTTTCTTTCTCGTCCTCTTTGCTAACTAGACCAGAACTCTCCTCGACGTCGACTTCTTCTAACTTGATATCCGCGGCACTTACAGAAGCCTTCTCTCCTCCTGCTAGGCAGCTGTTTTCTAGGAGGTTTTTCCTGCGTTCTTGCGCAGCCTGAATAGCAGCTTCGTTTTTCGAGAGCTGATCTACTCCTGGTGCTTTAGCAGGAGCTTGCTTTTCTACAGCACCACCACGACTACCAGGAGCAAAACCGTTTCCAGCTGGCTTGCCTTTTTCTCCTTTAGGACTTTTATTCGGTTTGGGAGACTTTGACTTATTGCTCGTAGATTAGACGACCGAAGAAGAAAGCGCATGATTCTTGATCAATCAAGGTACAAGTGACCTCCTGCGTACTACGGTCAATCAATCAACTATAGGCGGCCTTGGTCATGGTCATGTACTTCAGGCTCAACCCTTACTGGCCATTCAGTCAATCAGTCAATCAATCACACTGCCCCCACAGGGCACCGACCTCCCCGCAGCTGCTACTGCCGCACCTCTACGTCCGTAAACGACTACGGTAAAGTTTACTTACATTGATTCGTATCAGACTTCTTATTCTTTTGAATAACAACGATCTTCGAGGAGAAAGAAATGAATCGCTAAATGAAATTAGCATGATGATGATAATCAGATCACCTTCTCAAATCATCCTCCAGACATAATTGTCCTTGTGCTTCGGTGACGGCTCTGATGCTTGCTCCTCTATTTCTTGAATCCACTTTTTCAGTCTGGCATGAAACGATGGGCCAACTCTGACTCGACTCACGCTACATCGTTTCACTTGAAGAGAGCGAGCCATGATTCTTGGAGGAGTAAAGAACAACAAGCGGAGGCGAAGTAGATGAACAAGAGGAAGTAGAAGTTGATTTATAAGTCTTCATGAGACAACGTTCTTAGACTTATCCAAGTTCACGGCGGGACATTTTTAGAATTAGAGGTTATTGTTTCAATCTTGATATCGCAAGGTGCTCTCAGCTCTTATGAAGTTGTGATGGCTGGATTCTTTCTTCTTTGACATGGTTCTTGCTTTTTTTAGTCCATGTGTCAACGTTCACTTTTTAGTTGGGGGGGTGGTTGTAGGGCATATCACTATTGGAGTAAGCGTAGGGTCTCTATTTTATTTTATCGCGGACAATAGCTTTCGTTGTGACTAGCTCTTCCGCACGAGGGAGATTTTCTCTTTGATGCCTCTCTTGGAGCTGATCTCTCAAAGCTAATTCGCTCTTCTCCTAATTTTTGCGCCTTAGAATAGCGCGTAGCGCTTTGTTTTATTCCAGTCCTTGCGCGGCGCCTTTACTTTGGTCCCATCTTGGAAGAGCAAAGGAGTAAGTGCTGCTTGTCGACAACAAGGCGAGTCGTCGAAACATGATTACAGCAGATCAACCGTCATCGTGTCATCAACATTCCCATGCGCATGTAGTTCCCACCCAGTCAAGCTACACCATCTGGGGGCTCATGAAACCCGTATGTTCATGATGTACATAGCATGTGTGATTATCATGATGAGCAAGTAGGTACGAGTAACAAGAAGAATAGGCGCAGGGAGCAGCAATTGTGAAGATAAAGCAACAAAAAAAATGATCTTCACGGCTGCAGAAGATATTAAGAAGCAGCAAGCAAAAAGTTGTATCGTAATCGAGGTCGATGAGCAAGCCAAAGAAGTTGTATCGTTGTAATCAAAGTAAGTGTGCAAGCGCCAAGCGACAATGTGTATCATTTATTCATCCTGTATCGTCAAGCGTTCTCGTTACCCCCTAACGACTGCGTAATGAATCCTTTTCGCGTATTGTGCGGCATCAAAAACGGGAAATTCATGAGCAGCAGCTTCCACACTCAGAAAATCTTGCGCGACTAAGCGCATCCTCTCTTCATGACTGATCTGTTGCCTAGAAAGCATTCCTCCGATGCTTGTATCATTCAACATCCTACAAGCAGGTAATAAGGGTGTATCGTGCTCGATGATGTTTGATGTATTGGTGTTTGTTGATCCAGTAGTAATAGTACTAGTACTAGTGCTGCTCTTGTTGTTCCTATTGCTTCTGGAAGTCAAAGTGGCAGAGGAGCAACCTACTATCGAAGAGGAAGCTGTTGTTGTGGTCGTTCTAGCAGATGAAGACGAGTTTGCTGAGCTGCCCTGTTCAAGCGTCTCGACCCGTTCTAGTAATCTGCGCAAGGTCACGGAAAACGGTCTAAATTTCTTCTCAGGCTTGCTCGGAACTTCTCGTGTGGTGGCACCGTTAGAGGCAGCTACTAATATAGCTTTCTGGTTCTAGAAAACAAAATAGATTCGAGAATCAAAATTAATCCATATTTGAACAACGAAATGTAAAAAAAGCAAAGAAAGTCTTCTAGTACTACGTAGACTTATGAATAATAATGGAGTATGAGATAGATTGTAGCTTATTTAACTTCACTAACCTCGCAGTTAGAAGAACCAATCTTAAATATTACTAATACATGAAAAACTATTTGCCTTAAGAATACTTATATATTTATAATGCATGAAAAACTACTCGCCTTAAAAATGTTGTTACCAGCCACTCTTTGAGTATTCGCACCGCTTGTTCCAGCACCTGCACTTGTACTACCAGCAAGATTACTCGCACTACCGGAAGTAACATCCACAGTGGTATGAAACATCCACTGGTGCAAGGTGAATTCCTCCAAGTCCAAAAGGCCTGCCATGTCGACTAGTTTCAATGCAGCAAGGACTTGCTTCGTCTCCAATTCGTCTTCTAGTGGCCGTCTGTTAGATGCGGAATTGATTGATGTCCCCTTCGTCATGTGCATCTGTCTGACTGTTTCCGCCACTTTCGCCGACAAACTACTAAAAACGCCGATCAGCTCCGCTAAAATCAACGGCCAGCAGGGCGTCAAGTATGAAATGGAAACGGTTCCTTTTACTTAAAAGTCTTATTTTACCGCTTTGGATCCATTTTAACGCGAACACTATTGCTAAGGAGAGGGAGGGCCGAAGGAGTCCCCGAAGAGCTTGAGCCTTGTTGCTACCAACTAGCCAGTCTGGCGCCTTACATCGCCTCGCTTTACTCTTCTAGGGAGATGGCCGGACGGCGATAAAAAACCAAAATTTAAGTAAAACGAACCATTTTCATTTCATATCAAGTACCTCGGAGCCATCTTCAACAAGAGGATGCGGATAACAAACAACACCTCAATTCGCAATTGTCCGCCTAAGGGTTTTGTTTGTAAGCACTGTGTCAGTTTGGTTATGATTTCCCGCAACTCATTTGCGAAGACGTCTTGTTCGCCGGAGAACAAAACAAACGACAATCTGCGCAGAAATTCCACTTTTCTAGTGCTTTCCTGCAATGGCGTGGTCAAGATGTTTCTCGTGTAGACCCAACAAATCTGAAACAGGGAGGATTGCGAGTCGGAATTGAAATTAGAGTCTACTGCGAGAAGAATCCATCTCGATCGTGTGATCTTCTTGGTGCGACCTTTATTCCCTCGTATTCCTCTACTATAGGGACATAAGGATATCAAAGAGATGCTGAACAACAAAGATATATAATGATCAAAGCTTCTGACCATAATAAAACTCGGATTTGCCGCGTTTGTCGCTCTCTCTGCAGTGATCAGTTCCCGCACAATCGTTTGCCAGCAACCTAGTGATCGAGCATCCACCAAGTTCTGTTCGAAGAACTTCCCGTCGTTGATCGCGGCTAAAAGAGAACTCCGCAATGTTTTCATGATCGTTGTGCGGTACAAGTCGTACGGCAGATGTTGTAACGAGCACAGCAACAAATAGGCCCATTCCGATTGATACAGGGCTTCTCGTTCTCGATGCAGCGCACGAAAAGCAGCCTCCCTTTGCTCTTGTATCTCGAATAGCCGTTCGGAAGCTGTTTTAGAGGTAGGTTTTTGGTGTTCGTTTACCCCGTTCGTTATGCCTTTCCCCCTTCAGGAAGGCAACACGAACGGTATAACTACAAGAACACCTTTAGCCTACCCTTAATTGTTGTACTCGTAGAAGTCGAAGAGCCACAAGCATCGTCCACTACCACTTGAGCTTGCACTTGATCAAGATCATTCTCCTGTCTCGACATTGTACTGGAATCCTTTGGTGCCACCTCTGCTGGCTTAATTCTCCTAGACGATGAGGAGGACTTTTTTCTATCTTCCAAGGGCAAAGCTCTCCGTGTCTTCTCGCTTGATGTCTTTGAAGAGGAGGAGCTGGAGGAAGATGAAGGCGATTGCACTACTCTCGGAATCAATTCCCCAAGAACTTGAGCGTGTACCAGGGTCGAGTACTTGGAGTACAACAAGGCATCTACGACCGCCTGTGCAAACGGCGTTCCGCGTTTGGGCTCTCCGTCGCTACCGCGACCTAAACTTTCTAGAAACACAGATAAAAACCGCAAAGCGTAGAGACTCGCCACATCACTCCCTCTTGGGGGAAGGAATTGGAGAAATTGCTCGCGAGGAGGCGAAGAGGACTGATGTGCTCCTCCTATACCAGAAGAGAGTTTAGAGAGTTGCAACAAGGGTTTGAATCGCCAATTGTACATTGCTACAGCGCGTGTGTCGTATTCATTCGTTGCCTCTAAATGTGGCGGGAAAGGAGGCGACAAGTCCATACTCTTATTGTTAGATCTAAAAGAAATCCATCTTCGCGCGCATCCTGGAACCTTTTCCCCCTTCAAAACGGTCTCAGGATGCCTGTGAAGATGGATTTGTGGTAGCCTTAATATTGCGTTGTTGCGCAGAGGCTGTTTCTGAGGAGCTACTATGATCAGCGAAAAGGCCAACGACACGCGTAACCAGAGCACCCACGTCTTTCTTGAAACGCGAGATGTCGATGTGCGCTCCTAAGTCAAAAAAGGCTGGATTTTAGAGGTTGCGCAATTATACATTCCTCAGAACATCCTTGGCCTTTTTTCTACTTACTAGAGAAAATGCTCTAGGTCAAGGATGGTAGTGGGAGATGTAATTTGGAAACCCGTAAGGATTGGATGTGCTACTGCCGTCGGCGTTGTCGTTCAAATTGGTAGTTGTTGTAGCAGACGAGCCTGCTGACGTCGCTCCAGCAGTTTTTGATGCAACATCGCCTGCGTCCACATGGAGAACAGCAGTAGCACAGGGACTTCCTTTAATATTCAACATCGACGACGAACGAGCTTGTAGTTGGGATGAACTCGACGTTCGCCCTGCAGCATCTTTATTTACTCCTCCTCCACCACCAGCACTAGATGATCCCACTCCAACTCCACCATTAACACCCGCACTACCCCCACCAAGAGAACCATGAATTGCTTCCCTCCTTCGCAATGTAATGCCATCACACAACTGAATCAAACTTAGGATCCACAAAACTGTCATCGGCTGTTTGGAATGTGCCACAGCAGCAGCGGTTATACGTGCCACGCACTTCCACAATACTGGTAAAGATATCACATGAACTACTCCTGCGGAGGAGAAGGATGATGATGAGGAAGAGGATGTCCCACTCATAGGACCACTTGTATTTCTCGTAGTTGTTGGAATCCTGCTGGTCCTCGTGTTTGTCGCGTTCGATGCAAGGAATGCGGCGTTTTTCAGGACGCGAGTCGTGCCGCAACTGTTGTTGTAAGAAGAGGAACTTCTCGCATTTGTTGCCACACCGTCAGCAGGCGAGGATGTACCAATACTCTGGTCTACTGCACTATGCTGTGTTCGGGATACACGGTTTCCCCTTTCTAAATCCCTGGATCCCACCACCACCTCCCCCGGCGGGATGCCACTACTTCGGTCAAAATAGGCCACGTACGAATACAAAAAGTACAAAAACAAGGACTCGGGAACATTCAACTTCTCAGCACCGGATGAGCCGCTGTCCTTCGCACTTCTAGCGCCTAACTCTACCTCGAACGAAAGTGCTATGCATCGAAACACGATCTCGGGTCCCGCTTGTTCAAGAGTCGCAAGGGTCTCTAAAAGAGATTGAAACACCAAACTAGGCTCATGCTTGGCTGCAGAGAAGTTGGTGTCGCTGCTTTTCTGATGTCCGTCCAGATCTGCGCCAGATCGACTGTGGTCAAGAGCACTTCTCGTGGTCCTCTGGGGTGGACCTGACTGCTCGTCGGGAGATTTAGTGCTGCCAAAACCACTGCTGCCTCGGACACAAGATGACGCAGACGGATAACTCCTCATCATGCCGTTGCCAGCTGTTGATGTCGTAGCTCCATTGACTCCACTTGTTCCACCCACCAGGGGAACGTTTCTCGGAGGAAACAATCCCCTGCAGATGGACAACACTGACTCCACAAAAAGCTGTGGAAATTTCGCAAAGATTGTGTTCAAAATCACCCTCATTTGTCTTCTTATCGCTTCCCGCGTCGCATTAAAGTAATACGGCAGAACATTCAGTGCACGCCTTTTGCTGATGATACCCACATCACTGTTAATAGTCGCGACAGATTCCACGGTGACGGAAAGAATCTGAGGGATCACCTGGAATAGCATTTTGCGCACAACCTGGCTCGTCGCGGTCTCCACAAAGACTTCCTCGACCCCCAAACCGAAGAACCAGCCGCCCACCTTCTTTGCTAGTCTTGTATCGCACTGACTCACACACGCTTGCACGATGTCGCAAATGCCATTCCGAATTAGAGCCCACGAGTAGAGCAATTATCATTTCTTGCCTCCATTTCTCCCAATCCAGAGAAGGACCACAAGTGAGAAATTTGACTGGTCAACATAGAAATCAATGAGTCGTATTCAATAGCCTTAAGAGAAAATGCGACGTCACCAGTTCCGTCTGTTCGAGTCTTCTTTCTCGAAAGACATCCTTCAGCTTCTCCTTGCCGCCACAATGGATGGCTTTATGGATCTCTAAACAAAACGTGCTGACTGAAGCGGCAACGACACGTGTGAATTCGTGCGGGTTGTCGGGAGCCGGGATGCGGCGCACGATGAAAACGAGGAACTCTACAAATTGCGCAATTGTGCTTGCTTGCGAATACCGCTGAAATGTCGCGTCGTGTGTAGTCTGTGTCTGTTTGCTAGCTGATGAAGTACTACTCGTGTTGACTTGATTTCGAAGAACTTACCCAAATTCATCTTGCAGCCGATCTCTGGCACGGTTTTCCCTTCAGAGAGGAGCCCCGCCGCAAAGATGTTTGTTCTCAAGATGAATTAGTACAGTGAGCCTTAACTGGTTTGCATTTTTCTGTAATTCCAGTCCCTGTTCTTGCATTCTAGCAATGGCACGTAATAAACACGGCAACAAAGGAGGATAACAGGCTAAATTCCCGACATCGACGAAGTGCGATTCGTTTCTACAACTCACTAGTTGCTGTTGTTGGTCAAATGAAAGCGACTCCGTCGGCTCAGAGACTCCACAATTCCCTGTCGTACTACTTGTGCTGGTGCCTCTATTGGTTGCAGGCTGCTCGCCCACAGTAGATCTGCTCTTACCTCCATTCATCTGCACAGAAGCCTCAGTTTTGGTCCTAGTAGTTGCGCCTCCATCGTCTGGAGCTCCTGGACTAGTGCTGTATGCAGGATTAACTTCCTCCACACGATTGGTCGGATCCCATACACCGTCGAAGGGGAAGGCTACTTGGTGATCCGACCTGCTATAAGTAGCGGCAGAACCAAGCGCACTTCCTCTACTTGGAGGTGGACTAGTTGTATTCTTGCAGCTCGTACTAGTTTTAGCTTTTGAAGAACTAGTTGAGTTTGGTGAGGCTTTGTTGCTGCCTGTACATGACGCAGAAGTTGCTGGCGCATACTTCTGCGAAAGCACCAACAAGACCCTCAAAATACCGATCAAGTGGACTTGAATGGTGTAGTCCCGAGCTTGTATCGTGGAGTCTAGAATTTGAAGCAATGGGTCGATCATGGCACCGCAAATTTGCCTTCCTTTCACCGGATTTGAGATCGGGCCTACGAAAAATTTTAGAAATTCTCCAGATATCGCACGAATACCATTCACGAGTTCCTCAATCTTGCTGGAGAAATACAGGTCCGCGCTTAGTTTCAACGGCGCCGTGGCGCCAGAGGTGGAACTAGAGGTCCTGAAAGCACTCCCGTCACTGCTTGTCCTTGTGGAAGACATGATCGTGGGCTGCGCCGCAGGGCTCGTTCTACGAGTAGAAGACAGCAAAGACGAGGCGCTGAGGATACTGTCGTCTTCGCCAGCAGCAGTACTACAACTTAGACTAGTGGTTCCAAAATCTTCTTGCATCGTCATGCGCGCACTACAGGAGGTCAGCATTCCCTTCTTCTCTACACTGACCTGTGCCATACTCTTCGCATCCATGTCCGCAGCGGAGGCAATGGCTGCAGGTCCTAGGTGGAGGGAGTCGTCCTTCTCCACTTCGGCATCAGCATGGGCATCATCATGACCTTGATCCTTTTGCACAACATCAAATTTTGGCTCTTCGTCTTCTTCCCTGTGTTGTTCCGCAGCAACCTCCCGATCCTCCTCAACAGCTTCACCATCCACCTGTTCTTCTGGAACAGGGTCAATCCTTGGCAGTTGTGTGCTACTTTTCTTATGTAGAAACCTCTCACTATTAGACGAGTCGGCCAGATTGCTCTTGCATCTCGGCCCCCTCATCTTGACCCCTTTGCTTTGCCTTGTAAGTATTTCATGAGAATACAAGAGAAAAGGGTACCGAGATGCCGAGAAAGATGGGCACTAGACTAATAGCAATTTTGTTCTACTTGAGGCAACTTAGTAGACTTTAGCTGACTCAGGAAAGTTGAGCTATGTCCTTGTATGACCTTAATACTAGAGGATCGCACCCCGAGTCGTGCTCCTACACAACTACTGTCTTCTTGAGAAGTTGATTCTCGATGCTGTGACCATCGCATCAGTGGATCTGGGTCTGCAATAAGCATAGTTGTGTTCCTGTCAGAAGATGCTCCAAAAAGGTCAGGATTACAACTACCAGAACTATCTCTAGTGCCGCTTGAAGAATCTGATTGCTGATGTTGGTGGTCATATTCCCCCCCTTCAAAGCCAGGACCTCCGGAACCATTAAGTACATCATTCCCCTTCATCAAGACCATTGCAGCAACAGCTTCGAAGACGTTGCGACCAAGTTCACGTTGCCATGAGTCTAAGTGTCTCGTCGAACCCGGCCGACTTGCCGGTAACTCCAGAAAGCAAAGGCAGATATGGCAGATGAAGTCAGCGTAATCCCGGATGCTAGCGACGGAGCGGAAGGTTTTACCTTTATCAACAGTCGAAGATGCAGAGGTTTCGGCGGAGCCAGGAGAGGCTCGTTCCGCACCAGGAACCGTCCCATTTTGCGATTGCCTAGCTGAAGCTTGTTCTCTTTCTGAATCGCTTACTTCCCGCTCTCCTGGTGAAATATCCTCTTGGGTTTTTTCCGCATCTTCACCCGCATGCACGTCCGGCAACGAGTGAAATTGCCTCACACAGTAGTAGTACTCGTCAAGTGCCTCTAGCAAATGCTCGCTTGGTTGATGGCGCCGCATCTGTTCAAACATTAAGTGATAATCAGCCTGCATCAGAGAGGTGAACCGCTCAAAGATACCAAGACAACACTGCAGAACTTCTACCACAGCGTCAGTGCAAATACTCTCTCGTGAAGCTGCTCCTACTGCTCCACCCTCTGGAGTACTAGCGCAATGAGCACCAGAAGCGTTGTGATCTGGAACAAGGTTTTGTTGAGAAGATTTTGTAGAGGTCAAAGTTGTAGCCGATGCGCCAGGAAGGGCGAAAAGTGTCGCGGATAGGGATGCAGAGGATACAGCCCTGCTCATGTTGTTGGACAACATGGTCGCTACCCCGGTAGAGTTCCCAGACGCAGACGTCGCTGAGACCGACGCAGTGCGCGTTGCATCTTCGCATTTGCTTTTCACGATCCTCTGTATCTTCCTTGCGTAGAACTCCCTCAAGACTTCACGTGCACGACCGCTAACCCCCTGTCTCGCGTATTTTGGCCTTCTGCTGCAGGCTTGAGAGCTGTCTGACACCATCATTAACAGAAACGCAACTAGGTCTTCAAACAGCGGGTCCAGTAAGTGCGGTAAGTGCGTCACCGCCTCGATGGCCCAGCTGCGCGCTATGTGTTTCAAATTCGGCTCTTTAGCTTCTAGACAACTGATTAGACCTTACCTGTATTCATCTTGACGAGAGGCATGATCTTTGGCATCTTTATTTTCCCTTGAAAAAGGAAACGAATAAGCTTCTCAAGATGAATTACGCGGAGCCTTAAGCTCAGTACCAATTTCGTGATGTCGGGAAACAGATACCCAGCATACAGTGGCACGTACGTGAATTTTGCACCGGGAGGATCTCGAGCTACAGTAGAATCTCGCCTGGAGGACGAAGAAGAAGACGAACTACTGCTACGTGTTGGAGGAACAAAAGACAACGATCTTGAACCAAGTGTAAGACGAGGTTGTGTTGTTGAGACAGAAGAGGTTCTAGAACCGCCGAGCTGCAGGGAGTCACTCGTTGTCCTTCCTAGCATATAATTTGCATCCATGTTCACTGAAGCAGCTGGTCCACCAATGAGCCTGCGACTCGCGCTGCTGTGATCCCGACTTGCTAGCTCCGCAACGTCACGGAGACAATGGAGTTGAAGCGAAGAAGATGCTGACTGAGTTGTACTCACACTGATCTTCCCCTTCGTTGCTGATGTAAAAACGCTACTTTTGTTGTGGATGATCTGATCGTTTCTCGCCTGTGACAACAATGAGATGCCGTTTCTCCATAGACTTGCGTAACGAATGATTCCGTCAATGGTGTTGGTCTGAAAAAAGTGCTCGATTAAGATGTCGGACACGCCAGCGATCGAAGTAGACGCACCAAGAGCCCATCTTCTTGAACATCTTTTGGCTTGTTTCCAGTAGGAAGCGTCTAAAAGATGCTGTAGCAGATGGGCTGGCGGTACCCGTAATGGAAGGCCCTTCCTCACCGTTCATCTGAACCAGACAACGATTTATGTCTATGAGTAATTCTACAATGGTGACGTCCAAGTCGATGCTGCTGGTATTCAGAATTTCCCACAGGTGCACAACAATCCCACGACACCTCGCGCGCAAGCGAGCACGGAGTAGTGGATGACGCGTATCCCGCAAGAGGCCTACAAAGGTCCGAACCGCGCGACAGTTAAAGTGCAATCTAGCCAGCATCTCCTCCAAAGTCATCTCATGTTCCTCGGTGCAGGTTTCATCTTGATCCTGTTGCAGTTGCTCTCCTCCAGCTAGAAGCAGTGTTTCACGGTCCTCAACGTCGTCGCAGTCCTCGTCAGCACTTTTTGAAGAGAAAGGAGCTCTGCAAAAGTCGACGTTACTACCACTCGTTATTTCAGCCGCATGATCCAAAAGAACAGTAGTCGCCGTACAAGCGCGAATGACCGTGTCCACGAACGGTGGCAGTGCTGTGGACCCAGTCGGTTGAAACTCCTCGTAGAGCTGCACTACTGTGGACGACAAAGAGTCATAAGCGCGGAAAATGCGTGCATCGGAGACACGAGAACGCAAAATGGAACGGACCAGGAAGTCGAAGTGCGTAAAGAGACGATGCACAACGGCTTCGAGAGAATGCTCTTCATGCAGAAGTTCATCGAACTGTTGCTGTTCTTGCTTGAAGGAAGATTCCTCTTCATGGTCCCGTACAGGCGATTCAAGGGGGCCAGCCTGTGTGAGCCTTGCTGTTGGAGGAATACAAGTTACAGCTGAGCTTCGATCTGCAGAACCATGCCCTTGCAAGACGTCAGTGTAGAGGTCTTCACGACCATGTATCGTGGCTGGCGTGGGTGCAATCGTGACTCTACTAGAAGTAGTACACCCTAGAGTCGTACGATGGACCTGGTCCGCCACTTGAATGTGTCCTTCTTGGCGATTCATGTCTGGCGCAGTCGTCCTCGATGCTAGTATAGTAGTTTCTCGTGAGCCAGCGACTACAAGTGAGCCGCGAGGAGATGCATCACTTTCATTCAACGCCGCAGCTGTCGATGGTGATACGAAAGTACTTTTCTTTTGTGCTGTGAGCAAATGCCGCGTCCGTCTTTGCTGGTACAGGTTGGTGCAAAAGAGCAATGCTCCTTCGCATAAGTCAGGTAGGCGTTCGATCGTTGGTGCAATCAAAGGCAGAGACGCTAGTGCCAAGGTTAAGATTCTTTCTAGATGCACTCCGAAGTCTGCTTCCTCACAGACATCCTCGATAAACACCCGGTGCAAATGTAGGGCATGCAAAGCGTTCTCCGGATGCGCGGATCGGGTTTGTGAGCGCCACAGCTTTTCCAGCGAGTTGAGGACTTCTTCCCTTGGAGCACCGTCAAAAAACTCCTTTCCCTGCTCCAAAACGCGTAAATATTCACTCTCACGTTGATGTCCGGCGTCTCGCAGAGCGTCCAAGTAAAGCAGAACTGGAATGCTCAATTCAGGCACGATTCGAGACTTGATTTCCTCGACCTCTTGAAGTAGACATGTGATGATTCTGAGGCAATAGCTAGTGGAGATTGGACTGGAAGATGGCGTGGTCGAAGATAATGTTGCTCTGGGCACTGCACCACTAGTAGCCTCTGCAACTCTAGCTTGTTCGTTCTCGTCTTTTAGTGCTGGCAGGATTGATGTTTGGCCAGGAGATGTCCTTTCTTGCACTAATAGAGCAGGCTCTAAATGAGGACCCTGCTCCAGTTGTTCCGTAGCAAACATATTAAAATCACCCACTCCTCCACCACCGCCACTGTATGCGCCCGCTTCAAAGATGCTATCCAGCACATCTCGAGGACACGAGTCTTCTTGCTCTTGAGGACCTGTAGCTCTTGGTCCTCCTGTTTGATGTCCTCCCATCTTCGCCCCTAGCTTTACCACCGGTCTCAACAAATCATCCCTAAACACAGCCATCAAGGTTCCATGGACGTGTCTTTCAAAGTAGGTTCGAGCTGCCGCGTCCATCTTCCCGAAATCGTCGTAACGACTAGTCAGCAAAAACACTATCCTTCTGTTCAACGAACCATCATTCTGACGCAAGAGTGCCAGGATTGCGCGTAATAAACGGACTTTAGGGCGGCCAAACTGATGTTCTTGATGCACTAGAAGTTGTACAGGAGTGTTCTTGTTATGCAGGAGTTCTACTTGGTTGTGGATGCAGCTAGAAGGACCTGCTCTTGAAGATGATGTCATAGAAGAAGTTGCCGTTTTTCTTGAAGAAGGACTTGTTCTTGGTGTCGTTGTTGTAACACGACTCGAACTCCTCTCACTTGCCAGAAGATTACCATTATGTCCACCCCACAGCACCCGACTCCGCAATGGCATAAACTGTGCGATGAAGTCCAGAATGCCTCTCTGAACCAGCTGATTACTGTCTTCGAGCAACAGTTCTAATGTCTGCAGCACTAGACCCCAGGATCGGTGTACCTTAGATGAACTTAAGTACTTAATACTAAGAAGGATTAGGATGATGAAATTGTTTATAACTAAGAAGGATGATATAAACAAGTTTATAGATTGAAGTCGTACTCATTAGATCCAGTAATCAATTCGTTTCTTGAATTGAAGTATAACAGCCATCTCTTCCTTCATCTGATGTGGCAACTTTTCTATTTGCAAACAGCCTACAGATGAAGGGAAAGACGGATTAAAAAGTGAGGTCTTAGATGGATTAAAAGATGTAGATGGATTAAGTGAGATGTAGATCACGGACTAAAAAGTGAGGTCTTAAGTACAGGAAAGAATGCGCGCACTCTGTGCAGAGGCAGGTCATCTACTCCACGAGGGTAAGACTTCTCGAAGAAATCCTCCTGCTCCGTTGAAGAGGAGAGATGAGCGCTTGCCTGGTGGAGAAGAGAAGTCGAAGAAGAGGATGCTGAGGCAGTTCCCGCCAGAACGGATTTTGTATTGCCTCCTATGACCGAAGAAGATGAAGAGGAGGATGATGTTGATGTTGAGCAGCCTCCTCTTAGGGGTTGAATAAAGTTGGCATCTCTAGCTCGCATATCTGTGCTGGCTTTCCTACTTGAAGAAGAGGCCATAGAGATGCTCTTAGATGAGATGTCAACTCCCAAGCCTTAATCCTCCGGCATGAATTTCTATACCCCCAGCTGCACCTCCCCACAGCATACTGTTCGATGATGCCCCACTAGAGCTTGATGTTTTACTCATACTGAGGATTTGCGATAAAGTTGCAGATGCTGGTCCTTGATGTTTTTCTCCACCAGGTCCGACTGAAACTGATGTAGAGGGTGTGATACTCATACTATTGCTTCCACCAATTATATTCGAACTGTGACTTCCATTCCCGCCACGCGCTGTAGTGCTTTTTATCTCATCCGCGATGATACTTCTCAACAACCGGATCCCAGGTAAGCGAATTTTCGGTGTTTTCAAGAGCAAAAGCCACAACGTTGAGCAAAAGGTTGCGTCGCCTACTCCTTCAACCAGTTTTTTGAAGAGGTCTAAAACCTTCGGATTGTTAGGGTTTCCTTCGTCCTCCATAATCGGCAACAAGGCGGTTATCAACCCTGTCAAACAGGGCTCCAGTCTCGTTTTCAATGGCAAATAGTGTTTTTCGAGGAAGATTAGAGTAAGACATATTCTTGATGATGATGATGATGATGATGATTGTGCCTATTCTTGAGGTGTTAGACTGAAACTACTATCTACTTTTCTTTGCACTTCCTGATGTGATTCCTGTAGATTAGAAAAGTCCATCGTGAAACAATTTAACAACGATCACTGAGTATGGACTCAACAGCCACAACAAGGGTCAGGTCAGAGAGGCATAGAAAAACTAAGGAGAGGATAGAAAAACTTAGGTCAACAGACCTCACGAATGAAAAACCTCCATAGCAACAACAACGCTGCTGCCTGCACTGTTTTTCCGCAATTTGCTACATGCGGAAACAAACCACTCGAGTAGATCCCCAAATCTTGTACCAAGCCGTCGCTTCCGATCTGACTGAAGATGGAGTCGTAGATCCTCAGCGTATTCAAATGCACACCCGATGGCAACTGTGCGTTGAGACATTGGGCTAAACGCCGTCCCAATGTGCGTTTCATCTGCGATCGCGCGAGACGTCTGTTGAGGTTGACAGGAAATGACAAGTTGAAGAGGAAATGTATGTGTATACCAAAAATAAATCTGTCAGGAGCGTAATGCGGAGATGGAGCGTGTTCCATCAAGATACGTTCTGTGTCATATGTGCGCATCCCCGATTTTTGTACTCTTCCGAGTACAACCCGTAGAGACAAGTTGATGAGTGTACGCTTTCTAAGATCAGTATTTCTATGGAGTGAAATTGTGGGGAGGACTTCCATCAAGTCTCTGAGGCGGCGAGCGGCAAACTTCGTGCCATATAAACAAAATAAGTACCTCTGATAGAACGCTTCCGAAAACTGTTCCCCATTCAAATTCTCCTTCGAAAATATTTTGTGCAATGCCATCAAGACGTTGCTCAGATCCGCCCACTCTCTGGCTTGTTCGAACAACAAGAGCTTGGCGTGCAGCTCCTGCTCAAACCTCTTACACTCTTTCAAGTCCCGCTTGGACATCTCGCGAGACGCAAAAGAAGCCGCAGCACCAAACATATCCGTCATTTTGATAGTCTTAGTTTGGATCTTTTGGTGTATTTGGTGAAGGCATCAAAGTATGTTGTTGCTTGGATCTTCAACGAAGGCTTGATGGATCAACGACGTAGTGGAGGTCTTTAAACAACTGCCTTAGAAGGTAGTTACATCATCTTGCCTTAATATTCTAATGAAGCCACCAGCATGAGTGGAGCCGTGGCTGTAGTTTCAGCTCTCAAGTGATCATTAAGTGAGATCGTGGTGTGCTCTTAGGGAAGGCAAACTCTTCTTTCTCTTCGTCGTTTCCCTCGAGAAGAGAAGTACTGACATGTTGCAGCTAAAACACGCACTGACCAAAACAGAAGAAGCATTTTGCACCGAAGACAACCCTAAACAGGCACGAGATGGCGCAGCTGTTTGAACACTTTCACTTTTTTCATTCGTCGACGCGCGGATGCTGCTGACGCCAAGGAAGTCTGTTCTATCGGATGTATCTTAACTTTCAACTTGTTTCTAATATGGATTTATCAGTTTCTAGAGGTACATAGAAACTGTGCTGCTGCTGTTTGATACATCGCTAACGCTATCATCTGAACTTGTTCTTTCTTAGGTTGATTTCTGAGTTACAACAGGACAACCTACACGAATGAAGAACTTGATTATAGTGGGTTAATGTCGATTCAAAAAAGAGTAAAGAACAAGAGTCTTTCTATCAAACTTATCTAGCTCGTCTCAACGACGCTCCTCTCGCAGCCGCTGTGAATAATGTGTTTGACGCACTTGTGGCTTTAATCAGATCCAATGAACTTTTCAACAAGCCACAAACGCCATCTAGTACCTCCACTCGGCAGTTCGCTGAAGCTAGTATTAGCGTGTGCTTGCATCCACCATCTGGGTCCCCCCACCTTGGTGCCTTTTCCTTTCTATTTTATGCTACCCTCCTTTTCCTTTTCCTTTCTAAAAGGGAGCTACCATCAAGATGCTGAGAAAGATCGAGATGCATGCTGACCATAACAGTAGTTTCACCTCTTTGCACAGCTTCGATACGGCAGCCAAGTTCTCCGCGTGTTGCGCATTTTCCCTATCGTAGTAAGGTTCTGCCAGAGGCCCACTAAACTGCACTGGGCCAGGGTTCACAGGTTCCCGCTCGACGGGGGGTGGCATTTGTTAAAGGTTCCCATATTGCCTAGACTTCAATTTGCATTCTTCACATCATCTTGGAAGACGCCATCTTTTTGATAGTTATTAACTTATCAAAAAGGAATTATCAAACTGATTTAAACATTAACTATTAAAAAGGAACAACCATTAGTTTTATTGTAGATCTCATCAAGTAACTTCGAAGAGAAATAGTCTTTCCTATTAGAAAATAAACTTTACGAATAGTACAGTGCACGATGCAAGGTGGAAACCCTTAAAATTGAGAGTCCGCGACCAAGTCTGCTGCTGCACCATCACGACTAGAACCAGTACCATCGATGGAAACTGCGTAAGAGCGTTCTGCGTTCTCCACTCGACGCACACCGATGTTGGTTTCCCGAATCGTCACAATAGAGGACAATAATACGCCTGAGACGCCCCAAGGATTAGAGGTAGTTGTAGGTGGTTGATAATGTATGTATTGAAAGTAGTTGCCACAAACCCCTGATCTTGAACTTGTTCAGCACGTTGTCCAGACGAGGAGACCACAGCTAGCTCACTCAATCAATGATAATCTCGACGTAGAAGTAGGTCTACTTGGAGTCAAAGAAACTTACACTTTTTCTTTTATGGTAGTAACGCTGGGGTTATCGCTATTCTCATTTTGTCATAAAAGAATCAACGGGTCCGCTGGTGTTCTCGACGTTTAACAGTAACCCAGTGTAGCTTTGGGACAGAAAAATGCTGGCGCCATAGCCCATGGTGTAACCAAGATCACAGTCAAAATTTGTCGGTAGAGCTGAGCGAGCTTGAAAACATAGGGAATGCGTATGACACTGAAACCCCCCACCCCGAAATTGACCAAGGCCTTTCCTGCGACTGAGCTCCGACTCAACGAGACCTCGCAATAAGCCTTCGGCCTCGATTGATGTCACGTCAACATGTTTGACACCAGAAAAATGTATTTGCTGCTGTATGGTCTCAGGCAAGTTGCTGAAGACGCCTTGCGACAGGGGACTGAGGTAGCAAAGCAGGTCGCTGACTTTAGGAATTTTACTGCGCTTTACGGTTTTATAAACCTCGTTGACCTCCTGCAAGACCTGTCGCATCTCGGGAATACGCGGAAGTAAGCCATCAGGGATCAGGACGACGCCGTTGGGTATGAAGCTGTGTCGGAAAAGGGATAGTGGAAGGGGAAGATGGAAATCTAAGACCTGTTATCTAGCAGTATAGTCATGTCTGACCCGTGCTCACAATATCCTTAGTGATTGCATGCAGGAGATAGGAAGGGAAGGATAATACATTTATCAGAAGCGCCTGTGTTGAAAGGAATAACATATTCTCAAGAATCTACGCCCCGTAAAGTTCCAATTCCTATCCGCTCTCTGTTCTATAACATCGCAGATTGAATTCGTGACGTCTGCCAAGGACAAGTGCTTCTGCTCTACTTCATCTGCGGAAACGATGATACTAGGATGCGTTTGACGGCAACACGCAGCTAGGATCTTAGACGGCGACCTCCCAGCGACCCTCAAGAAGTACCAATGTTTACGTGTCGAGGCTGCGTGTGTGCCTAAGTTGCCGGCGATTAGAGCTTGCTACCACAGCGATGCATGATCTTCGTGTTCTATTTAGTATAATGCATGGTGTTTTGAACCGAAGAAGACCAAGATCCTTCAGTTTCTTTGGACAAAAAAATATAACAATAGAGCCAAGTTAATAGTCTTTCAGTGGAAGCTGTCGTGTTCTAAATAGTATAATGGATACTTGTCCCATTGTGATATGTTATGGCCTTAAGATAATCGACGAAAAAACTTTCACTGCAGTGTCGTAGCCCAAACACTGTTCGATGATTGGCAAATCGTTCTCTGTCGACGCAGGGATGCCGACAACGGATATTGGCAGGTGATTCTCCAAAAAGTATTCACTCAGTAACGCTGTGCTTGCGTGGCTGTGTGCGCTGCCGATGATCAAGAGCCCGCCAATGTCTAAGCTCGTCAAGGTTTCTACGATTTTTAGAGCTCACGGACTTGCCCAATGAATCCATCCTGGGATCATGTGTCTTGTTTTCCCTTATGGAACAAGGCTCTCCCTCTTTCTTTGAGTGGTATTTTTACCTCCTTTGAAAGGTACGACCCACACGGATGCTTCTGAATATAGAAAAAGAAAAGGCTATCTTCTATCGACAAATAAGTCTTTAATATCAATCTGATACAACTAGGTCACTAGGGGACTTCACTTCTGTCAAGATAATGAAGGTAGCTGAGACACAAGAAGGCCTCCAGAGGTTCTTCCTTCTAGGGGAAGCCTTAAGATTTTCACCAGTTGTTCCTCTGTTCTCGTGACGCAGATGTGGTCTGTGCGTTGCAACAAATCCATGCCACCTTGGTTTACATAGGCTGTCAAGCGTGCTTCGTCGATCTCGATATAGCGATTTTCCAGTAGACCGCGACCACCTCCGACAAAACCGTATAATTTTCCTCCACGACTGGTTGATGTAGTGCAAGTCGTGTCTACTTGACCTTCTAATCCGTCTGTTTTGTCAAAATAAACGCCACCTTCTGGAGTTGGAAGAGGACCTGTCGATGTCGAAGCAGCATAGACAGGTTGCGGTTCCCTATAGTTCCTCGAAGCATTATAGTCTTTCAAGAACTCGAAGGCTCCCCAAATTACGTTGTGCATGCCAGGAGCTTCACGGCCTAAGCAAACCACTCCTAGATTCAGAGGCTTTGAGCATCCCCGAGCCATAGAAGCTCCACCTCGTGGACTCGGTTGACGAGACCCCTCTGACGTTGCACTTCGCAGAGGCAGAGTGTTGGATGGTGGCAGCACGAATTGCGACGAGGAGGATGAAGCTGTAGCCGCTCCTAAGGAACCCAACATGTTCGGATGATGTCCTCCTTGTTGTAGTTGTACACCTGCTTGTCCATGACCACTTGGTGGAGACAGAGAGAATCTACTGTTGCAAAATTGTCCAGCATTGCCTCCGGTAGTTGAACCTCCGAGGAAACATCCGTATTGATGCGACGTGCTAGATGAGGCCATTGGTGCTGGTGCATTCAAATTGACGACGTTACTACCAGAGGGCACTGAAAAAAGTTGTCCTCCCCCAGTCTTAGAGCTACCGCGTCGCATCCTTGAGCGGATCCCTGAGCCCTAAACCCTCCCCTGCTGGAAAAGAAGCCCAAAGGATGGCCCTGAGGATATGCTTCAGCGGTAGCCGTAACAGTCGTTATGGTGGAACAAGGGTCCATAGAAGTACTTCCACCCAACGAGGCAGCTTCGCCGGACTTCGCTCGCACAACTGGCTGGTGCTCTTGTAGAGGCTCCAATCGGACTGGTTTCAGAGTAGTGTGCGTCAACGGAAATAGTTTTTGAAGAAATTTCGCTTCAGAACATACTCCTGCTCTGTCCAGTTCTAGTATTTGATAGTCCCCGCGTGCTAGATACGCAGGCAATGAGGGTCGAAATTGAACGCGCCGTCGTTGCATATCGCTCATCCGATTCAACTTTAGAAGAAGATGTCTTTAGATATTCACCCATGATTTTGATTGCATTCTTTTTAGAATTAACAACATCGGTCATGTTCCCCCATGATTTTGATTGCATTCTTTTCAGAACAATTAACAACATCCCTCGTCCTGAGCCTGTTGACTTATTAATTTTCCTTCCCAGAATGGAATAAAAGGTCAAGAACGGAGGTAGTGGAAAGGTGGAACAAACCCTTAACAAGTCTCTGACCGGAAGTACCCGTGGCCTTTTTCTTCTGTCCTCTCGAGGACCCACTTCTACTTTGGAATTGGTGTTAGATTTAGAGGTTGCAGAATTACATTCTTCAGAACATCCCTCACCTCTTTCCTACTGGAAAAAGAGTGAGGAATGGTTGTGGGGGATGTAATTGGTTAACCCTTAATAGATGCTAGTACGTCTCCAGGTGCAAAGACTACTTGGTCCGTTCCAACCTCAGCAATATTCCTTGGATCAGAGATTGTTCCACTGAAAATGCTTTGTTGAGAAGCTGCTCCGCGCTTGAGACCACTCTTCATACAACTTCCAGATGGAGGAGGTTCTATATCCATGGTCTCGGTACGACCGCCAGAGGATGCTGGACTCACCACCGCAGGACTGTTAGACCGAACAGAAATCAGGAGCATTTCAGCTAATCAGAAAGCAGGAGCATTTCAGATGCATCTTACTTGGTCGTCCCCTTTCAAGGGACTTCCTTTGATTGAAAACGGGAGGACCAAGACGTTGCTCTGGAAGCAGAAAGATGGATAATTTGTGTGCTTGTTATGCCTTAAATTGAGCATTCAGATTTTCTCCGATTTTTCGGCTCGCTGCACTAATTACGATACCATCACTAGCGATGATATTCCTCGCTGTAGAGCTTGCCGCTGCGAGAATGTTAGAGCTACAACCGCATTAGCATCCTTGGTCTCTCTCTTTCGTTCCGCGTACTAGTTGAAAAGGAAGCCAAGGTAGAATGAGACTTGAAAAGGAAGCCTAGTCTGCGGTAGCCTTAAGAATGGTGGCTGTATTCCTCTGAGTGGCGACTCCTGTACCTCCTGTGGTTGTTCTTGGCTGGGGCTTCATTATCTGTCCAAAGTTAAAGCTATCACTGGCGCTACCGTCTGTATCACTGTCATCAGAAAAGCCTGATCTTGAGTCAAAAGACCGTACGCTTGGCGGTGAATTCTGCTGCTGTAGTTCGTGTTCGCCAATCAACAAATTATTAGTTGCAATTTGTACGTTCGTCGTCGTCCCAGTCCCATCTCCGGGAATTAAAGCTCCTTCCGTTGATGTGAAAATCCGATCCGTAGTCTCTCCTAGGGAATGGAGTCCAACTACGCTAGAGGATCGCGATGGAGATGACGACGTCCCGCCACCTCCGTAGTTGCCAGGTAATACAACGTTCCCTCCAAAAGCCAAATCCACAGGAGGTTTGCTTTGCGAACCTATTTTGGCCCAACTGCTGTTCTGCGCTGCTTCTTGGTGTGCCAAGCAGTCTGAAGAGGTGAGAGATTAGAATTGAATATCATCCTCATCGCAAATCATCAGTGTGCAAGTCGTAGAGTACAAGAACTACTCAGAAGAGTAAATGCCAATTAACAGCGTTGTGAGCCGTGCCATTCACGAAAACAAAAATGCAAAGACCCAATTCATAATCGTCCAGGAGTCGAACCCTTTCTGCTGTGAGGACTACATTAGAGCTCCTCAGAAAAAAAATCTAATTCAGTTCTTTAGCTCAACACTTCTCAAGATGAGTATCCTATTCCTAAGAAGAAAATAACGTCCAAGAAAAATGGCAGAACGCTTCTACTTCCTTGAAAATTCATTCATTCATTCATTTACCTGTTATGGAGGTATAATCTTTTGACGCTTAAGCGACTTTTAACTTAATTATTGCCTGCACCATTCTGAATTACTTCGAGCCTGCTTAACTACACTTGGCTTGGTGTCGTGGTCGTCTCCATGTAGTTGTCCGTCTCCAGAACTAGAAGCAGAACCAGAATTTTCCCTTTGTACTTGTAATGCCTTTTGTTGTGCTACCCCAGCAGTGCTCCGTCTTGTCGTACTTGTTTCTTTTGACAGTCCATGAAGCTGTATTTCAGAAGGAAATTAGAGCCACCGCGTTGGCATCTATCTTCCTTGAAGAGAGCATAGCTGCCACCGCGTTGGATGATTCTAATTCTAACAAAGCTCACAAAGACAAGCAACTAGGTATTTCACTTATGGAGAAGTGAAAAAGAGCCAGGGGTGGCGCTGATGAAGATGGTTCAGCGGTAGTCCTAAGGAAAAGCTTGTTGCACCACAGTTTCCGGATTCCTCAAAGGTGGTCCAGCTAGCACCGTCGAATTATTGTGCAATACTGTAGCTTCCCGCAACTTGTCTAAGGACAGGTACTCCGCCAAGATGGTATACGAGTAGTCCAAAGCTGTGGAATAGACGAAGCTCGTGCGGAACAAGCCGTCGCCCTTGATGTTGAACTTTAGAGCTCCTCACCCTAAGTAGTATCCATTTGGAAGACCTTCCTGAGACCTTTTTCTCTATGAATACGTCTCGCCTAGGATGACTGCTCTGAGATTGGACCTTTAGACCATGGATCCTGAAGAGATCATCTACAGTTTCCCTAGCATGAAACAAAACGTCTCGTCGCCTAGCCGGATGACTTCCCTGAACATGGACAAAGCTTTTTTAGGGTAAGCCTTAAGAATTGTGTCGGTCCTGGTTGCCGATAACTGATGCGACGAGACCAATTGGTGGCTAATTCGCGACAAACGCGGTAAATCGGATCGGTAGAGAGATTCACGCTCCAGTCTTTCAGAGTAGGACGTGGAGCAGCTGACTGTCGAAGAGCAGGGAAATGAAGTAGTGAAATAACGTAGACGAAATGGAGTAGAGGCAGGATAGTTCGTTTGTCTATTACTTACATAGAATGAATCGAATTAATATCGTGTAGACATAGGTTGCTCATTCAAATTTGATTGCCCTCGAGCACGACTAGCCGTGATTGAGCATCCAGATTCATAAGCTTGTCGTTTAGCCATTAGACTAGCGCGCTTTGCTGACGCTTCGGCGGGAACGCTAGCGCGTGGCGAGGGCCGCGGAGACCCAGACCGAGGTGCGGCAGCTGATGCTGATGATGCTCTTGCAGCGGGAGCAAAAGCTGAAGCTGATGTGCCTCCTATTGTAGTACTACGTGCTACAGTAGTGCCTCCTATAGTAGTTGCGGAAGTTCCTTTGGCGTGTCCTCCTACAATTGGTGTACTTTGTTCCTTTGAAGAGCTGCTAAGAGTTGCGGCACCAGGACCTACTGATGCTCCCTTACTAGAACCGGTTTCAAGATTGTCCAAAAAAGCTTCGAATCTCACACCCTCAGCTTGCCACATATTGCCGGCTTGCAGCAAATCGGTGACACACGCTACCTATTAGAGCTCTCCCGGGCTCACCCCTGCCGGGATCCCTCAAGAATATGCCTTGATTTGGATGCCTCAGCATCATGCCCCTTGTATTTGGATGCATTGCTCCTTGTATTTGGGTGCATACCTACGATGGAGGAATCCTTACAACGATGATTAGGGGAAGCCTTAAAAATACCCATTCATTTTCGTCTGTACCAAACAGGCGGCACAGTGGCCTAAAGCCCATCCTAAAGTTGCATCGAAGGCTGTCGGCACTGGACAGCGACCCTCCACTGAAAAATCGTGGAATCTGGATCATGGAGGAGGTGCATATTCGAAGTTTGGAAGCGTTTCAATTTTTTGATGACTGTCGACGGGTGGACTCTTTAACTCAACATGTATGGGCCTCTGATGACACTGTCCGTAGTGCCCGTAGAGACTGATACTGATAACAATTCAGGGCCAGAGGCCAGGATGTTAACAGGATGAAGAAAAAGTTTTGACTCAGCAAGCACTACCACTCCGTTAGCTATAGTAACAGAGCAGGTCCTCTTTAACTCAACTTCAACACCGCATACAATCACAATCTTAAGTCGACGGGAGGGCTCTTTAACTCAACTTCAACACCGCATACAATCACAATCTTAAGTCGACGGGAGGGCTCTTTAACTCAACTTCAACACCGCATGCAATCACAATCTTAAGTCGACGGGAGGGCTCTTTAACTCAACTTCAAGTCCAACATCACAATCACAATCTTAAGTCGACGGGAGGGCTCTGTAACTCAACTTCAAGTCCAACATCACAATCACAATCTTCAAGGCGTACAAGATCGCTGGTAGCTAACAATTCGCCAGCCCAGTAGAGGGGGCACACTCCTCTACAATCTACTCATGCGTTACCTACGCTCTTCTTCTAGTCACTCTTACTTACTCTTTAGGTAGTAAATAGTACCTCGGCAAATAACCCGGCCACTTTTTCGTCAGATACTTCCTGGTCAAATCCGCCAATAACCGTTCTGGATCCACGGAGACTAATAGTGGCCCTCCTCGTCCGTCGTCTCGAAACAACAGCCCTTGTCGCGCATCCGCAGGTAGTTGCTGGAAGAGCTCAACCGTTAGCAGAGCTCAATTCATCACATAAGTAATTGTGGTATGATTCAACATATTAATTTCAAAACTCCTAGCATCTCCTTTTCAGTTCCTACTCACTCTTTACTTTAATCGTAATCCAATGCTTTAATTCGTATTTTACTTCTAGCAACTTTTCACTTTCAGTTTCTAGTCAGGAGGAAACTTCTTCTTTAGGAGAAAAGAAACGGAGAGAAATGATGGTGATGGCCCTGATTGATGTGAAGAAGATGAATGAAGATCAGATACTCGTCCCTGATGAAAGTGCTGGAGGGGTGAAAATGTGTCAGCACGACAAGCGACACAGCACAGGGAAGCGTCGCCATAACTAATACTGTAAAGAGCCATAAAACCGAAGCTTCTGACAACTTTCCCAGGGCTTCTTCCTCGCTGCGGACGCGGTGCACTGTACGCAAGGTCATAATCTCTTTCTTCAGGATCTGCGTTTGGAACAAGGCTCGCTCCATGAAGGAGTTGGAAACGAGGACGACTCCACTCCGTAGACCCAACTTGTTCTTGCGCAATGGATTAGAGGGAGTTGGAGAGGTCGAGGTGCTCGACGAACGTCTTTTCGAATGGTAGACTATTGGTTCATGTAGAAGGAAAAGGATGGATACAATCATTCACTCATTCATTAATTACTCGCAAAAGCTCTGCGTTGTTTTTTTTTTCTGTAGAACTACATGCTGCCTCCCATTCAAATACTTACTTAAAAAACCCCACGTAAAGACTTACATACCGGGAGAGCAAGAAGACCGTATCACAACGGTTGACTCAGTGAAATAACACAACTACCATCAATCAAACTCATGTCCTTCCATAATCATGATCAAATCCCCTATCTCTTCCACGAGCTGTTGCAGAGACTTTTTTGCGCTGTAGATTTCCTCATTACAAAGCACTAGGGTCGGTTCGATCTGCAGCGCAATTTCGAGAGTAATCGCGGTAGTGTTAGACTGACCTACGAGGATACGTAGGAAGTTCGTCTTTCAAGTGCAGAGCTATCTTTCAAGTCACAGAGCAGGTTTATTTGCCTTAATACTGCCAGTACGGACAAAATGATAGCATTTCCGTGAAGATATTGCGTCCAGCGTGATGTTTCCCGCGACCTCAGACAAGACGCCTCTCGCAGAATCGAAACCAAGAGTGATGGGTAAGTAATGACCCAGATGAACATTCCGATTCGGACTTTGGAGGACTCCGACTACGGTTATGTCACTGCCTGAGGGACGAGAGTTGTTCTGTTGTAGGTACTTGTATATACGTTGCATGTAGGTACTTGTATATGTCACTGCCTGTAGGTACTTGTATAATATATGTTGCATGTAGAAGCAGGGATACACCTCGGGTATGCGGGAAAGCTAACCGGTACTTGCATATATGGAATCGCAATCGATTGTTTCTTGGCTAACTTGTGTACTATTTTGCTTCATGGGATAAACCTAGGGTTTAGAGGTAAAACTAACCGGTTGTTTTTTTAGTGCTTTGAGCGCCGCTGGACCTAAACCTCGACCCTATAAGAAGGGAAGAAGCCAGTCAAGATTTGCAGCACAACCTCGCATTTATATAAAGGGGAAAAAATCACGTGTGTACTATTCTACTTGAAAAATGATGGTACCAGCCATTTTCTGTGATAATTCGTGCATGTCCAACAACTCCTCTGGCCCTCCAACGATAACCAACCCCGTCAGTTGCAGTTCCTTACATCTGCAGTTAGAGCTCAAAGCGTTTCATTTCCTCAGAGGTTCATTTTCTCTGAATCCTAAAAAGCAAACTAGAAAATGCAACCTGTGCTCGTAGAAGTGAACCATTTAGTTGCTGCATGGGATAAGCCTAAGTTTAGAGGTAAAAACTAACCGGTTGTTTTACTCTTATTTACAGTGCTTTGAGCGTCGCTGAGCCATTTAGTAGAACCTTAACGCAGTTGTTCTAGACGATAGTGGATTAGTTAATCTTTATTAGGTCCATAACTAACACTAATCTAATACACCCGAACATTTCCTACTTCGTAGAACCTTAATGCTTATAATTTTCTCCACGTCTCTAGGTGGCAGACCTTGTTGCCGCAAACCTTGTTGACGAAACTTTCTAAACCCCAACATCCGCGCACCACCGGAATTCAAGAAGCGTTGGGCGTAGGAATCCGATAAATCTACATAGGAATTTTTCATCAACCCGACAGCGCCTTCGAGAAAGCCAATTGCTTTGGACATCATTAGAGCAGCTGCCACCGCGTTGCGCTTGCGTCTTGTAGTACCTTGCGAATAATAAATAGCCTCCTTGGAGGAGACACTTCTTTTCATTCACCTTGAAAATAAAGACACATTTTTCCCCTTGAAGAAGTTGAGACCCCAAGAAGCATGGTATAGGAACGAGGGGGATGGTCGTTTGCTCTCATGCTCGCTTGCCTTAACATAGGTTGCCGACTGCTCGTTTTTGATGTCGTAGCCACTCTGTGCTGCACGCCCAAAATGACATTTTCGCTGCCGGCAGCCGGGCATTTATCACAAGCGAGCAACACACCAATGCTGCAAGGCTCCAGAGACCCAAACGGGGATGACTGCAATTCTACTTAGAGTAAAGAGAATCCTTCATCCCTCAAGAATATTCTACGCTGGTTTTCGGGATGACGTTCGCTAGACTAGAGAGCGGATGGATTAGCACTTGTCCTCGTCTCTAACGAAAGGAGGATACTAGATTAGCCTTAATGTACTTGCCCAGGGCCACGAGACGTTGCAATTACAGGTCCTTTCAGAACTTGCGGGAGTAGTGGTCGCTCTTGAGACCGAAGTCGGACCAATTCCGACATTGGGCCGGCGACGAGCTGCTGCATCTCCTTGGATTCCCACTGAGTTGAACCGAGGAAGACCAAAGCACTTTACATTTACGTTACATAGCTTCAACAGAAGGCCCTCAACAGACGCGGTTCGCCTGGTGTAAGTACTGCTCTTCTAGGACACCAAAGAGCGTCTTGGGCTTCTATGCACTGCTGGTATCGACGTTTCTTTCTTGCAAGTGAGGAAGCCTGGCGTTGTGTTGCTGACAAGAGCACAGCTTGAAAGCCCTCGTTGTTCCAAGGACCAGTCGTAGTTCGTACTGTTTGTTTGCTCTGAGCGCACCTTGCTTGGAGACGACGCGCGACATCATGACGCCTGGAAAACAGAAGTAAAAGACACCATTTCTGATGTAGTAAGCTACTGATATCAAATATTACAAGCCGTTTGCTGTTGAAAGTTTTCGATTTTTTTTTCAGTCCGCTTACACTCACAGAATTCTTGTTTGCATCGGACCGACTATCAGTTCTTATATTAACCGAGTCAATTTCTCTTGTTCACAATAACAAGGAAAACCGATGACGAAAGCAGCTCTTGTCTAAGGCGTGTCTGGTTACAAGCTTCGCTCATAATACGACTCTTGCTTTCATTCTCTCACATGAAGGAGTCCTCGCGCATCGTCCACTAGTGGCTCTAATTCGTTAGTTGTCGTTCTTGCCAGTGCATGTACATGTACTTTGAACATTTCGAACATCAAGTCATCACGACACGAATTTTCAGACCAGCACAAGAACTCTCTTACTCTATGATAGAGCAGAAGAAGAGACCACAGCAAGATAAACATGGCTGTATTTTTAGGCTCATAAGCAATCGGGTTGTACTTTGAAATGTTACGGAGTGCTCTACGATGTGCTCCAAGTGTTGAGGATACGCAATTGTTGATGAGGAAGTCATCACATCACACATTAGCGATGGATAGGTTGTTTTCTTGTTTCCTACTTGGATTAAAAAGTCATCATCTTCTCTTCTTGACCATTATCCCTTGAAAATCCAAGTATATTAACCCACTTCCTTGACGATGTATCAGGATCAACCACGACTTTCCTCATGCTCCCGCTCGAGCATCCCCACTCGTCGCTCCCAATCCACTCATCAATGCTGCTTGACTGCTGCCTGTTCCGGGGGTTGTACCCTGATCCTTACGGGGGAAGCTTTTTTCGTCATACTGCATGCCGAATTCCTTCAACTGACCCCAGAATTTTTCCAGCATCGTGTTGCTGCTCACCAGTAAGCGTTCTGTCGCATCAAGCAGTGTTAGATTTTTCAAAAAGCAAAACCAAATAACGAAGATTTTTTGAAATATTTTGGAAGCAAAGAGAACAGTGCTGGAAGATGTCAAGATCTTCTAAATGTAAAGTGCCTGATCTGCAGGCATCCATCATGTACTATCAGAAAAAACAGGGGTGAAGGGGTAGAGAAGATTTGAAATATTTTGGAAGAAATGCTCTAAGTACTTCAAAATGAGGCCAAGGACAAGATGCTGGGAAAGATGTGAAATATTTTGGAAGAAATGCTCTAAGTACTTCAAAATGAGGCCAAGGACAAGATGCTGGGAAAGATGGATTTTCTCACAAGCCTTAACAGTGCTTGTTTAGGCGTACAAACCCCTGTTGTTTGAATCCTCAATTTTATCTCGTGAAATAACGGATGCGGCACTTGATACCCAGCAAAAAGCACGCGCTTGTCTCGGAGTTGGGCATGAAGGTTTTATTTTTTGGCTAGGTACAGTACACTACAAGTACACTACAAGTACACTTTTTTTTGGCCGTACACTACAAGTACAACGAGCGCGAAAGAGTCACAAGAATCTTAGAAGTACGATCTTTGGAGTTCATCTTCATCATAAACATAATTTCCTAAGTACTAGTACTTTGTGGCCATCTGATAAAAGCCTCCTCCATCTATAAGAAGTGTAATAAGAACCTCCTCCATCTATAGGAAGTGTAAATTTTACACTGTAAAAACCTTTGCCATCTTTAAGAAGTGCATTTCCAAGTGTGTGCTCATAAAGTTCCATCCGCAATGCATTTCCAAGTGTATGGTCATGGAGACGAATCGTGTACGTTCCTGCGTTCGGGACATCGGAGCTGGGATCGTATTCGTATTGGTTTACGTATTTCGAGCCAAGGATCTGAGCCTCATAGGGCTCAGGCTTGTTGAACATCTGCATCTGGCCTGGCGTCACCATCTTGGGCAAGGTTTTTTGGGGTCAGTTCTATGGATGTCTATCTTTGAGAAACTAACAAAGCCACGTTTAAGACGTGGTCTTAATATTTTTCGTCGCTACTCTACTATAAGCTTCTATTCCCACCACCTATTCTTCACAGTATATTCTTCAGTATATTAAAATGCATGACCATCTAGTTCTCAATGTATGATCATGTCGCTGTGTCTGGTTTGAGCAGGTGTGAATGAAGGTTGTTCTTGTTTCAGAGCTAGCTCTTTCTTCAACATTCATCTTCGCTAACATTTATTTACTTTAGTATTAAAGACATTTCCAATTTGCAATATTCCTTGTTCTCTCAGACAGTGTCGTGGAGCCCAGCTTCAAAGATGATACAAGTAGATCACGATCAGAAAGCACTGGATTTCAAGTTCTTGTGAAGCTCTTGTATTTGTATTTGTATTCGTTTAGATGAAGATACGACTTCGACAAGACTCTTTTCGTTTGCGGATCGAGGAAGCAGATTTTCCTTGTCGTGATCTCCAATAAAATGAAAACAACCACACCAGACGTCGCGCTCCTCCAAAATGCAGCAGGTCAGTTCTCCAAGGTGGGCCTGATCTCCAAGGTGGACCTCTTTAAAAGATGGTCATCAAAGACCTCGTTTGTAGGTCATTCTCATTCTGGTACATGGTAATAAATGCATAGGTACGGGTTTGCGACCGTGTAAATCAATGAATCTTCATCTTGCAGTTCGTTGCAACAGCTTCTCGTTGTAGATTCAAGGTAATGTCTAACAGCAAAGTGCTGTCGCCCAGATTCTCGTCCCGTGTCGTGATGAACGTAGAAGTTAAAAAGCACCTGTCCGACGAAGAGACAATCTTCATCTTGTGTGTTGTCTTCAACCTTCTTTTTGGTGGTCCCCCATTGTTCATCTACTTCCTTATATTAATGCTGCTTTTCTTAAATTCTATCGCAGGAGGTTTTGCCTCAAATAGAAGATCCAGATAAAACATCCGACCTCGCCAGTTATAATGATCTTGATCTTGATCTCCTTATTCCATGTCCTCAAAGATAGCGTCCGTTGGATCTGCTGACCTTTTAAGCATTTGATGCATTTGCTTCGTTTGCTCCGTCTGTTCGGCTCTGAGCTTAGCCTGGACGCCTAGAGACTGCTTAGCCTCCCGTCGTGCAGCGGTCGGTGTCATAAACGCCTCATTGTGGAAGATCTTCTTGCCGCGGAGATTAGAGGGAGGAAACATAGGAGCCTTGTACAGGAAGGAGAAAGCAAGCTGCAGAAGCAGGTTATTAAAATTTTGCGTAGATGAAAATACTACGTGTGCGTGTATTATTTGGGATGCTACGAAATGAGATGTCACGGTCAACTTTGATTGTATCAACCAATCTATTCTAAATAAGTGGATCAATCAAAGGCAATTCAATTCGTTTCGCGAAGGATTTTTCTCTTGTACCGCGGGCGAGTTCTCCAAAAAAGAAACCTGCCTGACTGCATTACTATAAATACATCTGTACTAAATGAAAGAACAAACTAAATCATAATGAACGATCCCTGCAAGATCCAGATGGGGTCTAAGACGAAGCGCGGTCCGATTTCCGTCAGAGTCTGCTTCTCCGGATCGTTCCCGTCTGCGTCAGTGAGTGGCGCGATCTGGTAGTGCCGGACCCAGATTTTCTTGTCTGCATAGAAAAAGCTCAAGGCGTGGTCATGAAACGGTTTCGACTTGGGGTGATTGCGCGGTGCGCCTAGACTCTGCGTGAACAGCTCCTTGATCAACTGGAGGTGCGGCACTGTATCGAAAGGAGCATCGAAGGTGAGCAAAGCGCGGGAAAACTGCAAACAGTTGCCGCTTAGCCGAACCTCACCACTAGTATGCACGTTGAGCACCTGGAACTTCACCGTAGGACCATGCGGTACGCGAGCGACGTGCAAAAATATGAAGATAGGAAAGATCATTAGGATAGGAAAATAAAGAAAAATATATCTGTGTTGAAGAAAGGGAGCAGTTTAGGGTAGGAAAATAAAGAAAAATATATCTGTGTTGAAGAAAGGGAGCAGTTTAGGGTAGGAAAATAAAGAAAAATATATCTGTGTTGAAGAAAGGGAGCAGTTTAGGGTAGGAAAATAAAGAAAAATATATCTGTGTTGAAGAAAGGGAGCAGTTTAGGGTAGGAAAATAAAGAAAAATATATCTGTGTTGAAGAAAGGGAGCAGTTTAGGGTAGGAAAATAAAGAAAAATATATCTGTGTTGAAGAAAGGGAGCAGTTTAGGGTAGGAAAATAAAGAAAAATATATCTGTGTTGAAGAAAGGGAGCAGTTTAGGGTAGGAAAATAAAGAAAAATATATCTGTGTTGAAGAAAGGGAGCAGTTTAGGGTAGGAAAATAAAGAAAAATATATCTGTGTTGAAGAAAGGGAGCAGTTTAGGGTAGGAAAATAAAGAAAAATATATCTGTGTTGAAGAAAGGGAGCAGTTTAGGGTAGGAAAATAAAGAAAAATATATCTGTGTTGAAGAAAGGGAGCAGTTTAGGGTAGGAAAATAAAGAAAAATATATCTGTGTTGAAGAAAGGGAGCAGTTTAAGGTAGGAAAATAAAGAAAAATATATCTGTGTTGAAGAAAGGGAGCAGTTTAGGGTAGGAAAATAAAGAAAAATATATCTGTGTTGAAGAAAGGGAGCAGTTTAGGGTAGGAAAATAAAGAAAAATATATCTGTGTTGAAGAAAGGGAGCAGTTTAAGGTAGGAAAATAAAGAAAAATATATCTGTGTTGAAGAAAGGGAGCAGTTTAGGGTAGGAAAATAAAGAAAAATATATCTGTGTTGAAGAAAGGGAGCAGTTTAGGGTCGGATAATAGAGGAATATATCTGTGAGGCAAGGAGGTAGGGTAGGATATAGGAATATAGTCAGAATCTTAGACAGAATCGCGCCCCAGTCTGATTCTAATTTTGTGCTTTTTGTTATCGGACTTCTTTACTGTTTCGTTTTACTTCTCTTCGCTCAACTCCTCACTCATATAGGATAGATATACGTATTCAAATACTAGTACGGGAGCGACGTGCAAAAATATGAAGGGGGGAAAGATCCGAAATAAGATCATGTCTGTGAAGAAAGGGAGCAGTAGGGTAGGATAATGGAGGAATAATATAGGATAGATGCAATAGAATGCAATGAATCTCGCACAGATTTCAGTGCAGACTGCCACTGTCACAAATCTGGAATATCAGGAAAAACATATCAAGTTTTCATAAAATACAAATCCTGTCTTTTTCCACGTGCTTCGAAAAACAAGACGTTGTTGCAGCTCTTCAGTTCCGCGACTTCGTTTACTACTGAAAAATCTTCCCTCTTCTCAAATTTCGACTCCAGCTTGTGATGCGGCATCATCTTTCTGATTAGAGGAGGTGATGTTGAGAAGGGAGAATGTAGTTGAGAGGTGAGTTAATTATTTTATGGAACATAATACGGATAAGATAAGCCCCTGTTCCACAGGGCAGGAAAATGTTGAGAAGGGAGAATGTAGTTGAGAAGGGAAAATAATCTCGAGAGGAATTATTCTACTCAGACTCAGTCACCGTGTAACTACTTCAGATGAATCCATTCACCTGTTACTACGTCGATAACGATAGGCTGCATCTCTTGTTCGTGAATTTTCCCATAGGAATGTATCAATCTTCAGAATCTCTCCATAGGAGTCTATTAATCTTCAGAACAATACATATGTTACAGGTACTACGTCATACATATGTTACAGGTATTACGTCGAAGTGAATACACATGTTACAGCTACTACGTCTAGGTCTTAACTTCAAATCATCCATCAAATGTATTCTTACTACGTCGATAACGATAGGTACTAGGTCTTAACTTCAAGTCCTCCATCAAATGACGGTGTTGCCCGCTGATCCCTCGTGTTGAGAAAAGCAAGGTGCGCTGTTTATTCCTCCAGTTGGGGTCGCTCTTGATGTAAGCTGCGTCTTTCAGAAGATAGGGATCTTTTTCATGCTCTTCTGTCTTAGCGAGAACTTCTGGAACGGGAACTTCCTCATTTTGAGGAGGGGCACCCGCCTTGTCATCTTGATCGGAGGAGGTTTTGTTCGTTTTTTTCCTTTCTTCAGAAGATGAAGATGATGTAGTTAACAACTTCAAAGATGATGTTGCTTCTTCTTCTTAGGGGTTGAAGGTTGGCATCTCTAGCCCGCATATCTATGGCTTTCCTACTTGGAGAAACCATAGAGATGCTCATAGAGATGTCAACTTTCAAGCCTTAATCTTCTTCTTCTTCTTCTTCACTATCCTCTTCTCCCTCGTTGCTCAACTCTTCTCCGTCACTATCCTCTTCTTCTTCATCGGAAGGATCTTCCTCCTCGTCCGCGCTTTTACACATTTGCTCGTCCTCTTCTTCCTCGTCACTTGTCATAGAAACGTCCTCTGCTTGTTCGACGTCACCAGACAAGGCGTCGTCCTCCTCTTCTTGCTGGCTTTTGTTCTCAGACTTTTTTGTCTCGGTTTTTTTAGTCTTCTCGGTAGATGTAGTCTCGGTTTTAGTCTCGGCTTTTGCCTGCTTCGGTGTGCTCCCGGCTTTCATAGCCTTTTTCATTACCTTCTTCATTGCGCCCATCTTGTTGCTTTTCGAATCATGTGAAGATGAAGCAGAAAAAATATCTATTTAGTTGTAGAAGATGAATGTAATAGTTAAAAATTATGATAGGTTGATGAGAACTTGAGAACTTGAGATGATACAGCACCTCGAGCTCCTGATCCTCCTGGAGTTTGTTGATTGGCGATTGTAGAAGATCAAAGAAGGATTCTTAGAGCAGCGTCGAGACGGAAATCCTTAGATTGAACGGAGAAGGATAGACGGTTATCCTCAGATCATTCGAGATGTCGGATGGGCAACTACAACATCCTATGGATCGACACATCACCTCCATTAGTACTAAGTTGTGGATCTTCTTTTCTCCATGTTGACTTCTAATGATACGAAGGATTGGACATCATTTAATTGGGCCTTCTTTTCTCCATGTTGACTTCTAATGTGATTTTAATGATACCTACAAGCACAACTTCTTTTGAACCCTTCTAAAGATCAACTGTCCGATGGAGATTGCTCTCCCTTTCTTCTTTGATCACGTGTCAACAATGCTGGATCTTCTTTGATCACATGTGAAGAGCATAGCACGCTGTAACCTTGATCAAGAGCATTGCAGATCATAGCACGTTGTAACAAAGTCTTTACCTAGATCGAGAAATTAAGTGGAATGAGTTGTAACCTAGTTGTAACTGATCTTTTGCTTGTCTTGCGCGGAAATGAGTACTTCGAGAAATTCAATTTTTCACCTTGTCGTGGAGAGGGAACAAGAGAGAACAAGAGAACGCTCATAGAGGGAACAGAACCTTCACTCTAGAGGGAACAGGAGAACCTCCACCATAGAGGGAGTATCGCCTTATTATAGAGGGACCATTCTTGCCTTCATATCATGTGAGGCTGGGCAAGTGCTCTAGTAGCTCTAAACTGACTGCCTGACACGCTCAGTGACTGACATGATAAGTACTTAATAAAGGGCAGCAGTACTTGGCCACTGACTCTGAACGGGAAGGGCCCCACACCTTTCCAGTTGTTTTCCCTTCGCTTTCCCCTGTTCTTTCACGGGAGCCCCGCTTCATAAATCCGCTAGAACAACATCTGCAACAGCGATCCTTCTCCACCGATCATGCCACGTCTGCCCTAGTGAGTCGCAGTAGTAGTTTACCCATTCGGGGGCTAATTTCAGCAAGTAGTTAATAGGGGAGGGGGTATGAGAAGCGCCTCTCTGATGTACACTCATCTCTCTGTGGTCGACTCTGCGCAAAGCTATCGCTTGGAGCAGCAATAAAGGCAGCATAGTTGTCACGCAGTGTGTTGATGCCAGTTGTAGTAAGAAACCGATCTACCTCCAGTGTGCTGATGTATGCCAACAACTGGCTGTATGAAAGTAGCGCGCGAGCCTCTCCCTATCTGGTGCGGAGGACAAGACCGCGAGCGAGGAGAATGCGCCAAGCCCAAATTTATGCACTAGACTAAGGCGGGCTCGGGTGTGAAAGATCAAAGAAACACCACACACCCCGCAAGCACCCCTATCGGAAGGTGCTCCGCGATGCGAATCCTAGGATGCTTCGCGACGTAGTACCTGAACACCAAAAGCAAGGCCCATCACATCGTTTCTCGCTCGCTTCATCATGATCTTGATTATCTAGTGAGATTATGACAACCTGATCGATCCGTTGAGCCGTCACGCTTTTACTTAGCTCCAGTTTGGTTCTTTAGATGGTCCGGGAGACAAGACTGCGGGCGAGGAGAATACGCCGGGCCCAAGTTTATGCACTAAGGCGGACCCAGGTGTGAGGGATCAAACACCAAACACCCCGTAAGCACTCCCATCGAAAGATGTGCCGCGATGCAAATCTTAAGACACTCCGCGGCGCAGTACCTGAAAACCAAAAGAATGAACAAGAAAATCCAAAGAACAAAACAAAAAACCAACAGAACAAATCAAAAATCCAACAGAGCTAACAAGTACGATCGACGGCCGAGTAAATAAGCCAAAAAGATGAAGCGTTTTGCTTTGTGGAGGTGGTCGTGGTTGGCCTTGATGCGGGGGAGCATCTTCTGCGCCGCTCTACTTGGCGCCGGCTCCGAGTAGTTCCTGAAACACTTATAAACAGCCACACACTACCAGGAGCCCCCGCCAGAGGTGGGCCTATATGGATGCGGCGGCCGTCTGCGCGTTAACCTTCCTAACACGTCGCCCCCCTGCAGAAAAGTACAGAGACTGACTACTCCACCAGGCAGCGGACTGGATGCGCTTCGCGGAAAATTCTCAAGAGCATAAGAAAATCGCCAGTCGCTCTATCAGATCCTACCCAGAAAACAACGCAGCGGCCCTCTTTGGTTTCTGGGCAGCACGGGTCCAGCTAGTAAGCCCTAGAAGTACGGGGCGAGCGCACTACGATTTCAAAGCCGCTGCTTCACTGAAGCTCAGAAATTACTGGCAGCATTGCTGAAGCCCTGGTGCTAGCCCATTTACGCGAGTACCCTTCTAGCCCCTTCTGCTGATTGATAGCTCAGGCTCTTCACAATCAGCTACCTCCCCTTGCTCCTACTCAAGTAGAGAAAGGCTCCACCCGTCTAGCTACGAACATGCCCAATTAGCTTAGCGCGATTAAACAACTGAGGGCCCTCGGCCTAATTCCTGGAAGCACCCCCCGGGAAGCTTCTAGCGCCTGAGAGCTACTCAGCAGCGAGCACTGGTAAGAAATCACACAGACCATGCCCCAAGACAGTCCGAGCAGAGTCCTGCCCCCGCCTCGGCTCGCGCTGGTCGCACTTGACAAGAACAAAAAAACCCAGCCACACACGCATAGGTCCACCCCTGCATCTTCTAGAGACCTCCGCCACAAGTCTATCCAAAACTGGACAGGTGGCAGCCTCAGCTTCTGAAGATTACAGACCAGTGGACAGATCACTCCAGCCGCAAACCCATCCAACACAGAAGAACTTCTCTACCTAGCTTGCTTCGCTTGGCTAGTGTGTGTGGCATCAACATCGCTGAGAAGCTACCTACCCAAAAAAACAAAACTGCGAGCAGTACACTTTGAGACGCGACACCTGTCCCAGTCCTATATCAACAAACGCAAGCGCAATTTGCGGAATATTATCAAAAAAAAAGTCAGTCCCAAAGCTATAGCCTAGCCCCCGCGCCGCGGGTTGCTCTTGCGGTCGGTCTTCTATGCTCAACCCGCCAACGGCTTGCTGCTAGTAGTTTGCTTCCAAAACTCTTACACACGGCCACACGCCAGGCAAACGACCCCCCCAGCATTAGGGGGCAAAAGTGAAAGAATGAGACGAACCCCCGCCCACTGGTCTAGGCCCTCTTGCCACGCCGCTCCCCCCCCGCAGCGGCCTGGGTGGTTACAGGGTATCTATCTCACTCGCGGAAAATTCTCAAGAGCATATGGGAAGGCGAACGACGCCGCAAAAAATCATGCGTCGGCTGATCAGGTCCCAACAACCTAGAGAACAAAGAAGGCCACAGCCGCTCCTTGGTCCCTAGGCAATATTGACAAAGAAGGACCCACCCAGTCAGAAAACAAAGGAAAATGGTGATGATGAGTCGATCGACCAGCCACTACCTAGAGAACAAAGCTTAGTGGTCTCTAGGCGATATTGACAAAGACGGCCCAGCCTCATCTGTATATCCTCGGGCTAGGACTAGACGAGCTATAAATACAGCCCCAAGCGCTTTGCCATGTGGATGCTGTTGCATTGATTTCTTCAAAAGCGAAAACACCCAAAGAAAATTGATTAGCTCGACAGGCGTGACAATGACCCACCTTGGATTATACTTACCTCTCCCCGCATGTTGACGCCACCCCCTCGGGCGAGGGAGCATTACTCTGAAAGCTGGCGTTTTTACCGTAATCAACATAAGGCCCCTAGGCTCACCTAAGTACTCGCCCCTCCCCATCTTAAGCCCCCTTTCCATGATCACACCACCCCAGAAAACTCCTCCTCCCCACCTATCTCAAGTCCTCTCGCCCCCCTCTATACACCTCTCCAGGGGACCCCTTCTGCCCTATCTGAGGTCCCCTATCAATAAGCCCAACACCCCCGCGAACTCCTCCTCCCCTTCTTCAGTCCTCTTTCAAAAATCACACCACCCCCGTCTGGGACAGTTTAGTTCTCCTCAAGTGTCTCCACTCCCTCATGGTGGTTGGGCTGTGGCCATTCCTGCTGACCAGCGTCCTCAAGCCGCTCCACAAGTCGCGCGCCTGGTTCCCCCTCATGCTGTGGCCATTTTTAGACGAGGCATCCCTGCTGTAAGAAAGTGCCTAAAAAAAATGTCGAGGCGCGTCCTCGTGATGGTAGTCGCCATAGGCGGCTATTTAAGGAAGTGATCCGACAAGGCGTAGGGCAGAGCACACTAGCGGGGGAGTATAAGGAAGCAGCAATGACAACAAAACAGCAATGGTATAATGGGCATCAAGGTGCTATTAGTGCTTATAAAAAAGTGGCGCCTTGTAGGGTGCTATCAGTATGCGTGTGGGTTGGATTACTCTACTTTTATCCCCTACTATATTTGCGACGAAGGAGCGAAAGGGTGGCCCCCCCTTGGCTAGATGTTGAAACCGTCTTAGCGCAGGCACCGTCTTAGCGTGGGCGCGTGGACATTCCAAAGGATGTGCGTGCGAAAATGGTGGCCCGCTGAAAACGAGAAATGCTACGACCTAAGAGAAAATCCACTGAGAGGACCTAGAGCGAAGGGACCATCCATCCGCCTCGGGTCCATCCACCCAAAGGGCAATCCGCCTCCTCGATAAACTAAATTAGCCGAGTACACTTCTCTAAGAGTGCTACGCCACCTCCAGAGTGCTATGATCCTTGAAGCCAGCCGCTTACTTCTAGTTTTCGAGTAAACATCGGGGTAGCCGGCACTAGCCTTAACACTCCTGCTGGCGGCCAGCTTGAGGATTCCTCTCCTCACTCGTCGGTAGCTGCACGGGCATGCCCTCCCCCAAGGAGGTCGTAGATGCAGCAAGTTGCGTCAGAGAATCTGCACGGGATTGGCCGGGTGAAGTTTTTGATTAGAGGTGTTGAACTAGGTGGAGCAGCCGCTTTGACGCATACTAGGCGCTGGACCAGCTGCATGCCTAAAGGCGAGCTAGGTGGATCAGCTGTATGACTAGGGCTAGAGGTCAGCTCTGGCGTCCTACGTGCACATCGTTCATAAGACAAAGCTTTCCTTTCGAGGCAAGAAAAATCACCTAGACCACAGCCACGCCCGTCACCTGCATCGTGTATCGCCGAGACTTCTAGCACGCTCGCCTTTTTGGCCCTCGCGGGATATCTGAAGTAGCCTGCGAAATCTTTCATGCCCTTTATGAAGGCTTCACCCGTCTCGGCGTCAAACGCGTAAATACCCGCGACACGCTTAGACCCTCCACCGATCCATCTCCGCTCGAAATGCATCCTGGAGCATTACTCTGTCCCCCTCAGAACGGTCTCAGGATGCTCTCGAAGATGAATCTGCGAAAGCCTTAACAACAAAACCCGTGGCCACCCCCGTGAGCAGGGCGGTGACCCCCATATGCATAAGGACGGCTAAGCCAACACCAATCGCCCCAATGCCTCCTGAGGAAATCGTAATTATGATGAACACGACGGAGAGAAAACCCGCAAGGGCGATCCATCTCATCTTTACCTGCCGCCTCGCTCGAAGGTCCTTCGTCGTCTGGTCTGGATCGGCCTTCTGGGCGGCCTCCTCGTCATCGGCAGCGCCAGCATCTTCCCCCCCTTTGCCATCATCTCCTGTCCCTGCGCGTGTCAGGAATGACGAAAACGAAGAGCAAGAGGAGGAAGAATTATTAGAGTGTATTGCCTTGCTTTGTACTAGAAAAACACCCCCCAGAAGTATACTCGCGTAGCGCGTAGGCCTATTAATAATTTTCTACTGGAATAAAAAGCGGCAGTAGGATTTTCATCGTACTACGTGGAAACCCTTAACAGAAGACTTCGCACACGGCCCACCGTCGTTATCGAGCACGCCGAAGACGTATCTACCCACCAGAAGCCCAGGTGGCGCATAATTTAAAGCCAGAATAATTCCATTCCATGAAGTCTAGCACTGACTAGCAAAGGCAGCACTCTCTGCCATCATCTCTACTCTGTCTATGGTCTGTAGTTGAGCTTGCCTTCCAAATAGGTGATCATATGATTTGTAATATCGACGAGGTAGAACAAATGATGGCGACGGCGATCTAGTATTAGAGAAGAAGATCTATTGGAGCAGACTGACGCACGCCCAATAGATCCATCTGAGGCGACGGCGACGTGCGTCGGATCCAATATATAAATCGTGACCCCGGTAATGAAGCTCCCGCTATCCAGATTGATAGATTGTGACTGACATAGCCATGCTTCTGTCTAGGTAGCGGCGATAGATAGCTAGTGTTATTTTTTTGGTCGAGATAGCTTGGCAGATAGATCAGTGAACAGACCTCCTATAGACGCGGCGACTGCTGTAGTTGTAGCGACTGCTGTAGTTGTAGCCTTAAGTGCTTCATCTCGCCGGGAGAAGACCACGCCCAGTTACTCCCTGCTCCTCCCTTCGACGATGTAGCCGCAAAGCCATCCCCTGCGGGACCAAAAGAACTCCAGCGAGAATTAGAAATATTGCATGGTGGGATCGACCTAGGAAATTATGCGGCAAAATAGAGGAGTCGCAAACTACGACGTGTAGTCCATCCGTGATACGCCCAGAAGATGCCAGTCTCCTTTAGTAATATTCCCTCGGGCCACGACTAGTATCTTTATTTATTATGTTAGTAACATCCAACGCGCCCTCCCTTGACAACCTTCCATTGATGTAGACACTCAGCAATTCATTTAGAAGTAGGAAAAGACGATTACGCCAAGAGAGAGGCATGCACAGTTTCCGCTATGCGAAGGGACTAAGAGCTGCGCCCGAACTACGGAGGGAGGCTGGCAGTCAGTCTGTACCTACGCTTCCTAGGGGATCTTTCCACAGCGAGGCTTACTGGGCGACTGGATGGATTAGCTTTATCATAGTGGTAAAATGTTGCCTTAACAGAAGCGCCTGAAACGAAGGCTCTTACAATGCTGCCGTTCGGATCCGCCGCGCCATTCCTTTGGGCAGCCTGTGGCTGTGCTGCGCAATGATTAGAACGAACAACTCTAAGAAAAAGAAGCGCACTCGGGGCGTCTAACCAATGCAGCGCAAGAAGGGAAAACAGTCCCATGCCATTCGAACTACCACAACAAGGAGCGGGGCCAGCCCCATCCTCTAAAATTATCCGGCGGAGTCAATCCCGCTATGAGTACCAAGCAATATCTCCCGGAGATGATGGGCCAGCCCACATTTTTCTTCTTCCCAGAGAATTCATGACCCATCTGGAGAAGGCGAGAACGGTAGGCGCTTGAGATTTAGTAATTACAAAATGAAGACAGTTGGCGTAAACTTCGCCGCGATGCTTTCGGCTTCCTCTTTCATCACAGCAGCCTCTGGGCCCGAGTCGTCGCCTCCAGTGCCGAGCGCATCGGCGGCGCCCTTGACCGATTTTCTCTCGATACCTGGAGGACACTGAGGACCGAAACGTATCGCCACGAGCTGTTAGAGCAGTAATAAAAGGTGTAGACGTAAGCTGCCCATGCTAAAAGACGTCGAAATACTAAAAGGCGTAGGCGCTAGACGCTGAAATCCTAAAAGACGTAGACGTCCCAGAGTCTCGTCTAGTCTCCTTGCTTCATGAGGGGGAGTCATGTCACTGCACTTAGACATCCCTCCGTGGGCCATCAGTTAAGCAGTCAGAAGCTTCTGCTCCTTTCCCAGGCACTGAGTGAACATTTTCAACCAGCACAAGACCAGCCAGGAGATGCTGCTCAGGTGAGATCTACACCAAGGTGAGACCTCCAGCGCAGCGGGCCCTTGACGGGCCCGCTTTCTGGGCATATTATAAACTAAGTACACACGAGAGGATTAAAAGTACACGACAGGCCATCAATGAAGTCACTTTTTCCTCCCCCTGGTACTGGGCACGGAACATCAGGCAAGCAGTCAGAAGCTTCTTCTCCTTCCCCTGGTACTGTAAAATTTACATATGCAACCGCGCACCCCCTTGATTGAAAGAGAAAGGCTGAACCCGATTAGTAAGCTGCCATAAAGTTCTCCCGCGGCTACTCCCCCCATCCGTTGCCGCATTTCCGTTGCCGTGTCATCCACTTTGTCCACACTCTTGCTGAGGTCTCCCTCCTTGTCCTCCTTTTTCCTTCTGGTGAAAAGACTCGCGAATTAGTGAAGTTCCTCTGCCGAATCTTCGTAGACATTAATATCCTAAGAAAGTACTTAAATAAAAAAATTCATCGTCTTGGAGCTGATTTGTTGCTCCAAGGGGCCCTCAGTTGCTCCATCAAGCAGATGACGCTTCAGAGGAGCCTACAAGGGTCATCTTCTTGGTGCTGCTCTTTTTCTCTTGAGGGGGACGACAAAGCTGCTACAAAATGTAGAAGACTGACTCACTCACTCACCCCTAATTCCTTCATTCGGGTTTCCCTGTTCCTCAGACAGGCGGTCATTTTTTCCGTTAGGACTACACGCTGCCTCCC